TACGTTCGTTTCACCTAACCTGAGACAAGCCCAAACCTTATCAGTGACGGAACCGTACTACGTTTTCGTATGCTGTTTCAAGTCCTAAATGCTCAACACTAAACTTTTATTTCACCATGTTCCATACTCGTTGGGTAAATTGATTAAATTGATTGTGTATAAAGTAGATCACTTGATCAATAAATAGCAATAAATATCATATATCGTTAAGGTTTCCAGCAGGTTAGCGCATGACTCGCTCAGACCACATTTGATTTATGCGAATCCGTATCAAAAGCTTCAATAGATTCTTTGCTCTTCTCTTCGATTTCTTCCGTCTGTTTAGTGTCCTCTTTACCTTTTTCCTTCGGTTCAAACTGGACTCCATCTGTAGCTTCATAAGGGGGAATCTTTGTAGGCTCATGTGAAGTATCGTCCGAATTCACACCCGGACCGTAGTACCACCAGCAGAAGATAGTCATAAGACCTGAGACTAAGAAGAGAGCCATGAGGATATAACACTTAAATTCAAACTCCAACTGGCTATCAAGAATGACGGGTGCGGTTATACCCGATATATTTGAGATAGCTGAAGATGCACTACTGCCGACGGCTACAGCGGTACTGTCAGCATCTTCTCTTCTGCTCTGTATGCTAACGCGGTAAGCGGCTACATTGATAATGGCAACGTTAGACAAGGCCACGAGAAATACCGCCGCCATCCGTCCAACTAGCACCTTCTTATCAACAGCTAAGATCAAATAGCCGCAACTGACGAAAACAACACCTAATAGGATGAACGCAGGTCTATTTCTGAATCTATCTGATAAATACCCAGATGCTACAGTCAATAAAGACGCCAGAATGGCTGGTGGAACCGACAGACACTGTGCAATAATACCTTGGAAGCTTGGGTCTAGGCTGGAGATGGGTCAGGGAAGGCTTAACTTGACAATTTACACACTCATTGATGATACTGGGTGCGAAAAAAGAGAACGCAGCAGTGCCATGGGCAAGAAGCAACCACACCACAGAAACGAAGTAGAAATCAAATTGCTTAAATACGCCCAAGGCAGATTTCATCTTAAAACCATCGTCGTTTTTTATTATTGATGTTCCCAGTCTGTTCACTGCAATTGTACGCTCCTCAGGGGTAAGAAATTTGGCATCTTCAGGATAGTCTGGGAGCAAGAAAAAGATCAAAACACCAACGACGACGGTCACAATGCCTTCAAGCAGGAAGAGCCATCGGAAACCTTCCAAAGCAGGGCTCCCTAGTCCGTTCATATAGGAGCAGCCAGTGGCAATTAGACCGGATATTGCAGTTGAGAGGGTTGAAAATGAGACAAAGATGGCAAAGCGAAGAGCACGTTCGGTATCATTGTACCAAATGGAGAAGTAATATAAAACGCCTGAATACAATCCACCCTGGCACAGTCCGAGGAAAAATCGATTGATGATCATGCCTTCGTAGGATTGCACAGCAGCTGAGCAAGCGCATACTATACCGTAGCTGATGACAATCCGAGATATATGGAGTTTGGGACCCATTAGTTTCAGAAAGTAGTTTCCAACCAACTCAGCTAATATAAAGCTACAGTAGTACGTAAGGATGACATTTCCAAAGCGGCTGCCCTGGAGATCGAGCTGGTCTACCATGGAATCGTTCTCAGTGTCAGTGTTCATTATTTTGGCATTTGCTAAATTTGTTTTGTCAATATGGTTAAGGAGGTAAGCCAGAGCAGTCAAGCTGAGGATTCGCAAGTCAATCTTCCTTAACACTCTCTTCTCGGCTTTGAGTAAGAACTCCGCATGCTCGTCGGGTGGTTCTGGAGTGTCGCCAATTCGTGAGATTTCTGGTGAATCTTTCATATTGGTTTGATTGAAAGCAGTGCATATTCAAAAGTTGGTCACCAGCGATCTAAGGAATGTTCATTCAACTTCAACGAAGACGGCGGTGTGTTTCGATTAAGCGAGAAAAAGTCTGGCATCGAATAATAGACATTTGAAATAATTAAATTAAGCTTATCGATTGATAACAATTGGTATTTATTTGATAGTGGTAGCTTGATAAATGAGATTTTTAAGAGGTGAGTGATCTTTGTCAATCAAGATTATATTTGGGATGAATATGGAACTCATAATTCTCTAGCTAAGATGTTTTCACTATCCTTCCAAAATTGGTAGGTCCTTATTTCACGCTCCGAAATGAAGCATTTGGCGTGGAGAATTTGTTGTTGATGTGAAAGTATTGATATTGAGTATCATGGCTACCTTGAAATACAGTGCTATTATCTTCAAATCGCAGGTGAACGTATTGGTCAAAGAAGTTGTCTAAGTAAAGAATGTATTTTAGCAAAGAATGTGGAGGGTTTTCATATTGAATCATATTTTTTTTTAGCACATAAAATATCATCAAAACCGTCTAAGAAAGTAACATTAATCCGTGTTTACAAGATCTTGTGTCTTGAGGTACTTCTTCCTTAGTGGGAGCATCCGGAGCAGGAACAGTTGGTTTGGGTGCATGAACCGCATTGGTGGCCGTTGACGATAGCAATTTGAGCGATCTGTCGCGTGTTAGATGAAAGTAAATCATTCTGAGACAATTGGCAAAACACTGACCATTTCGAAAGTTATGATAGTTCAAGTTAAAGAGAAAGAAAGTGAAATGGGTTAGCTATTTATGCCGCAGCTAAAATGCACGATCTCATCTTAAGTTTTAATAACGGAGATTATGTCGTCATTTTCATCATGACCGGAAGGGTCACAGGGCGCTGGGCTGGACTGCTCGCACGGTGTACCGATTGTGGCTAATTTACTTTATAGCTCTTTATAATACAGAGCAAACTGAGATGAAGTTTTCTTTTTTTTTGGCTGTTTAACGCACATTAAGATGCGGATGCTTTTGAGATAATTACAAAGTCGGCATGTCATTATAAGGTGTATCACAGAGCTCTCTTTCAGCTTTAAACAACTATATTTATGGCTTATCAAAAATTACAGGATTTTGTAAAATTTTCTTCATCGAGCACGTGCACATAAGCCGGCACACAATCACTAATTCAAAATGCGCAACGCGCATCACACAAATATTACTTTATTAGCATGCATTCCGCACTTTTACAAATACATCTACCCAACTCACACAATTAATTTAATCCATTCCCATTGCAGCCAAAATGTCATATCTAGAAGCAGGTTGCTTCTTAGGCTCCTTCTTCTTGTCCTCACTCTTGTTCTCCTTTGGCTTTTTGCTCTTTTTGACCTTCTTCACTGTGACGGTGCGTTCTGGGCAGCCGTCGAGGATAGACTCCTTAATGATAGCGGTGAGGGTCTTATCGACAGGCTCCTCAGCGCCAGCGAGGTAGCGGTGGAGGGTTGGTCCATCGAAGAAGGCGTGGCATGGTGTAGTGATGCCTGAGAGCAGCAGAGAGTCGGCAACAATTTGAGTGCATTCGAGCGCACACAAGACTTGTGATGCCGCGCGAACAAGTTCAACTGGAGGTGACTCAAGTGCAGTTTCATCGTCTTCTTCATCTTCATCGTTCTCCTCCTTCTCTTCCCTCTTCTCTTCCTTGGTGGTGTAAACCTTGATGGCCATATTGATGACGCCCTCGAGTATGCTCTCGTTCCAAGCCTTGGAGCTATCTCTAACACTCAAAATAATGTGGCGGACTGCAGCAGCGAATGGAACATATGGACGGATAGCCTTGCAAGCATCTCCGATTGGTCCTTCCTCGTTGACACCCTTGACAGCCTTGCCTGAGGTGGTGAGAGCGTGTCTGTCCTGTGTGAGGTTTGGAGCAGATGAGATAACCTGTGCAAGTGGGACTGAGAGGTGTGATGAGGAGTGCGCAGCTAAGAACAAGGCCAGACGCTCTCTCAATGGGAGGAGCTGAAGTGATTGACCGGATGGTGTTGGGAATGGTGGCAGTACGTTGGCAGCATCCTTGACCTGCTTAGTTTCTTCAATCTTTGCTGGGAGGACATCCTCGATTGAAGGAATTTCCACTGGGACTGGAGTGGTTGTTACACCGTGACGAGTATACTCTGTTACGGCGTTAAAAGCGTACTCGACAGTCTTTGTAGTGATCTTGGTTTGAGGTTGAGCTAAAATTTTTTGTGTTAGCTTGTTCTAAAATACCATAACCAGTCTCACCCTCTGAATCCTCCTCATTTTGACCCTCTGGAACTTCAGCTGCGGCACCTTGAGCACCCTCAGCGTCTTCTTCGCCTTGCTTCTCCTGCTCCTCTTCTTCAGCAGCCTTCTTCTCCTCCTCACTGACCTCTTGGACCTCTTCTACAGTCTCAACCTTCTTGAATCTGAGATCTTCCTTGCAAGTAGCCAATGTAATCATATATGCGAATTGACGGAGATGTCTACCAACTTCAACATGTGAGGAGCGCTCATCGATAACCTCCATAATGAAACGACAGAAGTAGACTCTTTCTTGCATAATTTCCAAGATCTTTGGTGAGAGTCTGCCATCGACGTAAGCACCCTTGTAAGCTTCAACAACATCTTTGTCAAATTTATCCTCGCTAAAGACGTTTGCGTGATCGACACCAATGTAGTCAGCGGAAGCCTTCATAACATCAGCTGCAATCTCTTCGTGAATGCCTGAGGCAATATCTGGGTCAACTAGTTGTTGTACGGCGTATTCGATGAGAGATTGTTGTGCACCTTCACCTGAGTACTCCTTCAAAACGTTTGCGACTCTAGTGATTCTCTCTTCAGGTCTTGTGCCACGGTGGAGGTAGTGAGATTGAATTTGTGGAGAGCTATCGTTACCAACGAGAGCAGCGAGGAGAGGGAGGTGGAGAGGCTTGATACCGACAAACTCAGCGAGAGTCTTTGGATCATAAACAGCCATTCTGAGAGCAACGATCTTAGTCGTTGGTGGGGAGAACAAGCGAGATCTGAGGAAGATCTGAGTAGTATCGTAGCCTTCGAGGGTGGTTTGTACCTTTGCAGCGGCCTTCTCCTTCTTACGAATGTTACGAGGGTGGTTAGCCTTTGAGACGGTAGCAAAACCGTCTTCTTCACCGTCGAAAGCATCTTCAGCGGGTTCTTCTGGACGCTCAGCAACCCATTCCATTTCTAAGAGAGGAGCGTAACCACCCTTCTCGGCAACGAGAGTATCGGCGTCAGAGTCGTGAACGAGAAGATCACTGTCACCGCCTGCCCAGAGACCGTTTCTAGACTTTGCAATGTGTACAACAGCGGAATCAGCTTCAGATTCTTCCATCTTGAACTCGACTTGAGTAGACTTCAAGACATCAACTGTAAGCTCAGCCAAGAGTGGAGGAACAGCGTTAAGTGCGATAGATTGTCTTGATTGAGGGTTTGTACGCCAGAAGAGTTCGAGGTTTTTGTTAGTCTGGTCTAAGCGGTTGACCATAGTCTTGTGCTTTTGGGAAGATGGACAGCCATCGAAAACAAAGATTGGTTCCAATCCCACAGTTCTCCACGCCTGGATAAGGTGGATGAGGTTCTCCTTGTAGTCTTTGAAGCTGCCACCGAAAGTAGAAGAGATATCAGTCTGGCGGTAGAGCGGGTAGATGATTCCCCAGGCGTCAACGGCGAGTGCAGTGCGCTCACTCTCATCGCCTTCCTTCCTTGCAGTGAAGGTGAGTTCTTTAGCCAGCGAGCGCTTGTTGGTCTTTATGAAGCTAGTGAGTCCCTATTAAAATATTAGCAAACCCTATTAAATTACTAGCGAGCGCTATTAAACTATTAGCACCCACTTTAACACCCATTGTGACTTGATATAATAAAGAGCCGTCCTGGCTCAGAAATTTCTTCTCGATCCAAAACACCGATGAAGTATATTTTAGGTGGGTTGCTATTAATTTAATAGTCTTTCCTTATAATTTAATAGTAACCGGCGGTGTTATTTCTGGTATCGGTAAGGGTGTCATCGCCTCCTCAACCGGTCTTCTCCTTAAGTCTATGGGATACAAGGTGACAGCTATCAAGATTGATCCATACATGAACTTGGATGCCGGTACTATGGCTCCAACTGAGCACGGCGAGGTCTACGTGCTCAACGACGGTGGTGAAGCTGATCTTGATTTGGGCAACTACGAGCGCTACTTAGATGTCACCCTTGGCAGAGACAACAACCTCACCACAGGCAAAATCTACTCTCATGTCATTGAAAAGGAGAGGAAAGGCGATTACCTCGGCAAGACTGTCCAGGTCGTTCCTCATATTACAGGCGCTATCCAAGACTGGATTGAAAGGGTTGCACACACGCCATCCGACGAAACTGGCGAGGTTGCTGACGTTTGTATCGTTGAATTGGGTGGTACCGTCGGTGATATCGAATCTGCACCTTTCATCGAAGCCATGCGTCAATTCCAATTCAGAGTCGGTCATGAAAACTTTGCTCTCACTCACGTTTCTCTCGTCCCTGTCATTTCAGGTGAACAGAAGACTAAACCAACTCAAGCAACCGTTAGGGACTTGAGAGGTTTGGGTCTTCTTCCTGATCTCGTCGCTTGCCGCTGCGAACAACCTTTACACGCTGAAACTATCAACAAAATCTCCATGTTCTGTCACGTTGCTTCAGAGCAAGCTATCGGTGTACACAACGTTAGCTCCCTCTACCACGTTCCTCTCCTTCTCGAAGAGCAAGGTCTTGGTAAATACCTCAACAAGCGTCTCAATCTCGACTCCATTCAGATCTCTCAACCAATGATCAATAGAGGTTTAGAAATTCACAAAAAATGGGGCAACCTCACCGTTGGTTATGATAGATTGTTCGAAAGCGTCGAAATTGTTATGGTTGGTAAATACACCACCCTCCAAGACAGCTACATGAGTGTCATAAAGGCTCTCGAACACGCCTCTTTGCGCTGCGGTCGCAAAATTCATATCAAATGGGTTGAATCAAGTCACTTGGAAGCCCCATCACAGACAAAAGATCCTACAAAATACCATGAAGCCTGGCACACACTGTGTAGATCAAATGGTATTCTCGTTCCAGGTGGTTTCGGTTCAAGAGGTACTGAAGGTATGATCTTAGCTGCACAATGGGCCAGAGAGAAGAAAGTGCCATTCCTCGGTATCTGTCTTGGTTTCCAAGTCGCAGCTATTGAATTCGCCAGACATGTTCTCAATTGGAGCGACGCTAATAGCTCCGAACTTGACCCAAAGACAAAGCACGACGTTGTAGTCTTCATGCCAGAAATCTCAAAAACTCACCTTGGTGGTACAATGAGATTAGGATTGCGTCCAACCGTTTTCGAAGAGGGTAGTGAAGAGTGGTCAATTGCCAGGAAACTATATGGTGGCGCAAAGAATATTTGGGAGAGACACAGACATCGTTATGAAATTAACCCAAAGCTTGTCAGTCAACTTGAATCAACCGACCAAATCAAATTCGTTGGTAAAGATGAGACTGGTGAGAGAATGCAAGTAATGGAAATGCGTGATCACCCATACTTTATTGGTATGCAAGCACATCCCGAATTCTGCACACGTCCACTCAACCCATCTCCACCATTTGTTGGTTTAGTAGCTGCAGCGGCTGGTCAATTAGACGTTCAACTTGGCATGCAACAAGACTATAAACCACCTCACCCAACCAGTGAGATGGTTTTGGGAGAGAAAGTTGGTAAGAATAACGTCATCAAATCTGCTGTAAACGACGCTGAATTCAACACTCCGTCTGCTTCACCTCGAGTTAAGCCTCAAGATCTCCCACCAGCTTAGCAATTTTTTGTTCATCTTTACTAAATTTTATACACACCTGCATATTTATCAAACATTGTAATTGTACTTTTAAGAAGATTCTAATTTATTCATACTAAGTTACTGGCACAATCGCACCCACTGCATACCTCAAACATATTAACGCAGATGCGAGAAAATTTGACGTCAATTAAAAGGATCGCGTTAAGTATAAAAATTGCGTTAATTAAAAGAATAATGGAATGGATTGGTATTATTTCCCGGTCTCATCATGGTCTGGAATGGATTTAGATTAAATTGCTGTTGCTGTGCTGGTTGAAAGGAAGTGAACGATTGTTGCTGCGTCGGTTGATAAGAATTAATTGGTTGTTGAATGAACGTATTTGTATTAGTGTTAGTGTATGGTTGAGAATGTGATGAAAACAACGGTTCTGATCGTTGAACAGGTTGAGTGTTCGTGGATGTAGAATACTTATTTTGAGTGGGTGTAAGTTGATATGGACTTGCTTGGTTTGTTGTGGTACTTTGACCGAATGGCGACATCTCTGACTGCTGTTGAAATGTCGCATTGTGTTGAAATGACAATTTTGGTGTAAGTGTTTGAAATGGTTTCTGTGGCTCCTGCTGTGACTGTTGTTGGAATGGTGGATTGATCGATACTGGCTGCTGTTGTTGAAAAGGTGACATAAACAAACCTTGGGGATTTTGTAATTGTGACTTAAACCCTGTCGACGCAGGCATTGAATTCGAAGACGCAGACATCGAATTCGGACACGTGGACATAAAGCCGGATGAAGCAAAACCATTGCCTGGCGGTGAAGACATAATTCCTGGCTGCTGAGATGTTGGTGAAATAGGTGGTGCTGATGGGGGTGCTGGCCAGTCTTTCTTTCCAGTTGGCTGTGGTTGAAGAGATTGAAAGCCAGTATTTTGACTTTGCAGTGCTCCTGTTGAAGACCCTTGTAATGTGCCTTGGAACGACCCTGGCAAAGCGCCACCAGCATTTTTCATGTCCGAGAAACTCGATTGATTCCGTAGGTTAGTTTGCTGTGGTTGGAGGGTTTGCAAACCTTCCTTTTGACTTTGTAATCCATTCGGCGGAACAGTTCGTATGCCATTTAGAGTGCCATTCTGTGTGCCATTTAGAGTGTGGTTATACATACCATTCGGAATGCCATTTAGAGTACCACTGTTAATACCACCGATTAAACCGCTATGAGAAGCCCCATTCATCCCTTTATTTCCACCCTCGCTACCACCAGAGGATTGAGCATTGAGAGAGCATATTGATCCATTCGGGCTAAGACCGGTGGTTTGATAACGAAGAGGTGCAGGATTTAAGCCATGGATACCATTCTGATGCATTTGAAAAGGAGTAGTGTAAGGTGAGTTAGGATTAGACTGCGTAGACGTTGGAGATTGAGAAAACAAGGTATCTGAACCAAGAGTAGAAGTTGAATATAAGTTTTGGTACGGAGAATTACTCTGCGGAATAGATTGCAAAGTGGTGTTGGATTGTATTGGAGAATTGAGTGAGAATGTTGTAGGTTGGGTGTTGTGATTAGTCTGCTTAAACGACTGCAAGGAGCTGAAAATAGAGTTATGAGGGTTTTCGTGTGTTGACTGCTGGTGCATAAGCTGGGCTGGTGAGCTGACTGAACGAGAAGTAGATCCAGCTGTTTTAGTAAGGGGTGCATTCTGAGACAGAGTTTGTGGAGTGCTCGACTCATCAAAATCGACAAAGCTAGCGTTCCCAGTATCCCCAGGAGGCTGTAAAGACGCGGATCTCTGCTTATACAAGCCATACAAGCCATCAACCGGGGACTTAGAGGAGCGCGAATTGAGGGAGGTGTTGGCGTTGAGGTCAGCGCTTATACCAGGGCTATTGCTGCTACCAGTTGAACTGCCAGTATTTGAAGCCTTTAAAATGCCCTTGCTAGGTGGTGGTATCGATGAGCTCTTTCTCATGTAGGATTTGTGGATATACTTATTACGTATGTAAATTTCGATTTCCGAGTCCCTTTCAACCTGACTGGAGTTTGTTGGAGGAGGGTTTTTGAGCTCGTCTGGATTGTAGACTGAGTTTGAACGGCTGTTTCCGATTTGCTCCATTGTCGCCGTCTGTTCCCTGTTCCAATTATCGAGACTGACAGATTTACTAGGCTGTATGAGTGAAAGCCAATAGGACACCACTGCTAAACTCACACTTTGGAAATGTGCGTTCCGAGCTTCCTGTGTACGCTTGCACAAGGCATACAGAGGAAGATACCAAGAGAATAGCTTGACCAGCGTGGGTCTTTAATGGTGTTAGAATTGAGTGTTATAATATGATTTAAGATAATCTCACTGCTAGCTTTGCAATCCGCACAATTTCCATTTCCAGGCACTTTGAGTATATCGAGCAGTCTACGATGGTTTCTCTCAGCCTGAAAGATCATTTAGAGCCTTCAAAGCCATTTCGAATATCACTGACCTGCTGCTTCGATACGCCCGACATTCCTGCGCTCAAACCTCGTCGTAGTTAATCGAGATACGCGTGAAAGAGGCGCAGCAACTCGATTTGATAAAAAGCATTTTTTAAAAATAATCTAAATGAATTCACTAAACTGCCCAATCCCGTGGCCTCAAGACATCTCGTACAACAATCCATACGATGGCGTTGAAGATGAATTGCGTTTGGAATACTATCAGTCCTTATACCTCCCAAACGTTAGTTGCTTATCGCATACGATACGCGCTTCTTACATACGCGACTCAGACTGTTTATTCACCGTTAGACTTTATAAACTACTTGGAGAGCAGAGACGTTGGGTTTGAGCAGCTGTTTTTTCTCTACCTCCCTCTGCTTGAGCTTGAAAGAAAGTACAGAGTCACACTTACACCCATTATCATCAACAACACCTTCGATGATAGCTGTCTCCCTCAGGGAATACGCGATAGACTTGAACTTAACATCCTTAGAAGCTCATATGACAAACGCGTCGTCGATCAACGCGTTTACATTAAGAATCTCGAGTTGTCCGAGAAGTTATTACAGGTCTCCTTGCTACTTTATTTGCTGGCTAGATTGCCACCTCCTAACACCCACTCTGACACCAATAAACCGCGAAAACGTAAGCGTAAAGTTAACGAACTTACCAACGATTATGACAACATCAATGAGAGGTTGGAATTTGCAATAGATAGGCTGGTTTTGTGGCAGACACTCAACAACGCCCCTTTGATACAGACTGATGATAATAAGCAGCATAAAAAACCATCCATTGATCACGTGCAAAAGTTTTACAAGCACACCGTTGATTTGAAGTGGGTCGAGTCGGTCTGTTAACCCCAGTAGCTCACGCAAACTCGCGCAGGTTTAGAAAAAAACTGCCAAAGGTTTGCAAAGCAATGAGGATCAAGTGCTTTGGTGATGAGAACAGAGAAACAGAAGTAGATCTACCAGCCCCACTTTTACCAATCCCTAGCACTTCCACCGCTCCAACTAGATCAACGACCCCTCAGTTAGACAATGTTGAGCGTGAGTCATCAATTGCTAGCGTCAATCTAGAGAGAGAGCCATCCGTGAAACGTGAAAGATCTCTATCACGGCAGCCATCTTCTACAATCAACAAAATGTTTGCAAATAGAGTCGTCGGTGTGAGTCGGAAGATCACCACCGTCAAGGAAAAGAAGGAGGTGCCTTCGAAAGGTGGGTCATTGTGTAACACACCCAAACCACTCTCACACACCCCACAGCACCTACTAACCCATTTGAAGCTCTCTCTAGTGAGGCTAGCATTTTATCTAGCCAGCCACATATCCACGTCGAGAAAAAGTCAACACTTGTTTCAGCAACACCGACCAAGAAAGAGAAACATACCCAACTCACTCAAACCAAGAATAGCAAGACAGTGCTAGTAGCAGATAGTCCTGCAAAGCTACAACCAGATGGAACCGCTATAGCAGATAGCGACGACGAGTTTCAAGAAGATGATGTTATTCCAGACACTCCACAGAAAAAACACAAAACTGACTCAAAACCTCAAGGGAAAAGAATGCTTTTGAGTGAGCTTAACAAAATAACTGATTAACTCGTTTTCTATGTATTATATTTTGCATTTATCTCTTGATTATTTACCATCAACATGAGTGATTTTGCGGAGAGCAGAGCATCTTTTGCTTGTGAGGTGTGCTACAGACTTATTGACTTTTTCTTTTCTCACAACTCGATCCAGACCAACAATAAAGCTGTTAATGAAATTTTTCAGTCACGACTACAAGACTTTCAAGTGCGCACTGAAATCGGTAGTCAAGTTGCTAGCAACGATAAAGCGAGTTTGTTTTCACTTTACGAAGGCAATATGAAACCTACGTTTGAAGCTATCGGTGAATATGACAGAGATGAAAAATATAACGAAATTTTCAACGAAGAGTCGAGAATTGTTATGCTTGAACAGAAAAACCACCTGAAAGCTTTCGTCTCGCTAAGATTCGACACTGAAGAAGGTGAGGATGATCGTATCTACGCCGTTGTCTACCTGTGAGTGTGTCTATGCGTTCATCTTCAAGTCGCGCTCAATGAAACAGGTATGAATTGCAGGTGGAAAAAGATTGCCGAGGTAAAAAAATCGGGAAACGCTGTATCGACGCTCTAAACACCCTAACGAAGCACCTCAAACTCGATAAAACAATGCTTACAGTATCAAAATGTACGCCTTTCTCTCTCAACTACCCTTGCTGACAAGCCCTAGACAATCCATTCGCTGTAAAGTTTTACGGCAATAACCAATTCATATTTGATGAAATAGATCCATCGTGGTATGAAGGTGGAGAAGATGAAAATTATCATATCATGTCACGTGTATGAGATGCTTTTTCATCTTCTTTCATACATTTGAAACTCATATACCACTCCATTCTCTTCAATATCTCCTCGTTGCACCTCAAAACCTACGTAAGCTTCAAAGTCCTCATGCGTGCATCGCCTCCACTCTTGATCGCTGAAGTCGGAGAATTTCACGTCAGCTTGTTCGAATGAGGGTTGTTTTATACGCGTAATGAACAGTCTAGACGCGTACGGAATCATTTTGTTGTAAATCTGCGCACCACCTATGCAAAAGACACGTGAGTCGGAGTGACTGGTGAGGTTTAGGGCGGATTCAACGCTACTGAGAAGTTTAACCTTATCGTCAATCTGTCTACGACGCGTTAAAAGGCTAAAAACTGCCGAAAACCCGCTCACAAAGTGTGATTTCGCGATAAGACCACGTTAAGTCTATTCCTGAGAGGTTTAAACTTGTTGGGAATGCTGTCCCAAACTTTTCTTCCCATAAGGATTAAATTGCTTTCATCCTGTTTGGCTGGCTTGGTTGACGTAACTTTGGCAAAGAACTTGAGTTCATTTGACAGCTTCCAAGGGAGGCTATTTGAGGAAGATACGCCAATTCCATTAGAATTTGTAGCCGCAACGATTATATTCAAATTTGATATTCTCTGCATTCCAGCCTTGGTCACAGACGACATTCAACTGAAATGCGTTTAGCCCGCACAGTCATGACAAGTTGGAAGCAAAAAAACACTTATCAGGAATTCACCAAAGCGCTTGAGAAGTCAAGCAATGATAAGCGTAATTACAGGCTCATTAAGCTGCATAATCAGCTCGAGTGTCTGCTTATCAATGACAGCGAAACAGACAAATCATCAGTGGCTATTGACGTGAAGGCGGGACATCTCCTGGACCCAAATGAATTACCTGGTTTGGCACATTTCAACGAGCATATGCTCTTCCTTGGTACTTCCAAGTACCCCGTTGAAAATGACTATCAAGACTACCTGAGTAAGAATTCTGGCTATAGTAACGCATATACAGATATGATTGACACAAATTACTACTTTACTTGCTCAACAAATGCGTTGAAGGGCGCAGTTGATCGTTTCAGTCAATTCTTTATTTCACCGCTATTCACCCAGTCGTGCACTCAAAGAGAAGTGAAGGCTGTTGATAGTGAAAACAAGAAGAACTTACAGTCTGACTTGTGGAGACTGTTTCAGCTCGAGAAGGGCTTGTCGAACCCACCAATGAGTAACTTCGGTACTGGGAACTGGGACACTCTCTTCTCAGAACCTAGTATGAAGGGCTTGGATCCAAGGGAAGAGCTCATCAAGTGGTATGAAACTCACTACTCTTCTCACCTCATGAAACTCTGCGTCTTTGGTAAGGAGAGTCTCGACGAGCTTGAGCAGTTGGCTGTTGATAATTTCTCTGCAATCCCTCAGAGAGACATCCCAGAACCACACTTCAGCAGCAATGTTTGGCCAGAAGATGCCTACAAGAGTATCATATTCACAGAGACCATCAAAGATCTCAGACAACTCGCTCTCACTTTTACATTCCCTGAACAAGACGCATACTACAATACCAAGCCTGGTAACTTCCTCAGTCACATTCTCGGCTACGAAGGCAAAGGCAGTCTGTGCTCATACCTCAAGCAGCTTGGCTATATCAACTCACTATCCGCTGGATTCGGTTTTAGTGCACCAGGCTTCGAATTTTTTAAAATCAACTTAGATCTCACCACGAAAGGTATTGGCAAGTGGAAGGAGTGCTTGAGATTAATTTTCAATTATATCGACATGATGAAGAAGTTCTCTGACAATCCACCTGAGTATCTCTTCAAAGAGACACAAGATTTGGCAGCCATCGCTTTCAGGTTCAAGGAGCAAGGTCAGCCTGAGAAGGTGACCTCAAATGTCGCTAGATTGATGCAGAAGCCATACGAGAGAGAGCACATTCTTTCTGGTTCTCACGTCATTAGAGAATATGATCCACACTGCATCAAGCAGTCTCTTGACGCGCTCAACCTCGACAACTGCCGTGTCATGTTGGCAGCCAAAGACCCAATCGAAGGGGTTGGAGAGCTTGATCAGGTTGAAAAGTGGTATGGCACCAAATACAGAGTCGACAAGTTGTCAGAAGACTTGCTTAAGGATGTGCGTTAGGTGCGATTTTGAAAACACCTTCTCGCTAACATAGAAATAGATAAGGAATAGCAGCAGTCCACCTGAAATGCACCTCCCTCATCCAAACCAATTCATTCCCACAAACTTTGACGTCGAGAAGGTGGAAATTAATGAACCTTCAATTGTCCCAACACTCCTTAGAGACACACCAACTGTTCGTCTCTGGCACAAAAAGGATGATCAGTGGTGGGTTCCAAAAGCACACGTCTACTTGGTTATGAAATCACCATCAATCCTCCAGTCAGCAAAATCTAGTGTATCGACGCGTCTGTTCAATGAATTGTTGCTGGATGAGATGAACGAGTACGCATATGATGCCGAGTGTGCAGGATTTGCATACAGTATTGAGTCAACCGGTGACGGTGTATTGATTCATGTGAAGGGGTATAACGACAAACTCACCACACTCCTCCATCAAATTGTTTCAACTATGAAGAGACTCCATATTAAAGAAGATCGCTTTAATGTGATTAAAGAGCGCATCGAGAGGATGTACGCCAATTTTTCAATGGATGCACCACTTATGCATGCAAATGTATCAACATACTCTCTCACCCAGAAAGCTTTCTTTACTTTCGAGGAGCGTCTTGAAGCTGTCAAGAGCATTAAAAAGGAAGATGTGGAAAATCACGCCAAAGAGGTTTTGCAGAGGTTGTACATGGAGGTGTTCGTTCATGGTAATATGACCGATGATGCAGCTGTCAAAATCAGTAGGGATATTGAGGGTGTGATTCAACCATCCGCATTGACAGAGGAGGAGAGAAAATCTCTTCAGTCTTCATTAGTACCAACAGGCGACCACGTGTACACCAAGGAAGTACCTAACAAGGCACAAGTAAATTCAGCAATCGAGTATTACAATGAAGTTGGTGATGTTACAGATATAGATCTTCGCACCAAACTTTCACTATTCGCACAAATAACACACGAGCCTGCATTCGATCAATTACGTACAAAGGAACAATTAGGATATATGGTGTTCAGCGGATTACGCAAGTCAATTGGAACTATGGGATTCAGAGTTCTCATTCAATCTGAGAGACCACCAGTATTTTTAGAAGGACGTGTTGAACATTTCTTTGACGTCACTGTTAAGGGTTTGTTGGAGGATATGAGCGAGGAAGAATTTGAAAAGAACAAGTTAAGTCTGATTGAGGAGAAGCTTGAAAAACCAAAGAATCTCAGCAATGAATCTTCTAGATTATGGTTGGAGCTTAGTGGTGGATACTACGATTTCCACAGAAGAGGAAATGAAGTGGAGAGCATAAAAAAGCTGACTAAGAAGGATATACTTGACTTCTTCTATACGTACATTCACCAATCGAGTGATAAGAGGAGTAAGTTGTCGACACATTTGGTATCACAGACAATTCCAGATCAGTATAAAGATCTTAACGAGATCTCATCGCTTAGACCAGCGAACGTGGTGTATGAGAATATCGACTCGTACAAGAACAAGACAACGACATCAGCACATGCAAAGCCAGTGGCACCAATCGCACAACCAGTAATTGAGAATTAAATTATTGTATGATAAGATAAGCGAAGTAATGAACATGAATTGAGTGATATAAAGTACAAGGTGTTAGCCCACGCAACATCTCAAGCCACCTCAAGCTTTGTGATAGAGTCGCATAGTCTACCAATATCAGATTTGTAGTTGATATTATTGACTCTATTAATTTGGTGCCTAACTCTAACGTTATCGTTAAAGTTATCCTGTTTAGCGCGGCAGTTGAAGTTATAAGTTGAACCGAGTGCGTTCTTGACAGTAGCTTCATAAGCAGCTTCATCGCCGTTGTTCTGCGGAGTAAAAGTTGAGTAAATATTGTCAAACGTTTCAACTCCAACTTACCATCATAGCTTGGAGATCGTTTGCCGGCATCTTGAACAACTCAAGACCAAAATCATTGAAACCACTGAGCCAGAGTTGTCCAGTATGATCAGTGGCGTTGCACGTAACTATATATCTATATTCAGGCGCATCGAAGGATGATTCACACTTCTCACATCTCCATTTGTCGTTCATGTCTTGCGTAACTTTTTTCATGTCGTTAGGACAGCTAGGGTATGTAAGGTTGTCTTTCTTGATGTATGTTACAGTAGCTTTACCACTCCAATAATCAGGTTTACCCGTGTCGTTGAGCCCTAGTTGTGATTGTTTGACTTGATCGAGAGTCTTAATTTCGTTAGAGTTAACAGCACCACTGCTCTCAGGCTTGACGGCTGCACTAGAGCTGTTGAATGTACTGAACTGTTCATTTTTACCTTGCTGGTCATACCATCCCCTTAGCGTGTGCGCTTCAGCTATGTCTGGATTGACGAATAGGGTGGATGCGCCAACCATCGAAAGAGATCTACCCCCAAAGTCACCTACTTTGACACCTTTAAACGCAATCACTGGTTCATTAGTCTGATCGAAAGTCTCTGCCAACTTTCCCCACAGGGTCAGTCTGACAGACTGTTGAGACCGGTCAACAATCTGGAGCTCTCTCTTAGTGTATGGTTTTTGGGTAGATTTGCTGATAATTTGAGAAGCATCATCGACACTAGTAACAACACCAAGCACATCAGTGATAGAATTTGCTTCAAGGTTTTCTAGATTCTGAAGCTCAGTGAAGTTGTATTTGACGTCAGGGACATCGGAGGTGTCGAAACAAGGTTCAATTTGAGTTGATTTATCGAATGTTATTTCATATTCGTTTTGTAAATTGCTGAATTGTTTCTTCGCGATCTGTACTCGAGCTTTGGTGATGAAGAATACCTTACCTTCCTCGAGCATTGAGTAAAATTCATCGACAGATTCGTTGAAACCGGTTGCACGGATTTCACCAGTCTCGTCCATCAAGTTTACGCTAAAAAGCTTTCCCTCTCCGCGCTGATTTGACCAGAATTTGATGTCAGATCTCTGGGTAACGCGGGCTTTGATAGTCCACTTGTTCTGGTATGGCGAAAGACCCTCAATGGGATATACGGGTGCTTGAGAGGAGGGTCCCTTGGATTGAGGAGGTGCGATTGTAGGTTTGTTGTCGGTGGTTTGAGGCTGTTGATGTGATTGTCCCTGTGGCTGCACCTGTGCCTTGGCTGGATCGTAATTCTGAGGAGAGCCAATCTTCTCATGTGAGGATTCGAGAATATCAACCTGCAACGCAATAACGAGCAATCTATTCTGGACAGTATTAACAGCATAATTAGTCATTCTAATCACGCTGTTCTTTACAAGAACTTCTTGCTCCGGGAGATGGTTGAGCTGTGTACCAAGCATCGCTTGCATGTAGAATACTCCATCACTGAGTACCATCCTGTATCTATCTGGTGCATTTGGCTGGCTTGCTGTTGCTTTCTTAACCTGCAACACCTGTACTACTGGGTTCTGGCCTGCAGGCAGCGATGCTGGATTTTCAGAATTTATTGCAACGATTGCATCTTTGGTGAGATTGATCATCGCGTGTGAGAAGTAAGAAGGAAATGCGATTTAAGTGAATTTACGCGTTTTTTTTTTACAATTTTGCAAAAATTATGTAGAGTTTCTTTGACTTTATTCTTCCGTCTGTACACTGGCATCCCTCGTAGCTTTAAAGACGCGTGGATGGACAAACTATGTATCGCATTATCATTACCGCGCACGTTTCAATAACAAGCGCAGAACTCACCGATTCATTGTACTCATGCATCACTTCCCCTTGAACTATTAATTTATCCTTGAGTAGCTGCGTGTACTTGTCCACCATGACATGTATCTGTGGTACTCCGCGTTAGATGGAGTAGAATCTATCACAAAAAAACCCTCACTTGACTCCAAAGCGCGACCATTATCAATATCAGGTAGATCCAATTTGACGCGTTGAGAAATATCCAGCAGAGCGCGTGTGCTGGAGAGTAAATCCTGTTTTTCATCAATGAGTGTACCTATATCCCACTGGAATACTCACTCAAATAATGCCAACGAGCCATCATTCACATCCCACATATCTATCTGATAGATCTCCGTCTGTCCATCTCGCAGCGCTTCATTCTTGTCCTGCTTCTTGAGTGGTATACCGATCAGGATGAGTAATGGTCTCCATATGAGGAGGCTGATTAGGGTGAGGCTGTGTCGACAATCGACACTTCCCACTCACATAAAGTATTTCCACACAAAACCGACGACCATTACCAACGAGTCGCCAACTGTCTTCCTACGCTCAATTTCAGGCGTTCCTTCGCGACTCTGGTCTAAATTAAGATCAAGTTGAACTTTACGAGCGTTTGGTGATGAAAGTGGGTCCTATTTGTCTTTCTTGTTAGAAAGGTGTTTCATTTCTACTCGCACTTGCACTCACTCTACGCATGAACATCCTATAAGCCCTGTATTTAGTAAATAGGGTATAAGTATTGATTGCAGTGGCAGAGAGAAGGATTACTGCCAGAACAGGCGCCTGGTTTTGCATTAACAAACTAAGACTGCCAAGCAACCCCCACACAACTCACCCACGGAACTGTCATCTTAGATTTTCTCAAAGCCGATGCACGATAAGCAGCTGAGGTGCCTTTTTTCAGCACAGATTGTTTCTGCTGTTTGGTTATTGAGGCATATTTCACGAGGAAAGAGAGTAAGTGGAGGAGTAAACCGAGAGGTCTGGCGACCTTTGGAGAGTCAATCATATGAGCTACATCCCAATCCATGTACAACTTGAGTAGTGTATTTGATGGCCATTGCAGAATGCTAATGTGTGTTAGAGGCGGTGCCAGCCTTATAAAAGCCAACAGACCGATCTTTAAGCGGTTGTTTCCTGATAAATCTCTTCCGCTTTGGTGTGCTATTTGTTGGGCTGCTCATCGGGGTGCTCGCTGTGCTAGCCGGGCTAGATGCACCAACACCACCAGCGAATCTGGTCAATGGCGTTTTGAGAGGCGTAGAATAGCGTGGCTTGGAAGGTGTGACGTTGTATGGATTTAGCGGCGATGGTTTCCTTATCGGCGTGCTCATCCTGATCGCAGTGCGTGAACAAGGAGATAAATTCAAACAAAGATTCATACACGTGTTTTATATCTTTCACTCAGTTTAATTTACTTGGCTGCCAATTGTCTGGCGTACTCGATTATAGTTCTTGTAGGTCTTCCAGACATTCCCTTGACATTAGGACCTGCGTTCATTGTTAGAGTATTTGTAAGCGTCATTGATAGCGTTCTCACCATCAGGTTTGGTACACTCCATAGATCCCGCTATATCAATGTGTGCATACGACCTCACAGCCTCTTTGCCTTGACTATCTTCAATGCCTTCAACAAATTGCTTCAAAAAGATGGCAGCCGTACACGCCCCACCTGGTCTTCCGCCAGTGTTAGCGAGATCTGCAGCAGTGTGGTTAATTTGCTTGAGGTAGAAATCATCGAAAGGCATTCTCCACATTTTGTCATCTTCATCTAAGCCAGCTTGATTGAGGGAGTTCCAAAGGTCGTCTGAAGTGGAGAAAACACCTGAGTATGCCTCACCTTTACATCAAAGTTAGATACTCTTTCAATCTACGAAAAACCCACCTAATGCTATAACCATCGCACCTGTGAGTGTAGCACAGTCAATAATGGTGTGTGGATCATGCTTAGTTGATATATAGTATAATGCATCTGCTAAAACCAATCTACCTTCTGCGTCTGTGTTCAAGACATTGATAGTCTTTCCTGACATTGAAGTGATAATATCGCCAGGTTTGGTAGCTTTACCGGATGGCATGTTTTCAGTAAGAGGAGCAACGAAGATGACGTTTATTGGCAGCTTGAGTTTTGCGATTGCTTGAGTGGTAGCGAGGAGAGTACATGCACCACCACAGTCACCTGATTTTATTAGATGGAAGCATATTTATATCTTCAGAGTGACCTACCTCTCATGAGATCCACTGGGTTTAGTGTTAGGAGGTGTTTCAGTATTTCACAATGTCTCACTTACTAGATGCACCAGCCTTGAGGGATATACCACCAGTATCCATAGTTATACCCTTACCAACTAAGGCTAAAGGTTTCTCGTTTGAGTCGGGAGCACCATTGTACTTGATTTGAAGAAATTTGCAAGGTTCATCGGAACCTTGAGCGACGCTAAGGAACGAGTTCATTTTCATAGACTCAGCCCACTCTTTATCAAATATTTGCAAGTCAATGTTATCCAGCCCAGAAAATTCCTTCTTTGCTCTCTCAGTGAAGTAAGTAGGGGTGCAATAGTTTGGAGGCATCTCCATCAGTTCCCTTGCTAAGTTTTGAGCGTAGGCGTAAATCTCACCCGTGTGCCAGTTGAGAGAGGTGTTATAAGATGATTGTTGTTGTTGTAAGGGGGAAATGTTGATTGGATGTTTGACATTTGCGGATTTGAGAGAGTAAGAGAAGTTAGCGAGGTGAGCGCCGATAGCAGCGTGATGTGGGTAATTTGTAGCGTCAACTTGGGCTGATTGAATGTCATCTTGCTTCTTCAACTCCTTGATTGAGTTCGCTGTCGCGCTCTTTACAGAGGTAGGAGTGGTGGATGCAATTGAGTTTATAATTTCAAGTGGAGAATTGTATAAAACTTTCAAGTTGTTTGTGCTCGATGGGTTAAGTTTGATAACTGATGATGCCATTAGCCTTATGTGTACCTCGTTAAGACCAACCACCAAATCAATTAAGCTGAAAGGTGCTTGAAAATTTCAAATGAAGATACTTATAATAAATTATCTTAAAACATTATCGAAATTGAATCTAAATAAACTATACTTGAATAATTCAAGCAGCTTGACTATATTCAGATTACTGGACGAAACCCAGAAGCAGTTTATAAGTAATTTGTTATTCAATAATCATTCCATAGATAGAAATGCTGTACAATTGTTATTCAAAGATATTGATTTGTCTTTGTTGATGGATTTGAATATCATACAGCTGGATCAGAATGCCATACAGCTAAACGAGTCATTCACAAGCTCATTGAGTAGCTTACTCACGGGCAAACATATAGAAAGTATATCAAAATCCATTTCTACAAGCATTGATCAGTTAGATTCATTCGCTACTCATCAATGGGAGATTATTCTACATTTCATGGTCGGCAATTACACCCACACACCTTCGAAGGGTGTTCTCTTTCTACTTGAAAACTCAAATCTCATCAATTCATCCAAAAGCTCGCACAACATCACCTCAAATGGCTTCCAATTCCTCTTGCAAGACGTTCAATTTCAGTTATGGCAGCTGCTCTTACAATATTTATCTCTATCTCAAATAAGGCAAATGGATCTTGTCGAAGTTACTTCGTTTCTCTTTATCCTCGGTACACTTGAATTAGGCAAAGATTACTCAATTGATTCACTCACAATAACTCAACAAGCCATGTTATCAGATTTACGCGATTATGGTTTAATCTGGCAGCGCAAGAACTCTTCAAAACGTTTTTATCCAACTAGACTAGCTACATCGTTAACTTCGTCTGCTCCACCACTCCTACCTACAAACTCATCCTCTTCATTTACATCTGCATCCAATAACAAACGGTTCATTGTTTTGGAAACTAACTACAGACTATACGCATATACCAGCAATCCACTGCAAATTTCTATTCTCAACTTGTTCGTCACTCTTAAAGCACGCTACCCGAATCTAGTCATCGGTGTAATTACTAGGGATAGTATCAGAAGTGCGTTGAGCAATGGCATAACGGCTGAGCAAGTGGGTTTAGTTAGAGTGTTTGATAGTATTCACTAATGAAGCAACGCAGATCATTGGCTACTTATCCTCACACGCTCATTCGCAAATGTATAGAAACAACCCACTGCTGCCAGTTACTGTATCTGACCAAATACGTTTGTGGGAATTAGAGAAGAACAGACTTAAAGCTGATGACGGTGTACTTTACGAGGATTTCAGATCGCAACCTGATTATGAGATATTGCTCAATTATGCAAACTCATACGATTGCGTACTCTGGTCTAATGATTCTAAGCGTCTCTTCTTTGTTACACTCCAAGGTCATCAAATTGTGCGCGAGTTTGTCAAGAGACGGTTGCCAGGTGGGACGGGAAGTGCGAGTACCAGCAATAGTAACTCTAGTACTCTATCACTACCGACTTAGTGTGATTTTAATTAAAACGAGAGGTATAAACCCTATTTATTTATTACATCGATCAATCTACCCCATTTCAGTTCTGATCATCGACCATTGTGCTAGCCATACGCATATCCTCTTTAACCATTTCATGAACCAGATCATCAAATCCTATTTGACGTTTCCAGTTGAGTTTCTGCTCCGCTTTGGCAGCGTTACCGAGGAGGAGGTCGACCTGTGAGTGGTGTGAGGAAAGTGAGTGTAATGAAAAGCCACTGAACCCACCTCTGCTGGTCTATAATAAGCTCTATCAATCCGCACGAGTATTTTTGATGTTTTACTGTCGATGCCAACCTCATCTTCACGCTCGCCTGTCCAGACAATAGTGATACCTGCGCACTTGAAAGCCTTTTCGACGAGTTCTCTAACGCTGTGTGCTGAGTAATGTAGTTAGCGAGTGTATCCAACCATCACCCTCCAACCACTACCCACTCTCATTCGTCGCGAGGACAAAGTCTTCCGGTGTGTGATGTTGCAATATCCTCCACATTCCATCTACATAGTCGCGCGCATGTCCCCAATCACGCTGAGCGTCGAGATTGCCCAAATACAGACACTCTTGTTTACCTAAGCTAATTTCAGCCACAGCGCGGGTAATTTTGCGCGTCACAAATGTCCTACCGCGCCGCGGGCTCTCGTGGTTAAAGAGAATGCCATTAACGGCGAACATGCCATAGCTCTCGCGGAAGTTGACGACGATCCCTGTGGGTGGGTGGTGAGTTGGGGTGTGGGTGTGTTATATACCCACAGTACGCGTAGAGTTTCGCCACGCCATATGGCGAGCGCGGGTAGAAAGGTGTCGTCTCGCTTTGTGGTGTTTCGACAACTTTGCCGTATAACTCCGATGTGGATGCTTGGTAGAAACGCACGGCATGCTCAAGTCCACATATACGGATAGCTTCGAGGATACGCAGCGTACCCAATCCATCCACATCACCGGTATACTCAGCCATATCGAAGCTAACTTTGACATGTGATTGGGCTGCTAGATTGTACACCTCGGTTGGATGTACCTTGCTGATGATGGATACAAGGTTGGTGGTGTCCATCAGGTCGCCATAGTGGAGAATCATGTCTGGCATATCGTGTATATCTTTGTAGAGGTGCTCTATGCGTGCAGTGTTGAAGGAGCTTGACCTTCTTATAATACCGTGTACTTGATATCCTTTGCTTAGAAGGAGCTCTGTTCTGGGAGCGGGGAGCGTGTTGGACAAGTTATAGATGTCGCCGAATACACCCACAGATACGATCCATCCTGCCCTGTTATCCCTGTTTCTGCTTCAGCCACCGCTAACAGCCACACAACCCCACTCACCACTTATCAAAGCCACCTTACGCTGTCGATACGCTTCAACGTCTATCCCCGCCCTTTCGCTCTTCTGGCTTATCAAACGTTCCATTGGCTTGTTTGGTTGACGTGACGTCAAAGAAGACAGTGTAGAGGTTTGATATTGTGAAAATTGGTTGTTTAGGGAGTGTGTGTGATGTATAGTTTATGTGATTAGAGCACAATCTAATAACGTGCATTATTACATGTGTGGGTTGGTGAATATTTTCACCTCCAATTGGTATATCGTGGAGAGTGTGGTAGCTAAACAATAAATGCGGTACTAGATTTGTATAAACTAATTCCCGCTGCCACTCAACCCACGACAAACACTCGGCCTGATTGTCTCAGTTGGGCGTACGATTGAGAAAGGATTAATCAGTTAGCAACTTGCGTGAGTTGGTAAAACACCATCAGTACATAAGCAGTATACGAAATGGCTAGTACCAGCACCAGAAACAAAGGTGGCAAAGGCAAGACTCATCCAGAGGAAATCAAAAAGCACTCAAGGTCCGCGCGTGCAGGTGGGTAACGAATTGCAGTATTTGCAGTGCAGCAACTTCACGCTACACATAGGACTAATATTCCCTGTTGGTAGAATTGAGAAGAATCTGCGACAGGGACACTACGCTCAGCGTATCGGTCAAGGAGCGGCGGGTGAGTTTCAAGGTGAATTCAGCGAATACGCATCACTAATTAAAACCATATACAGTCTACATGGCTGCTGTTATGGAGTACCTCACCGCAGAATTACTCGAACTGGCGGGGAACGCGTGCATCGATAACAAGAGACAGCGTATAACACCACGCCATCTCCAACTGGCTATTAGAAACGATGAGGAGATCGATAAGCTGCTGGCCCATGTGGATATTATGGAAGGTGGTCGCCTGCCTCATATCCAGAATGAACTGCTCGTCGCCCGCAAGAAGAGTGTTCCAGTCGTTGGAGATGAGGAGGATGAAGAATAAATGAAACGATTTTAAATTTTATTTGATTTATCTGATTTTCTTCATTTCGTTTGGATTCCTCCTTATATCACATCAGCCATGATCAAGGTACGAGAACACGTGATGAGAAACGACACAAATACTCACAAACCGCAGGATTCTTATCTCGTTGTTGGTGGATCAGGATTCCTTGGCAATCACATTGCAGAAACACTGCACAAACGCGGCGACACAGTTTTCGTTACGGATTTAGTACAGAGGCATTCAAACGCAATTGAATTTCATAGTGCAGATCTCACCGACAAGGATGCTCTACACGCCCTCATTGCCAAGCTCAAGCCTAGCTGCGTTATACACACTGCATCACCCATCCACGGCCTCAGCCAGGATATCTACCAAGCCGTGAACGTTGATGGTACTGCTAACCTTCTCGAAGCCTCACGCACAAACAACGTACGTAAATTTATCTTCACCTCTTCCGCAGGCACCGTATATGACGGCGGTGACCTGATCGATGTCGATGAACGCTGCCCATATCCAACCAAAGCTATGGATGCTTATAACCAGACCAAAGCGGATGCCGAGAAACTCGTTCTCAACGCCAACAATGACGATGAAGGTGCCATGCGCACTTGCGCTATCAGACCTGCCGGTATTTTCGGCCCGGGAGATAGACAAGTCCTCGCTGGTCTAATAAAGGTCGTCGAGAACAACCAAACCAAGTACCAAATCGGTAACAACGAAAATCTCTTCGATTGGACTTATGTGCATAATGTCGTACACGCTCACCTCCTCGCTGCTGAAAAACTCTTCAACGCACCAGTCGATCCTAGTATTTTCACGGAGAACATCGGTTTTGTTGATCCTACGCAGAATGACATCAAAGTACCTACATCCAGATCAAGAAACGTCGGCCCTCACCCAACAAGAGATGTTACTGGAGATGAGAAACAGAGTGCATTAATGTACAACAAGGGCGTAAAAGAATCCAAGCCACTAGTTAGAACTAAATTCGACCAATTTATCGATCCATCCAAGCCAGAAATTGCTTCCGCACTTAAAGTATCAGGTAATGCCTTCTTCATCACAAACGGTGAACCCATCTATTTCTGGGATTTCCCAAGAGCGGTTTGGAAAGGTATTGGTCATATCCCTCCTCAGCCCACCGTCTTCTCCTCATCCCTCGGTTACTTCCTAGGCGCTGCCGCTGAAGTTTTCGCTTGGTTTAGCGGTCGTGAGGCTGGTTTCACCAGATATAGAGTTAATTACGCATCCTCATACAGATTTTTCAACATTGAGAAAGCCCGCCGCGTACTCGGCTATGAGCCTGTTGTTGGTCTTGAAGAGGGTATTCAAAATACGTTGGATGTGAGTGAACGGCGTCACTCAAAAACACACCTCTAACAATCTCCTCAGTGGTATAAATCAACTCAAATCAAATCGTAATCTTTACTTGATCGATAGATATCATAACAAAGGAGAAATATATCGTTACTTAATTGGTTTTTGTGTTTTCACTTGATATAATAATTATAGTAGTAATATTAGTAGCAGTAGCCTTAGCTTTGGACTGTCATACTCACTTAAGACGCAAGCTGTCAAGCTTGATGCCCGTAACTGAATACAGTATCTTGTCGAGTCTCAGACCGCGCAGAATACCATTGACTACTCCACCCAGTCCCAGTCCACTGAGGAGGGTGCCGACCAGGTTGAGTACACCTGTGAGTAATAACCCAACAGCACCTAAAATCTGTGTGATCGGATCTAGTAGTGTTGGTTTAGTGAGTCGCACAACAAACATTAACTCAACCCACTCGAAAGCAACCCTAATATTGGCAGTATGTCTCTCTTGGCATATTGCATGTTGGCTAATTTGGATTTGGCATTCTCGATAGTTCTCGCGACAGTTTCAGTGAGCTGTGATCGCGTTACGTTAGGAAAGCGTGCTGCTTTATACACCAAACAAACCTCGGTCAGCTTCTCTGCCAGTCTGTTCTCTTCAGCAGATGCTTCATTAGACTCAACGTGCTGCTTAGCGAGTTTGAGAATTTGAGCGTGTCTATCAAAACCTTCAACCTGTCCTTGAGTTTCGTAGAGGATGGCTTGAGCTTGTTCGCAAAGCGGTATAACTTTATCAGATAGCGCTTTCTGCTTCTGTTCATCCATCTCTTCGTCTGGTATTTGACTTGCTGTGTTGATAGCATCGTCGATCATGTCGCACAATGGCTTAATTCTCGACCATCCCGTCTCAACTATATCTGACAACTCGTTGATCAGCCACTCGATCTTTTTCTGTTCCTCATCTTTCAATGCATCAGCTTCATCCTGGATGCGTTCGTGATGTTTAAGGAATTTTTTAGCTTCTTCGATTTGTAAAGGCTGTGATTCAATCTAATACGCGTTGTTAGTTTGAGAATAGATTTTTGCGCGCTAAATACATCTTTAATTCCATCACTCAGACGGACATCGTCAGTGGTGCCCTGTCCAACGGCAACTCGCGCCAATGAAGCCTTTTCTAGCTCCTTCTTTGGATCAAATTGGCGTATTTCAGCAAGGGCACTCTCATGTAGTCCAAGAGATTGGTTTATCAAGGGTCTCAAGCGATCGTTGAGCTCTTTAATATCGACTTCCTTCTTCGATTCGTTCTCGTCAATTACATCTTTCATCATGCGGAGTATTGGACGGATGCGATATCTGGTGCGATCTACTGTATTGCAAAGTTCGTGAATGGAGCTTACTAAAGTCTTTTCAGTCTCTTCAGCTTCTTGGACTTGTTGGTTGAGTTCACCGCTCAAATTTTCAATTGCCTTGCGAATATCAACCAACTCAACATTCAAAAGCTGCTCTAGCTTCTTTAACTCATCGATTAATCTGTAGTCTTCAGGTGTTGCTGAGCGGTTTGCTGCGTTACTGCGACTATCCATTTGTGTTACTTTTGTCGCACTTAAAATTAACAAACAACAAACCTTAACTCAATCGTAGCCTTGTAGTAGTGCTCTTCCTTATCATCCAGCCACTTAGCATCATCTACGATAATCTCAGCCTGTTCTACAAGTGATGAAAGTTGAGTAATGATCGATTCCTTCTCGTGGGTAGTGGCTTTCACGGTAGATTTTGCAAGATTTATGAGAGGCGTGAGCTGCTTATTAAGCGTGATAACTTGATTTATCGTCTCGTTAACGCGTTCAATGCGCTCAGCCTCCTCTGCGGCCACTTTAGCCTCGGCTTCTTCACGCTGCTTGGTGGCAGTGTTGATGATATTCTGAGCGCGTCTAACGTTACCTCCATACTCTTCGCGGATCTATTTGATTGGGTTCGTGAGTGGATGTTGGTGCACAGCGCACAGAGCACACCCACCGAGTTAAGGTTCTCGAGCAGCTTACTTTCATCCGAGGAAAGATCCTCGTTATCGGCATCGCGTATCTTTGTTGCCACGATGAGCTCTTTCAATTCGTCGTTGTTATTTATACGCGCTTCGAATGCATCCAACTCTATGTTCATCTGGGTTGTCAACGGATCGAGCATTTCACGCATCGAAGCGTCGTTGTCGACTTTCTCGAGCAGGATTTTCTCAATTGCCTGGGTGGTTAGTGAGTTAAGAATGTAGCTCAGCTGGGATATACACCGCTAACCATTTTAAGCAATCCATCGAGTTGTTTGAGCCTCTCAGCGGTTGATGAAGATTTCTTGATCATTTTCACGATAAGCTCATCGGTATCATTCGGCTGCATCTTCTGGTTGCTTGGCTGCAACACATCTCCCTTGCCCTTGCTTGGTGCCGATCTCTCGACAGATTCACCTGGGTGGCCAGGAAAGGGACTTTTGGCGTCCTTTTTTGGCATTTGAGCTGAAATAAACGTGAAATTTCTACGAACTCACTTCAAATGGGTCTTTGTAGCTGTCTTGATTTTCCATCGTATCGCCGCTGTGTGTGAAAAAGTGACGAATCTGGGAGAGCCTGGGTTATCCTAATATTTTGAGAGTCGATAATGAGGAGGGACTGTAATAAATGTTGCTACATCTCCAACGTAGCAGATTTCCACTTGCTCTCAGCTTATTTCTTTTGGAAAATTTTCATGTCCTTTACCAGAGATAAGAGCACCATGAGTAAGACTTAGCTACATTTGTATGTAACGACACTCAATGCACTCCAAAAATACTCTAAACACGAACTCTAAATACGCACGATACACCTCAAACATACTGCAAACGGCTTGAAAAAAATGGATAAAATTAATTCAGTATACAGAGTATGTGCAAATATATGAGAATTATATTTTTACACGGAGGAATTAATATGCCTCGTTTGAGTTGCTTTCGGCGTCAATGGAATGGATACGTGCGATTAAAAAAGCCGAGTGCGGCCGAGCAGAGCGATATAGCAGACTGCTGTGTATACTCGCCACACAACTGCATCCCGAAAATATGAATTTTAAGATTTGATTGGCGCAAACTACCCTCGCTCAGCGCCCTGCGCACATCAGTGTCCTGAACACTCATTATCTAAAAAAACAAAAAATGCAAGTAAATAGTTCAAATAGGCTGAGGAGTACGCAGCTAGAAAAGTCCCCAGCTGGAAATGTAAACGCGAAATCCACGTTCCTTTATCCGCGACCATCGATGCCATCTCTCTCAACGACATCCGCAGACAATCTACCCGACGCAAGATCATATCTCCAGAATAAGTTGGAAGTGCCCACGAAATCTCAACTTAGCCACGACGAGTACGGTATCTGCAACAACGACGACTTTCGATTTATAAGCAGTCACAATACCAACGAAGACTCCACAATCGCAGAAGTAGAGGATCCCAGTTATTACATATTGATATCTACGTACGTAAGCTTCGTCTTACTCATCGTTATTGGCCATATGAGGGATTTCTTTGGTAAACGCATGTTCAATAAGCATTACAAGCATCTCATGCCTAATAATGGTTACGCTGCTCTTTTATCCGATTTCGATAGCTTCTATACGCGTAGGCTTAAGTTGCGTATCGATGACTGCTTTAGTAGACCAACGACTGGTTAGTCTGGCTTTATTTGGACCTACCTCCTCTCACCCTCCACTCAGGCGTGCCTGGTCGTACGATACTCACACTCGATAGAGACTCGGATGATTACAACAACACCTACTTCTACTCGGGGTCCAACACAAGATGCCTCAACGTCTCATCATACAATTACCTTGGTTTCGCCCAAGCTAGAGGCGGCTGCGCAGATGCTGTTGAAGACTGCATTTCGAGGTACGGCATTTCTGCTGGTGGTCCTCGTCTTGAAGGTGGTACACTCGATTTACACCATCATGCGGAGAAGCTGGTGGCTAAATTCCTGGGCACCCAGGACGCTATGCTGATATCAATGGGTTTCGCTACGAACTCAACTACTATCCCTGCACTCGTTAATAAAGGCTGTTTAGTCATTAGTGATGAACTCAACCACAGCTCAATTAGATTCGGTGTGCGTCTGTCTGGTGCCAGTGTAAGACAGTACAAACACAACGACATGAAAGACCTCGAGAATTTACTTAGAGAGACCATCTCCCAAGGCCAACCTCGCACACACCGTCCATGGAAGAAGATATTGCTAATTGTAGAAGGGTTGTACTCAATGGAAGGTACACTAGTCAATCTTCCAGCAATTATGGAAATGAAGAACAAGTACAAATTCTACCTCTATATCGATGAAGCTCACTCAATTGGTGCTATCGGTCCACACGGTAGAGGTGTGTGTGACTACTTTGGAATAAATCCTCGCTTGATTGATATACTTATGGGTACAGTTACAAAGTCATTTGGTGCTGCTGGTGGTTATATCGCAGGTGATCAAGATTTGGTGAATAGAATCAGACAGAGGAGTCATGGAATGACTTATGCTGAATCCATGTCTCCGCCTGTACTCACCCAGATTATCAGTTCGCTCGCTTCCATCACAGGCGTCAAAGAGTTTGTCGAAGGTGGTGAACATATAAGTGAGGACACACATCCAGGTCCAGTCACTCACAACACTTTGCCGCATTGGATGACCCTTCCAAGAGATCTACTGGATGGTACAGAAGGCAAAGATAGATTGAGAAGACTGGCGTTTAACGCTCGTTATTTATCATCAGCACTGCGCAAGATGGGATTCATCATGTCTGGTTCAAGGGATTCGCCAATAGTGCCGTTGTTTATATTCAACCCAGCAAAACTACCGCTCTTCTCAAGAACAATGATGGACAGACTCACACCGGGTGCTGCTTCTATCGTTGTTGTAGTCGTCGCTTACCCAGCCACACCATTGACCAGTGGTAGAGTGAGATTCTGTCTTTCGTCTTCACACACCAAGGGGGATATCGACGAATTGTTACGCGCGTGCGACGAAGTTGGGGATCTTCTTAGTCTCAAATTGTCGAGGAGAGAACCAAAGTGGACAGTTGACGAATGCATAGACAGAGCAGTTGAATTGGTTCAAAGTGAATATGCATAACCAAGTACACTGAGTTGATATTAATGACCTGATCCCTAACTTATTTGTATACCCATTGACAAGACGCAGATTTGAGTATTTCTCTCCATCTCTATTTTTTACAATGTTGGCGATTGAATGTGTACTTTTTACCTTCATATCCATCTTCATTGCACATGTTGGATCGCTTTAGCTGTCTTCATGTGAGTAGTGTGCGTTGAGTGTACCATATCCCATCACACACCGTGGTATCTAGCTGTGCTTGGATTGTCGGTAGAAACACCAAGCTCTCAGTATTCTCAACACTGATATCGAAAAAGTCACGACTATTTCATTGTAATATACGCGCTGAATTCAGTTTTTGTTTGAGAATTCTATCTACGTTTTCACTACTGAGACTGAATCTGGCGCAAAAGCTGAGCTTCTCAGGACTAGTAAAGAGCTTACGCCTTAGCAGATACTCTTCTAATTCTAAAAGAGTTGCACTGTCTTGTAAGAATTCAGACAATCTGTAAACAGAAACCAAAGGGTGGAATTTTCAACTAAACGGCTAATTACATGATAATAAGGCTTAATGTCGTTTACTATTCCACAACAAGTAGTAAAGCAGTGATTGTCTTCCAAAGTTATCGTTTCCTGAGGTTGATCCATCCGAGCATCACAGATATCAAAGCAATCACTCAATACTGCTGAATTCGCCTTGAGTACGTCTTATCGAGCTTGTAAATGTATCCGCCAATGAAAACTGTAAAAGGAGAATTGCTGTTAAAGATGTACTCCATCACTAATCAGTAGCTGCTATCATGGCCGCTTTGGTTTGAGATGTAAAATAGCCGGTAGAAATCTAAGTCGTGGAAAATATTCACATACTTGTCAATTGCCTTCTCAATTCCAATATCATAAGCAAGTTTTGTTACTTCGATGGCGAAATTAAAGTTAGTAGTACACTCCCAGAGTTGTCCCAATGATATCCTAACTAACAGCCCACAAGAAACTTGGAACTCAACGGCAAATCTGTTCAAGGGAAGACAGCCATTTGTATCGGTGCGAACGCAGGTGTGTGATGTCATCCAGCAAATTGCCACTGTTTCTAAATCACCCATAAGGACTCGGTTTCGCTAAATGCGAATGGCTCGTGGAGAATAATATTGGCAGACTAGTAATGGGATGCCGGTCCCTTGATAAAGCAGAGAAAGCAAAGTCTGAGATTGAGAAGAAGAATACGGGCGACACTGAAATCATTATCATCAAAATAGACCTTTCTTCACTCGAATCCATAAAGTCATTTGGCGATCAGTGGTCTGATCAAGATCCCAGCTGCAGAAAGTGTGATTTACTTTTCTGTAACGCTGGTCTGATCGTTCCGAATGCGGATATGTCAACGACTGAGGATAATTTTGAAATGACGTATCAGGTGGGTGTACATTGGGCACAACCATTCAAGACCATCACTCATTGCTCAACAGTGCAACGCTCTTGGACACCTCGCACTCATCGAGCATCTTCTGCCAGCTCTCTCAGAGTCAGACGATCCACGTATCATCGTCACTTCATCAAACGGTGCAAAACTCACTGACATTCCTAACGCTCCCTCCGAGAATCCCCGCACTCCGCTGCGTGATGTGCGGAAATACAAAAATTATGCTCTTAACTCTTTCGCGCTGTACAGTGATTCAAAGAAGCGTGGGTGGATATTTCTTTCTCATTCGCAGCTCAAATCTCACACAAATCCTTAGTCATCACCATCCTTTGTCGAGAACTTCAAACCAGTCTCGACAACCACCCTAATGTCAAATACAGGAAGATTTTTGTCGCCAACTACCACCCTGGGTTCGTCAAGACGACCATCTCAAACAAGGAAGAATACAAAGCTCTCAAAGTCTTCAGCGTTCCTGTGAACATGCTCGTCAACACCTTCGCCATCTCGGCACCAGAAGGTGCGAAGACGGCTCTATTCCTCGCTACTTGTTCATTGCAGGGTAAGCCACGCGGAGCTTTCTGGAACGAAAAGACTCAGCCTCAGTCTGTCGGCAAGCAGGCTGAAGATACCAAGCTGAGAAGGTATGTCGGTGTATTGGTGTGTCGGTGTGCCATGTCTGTTAACACCATTCTTTAGAGCTTACTGGGATAGATGTGTGAAGGATGCCGGTGTAAATCCTGAATCTTTCCCTCTCCCACCCCTATAGCGAGACGCTTGAAACTTGAAGCTTGCTGGGCGTCATTTCTATTTATTCGCGCTTGACACGTTTAACACTCTTCCACCTACTGATCTTAATAACATACTCACACACTACGTTGTACGACATGTATGTAGCGTTTCTTGTCTTGATGTGAGTCGCGAGAGGAATGTGATTATGTGAGAAAGCGGCTGCGCTGTATAATTCACTACTGCAGCAACTTAATAAATTTGCGAATTGAGTATTTGCATTCGGGTGTGCCTTCGTGCTAGCATATTTGATGAGATGTGGATGGATATCGCGAGCTCAGAAGGAAAGCAACACACTACAAATTAGAAATGTCTTATTATTTGTGCACTCCATTCAAAGTCAGCTCATTAAATCAGAGATCAAATCCCTTTGATAGGGTTTTCGGCCAAAAAATAAAGTGCAAAAATATCCGACAGCTATGAGATTCGAACTCATGAACGCAATGCGCAATAGAAGGTTAATCCAAAGATAGCAATCTATCGCCTTAACCACTCGGCCAAACTGTCACTGACTACCAACCCATTCGCAACTATCATTACCGTACCAAGCACTAATCATCCCTCAACCTGAAAATGTTAACTATACTCCTTTTCCTTTCTCGCTTCCACTAAATTCAGCACCCCCTCCAACTCCTCATCCTCTATTAAGTATTGACCCACACACTTTAAACATCTATCGTCTTAACAATATAATCAGTTTTCATCATAATCATCATCAATATCCTTTCTTTTGGTGATCAATAGCCTAGGTGCATTTCCCGTGCCTAATCACTCCACCATAATCCCAAAGGTACTTCTTCTACAATGCTCAAAGTCCATCTGCATCACCGTGGTCTGCTACAGCTCCTCAAACTCCGGATTAGTAGCAGATACCTGTTAATTGTAACAACAGCTGCATTATGAACCCTCCTATGCTCCTACTCATCGCCCATTCTACTCAAATTGAGTCCCAGTAGCTGGTAGTGGTGGTGGCAACACACGACAAATACACACCAGAGCCACCTCACCAGCATCAACACGCTTATTTCCAAGTCTTAATTAATTTAACTTAGTTGATGTTAGTCGTTGCTCTTCAAAAGGCGATTCATCTTGACGACCAACTCTTAGAAATGCAGCGAGTGCTGTTCAACCAGGCGAAGCAATCGCTACGAGGGTTGAAATGCAGCAATACGCGAGCGGCCAGCAAAACTCCCGCACACAATTTCCTACGCCACCAAGCTCCATTGAGAAGGTGGAGCAGCACCCATCACAATCGCCATGAGAAAAGAGAATTCTTATCGAAATTACCAACATCGATCATCGTACTCCTGATATTCCTCCCAAGTTCATTCATACTTTATAACACCAGCGATACATTCAAGCACACGTCTTTGGCGGCTCAGAGGTGTGCAAGATGCGCTCAGGCATTCGTCGCCAATGCAACAGACTACAAGCTCACGCTTGGTAGGACTTACGCCTCAGATGACGAAAAATGGGACAGTTTAGCTGGTTGTCACAAGAGGTGTGCTGAGAGGGTGCTCAACGTCTTAAAGGCTAACGGAGGTGTTTTCATCAAGCTTGGTCAGCATATTTCCAGTGTTGCTCTCCTCCCGCTGGAATGGACAAGCACAATGCGTCCTCTTCAAGACCAATGCAATCCATCGTCGATCGATGATGTTAATAAGATTCTTAAAATAGCCACTGGTAAATCCACCGAGGAGCTTTTCACGACATTTGATCCTACGCCTATCGGTGTCGCTTCACTGGCTCAGGTACACGTCGCAAATGATAAATCAACAGGCCAGAAAGTCGCCGTGAAGGTACAGCATCCAGGCTTAGACGAGTATGCTGAGATAGACATCAAGACTGTGCAGCTCATAAGCAAGGGAATCAAAAAGTGAGCTACTCGGCTTCTCGTTTACGTCATACTAAATAACGCCCCAGACTCTTCCCCGAGTTCGAATTCACATGGCTGGCGGATGAGATGGCTGTGAATCTTCCACTCGAATTGGACTTTAGGCATGAGTCCAACAACGCTAATAGATGCAGGAATGACTTCGCCGACAAGTCAAGTACAACACTCTACATACCTGAATTCCTTTGGTCACATAAGCTGGCTCTGTGCATGGAATATATAGAAGGCGCCAGACCTGATGACTTGAACTTCCTCCAAAAGCACAATATTGACAGAAATCAAGTAGCTAAAGAGCTTGCCAGCCTATTCTCTGAGATGGTCTACATCAATGGCTTCTTCCATGCAGACCCACACCCAGGTAACCTGCTCATCAGACCTGCTCACAAGAAGTCGCGGTCGCCGTACAACTTTGACATCTGCCTCCTTGACCATGGTCTTTACTTTGATTTATCGGATGACCTTCGAGTAAACTATGCTAGATTCTGGCTTTCGCTGATGAAGCCACCTTCCAAAGCCACTTTCAAGGAGAGGAGGCATTACGCAAAGTTGGTTGGCAATATCGATGAGGATATGTATGGTGGGTGGAGTGCGACCTAAACCACACTTACTCAAATGCTTACAGCCATTTTCGAGTCTGCTATCACAGGAAAGGCAGGTCTTGAAGGTGCCTACGATCATGAGGTGAAAGGTGGTCCCCGCAAGCACAAGCGTTCTGGCGGCATTCTCGACAACACACCAGCTGGAAATTCTAGTGATGTTGAAAGACTGAGAAGCGCGTTGGTTACAAAAGAGGGATTGCTGAGTAGTGTATTTGAACTGCTAAGGAATTTGCCAAGACGATTGTTGATGGTTCTCAAATTGAACGACTTGACCAGGTGAGAGGAGATGATATTGAGCCTTTGAACTTTATCTCACATATTCTAGACATTTGGACACATCCCTACACACTACCCATGGCCCAACGCGCGTCTTTTTAATCATCGGACAATATTGCGAGAAATCAAACCACAGAGCAACACTTAAAGACATCTCGAGGCGGTGGAGTGAAACTGGCGTCTCATTATCCATATTCTGGTCGTATTTAAAAGAATACTTGCGACACGTTCGTACATCTGTAGCCTTCTCAACGCTAGCAGGTCTGCAAGATGTGAAAGCAACATATGTCATATGGTCTAAATGGTTGCACGCCCTCTACGCCCGTGGATTTGACGGCGCGTCTAAGGTCGCTGCAGGAATCGAAGAACAAGAGAGAGCAAAAGAAGAAGAGAAGAAAGCTAGACAAATAGAGTGATCAAAAGATGTTTCGTCGAATGATGCAATGTCATTAGCAAGACCATGTGAATTTCATGAATATCCATTATTCTTTGAAGTAGTATACAATTGTTGGTTATATTACTTGTTGTTTGCTACATATAACAAGGTTTATAAATTAGTTTTCTTGGCTCAGTGAAGTTAGTGTGGTAGAGGTGGTAAGACGCTGCATATCTGCGTCAGCTTATGTGGTTGTGTTGGATGCGTCGACCGGTTTGGTATCTAATATCTGAGATGAGTGTCGTTACAGGAAATTCTCACAGACTTTCATTTTGTGAAGGCAGTTGTGATGTCGTGTTGTCGTTGCCATTAGACTCAGAGGCTATGCTGAAGCTTGCTTGTGTGGACTGTGAATCATCCTCTTGTTTGACAAATGCGCTATCTTGTGCTCGTGGCGTATGCGTTGCAGAAGCGTCACTTTGCACCTGCGACAACTCAAACGAACAATTTTGATGATCTCCCGCTGTATGGTGGTTCACGAACATTATCTGTGGCGCTTCAGCTCCCGGCTGAGGAGTCGATTGGGCATGTGATTTATTCATCTGCACAGGGTCGTAAGGATTCTGATTGATCGTGAACGTTTGCCTGGGTTGCGCTTCTGTGACCGAGAAAGTTTTCACGTCTGTCTCTGGCTGTTGAGTGTTCTGGGTATCCACTTCCATGGACACATCCTGGGATGCTTGGGCAGGCTCTGGAGCAGATGGATGGTCTGCTTCAGGTTTAGCTGCTTTGGTAAGCTGCTGTAGCTGTGTCGAATGAGTTGAATCGACAGCCTGATTTGAAGAAAGCTCCTGTGTTGACTGAGTTTCTGGAGCTGACACAGAGTCATTGTTTTGTTGCTGAGCAGCCAGCCTTCCGCCTTCAATTTGGTCTTGCTTTTGCTCTTGCTCTTGTTTATCTGACTGCTGCAATTCCACTTCTGATTTCTCAGGCTTCTTGTCTTCCTGTTGCTGCTCAGAAACATTTTCCTGTAACGATTGTTCTTGTTGCACGGCGTTCGCTTGCTCTTTCCGCACCTGACGTTCTTGTGGCTGTTGTGGTGTATGCTGCCCCTGCTCCTGAGAAAGTTGTGGCGCATCACTCGTCTGACTCTCGACCATCTCAACTGCATTGTGTTGCGTGTCTTCAATCCCTTTACCTTGCTCTTCCAGCGCCCCTTTTCCACTTTCCTCTGCTTTCCGCTGTTCATCCTCAAGCCTATTTTTCTCATCCTCATCTGTTTTCTTTTCATCTTCCTCCTTCTTTTTCTCATCTTCATCCTTTTTTTTCTCATCTTCTTTCAGTCTCTTCTGCTCTTTCTCTTGTTGAATGGCAAGTTGGGTCTCGAGCTCAATCTCACTCTCCTCCTTTTGCACACGCTTGAATCTCCGATCACCTGGTATGGCGTTAGCAAACTAACGTAACAACAATCTATACACCAACCTCTCCTGATCATTTTTGTGTTTTTATTGAATTTGTTCTTTTCAGGCCTTTTCTGATCTTCTGACAATAGTTTCCACACATCATTCTCATCGGCAGCTTCAGCATCAACATCATTCTCCTTAACTTGAACACTTGGTGAGTCTATAATAGCCTTTCTCGCTTGAGCGATGAGCGCAATTCTAGCTTTACGGAGTTGCTTTGACGGTCTAATCACATTAGTCTTATCTTTCGGTATGAGCTTGCATTCCTCTAAGACCAAACTAAATCCATCGTGCTGATTTCCCCAGCCTCGAGACCACAGTCTGTGACGCATTGAAGAATGATAGGCGACTAGTCTAGGAGCGACTCTAAAGACCAAGACGAGGTCTGCATCTTCAATAATATCATCGACTTTTTCTCCCTCTGCAGGTCTGCCGGCTCCCACCAGCGACCTTCTATCATACGACTTGTCACTTGCATCAAACAGCCAGCCGAGATGCACTGCTATTGCAATAGGATCAGAGTCGTCTGTATACACATCCGTACCCCAAATACGACGTTCATCCAATGCATCCAAATCCGTCAGAGCTAATCCATTAGTCTTGCCTCTAACATGTCGTACTTTTGGTGCTAGTTCTACAGTGTCTCCATTCTTTTGTGGTAGGAGCTCTCGTACTGCCCAATTGTCACCCAACCAAGCACCCGGTACGTACATTTCAAAAACACCACCAATTTGGTGTGGGTAGAAATCTACAAGTTCAGCAGGTTGATAGACGTGACGGCCTATAGAAAAACGCGGAGTTTTTGATAAGACATCATGTACGCCATCCGAAGCAACCTTTAGTGAACCTTGAGCGTCATAAACGTCTAAGTCCTTATACACAAAGAGGGCTTCACGCTCACGATCGTGTGCGTTTTTGACTTTAGACGGCAGGCGCTCTCGCTCTTCGAGAACCTGTCTCTGTCTTTGTGGTTGATACTCAACATCTTCATCTTCTTCTTGGGCTGTTTCTTGAGAGAATTGTTGATTGTAATTATGAGTTGGATCTTGATAGAGTGGCTCTTCTCCTTGTAATGCCGGTGCTTGATCACGCTTGCGTTTGGATGTAGTTGAGCGCGAAAGACTGTCAGTGGTCTGCGACCGAGAAATATGAGCTTGCTGACGAGCGACGACTTCATCCATACTGCCGTACTCAGGTCGAGAGCGTGGTGCAGTGAATTGTTGAGCTTGTGCGGCATCATATTGGGGTTGTTGAAACAACGACGGCTGAGTATGTGGAAAAGGCGGAGGAGGGTTAGATTGGTTAGAATAGACAGGAGACTGTGATTGTGGTGGCAGTGGCTGATTGGAAATTGCGCCAGAAGACCACGGAACAGGTGACTGGGCATGACTCGCTGGGAGTGGTCTTTGAGGGTAGTTAGGAGAGTAATTAGGCTCATTCTGGAAATATTTAGGAGACTGAGAGTACGGATACGTCTGTGGAGGTTGATATGACGATTCGGAGAGAATAGCTTGTACACCCATCTTGTTGTTTTGAGCAGGGAATGGCATTGGGAGATCCCTGGACTGCTGGTTACCGCTTATGGGTGGAAGATGCGGCCTGTCGCTGCCTTGTATCGGTGGTAAGTTTATTGGTGGAAGCATCGTCGGTCTATTAAGCTCAAACTGCTTCGGAGGGATATTCTAAGTATCTTTTAGTATTTATCTTTAGGCATTTGCTGCGCTCACCATTCCCGTTAAAAAAACTCAAGATGAACGTACTGTTACTAGAATGAGATCAACGGCGTACTTTGTGAAATGCGCTCAAGAGGGTATAAATGAAACTGGTATTACAATACATGCGTTTATTACTTGTCTATGTTTAATATTCTGCTTTGCTGTGATTCGTATGAACTGATAGGCTCAACCGGTGAAAGCGATAGACGTGTTATATCAGGTGATTCAAGTCGTCTATGCGGGGGAGATGCAATGGCGGAGTTGATGTGGAATTCATCCGATCTAATTTCTTCATTATCTGAAGCTTCGGATGAAGATGAAGATATCGTTGGAAGTGATGGGGGTGCTGACAGTGGCGATGAGCTCGCTGATGTTGTTGCCAATGGTGCAAGTTGTGCTTTTTTGGTTTCCTTGTTACCAACCGCTTTGGCTGGGGCATGAGACGGTGTACTAGATTTCGACTGAATCCTCTTCAGATCTAATTTTACTAGTAATTGAGATTTGCGAACTCTTAACTTAGTAGGTTCATATTGCTTGTTTCGCTGATTAAGCCACTGTGATTCCTGTGCTTCCTGTGCTTGCCGTGCCTGCTTGAGTTGTTCAATTTGCTCGTATAGCAATTTCAGCTCCATTTCGCTTGCTTCCTCGGCCCTTTTTACTTCTTCTCTTGCTTTTGCGATTTCCGGAGGAGTAGCTGGTGGCGCCTGTTGAGGTGGAGGCTGTAGAAGATGCTGAGTTGCATTTGAATCATTTAAATTGGCGAGGCTTTCTATTTCCTGCTCTTCTTGCTTCACTTGCTCCTCTTGCTTCCTGTATGGATTTTTTATAATAATTTTGGATGGCTTCGACGCTGTATTCTCACGTCGTGTAGTATCTGCATTTAGAGATGCTCTTCTTTCCCGCCTAGCTAATCTCTCATCTTCTGCTTCCTCTGATTTTGTAGGTGGTTCGTCCTCTTCAGCTTCAACTAATGGCTGCGGCTCCCCGTGTGACGCCTGCTGTGCTTCTCTTTCTCTCGATACATTTCTGGGCCTGCCCTTTTTACGCCTCTTCTGCACTACTGGTTGTTCTTCGAGTATTCTGTCTACTTCGTCTTCAGTCTCTATTGTCTCATCTACTTTGTTGGTGTTATCACGATCAAATTGTCCACTATTTGATAAATTGTTTAACTTCCTTTTAGATCCATTGTAGTTATTGTAAATATCATTGTAGCCATCATTACCGACATTCCTTGGGCTTAAGAGGAAGGCGTTTTTCTTGTTGCAATGAGTTTTACATAGATATGTATGCTTCACTCACATTATTTGGACTGTGACCCTTTTTGGTTTCATAAGTGAGGAAACCATCAGCTTTTTTGTTCATGGTTATGCAACATTCCAACGCGCACTTATCAATAAGCTTAAAGTACATCTGACAGCTTTTCAGCACCGCGTTAAAAGACTTTTCAACGATTGAGTCGCTCTTGCCTGAACTCGTGTGCTTTTTAATGATGCCATCGTTTAGAAGCTCTAAACGCAAATATTCCCGCAGCTGTATCCAATAAGACGGGTGATAGGACGATTAGGTATGACACACCATGTTCTTATTTACTCTTATAGCGTTTCCACTTCTGCATACGTCGATTCCAGAATTCCGGCAATTGAAATAGTCAAAGAGCCGAGGCAGAAATGTAGAAGGCGCCTTGTATATATCTATGATGCTACTCATACTACATTTATTGGACTTCGTGTTGGGTGGTGGTCTCTGCGATCCTGATCCCATCGAGCTTGATTGCGTGTGGTCAAGAGGGCTAACAAGACACAGAACAGATGGCTTAGTTGTAATACATGGGATTGTAATTTTAGTTATTTCATACTGTAATTTACTCTTAGTTTGGGCAATTCATCTTCCAACTAACATATAGCAGTATAGGTGTTGCAGTCGTGGTTTGAATACTGAGTAGAGAGCGAGATGCGTGTGGGTACTTCTCAATCAAACTCCACTTTAAACGGCTTACCATAACTTTATTTTGGACATGACTTCATTTTGGGAAGTAGGCGACGCTGCAAGCCAGTAGATGTTAAATAGGATGAAATTACGGATTATCACATGCTTGTATGCAGCTGTTGTTACAATTAACAGGTATCTGCTACTAATCCGGAGTTTGAGGAGCTGTAGCAGACCACGGTGATGCAGATGGACTTTGAGCATTGTAGAAGAAGTACCTTTGGGATTATGGTGGAGTGATTAGGCACGGGAAATGCACCTAGGCTATTGATCACCAAAAGAAAGGATATTGATGATGATTATGATGAAAACTGATTATCTTGTTAAGACGATAGATGTTTAAAGTGTGTGGGTCAATACTTAATAGAGGATGAGGAGTTGGAGGGGGTGCTGAATTTAGTGGAAGCGAGAAAGGAAAAGGAGTATAGTTAACATTTTCAGGTTGAGGGATGATTAGTGCTTGGTACGGTAATGATAGTTGCGAATGGGTTGGTAGTCAGTGACAGTTTGGCCGAGTGGTTAAGGCGATAGATTGCTATCTTTGGATTAACCTTCTATTGCGCATTGCGTTCATGAGTTCGAATCTCATAGCTGTCGGATATTTTTGCACTTTATTTTTTGGCCGAAAACCCTATCAAAGGGATTTGATCTCTGATTTAATGAGCTGACTTTGAATGGAGTGCACAAATAATAAGACATTTCTAATTTGTAGTGTGTTGCTCTCCTTCTGAGCTCGCGATATCCATCCACATCTCATCAAATATGCTAGCACGAAGGCACACCCGAATGCAAATTGAGACGTAGTCGCGTACAAATATCATTACTGAGACTCAAAAGTGGGTTGTATGCAAAGCGTTAATAAAACGTCTGCAGGAAGTGATACACAGGGAGCATTACCATGAGGAGTGAAATAGGAAGAGAAAGCAAGACACAAAATGGACTGCTCCTGCTCACAACAAGAACACTGTGATATCTATAATTCAATCAATATCACCCCCATTTATCACGCCGTCAATGTCGCATTGCTGACCGAGGAATGTGCTATTTTGGATCAATTACATTAACGCGGTTATTAAATTGAGTGATGTGCGATAGGCCTTCTACAGCAACACAAATTACGTACTACATACTACATACCACATACCACCGTCGCGTGAGGATACCCCGTCGATCATTATCCAAGGTGCGTGAAGTGGGTGTACGAGGCGTCTACGCGTGGTGGATTATATGCTCACCGCATTCACCACTCACCAATATAAAAATACTCTATTTACACCGCAATCCGCACTCCGCCCGCCTATTACACAATCATAAATCATCTGCCGACGTCCGAGCATTCAGATGACGTGGGGTGAGGCACGATCAGCCGTACACGGAACAAGCTGAAATGTGGTATTTGCGAGGGGAAAGGGTGTATGGTGAGTGATGAGTGCTGTTCTCGTGGGGTAGATTGAGCTGGCTGAGCAGACTCTACAACTGGCTCATACAAACATCGGCTATTTAAAATAAAGCGATTGAATACACGTACGTATAATGATCGCGCACGTAAATACATCCACGTACGTAAATAACTCAGCACAAACGGATAAAAATAAAATGGGCTTAGTGATAGTTACAAGTTACGGAATCAGTCTGCGCCCTGAATCAGTAACGCTGGGCGTGGAACTGAGGAGGGCGTGCTGGGCGATCGCGTGATGTGAGCAGAAATTGTATAAAGGGTGTAGAGGAGGTTAGGTGTGAATAAGCTGGCTGTTGATATCAGCGTTAGCAGCATCTGTACTCTATACACGCTGCGTCTTGCGGAGAAAGTCCGCAGATTTGCTGTGTCTGCTGAGGTAAGCAGGGGTAAGCAGGGAAAGAGGGGAATAGGAATTTAGACATTCTTTAGATGCATACACCACGTTCATATGTCACCCATGCGTGTGTGACAATTATTCCGAAAACTTCTTCCATTGAGATTCGATTCGCTTAGCAACAGAAAATACCGGAATAGAAAGGGGAGCGGTTGGTGGTGTTACTGATATAGATGGAAACCTATACCGATACGCCTTCCACCATCGAAATCCGCCAAGATTGACATTCCTGATGACAGAGGACGGGGACCAGTGACCGAGGCTGGTAATCTAATTTCCTAATCAATTAACTCCGAAGAGCGCCTTAGAAATAGACCATCATGTTGGGGTTAGTGGAGAGTAAAGCGGGAGCTACAGCGTCAACACCAGCACCAGCACCGGCACCAGCACCGGCCCAGCCACAGAAGTTCAGTTTCCCAGCCTCGATATTGAATGAAGGGGGAGTGGGTGTGGATGTAGTGGAGAAGCAAACACAGCAGCCACGGCCAATGCCACAGCCACAGCCACAGCCACAACAGCCACAACAGCCACAGCAGCAGCCACACATACAACACCTCCAACCACCCACACCAGAACAATCCAAGCAGCCAATCAGCAGAGTGACCCGGGCATGTGACAGATGCACGCACAAGAAATTGCGCTGCGATGGAAACATAGTACCCGATCTGAATGGTCACCCGCCCACGGTGACCAAGGCGTGTTCGCGCTGCGTGAACGCTCACGTCGGGTGCGAGTACACGCGTGTCCAGAAACGCAGAGGACCAAGTCCAGGGTGTGTTTGAATGTTTTCGTACGTCGGAGTTTAATTGGCTGACTGAGACAGATTCAAAAGACGCAAGTTGTCGAATGAGAGTGCTGGAAGTGGGAAGAGTATGCATTCCCCGGCTTCATCTATCGATAGCCAGAGAGATGGTCACAGCTTGTCGCAGGATAGTGTGAAAATTAGTACAGGTGGTATACCAGCAGTAGCAGCGTCTAGAGTAACATCAACGAATACATCCCCACCAGTACACAAACCAGTACATTCACCTTCCCCTCTCAAAACTATTCCCACTTCTTCAGTATCTTCTTTTATCGGTCAGCAGTACACACCGGTACACGGCCACATAAACACACATACACACACTCACACACAATCACAACCCCCAGCATCATCTACTCCCCCGGCATTTAGATTGCCGTCGATCAGCAACTGGTTTGAAGGCACCGTGCAGCGCTAGACGTACGCGGTAGACACGATCAACTATTTATTGTGAAAGAAACATGCATCCATTGTACCCTTATTTCTTATAATTAAACTTTCTTACTTTTTAGACTTGTTCACCTTGGCTTTAGGGACATCTTTGCAGAATGGGATGAATTCCCTGTCATCCATGTACCTGCGCAGGGCAGGAGGGACAACAAGGCCATCTTCAGTTTGCCAATTCTCCACAAGACAGCACATGGCTCTCTCAGTCGCGCACATGGTCCCGTTAAGCATGTGTACGTAAGTTTTGTTGGTCTCGCCCTGTTTCTTGATCCCGTGTCTCACTTCCAAGCTCCTCGACTGGTAGTCAGTGCAGTTGGAAGTGCTGACAAGTTCCTTCCATTCGCCGAGATACGGAAACCACGCCTCGAGGTCATATTTCTGAGCGGCGGCGTTGTTGAGGGCTCCAGAGACAATGTTTACGAGTCTGTAAGGAATGCCTAAGGACTGGTAGAACTCCTCACTATTCTCGACCATCTCGTTGAACACGTCCCAAGATGTTTCAGGGGAGGTAACGCAGAACTGCTCTATCTTCTCGAACTGGTGAACGCGGAAAATCCCCCAGGTATCCTTGCCATGTTTTCCCGCCTCTTTGCGGAAGCAAGTGGAGTATCCAGCGAGTCTAATTGGCAGCTGCTCTTTTGGTGACTCGAACCACTCGTTTGCAAACATAGCGCTGATCGGCTGCTCGGAAGTGGCGATGAGATACTTGTCATCCTCTCCGCCATCGTCGATCTTGTACAACTCCTCATCGAACTGCTCGAGCTGGGCTGTCCTGCTCATCATGTCCTTGCGCATCATGAAAGGCGTCATAACCTTGCGGTACTGGCGCTTGCGAAGGAAATCGAGGCCATAAGAAATGAGTGCAAGGTTGAGATCAACAGCTGTGTCCTGAAGGAAGTACCCGCGGTGACCAGCTATTTTCTGACCGCGTTCGAGATCGAATCCGTCAAGACGCATGAGTACTTCGTGGTGAGGTAGTGCACCTGCTTTCTTCTCCACCGCAGCATTGGGACCGTGTGGGTGCCATGTGCGAACGACAACGTTGTGCTCTTCGTCGTCGTGGATGGGCACAGCTGGACCAACTATATTGCCAATCTGTACAGCTTTGCTTTTCATATGCTGCTCGGCTGCCGCTGTCTGCTGCTTCAATGTGGGTACACGCCCATCTAGCTCTTTCTTCAGGGCTAGCTCATCGTCTGCACTCTCCTTGACCTTCTTCTTGGCCGTTATGGCTTTCTGAGTACTGTTTATCTGCTGGTTGAGCTGCTGCGACTCGAAATTGAGCGCGTTCCACGTTGCATATAGCCCTAAAACCTCATCCACCAGCTCCACACTGTCGTAGCGTTTCCTCTGCGATTCGCGGACTTGCTCTGGATTTCCGCCTGTGGTGGGTGCGTGTGTCAGTTGCGTCGTTGCTTCCTTCAACGCCTCTCTCACCTTTGGCTTCCTGCAGTAAAACTAAATCGATCATCCTCTCCTGAAGGCGTTTGGGAAGCGAGAAGATGTTGACACGCAGGTGAGCGCAAACAAATGTCAAACGAAAAAACAACTACATCTACGAGTACAACAGTGCAATCTATTTTATTCTATTTTACTATATACACACTACACCGCCCGCGGAAACGCGCTGTTGTCGCTCTTGGCCAAGACGAGCGTGCGCGAGCTATGCTGGATGCTAGCGCCGACGAGGCCCTGATCGATGAGAGATACGACGACAGCCTCCGCGTCGTCCACGTCGAGGGTGTACGGTTCGTCTGGATGAGCGATCTGGAGGGTTCTGAGGAACACGGCAAGGGGAATAATCGGAGTGGCTGTTCCTTTCAGCTGCATGTAAAGCCTGAGTGTGCGCCGTAGCAGAGCTGTGTGTGCAACGCACTCCACCTTCTCCCGCACCATGGTATATACACCCATCTTGATCAAGAAGGAGCGCACATCTGGGCGGTTGAGCGCAGCATACAGACGACGCACGTCGCCCTTGCGCGTGTGCGCGAACAGCTGCGCGAACGGCCACTCGAGCTCGTTGCGCTGGAGGAGGGTGTACGTGGGGCATCTGCGCTGGATGAGAGCAGTGACCAGCCAATACGCGGCGATGCGACGTCTGTTTGAAACAGAGCGAGCGTGTGAGTGTGTCTGTGCAGAACTAAGACACCCCCTGTATGCCGCTTCGAGGTGGGTGAACGCAGCGCCCACCTTCCACTCGGCGAGGAGAGAGCGAGCGCGCCAATAGCGGTAAGTGGTGACATCAGCGCGGGAATAGTTGGAATTGAGAGCATGTGCGCCGTCCACCTCCAATGGAATAACCGCTTTGAGGGCCGTAGGGAGGGAATGGAGTCTGTGCAGCTTGAAATAGGTCCACGCGAGCATGTTGGTGATGTGTACGAGGAGTGTGCGTCGCTGTGCTATGTTCACATTCGTCACTGCTAGCGCACGACTGAGCTGACTCGCCGCTTGGCTCGCCGCTGCGTGGCTGGTGCGCACTGCCAGTCTCGGGAGGAACGTCGTGAGGAGGCGGAGAGCAGGGGTGGTTTGTGTACTGCCGGCGCTGGTGCACTGGATAAAGAGAGTCGTTAGCGTCGTGTAGCACCGCGCTGTGGCTGGCCAAGTCTGCGCGGGGTGGGAGTGTAGGAGGGCCATGTAGGCGTCGACGAAGGCTTCCCAATCACGGTTGCCGGAGTGGGGGGTATTGTGGAGTACGCTCTCAGTGAGGCTGCGAGTGTCGTGTGCGTTGTGTGCGTTGTGTGCGTTGTGTTCCTCGTGTGCCGCATCACCACCAAGAGCATGAAAAGGCAGCCAAAGAGTGATGGAAGCACCGGCTATCAAATCCAAATGGAAATTATGTAAATGCGCCTCTAATCCAGATTTTATAATTTGCATCGTCGTCGCTGGAATACACGAGCCATCTCCATCTCCGACAACCAACAACGATGCCACCAAGAAGCTCACGGAAAGGGAAGAAAGAATGGCGCAAGAATGCGAATACTGGAGGAGTTGATGATGCGCTAAACGCAGCGAGAGATGAAGCTGTTGTCTACGGCAGTGCACTTGAGAATAAGCCCGATGATTCTCTATTTGCGGTGGATTTGCAAGGCGATGCAGAGACCACTAAGCGCATGAAAAAGGAGAAATCAGCCAAACCACTCAAATCTCTCAGCATTCTTCAACACCGCTCTGCCGTGCCTGCGCCTGCACTCAAACAACACACACGCACAATCAGCAAAGCAGACAAAGACAGACTCAACACAATCACAAAGAAGAAAGTAAGTGGTCCACTCGGTGCAACTTTTGCCAGCCAGCAGGGTGACAGTATAGCCACGCACGGCTTAACGAAAGCTGCGAAAGAGGCTGGTCAATATGACCTCTGGGATGATGCTGTGGCCGATAAGAACGAGGACATGAAGAAGGTCGACGCGGCTGAGGGATTTGAAGTGGTCGATTTGAATAGAAAACCATCAGTGAGGTTACCCAGTCATCCACACTACCACACCGGTGTTGAACCAGTCGAAAAACCTCATGCGGGTCAGAGCTACAACCCTGACAGCAAGAGCCACGAAGAACTCCTCCGGTTGGCTTACGAGAGAGAGCAGCTGCGTAAACTTAAAGCTGACAAGAATGCTGCTGTACGCAGACGATACGCACAGAGCAAGAATGTTGGTGGAATGGAATTGGATGTGCCAGAGAGTGGTGACGAAGAGGAGGAAAGTGAGGAGGGTGAGGAGAGTGACCCGAGTGAGGAGGGTGATGACAATTTGCAAGACGACAAGGAAGAAGCAGAAGATGACGATGATGACAAAGACACCTCCTCAGCCACCATCCGCGACAAAATGCGTATCGCCGATCTCCGTGAAGCAAAGCGTCGTCGCAAGGCATCTCTCCAGCTCAAGAAAGACAAGGTGGAGCGTGAGCGTACAGCGTTCCTGAAAGCGCAAAAGCACGACATCTACCAAGCCACTGGAATATCCAAATCACTGGTAAAGAAACTGCGAAAACAACAGGAGAAAGCTGAGGAGAGAAAGTTGGCAGCCGCAGTGAAGGCAAGTGGAGCAGGTGGATTTGAGGGACGTAAAATAGGTCGTCATGTTGTGCCTTCTCAGGAAGTGGATGTCACTCTTGGTGAAGATCTCAGCGAATCTCTTAGAGGTGTTAAGAGCGAGGGTAATCTCTTCAGAGATCGCTTCATGTCGTTACAGAAACGCGCCTTGGTCGAGCCTAGACAGCCTGTCTCGTGGGTTTTGCTGTTTCCTGTCTCGCTTCTCGCTAACATCACACCCAGCGCTAAACGTAAATACAAACTCAAGGAGTACGAGACGCCAGCATTTAGATTCTGGGAAAAGAGGTAGGAATGGGATTATGAGTATGATTATGCGTGCGATTGTGCGTATGAGTAGATATTTATTTATACATTTCATTGGTTCATGATGCAAGTTGGTATGAAATACATGGGGGATGCAACGTGGCGATAAAAGACGCATCCACGTACCTACTTAGTCTCAACGTCCATCTCCGTACGATCAACGTCATCGAGTTCATCTGAATTGCGGCGTTGCAAGTTAACTTTATGTGAGCCAGCAGGGCGTTCGCCCAGGACCAAATTAGCATCAGACAGTTTGATACGAAGGAGTAACTGAGCAGTGGATTTATAGTTGAGTTCACTCAACGTGACAGCCCTATCGATGAGACTATGACGCTTATCCAGCTGCGGTCTGTGGAAGACCCTACCAACGGCGTCATAGCGCAAGTTGAGATGGGCTGACTTGATAAGACTGAGTGTATGAGTGAATATCTGCTCATCGCCAAACGCCTCCACCAAACTATCGAGCGTGATGGAGTTGTATGAGTGGAAAAACTGCACTATGCAGCGTCGGTATATAACCTCCACCATGGCGGTGTACTGATGGTGTAAGTGCGGGTCGAGGAGGTACCACCACTTGTTTTCTTCCAGAGTGACGAAGAGTTGCTTGTAGTTTGACGACACGTATTGCTCGAGGAGTAACTTGGTATGAGGTGCATATTCAAACTTACTCCTCAAAGCTTCGTTGTTTAGAATAGCAGATTTTATGTCGTGTCTTGATTGCGTCGTGAGTGCACACAGTGTGAGGTATATCGATATGTCTGAGGGAGTAACGAGTGGGTGAGTGGAAATTGGAGAGAGCTTAGTGAGTGACTCGACAACTGCCGCGTAGTTTGATTGCCCAAGATCAGCTATCGCGGTTGAGATGAGTAACGCGTCGTGACTAACATCGACATTGTTCAAGGCAATAGAGTTGATCTTGATGACTGAGTTCTTGATAAGCGAGTAATTGCGCAGCTCAATAGCCATATTAATTATATGGTTGTGCGTCTCAATCAGCTGAGGAGAAGAGCTGATGTGGTCTCGAGACTGTAAGTAACAGTTCAAACTGTGTTCGGGGTTATTCAGTGAGTAGTAAATATCAGCCAAGGAATAGTAAGACATCTGCGACGCGTCAGATATAAATTACGCTCAAAGGAACATCCCACTAACCCTAATGCTCTCTTTGAGGTTGTTGTTGAGATAGGATTTCAGTTGGAATTGGGTTGAGTGGAGCTGGTCGTTGAGGTGTGTTTGCTGGTGTTGAGTGTGTTCTGACTGTTTGGTGTTCTGTGCATAATGCGTATTATATAGTCCAATAACCTGGGCATCGTGTGGTGGATTGATTGGGTTATCTATCAGCCACTCTAATACATTTTTGAAGAAAGGGCTAGTAATTTCAAGTATGAATTTAATTTTATAAGCTCCTTGATTTTTCAAGTACTCGTCTATCCAATTTGAAGCATTCATTGTGATTGAATAGGAACATCGATGGACGCTGCCAAATTGAACGATAAATTTGAATTTCTGCTTAATTTAATTCCAACGCAGTTCTACTTTAGTCAGGAAGCTGCTACTGTGAATAAGAAGTATTTCAAGCAATCCTCCAACAAGAACAAGCTACAGGCCAAGTTGGCTAGGGTGGAAGAGGCTGCACCCAGAGCACAGGATATCGATGACAGTGCCAGCTTGCAAGACCTGGCTACTGATTCCACGACCCAGTCACCACTCCCACTCCCACTGCCATCACAATCCACTCACTCCCAGCTCAAATCGAAACTCACCAACAAACTCACTCAATTCGAGCATAAAAGGAATGTCGACCACTCGCTCTCCTCCAAGGAGTCGTTGCTTGAAAACAGGAGACAGCGCAACTTGAAAAAGGACAAGAAGGAGAAGAAGTCTGATGTGAAACAGTTGAAGCAGGCGCAGCAAACGCAACAGCCGCAAAAGGGCGATGAAGAAGACGACAAGAGCTCATCCTCGTTGCAATTCTCCTCTTTGCAGAATATCAACAAGTCTCCTAAACAGCCTAAGCAGCCGTCAAACCCCAAGCAGGCATTGCAGAAACTCGAGGCGGCCAAGCAGAAGAACACGGAGCTTGACGCTGATACTAAAGCAGCCAAAGAGGATGACTCGCTTTGGAAATCAGCCTCGGCGAAAGCCCAAGGAGTTAAACTTAACGACGACGAGGCAAAGCTGAAGAAACAAATCAAGAGAAACACTAAGCAGAAAGCTAAGTCAGCTACTAATTGGAACGACCGCAAGAAGAATCTCGAGAAGAGTATGGCTACCGCGCACAAGAAGAGGTCTGATAACATCGCAAATCGCAAATCTGCTGGCAAGTCTGGTAAAGGGGGCAAGTCTGGTGACAAGAAAGGCGGTGCTAAGAGAGCTGGGTTCGAAGGCAAGATTAGCAACAAGAAGAAAACGGGTGGTGGTGCTTCCAAGAGCAAGTGAGATAACATTAACTTATATATTACAATATACACTTTTTCATTCTACATACTATATTAGACACCTGTACGTATAACAACTCTTTTCTGGGAAGCAAAGCGGACGACTTCCTTTTTGTCGAGGATGAAGAGTGTCCGTTCGAGTGCATGCTGAGAGAATCCCTGCTGACTGCAGAACTCTCTAACGAGAGTGCTATAACTGGTAGACCATCCAATGGGCAGACGTCTGCGTACCTCCTTCTCAATTTTGTGCACTTCATCCATAAGCTCACCTCTAGTCATACCCTCGACATTGCCCGCCGAGACAGCATCCATAGTGGAGAACTTGAAGAGACGTATAGCCTCCTCAACGTCATGTTCGTGCACTTGCACACTAAGGCGCATTTTAGCGAGCGATTCACTGATGCGTATGATTGCTTCGAGCTGCCGCACGGTGATGGGGATACTCGACCTCTCGTCATTATCCCTCTCTACCTGCTGGACCTCCTTGCGCAATGCGACGAAATGGGACGACAGCTTCTCGCTCGCCTCGTTAGATAGCCGAGGTGCACAGCGTTGCTTGCAGAACATAACATAGCGTTTCATCTTGTCGAGGTCGATCTCCCCGCCTGTACTACCCTCCCCCTCATTCTGACGGCCAGCATGCAGATTCATCACGTGCTTTGCTATTGTCCGGTCGCGCCCCTCGTCGTGTTCGTCCTTAACTATAAAGATCATGTCAAAGCGGGAGAGGATGGTAGTCTGGAAGTCTATATTCTGGGGGATGGGGTGTGTTAGAAGGGCTGTTTCGCAGCTAACTAGCTCAGCTATCAACTCACCTCTCCAGGCGACTTCATATCGTCGTAGCGGCCGAAGATGGGGTTCGCTGCCGCGAGTACGCTTGTGCGCGAGTTAAGAATGGTCGTAATACCCGCCTTAGCGATAGAGATAGTCTGCTGCTCCATAGCTTCGTGGATCGCCACTCTGTCCTCATCACGCATCTTGTCGAATTCATCAATACACACTACTCCACCATCAGCTAGCACCATAGCGCCGCCCTCGAGGTAGAAGTCGCGAGAGACTGAGTCGCGCTGCACTGAAGCAGTTAAACCTGCTGCCGAAGAACCCTTGCCGGAGGTGTATACGGCGATGGGTGACACCTTCTCGACGAATTTGAGTAGCTGCGATTTGGCCGTTCCTGGATCACCCAGGAGAAGCACATTGATGTCGCCCCTCAACCGCATCCCGTCGGGCAGTATCTTTTTGCTGCCACCGAAGAGTAGTGCGGCGATAGCTTTTTTTATGTCGAGATTGCCGTAGATTGACGGGGCTATCGACGCGGCGAAACGCTCGTACAGATTGGGGAAGTGAGAGAGAGCGGCAAATTCCTCCTCTTCCTCAGGTGCGAACGCCTTGCCGCGTCCACCTGACGCTGTCGTGGCGTGCGCATCGTCTATCTCCAGCCCCACGACGCGGATGTAGGGCTGACGCAGTGCAGGTGCCTGCCCTTTCATCTTACTTGCTTGGAAGGTGGAGTAGATGCCGGTGGCGATTATTTTAGAGCCTGGGATGACCTTAGCGGTGAGATAGCGGTCGAGATTGAGGAGAAGGTGGCGGGGGAGTTCACCGACAGGGACCATATCGGGGCTTTCCTGTAATTTGACAGTCTGCTGGTCGATATAACGACACTTGTCATGGATGATGGTGTAGGGATCCATGGGACATTCCTTGGGCTGGCCTGGTGGAGACTCACTGTCGCATTGGCGAGGGAGGTTGATAGCACCCCAACCGCCGCTGACGTCGAGGTTCTTGGTGCTCCTGCAACTACGACACATGATATGAAGCGATATAGCCCTGCTGGAGAGTGTGGATGCAGATATGACGATGCCGGGTATGCGGACAAGTTTTGCGACCGTGTCGGCGTTGAGTTGGCGGAAGTGGACCAAATTGGACTGAGATTTGAGAGAGATTTGGATTGTGGGTAGGGTAGAGGTGTGTGCGCTGAGTGGATCGACCAAACCACTAGCAATACGCGTCGTTGCAGATTCGAGAATCGGGAGCAATTCGCTGGGTTTTTGGGAGAGGAGATAGCCGAGGTCTTCGTTGTAAAGAAGGAGGTGGTTTATACTAATTTCAAGGGAATACTGCTTGGCTAGAAGCGTGGACCTGAGATGATCCCTGTAGATGAAGCTATCGCCGATGCGGAAGTTGTTGATAAACGCGGTAAACTCCTTCTCGAGATGGCTGGGTGCCTTTTCAGACGCGTTCTGATCTCCGGGGAGAACAGCGGTGGAGTAGATGGCACCTTTATCAAAGCCAGACATGGTGGTTCGAGATGAAGGGATATTTCAATGAAAATTGGAGCTACAAGCGTAGAAATCTTTGGAGAATAGATTTGTGTATTGGTTTGCCGTCGACGGCGTCTAAAACCTTCGAATAGTGTGCCGGTGAAGATGCGGGCTTTGTTATCCTATCTGAGAGCGGGAACTGGAGGGGAAATTAGAGATGGGAATTAAAATGTAAAATACTTACAGATTTCATATGCTCATCTCTCACCAACGCCTCCAACGCCACAACACTTCTCCCAGCTAGTTGAGCGTGTCTTCCCCGCTTATCGTGGATATTCTCGATTAAATTCTTGAATTGGAGCTTTGGCCTGAGCTTTGCAAATGGCCATTGATTGGCCAGGTAGAGCAGCTTGGACATTCTCCTCTTAGTTATGGACCACCATGATCAACACCCGCCAAACACCCAAGATACCTTCAAAATTTTATTATGCACCGATCTCCACATCGGCGTACACGAGCGTGATCCCGTTAGAGGCGCTGATTCGATCAACACGCTCAGAGAAATACTCGATCTTAGTGTTCAGAATGACGTAGACTTTATCCTCTGCGCTGGAGATCTATTCCACGAGCATAAGCCATCGACTCAGTCTGTGATATCTGTAATGTCCCTGCTGAGGGAATACTGCCTCAACGATCGCCCTGTGTCCATTCAGCTCCTCAGCGATCCATACGACCAGCGCCGACCTGACATCACGTACCCATCCATCAACTACGAAGACTCAAACTTGAACGTTGGTCTCCCCTTCTTTCTCATCCACGGCAACCACGACGACCCGCAGACTGTCCCTAACTGGCCCAGTGGTGCTCCCAGCTTGAGTGCTGTTGACCACCTCAGCACTGCTGGTTTAGTCAACTACTTTGGCAAAGTCGATGTTCCAGCCACAGACGAAGCTCCTGACGATGGCTTAGATGATGAGCGAGCCATCAACGTAAAACCTATCCTCCTCCAAAAAGGCACGACCAAGACGGCCCTTTTCGGCATCGGCAACATCCGCGACCAGCGATTCAATCAGGAGCTCAAGAATGGCAGGGTGAACATGTACGCGCCACTGGAAGATGCGGACGACTACTTCAACATACTTCTCATACACCAAAACCGCATCAACAGGGGAGCGATGCAAGCAGTACCCGAGCATCTCTTCGATGACTCGATCAGTTTGGTAGTATGGGGACACGAGCATGACTGTCGGATAGTGCCTGAAACAGTCTCCGAGAAACCCTACCGCATAACCCAACCTGGTTCATCTGTCGCGACGAGTTTGAGTGAAGGTGAAGCTGTACCTAAGCACGTTGGTCTGCTCGAAATACACGGCAAAGAATACAACCTCACTCCGCTGCCTCTTAAAACCGTGCGACCGTTCGTGATGCAAGATGTTTGTTTGCGCGAGGTGCAAGAAGAGCGTGGTGTGCAGCTGGCGGGGAAGTTGGAGGTGAACAAGTATCTACGTCACACTATAACCGAGTTGATTGAACGCGCTTATGAGGAACATGCGGAGAAAATGTCCATATCGCTGCATAACCTTGACAGAGACTCCCTTCCACTCCCCCTCATTCGCTTGCGCGTAGACTACACGGGTTTCGAAATAGGGAATCCGCAGCGCCTGGGTATGGAGTTCGGTGAACGCGTAGCTAATCCGAAGGACATTGTGCATTTTACACGCAAGAGACAGCAGCGCAAGGCGGCAGTGGTAGCCGATGAGCCAGGCCAACTGGATCTGGATGTACATGGAGGTGAAAATGAGAATGAAGATGATGAAGACGACGGCTCACGCTCCGGCAAACTTAAACTGCGTGTAGAGTCACTCGTCAACTCCTTCCTTGCAGCCCAGCACCTCCAGCTGCTCCATGAGGACGGTCTGCAGAGATCTGTCGAGGCGTTTGTGGAGAAGGGCGATAACCACGCTATTGCTGATAGCGTGGAGAGGATGGTCGAACATGCTGTCGAGTTCTTGAGCAGACAGTCCATCGCTGATGTGGAAGATGACGATGATATCGAGAAGGCAAAGGCGTATACGAGAGATAAGTATAGAGGAGCACATACGCGTGATGAGACGGATGAGGCGGGTGAAAGGGGCTTAACGCATGCAACGGCTGATAGCATGCATGAGGATGGCGGGGATAGCGAGGTAGACGTCGCGCCTGCGCCTGCGCCAACAAGAGGCAGAGGCAGAGGGAGGAGTAGGGGAGCAGCAAGAGGGAAAAGCACTGCCACTAGCACTGGTAGAGGCAGAGGCAGAAGCAATGTTACAAGTAAAGACACGCACATGAGGAAGAAACGCGGCGAGGAAGTGGAAGAAGAGGATGAACACGATGAACATGATGAAGCTCTCTTTCATTCAAGTGATGATTCAGTACAGCTGACGCAGCCATCGAGATCTAAAAAATCCTCGGCACGTGCTGAGGTGTTGAGCAGAGGCACGAGCAACTCCACGGCCACGGGTCAATCTACCTCGCACGTCCCCCAGCGCAGAAGACGTACGCAGGAGGTGAGTGCAGTTGGTGTTGACTTTTTATTTTCTAACTTGCGTGTCGTAGTTTTACGATGTATCTTCTGAGGAGGAAGATAGGTCGACAAATAGACGCAGATATTAGGATACACAAGCACACAAAAAGATACCATGACAGCCACACAAGCATAAAAGAAGAAATGCATTATTTATTTATCTGAGCATTGATACTCATTCTAATAGCATCAATAGCCTGTTTCACATTCTGAGCACCAAAGACAGCAGTACCCGCCACAGCGACATTAGCTCCATTTCTAGTGCACTCATCGATAGTAGCGGGACCAACGCCGCCATCGACTTGTAAATCGAGGTGAGTATACTTATGACGCAACTCGTTTAGCTTTGGCATTTGATCCTGCATGAACTTCTGACCGCCTTTTCCTGGCCACACGGTCATAACAAGAACCATATCGAGTTGTTTGATGAGATCATCTGAGAGGGAGTTGGCTGGAGTAGATGGGTTGAGGGCTATAGCAGCGCGCATTCCGTGCTTTTTAATTTCACGCACAACGCCCATGTGGTCATCAGTAGCCTCGTAGTGGAACGTGTATTGATAACCACCAGCTTGAGCTACAGGCTCGACCCACTGGATTGGATTAGCTACCATCATATGGCAATCCATTTTAATATGTGGGAGTGCCTTCTTAACTGAAGCCAGGATCGGTGGACCTGTGACGTCATTAGAAGAATTTGACGGCTTTAACGAGGATAACCCACCCATTGTAATATTAGGCACGAAATGGCCATCCATTACATCCATATGCAGCCAATCAGCGCCGTCATCGAGTACACGCTGACATTCGCTGGCTAATTGACTGAAATCTGACTAGACAGACAAGTTTAGGCGGGGAATACGAGTAGATAGACTAGAACAACTCACAGCCAACGCTGATGGGGCCACAATCGAAGACAAGTGATTGCAATTGCACATGGTGGTTGATATCTATAACACTCATGACCATCCCAGATATTAAATTTATAGTTCCAATTTTAATTCAACTGCGATTGATTTGTTTTCGTGATTCTAGGCTCATTTCGCTCGTACGTAAGCTACTCATCCTCCCCACTATATGGTTAGCACTATCCAACACCCACCGCGGTAACTTTGACGGCATTGGCCCAATTGGATTTGTTTGGGCTGTTACTCTGTTTGTTGGATGTTTAAAGTCTGTTGATTTGGGTTTTACACACCGTCATTCTATCCGTTATATTGGCACACACGGGCAGAGATCAGAGGAGAGTAAGCTAGACACCTCTACAGACCTTGGCTGGTCCGCTTTCTTTGACCTCCTCACTAATCTTCGCGGCGTTGGCTGGGCTTGGGGATACACATGGGATATCCGAGACATCCGAGGCATTTCTCAAGCACACTTCCTCAGGCACACCCTAACTGACATAGTAAAACACCACTTCCTTTCCACTTTCTCCGTCGCTCTGCTCGCACATGCGATGGACAACAATGACATTCTCTTTACCCAGAGCATATTCCTCAGCGACGTAGCGCAGACGCTCCTTCTTGGCGCAGCTGCCTGGTCTGGTCTCTCACTTGGCTATTCCCTAGTATCTCTACTAGTGTACACCTACTCCCGCATAACACACTCCCATTTTGACCCACTCCGCTGGCCACCGCTTCTGAATGACCCGCTCAAGATGCACAGTGTGCGCGACTTCTGGTCAAACAGATGGCACTCACTTTTCAAGCGACAGTTTCTACTGTGCGGATATACCCCTGTTGTAAAGGTGTGTAGGTGGGTGGGTATACGCGATGACATGGCTCGTCTACTCGGTGTGCAAGGCGCGTTTCTCGTTAGTGCACTTATGCATGAGTGGAGCATACGTAATGCACTCAATCACTCTATACACCCTGCAACCCTCCCCTCCATCGCCTTCTTCCAGGCTTCAGCTGCGGCTGTTGCATTGGAAACCACAATTCAACACCTCAGCGGACGTAGAGTTGGTGGCGCACTCGGTGCACTCTGGGCTTGGTCCTTTCTCCTCCTCACTGGCATACCCATGATGAGACATTGGCTGCACGGTGGTACACTGGGATACGTCGTTCCTCCTCAACTCTGGTCACTCAAGAGAATAGTCACTCCATTTGGTTTTTTGGCTCCCGCTGACAACCTGTAAAGTAATTTGACATAGATTCATGTAATTTGGAAATCAATTTACAAATAGGGTGATTAAAAATATGTTCTGATATAGCTCATTGATTGGAATCATTAGTGTGGGCCAGTTGCTGGTTTCTCCTTTTGCGTGATTTGTGCATCTCCTTCTTGAGTGCTTGGCTGTCTAGTGGTTTCAACAGCTCGAATGCGCAGAGCAAATCCTGAGAGACGGACATGATAGCACCAAAGTTATCAAACTCTCCGCAATAGTTTGGTGCGCTGAAGATGGTAACGAGAGTTCTGTCATTCCAGAATTCATAACCATCCTCAACGACCATGTGAGCTCTGCAAATGAGATCAAACTCGTATCGACTTAGAAAATCATTGATGACGCTCTTCCCAAAGCAGTAGCTCACACCTCGTTCATTCTCCTCCCAATCGAAAGCAGTATCGGATGGATCAGACCAGAGAAGATCATTAAGCAGACCATAATCGGGTACATCTAAAGGTCGCTGTATCCTTCTAATGTCATCCATGGTTGTGAGGTTGGGCGATAAACCACCATGGACGCAGAATATCTTGGAGGCTACCACTGCAGCTATTGGAAAGCTGTTGAAGACATCAACAAACTGTTTCCAGATTTTAACATTGGAGCGTCTCTTGCACTCATCGTAAAAGCCATAGACTCTAGTAACATTGGCGCACTCATGGTTACCACGGAGAAGGAAAAAGTTTTCAGGGTATTTTAGCTTGTAGCAGAGAAGAAGGAGGATAGTTTCGAGAGATTGCTTACCTCTGTCAACGTAGTCGCCGAGGAAGAGGTAATTGGATTGAGGGGGAAAACCAGACATATCGAATAGGCGAATGAGATCAGAGTACTGGCCGTGTACGTCGCCAACGATTTTTACGGGAGGGTTTAGTTCGATGAGTGTTGGCTGGTTGAGGAGGAGGTTTCGGCTGAGTTGGAGGAGCTGCGTGAGCTCTTCAGGCTTTATGGGGAGTGATTTGGAGTACTTTGCGCTGTAGCCAATGTTAAGAAGTCTCTGGATCATGTCGTCGATGTCGATGGATCCCGCGGTGGGGTCGTCTGGAGGATGGTGCGATTGGTGGGAGTTGTGCGATTGTTGTGACTGCTGTGACTGCTGTATTTGCTGCGACTGCTGCATTTCCTGCAACGAAGTACTCGGTCCATCCACGTGATGCAACGGCGGCGGCGGTGGAGAAGGCGGTCTCTTGTCAGGTGTATTGCTCCCCCCAGAATCCTTTGAGCTGAGTTTATTGAATAATGAATTTAGCCTATTAATTTTGAAGTATTCGACGTTGGCCGTAGAGAAGGTAGCACAGCTACCTCAGCTATCCTACAAACCACCATGATACTTAATAATTTCAAGCGTTTCCTTTCTTTTATAGAGGTTCTATTGTTTCTACCGCTGACCTTGAATATTTCAAACAAGCAGACCTTCTTGACGCTCTCGCTATTTCTGACTTGCTATTACACTCTGGTGTGCACACTCAGGCTGTTTAACAGCAGGTGGATCGGTGTGCTCACTGCCCTAATCAGCGCCATACAGCCACTCGTAATCCCCTTGCTCCTCCTCACCTCGTTCCACCTCCAGTCCCCGCCGTGCACCGCACTCTCCATCATCACCGACTCGTTTGAATCGATTCTACACGCCTCCTCACCCACCTTCTCTCTCCTCGAAGGCGCCTCCTCTCTCCTCTGCATACAAGCTGCTGGCCAATTCTCTCGCCTCCTCGTTCGCAGAAAAGGCGAAACCGGCGCTGTCTTCTTCTTAATCCTGTCTTCCATAATCTACGTCACCTCTGGCATATGGCTTATACACTCCTACCCCGCTGCGGCCTCCACTCCATTCTCCGCCTCTCTTATCGGCGCTGCTCTCGTCGCAACACTCGCTCTCTCCGCATTGGCTCTCACCGCCAGACGCGCGACCGTCATCGAGACCAGTCTAATGTTCGCCTACATTGCCTACTCCATCTGGCTATGCGCCGACGCCATCCAAGGTGCTTCCGGGTGGATTGGTTTCCAGTGGTCATTCGACAACCAGCGCTGGGTTATCCAGTCTCTCTCCAACGCCCTTGTATTCCTCAAGAATGCCCTGGGTGACACAATAGAATTCGTTGGTTTCGCTTTCGCTACTCTCCCCCCAACGCTCCTCGTATCGCTCATCTTCCGCACTAGTGTTCTCTATCTTGCCACAAAAATCATTCCCCTCATCCGCTCCTCCTCCTCTTCCCTCACTGACTCGTTCGAGAATGCCGCTGACCCCGACGCCGAGAAACGGCTACAGGACGACGAGCCGTCGACCTTCATCATGACCATCTTGGTGTCCTTCTCGAGACCTATCCTGATACTCGTATATACGCATCTCCTACGTGAGTTGGGTGTTTTGCTTTGCCCGACGCACTCTAACTTTTTCACAGTCCTCGATCAGGGCGCCCAGCTGTGGTGGAGATGGGCCAACGTCGCGTGGACACTCACACTCTGGGTAGTCGAAATCATCCTTAGCTCTGCGTATGCAGATGACGATGTGATTGTGAAAAGCTGGAAAATGGATTAAGTGAATGTGGTAAATGGGTCATTTTAATGGCGGTTATGGCGGTTAAGAGCGTGTCAATTACGCGTGCTTGAAAACACGCAACATAATATGCGATTCTGTGTATATACCCCATTAGTGCTATACTATATCATGCATCATGTCTACTAGTGTTGCTAGTGTGGCTATATTATATTATTATCATGTTATACACGCTCCTCCAACCAACTCGACACGAAAGAAACAGCGTAGTCATGCACATTTCTAATAAGCGGTGGCTCCTGCGTGCGATCCAACCAGCCATTCTCATCCCAGTGGTGTGTGCCTTTAGGAATCACAATGGAAGGCTCACCGATGCTATCGAGGCGATCAGCAGCTCGAGATGAATGCGCCGTCGCCTCTCTCCATGGATCTGCACTACCGTCGATAAATGCGAGGCGATGGGCGTGTGTTTGAAAATCACCCAACGAGTTCACTTCCTCTATATGCGGCCGGTGGGTAATATTGTAGTCGCGCAGGCAGTAGCTCGACGTCTGCTCTAGGGTGAGCCGCTTCGATACTAGTCTGTGTGCATAGGCCTCACGCGCTGTCACAGGAGGCGCTCCTTGGAAATACCCCCATTGCGTACATACTTGATACCCCCATGCGCGCATGCTCGATGGTGCACTGGCGTCGGCGTTGGTTGCATCCCTGTCTCTCACTTGGGCCGCTCGCAGCTGCGTTGCCACGTGCTTGTCTATCCAGCACGCATACTGTACGAGAGCGTAAGCCGCGTGGCCAAGTGGGAGTGAGGCTGAGGGTGGGCAAGTAGGAATGAGAGTGAAATTGGGAGTGAAAGTAAGCAGTCGTTTCACCAGTCCATCACCCGCAGTAGCGTTGCAGAACGACTGGAACTCATGTGCAGACACCTCCTCATCCCAGTTCTCACCCTGCACGAAAGCGAGGGGATATGTGATGGTATCGACAAAGTCCTCGTCGGACAGCCCGCTTAGACCGAAGAGACGTTTGAGTGCGTGTTTGGGGAGAGCCAAGGGAAGATCGAGGACAGCGTCGATGAGTTGTACGGCCTGACTGAGTGCATTAACGCAGCCACCATCCTGATGCAGCCGTATCATGTCGAAATACCGCCAGTAATCATCCTCTGCGTGCACAACAGCACTGCTGCCTATCCCACCAAAAAATACGTCAGGGTGAAGCGTGCGTAGGTGTGCGGCTCGTGCTCCCGCGTAGCTGCCCCCATAGACGATCCAGCGCGAGTGGTTCAATTGTGCGGTGTTCAAGCTGGCACTGTGAGGGTGGTACAGAGTATGAAAATCACGCGCAAATTTCACACTATCCTCTAATGACTGGTTGTAGGTTAGGTAGCGCAGAGTGTCTTGGGTGAAAATTTTGAAGGGGAGAGAATCACCATAGTAGCGGTGCTCGAGGACAATTGCAATACCATTGGTGGCTTGTGCAAGATGATTGACAATCCCGCGGTCGAGAGCGTCGAGTCGGGCTACCCCGTCTGTCTCACCTGCCTCGAGGAGGAAAATAGGAGGATTGGGGGCACCGTCGTAGTGGCGGCTGTTAACCCAGTAGCGCTGAGGAAAATCACGCGTGTCGGATTCGTTGTAGTGGTCTACGCGGTTGTGGAAGTGGTTGGCGGTGTATGCGGGGAAAGTGGTAATATCGATATCCAGGTTAAGATGGCTACGCAGAGTGCGTGGAGTGTATTGAATAGCCAATGAAAATCCCAGGAAACAAATAAATCCAACGACCGTGATTCTCATCTTGGTTGTTGTTCTTGAACCACCATCTGCTTATGTCCACACGCCAGCGACAAGATAAGGCAACTGCAGATAAGCATCGTGAGTTCGAGTTGCGCAAGCAATCTAATCTAATCTAATCCCCATCTCCCAGTCCACATCCTCCGCACACTCCTCAGAGATCCACACAACAGAAAGTGCGCTGACTGCTCCAACAAAGATCCACGCTGGGCAAGTTGGAATCTCGGTGTATTTGTCTGTATTCGCTGCTCAGGCGTACACCGCTCCATGGGAACACACATATCCCGCGTAAAGAGCGTTGATCTCGATATGTGGACGCCTGAGCAAATACAGTGCATGCTCAAGTGGGGCAACCGCCTTGCGAATATGTACTGGCAGGCTCATCTTAAACCTGGCCACGTCGTTCCAGATCACAGAATTGAGTCCTTCATTCGCTCTAAATACGACGGTAGAAAGTGGGCTCGCAATGGTCCCCTCCCTTCTGATCCCAGAATGCTAGAGACTGGCTCCGGTGGCACTTCAGCCAGCGTGAATAACCCTATCACTCAAATACAGAAGGGTGTCAGTGCGGGTAGCGCACCACGTAAAGCTCCCACCCAAGATCACTCTCAATCCTCCCTCATCGATATCGCACCTGCTCCCAAATCCCTGCCCAAAGTGCAGATCAACACGCGGCAGATTACTAAACCAGCTGGTAAAAGCGGTAAAAGCGGTGCTACTACTACCAATACTACTACCACTACTAGTACTACCACCACCGCTAATGATACAGCACCTCACAACGGCCTCCTTGATCTCGATATGACAGCAACATCTCCCACTAACACCGTTAAGAAGGCAAACAAGCAGGACATCATGTCCCTCTTCGCTAAACCTCCAAGTAATTCCAAACCTGTGCAGCCACAGACGAATGATATGAGCGATCCATTCTCCAGCCTCAACTTGGGTGCGGGTTCACGCTCACAACCTCAATCCACAACCCAAAGCCAGAGCTCTGACGCACTGAGTGCGTTGTGGGGCACGAACACGGCAAGCACTCTAACCAACACAGCCAACTCATTTGATTTACTAGGTGGCAGTGGTAGTGGCTTTGGAGGTGCACCCGTTGCACAAGCACAAATGCAAACAAACACAAACACACATGCACCACCGCGCGCTTCGACAGCCCCTATACCACCACAGAAGAACCTCCTCGATGACGACGACTGGGGTCCTACCACAAGTGCTGACGATAGCAACGCTGAAGCTTTCGACGCTTTTGACGACTGGGGCAGTAGTAGCTGGGCAGCTCCTCCACCCAATCCAACCAAATCATACAAGGCGCAAACTGTAGACTCTAAAAACAGACCTGGGAAAATAGAACTAACGAATAACTTCTCTGCACCACCACCTCAACCTACGACTTCATTATCTTTCAATACCTCAAACACCACGTCATTCAATGACTTTTTCTCATCTTCACGTACAAGCAATATCAACCTCAATGATTCTGGTTATTCAGACACAAGCAGCAAATTTTCAAGCGGTAGTCCATTTGCTGATATACCGTCCAATCTGAATGATATACCAGCTCCATCTAAGCTGACATCCGATCCCTTCAGCGCATTTCAGTCGACCTCGGGTGGCAGTATCGATGTGAGCAGTCCGAAGAAGAAGAGTGGTAACGCGGTTGTGAGTGTGGCAAATTCCATTGTGCATTGATGGTGTGCTAACGAATATACTATAGAGCGGAGATCTATTCGCAGCTGACAACGCGTGGTCTACACCTGACCCCATACCATCTCCCGAGGCAGAGCCTGACATCAACATCAAAACCGACACGGACAGCCACGAGAAGGATGTCTGGTCAACGCCAGATCCAATACCAATGTCTGATTCAGAGACTAAGGCTGAGCCTGTCGTATCCACACCTTCATTATTTGACGGGGCCGGCGCACTAGAAGCAAACCCAGCAACATCACCACCACCATCAGCATTACCATCACAATCGATGCATCCGTCCTCTTCTAATACTAAATCACATTCGGGCGATCTTTGGGACTCGTTTGGCGCGTCTTCCCTACCTTCACCAAAAGTACCTGCAAACGACAGTCTGGGATTGGATGGTGATGTATGGAGTGCACCGGCGCCAGCGCACGATCCTACCTCACTCACTGCTCACACCTCACTCACCGCTGCTAGCTCCCCAGCACCAACATCCGCACCTCAAGTCGACGACATTTGGTCAGTCAGCGCCAACAAACCACCCACCCCTCCATCATCTGCACCACCTCCGGCTAATCCTACCTCTCTTGATGACGTGATGGGTAACGTTTGGGCGTAGAGTGGGTGAATTTAGACAAAAAGATTTAAAAGTATTATTTCCTTATTAATTTTGTTATTACAACAGATTTATACACTAAACAGATTATTAAATAGGTGTGCAATCCAGGTGAATGTTTTAATTCTCCTCGACAAATTTCTGAAGATCTTCTAGAACGCGACCGACGTATTGCTTGAGGTTGATTATTTCAGTGACGATAGACACAATCTCTTGTGATAGCTCCTGTTGTGTATTTTGTGTAGTAGAGAGCAAATTGTCATACTGAAACATAAGCGATTGGTAGCGTTGATCGAGTGCAAGTACACCTTTGCGTGCATTAGCTTGAGCGTCGTGTAGCAATTGTTCAGCTTCTCTCATTTCTGTGTTAGATGCTGACACTTCAGCTTGCATCCGTGACTTTTCATCATCAGTCTGTGACTTGGTTGTCTCCAATTTAGCTTGTATATCTTGAACTTTTTCTTGTGATTCAACGACAAGCTCTTCAGCGCGCTGCAAATCCTCCGCATAGATAATGTTGTCATTCTCCACCTCGACGTGTTTATCTGTTGCATCTTTCCTCATTCCAATTAGAGCATTCTTGATTGCACCTTTTATATCAGTTGATGAGAACATCTCCGAAGGCGTAGCTGCTGCTCTACTGTAGTCCAAGTCAAATTGAATGTTCATGTACTTTTCCGGTGGTGGACCTGGAATTATACCAATCCTCTCGCATAATTCCGTGTATGTTTTCACAACGCTCTCGAGATTATCTGCTACTTTTGTAGAAGTTATTTCTAAATCCCAGTTTGATTTCTTTATTTTCTCAATCTGTTGACGGTGTTTGTCGAGCGTGTCGGAGAGCTGCACGCGTGTTGATTTCATCCGGTCTATTTCCTCAGGCGTGAGATTTTGCGCTTCTACCTGTTTGCTGACCTTGTCATTCTCAGCTTCCTGCTCGTTAAGCTCCTTCTCAAGTGCCTCAACCGCCGCTTGCATTTTGCTTATGATGGTTTCCGTCTTTGACTTTTTCTCTTCGAAATGCTGAATCAACTGTTTGAATTTCCCTTTATCAGATTTCATCTTTTGTAACTCCTCAGTAGCTTCGGCTAGCGGTGAAGGAGATTGTTCGAGTTTCTCTAAATCCTTGCGAAGAATCTGGTTCTCCTTCTCAAGTTCTTCCACCTCTTTGAGTATTTCATCATCCTGTCTTTTGTAGATGTCTTCCAATTCGGCATTCTCGTTAGGAAACTCATCCTCATTCTGGAGGAAAGCAACATAGGTCGATGAGGCATACTCGTAGCTAACTTTCTCATACCAATTTGGGATATCAGGAGGATAAATATCTGCGGGATGTGCTAATTGAGGATCATCGCATACATCAGGTGTATACCAATGCTGCATTGTGCGCGTCATATCAGCGAGCCACGAAAGCATTGCTAACATACTAGGCCAGATATGTTGCGCAGAAGCTGCTTGTAATTGAGTTTTAGAAATAGAATCTGCAACGGGATACCTCAAATCCCGAAGTATCATAAGAACCTCCTCTTCGAATTTACGAGGTTTTCCGTGAAAGTCTTTAGCCCAAATGAAAGCAGGATCGAGTATATCCGTGTAGAGGAATCTAAACATGGATTGGAAGTCTTTCGTAGTTGGCGATGTTAGTGTTTTCGCTGTAACTGGAAATGGATAACCGCATTCGAGGAGGTGTTTGTGGACAAGCTCCTTAAGCTCATTGATGTAGTTGCGGTCTTTAAGTGGGCGTGGATCACGTGGTAAAGGACGCGGTGGTGGTAAGAAGGAAGATATTTGGTGGTGTGATGCTGAGGGAGCGATTGACTGTCTTCCATAAACGGATGATCTTTGAATGCTTCATGGGTGTGAGTGCTACGCGTATTAATCTACACGCCAAACTAACCTGGGTGGCGGCATACGAGGTGCTAGTGACTGCCTGCCGTATATACCAGCATCGTTACGTGAAGCAGAAGGCATAAAGTTATCCTGGCTATTAGACTGTGCTAATGAATGCCTAGGTATTGTTGATAAGCGCTGTGGCTGCTGCAGCTGATATCTTGATTTCTGTTTGAGTGCAGACGGCGGGACTGGTATGTTTGATTCCTGCACGTGCTGCGACTGCTGCGATGATAATATCGTCCGTCTGCGTGAGTCCATCGTCGTCGTCGTAAAAGATTTCCAAACGCGTCTTGAGTTTTAACCTAAACGAGCACTCAATGCGCGTCGCCCGTCTCTCCTCAACACTCATCAGTAAAATAAAATGGCAAATAACATAAGCTTAACGGGAATTAAATCTAAGAGGAAAGCAGGTGAGATTGTTATACGCGCGTCTTTGTGTGTGCGCTGATATACTTTTCATAGAACTCGTCGATCTCGGTACAAAGCTAGGCGTTGAAACCGATCAACTCAACAGAGATAAACTTATTGAGAATATAAGGGATCATCTACGTAAGAATGAGCACTCCCTCAAGGACGATCCACTTTTCGCTCCTTACTTTACAGATACGCGTAGGAAGTATGTTAAAATTATGTTCACTTAGATTCTACTCACACTGAAACAAAGATCAAGGAAATCTGTCGCCGTGAATGAAGAAGTCGATGATGATGGAAGTGAGCTCAGCTCATCGGGATCTCCTGATGCCCGTGTCCATGTCCAGCCACGTGCCACTTCCGTCCCAGTTCAGGCGAGAGAAAGTTCAGTGGACATCCCCCACGCGTCACCAAGCTCTACCTCATTCAGCTCTGTCAAGAGAGCTAGCATCGCCAAGGCTGACACCATACAAGAAGCTGCGCATGACTCCATCGAAGCTGTCAAGGAGCACACCATAGACGCTGCTCATGAAATAGAATCAGAGGCTCAAGATATGGTCAATTCATTCAGCCAATACGCCGTAAAGCTGCGCAAGTGCACTATAAATACTATAAATTCAGTCCAAAGGTGGACATCTGACAGTCAGCACCTCTTGTTGGCTGGATTACTCTTAGAACTCTTCGTGGTTCTCTATTCCGTCACACCAATCCGCATCCATCGCATCGACGTCCCAGAGCCTGTTCAAAAGTACACCACTAACTACATCAGAGTAAAGCTACCATATGCAAAGTCACTGCTTACGCCACCCTTTGTCAATCCCGTCAAGAAGTTTCTCATTTACTCTTTAATCGTTCCTTTCATTCCATCAGTCTTAATAAACTTCGACAAGAGTGTGTTCTCTCCATTGACATTCACTCTTGTCAGACTCGCTCTGATCGTCTCGTTCAATAGCCAGGCAGCCGTGGAAAGCTATATGCCTCTTAAAGTGGAGCTGACACTTCTTGCACTCTTATCGTCATTCAGTCTAGTTGAGCTTTTGTCAAAGCCACGCAAGTGAAACTAGCTAATTCTTATGTAAAATGGAAACCTTTCACTTTTAGCAGATAAACTTTGTAATTTCGTTTGTACATTTTAAATAAATAAGCATCTTTGTATATAGCTTAGGGTCATTAAATATTAGTGTGTACAATCTATCCTGTTGAAAGGGTATGCGAGGGTGTTTACGAGATTCCAGCTACTCAGGCTACTTGAGCAAGAGAGTAATAAGCAGACCCGATAATACAGGCAGCGTAAGGTTGTCATCGAGGCCATGGACATCGAGCGACTCAGTAAAAGCGCTAATAGCGCCGACAGCGAGCATCAAAGATGGCAAAGTGAGTTTACCCGATGCATTCCAGCTAAGTGTATCCAAAGAGTGACGACCAGCCTCAGCAATAGACCCACCGTCAACGACCTGCCAACCCCATATTAGCCAACTAACAAAAGCGCCAGCAGCGAAAGCTGCCAAGAACCCAGCCAGACTCTTCTTCTCGGCGAAAGGCGGCGAGGGCAACCTAACAGTGTATCTACCAAACACTCTTCCCACCGTAGATGCGCTAGTGTCTGCGAAAGCAAGGATAGATATAGACGCAATAGCCACATCGCGTTTGAATGACGCTACTGATATGATCGCACCGAGGAGATACCAAATAGTTGAGTTGAGTTTCTGGCGCTCGCTCTCGCGCATCAGCGTACCCACCACAGATTCGTACGCATTCGCGAAACGCCCCTTGCCAATTGTAGTAGAACGCAAGCGGAAGAGATCAATAACGAGAATAACCAAGAGAGTGATCGTGAGAATGCGCAGAATGTGCGTCATCGAAATCTTACTAACATAGAGTCCGATTGCTAATGGACCTGTGCATGTGCGTTGGTGTGTTAGTGATGCACTCCGCACACTATAAACCCACCTATACTCGAATGAAATATCTTCCGCGGCCATTCTAGCTCTCCGACACCAAGCGTGCGCGTCGCGTCCTTCTTCTCCGCCATCTTTCTCCGTCGACGTGGGCGTATCTAACAATGAAAGAAACATAAATTATTTAAGAGTTTTAGCCTTTTTCACAAATTCTACTATCTTAACTACATCCTTCTTGCTTTGCGTCTCCACACCTGAGCTTACATCCACAGCCCATGGTTTCGATACCTCGACGGCTTCCTGCACATTTTCGGGTGTGAGTCCACCGGCGACAATGAGAGGAATTGAGTTAAGGCGATGTGTATTTATCTGTTTGGTTATCTTCCAGTCGAACGCTTTACCAGCGCCGCCGCTGAGCTGTGAGTTGGGAACAGCCGTGTCCAGTAGACTCATGCTGTGGTATCCGCTCTGACGGAGGTTAAGCAGCTGGTGAGCCTCATCCGATCCTGATATGTGGAACACTTTAATCGTTGGGACAGGTATCATCCGAGTCCACTCTATAGGCTCGTTGCCGTGTAACTGTACAATGTCGAGAGGTACATTGTGTACTGCTTCGAGAATTGCTTCGAGTGTGGCATTTTGAAACACTCCGACGAGAAGTGGACGTATTCTCGACGCAGATTCTATCACTCGTGCTTGGTAATCGAACCAAGTGTCGTTGTATTCGGAAGAATGCACACCTTCAAACACAGTATTTGAAGCGTTGGCAGAGTTCTTCACAGCTAATGAGATATCTCTGGCTTGCTGCAGCGTCACTTTCCTCTTGCTGCCTTCTGCGAAGATCATCCCAATAAAATTTGCACCAGAATCTTTGGCTACCAGCGCATCAGTGATTGTAGAAATCCCGCAAACCTTAACTAGTGGTCCTTTGTAATCCTCTTCTTTTGCTGGCGTGTTGGTCAACTCCCTTATGAATTCATCTGGATCAGATGAACGCATCAGTGATTCACCAACCAAAACGGCATCTACGCCTTGCTCAAGATAGGCTTCGACATCCTTCCTGCCTGTGATTCCTGATAAAGCGCATAATGATATGTCTCTATCTTTTACCATATCAGCTAGTCTCGAAGTAGTCGACATATCAACGTTGAAATCGTGTAGGTTGCGGTTGTTCACTCCAATAACTTTTGAGCCAATCTCTATGGCGAGCTCCATTTCATTTGCATTGTTGACCTCAACTAACGCTTCAATACTTCTAGATCTAGCGTATTCGAATAATTCTACCAACTTTTCTTTCGACAGCATAGCAACAATCAACAAAATTGTATCAGCACCATATAATCTAGCTTCATCAATTTGATATATGTCAAGAATGAAATCTTTGCGGAGGATGGCGGGTCTATTCGCCATACCGTCTATCGCAGCCCTTGCCATTCTCATATCTTGAAGCGAGCCTTTAAACCATTTAGGCTCGGTGAGAACGGAAATGACTGAGGCGCCTGCGAGAGCGTAGGACTTGGCTTGAGTCGCTGCGTTTGCATTTGGCGCGATCAGACCTTTAGAGGGCGATGCACGCTTTATCTCAGCCATTACAGCTGGTCTTGCTGGATTTTGTTTTACTCTGTCACTGAAACTGATCTGGGGTGGTGCTAAATCTAACTCTAAAGACTCGTTGATGTTGAAATGAGATTTGCCAGGTGTGTTTATTGATTCTTCGATGTCTAATAAGCGTTGTTGCTTAATCTTGTCGAGTATCGTTGGTAGTTTTGATTGTGATTTTGAGTGTGGAGATGCACCGACGCCATTAACGCTCTTATCAGCTTCAACTTTTGGAGCTTTCTCGTCACCAACGCCGAATTCAGGGTTCTCAGTCCATAAACCACCCTTCAAGAGGAGGAAGTTTTCGAGAAGCTTTCTACCGCCTTCACTGAGGATAGATTCAGGGTGATATTGGACACCTTCAACGGTGAATCTACGATGACGAATACCCATAACAACGCCAGAGTGCTTAGTTGAAGCGGTAAGGGCTAGTTCAGGAGGGAAAGAAGTCAATTCAGGTGCGAGTGAGTGATATCTGGTTGATTCGATATCCTGAGCAACGCCTTTGAAAAGACCTCTACCATCGTGCTTAACTGCTGAAGTCTTTCCATGAATAATTTCACCAGCATGGCTAACATGGCCACCGTAAACATCAAACATAGATTGCATCCCCATGCATACGCCGAGGATAGGAACTTTACCTGCAAAATGTTTGATGACATTCCTAGAAATGCCTGAATCAGTGCTAGGATGACCAGGACCAGGTGAAATTACGATGTTCTTCGGACGCAATGCCTCGATTTCAGAGATGGATATCTTGTCATTACGTGCAACGACAATGTTAGCGCCGGAGATGGTAAGATATTGATAAAGATTATAAGTGAAGCTGTCGTAGTTATCAATCATCAGCGTGATTTCGCTCTGCCTGGTCGGCGGTAACGGGAAGGAGAGCGGTTGAGTGGGGGCTGTCCTGAAGATGTTGGTGTGAGTGGCATTTAGGTTTATTTTACAAATATTTACATTTTCTAGATACCAGTAAATCCCAGTCTGATCTCTTAGTGAGTGTCTATTACAAACCGCGATGACACTGTTGCCACCAATAAATATTCAAAAATGGGTCGAGGAGAATAAAGACAAGCTGAAGCCACCGGTTAACAACTTCTGCGCGTACTCCGGGCAAGATAACATTGTAATGCTCGTCGGTGGCCCAAATGCTCGAAACGATTATCACGTAAATGAGACGGAGGAATGGTTTTATCAGTATAAAGTGGGTGGCTGTATACGGTGTTTGGCTTGTTAGCTACACTGGCTTATTCCGCTCCACCAGGGATCCATGTGCCTTAAAGTTGTCGACAATGGCGAATTCAAGGACATTATCATCGACGAGGGCTCCATGTTCTTACTCCCACCGAATACCCCCCACAATCCAGTCAGATTCGCTGACACTATCGGTGTCGTCATTGAACGAGTCAGACCTAGCAAATCCATCGATAGACTGAGATGGTACTGCAAGAACCCTTCACATGTCACTGCTGATAATCCAAATGGTGGCGCTATCATACGCGAAGAATCATTCCACGTTACTGATCTCGGCACTCAACTGAAACCTTTGATCAACAACTGGATTTCAAATGAATCTATAAGAAAGTGTGAATCTTGTGGTACAATTGCTGATCCTATTTAGCCACTCATTGCTTCATCACCCAAATAAATTCCAAATTGATCTCTTTTTCTCCTTGGATTGAGATCTTTCACTCTCTGCAGCCTCCAGACGCTCGTTTTCCTTCTGTTCCTGCAATTCAAGTGCTCGCTTATGTGCTTCTATACCTGCCCTGAACGCTTTCTCTTCTGAAGCAGATTTTGTGTTATCTGCTTTTACAGAATGAGATGCGGGCGCTGTCCATGTCGATGTTGATGAAACAGGTGATTTATTAGTATCTGTTTCTGCTTGTCTTTGTGCTTGTGTCTCCGTCTCTGTCTCCGTCTCCGTCTCTGTCTTCTCAGGTACAACCTGCTTACGTCTACTCAGCTGTAATCTAGGTGTTGCAGGTGTGAATGAAGCAGATTGAGTGGCAAGCGTATGGTAGTCCTGATCAGAGACGTTCGTTTGTGTTTCTATAGCAGGTGTTGCTTCCTCAGACTTCTTTTGATTCTCTAATTCAATGAGATACTTCCGCTGGAGCTGGTTTGTATCAACACCTTTGCTCTCCAATTTCAACTCGATATCCTTCTTAATACCTTCTAAGCTGCCCTTGAAACCGTTAAAACGCAACATAGACTCATACCGACTGATTAAATCAATAGTACTCGTTTTCTTATCAACAACTTGATTTTCTAAGCAGAATTTAGTATCTGTAGATTCTGTAGCCATCTAACTCACCAATCGCAAGCTCTAATTTGATTTCCAATATCTTCTGTGCATCGTTGACAGGATTTCTAGTAAAAGCCTGCCTAATATCCTCCAATGAAGTAGTGAGGTTACTCTTCGGACTGGATTTCGGTATCGGGACTTGTATGAAAGGCTTTTCTAGGTCAGGGCTATCATTATCAAACTCAATCCAACCATGATTGAGAAGCTGATGTGTATCAGGATTTCTAGCAAACTGTATGCTTGTCACGCGTCCATATTTCTCCTCAAGTACTCTTGCGACGGTCAAAGCCTCTGAGGGAGACCTAAATGAGCCATTTGACAGTCTAATAAATAACTTGAACGTGCGTATCGGTTGAAAGCGAGGAGATATCCCTCTGTTTTTGATTCCCCTTGCGATGAATGACATGGACAGAATCAAGAAGCATTTCCTTCTCAACACCCGACGACGACGATCGTAAATGAAATTATTCGCTGGAATTTCATTCCTTGCTGGTCTCGTACTGTCTGCGACGTACAAGGATAGTCCCGGTTCAAGGGATGTCGACGTTACCACAAAGTCTGCGTTTCTTCTCTACTCATCCGCATTCCTAATCAAAACCACAGACTACGCACGCACTCGATATCTGCTCCTTACGTTGATCAAGAGCTCAAGTGAGTCCGTTTCCTCGTTCTCCTGCCAACTCACACGGCTCCAGCAATCGTTGGTGGGATTTTGGTGGATCGACAATTATAGACGCTAATAATCATATACGCCTCACACAAGATAAGCAATCCGAGCGTGGCTGGATTTGGTCGAGGCTTCCAATCACCGTTTCCAGCTACCAAGTTGAATTCGAGTTTAAAGTCGGTGGGAGAAACAATCACATGTATGGCGATGGATTCGCTATGTGGCTCACTCAGGGGAGGAACAAAGAGGGCGAAGTCTTTGGCAGCGTCAACAACTTCTATGGTCTCGGTGTCTTCTTCGACACGTACGCAAACAGTCGTCACTCATACCCCTTCCCTAGAATATCTGCCATGTTAGGTGATGGCCGCACTCTCTACGATACCAGCACCGACGGCCAGGATCAAAGCCTTGATGGCTGCTCTCTCAAGTTCCGTAAAGCGGAAGTTACACCAAAAGCTAGATTCTCTTACTTGAAATCTAAATATATCAAGCTTGAAGTACAAACAAAGAAGTGGGGCGAGTGGGAGGAGTGTTTTATGATTGAAGATGTTCAACTTCCACTCCACCCTTACCTCGGTTTCAGTTCTATTACAGGCGAAATCGCAGATAACCATGATATCATCTCTGTTGACACCAACGAGATTGCGGAGAGAGGCGTAAATCATCGCGCTCAAGAAAAAATGCGCAACACTAAGAAAGCTAAATCCAAGACATTCTTCAAGACAATCGTTAACTTTATCACTTATTCTTTTGTTTTGGCTTTGTTTGCGGTTATCGCAAAGATTGCACACTCCGTTTGGAAACAAAAACAAGCGAAACGATTCTAGTGCCTAGTGTTACTGTTGGTCCTTATTCTGTATCAAAATATGCATCAATCTATCTGTAACTATGCAATTATATCATATATATCGCTCCTAACCTTTATGCCCAACTCCTCCAGCCTGCTGTCATCCCAGAATCTACTAAGGTGTCTACCACCGCTATCGCATAGAATAGTGACAATCGATGAGCCTTTCTCCATCTTCTTTGCACTTCGCACCGCAGCCACGAGATTGCAAGCGGATGACGAGCCCAAAAAGAGACCATCATTAGCCATGATATATCTGCTCATAGCAACAGCTTCCTCATCGCTCACTCTAACAGCATCATTTATGTGTTCCAGCCCTTGCTCAAAATTGGCTGTCAGCCTGTTAATCCCAATACCTTCGACGATACTATCAACTTGATGGCGTCGCTTTGTGCCTTCCTTTTCTTGAGAAGCGAACATAACGCCATATTTGACCCTGTTGTACAAACCTGATCCTTCAGGATCAGCGAGGATGGTTTTGATATTGCTATTGCGCTGTTTAAAGTATGTGGCACAACCGCTGATAGTCCCACCCGTACCAGCGCCGCTTACGAATGCGCTGAACTGACCATCTTCAGTTTGTTTCCAAATCTCGGGGGCTGTTCCGTCATAATGTGCGTGCCAATTGCTCAGACGCTCGAATTGATCTGCAAAGTAACCGACTGCTTTGTCCGTACGCTCGGTATATTGTGATGCGCGCACTTTCGCTAGATTTACAAACTGTTTCTTGTCAATTATAGATGCTGGTCTAACTTTCTCCACTTCGGCACCAAGTTTGACAAGAAGGTCAGCCTTTTCAGCCGAGACGTCGTCTGGCATTATGATAGCTTCTGGGGGTTAATTTGGGTGTGTTGTACACAATTCCAACCTACCTGCTCTGTATCCCTTGGCTTTGGATACCATTGCTATTGATATCCCAGTACTTCCTACTGTTCCTTCGAAAATGCACGAGTTCGTATGCGGTGCGAGATCGCCTCTGTCTTCCGCATCCTGTATGACTGGATAGTGCGTGCGCGTGAGCAGATAGTTCCCAATTACAGTAAGAGCTCACTCTTTAACGCCACTCTGTCCTTGACGCTTCCACCAGGATTCATGAATTCACATTTACCCTGAACAGTAATTAGCGCGGGTATTGTACAAGCTCAGCGCTCACCAGAATGTCGACGCCGAGCGCATTCGATAGCGACGGTATCCGTATCAGAGGTGTGTTGCCTGAGGTGAGTATAAGCTAGTACCAAAATACACAGCTCCCATCCCACCAATCAAATCAGTCAACCCGTCCGCAATCTGTCGATGATCCTCGATTATGATCGGGCTGTACTGAGCCTTCTTCTTCTTATTCTCTTTATTCAATTTGTACATGGCATACAACGTAGAAAGCGCTACGATACTCGTGAATCCCACTACCAAGTATTCCCGCCGATCTGACCTCATCATTATGGTATGAGTGTGAAAAATGCAACAATGCAAATATAAGTTACAATCTATAAGGCACGACAGCTACCACTGTACCGCTAATCCGCTAGTTTCAGATTCGACTGCATGATACTCCGTCCGGAGGTGCTCTTTTGCAAGCGCCGCGAGCATCTCACCCGCCTTGGCGTCAACTTGGGAGACCGTAAGTGTTTTCGAATCCTCACTAGCCCGCCAATATATATCTTCAACTCTACCAATCCAATTCTTCGTAGACCACCGCACACTCTCTTCGATGTTCTTGGATGGATTTACAGCCACACCCTCACTATCCCAATCACGTTCATTACCCTCCTTGTCTGTACTAATTCCAGGTTTTAGTTGCCCTCCTCCATTAATGCACCCTGACGGACAGGCCATCACTTCGACGAAATCTAATGTCTTGCTGTCGTGTGGATTGCCCGTGTTACGAGTACGTACTCTGCCACGACTTGCTGCCATGCGACCTGCAGCTCCCCTTCCGCTGCTTACTCCCCTCTCTTTGCCTACTTTACGAACTAAATTTTGTATATTCTTGAAACCGTAGCATTTTGCACCCTTGAATACACATTCATTTTCGTCATTGATGAGGAGATATTCTACGGAATCTGCCAAGTTGCGAGGTGAATGAGTTTCCAGTCGTAAGTTTGGTGTTTGGAGACGTAGCAAGTTAAGGATGTTTTCGAGGTATGAGCCCGACGATGTGCCAGGGTGTTGGATGTGATGAGGTATGACTTGTTCCTCGAACGATAAACTGTTTTCATTTGGCACGTTCACCTCTAAATTCACTGGCGTATCGAATAACAACCCGATTTCACCTGATGTTAACACACAGTCGACATCTCTGGTCTGATACAAGTCGCTGTAGAAATCCTGTCGCGATGCTTCGAGCTTCTTGTCGTAGCAGGGCATTATGGTGACGTGGTAGACATCGCTGGGTGTCTTGTTGATGTGCTGACTAAACCAGTATTTCACAAGCGACCCCATAATTTGTTGGGGAGACTTGGTGGTGCTGATGAAGGGGATAAGCTCACCGTGCGTTTTCTCGACGTAACAGATCCATCCGGGACAAGCCGAAGTGAGAAGGAGGCGGTTTGATTGGTCGAGCGAGTTGAACTCGTTGACAATCTCAACCAGCGATAAATGCCGACTGAATGTGGTATCGAAAACGTAATCGAAACCAATATCTTTGAGTTGGTGGCGTAGTCTCCGTAGTAAGATTTCGTTTGACGGTGTGCTGCCCAACGACGCCGAAATGGACGCCAGAGTCTGGGGAGCGATGGATGCGATCATAGTTTTCTTATCGGAGGTGCTACTGAGGTACTTTTGCACCTCCTTGTGTGATTGAGACTCTATCAGAACTGTCTCTGCTGATGTAATGCACCCAGAACAGGCCAAGCAGTCATTGAGGGTTATTTCAGCCTTCTCGAGCTTTTGGTTCTGCTCGAAATACTCGCCGTTCTCGCCAATCGATATTTGCGTCGTTGGCGCATCTGGTGCAGGCTCTGGCGCTGTCTCTGTCTGCGCCGGTTGATTCGATTCTTTGACTGGCTTTATGCATTCCTGACCAGGCGTTATAAAATCGTTGAGATCTGTTATTTGCTGTATTGAGTGAGTAGAGCTGAATTAGTGCATTCCACACCACTCACGAGTCCCCCGCTGAATCCCATCCTCGAAGAGATAGTCCAACGAGCTCAGTGGCTAATCGGCCAGCTTGGTAAAATAACAATAAATTCTTTAAATTATCACAAATGTGAATTCAGATAAATAGCAACTTATGTGATTTTTGTAGGAGCCGCCCAGTCCAAAAATAAACGGATGAAAGTGCAAAAGTATTCGTCAGCTGTAGGATTCGAACCTACGCACTACAAGAGTACTTGATAGTATGCTTTGGAAGAACTCCACTTATGAAATTCTAATCAAGCGCCTTAACCACTCGGCCAAACTGACATGTCATCCCTTTCTCTTTGCCACTATATATTCTTGTCGTTTTGAATAACAAGAAAATCAATCAGTTGAGGCCTGTTTGTATCTATATTCAGCGTTTTCATGTTGTCGTAATCCTATCAATAATACTTGGAAGCGCACCTCGACTGTTCGTTAGGAGGCTGTCTAAGCTACTTTTTTGGGCGCTTTTGTCGTTTTTCATTATCTACTGTTTGCCGCGGTGATTGAGCTGCAAATCTGATTGCCATGATTTACTCTTTTGGAGGTTGGTCGAGAGAGGGAATGACGTGAGGTGACGGATAAGCGCTTCAAGGGATGACACAAAGATTAAAGTAACAACTAATTAGACGTTAATGATTGTCTCAAATACCTTCTAAGCCACTCTCTGTACGCATCATTACATCACCAAAGTTCAGATCTTTGTAGTGCACATTTCACCACTAAGCCATTAATATCAAGTTGAGAATATTTAAGGGTACTTAAATGATCTTGTCACTCACAAAACTAATCTAGTGTGATTTTCGAATGCATTTTATGAATCTTCCGTCCTTGTACAGCCAGCCAGTCCCCCCTTTGAACAAGATTACAAGACTAGTCTTAAACTATATATATATAATCTATAATTCTACAAACATAAGTTTAATCTTAAAAACATAGCTAAGCATCACCAAAAATTTCCCGCTAATCATATCAGTTGCAATGAGTAAAGTTACATTCAAATATCGTACAAAAATCATTATAACGATTATCCGTCGTGTACTCTATGTGCCTTGCGAGCTTTATTTCTCAACAAGTCATTATCTGATCTGCGCCAAGTCACCACAGTATACACTCTAAGTTTGTAGCAGCGAGTGGTATGAGCGTCTCTTGCTGTCATTGGCGCGCTTCGCCAGCGATTCCTTCACTTTGGCATCATTTCTAACCACAATAGTGGGCACCTTAGAGTTACTCAGACTCCATCTACGCAATGTCAGAGGTGTTGTTCCAGCTACTCTCAAATACTCCGACAAACCTCGAAACCGACCCCATACCGCCAGCAGTCCCTGCGCCTGACCTGACTGAGGCGAACGCGGACGACAACTGCGTCCACGTACCTGATTTACCGCGCGAGCCGACAACGAACGAGTCAGGGCGATGGAGCGAAATGAGCGAGCGTATAGCTGTGGTTATCTTGCCTGCTATGAACTCAACAACGATTGATATCTGAGCAACGTGAGCGGTTTCAGATACAGTGGCGTTTCAGACTCACCTGTCTGTTGTCAAATTCATCGTTCTTAACACGAATACTCTCGAGGAGCTCCTCGGCTTCCTCACGTGCATTATCCTGATTGCCTGTGTGGTGTGAGAGGGTTCACAAACCAATGAAAGCATTACGCACGCTGCTCGTCGTCGAAAACCCTCATAGCCACAATCTCATCGCCATTCTCTAGCAAGTTCATAAGTACGAAGTCGAGTGCTCTAGTTAGGTGGTGAGCGTCTTGTTCAAACTCGGGACAAACATCACGCCCACCTCTGGCCATTGACGTCCGTAGAAGCTCCAACGAGGAAAATGCGACTGTTCTTTAACCTCTTGTAATCGGAAGTTGTGGACTGTAGAGTATTAACGACATTGTACGCTTGTTTGAGCTGGGTTGAGCTTAAAAGGCCTACACACCTGCAGTGTGAGCGTGGATAAGGGATGCCCAGTGAGATATTCATCCATGCTATCGAATCCGACCTAAATGTACTCAGGAATGCTCGTATCCACAGATGGCGCACCCACCTTGCGGCGATAGCCAATGCGATCATTAGACACCGTCTGGGAACGCGGAGGAACGCTGCCGGTGCCTGCGCTGGCACCAGTATCTGCTGGACTCGGGGGCTGTGTCCTGATGATCGGTCTGACGTGCTGCGAAGAATCCATCTTGATGGTTGTTTACAACACTCATATGGCCTCACCTGAGAATAAGAAAAGGCGGAGAATGTCAGCAGGAAATAAAGACAAAGAGAATGACAAGAGCAGCACAGAATCGCTCTCTCAGCCACCGATTTCCGGGGGCAGAGCATTCGCACTTGAGCTTGATAAGGCGGTTGATGAGCGCACGCAGCGGAGCAGCGAGGAGGCTGAGCGTCTCAAGAAGGAGTTGGAATTCAAGGAGGCTACGATAAATGCCCAGTCGCAGTGTGAGCAGTACTAATCCAGCTACGTCACTTTATTCTCACACCGAGAAGCACTAGACAAGATCAAGTGGGTGGATCTGCAGCGGCGAGCGCGGCTCTAACGCGTCCCAGGAACGTTCTTCAATGTTCAATATGCATGGAATACATGATTGAGCCATACGGGTACGCTCTTCTTTCACTACACCAGCATTCCCACTAATCACCGCGCAATAGCCTCACATGCGGTCATGTCGCTTGCTTTTCCTGCTTACACTCGTGGTTTACCCGCGATACTAACGGCAACCCGCGTACTGCCAAAGTCTGTCCCAGCTGTCGCGCCCCTATTCGCTCGAGACCGAATGAGCTCTTTATCGTCAAGGAGCTCGCGCAAATCACCGCTGCCGCGCACAGTGAATCTCTCGATGTGCCACCCACACGCAACGGCGATGTCTGGGCCAAGGTGTTCAGACCAGGCGGCGAGTACCAGCCAGTGATGGATAGAGAAGATGGTGTTATGCGCTGTGGCAGGTGCACAGGAGAGCTCGTCGGTGGCGTTTGTACGCAATGGTGGGTTTATTGTGGTTCTAATACACAGCTAATTTGGGCAAAGCGGAGAACTTTATACTGATGCAGAGTCCGATGAATGGAGCGAAGAAGACGGCGAAGAGGAGAACTCGAGCGAGGACGAAATGGCCACTCGAGTTACAAATGCCATGGAATCTGCGTTAGGGCTTGAAAGTAGGTCTAATAGGAGAGATGAACGTGGTAATTGGGTCCAGGAGAATGGCGAGGAGCATGATGAGCATGGAGAGAGCGACGAGGGTGACGATAGTGGCAGTGAGCGGGAACGCGTCAGGAATCTACTCACAGCTACCGACCGAGTGAGGAGAACGTGGGACTCTTCATTTGACAGACGCAACAGCCAAGAGCACCCAGAAGAACGCTCTGACCACTCACACTCAAATTCAAACTCACCATCATCTCAATCACACTCAAATACCCCAGTATCATCAGTATCATCAACTTCACAAAGACTCTCGCCAGCGAGTGCCTTTTTTGGCGTGTCAGAACGGCCGGGCTGGGAGCGATACAACGAAGATGATGAGGAGGACGACTTTATCAACAACAGCCGTAACGATGTCGAAATCGCGGATAGCTGGTCGAATGTTGACGCTTCAGAAGAAGAGGCACTAAGCACAGATGAAGATGATGGGAATATTAGAGATGACGCAGAGTCTCATGAAGAAAACCACGAAAAACGCCACGAATATGACCATTGGCTGCCTAACCAAGCTGAAAGTAGCTTTAGTGCCTTTGCCCCTGCTCCGCCCAGACGCAAGAAGGTTATCATCTCAGACGAGGATGATGAGTGATGATTAGCATGTAGTTTATCAGTATCAGTCATTTATTTCCCTTGTACCAGTGTAAATCGGCATTCTCGATTCCAAGTTGCCGCCTTCAATGACGTAATGTGGCAATCTAGCATGGAAGAAAGCAAGACAGCGGCGCGCTCTCACACACACTATATTCATCACGCTCACAGACACGGGTATCTATAATGTTTAAGTTAATTTGCCCTTTACCATAAAGGAATGCACTGTTCCCAGAATAGAGCTTCAAAGTGACAGACAGGGATCATCCTCACTGGAATGTTCACGGACTCCAACTTACAGCGACGACTGCGCACACTATGACAACCTCAAACACCGATTCCAGTTTCAAAGACTACCCGCAGCCGACCAGAAGCTACAGCAGCGACTTTAATGAGTCGAAGCAGCCCGTGCCTAAACCCGGCGCTGAGAAGCGCTCTAAACGAGCAGCTCACAGACTTAGTGCATGGTACAACACTTTCCACGAATGGCGGTATACCCCTCTCGCACTCATCTTTGCAGTAATCCTTCTTGTCTTCTTCAGCGCGCTAGGCAGCTATCTAGGCTACAGAGCATCGGTGCAATTAGAGAAGGGAGATGGAATGGGCTCTGACCTCGGTCAAATGACATCTGGCGTGAGTGTGTGCCGCTTGTTTTAGTTTCTGTCTCATGTCCTATAGATGGCACTCTATGGCTCCGTAACGGATGTAGATATAGACGAAAAAAAACTTGGTATGTGTGGCAAAACTTATGATGATGCTAGCTAATCTCCCTTACACCCAGAAATGCGCTTCTCATTTTCAGGCTGCGGACCAGGCTACACGAATGACGCACAAACAGCAGCAGATTGTGGGGTACTGAATAGGAACATAACTACATACATAAACGAGAATGCGACTCTGTCTAAATTCGAATCAAAAAGCGAGATAGACCACGAGGCAGTTTTCTTGAGAGACGGCGCGGTAGGATTTTACGAACCAGATTCAGTAATATGGTCGCGCAAGCCTGAAGATATGAGCACGCTCGAGTTGACATTCACGCCCTCATTCCAAGTTGAAATACCATTCGATTGGACAGAAAGCAGATCATCACTCAAATCTGACCCAACGAGTTATCCATTCGACGAGTATAGCGCGTACATAACCTTTCTCGCTTGGGATGCAGGGTCAAACGTATCAGAGCCCGACCTTGGCCAATTCAGCGCTATTAGTTTTGTCAGAACTTCAGGCACGTTTCCAAATTATGTCATTAGCAGTGTCGATTACGCAACGCTGGAAAATGATGTGCGCAGGACCATAAAGATAACAATAAGGCGATCAAATGCAGTCAGAGCTTTCGCTATCTCCATGTGAGAAGATATTTTGCCATTTTTTCGTTAGTACTCACATTTAACAGCATCGTTATGCTATGGGCTCTCACTATAGCTATCGTTTGGGCGGCTGTAGTTGCTGTCATCTATCGCAGACCAGTAATGGGAGAGGTAAGTGTATCCGGATGCCCCCACACTCAACGCTAATACATTCCAGACATACGTTGTCACCTCAGCTGCTCTCTTCGCCATACCAGAAGTACGCGATAAGCTCCCTGCCGCGCCTGCGTTTGGAATATTTGCAGAGTGAGTGAGGTGCTCGTCTGTGTTCGTAACTAAAACCTATCTAGCGCGCTTGGATACTTTCTTATACTCCCACTCACAGCAGCCGCAACAGCCGCGTTACTGTTCTGTATGATATACCCACCGCAGCATGACCCGAAAAGAAATCACATATAAAGAAGCGCATTAGAAAAGGCAGTATATAAACTATGTCTGGATGACACGCTGATATCACATAATACTTGTAAATGAATATATTTATTTTCCAATTATGACGCAAGCTCGTTTGAACCAACCAACCATCACGTTATGGACAAGTCGCCGTTGATTTTTCTGCAAACCAAGTCTACAGAAGACGTAGATTTCAATTATGGGATTAAGACAACTATTGCAAATGTATACGGCGAAGATCCCTCCAACTACACAGATCCTGTTGCCGCACTGAATCGGTTCAGGCAAGATGCGACAAGAGGCTCGACGACTGATGCTACAGGTGGGAATCGCCAGTGGCGTTATTGCTCCTTGCTAACCTGACTCAAGGCAAAGATCTTCTCCAGAGCTACTACGGTCAGCTTGAGATGCTTGAATTGCGATTCCCAGAGCTTCGAGTAACGTTTAATTGGCGTGATATATTCACTGCCCAGGATGTATCGCAGCATTCTCTTGCTTACGAGAAGGCTTCTGTGCTTTTCAATCTCGCTACAACGTACTCGGTACTAGCTTCGTCTTCTAACAGATCAGATCCCGAAGGTATCAAGACAGCTTTCTACAACACAAGAGTCGCAGCTGGGCTGTGGGACTATATAGCCAACAACTTCCTCCATGCCCCGTCTACAGATCTCAGCAGAGACGTTGTCAGATTCTTGAGTGCACTCATGCTCGCGCAGGCACAGGAAATCTTTCTGGAGAAAACTGTCGAAGAAAAGACGCGCGGTGGCAGAGGTGATGGAAAGTCTATGGGTATTGTAGCGAAGCTTGCTTCTCAATGCTCTTTCCAATACAACTCGTTACTAGAACCAGTACGCGAGAATGTCAATAAAAGCATCTTTGATCGACATTGGTGGAGTTTTTTGCAGATAAAAAGCAATTACTTTGCTTCACAGACTCAATATTACCGCGCAATGGTGGACAACGCATCGGATAAACATGGCGAAGCTATAGCCAGAGTAAAGCTCGCAGAAAGCCTCGCCAAGGAATCTTATAGACTTGGTTCGACTTTTAACACCTTCTTCGCCCCATGTGATACCCTCCCCGCCGATGTTTCAAGCGTGATCACATCGTTATGCAAAGCACATCAGACCAAATGCACGGAGTACAAGAATGAACTTATAAAGGAGAATGACTTGATTTTTCATGAAGCAATCCCTGCTGAGAACCTTCTCTCCACGGTAGATAAGCTTAACGCAGCAAACGCAGTAACGATCACTGAAATATATCAAAATCCGGAGGTACAGAAGAGTATTGGCTCTGATTTGTTTGCCAATCTTGTTCCATTCTCAGTACACGAGGCAGCGTCAATATACAGTGAAGAGAAGGCCAAGATAATCAGAGCGGTTACTGAGACTGTTGAGGTAACAGATACTGAATTAGAAGCCGCGATCGAGCATCTTGGTTTGCCAGGAAGTTTGAGGAAGTTTGTGCAGTCATCAAATGAGATCAACTACGACGTCAGTGGGGAAATCAAGCAATTGGCTAAAACAATTTATTCGCAGGAATCTTCGGGTGAAGTTTCTAGACAGATAAGCACCACTGAGACTAAGCGAGAACGTATTCTCGCTGACCTGAACTGGATATCAAATGAACTAGACATTGAATCGAAAGAGTGCGAGCAGGCTAGGGTGAGTTTCTGACTTGGCTAAAGTACGCAACTAAAATATAAATCAAGATGCAGCACGCAAACTTCTCACAATCACCTTCAGCGAGACAAACTAAAGAATGGCGCCAACAACTCAAGGCACATTACGACGGCTTGGAGAAAGCGGGTAAATCCGATGCATCAATCAAACAGGTATACCAATACATAGATGCTGACGTAAGACTGTTAAACGACTCAGCGTCTGATTTGGATGACAGCGATAACGAGCTAGCGCTTTATGTGAAAGATTACGTCTCAAGCCAGACACCCTCTCACACTCGCCAACAATCTTTGCTCGATGTCGATGTAGGTATTGAGGAGCACTCGGAACAGGAATCTCGCCAGATGACAGCATATGCGCGTGAAATTACGAGGTTATTGGATGCTTTGAAGGGTTTGAAGAAGTTTAGAAGTCAACACATCCAAGTATTGCGTCAGAAAGTTGGTGAAAATTTCTGTCTGAAGTGACTTTCTGACAATCCCCCCTTATAGATTCAGAATGATGATGTCTCCCATCTTCTCATACTCAACCGTAAAGCTCAACACGTTGAAACCGATATGTTCGGCTCAGAGCTCGACAAATTTAAAGAGGACCAGAAGATTATAGAGGGCTCCATCGCTGACCAGCTGAAAATATTGGAAGAGTTGAATGGCGCTTGGATTCAGCTGACCAGCTCAGCGCGGGCCAAGGAGATACACACGAAACATGCAGAATCTGACAGACGTCGCAAAGAGGTACTGAAAAAGTTCAAGAAAGCTGGTGATACGTATTTCGAGGCTGCCAACGGTGTCAGCAGAGCTATGATGTTTTACGAAGATCTCGAGAATGCCGTACGCGAACTCAAGAGAGATGTCGATGTATACGTCAATAGTAGAGCCAAGGAGCGCGTACAGGCAGTTATCGAAGCGGAGGCTGCAGATGCAGGTGGAAGTTCGTTCGAAAACGAGTTCAGCAGGCTTGGCGTAAGTACACCACATCGTCCTCCAAAGCCGGGCACAACGTCTCCCCCCACAATTTCATCTGGTCCTCCTGCATCTTCAACACCTTCAAGTGCCTCGTATGGTTATGGCGGTATGCCAGCTCCACCGCCTCAACCTCAGCCAAGTATTTATCAAAGCTTGTACGGCCAGCAAAGACAGTCAGGGCATATGCCTCAACCTCCTCCCAAACCTGCCTCGCCGTACTATGGTGCAGGTTATGCTAGTCCTCCACCACGATCTCCTTACGGACAGCATCCGCGCTCACCATATAATCAACAGCCACCAAACAACTTTCCCCCACCACTGCCACAGCAATTTCAAAATCAAACACCTTACTCCTCGCAACCCTCACAACCCTCACACGCACCACCTCCAACCAACTACCAGCAATACTACCAACAAGCACCACCGCCCAATCAAAACTACCCTTACTATAGATGAATTTATGATACTTTAATGTTTCTCGATGCATTTATACTGATACAAGTTCTGCTATCTGCTGATCCGATAATCCAGTCTGACGAACGTTGACATTAATACGTGCTGTTGAGAGATAGCGCGCGAAAGGCTCCCATTCATCGTCTTCTTGTTCGTTTTGTAAGTGTGGAGGAAGACTGCGTTCTAATATACGCGGCACGCCATGATAGCTTCTTCGCGTAGGACCTGACATGACGACGACATCACCGCTGCGCAAAACAATTGGGGTTGGAGGCGATATCGACTCCCGCTCGTCATCGCCGATAAGGAAAACAGCAGAGTGACCCAAGCTTATCGACACCAAAGGAAGACTGGAGGTAACCTCGCTCCTATCGACGTGTGCCATGAGTGTGTCCTTGTGCAGTGTAAGAAAAGCATTAAATAGCAACACAAACTCACATTGAGGTTATAGTAGTTGATGATGCCAGCATCTGGTTTATATCCCTTTTTCCACTCCTCGGCTGCTTCTGCAACACATGTACGCTGCCAGGGAATAGCTTCTACAGCGCCCTTGCACACTTGAGCCACAGGCTGCGGTATAGCGATAGGGCCGGCAGTTTGTGGATCTCTGACGCTGAAATCATACTGCTTCAATCCCCAGTGGTAGTAGTGGCCAATATTAGTCCAGCGGAGTTTATACATGGCCCTTTCGCCATTAAGTGGTTTAACAGTAGGGCTTGGGGGAATTTCCGGATTATGTTCGCGCGCTATTTGCTTCAATGCCTCGAATGTGCTAGGTTGATTGTTGATCAGAGGCCGCTCACCGCTCGGAGCATAGTAAGAGGGCATCTCGCGAGGTGGTTCTGTCGCTGCTCGTGGTACCGCGACATCAGTTTTCGTATTGGCAGCGTAATGATGCCACAAGCCTTCGGTAGGAATCTTGTAGTGAGCATCGAGACTGTTTCTGTTAGGTGGTGCTGGGATGTCCCTCAAGCTAAGCTTTATCATCCGTTTCTGGTCGTGTTCATTGAGATAATTGGGCAGATAAACCAAACCTGGGATGGTCAGAACAGGGCAGATGGACAAGTAGAGCGATAGGGCACACCTGGGTGGTTTTCGAATGTGTAACACTTGTCTCCAATCTTCACAGCACTGCTGTCGTCTCTCAACCAGTCAAACGCATCGCTCAAATCTAAAGGGATATCCTTGCGTTTGTAGAAGCGCTCAGAGCGGCGCAGAGTGGTGTCAGTATCCGGTGGCGTTGGCGGACGGGCGAATCGCTGCTTGGACAACGGCATATCTTCCTCCTTAGTGATCAACTCTTAGCACAAGACGGCGATGGTGAAGAAGCACGAGCTGCCTTTGCCGAGCGAGGAAGATATCGCGCTGCTACACAAATCACCAACGACGTTCGAGGACGATAACGTACACAAAATATATGACGAGATAGCGAATCACTTCTCGTCTACAAGGTATAAACCGTGGCCTATCATCAGCCGATTCCTGCAGTCGATAGAGAAGCACGCGATGGGATTGGATGCTGGGTGCGGCAATGGCAAGTACCTCCCACTGGCTGAGCACCTCTTTGGGTTGGATAGAAGCGTGAATCTCCTCAAACATGCTCAAAGAGCTGGTGACGCTGATAAACAAGTCGTTTTGGCTGATACTCTACATTCTGTCACTCGCAGACATATCTTTGTCGGTATTTTACAGCTTCAACATTCCCACCTAACTTATCGCCAGGACTACGCCATTAGTATTGCGACAATTCATCATTTAGCCACTGAAAAACGTCGGGTGGAGTCAGTACAGTCTTTATTAAACTCGGTATGCCTCAATGGAGGCAGAATTCTCGTATACGTCTGGGCCTTAGAGCAAGGCGAAGATAGCAGGCGAGCTGTTCCTGAAAATTCGACGACATCGTCAAATTCCAAAGGGCTGGATGTTTGGGTACCTTGGGTGAACAAGGCTGATGGAAGAGTGTACAACCGCTACTACCATTTGTTTGAAAGGGGCGAGCTCAGATGCATCACAGAGGAGGCTAGTGTACAATCCAAGGTGAAGATACAGGTGGTACAAGAAGGATACGAAAAAGATAATTGGTATATAGAGTTACGCACGCATGGAAGCATATAAACGCGCATTTGTACGATCATACATGTAAAAATTACAACAGTGAAAGTAAATCAAAACAAGGTAGCTCAACCAAATAGCTAAACAATTCCAAATTGATCCAAACCTATGAAGAAGATAATAGTCGCAAACATGAAACTAATCCACGTCAGTCCACCCAGTCCAAATTTAGGTAGGAGTAACTGCCAGATGAAAGAATGAACTGTATTGATCAAAGCAACGGTTAAGTAGGTTATCCAATTGGGGCGCGCACCGAGAATGAGCGTTACGCCACTACCGAGTAACAGGGTGTCCAGTCTCCACAATGGGAAAAGAAAACCTGGAAGGGGAATGTTTGGAAATGGTTGTCCGTATGTAGCGCTTAAAGTGCACCTGTCACGCATGCTATGAAGTGTGATTAATTGGTGCTCAAGGTCATCAGGCTCTTGAGTAGCGGATGAAGCCGTCTCGGTGCTGTATTCACTCTCGTTGTCTACCATTGGCAGCAACGGCTTCTGAATAGGCAGCAAATCCTTATACAAGGCGAGATTCTTAAATTCTTGAAATGTTGAAAACGTGAGCGAGACTGCGATCCATCCGAACGTAAACCATGAGAGGCTTGTGAATGAGCTGCTGGAATGATTACCCCTATTTTCCCTTATATCAGGAACGGCGATAAGAAGGGATTGCCAGCGAACCAAATCCAACGCAAAAGTGTGAATGACAGTATTAATTGAGTTTTGCAGCTTTCTTGAATTTGAAACTGCCGCCACAAATTGGTAGATTGGCTGCTTCAGCGATTGTGCAACAATCCAAGCGCTGACACCAATGAAGATGGGTATGAAGGGGTTGAAATGTGTCGGAAAGGCATGTAATATGATACCAGCCAATATTGAGAAATGCACGAGCAGGGATATTGGAGTTACGATATGTAGCCAGATAAGGGTGGTGTACTTGACTTGAGATTTTATGAGCAAATAACAGTGCAATACGATATTACCCACCATTGACAAGCTCTTCGGACTCGTTTATCGCAAATTGGGGTCTATAAGTGTATTCTACGTCATTCGTCTCGCCAGGCATCGCACTTGGACCCGACTCTATCTGTGGGTTCGCGCGCAAGTTCTTTCGATTACCAGCTCTGATAGTGTGGGTCACGCTGTCTGCCTGCGAATTGGAATCCACAGAGCCGCGTTCAAAGTCGTTATCTTGGTGCTCAGTCTCACGATTTATTTCTGCAGGCTGATCATCTGGTGATTGAGTTATTTGAGTATATGCAAATTGTAGAGTATTCCTCGCAACGCTGTATCCCCTGCCAAAATATTTTGTAAACATGGCAGCTCAAGCTTAACCAATCTTTAACGCAGACAGTCATGAAGGGAAATTTAGATTTTATGAATAGCGACGACGAGGACGTTGATAATTCCGGGCAAGGACTTAACGATGACAGAGATATCGATATCTCCAGCGCTTTGCTCCCATCTTCATCCAAGAAGACGGTGGACGACGATGATGACGATCAGTTTATTCTCGATGTTATGCAATCTGCCAATAAAAACAAAGGAAAGGAAGTTGCAAAGGAGCTCAACAAAGGCAAAGCTAAAGGCCCAAAAGCTAAAGCTCAAGTCGGCGGTGGCAGCTTCCAGTCGATGGGTGAGTTTTTGCGGTGTAGCTAATCACACTCAGCTCACATGCCCTCAGGATTGAATCCTTCTCTCCTGCGTTCACTCTTCTTGCGCGGTTTCAATCAGCCTACACCCATTCAGCGTCAGACTATCCCCCCAATTTTGTCTACACCTCCCAGGGATCTCGTCGGTATGGCTCGTACGGGCTCTGGTAAGACTCTTGCATATCTTATCCCTCTGGTACAAAAGCTAGGCGCTCAGCACTCTATAAGATTCGGTGCAAGGTCGCTGATCCTCGCACCTTCTCGTGAATTAGCCTTGCAGATATTGCGTGTAGGTAAGGAACTTGTCAAAGGCTACAAGAAAGAAATGGGAGAAGGCCAAGAAGAGATACGCTGGTCTGTTATTGTCGGTGGTGAGAGCTTAGACGATCAATTCTCTTTAATTGCTAGCAATCCTGACGTAATCATCGCAACACCTGGTAGATTACTCCACTTGGTTGTAGAGATGAACCTGGACTTGAAGAGTGTTGAGTATGTTGTCTTCGATGAAGCTGATCGCTTGTTCGAAATGGGTTTTCAGCTTCAACTTCATGAACTCATTTCAAGGCTTCCTACAAACCGTCAAACACTGCTCTTCTCAGCTACCTTACCAAAGACCCTCGTCGAGTTTGCTAAAGCTGGTCTTGTTGACCCCAAGCTGGTCAGATTAGACGCAGAGTCTAAAGTCAGCGAAGATTTAGAGATGGCTTTCTTAAGCGTCAAGCCTTCAGACAAGGACAGCGCCTTACTGGCTTTACTAAAGGATGTTATCAAGGTTCCACCCGGTTTTCAGGATGCTCAGAAAGTATCCAGTAAAGATGACAAGGAAAAAAAGCGCAAAAAAACACCTATGCCTTCATTTTTGAAACCATTCCAAACCATGATCTTCACGGCTACAAAGCATCACGTCGAATATCTCAACACATTACTCAAAGCTGCTGGTTTTGCAGTTGCACACATTTATGGTTCCCTAGATCAAACTGCTCGTCAGATGCAAATGGATCAATTTAGGAGGGGTATATCAACCATTCTGGTTGTTACTGATGTTGCCGCGAGAGGTATAGATTTGCCTGGATGTGAAAACGTTATGTGAGTTTGAGGTATTGCTAAGCTATGAATAAAGCTCATAAACTATAGCAACTACGATTTCCCTACTGGTGCTAGAATTTTCGTCCACAGAGTTGGTAGAACAGCAAGAGCAGGTAGAAAGGGTACTGCTTGGTCATTTATCACAAACTCCGAATTGCCTTACTTGCTCGACCTCTCGCTCTTCTTGGCCAGACCGTTGGTATCACCAACCTCGCCCACTAACAGAGACAAAGCTGAAGAGCTTGCATCCAAGAATACACTTACAATCGGTACTATCCCAAGAGATACACTTGATCCTTACGTGGAGTACCTTGGTGCACCAATACTCAACGAAGCACCAAACCTCACAGCTTTGCACGGTGTCATGATGCGTGGTCATGGTCTATATGAACGCAGTCAGGGTAAGGCTTCAACAGAATCATATAGACGTGCAAAGGATATCATCAAAGATGCGAGATGGGGATTTGCTGGAACATCAGGAGAAGATCGAGCAATGCATCCAGCATTTGAAGGTACAGCTGCAGAAACTATGCAAGTTGACGATGAAACTGCCCAGAAAAGAGCTGATTTACTTTCGGTTGTAAATGGCTTCAGACCTAATGAGACTGTTTTCGAGATTGGCCATCGTGGTAACAACGACAGTGCTAAGCTGATGAAAGAGAGAAGAAAGGATCTCGCTAAAGCTGAGTATAGATTACATTTGAAGGAGAAAGAGAAAGCTATTGCTGAAGAAGCGGACGGTGAAGTTGCGCCAGGTGACACCACCAAGGAGGCAGACAGAGATGTGCAAGAGCAGGAGCAAGCTGATGAAGATGATATAGAGGTAGGTTGTGGTCTGTCTCTTTGTACTCATCTGACGCCCAATACAGGCTGTTTTCGATACTGGTAGTAAGAAAAAGCAGAAGAAGGACTTCCGTGATCCAAATTTCTACATGGGCTATGAACACGCAGATGCTCACACTGACAAAGGGTAGGCTGTTATAAATAAAGTATTACAAGGCTAACCATTTATTCACCAGATATTCTTTACAAGACGGTGTAACATTTGCAGAGCAAGCACGCTCCGCTGAAGTTAACTTGATGGATGACGAGCAACTGAAGGTGAACAAAACAGCACCATCGCAGGTAAAGTGGGACAAAAAGAAAAAGAACTTTGTCCGAGGTGGAGGTGTTGGTTCAGACAACCAGAAGCTTATCAAGACAGAATCAGGTACACGCTTACCGGCAACATTTAAATCTGGCAAGTTTGACGAATGGAGAAAGAAACACAAGATGGAGCTACCACGTACAGGAGAGACAGAGGAGAAAAATCACAAAGCCTTAGCAATGAACATGAACGGTGGCCTTGGTGGAAAGAAGTACAGACACCACAAGACGACAGAAGCAAAACCACTCGATAAGAAGGATAAGAATTACGAAAAGAAGGTACAGAACCGCAACAAGAAGAATAATCCAGATGGCGCTGCTTCTGATGGCAAAGCTAGGAGAGGCGGTAATGCGTCTAACAAGAAGAGTGAAATTAAGAGCGTCGATGCTATCAGGAAGCAGCGTGAAATGGCTAACAAGCGTAAAGAGAAGAACGCTCGTCCAACCAAGAAGAAAAAGTAAACTCCATGACTGTAACTTATTTTATAGAAATTCATTCTTATTACGTAACTATGACATCTTGGGGTATCATCCAGCTTGTTTTGCAGTTCTTCCGGAACGAAATCAGCTTTAGTAGTCTTAGGAACCCATTTAGACGATGGTACGAGTTTAAGCCAACGTTTCTCGTACTTCCAAGGCGACCCCGTAATCATAAAGAGGCTCAAGCGATTTATAACGCAATCCGAACTTATGCTTTTTACTTGGATGCTTTGCCTATTATAAGTGATCTAGGAATCAATGTTCGCATCGGTTTAGACGACTTACTCGCAATTCCAATTTTGGGAGATTTGATAACAGGGTTGATAAGTATTTATCAAATATGGTTGGCTTCCTTACTAGGTCCGCCTAGAATGGTAGTTTATAGAATGGTGAGAATAAGCGCAGTTTATTATGTTGCTGATGACGTTCTCAAGTGGATCAACGTTGTGTTTGACGTTTTGGTGGGACTAGTGCCCTGGGTCGGAGCCTTTTTTGACTTCTTGTTTAAAGCCAACCTCCGCAATCTTAATTTGGTAGAACAATGGCTCTTATCTAGTGATTCTTCAGCTCACCAGCACAGAATAGTACTGTATGTTATACCCTTTCTTGTCTATCCTCAATTGGTTAGCTCACCAAATTCCAGTATGCCTAAAGAGAGATTTCTGCCTAAAAGATCACCTCCAGATGCACACATAGTCAGCGATAATCCTCCTAGTCGAACATACCGACGCGAATTCATAGACCTTAATGAAGACGAAAGAGATTACGATGATTTAGATTAAACGTTATGTATATCATGAAATTACGCCGTTTACATGTGTACTGACGTAGCATTAATATCGATACTGTAAAGTGTGTATGGCTTGACCGTCCTATCAGTACCATTCCAGAACCTGTCCTGAAGATAGAATTGGTTATCAATCCAATAGAGCTTGTGGTCCGCAATAGAGAGAGTATCAGGCCATGTGATGTGGTGATTGTGGATTAAGTCTCCAAATAATCCAGTAGATGGATCGTAGGTTTGTATGCCATCTTGTTCGGGTGCGCCGAAATATATGAGCCCGTTACTGTCGGTCTCCATACCATCGTTGCAGCTACCCTTCTGACCGAGGAACTCGACTGCTGCATCCGCGGCATGTTTAGCGTTTGTGTTTAAAGTACTTGGCTTTGTGCGCAGCTTCTCACTTGGGACTCTGTATACCTTGCGAGAAGTCATGGGTGTGTAGTATATCCACTCGCCATCTGCACTTAGTGCAATTCCATCAATACCTGTCGTCCAGAACCCTTTGTTGGTGTCCGAAGTGGCATAAACGGATTGACCTTTGAATGAGAAAATGGCATCTGTGTCTGGACGTGTGGATGGGTGGATATCGAGGTGACGCCATGCCTCGCCGGTGGCTATGTCTACTACTATCATACCCGTTCTTCCTTCATCTGAAGAATCAGTTATATAGACAACACCTTTGTCATTCTTTGAGAGATCTATACGCAAGTCGTTGAGATAGGTGCTTGGGAAGGCGACATCTGGGGATAGAATGATTTCTAAGAGACTAAATTGAGTGTCTCACAAGTGAAAATTAAACTTACTCTCGACAGGCTCGGTGGATGCATCTTTACCAGTATCGTAAGCCAATAACTTGCTTCCCCATGGCTGTAGCTGTGCTCCACTTGCGCGTCCTGTATCTAATACCCACAAACGGTCCATCGCATCGACTACGATTCCCTGACAACTAACGAGCAGGTCGTCGTAAGAAGCGGAGTAGCCAGGGTTAGAAGCATTTTGTAATGCAGGGAGGGTGTTTGCTTCCAAAGAAGGAAAAGCCTCGTCCATCCCGATATTGACCAACTCAGCCAGAGTGTAGTTGTTTCCAGGACCGCGTGGGAATGTAGAGAACATTCTTCCAGATTGTGTGACAGCCACACCGGCTGGGAAGAGATCGTAGAAGAGATGCTCTACTTTCAGAGAAGGACCAAATTGACCACCGAAGTCAGGCTTGCCGACTTTCTCCAAGAGAAGATCGGATGAAGCAGATGCAGCAGTAGCTAATGCGCCTAAAAAGGCAAAAGAGAATGTCTTCATAGTATGTAAACGAGTCAATATGCTAATGAGCCAATATGGAAAACGTGCATTCCAATGTGGATTGAATTTGGATTGGAATGAATAAATCAGATTAGCCAAATGATCTCAATCTACCGTAAAAACCAATCAAATCAATTTAAACGCCAATTTACATCTTGCTCATCGACGCTCATTTGCGAGATGCAAGAGGAACGCGCACCGAGAGTAAAGAACAGGCTCCCAGCCAATGTACAAATCACTGCAGAGCAGCTTCTGCGTGAGGCCAATGAGCGACAAGATCCACAGCTCCAGCCTTCCAGACAGCGTCTGCAGGATTTTGAGGAGCTCAATGAATTCCAGGGACGCAAAAGGAGAGAGTTTGAAGAGCGTATCCGTATGCTCAGAATAGACGTGAGTTTATCTTCCTTGGCGTCTTTCTTTCTAACCAATCGGGCAGCTCAAAACGTGGGCTACTTACGCTAAATGGGAGGCTACACAGGGCGAGTATGACCGTGCACGTTCTGTTTGGGAGAGAGCTCTTGATGTCGAGCCCGTCGCTCACCAATTATGGTTGCAGTACATTGATATGGTGAGCTATATACCTCTGACTATCCACCAATCTCACTCAACAACCCCAGGAGCTCAAAGCTAGAAACATCAACCACGCTCGTAATCTTTTCGATCGTGTAGTCACCCTCCTCCCGCGCATCAATCAATTCTGGTACAAGTATGTCCACATGGAAGAGCTCATTGGTAATATCGCAGGTGCGCGTCAGGTATTCGAGCGATGGATGTCGTGGCAGCCGGACGATAAGGCATGGTCAGCCTATATCAAGCTTGAAGAGCGCTACCAAGAGTGGGAGCGTGTTAGCGGCCTCTACGAGCGTCTCATCGGTATACGGCCAGAACCAAAGTTGTGGGTGAAATGGGCGCGTTACGAGGAAGATAGAGGCAAATTCGATCGTGCTAGAGAGATATTTCAGATGGCTTTAGAGTTTTTCGGTGATTCTGAAGAACAGATAGAGAAAGCGCAGAGCGTATTCAATGCATTCGCGAAAATGGAGACGAGAGCTAAGGAATTTGATAGAGCTAGAGTTATTTATAAATACGCACTGTCGAGATTACCGCAGAGCAAGAGCGCTGATCTTTTCGGAGCGTACACTAGATTCGAGAAGCAATATGGATCCAGGAGTGGTGTAGAGGCCACAGTTCTGGGTAAGCGGAGGTTGCAATATGAGGCGGAGGTCACTGCAGAGCCTAGCAATTATGATACTTGGTTCGAGTACCTCAAGCTGGAGGAGTACTCTTACAGGATGGAAGAAGATGCTACTAAAGAGGACGCTCTCGCTAGGACGAGAGAATTGTATGAGAGGGCGGTATCGCAAGTTCCACCATCCAACGAGAAGAGACATTGGCGGAGGTACATCTTTATCTGGCTATCTTATGCAATCTTTGAAGAGGCTGATGTTAAGGATTTTGATAGGGCTAGAGTCGTTTATCAGACTGCGATTGCTCTCGTTCCACACAAGCAATTTACTTTTGCCAAGCTCTGGAATCAATATGCGAGATTTGAGATAAGAAGATTGAATTTAATTGGAGCAAGGAAAATATTCGGTCAAGCTATTGGAATGTGTCCAAAGGAGAGACTGTTTAAAGCATACATAGATCTGGAGTTTGAGTTAAGGGAATTCGACAGAATTAGAGCACTTTATGAAAAGTATCTGGAGTTCGACTACTCTAATTGCTCAGCATGGATACGGTTTGCACAGCTAGAAGCAGAGCTCGGTGACACAGGTCGTGCTCGATCCATATTCGAGTTGGCAGTAGGTCAAGATGCGTTGGATATGCCAGAACGTAGGTCAAAGCCATGCATTTCTATAAGATTGTTAACAGTCTCATTTAGTACTATGGAAGGCCTATATCGACTTTGAGACAGAGGCGATTGAAGAGGGCGAGTCAAGTAGAAACACGGTTAGGAGTCTGTATGATAGACTACTTGATCGCACCAGTCACGTCAAAGTCTGGATCGCATATGCACATTTTGAAAAGAATGAAATTGATAATGAGCAAGGTGAAGATGATGAGCCTAGAGAGGAGAAGGCACGGAGGGTTTACGAGAGAGGCTACAACAGCCTCAAGGAGCGTGGACTTAAAGAAGAGGTATGTTTGCATTACGGAGGAAGAATTATATTAACGAGATATTTAAGAGAGTTGTTTTGCTGGAGTCATGGAAGGAGTTTGAAAGTGAGAATGGTGACAATACAACGGTTGAAAAAGTACAAAGTAAAATGCCAAGGGTAGTGAAGAAATGGCGCAACACAGACGATGGAGTTGAAGAGTACTTTGATATGCTGTTTGCAGATGACGAGACACAGAGTAACCCAGCATCACTCAAGTTCTTAGAAATGGCACATGCTTGGAAGACACAAAAGCAACACAACGGTAACGAAGAAGCCGAATGAAGTTAATACATGATGAAAAAGATTGTAAACTATGGAAAGTTTAGTTTTATTGACCCATTCTAACCATTTGTTGCTTAAGCTTGAGCAAAACAACAGTTCCGGAGGCCACCCATTCGAAGAGCTGTACGTCACCGTCGAACTGAAAGTCGGAGTTAGCAAATGACGTAGTTGAACAACCAAGACGTACGCCTGAAGGGGTATATTCGCACTTGACGCCGATAACGCCGTTTCCACCCTTTTCTCTAGCGGCTTCCTTTAGCCTGTCGAGAGCTCTCTCGCGATACCTCTCTGATCTCTTTTTTATTTCCTCAGAAGGGTCGGAAGCCTTGTCTTCAATTTTAAGAGAGGACATGCCGAAAGCAGGAGCCTGAGCGGAGACAGGAGAAGAAGGTCTGCTAAGATCCTCAACGGTTGACTCGAAAACTGCGCCGAAAACCTGAACGATATTGTAGACAGGATTTGGATCAGAAATGGTGAGGAGGAGAACGTCATTGTAGTTATAATCGGACATTTTTTATTAAAGGCGTTTCAGTGGATATAATTTGTTAGATGATCGTCGTCAAGGAGCAAGATGGATCTCTTACAGTGACGTCGTCTGCTTGGAAAATGAACGAGTGGCGGAGATATTTAAGCATAAGCAGAAGAATTCTTAATCATTATGAGACGCTCAATTTGAGCGCTTCTGCAACGCCACAGCAGATAAAGACAGCATTTTACACGGTGAGTTTTCCTTTGGCTATGGGGAGAATACTAACGCGGCCTAGTTAAGCAAGGAGTATCACCCAGATAAGAATGACAGCCCAGATGCTAAGCGTGTGTATCAGTCCATTACTGAAGCTTATTCGATACTCGGTGATGCGCCGTCGAGGTAAGTGGTGCTAGTATTCACCATTTCCGAGTTATTAAGGGATAAATAGGCGTAATTATGATAGGCAGATGGATAGCACACCTATTACACCATACGGATATCCTTCAAATGCAGGTTTAGATAATAGGCGCAGGCAGAGAGCAAATTACGCGTGGACACAGCAAGGAAAGCATCAAGCACAACAGAGGAGTAATTGGAAGAAATACCAGCAGGAATCGAGCTATTTTAATGACTCAGCTCGCTCTCACGCGTGGTGGACAGATATTTATCAGCGTCGAAGTCGGCCGGGGAAGAGAGAAGATGGATCGGTTGATAACAAATTTCTTAAGGACTCAACATTCTGGAGATATATGCACACTTTCAGCTTATTTGGGCTACTCTTTGGATTCGCTGGACTTTTGCGGTATGGCTCAGAGGCTTCACCAGCGCAGAAGAAAACTGGAAATAGAGCAGACAACTCAGCGTTAAGCTTAGAAGATAAATAAAATGTTTTAATATTTTTACATTGATATGTCTACGCATGCATCTCTCTCTCTGCTTTCAACGGTGACCAGCAGCTAGGATGAATTTCAACAACTATAATCCGTTCGGGTTTCCGACTTACTTTGATCCTAATCAGCCGCAAGTTCCACAGCAGCCAGATCAACAGAATTATGATTATATGACTAACTCATTCCCCATCTTCAACCCAAACCTCATGCAGCCACCTCCTCAACAACCGCTAAATTTAATGCCAAATCCCTCATTTTATAGACCCGTTGTAGAGGAATCTATGGCTCAGCGCTTTGTTCGCACTCTTGGCTTTAGACCTGATCAACTTCCACTCGTTGAACGGGTTTTGGCTGATTGTAATCAAGATTACAGGACAGCGACTGATACTTTGCTTTCTTTGAATGCTCTTCAGCAGCAGCAAGCTCAGCAACAAGCTCAGCAACAGCAATTTCAACAGCAGCGTCACATTCAACCACTCCCTCCTCAAGTTATACAGAGACAGCAGCCTCAGTTCATCAGACAGCCTCAAATGCCTCCCCAGCCACTCAGGTTTAGACAGATGACCACTCTTCCAACTCAGTCTAAGATTAGAGAGAATAATATGACTTCCGTCAAGAGACAATCGAAAAAGCAGTACAATAGCTCAGACGATGAAGGTGATTTCGGTGGTGACAGCGATTCAGACGACGATAATGGTGTCAGAGAATCTACCGTCTCTGTTTACGACGAGTCTGAGGCCGTCAAGTGGTTCAACAAAGCAGAACCTAAAGAGATACAAGAAATATTAGCCCTCTCTGAAAGGGCGTTGGAAGCTATCATGTCCATGAGGCCTTTCCAAAATGCAAACACTTTAAGAGCAAAACTTAAAGCTACAAAAGGTGTCTCTACCACCATCTTTGACTTTTACTTGGATTTGATAGCTTCCTACAAGCAGGTTGACCAGGTTCTCGACAAGTGTGAACAAGTTGGTGGTAGAATATCTTCCATCTTCTCTCAGATGGAGAAGAACGACGAGACCCCACCTGCACTCATCGAAAGCTCAATAAAATTGAAGAGCTATCAATTTGAAGGTGTAAGATGGTTAGAACATTTACATAAGCAGAAGGTTTCCGGTATTTTGGCAGACGAGATGGGGCTTGGTAAGACACTCCAAGTAATTGTTTTCATTGCCGCCCTCAAAAACACTCAGCAACCTGGTCCAAACCTCATCGTTGTACCTTCATCTACACTTGAAAATTGGCTGAGAGAGTTTTCACGATTTGCTCCATCATTGGTTGTCAAGTCTTATTATGGCGATCAACATGAAAGATCTATACTCAGGGATGACTTATTACCTTCAAGAAACGACATGGATGTACTTATCACCACTTACAATCTTGCTCAAGGTTCTCCCCAAGATAGAAAGTTCTTACGCAAGATGAAGTTCCGCACTGCTGTTTTCGATGAAGGACACATGTTGAAAAATCGTGAAACAAAGTCATACAAGTACTTGGCTGAATTGAAGGTGCCTTGGAGATTACTGCTTACTGGTACACCGCTTCAGAACAACCTTCAAGAACTTGTTTCGTTGCTTAACTTTATCTTGCCTGAGTATTTCCAAGACACTGAAGAAGCGCTGCGTGTTGTGTTCAAGGTCAAGCCCGGCGTTCACGCTTCCATGCTTTCAAGAGAGCGTGTTTCAAGAGCTAGTAGGTATTGATGTATTCCAACTCTCGCAACTAATCAATCCACAGAGAAAATGATGCAGCCATTCGTATTGCGCAGAAAGAAAGCACAAGTGTTGACAGATTTACCAAGTAAAAGGGAATTGATAACATACTGCGATTTGACAGATAGCCAAAGGAATATTTACACAGAGACCATGTCTAGATCACGCAAGGCTATTGTGGAGACAGACAAGACTGAAGCTTCAACTCCTTCAGAGTCTGGCACAGAGTCAACACGAGGAAGAAAGAGAGGTAAGGCAGGTTCATCAAAGGGCAAAGATCCTTCAGAGTCTTCCAATCATGTTCTCATGGATTTGAGAAAAGCTGCAAATCACCCACTATTGTTCAGACGTCATTTCAACACCTCAATAGTTCGAGAAATGGCAAAAGATTGTTTGAAAGAGCCTGACTTCAAGGAGAGCGTTTATGAGCTCGTCGTTGAAGATATGGAGATCATGACTGATTCTGAATTGCAAAACTTCTCCAAAAATTTCCAGGTCTGTAGTAAAGTTGCGTAAATAATTCGTTTAGCTAACCCAACTTAGACCGTTAACAAGTATACTTTACCAGAAAGCGTATACATGGATTCAGGAAAGATCACAGCGCTGATGAAGATACTAAAAGAATCTAGGGAACGTGGTGACAGAGTCTTGGTTTTCTCTCAATTTACGATGATGTTAGAAATTCTCAAGAAAGTCCTCGATCAGCACACTATCAGATACCTCATGTTTACAGGCCAGACGCAAGTCGAAGAGAGACAGATCCTCGTTGATGAATTTTTCGAAAACACCGATATTCAGGTCTTCCTTCTGTCTACAAAAGCTGGTGGTCTGGGTATTAACTTGACGGCTGCAAACGTCGTAGTAATCTTTGATTCAGATTGGAATCCACATGCAGATCGTCAAGCGGGAGACAGAGCATTCCGTATTGGTCAGACGAAAGATGTTACAATACACAAATTTGTATCCAAGGGTACAATCGAAGAGGATATGTTGCGACTCGCAGAGACAAAGCTGAAGCTTGACAAGGCAGTCGGAGGCGGTGAAGGAGAATACGGCGTCGGAGCTGAAGAAGAGGGTAACGCTGAATCTACTGAGAAAGTGGTCAAATCTTCTCTACTCCAATCTATCCGTAACAGATTAGATCAGGGAGGTCAGCCTGAAGAAGGAGCCGATCCAGCAGCATCACAATCTGAGTTTATCAAACAGCTTGAAGTAAATAACCAGCTACCAGAGGGTGTGCAGGCCAAGGCGCTGGCTAGTGGATTGCCAAAGAATGCTCAAATTCAGCTGCAGAATGATGCGTCTACGCCCGTGCATGAGGAAGCCAAGGCTATCAATCAGGCTCAACAGCAGCACGTGCATCACCTTAATGAGCAGAAGGCGGAAATCAAATTAGAGCCAAGCCAAGTACCAACATTACCAACGCCCAGTGCTGAAAATGTCCCAGCTCTTCTCGCTCAACCTCTTCAACAACCGCAATCAAATCCATCAGCAGACATTAAGCCTGAGTCGCGCGAGGCTGTAACAGGTGTACAATCTCCAACACCTGTGCAAGATCAACCATCTTTGGAAATTGAGCCAAGTGAAGAATCTCAAACAGCCGCAGGAGATCAACCAGCTCAAATCCCTGCTCCTCAACCAGTGGAAGCATCAGCACCAACACAGTCACAAACACAACCACAACTGCAGCAAACTCAACCTACATCTTCACCACAGCCACAATCTACACCTCCACAACAACCACAATCACAGGAAGAATCGCCAAAAGAGGACTATCAGCCTTCGTAGAATTAAACAGCAATAAAAGTCGATACTTAGTACAAAAAATGAGAACATATCTTGTGTGTATAAAATAATGAATTTAATCTTTTTCCATCAAAACAAAGAATGTGCATTAACAGTTGATAGTTTACAAAAATAATTTAAATAATTTAGACTAACGGAGCAGTATCTTGATTCCGTCTGTTTGGTTGGTGCTGTGCGTGACCACCAGGATGCTTCATTATACGCGAGATCAAACCAGCAATACCTGGAGCGTGCATTGATTTAGCTGGAGCTGTGAGATGGGCTGGAAGCATAGTGAGACTTTCGTCCACATCTTCGTCTTTTGCAGCACCTCCGCTACCCTTCCGATTTTCCAAAGCCATAGCAAGTGCCAGTGTAGGCTTGCTGACGCTTGCAACATCTGATGGCGTTGCAGGCAGACTGCTACCACCATCGGATGAAGAAGACACCGACATGTCTTTAGACGCCCTCTTACTAACCAAATCTGAAGGGAGCTGAGACTTCAACGCATTGTCCAAAGCACTAGGTGAGAATGCTCCAGGCATTCCCGTATTTCTAGACACCATGGGTGGTTGCGTTTGCGCTTGACGAACTGCTGGCATAGACTTGGCAGTCTTCAGTGCTGGTTTCAGTGGAGATGGAGCCTTGGCTGAAGGTATTGGCTTGAATTGCGGTGGCGATTTATTTGGATTAGACAGTGGCATTCTCATGAATTGTTTAGAATGTCTTATCAACTCGGCTTCGCTAAACCCGATATTGAATTCAAGAAGGTCGAGTAGCTGGATCTCCATCAAATGAATTTCCTCCAATGCAAATCTAACAGACGACCAAGCATATTTTCTCCAGTGACGATTCTTAGGACAACAGTCATTAAGTGACTTTGCGGTTATGATCATAGCTGCGAAAAAGACTCTGTGACGAGTACATGGCATGCCTACACAGGAATTGTCAGAATATTCCAGTTAATCGGTGCTTAAAGTAAACATACCTTTGGCAGCTGGTGGTAGCTTCGATCCCAACCTATCTAAGAGCACCAAAGTACACAGTACTGTAGCCACTTGACAGCCAGACTCGATGAGAACCGTCTTGATAAATTGCTTGAGTGGTGGCGGACCTCTGGACATTTCGGCAGCAACATGTCCCACCTTTGCCAAGCGCGGCTTGACTGGACTAGGTGGTGGACTTGGATAACCGCTGTTGTGTGAGTATTCTGGGCTGTTGTTGCCGTTGCTTTCTGGTCTTACTGGAATGATTTCTGAGACTTTTTGAGCGAGTGCTTCAACCATACGTTCAGAAATCGGAGAGCGCATGAGATCCACTAGCGCCGGCGCATGACTTGAAACTGGCATCAATGAGGCAGGATGTCTGCGCTGAGTAGCTCCGAATGACGGTGTTGATGTTGCATTTCTGAGTGCTGGCATTGTATGTATTTGCTGTGATAAAGAGAGTACTTGTGTGTATAATGAAGTATGTGTTTTGTAACTACCAGAGTTTCTTTCTAGCTAACCAGAGCTGAACTTTTATTCTTTGTTTTGAAAAGCTTATAAGTGGGACGGCCGGCGTCTAGTTTGTTCAAGCTTTCCGTTTGATAGGTCTGATGAACGCTACTCAGAGAGATCTGTATTAAATACGCAAAATTATTCGATTTGGAAAATCGCGCTAAAATCAAACGCGTAACTACCAAAAGCGGTAGGCAGGTGACGCATTTACTTTCCTTTTCAGTTATTAGAGTTATTAACGGTCTTTATTAATGTTAGAGTCACGTTAATCTGACCTTCCGTTCGTCTTTGATTAATTTGGTTGCGGTTGAAGTTTTTCACTAGCCGTTTTAGTTATGTCTTCGGATCTAGCCTGCTGATCGTAGGGACCAGTCAGGCGATGGTTTGCTTCGTATCTTACTATGTATTCTCACACATGCCACAACATGTCAATGCATATCATAGAACCGTTTCACGCCTCAATGCCAGTGTGAGGATGGAGATGAGCTGTGCCATTCTTGAGTGTACCGGAATCTTGATTTTTGTAGTTGTATTGAGTGCTCTATTCATAATAAGGTTGTGTTATCTTGTAGGAGTGGATTAGGTAGATAACTCCTGGCTGACTAACATTGTGTAATCCTAGAGATCATTTTTTGAAAAAGTATTTATTCCTAGATTGAAGTTCTAATCGACCTTCCTTCTGGTTGTAAGGGGCAGTACAAAGACGGCAGATTCATAAAATGCATTCGAAAATTACACTAGATTAGTTTTGTGAGTGACAAGATCATTTAAGTACCCTTACATATTCTCAGCTTGATATTAATGGCTTAGTGGTGAAATGTGCACTACAAAGATCTGAACTTTGGTGATGTAATGATGCGTACAGAGAGTGGCTTAGAAGGTATTTGAGACAATCATTAACGTCTAATTAGTTGTTACTTTAATCTTTGTGTCATCCCTTGAAGCGCTTATCCGTCACCTCACGTCATTCCCTCTCTCGACCAACCTCCAAAAGAGTAAATCATGGCAATCAGAATTGCAGCTCAATCACCGCGGCAAACAGTAGATAATGAAAACCCACAAAAGCGCCCAAAAAAGTAGCTTAGACAGCCTCCTAACGAACAGTCGAGGTGCGCTTCCAAGTATTATTGATAGGATTACGACAACATGAAAACGCTGAATATAGATACAAACAGGCCTCAACTGATTGATTTTCTTGTTATTCAAAACGACAAGAATATATAGTGGCAAAGAGAAAGAGATGACATGTCAGTTTGGCCGAGTGGTTAAGGCGCTTGATTAGAATTTCATAAGTGAAGTTCTTCCAAAGCATACTATCAAGTACTCTTGTAGTGCGTAGGTTCGAATCCTACAGCTGACGAATACTTTTGCACTTTCATCCTTTTATTTTTGGACTGGGCGGCTCCTACAAAAATCACATAAGTTGCTATTTATCTGAATTCACATTTGTGATAAGTTAAAGAATTTATTGTTATCTTACTACAGACGGAATCAAATGTGTGCGGGGAGGGAAGATCGATCTGAGTTGCGAAGGGTGATGAATACATCGAAATACAATATGCAGATACACTCATCACACATGCGCGCCAGTCGAAGCGATCTCAAGTGCCGTACTCAGGCACATCGATCGGTTACGATTACGATTACAATTTGAGGGTGTTAATCTTGACCGAAAGAATGTGATGATTAACAGTAAGGAAGAGAAGCCGTTAAATGGTTGAATAGCCAGAAGGGGGATAAAGCAGCCATACTCCGTTGGTTAACTGGGTAGTGCGCATATACCTGGAATGGTAAAATCGAGCGAAAGCCGCCACCAGACAAAGCTGAAAGTAGAACATGCAAATTTCGTACGGAGTCTCTAAGTCTACATTTCTTGCTCCGATAGATGCACTCAGATGCACTCAGACCCACTCACAGGAACGTGTTGACCTATAAAATACACAAGCGGAATTGACTAGTAATAACAATAGCAATAACAGTAACAATAGCACTAATAATAATATTGGTATGGATGTTGTGGCGCGTTCTGCGTGCTTAAGTAAGCACCGTCGGAAGATTGATTTTGCGGTGGGTATTGATAGCTGTAGTTAGGCTGGTGAAGCTGGTAGTACTCCCGGTGCTGCTCGTGGTGCTGTTCGTTTGATGCAGACAGAGCAGACGGAGTGAGCGGATTTGAGAATGCAGAAGGACCTGCGGTTACGACAGGTACCGGCGTCGGATAGTAGCTGTAATATCCCTGAGGATGAACCGGCTGTGGCGGAAGAGCATGTTTCGGGGGCAAACTCCCGTCAACACTCAGATTCACAGCGCATACTCTCTGGTGACGCAGAAGGATGTCGCTGGGATACAGTTAGAGCTGGAACGGTCCTCGAGTGAACAAGTGACGCACGAACGGCTGTACGCCTTACCGCACTTGCAGATGTGTGGATTAGAGTTTTGGCGATCTGGGTGAAGAGGTGAGGAAAGTTGCGGTGAAATCAAGTCAACATACGGATGTTCCGTTTGTGTCTCATCATGTTCTCGGGTCTAGTAAAGGTGGAATGGCAGTTGGGATAGTCGCAGCGGAAGTTTTTGTCCATTTGAGAGTAAAAGGGGATATAGAATGAATGCAAGCGAGAACTTCTTTAGAACAAGGCACTCAGTTACGACATGCTTGACGGGAGGTACAATTGAAGGCGGCGAGGAGGATAAAGGGGAGGGGGAGTCGTTGTAGCCGTTACAGTTTAAAATCAGCAGCTCCTTTCACCAGCTGCAGTTAGAACTCTAACCTTAACCATCACAATGTCATTCGCTGAGAAGCTATTGAGGTCGAGGCTAAATGAGGACAACGAGGAGAAAGCTTCAAAGGTTTATAGCAGCAAGTTGGAGGATAGTACAGTGATGCTTGATAACCCATTGAAAGCTTCAAAGCCAGCAGCGAAACCAGCGAAACCAACGAAATCAAAGCGTCGGAGGCAGCAACTTCAGTACTCAGTAAAGAAATGTGCAATGTCATATGAAACCGCTGTAAAGATGAATAAGCTGTGGAATGAGTACATAAAAGATATCATTGCGGGTGATATAAACTCAATTCAGAGTAAAATGCTCAAAGCTGATCTGTGTGGATGCCGGCTAATCGTTCACAGCTCAAACAACGCAAGCTTAGTCGGCAAAGAAGGAATTTGTATTCTCGAGACAGAGAACTCATTTGCTATAATAACCCCAGATTCGACACATAAGTCTATCCCCAAGAATGGCTGTGTGTTTGCGATACAGAGCGATATGTTCACGCTTCATCTACACGCCAACAACTTCAAGTTCAGAAACGTCGATCGTTTAAATAAAAAGTTTAAGCATAAATTAATCGTTTGACGTACATCATTTACATCACCCACCATCACCATGCCTTCCGCCATTCTCAGCGTTTACGATAAATCTAATCTCCTTGAATTGGCTTCTGATCTACAAGCCTTGGGTTTCAATCTCCTCGGCTCCGGTGGTACTTCCAAGAAAATTCGTGATGCCGGAATCCCGATATCTGACGTACAAGACATCACAAATGCTCCGGAAATGTTGGGCGGTAGAGTTAAAACTTTGCATCCCGCTGTGCACGGTGGTATTCTCGCAACCAATTCCGCCTCCGACAATGCCGACCTCGAGAAGCAGGCCTACACCAAGATCGACTTGGTCGTCTGTAACCTCTACCCATTCAAAGAGACCGTCGCAAAGCCAGACGTTTCTCTCCCTAACGCTGTAGAGGAGATCGATATTGGTGGTGTGACTCTGTTGCGTGCAGCTGCCAAGAATCACGAAAGAGTCTCCATTCTGTCTGATCCAACCGATTACAAGAGCTTTGTTGAGTCTTATAAGAATGGCGTAGACCAGTCTTTGCGCAACAAGTGGGCTCTGAAAGTGAGTCATTCTTATTACGTTTTCGCTTCACTAACACTCACAGGCCTTCTCTCACACAGCAGACTACGACAACGCTATCAGCAACTACTTCCGTCAGCAGTACGCCTCTTTGGACACCTCCAACGATCTTGTCCAGCGCTTCCCTTTGAGATATGGTGCCAACCCACACCAGAAGCCAGCACAGGCTTACGTCACTCAAGGTGAGATGCCTATCAAAGTTCTCAGCGGTTCTCCAGGCTACATCAACCTCCTTGATGGCCTCAATTCTTGGGGTCTCGTTAAGGAGTTAGCTGAAGCCCTTTCCCTCCCAGCAGCCGCATCATTCAAGCACGTCTCACCAGCAGGTGCTGCTGTCGGTGTGCCACTCAACGATGTCGAGAAGAAGGTATTCATGGTCGACGATCTTAAGCAAATGTCCCCACTTGCAACTGCATACGCTAGAGCCAGAGGAGCAGACAGGATGTCATCCTTCGGTGACTTTATAGCATTATCCCACGAAGTCGACTACGCAACCGCCCGTATCATCAACAGAGAGGTGTCAGACGGTGTCATTGCGCCTGCGTACTCTCAAGAAGCGCTTGAGATTCTGCAGAAGAAGAAGGGCGGAAAATACTGCATGCTGCAGGTGTGTTGTGTATTGAGCTGTAGAACGTTACTAACGTGGATGCAGATCGACCCTGCGTTTACCCCCTCAGACATTGAGACACGTTCTGTGTACGGCATTACACTTGAGCAACGCAGAAACGACGCTAAGATCACCAATGAGACGTTCGCCAATGTCGTCTCGAATGAGAAGGCGCTTTCGAAGCAAGCACTGATTGATCTCACAGTAGCGACTATAGCTGTCAAGTACACCCAATCCAACTCAGTCGGCTATGCTGTGAACGGTGCTGTCGTCGGTCTAGGTGCTGGTCAGCAATCACGCATCCACTGTACTCGTCTTGCCGGCGATAAGGCTGACAATTGGTGGTTGCGTCACCATCCTCGCGTACTCGCTCTGCCATGGAAGAAGAGCGTCAAGCGTGCAGAGAAGGCGAACGCTATCGATCTCTTCGTCACCGGTGAAGCGTGGAAGGCGACAGGCTCGGAGCGTGCACAATGGGAGAGCATGTTCGAAGAAGTCCCTGCTCCTTTGTCTGAAGAGGAAGTTAAGAGTCATGCAAAAGAGTTTGCTCAGCTAGGCGTCGCTTGCTGCTCAGATGCCTTCTTCCCCTTCCCTGATAACGTCCACAGAGCTCACAGATCAGGCGTCAAATACGTCGCTGCTTCTATTGGTAGCGTCATGGATGAAGAGGTCATCAAAGCTGCTAATGAGTATGGTATTGTCTACTCTGCCCTCCCATTGCGCCTTTTCCATCACTAAACCAAGTTGTCAAGTCGTGAAATTGTGAAATTATGAAGGATATGTTTGATTTGCTGAATATGTCATGTATGTAAAAGAAGTCTCTCAACAGATAGTTTATCATTTTATTGCAATCTTTGTTGCGTGTTTTTTGTAGCATGTTACGTTTGTCTGTGTGTCTCACATACCACTCAACACTCAGCAGTCTACTCATTACACACTCGTAAAATACACTCATAAATTAAGATACTTCTATGGAACAGAAACAGAAATAAATTTACCGATGCTCCTTTTTATGGATATCTATTAGACCAATATTTTGAGACCTGCGAATAAGTTGCAATCTGTATACCGCAAGCGGGGGCAATTTTAGCGACGCGAGGGCTCAAACCGGCGAAGAGAGCTTTTGGACCTTCGACGCGAAGGATATTAAAAAAGAGGGAGACCATCGAAGGGTTTTTCTTAGCCAGCTGTCTCGGCAGAGTAACCTCATGAGAAGCATCGACCAGTGCCTGCCTGCGAGTTTTGAGTACGTCGAAAGGAGAAGTGACAAGAGCAGCGCAGATACCACTGGCCGCACCTGCGACAAAAGGTGTACGAATCGGTGCTTCTATACCCTCATACCGTATCATGCTTCTCTTGATCAGCTCGAAACCGGCCCAGTAGAAGGAGCTGAAGGGCACATCGCGAGCTAGCGTCCAATCCAAACCACGCCATAGCACACGCAGACCTGATTTACGCACGGACTGACGAAGGGTTTGGACTATCTGAGCGGGCGATTGCGTCGAGCTGGCTTGTAGACGCGTTCGCAGCAGCTCCAAGGGAGAGATGACAGTGGCGGAGAAAGTGCGCGCAATGGCACCAGCAAGGAGAGGGGAGAGAGCAGTGTTGAGACCGCTCTCGAGGAGCGTGCGGTGAAGAGACTCATATCCAAGCATGTAGACGGCATTGGATGGGATAGCCATAAGACTAGGTCGTGTTAGGACGTTTAAGTTTAAGTTTGTTGAAGTGAGACAACTCACAGAGTAGGCGTTAAGCCCTTCCAGAGTGCGCTGGGGCCTTCAAACTTGCTTATCTTGATGACGGCATCTAAACTACCGTTAAGGCGTTTGTTGCTCGATGTAATATGGTCTGATATGGGGTGTGCGTGGTGTGGCAGCTTCTGTGGCGGATGGGCTGAGTGCGTTCGTCGCTGAGAATGCCACTGTGACTGCGTCTGGAGCCGGACTTTTATCACGTCAAATGGCGTCACTGGGCGGTGTAAGAAAGTGATAGCTGGTGATACAACGACGCACTGGAAAGAGAAGTCACTATCGCCCCGACACTGGCAGCTATGAGCTTCGCAGAAGGCGGGATAATTGGAAGTGGTGGTGCGGCTGCCGTTGCTGGGGTCGTCGCCGCTGTCGCTACAGCTGCCCGGTGTATTTGGTCATCGTTGTCCATTTGAGGGAGCCGAACGGGCGGTCTGGTGGTAGACAGGCGCTTGTAAAAACGTGTTAAGCCATACTGAGTGCATGTATGCTAGATTCAACCGCCCAATGTAAATCACAACGGCTGTCAACTGTGATGACAAATTTTGCACCAACGAAGAAGACGGGGAAAAGGAGGCTGGTAGTATTGGCAGATAGTGTCTGCTGTTGGGATTAAAAATTTTGTAAATGAAGCAGCACCCACGCAGATCTCAGGTTGTTTACGATCAATCATCATCCAATGACGAGCACAACGAGCAACGATAAAAGCAAAAGCACGCTGCCAGAGCCTGCGATATCCGCGTCAGTGCAAGCCATCAGCGATTCAGTGGATAACTTGAAATTGAAGGACAAGACTGATAAGTCAGATTTGGAGGAAGGCGAGATAAAGGAGGAGGATATAAGCCCAGAAGATATGAAGACGGTGTTTGATGATGCTACAGGGTTTAACGTTAAGCACCCACTATTCAACGCGTGGACGCTCTGGTTCGATAATCCTTCGAAAAAGTCATCAGGCGCTCACAACTGGCTCGATGATACAAAAGAAGTCATCACTTTTGACTCTGTTGAAGAATTCTGGGGTCTTTACAACAACATACTCCCGCCAACTCACCTTCCTCAGAAAGCTAACTACTACCTCTTCAAGCGCGGTATTCGTCCTGCTTGGGAGGACGAAGCTAATGCCGACGGTGGTAAGTGGAGTGTCCAGTTCCCTAGAGAGAAGTGGAGAGACAGAATTGATAGACTTTGGTTGGACACTATGTTGTCTGCCATTGGTGAGACTCTCGAAGGCGACCTCAGCGAGGATGCAACCAATGATCTCATTACAGGTGTAATCATTTCGACTCGCCCTAATTTCTTCAGATTGGCCATCTGGACAAGACAGACGACCTCTGTTAACACAGAACTCACCCAGGAGGAGAATGATCTGCATGAGAGGATAGAAAGACTCGGAAAGATATGGAAACACGATGTGCTTGGTTTCACTGAAGGCCAGAAGTTAGGTGGTGGATTGGCTACTGAAGTTGAGTTCGTCGGTCACAAGGAGGGTGAAAGGAAGCAGAGGGCTAGAGGTAAGATTGTAGCATGAGATGCGTCAGCGTTTTAGGTGCTTCGAGAGTGGTTCGAGTGAGGTCGCAGGTTTGGCAGGTGATGCCATTCTTAGTGCTAATCTTGATACCACTTGTCGATGCTAATGAAAAATGATGCTTATGCCAACGTCCACCACCCTAAACCCTCTCACTACTATCAATGCTCACACTACAATTATTCTATCGCATTTTTATCTATTTCTCTTCTCATTTAGACATGAGCAAATATATCATTTCTTGTGACTGGCGTGTGTATGGGGTGTACAAGGATGTGTTTTGAGAGGAGCCCTAGCTCTATGCGTATCTGAAGCTGCTTCAGATGTTATAGTAGGATTACATACTAGAAATCAAAGCTATGTCTAGGCAGAAAAGATAATTAGCAGATATTGATGGCGTACGAACAAGTTGATATATAATGGACGTGTTAATTCATGCAAGTTATCAACCTTCCGCCGTTGAAAACACGGCACAGAGCCAAGGCGAAAGCAGACCAGAAGCCAAATTGGGAAATAGAAGAAGGAAAAGAAGCGAAACAAAGAAATCGACGTATTCCAATTTACACCATTTAGGCACAATTTTACGCTATTCGAAATTTTAAAATTTGGTGATGAGAATTTCTGATGAGCGTCGCAACTTCTCTTCAGCGACCAAGTAGAGTACAATGCCACGCGGACTTCAAACAGCACGCAAGCTCAAGACCATCAGAAGAGACAACCGTTGGGCTGACTTGCAGTACAACAAGAAGGCCCTTGGTAACTTCTGGAAGACCTCGCCAACCGGTGGTTCCTCTCACGCAAAGGGAATTGTCCTTGAGAAGGTCGGTGTTGAGGCTAAGCAGCCAAACAGTGCTATCAGAAAGTGTGTGCGTGTTCAGCTCATCAAGAACGGCAAGAAGGTTACTGCTTTCGTACCAAACGATGGTGGTCTCAACTTTGTCGACGAGAACGACGAGGTACTTATCTCTGGTTTCGGTAAGAAAGGTAAAGCCAGGGGTGATTGTCCTGGTGTCCGTTTCAAGGTCGTTAAGGTCTCCGGTGTGAGTGTTAAGTGCTTTCACTGAAAAATGGTGCTAACGTTTTGCTCAGGTTGGTATTTCAGCATTGCAAGTTACAATAATTCATTCAGAAAACCTACTAACCTTACTGCAGATGGTAATTTACTATTAGGCTTGCGTGACTGACGAATACTAACCACTGCAATCACAGGAGAGGTATCAAGGTGAGTTTATACTATTTTTGTCTCAAGGGCTTCACTGACTTTATGCTACAGGAGAAGCCAAGATCTTAAGAGCTACGCTTTGCGTTGTTCTGGCTTCAAGACCAGCTGACAACATCAAGATTAACAAATTTTCCAAGTCATTGATGTCATTTCGTTCCAAGTGAAGAGACTGGAGTGTGTTGATAGAGTGACGTGTGTTTGTGTTTATGTCTGTTGGATGTGTTATGGATATGTTGAGTTTTGCTGAATATTTTCTAACACGATCTTTGTGTGAAAGGGATTTAATATTGTAGTGATATGAACTAAGTCATAAACGATATAGCACAATCAATCACTCATAGCCCTCAATCGCACAACCCTCACGGCACTCTGTTCTATGACGCGTATTCGAAGCGTAATGAAAATTGGTTTGAAATCAAGTGGAGAGTAGGTGGTATATGTGCTGCTTCTAGTAAATCATCGCGTATTTATAATAAAATCACTCTAAACGGCCTTCAACCTCTTCATTCTTCGCGCCTTCTTTCTCTCTCTAGTACAATCACTTACAAAAATGACAGCAGAGTGAGTGATATTAGAGGAATATAAACACGTCTTACACACCCACGCTACAGAGAAGTTAAACTTGAAGACGCCCAAGTAGAGACGCTGGTTGAATTGAAGAAGGAATCTGAAGTTTCGGCTTGGAACGCACAGAACGAGCACCACAAGATATTCAAGCCATACTTTGAGAAGCGTGAAGAGAAACTGAAGGGAGTTCCACAGTGTGAGTGGTGGCTGCTTTGGGTGGGATAGCCTTCTTATACGACGTAACAGTCTGGCCAGTCGTCTTCCGCAACCACTCATTCCTTAGTGTTGCATCAGCAGCACCTGGTGATGCAGACGCGCTTAAGTCATTAGAGAATGTTAAAGTAGAGAGAAATGAGAAGGATAGCAGAGAATTCGACATTGTCTTCACATTCGGTGAAAATGATTTCTTCGATAACAAGACATTCACAAAGTCATATAAAGTCGTTGGAGGCGGTGAAGGTGCACCTTCTGCGGATGATATCATAAACTTTGATCCAGAACGTGATTTGACTACGAATAAGTGTGAAATCAACTGGAAATCTGAGGATAAAAATTTGTCAAAGAAGCACCCACGTACGCTTAATGTGGAGGATGTTGACCCAGATGCAGCAGGTGATCCAGGATCTTTCTTCAACTTTATCGCAGAGGAGAAGGATGCACTTGAAGTTGGTTCAATCATCGCAGATGAGGTTTACCCAGGCGCAATTGACATATTCATGGGTCTTGAAGAGGGCATTATGGAAGACAGCGACGATGAGGAGGACAACGATGAAGACCCTTCTGCAGAGATTGATTTGGAGGTGTGTTGGTAGTTCTTTTGGTAAAATTATAACTCACAGGAGATATCACAGGCCCCAGAAGCTAAGAAGCAACGCAAGAACTAATTTGATTGTCTTTCGAGAATATTTTGTCAACCCAGCCTTTAATATCATGTCTTGAGTCCTGATTGTGAGAATTTTCAGTGAGTTTAACGCGTGTTTGTTGGTTTGGTATGAGTGATTTGAGGGTGTATATGTATCAGTACGTGTATAAATGGCAAATATCCCATTTCCAACGAATTATCTCATCTTGCACCTTCTTGTCTCCACACAGTCACCATGTTCTGCGCAAGTGAGTGGAAGACGAAGAAATAAAAGAGATGTAAGCTAATATTCGACAGTATCTGGTGAACCACCACAGCAGCCAGTTGTATCTGTTAAATCTGGCCATCTATTTGAAAAGCGTTTGATTGAAAAGTACTTGAATGAAAATGGCAAAGATCCTATCTCCGGGGATTCGCTGACTGCTGATGATTTGGTTCAGCTTAAAATTGGTTCGTTTTTGAGTTGATTCGAGGTTAGTACCATTCACACACCCACAGAACCAACAAATGTACCTCCACGCCCACCTACGCTCACTTCTGTACCTTCTCTACTCTCCACTCTGCAATCTGAATGGGATTCTCTCGTTTTGGAGACTCATTCTCTTCGCGAACAGTACGTTAACGGGAGGAAGGATCTTGCGCATGCCTTGTATCAGGTGGATGCAGCACATCGCGTTATAGCCAGGCTCATGGTGGAGCGCGATCAGGCCAGAGAGGCGCTCAGCAACATTAATGCAGCTACTGGTGCAGCTACTACTGATTCTAGTCACGCCGCCCAAACTGAGAATGGTGATGTAGAAATGCAAGAGGAGACTAAGCACGCTCTTCCACTCCACGTCACTGCGAACATCGACACAGTCGCAGCGGCTCTGACTGCCGAGCGCAAGAAGCGAAAGGTGGCAGAAGGATCAGCGACAGCGGCGACGATCCGCGCATTCGGTGTGCACGACACACTCACTTCCTTCCATTCGGCGTCACCAGCTGGTGTGAATGCCGTTGGGTTGTCGACGGCGAACAACCTCCTCCTCACAGGCGGCAACGACAAGCATGTGCAGCTGTACGACCGCGACGCAGGCAAGACAATTGCAACACTCAAGGGCCACACGAAGAAGGTGAATGCACTCCAGTGGAGAGAAAAAGAGGGATGCAAGACGGTCGTGGTGTCGGGCGGAGACAAGCGCGTGCGCGTCTACGGCGAGGAGGAGAAAGGGTGGAAAATGATTGGCGAGTTCAAAAACAGATCTAGTGGGGAAGTTACGGGTGTTAAGGTTCACCCTACTCAGCAGTACGCGGTTAGTGTGGGCACTAATCAGACTTGGTCGCTGCACGATCTAGACACGTTGGAAACTCTGCTCGATATTGGCCCCGTTGAGGGCGAGAAAGGTGACTTTGAATACACGGCTCTCGACGTGCATCCCGACGGTGGCATTTTCGCTACTGGCACACAAGCCGGATTGGTTAGAGTATGGGATTTGAAGAGCGCCAAGATGGCTGCTAATTTCCAAGTGTCGTCTTCACATGGCGCTGTTAGCTCACTATCTTTCTCGGAGAATGGCTACTATTTGGCTGCAGCTTACACTGGTAGTGCGTCAGTGGAGGTATTCGACCTGCGTAAACTGAAATCTGTCCACACTTATACGGCGGATGAGGGCCAGTCTGCGCCTACCGTCGTCGCGTTCGATCCTACAGCGCAGTTCCTTGCTGTTGGTGGGAGCGATGTGAGGATACTGGCGAACAAGACCTGGGAACAGCTCGCTAGGCTGGAGGATAACACGGGTGAGATAGAGTCGCTGGTCTGGGGCAATGCCGGTAAGGAGCTCATCGCTACAGGAATGGATAGGGCTGTAAGGGTGTATAGCGCCAGTGATAGTGCGTAGAATTGAATTTATTTTATTTTATATTCCCCCGCTTGTGTCATATGATTGTGTGGTTGAGGTGTTTAACCACAGCCAACCATGTCCAAGAATAACCCAGAGAAGATAATCACTGCCGATCAAGTCGCACAGCACAACACGAGAGAATCGTGCTGGATAATCGTCCGTGGGTGTCCAGCCAATCAGCGATAAGGCGATCTAAGCGTGATACATGATATAGACGGGCGAGTGTACGACGTGACAGAATTCCTGCCAGATCATCCAGGTGGAATGCGCATTATACTCAAGTACGCTGGCCAAGATGCGACTGAGGAGTACGATCCGATACATCCTCCTGACGCGATAGTGGATAATCTGCCGCCATCGAAGCACCTCGGCAGGCTAGATGAAGGGAGTGTGGAGAGTATCAAACAGGAACAGCGCATCCCGACAGAAGAAGAGCGCGAGATGGCCCACCGCCACTCCACCAAACCCGCCTTATCGGAATGTATATCACTCCACGATCTTGAAACAGTCGCGCGGCACGTAATGCCCAGCAAAGCGTGGATGTACTACAGCTCAGGAGCCGACGACGAGATAACCCTGCGCGCTAACCACTCGGCATACCACCGCATCTGGTTCCGGCCTCGCGTCATGCGCGATGTGAGTAGGGTGCACTTCAGTACGAGCTTGTTGGGACAAAAGTCTAGCATGCCCCTCTATGTCACCGCAACTGCTTTAGGTAAATTGGGTCACCCGATGGGTGAACTTAACCTCACTCGCAGCGCTGCCAAGCATGGTGTCATTCAGATGATTCCTACACTCGCCTCATGCAGTTTTGACGAAATTCGCAGCGCTGCATTGGAAAATCAGACTCAGTGGCTGCAGCTTTACGTTAATCGCAATCGCGATATTACTGAGAAGGTGGGTAGCGGTAGTGGTGATGGTGCAATATCGCATGGCTAACAAGCGTGGCAGATCGTACGCCGTGCTGAAAGTAGTGGCGTTAAAGGCCTCTTCGTTACCGTTGACGCACCGCAGCTGGGCAGACGCGAGAAGGATATGCGGATGAAGTTCGACGATGTTGGTACGGATGAGCAGAAAGAGTCAGGGGAGAAAATCGATAGGAGTCAGGGAGCTGCACGCGCAATCTCGTCTTTCATCGATCCCTCTCTCAATTGGAACGATATGGGGTGGCTGAAGAGCATCACTAATATGCCCATTGTTCTCAAGGGCGTTCAGTGCTGGCAGGATGCCGTGCTAGCTGCGCAGGTGGGTTGGTGGTGTTGTTGATGCTAATAACAGCGCTAACACTAAAACTCATATGTAGCACGGTTGCGCTGGAGTTGTACTGAGTAACCATGGCGGACGACAACTAGATTTCGCACCTTCTGGTGTGGAGATACTGCCGGAAGTTATGAGTGCTTTGAGAGACCACGGCGTGTCAACTGATAAGTTCCAAGTCTTTGTGGATGGAGGGGTTCGTCGTGCAAGTGACATCATCAAGGCTGTCGCACTGGGTGCCAAGGCGGTCGGCATAGGCAGACCATTCATCTACGCTTATTCGGCGTATGGAGAGGAAGGAGTGGACCGGGCAATGGAGATACTGCGCGATGAGTTTGAGATGTGCTTGAGATTGCTCGGCGCCAGGTCGCTTGATGAGGTCACGCCGGAGATGGTCAATTGCTCTAATCTCGGAAGCGCTGATATACCCAAAGATTATCTTTTTACTGGAAATTACGAGAGATTGAGTGGACTAAATGATAAGATGAGTAAGCTGTAGGGAATTAAATGGATTTTATATTTTATACTTGGTTCATGACGTCTTGATGGCTGCTACCGGTGCTAGCGGTATTACAACCAACACGCAGCACACAAGACGCAAGAGAAATGAGCGCAGATTTACTAGGCGATGAGAACGACCAGCGTCTCGATCCAAATGTCGCAGCGAGTGCGTTTCCAGAGTGAGCAGAATATTCAGCCATGTCGCCGGAGGACGATCTAACGCAGTCCAGCATCGATGGCGTAGACGGCGCCGGAGAGAAATACCCAGATATCGGCGATATTGGCGGTGTTGGTGGTGATACCCAAATGGATAGCAGCACACGGGGTATATCACCATCTGGAGCACAACCGGATGAAATAACTCAGTTTGAATCCTCATTCCCGGCGTTGGAAGGTGAGGAGGTGGATAGTGGTGTGCTTGCTGCACCTGCTGAGCCTACTGAACCTGCTATATCTTCCGCACCCTCTGCGCTCTCCGTACACGCTGCAACTGCTCCAAAAACACCCGTCTCCGCACCATTATTCTCCGCTAAGCAAGATAGTGAACCAGAGTCAGAAGCAGTGCGCGAGTGGGGCGAGAAACGTGCTTCTGAAATAGCTACGCGTGACGCAGCATCGGAGAAAGAGAAGGAGGACATACGTCTCAAGGCAGAGCGTGCAATTGACAGCTTTTACAAGGACTACAATACGCGCAAAGAGACTAAAATTAAGGAAAACAAGCAAGAGGAGGAGAAGTTTATGAACGAGAGGACTGATGGACTCGGAAAGGGGACAACCTGGGAGCGTGGGTTGGGGTGTTTGCGTGCATATACCTCATACTAATACATACGGCACAGGTATTTGTGGCTTGTTGGATGTGGATAATCCGCACAACAAACAACTCAATCGCAAGGACATGTATAGGTTTAAGGAGGTGTTGATGGGATTACGTAAGCAGGGTGATAGAGCACCTGGAGCAGCTGGATATTGATAAGGTGATGGCAACATCAATAGAAATCACAGTTGTGTAATCTCAATACATTCTTTACGTGACTTGAATTGTTGGGTGCAGTTGCTATGGCAGTGGGTATATTCTCTGGCTGCTCTGTCCACAAAAACGTCTTGACGTGCTGAGATAGGTGCGAGTGGAGGGAAATGAGGGAGTCTTGGTCCAATGTCTTCAAAACGACTTTACGCATGTTAGGAATGTTATCAGGGTTCGTGTACTGTTGAGTGAGAATGTCTTGATTTGTACTCTGTATAATTGCAGTTGCTGCGTGTGCGGCTTGAGCGGCGAGCATCCCGTGAGTCCAGGAGCGCAGGGGGTGAGTTAGAGGGGTATCCACAAGAGCCATCGACTCACATCCAATAAATCAACTCGCAGTATAATTTGAATTATAGGAGTTCTATTCATTTTCAAGGGTTTTGAATAAACGGTCAACGTCAGAAATGGGTGGAGAAGGTGCGCGTTGAATATTTCAAGGGTGAAGCTAATGAATTATTAGCCTGGTTATATTTGTTTAGTGTGCTAGCAGCGGCTGGGTTGTTGTTTACCATGGTATTCTTTGTGAGTTTGATTAAGGTATTACTAGTCATGGTTATTAGTAAATTACTAGCAATCAACACTAGTAAATCCTAACCATAGATACTAGTAAATCACTAGTAGTTCATACTAATAAAAATCCAGATAATCATGTTCAGTGATTTAGAGTGCGATTATATAAACCCAATAGACTTATGCAACAAATTGAATAAATTCATTAAACCAGAGATTGGATTCCATGGCTTTTTGACGGCGTTATTCTTGGTATCTGGGCAGTGGATTACACTCCTAATCAATACACCTCTAGCTATACACAACGCCCGTAAAGTATATCACTCAAACTACTCGTACGACGCAACAGAGATATTTAGAACTCTTTCCACCCACAAGAAGGAGAGCTTTATCAAGCTTGCTTTCTACTTGATTTCTTTCTTTTTCTACTTATACAAATTGATTGTAGCCCTCATAAATGAGTAATTGACCTTGTTTCCTTGTTTCCTTATTGTTGGTTCTTGTTGTACTTCCACCAACTCAAATGCTCTAATGCATTTTATATCCATCCTATGTCGTCCTTCTTCTACCTCTGACAGCCCAAACAATAAAAATTCTTCCTTCTCCCGCTTTTTCCTCTCTTTTAGACGTCGTTTAAGGCGATTTAGACGTAGCCGGCGTGCAAGTAGAGGTAATCAGGCGGAGGCGGAGGCAAAAGCAGAGGCAGAAGCATATTCACAGCCACATTCACCCAAACACTCTCCCACACACCCGACTCTCCACCCCATCGACTTGGACTTTGGTGATAACTTGGTATTCGAAATCGATAAAGCTCTGTCGTACACAGACTCCCAGCGCAATATCTATTTCTATCCAACCCCGGATCCTCCCCCACCAAGTCCATCGAGTAGTCTCTCCAACAGCCCCCCGAACCACTCTTTCACCCATGAAAACCCTCCGAGTCCCGTATTCAAGCTTATAAACAACATCGCCAACTCTAGACGCTCTTACTCTCCAATTCCTGTAAGCAGTGATTCTATTTTGCTCTCAAAGAAACACCAAGACAATCTCAATAGTCAAGACACACTGGGCACACAAGACACACAAGACATCCAAGACATCCAAGACACCCAAAATATGCGAAACACCCAACACGCCCAAGATCCTCCCCAGGAACCCCCACACCTCTCCAGAATCTGGTCTTCCTTATCTCACAACTACGCCTCCTTCACCTCCAACAAGTCCTCCCTTTCCCCAAACAAAGCCATCTTTATACGCGAAACCTTCAACGCTTTTAAGAATATCGACAGCGTCTACTCTACTTGCAACCAATACAATCTCCACACTAAGTACAGACGTCAACTCCTCTTCGACTGGGTCTACGCTCTTATTGACGACCTCAACACTCACCAAGTCGCTCCTGAACGCAGCGCATGCCTTGATTCATTGGCAGTTATTTTAGAGAGGTTTGTTGTATACTCCATCCCCACCCCCTCTAACCCCCCAAACAGCAAATTCCTCTCTCCTCTCTCCATCGCTGCTCATATCCCACACGATGAGCATACCGTCTGCAATGTACTCTCCGACGTCATACGCTACTCTCTCTCAAAACTTAACAGTCGCGGTGTATTCCAGAACACCATCTTCTACTGCGGCAGATATTTTGCCATAGCCTTTTTCAGAGTGCCTGGGGTGGCATATCAGCTGTTGCAGCCACTAGACGTATCAAGCAGGATACTAGCAAAGCTAGTCAAGGATTCTGGGTGGTGTGGTGCCAGTCTCGCCTCTAATTTCCCAGACCATCTCAAACCACTCACTCTTACCCCCATTCCCACTTCACACAAAACGAGCGCTATCGAAATAGCCTGCCACGAGGAGACCAAGGCGTACATCAACGCCTTGCACAGCTACTCTCCCAGCACTTCCTCTTCCTCATACATTACGCTCGAACCCGACAACTGGCTACGTAGATGGACTTCTGACGACTCGGAGCTTTTCTTCAGCTTCGTGAGAGCCTACCATCGACTAATGCATCCTATGTCGGGTGGGCATGATAAAGATGGTGAGGGTTGTGAGAGTGTTGGTAACTGCACCACATCCACACCCACCCTCTTCTCCCTACCTGGTTACGCCCACCTAAGCTATGTTCTTCATTCAAAAATGCTCTCTCTTCTCAAAGGCGACATATACAGCGTCACCACAGGCACCACCAATAGTCTAAAAGGAGGGTCTAATGAAGTGGCGGAAACTGCCAATGTCCTCGCACCTACCAGTGGCAAACCGAAGCTGCTAGACCAGGCTAATCGGAGAGTAGTTAGTACGATGCAAGATTTGATCCAGGCTGGTTATGTGAATGTTGTAGATTATCACCTTATGGTCGCTGTACACTCTACTAACCTTTATAGCGCACCCCAGGTGTTCTGTCTATTGGATGCACTTGATGGGATTATTGCGGGAGTTTACGAGCAGCGCAGTGTTGACAAACTCGATTTACCTTTCATCCTCCATTTCCTCGCTATCATCCTTAAGCAGTGCGATCACGTCCTGACGCTGATACGAACCATGTGAGTGTAAAGAGGAGTACGGAGTGTGCTATTGCATTTGTGCATTAGTGCATCACACTCCCTTTCTCACCTCGTTACTCGTAACAAAACTCGCTGACACATGGCAGATCATTCATATTCACCCACTTCGACTCGCTGTGCTGCACACTCGAGACAAGGCGCGCACTGTGCATCGATATCCTCCTCGACCAGGCGCTTTTCACACGCCTCACACTCTTCTGGTCGCAGAGTGTAAGGTCGTACTGGCTCCGTCTGCTTGTGTTCAGAATTGGACACGTTCAGGGTGCGACAGAGCGCGACGACGCGTTTGGAGGTGGGAGTGTAAGGGAGGATGAAAATGTGAAGAGGTTTGATGATACCGCACTCAATCACAACGGCAGAAATGAGGTGGATCGTAGCAGTAACAAGAACAATAATAAGGACAATGATGAGGATAAAGATAAGGACTGCTCACATTCTAACACACTCTCACAATCTCACTCGCTCACACTCTCCATCCTCCTCACTCTTAACACCCTCCTCAACAAAATTCATCGACGACATGAGCAGCTTGAGCCGGATGGGGTGAGTGAGGCTGAGCACGAACGCGAGCACGATTCGGAGAATGAGTTCAAGCAGGAGAATAAGCGTAACTCTATAATTGAGTCGTCGAGTGACACGCGCGAGAATGGGAGTGAAAGTGAGATTGGTAACGGTGGTGGAAAAGGAGGTAATACCCCACCAACAACTATACGTACCCCTTCAGCAGCGACAGGACTAGGATTAGAGTTTGATGGTGCATCGACATCAGTACATTCACCTCAGTTACATGAACAACTTAACCAACCTACTACTCCCCCTCGCACACCCAAAAAAACCTTCAGCTTTGAATTGCAGTCACCTACGTCGTCATCCTCATCACCCAGCTCGTCGCCGCAGAGTGGTGAAAAGTGTGAGGAAGTTGAAAAGTATGAGAAGGGCGAGAAGGTTGATAGTGAGCACTCGGCTAACAGGGTAGAAACGAACTGTGGATCAAGTGCAGAAGAGGAGACTACAAGAACTGCCGCAGCAATACACACTGCTTTCCTCCCTGAACCAGCAGCCAAGCTGCTAATCAACACAGGCAACACATTCAACACGCAAACGGCGCTTTCTCCCACAGATAGTCTCGCCTACGATCCATCTCTCCACACATACGCTTCAAAGGCCCTTAACGAGTATATCAACATCCTCAACGTCGAATATCAGTACCAGGACTGGCAGTCCAAGTTGGTACCGAGATTAACCGTGCAATGGCCCGCTGCTTTTACGTTTGATTGACGCGCTGTCAATGTAGGTGCACTATTTTGACGGCATTTGGACTTCAAAGCAGTACAAAATTAACGATATGATAACGTGAATAGATTATTACATGATTTAAATGATTACGTGAAACGACAAGGGAAATGACTTTGGAAAAGCATAGGCATAGACATAGGCATAAGCATAAGCATGAGCATGAGCATGAGCATAGGCAAGTGCAACTGGCAAAGACAAGAGCATAACATGGAATGGACTTCAATTTTTATTTATTCTCTTCCACATTATTCAAAAATCGGGTTTTATATTCATTTGACACACTTCTATACACCCATTTACGGTTAGATAATTGGTTCACTGTTTTCAAAAGACTTCAGATCAAACACGAAACAAATCACGCTATCTATACCACTTTCATATCTTTTATTAACTCTTATCCAGCTTATAAACGCGCCCGACTTATTTCATGTCATTCTACAGGGCATTTTACATTCATCATTTTATCTACCATTCTGGCATGTATCTTACCACGTCACAAAATATATGCATATCTTTCATTAGCTCTTTTTAGTTGCAGAGCCCCATTCACTCTGAGTAAAACTTAACAAAGCTAGGGACATCTTGTATTAGAAAGAAATAATTCATAATTCATTTACATAAATACACGATTCTCTTATCACACTTTCCTACTCTTTGTCGTTCTCTTTACTTTTTTTGGCGCTGCCTTTTATAGACTTCTCCGCAGTCTCTTCATCTCTCTGTCTTTTTTGGGGTGTCGCACCGCTGCCACCCTGCGTAGGCAAGATTTTCCCGGCCAGGCCTGACAGTCCTACTTTTGCTTTCCCTGAGGCGGTTTGTTAGGTTAGCTGGTGATATCTAGTCGTACTCACTCGACCCATCGCCAGGGGTATGCCTCTCTAGCTTTTTGATTGGAGCCTTCTTACCAGCTGCTCCTGCTATGCTGATCTGACTAGGTCCAGAAGGTGCAGATTTTGTAGTCTGTGCCGTGTCTTGATTTTCATTGCTTGGCTCCTGCTTGCCTTTGTCTTGATTGTCTTGATACTCTAAGGTGCCGTTAGAATAATCTTTTTATATAAAAAAATCTCACCTATGTTCTCAGCTGGTGCTTGCTGATGCTCAGGTGTCACTGCAGGAGCAGGCGTCGGCGTAGCTTGTACTGGCTGACTAGTTTGAGCTGCTGGAGTTGCTGGATTTGCTTGAGCAGGTTGAGAGGCTGGAGCTGGCTGTGCTGGCTGCGGTGTTTGGGTAACTCGTTGTGCATCCGCGCTACCATTAGCATCAACACCTTTACTGTCGTAGACCGCCACTTTCTCATTCTGCTTCTCCGACTGATGTTCAGTCTGCTCAGGCTGTTTTTCATTCTGATTCTTTTTTTGTGGCTGCTTTGGTGCTTTTGGTGCTTCTTTTTGGACAGGCTGACCAGTATTTTTCTGCCTTTCTTTTTCCACTTGCTCCCTCATTCCAGCCAAAGATCTATCTTTGACTTTGCTATTCATTTCAAGTCTTTTAATTTGTTCTACCTGCTTCTTAATTTGCCCTTCTTTTTCTTTGATAGTCACTTGCAAAGACAATACCTTGGCCTTGTGATCGGCAAGCTCACTCTCAACAGCGCCCAACTTTTGCTTCAGTTGCTGGACTTCACCGCTTGCTGCATGGGCGTCTGTAGATTGAACAACAGTTGTCTCGACAGCACTTTCAACATTCTCTGCTGGCACCGCAGCAGCAGAAGTACTTGCAGCTACCTCGCTCGACTCGCTTCTAACCTTTGCAATCTCCTCTTCTTTAGTGGCAATTTGCAGTTTTAATGCCTCAACCAACTTTTCGCCCTCAGTGGCCTTGGTACGAACTTCAGTCAGCTCCTTTTCGAGATTTGCCTTCTCGACACCGTCATCAACATGCATTGCAGAATCTGCAGTACTCTTGTCGGTCTCCTCCAACTTCTTCTCAAGCTCTTTTTTAGAAACTTCGATAGTTCCATATTCAGTCTTGAGTTTGTTGAGCTCCTCAGTAATTTTGTCGAATTGGGCATTCTTCTCATTGGCACCATTCATCTGATTGTTTAAGTCGTTAATTTGGCCTTTGAGACGGTCCGTCGTAGCTTTTTGCTTTTTAGTGTTTTCATTCGACCTCCGTACGACATCTGAGTGTTGTTCTTTGGCCTTGGCAAGGTCTTCCTCCAACTTGTGAACCTGTAATCTGTCAGTTTAAAATTGCTCAAAGTCAAAATACCCACCTTAGTATTGCTTTCTTCCAACTCCTTTTTAACTTGGTCGAGACTGGTTGTCAACTTCTCCGCATCATCTTTGTATTTTTGCAACTCGGCAGGATCGATGCGCTCATACTTGGACAGAATCTGCTGGTTACGCTTCTGCCATCTCTCCGCATCTTCTTTCCAATGCTCAACCTCTTTCTTCGACACAGAAAGCTCAGCTTGTAGATTACGAATTGTTTCTTCGATCGGCTGAATCACATTCTGGGATGCTTGCAAAGCAGTTTCTAATTCGAGCACCTTATTCCTATTTCTATGACTCTCAAATCGAAGTGTGGAGTTGCTTTCTCTGAGTAAATTAAGTTGATCGATCTTGCTGAGCAATTCCTGGTGCTGGACAGCTGAAACATCACCGCGGGCATTCTTGTTGCGTTCCTCAGTCAGCAATGCTCTCGTCTCATCCAAGCTCTCATTAAGACGCTCAAGCTGAGTCTTAAATCGAGTGTTCTCCTGCTTGGCGAGTGAGAGTTGTAAATCGATGTATTCGCGCTCATTGCGGAGGTAATTGATCACCGATTGTAAGTCTCCGGATGACTCACCCTCGGATACATTCACATTCACTTGCGCGTCACCTGTTGTGGCTGTTGCACTCGACGCCTCCGATACCTTCTTGTTCACACTTTCTAAGTGCTTGTGCAAGACTTCGTTCTGCCCGACTATCTCATCGTAGCGCTTGCGCAACTCGCTTTGCTCCACACTTAGCAACGATTTCTGTGACTCCCAGCTAGCTTCGCCTTGCTTCAATGCTTCCTCAGCCGTTTGTCTACCCTCTTTAGCTTCCTTGGCTTGTGTGAGATGATTGGTGATCTGCTTCTTGGTGTCCTGCAACTGATTGACCGTTTGTGCGTGTAATAAAACCTCGCGTTGGTATTTCTCGTGGTTCTCATTTGCTGTGGTTGTCTGTTTGTCGCGATCATCGCGCAGCTTGGAGAATCTAGACTCTTGTTCTCCCTGTGCGTTGTTGAGATCCGCGAGCAGATCCTCCAATGTCTTCTTCTCGTGTGCGTATTCAGATCTTTCACTAGTGAGCTTCTGGTGCAACTCATCATTTTCGCCCTGCACTTGCTCAATTTGCGCTGTTAATCCCTCCATTCTGTTTTCCAATTGACGAATCATAGCCTCTTTTTCTGACAATAATTTATCTTGAGATATCTTGTAGCTGTCGTATGACTCATTCATTTCCTGGAGAGCATTCTCATTCGCCTGCGCAATCTGCTTGAATTGCTCAATGTGTGTATTTGATTTACCGACCTCAGCTTTTGTAGTTTCGAGTTCGGATCTGTTTTAAATTCTGTGAGCGAAACGAGAAACGAAGATAGCGAATAAATCAACCCACCTCAACTCAGCAATCTCAATTTGCAATTGTTGTTCAGTTGATAGATCTGTAGAGTCACCATTCCTATTCTCAAAAACCGCCAGACGCTCCTCCTTATTCTTGAGCTGTTGAGTGAGATCTTCAACGCGCACATGGAGGTGGTCGCGGGTGGTTCGATACTCCACGACATTCTCTTTGGACGTGTGCAGCTCATTCGTGAGTTTATCAATCCTATTTTGATACTCCTTAGACTCAATCTCTCTTCTGAGCGACAGTTGCTTGTGTTGATCAGACTCATGTGTGAGATCCTCTTTAAGCGTTTTGATGTTTTCTTCGAGATTGGCGATCTGCGTGTCGTATCTGCTCCTGCTATCTCTCGAGGACCTCTCCAACTCTGACTGCATTGATTGAAGGTTCCTCATCAAGTCATTCAGGTGCACTCTGTCGCGTGACAGTGACTCATTATCAGCCAGTAATCTACTTTCTATACCCTTATGCACTTCCTTTTCAGTCCTTAATTGACTATTTTCGTTTGCTGTTCTATCGAGCGTACCCTTCAATCCAATCAGCTCCTCCTGTACTCTATTTATATTAATTTGCTCGTGAATTAAACTAGACTGTAGTTTCTGGTTGTTGGCGCTAAGATGAGAGATCTCCATCTTGGACATGTTATGATTCTCAATTGTCATCTCGTGGCGCTCGTTGAGGAAATTATTCTGAGCGTTGGATTGTGCTAACTGAACTTTCAAACTACTAGTCTCACGTTGTGCAGCAGCAAGTGCGTCTCTCAGTGACTTGGTATCTAAACCCATCTCAGTCCTGTATGCATCAAAGTTGGCTTGGAGATCTGCCATGAGAGCGGCATAATCTGGAGTTTTTTGTTGTGATTGACTGAGATTCTCACTGCCAACATCCTCTTGACCAATATTTGTAACGTTCTTACCCGACTGAGCTAGTAATCTTCTGAACATGTCTCTCTCTCGGACATAGCTACCGGCTTTCTCACGACTAGATTCCATTTCATCCTTGAGCTGCTGAATTAATTCATAAGCCTCTTGCAGTGACTCATTTTCATTCTCCTTAACTTTAGCTTCATGTGCTGAATCGGCTTGCTCGAGTTTATGTCCGAGTTCTCTCGACACTCTCAAGAGGTTTTGGTTCTGCTTTACGAGCTCTTCAGTCGAAGCGAACAGAACGAGTCTGTCTGAAATAGCCTGGTCGACAGCCAACTGATGCTCGGAGGCAGGAGCGACCTGTTCGGCGTCTGTGGGCAGTGATGGATCTTCAATAGCTGCAATTTGTCTTGTGAGGTAGGACACTTGTCTGGATAAATCGACAAGAGATTGTGATTGTAATTCTGATTCGCGTTGTGCGTTTTCAGCCACCAATCTAGCTTCCATTTCTGTAGCCTTAAGTGCATCTCTCTCTTCCATAGATTCTGCAAGTTGGGTGGCAAGACCATTTGCTTCATTGTTTCTTCTTTCATACTCTTTACGTTGTTCTTGAAGGATTGGAGCACGCTCTTCAATCTCACTGACTACATCCGCTAAACAACTCTCCAGTCTTCGTCTCTCAGCTCTTTCGCGGTTAAACTCATTCTCGAGTTTGGCATAGTCGGAGTAAATTTCAGTAAATGATTTACTACCTTTGTTGAATTTTGAGGCAATCGAAGCTGTTGGTGAGAGTGCGAATGAAGTGTCAAATTGTCCAGTTTGTGGTGTTGACGGGATTGGTGTACCGTTGCCCGTGTTAAGAGCTGTGTTAAATCCATGAGCTCGTAACTCATTCAACTCAGTATCTAACTCTAAATTCCTATGACGCTCCCTGGCCAGCTCCTCGTTATGTGACAAAGTCTCAGACTCAGACTTGGCTACAAGGACATCGAACTCTTTGTTTACCTCCTCGACTCGTTTTCTAGATTCACTTTCACGTGACTCGAGTAACTCTACAACTCGCTTTTGGGTGTTGATTTCAGCTTTGTATTCCTCGTGTGTGGTAGCCAAAGAGGTCTCGAGTTGGGCCGACTTAGCAAGAACATCGGAAAGCTTCTTGGCTTGATTGTCGTAAGTGGATTGAAGGGCTGATAATTGTGTGGTTTGTGAGTTGAGCTGGGATTGCAAAACATCGAGCTGAGATTGGGATTCAGTCAACTCTGTATGCTTTTCACGACGGTATATACTAAACTCCTCCGCCTTTTTGTTAAGTTCAGAGTTGAGCCAATTCTCATTACTCTTGAGAAGTTGATTCTCCTGTTCAAGTGATTGAATCTTGTACTGTATCTTGTGAGATAATGTGGTTGATGACGCGCTCTACACACCTTGTTTGTAGTCTCAAACGACTTAACATCTTGAAGATCCTTGTTCAACTTTGAATTCTCCTCACGAGATTCAGTGAGACGTGTACGTAGACTGTCAACTTCTTCACCCAGTCTTTCAATATCGGAAGAGAGTCTCTCAACAAACTTGATAAGATCGCTCTTCTCTTCTGCGCTTTTAGCGTTCAACTCTTCCAACTCTTTAATCTTTTGGAGAGTTTCCGGTGAGTCAGCGGTGTTTTGAGATGATTGTTGGATTTTAAGTTTAATAACTTGCTCGCCTGTAAAGCACGTCAGCTTTGTGAGCTGTAAAAGCCACAAGAGTCATAATGACTACAACTCACGAGACAGATCGCGTTCCTTCATAATATCATTGTGACTGTCGATACTCTGCTTTAATTGAGTTTCTAACTCATTAATCTTACTCTCTTGTTCGCTAAGTGACTGCTCAGTGTCAATATTGTGCCGCAACGAGGCAGATTTCTCAGTCTCTAAGAGAACTTTGTAGTGCTCAAGTTGGTCGATGACGCGCTGATGTTCTAATTGAGATGGAGTGGAAGATTCAAGATGCTCTTGGTGTTCAGGCTGCTCCGTGTCACCTTGTTGAGTTGTGGAAGAGTCCTGAGCAGATGCAGATATACGACCTGCTCTACGTGTTGCTACCATTTCAAAATAACGTTGTCGCTCTGTTTCGTCCCTGTATGTGGGTGGTGATGAAGGGAGATAACGAAGAAGCTGTAAAATCAATTAATTTAATTGCAATGATGTATTCAATGTATTTGTAAAAATTACTCTTTAAGTAGGTTTTATATATATTCTCTTTCTCCCGAATGCGCTGCTATGTGGAACATCCACGTAAAGTAGATTCCACTCAAAGTAGCCATTTTCCTTGACTAAATCTGCATAAACTTGTCCTTGATCATACATTTGCGACTTGTCAACTTTCTGGCGATGTCCAAGCCTATTAATGCCACTACCGAGTGCACCAAACCAGGTACTACGCGGTTGTTGGTCGATTTGCTTAATTTCATCGCTTTCGAATCTCAAATCGGGGTTAATAAGCGTTTGCACACTTCTCTTTGCATTCTTGGCTAGATCTGTGACTGTAAGTGATTCAATCCACTCGGTCCAAGTCTGCTTGTCTTCACTATGAAGATGGGAGTGAACGAAGAATTTCATTATCAAGTGCTCCTTTCCAAAAGCATCAAATGCTGTAGCATGTTGTATTGAATGGTTCCGCCGTCTAGAGTCATGACCTTGTGCAAAACCAAGCTTTGAATCACCCATCCATTTCCTGATATCTTCTGATTGGCTAATTAAAGTGCAAGCGCGGTTATAAATCCTAGTAGGAGAGTTTGGAGAGAATAACTCAGTACCCATTGTATAGGCCAATAAACCAGTAACAGATGCACCAATGAGAATAACAGTGAATCTGGATGATTGCTGAGTAGCCCTTCCGACTTTGCCTTTGAAGGACTTTTGTTGAGAAAAGGACTTCTCTGGGGGCACGTCATCATCAGAAACGCTAGCAGCTCCAAAGGGACCAGCAGTATTGCCTCTACTGCGTGAGGATTCAAGTCTATCGAGTAATTGCTTTGCTTGTAGGCGTGTAGAAGCGCTGTCTACATCTTGAGAAGAGGTAACGGAGGAATTGTTCGATTTGTTGTTATTGGATGCAAATCGACGTGTAGCATTGAAAGATAGTGGATGTGATAACAGATTACTTCTGTTTATAACAGTACGTCTTAGCATAACTTTATCGGTTATAGGGAAATAGTTCAAGTAAAAAGATACTCGATGAAAAATAAGGGTGAAAAAATAAATAAATTATAAATTAACATTTCTATGTCGCTGCTGATAGAGTTTTTGAGGAGTATCTAGAGTGTTTGAGTTTGTGGTACTGCGATTGAAAGTGGCGCTATTGAAGCTGCTATTTAAACTGTTATTTAAATTGGGCTTGTAAGAATCACCAGGAGTCAACGGGATATCGCCATTGAAGTTATCTATTTTGGTGTTCTTACGGGGAGTGAGAGAGTGCTTCTGTTCTTGAGATAATTTAGCTGGCTCAGTTTTAGTAGCTGGCTTGTCGAACAAAACACTTAAAGCTTGCAGGAGGTTGAAAGTTAGTATGAAGGGAATAAGAGTTACTTGATTAAGTTTAGTTGGGTTTATATAAGCCATACGATACACCTACAAACACCAGCAACCCATTCACCTCTACCACTCCTCATCCATAGCATAAATAGATAATAATATTCACTACAGCTAATCACATACCACACAGCAATCGCAGCGAAATTGGCCTTGGCTCGTGATAAAGCAACGCCTCTTCTACGCGTTGTAGGTGTCACAGATAATGGAGGTTTTAATATACTCCAATCCATTTACGCGGCTTATTGGTCTTCTTTGGTCAGTGACAGCCAGCACGATGGATCAAACTCAAGGTGAGATATTTGAACAAATAAAATCATATCTAAAATAGCCTTAGAATCCACATTTAAAAAGCAATTCGATGTAAATTTACATCAGATACAAATGCAGATACAACGGAATCTGGATATCATCACCCCTTTCACTGTACACAGATGGATTGCAACTGGAATTATTATATTCTTGTTCTGCTCTAGAATCCTATTAACGCACGGATGGTACATCATTTGCTAGTTAGTTGATGTCTTTTGATTCGTGTTAATGGCTGACTTGGTGTTTCTTATAGCGCTTTATTCATCGTGAGTTTATTTTCTATAGCTTACACCCACTTACACCTTGTCAGTACTTGTAAGCTACATTGACACACTCTGACACATTCTGACACTGACACTCATCCACAGGCTCAACCTTTTCTTAGCCTTCCTCACACCCAAATTCGATCCTTCTATCGAAGAAGATGAGCAGATGGACAATATCGAAGGCGGAGCTGAGGATTCTCATTCAAACTCGTACGGCGGCGGCGGTGGTTACGGTCTTGGCGCAGGTGGTGTTATGGATCAAGACGAGGAGTTCAGACCTTTCATACGTCGTCTTCCTGAGTTCAAATTTTGGTTAGTTTCGCGTTAGTCGGCTCTGAGACATTTCTAAATACTCTTCCAGGTACTCTGCCACACGCGCCATAGTAGTATCACTTCTCTGCACCACTACCCAAGCAACTGATATCCCTGTATACTGGCCAATCCTCCTTCTTTACTTCTTTATCCTCTTTTCTCTCACCATGAGGAGACAGATTGAGTGGGTGACGAGTTTGGCAGTACAAACATTTACTCACAGCACCTCCACAGACACATGATAAAGTACCGTTACATCCCCTTTGATATGGGCAGGAAAGTGAGATACAACTCCAAAAACTAGATTATCTACATTCTTGTAACAACAATACACCTCAATTCCACACTTTGACGTGACTTGAAACACTCTCTGCTCCTATCCTCGACAGCTGTGTGTGGCACAAACCTCGCTCTCCCGCCATCTCCATCGAGGCTATCAAAACAGCGCAGAAAGAAGACGTCGTGGCTGTTCTGATCGCGAATATAGCTCCACCTCTGAGAGCTATTGTGGAGAATACTATAATGGCTACCGAAGAAATCCGTAGTATGGCCCAGATCAGAGTGTGAGACTGTGTTACCATCGCACACCGCGAGCGGGACGTCTACGACGCCGTCGAAGCAGGGTCTCCAAACATTTATAATTTGCACTCGCCGGGTAGCATTATCGGGGAGCTCTCCCAGCTCGCGCTGTATATGTTCCCACGCGCGCTTCGCGTCCTGATCGACGTGAGCTCTGTAAGCCGGAACGGGATCAGTAGGTGCAGCGTCAGTGCCCAGTGTGCCTTCAGCATCATTATGTCCACTACCGTCCCTATTTCCAATTATCAATTACCAATTATTGAAAACCTGCCCATGACACCCACCTATGCTGCAGATTCCATACGAGGACTTGCTCAGCTTGCAATTGATGCATGAGGAGTCTACGGGAGTTTGTTAGAGTGTGGCTTGTAACGTAATAGATACGCACTCTCGCACTTCCGCTATACATCCCTGCTCGTCTAGTGGCTCGAGACTGGCGCGCGGGGCTGACTGCACAACCGCATAGCCACGATCATCTAGCTGTGTGCTAGCCGGCGTCGCTCGCAGCTCTCCCAGTCGCGGTGTGAGGTCATGCACCGTTACCCTCTCCGGTCGCAAATACATATCCCTGCCGCTGTCTAACCAAGTTACATGGGCAAATCGCCTGCATTTCTCATCTACTGGTGCATACTGCGGGTGGGTGAAGTTAATTGTCGTGCTGAGATCCATTTGATGGTTTGGATAGAAAAGGTGCACAAAACCACAGAATCGGCTCGCATTATACATTTACAGCTAAATACAGTTAAATTACAGCAAACAGAGGGATTTGGTGAGGTATCGCCTGACTAAGACATGGATAGGGATATGGAAATAGACAGACACAAACACAGAAATACCCTCGAGCTTCAACTCTCAAGCTTCATGCTGGTGCTGTCTATATCTTCAATCGCTCTCTCCATTCCCCCTCTCGATCAGATTGAATCTCGAAGTGACATACACCCAATCATGCTCACATCGATCGAGGTACTTCTGCAAGAAAGGCAGTGCGATATCGATAATCTCCCTCTTCCGCCGCGACAGCTCTTCATTCCCATACAGCCTCTCCAGGACTTCCTTGTCTCCCAAACCCACTCTCCTGCACTCATTCACCATCTTCTTAGCCTTGATAGCGTAGTAGTATATCTCGTTCCTTTCTGCGCCATTCTCGTCTTTGTGCGGGAGGTACTTGTCGCGCAGCTTGACCGTTTCAGGCCGTTTAGGTGTCAGTTCGGTGAGGTTCGTCTCGTGTATGTGCTGTGTGCTGTGAGCTGGGTGAATGTTATCCTCATACACCCCACTCACCAGCATTTTGATCGCCTTGACTGCTATGTTATACTTGGATGCGTATTTGTGATCCCTGTGCGTCGTAATTATCTCGTCAATTGCCGCGCGTTGCTCGTCGTCGATCCCGTTTACTTTGTTTATCTCCTCACACACCCCTGTCAGGTAACAACGCAGCACATTCGTGTGCTCGAGCATCTCCACACTTATCCCGAGCATGTTCATACGTGGACTGGGCGTGACAAGTAGTTCTCTCAAAAGCCTCGCTATCTCTGCCAGTGTGTACCGTGTGTTGTACGCTGTCTTCCTAATCACTCCTTCCTTTCCACTCCCAACGCTCCTCATATTCCCTTCACTCATCGTCATCAGCGTGTAGTTTAAAGATAATGTATTCTCATGAAAAATTGAAAAATGTTTTAGATTTGTCTCATCACTTGGTTGACTTTTTAAAAGAGTGTCAATGAGTTCAATCACATCGTTACCTTAACGTCAAAGAGGTTGACATGTTTAAAATGATTCAAATCTTCATGTGCGTCTCAGGGTATCCAAAAGAATGAAAAGATTCAAACGAAATGCAATAGTAGCGCGGTTTTGCTGTGTCTACAAACCGTAACGCTCCCTCAGTCTCGTCGAGATAGGTTGAGGCAAAGCTGTCATTTGTGCGTCCCAACTAACACCTGCAGCAGCCTTGAATGAATGGAGTAGTGCGTTAAATTGCTCATTCAACACGGCCGATGGTGATGTCCATCTTACTACTGCATTACAGAAGAATTGGAAGCTAGTCGCTAATCCTGATGGATTGAGTTGAACTAGCTTACAAAATCCTCGAAACGCACTATCTTTCTCTTCATTATCTTTTATCTCCCACAATGACTCACACCATTGCGCTGCAAATACTTGCAAATGTGGAGCTACAATCTCTGGACAAACCAATCCAATTCTACCAATTGTAACAGCCGCATTTTCCGCTAAAGACTTGACAGACTTTGGATGTAATAGTATTGGTACCAATCTTTCAGTCAACGATGGAACATACTTGATAAAATCATCCTTGTTGAGGTCTGGGTAGTTGGTGTACGATGTCGCTATCTCTCCTGCTGCCCATGCAGCATTATTACAAACTGAAATAGCATCCGTCGTTGGTGCAATCTCAATTTGTTGAATAAGATCAGGAAGTAGTGTACCAAGGACTGGAATTAGTATTGGGAAGCAACTAACCGCCAAATCTCCAACTAAAGCATATGCTGATTGTTTAACAGCACTGTCTGGATGCTTCAAACAGAATAATAATAGATTAAGTAATGATGGTGTTGATGATGTGGATTGATTGGCTATTATCAACTCCTGAGCATTACTACCCAATCCTTGAATCATACCTGAAATTAAATCCAATGCGACTATAATAAATGTTCTATCAGGTATATTGTCTTCGTCATTTTGTTCTACGGCTGTTTGAAATTGCATGAGATTTCCATGCACTATCCGTGAGCATCTCTCGTAAACCGGCTGAGCGAATTTAATGAAACTAGAACCAGCGGCCACAGTTAATGAAGATAAGCACTGAAGAGGGTCTTAACAAAGGCGTCAGTTAATAACACCAAAAACTCACCTCGAAGAGAGGAATAATGTCTTCATCATCATCGGCTAGATTTTGCCATTTATCAATAAGTGGTTGCATCAACAACGTCACGTATTCTTCATTATCGAGTGCGCTTGTCACCGCATCTGCAAGTGTACCAATCGCATCATAAAGTATGAGTAAATTCTTCCTCTGATACTTTTGAAATGCATAAACTAGGTGTTCTATAATAGGTTTGAGGAACGGCTCCAACTCCTTACCTGCCTCTTCTTCGAGAGTAGCGAAAGCGGAGCAACCAGCTTCCTGTACACGCTTGTTTTTGTCATGGACCATTCTCAACAATCCCTCCATCGTTGGCACGAAATAGTTGTTTCTGTGTTCAACAGAGATGGGTTGTACTGACCAGCTAGAATAGCGAGCCAGAGCCCAACACGAGATAGAGCGGATCAGAGGCTTTGAGTCATTAAGTGAGTTAACCAAGTATGGGACGAGTTGTGGGAGGTGTGGTTGTATGCCTTCGATACATCCTTCTGCTATAGCACCGAGTGCAAGAATAGCTGACTCCTTCTGTAGCCAATCCTGAGAAAAGAGCCTTTCTTTCAAATATGGAAGCAGGATGTTAAGCAGTTCTACTGGAAAGTTGATTGAAAGGATATCTAAGGCAGCTGCTGAGCACTTTCTCAAAGTCCATTCCGATGTGAGTTCATCATCGTCAAGTTCATCAAAGTCTTCTTCATCTTCTTCATCTGATGGAATCTCTGCATCTCTGCCCATTTTCTGATGCTGATTGTCATTTTCAGACGATTGCGTGTGTGTTTTGCCCCCGTAGATGTGAGGTTTAATGTCCGAGTCTTTGTCAGGAACAGCGGCATCGTCGTCGTCTTCGTCTGCCTGAAGAATGACAAGTTCCGTATCAGAATACACCATAGTGTTGAGCAAAACTGGTGCGACTCTGTCGAGCAGAGGTCTAAGATGATCAATAAGGTGATTTTCTTCAGCAAAAGTGAGCCAGAACTCGCAAGCCTCGAGTGCAACTTCCTCATTCTTGTCCTGAGTCGAGTAGAGCATAAAAGTGGCGACATTGTTCATCTCAGGGGTGAGTTTGTCTGGGCGAGACGCAAGCAAGCGAACGAGTGCCGAGCAAACATGCTGCCTAACTTCGGGCACACCGTCAGACGCTCTTTGGAAGAGGGCAGCAATGAAGTGATCGATACTGGCGAGAAAGCTAGCTGACTGGGTCGGTATGAAACTGTTCAAACACGACAAAGCGTGTATCCTAACTTTAGCCGACTGATGATTGAGCATCTGGATGAATTTCGGAATCATAAAGTCAAGTGGTCTCACACCAGCTATTTCGCAGTCAAGCTTTTTGTACATATCCTCGCAAACTTTGGCCAGCGTGCTGAAAGCACCCTCCTGCTCTTGGATACTGGATGAGTCAATGGACGCCATTAAGCGTGAGAGGGCTAAAGGCCAGTTCTCAGGGCCGCATTCTTCGAGGATTGCCACGATAGCCGTACCAGTGGTAGACCTGACCATGACAGCGGGATCACTGATACCATCGACGAGGATAGATTTAACGTATTCCTGGCTGTCGCCTGGCCAAGATTTCCACCCAAATTTGATGTTGTTCTTGAGAATGAGACCAGCAACTGATCTAACGCGTTCTTCTTGTTGGGGCTGTTTGATGAGTACGTGAGCGAGGTAGCTGTTGTAGTCTGGGATAGCGTTGAATGTTTCCAGTCGCTGGCGTGATGGGTGAGTGAGCGTGCGTCTATCGACCAACCACCAATCCCTCTCACCTGCGTAACGGCTTGCTGCACTTGCGTATTTGGACTGAGCGAGTCTCTCAGCAGACTGAGCAATTGCTCTAATCCCTCAGGCTGTGGCTGCCAGCTCGACATGTTGATTGCAAAATACCAAGAAATTTTCATGATTTCCGGGCGAGAATTGATCAAATATCAAAATACGTGTTACAACAGGCTGCACTCTATTTTCCAGTTGAGTTTCGGGTGCATTGGGCTGCTCCACCGCTGACGCTGAGTACAGCGATGCACAGTTCGTGCGCATGGTCACAGCAACATATAAAGCGTATCCTGCCATTGGTGGGTGTGTACGGCATCACGCACGCCATCGGCTCACCCCAGCCAGCCAATCAGCGTTGCGGAGTGTGGTACATGGATCCGAGCATGGTTAGTGCTGTGGTAATCGCAGTCGCAGCTGATACTTTCATACGCTCACACACACGTGCTTTCTCAGGACTCCTACAGAGCTGACATATACGCCTACTTCAAGTCCACGGACGGACACACCCACGCATGGTCCTTCTCCCTCAGGCGTCCCAATTTGCATCTCGTGAATCATATAGTGGCTAGCGGGGGGTATGTGTTGTGGCAGGATTTAACACCCAACTCACTTTCTCTCTCAACAGACTCGTCATTGTTGATTCAACGCGCAGGGGCAAGGTGGGTTAAAATTTTATCTCCATCACTTTACATGACAACGCCAGCAGCGGTACCCGGATGCTATATCCAAGACGATCCCCATTTGGTGTGCGGTAGTGAGTGCGGCGATGCTAGGTACGCCACCCGAAACGCTTCTGCACACGCCCGCGCAGGCTGTAAGCGATTCAGAGCAGCAGTGCATCCGCGACCAGCTACGCACATGGACTAACAATCTACGAGACTCAGCTTTACAGCTCACTCACCACCTCGACAAGCCCATACGGCCGATATTCGTTCATCCTGCGACTGAGCAACTACCCGATTTCAACAAGGCCACTCTCGACTTCTACCCGCTCATCTGTGTCTCGGCATCGCGTTACGTTCCCGACGAGACAGAGAGCCTTGAGTGGGGTGAGTATGTGCAGGGCAGCGGCGACGATCATGAGCTGTGGTCGGGCGGTTTGACACCGGAGTGTTTCTGGGCAAATCGCCATGAGCTTCTCAACTGTCCGAGAGAATTGCTCGACGAGCGAGTGGCTGCCGTTGCAGCTGAGCATCTCGCGCGCAGCACTTCCACATCCACCCACAGCGTCCGTGTAGGAGACAGTAACGACACGCGCGCCTTTCTCGCAGGTGCTATCTTCCCTGCTGAGTGCGATGCGGCTTCATCGTTGCCATCGGATATCGCTCTCGTCGCTCTTACACCACAGCCTCCGCCGCGCTCCACTCACACTCTCCATGTCCAGCTCCCCAGATCATCCAAGCAGGCGCAGAAACAGTTTTTGGGACAACTTCCCCATGTCATGTTGTTTGTGAGGCAGCAGCTTGATAATGGCCGCCGTATAGCTGTCAGCGATGCTAGCGGTGGTACTGATCTCGCTTCGGCCGTGTGCGTGGCTGCTGCGACGCTATTTTTCGACGAGAACGGGGAGCGCCAGTGTAAAGCGGGGGGTGAGTAGAAAAACACACCACTGCAATACACCCACTAACCAGCCAGTAGAGATAACGAAAGCGACAATCAATACGCGGCTTCAGTGGCTGATCAATGCCTACCCAACGACGAACCCCTCACGGGTGTCGTTGAGGAGACTAAACGATTACCTGATGTGAATTGATTTGACAAGACGACGATAAATAGTCTCAGCCTCAGCCTTGCATAAATAGCATAACCTTTAATTCACACTGTAACAGTTGGGAAGCGGTGATTAGGAGAAGCGGAGCTAAAGTCCAAGTCGTAGACATTAGACTCAGTTGCGAGGAAGCAGTGTGAGTGATCCGTTTGTAGCTGGTAGACGGGTGAGGACCTATCGCCGCTTTCGGCGGCATACACATGATGGGCGCGATCCGAGTGCATGCGAGCGTCAATAATCCGTAGGCGCGAATAGAGAGCAGAGCCAGCGCAGATGAGGGAGTCATACGCTCCACCGACATCGACTGAGTAAACGGGCTGTGGATCGAGCGCGTCTTGATACTGTTTAACTGGTGCATATCCGCACCTGCAATCGTACACGCGAACCCCCGAGTCATAGAAACCAGCTATGATGATGTCGGGCGATGCCAGAACACCGTTTGTAGATGAACCGTTCGTAGCTGTGAAGGAGGAGATGTGTGGGGGTGTTTTGAGCGAGCCGGTGGATTGGATATTGCTCTCGCGGAGGTGAAAGAGAGAAACAGCGGAGAGAGTGGAAGGGGTGTAGTTGTGAGAGGCGGACAGCGAGCCATTGTAGGAATTGTAATCGACACCCCAAAGTCTATTGGTCTCTACGTTTATCGGAGGATGTTCAATCCAAGGGGCGTTTGGGGAGAGAAGGCGTAGTTGACCCATTTGAGCAGCGCTTATGACGACATTGGATGTGCCTGTGAGAGAAGTGAGGTTAGGTGTTCTAATAGAACTACTTATAGCACTGCTAGTACGGCTACTACCGCAGTATATGGCCGTTTGAGAAGATTTTTTGGAGTGCAAGTTGAGAATAACGCGCTGAACGAGGCCAGAGAAGTGGGAGGCGATGAGAGAGACAGAATCGCCCACACACTCGACGACAACCAAGCCAGTAATATCCATGCTAGCAGAGGAGTGGTTGAAAATTACGAAGCGTGTGTACCGCCACGGGGAATAGCATCTATCCCAGACAAAGACTGCAGAACGACTGGCGAGGATGAGAAGGTGGTTGTGTGTGTTAAGAACGGGGATGCTAGAGTGGGTGTGTACGAGTTGGGTGGGGTGGAAGGTGCAAGTGCTCCAGTTGTCGTCTGTAAGTGGGATTTGACGCAGTTTCTGAATTGGAGAGATGCTCGTATTGTACAAGACCTTTCTCTGGAGATCATTGAGCTTATTCGGTATAAGAACATGGTCAGCCACACCGCGTAGGAATCTGCAGGTGAATCTCAGGTTGAGGATATCGCGGGCATCCAGGTACGCGCCAATGCCACCGAAAACATCCAAATTCAAGTTGTAAATTCTCATCGACTGATCTGTAGATAATCGACGTTTACAGCAACCATCGTGAAGGGATCGATGACGAACGACACGCGTAATAAATCTGTGAACGCGATATTGAATAGGGTACACGTGAGCAAGGTGCGTGTAGCTTTGTCGATGGCACAGCACGCAACACACTGTCTAATCCACGCTGTTCCAGGCTTCAAGGCAGCTGCAAACAAGACTCAAGCTGGCGTCTTACAAAGCTCGTAATGGACTGGTGAATACGCCTGTGGATTCTATACTCAGCACCAGTCAAATGCCACCGCCGAATTCATTGAGATCGCCAAACGGTGTAAACGCTTCAAATACCTTTAAATCACCCAAGTCACCTAAGAGGAGTGTAAATACGCGTAGAATTAGCTGTAATAACGCGTCACCCGGTCTACCCGTGTCAACGGCCACGTCCCACGACAGCGAATCAATGAACGCGGCAAGTGCTTTAACAAGTCTATTCCATTCACCGGGCTATAACAGGGGACAGTCTCTCAGGCATTTATCTACGGCGAATTCCACGCCCACGGCAACTGCGACGCCCACACACACTTCAACACCCACAAATACTCAACATCCAGACGAAGCAGATGCTCAGCTGATGCTCTTCCTAGCTACTTCCCCTTCGCCAGCTAAACCAGATAAGCACAAGTCAAACGCGTACAACAAGCTCAACAACGTCGACTTGGCTCAATGGATCCATAGCCCTCACACGAACACCAGGAATTAGGCTATGACTTTGAATTTCTTTTTATGCCTTGTATAATAATCTTGTATTTCTATTTACAGCTTATTTGGCTCATCGGAGAGGTATCCGTCCACGCCTTATTGAAGATATCCGTCCCCGAATAAGTCAAAGTCATCCTTATCGAGGAGCGTGTCGAGAGTGAGTGGATCGTTTGGTGGTGGTTGTGGTGGTTGTGGTGGTTGCTGTGGTTGCTGTGGTTGCTGTGGTTGCTGTGGCTGTATCTCTTGTGTCTCTTCTGGCTGTATCTCTGGCTTCTTCAAATCCCGCGCTATTACATCCCTACAACGGCGTATACGCGTATCCAAACTCTCTGCCATCGCTTCAAATGATAACAGACGCCTTTTTAGAATATCCGCGGTCTCTCTGTCCTCTGGATTCTTCAGGCTTGTAGCCACGTCGACTAGGAGCTATAGCGGTGTTAAGCTATTTAAAAGAGAATACATACACATACATACACACCTGTCTATAAACTATACCCAGTATACTCACATCCACTTCTACTTGAGCCATGACGACACTGACAATGGCTAATGATTATTCATAACGCTTACAAGTCCAACAAACAACTCTCTAGATCCAATTCCACTCGGATATCATCCAATTTGATCTTGCGTGTGTGGGTGTGGGTCTGCGTGTGCTTCGGTGGCTGTGTCTGTGCCTGTTTCTTGACCGGTCTTCTCTGGGTTGTAACGCGAGTATTAGCCACTGTACCTCCCCTCCCCACAACTCCTTTCTGCTTCTTCTTCACTCTAATCCCGATATCCTCCTCACTGCCACTGTCATAGTCCATCTTCACCTCCTCACCGAATCCACCGCGTGTTTTCAAGTCTGCGATTTGATCCGACGCGTACGAACCATCACTGTCATCCGACTCGTAAACGCTGAATCTTGGTGAAGCTATTCTCAACTGACGGCCCAATTCCCTGTAATTTGTAACCTCCGACTCACTTTCACTCTCGAGTGGTCTCGATGGCAACTCAATCTGAGTCTCCTTACCGGGTGCATACTCCACTTCGAAATCACTCCAATCAGATTCATGATATGCCTCCTCTTCCAGCTCCAACTCCAGCATCGCCTGCTCCTTCTCCTCCTGCTTCATTTCGCCAAGAGTGGGGCCGACATCGTCTTCGTGGTGGTGGAGGGGAATGAAAGTGGGTGCCGGTGTCGCCTTGATGTTCTGCGCCTGTGTTTGGTGTGTAGGCACGCGCATTGACTTGCGCAGAGTCGACGGACGAGGACTGGGATCCTTATCCTTATTCTTTTGACCACTCTGCCCCTTGTGCACATTTTGCACATTCTGTCCAGCTGCAGGCCTCAGTACAGTCTTGGGTGGGGCCGGAGTCAGACCGGTCATTGTCTTCTTGGATTTAACCGTGGTGGGTACTTCACCGAATAGCTGCGGCTTTTTCGATGGCAGTGGTGTTTTGAGCGGGTTTGTACTACCTGGCTTTCCCATGCTCATGCTCATCGCTATCGCATTCTCCTTGCCCCCTCGCCCACCACCTTTGGCAGGCGTCTTGAATGACTTGTTCACTCCAGCGCTGCTGCCATCTCCATCTCCGTCCCCCATCGCTACTCTAAACGTCTGTCGCGTGCCAAGCATTTTATTTATCTTTAATTCTTATTTCTTCGTCGTGGTCGTTGCTCCCAGAGGCAATCTACGTTATGACGCGACAAGACTAACACGCTAACCCGTTTAATCCTTGTACGGAAAAGGAAATAAATAAATTATGTTACAGTAATACACGCTTCAATTCCAACTATGGCCCCATTTATACAGCGACGTCGGCAGATCCCTCCGTTTCTCCACAGCTTGTCTTATCTCCCCGTTCTCGAGCGCGCATCTGTGGGTGGCATACTCGCGCATTTCCCCGCTTGCGAGAGCGCTAGCAGAAGAGACGGGGATGAAGAGGTTGAGGAGGACGAGTGTGTCGAATGCCTGTAGAGTGATGTATGAGCAAGTCAGTCAGAAAAAAGTACCTAAACACCACTCACCCCCATCAGTATATGTCGCGGCCAAACACTGATTGCTATGCGAGGGTTGGTCATCGCGTTCATATCCACACTGGCGGCTGTCGGTGCGTATATAGTCCTTCTCGCCCAGTCGTCGTATTCCTTATTGACCAACTCAAATGTAAATGTGTGCATATCGCGTGCGCTGATCTGTTTCGCGGCAATCACGAGCGCGATTGCCGGCAAAGGGAGTGTGTCGAGTAGGTAGAATGTATCTGTGGGACGCTGCGAAGCGTATGCGCCAAGGAATTCTTTCGCAGGTGGAAATGCCTTCTCCGGTGTAGCATTAGCGATGGGTATAGCCTGGAGTGTATGGGGTGTGTGTTTGTTAGTTATTTCGTTAAACGCTCTCCGCATTCACCTACAAACACTCGGTACAGCGCTGGGATATCGGCTAGCATGTCAAAAAGCATCTTGAGCACGAGCTCGAACTGCGTATCGTCGAAAAGTCGCTCTACGTGTGCATCCCACTGTGTCTTGAACTTGTCCAACTGCTTCGCGTGGGCTACATCCTCGACGTGCGGGTAAGATAGGGATTTTCGGGCGAGAGTGCACCACGCTGTCCACGTACGCGGACTCGATACGTGTAGGATTCGCTGCGAGAAACGACTTTTGACCCTCTTCTCGAGCATATCAACGGCGTCCTGAGTGAGCAACGCAAAAATCAATGAGCAAGAAACTAAAAGAAAAGGTGAGACAACCCACGAATCTACACGTCGTGCCGACGACAGCTAGGCCACCTCTGCGGCGACCACCCTGAGCGCAGTCGAGGAGGCAGTAAAGCAGAGCCTGCCTAGCGTGTGCCGCGAAGAGATCGAATTCATCGAGCACGACGACTATAGGGAGAGCGGAAGCGGCGAGAAGGGTGAGCAAAGCGGTAAGGGTGCTCTGGCCGATATCGATAGTGTGTTCTGGGTGCTCTGTGCTCTCTCCGCCCTCCCCGTTCTCGTCCACCTGCAACTGGAGCGCATCGAGCGAGGTTACGGTGCCGCCCTGCGCGCGTATCTGCCGCGCCATCTCGCGCAGAGCCATCTTATCGGTCGTGTGGACACTGCCGTGGAGGTGGATGGGAATAAAGCGGCGGGTGGGGACAGCTGCGAGTGCACTGCGCACTGCTAACGTCTTGCCGGTTCCTCGGCCACCAACGACAAGAACGCTGTTGCCTTCGCCGTGCTCTACACTCCCACGTAACACACCGGTCAGGTCGCTGATCGTACCAGCCGTCTCACTGCCGTCGTCGCCATCGCCAGGCTGCGCGTGCCAGCCGTAGAAAGTAGCGAGAAGAGATCGCTGGAGATGGCGCAAGGGGGCTGAGTAGTCAGCGTCTTCGGCGTCGTCGGTGTCATCTGACACAGCCACAGCCACGCGTGATTTCTTGTTATGCAATCTGCCCGGTGGAGAAGATCTCTGGCGCTTCGACGTCATGGTCCTTGAACAAGAACGACCAAGACATAAAAACGTGAAATGAACTACAAATTATCGCAGGAGCTTATAGGCCACAGCCAAGATGTGAAGGCTGTTAGCTTCATCGACAGGAACACGCTCATCTCCGGGTCGAGAGATAATACTGCGATCGTTTGGAAGCGTGGCGAGGATTCTGATTGGTCAGCCACGGCGACGATCAGCACACACGACAACTACGTCAACAGCGTTGGTTGGCTTGCAGCTGCTGATCTCGTGGCCACCGGTAGTCAAGACAGTCTCGTAAACCTCCACAAATACGAGCATAACACCACCAGTAACCACATATCTGTCCCCGCTTACACCCTCCTCGGCCACTCTGCCAACGTATGCTCAATAGACACCTCCGCTACTGGCCTCGTAGCCACTGGAAGCTGGGACACTACAGCGCGCATATGGAATCAGGGCGTCCAAGTTGCCTGCTTAGCTGCTCACTCTCAAGCAGTCTGGTCTGTGAAATTCACCCCCGATAACAAACACGTCATCACAGCCTCCGCCGACAAATCCATCGTCATCTGGGATTTAGACAGTGCTAAGCCTGTACACTCCATTCAGAACGCACACGATGACGCTGTACGTTCACTCACCATCCTCAACCATGCCATAGGCTTCGCTTCCGCTTCCAACGACCTCCAGATCAAACTTTGGACTTTCGACGGCGAGAATATCATGTCTATGCATGGACACACGGAGTTTATCTACGCTCTCGCCACTCTCCCCTCTGGTGGAATCGTCTCTGCTGGCGAAGACCGCTCTGTAAAGGTGTGGCAAGATGGTGAATGCGTCCAGACAATCATACATCCTTCCACCTCCGTTTGGTCTGTCGCTGCGGCAGAAAATGGCGACATTGCGAGCGCATCTAGTGACGGCATTGTGCGTGTGTGGTCGGTGGATCCTGCGAGAATCGCACACCAAGACGCTCTCAAGGTGGGTTGCCTTCTTCTTTGCATCCACACTCACACTCACACGCACCGCTCACACTTAGACATACGATAATCTTGTGGCTGGATCCACGATAAGCTCGTACGTCGATTATCTCACACAGATTCGTCTCACACATTCACAGCCGCTCGTCGAACGGCATTAACGCGAACGACGTCAAAAGCCCAGAATCCCTACAGCAGCCCGGCAAGCGCGACGGCCACGTGATGCTGGTTAAGGATGCGCAGACAGTATCCGCGCATTCATGGTCAGCTGGCGAGCAGACATGGAAGAAGATCGGAGAGGTCGTCGACGCAGCTGGCGGCGTCGATCCATCCAACAGAGTTAAACACACTGATGGGAAGGATTACGATTACGTGTTTGATGTAGACATCGAAGACGGTAAACCACCCCTAAAACTACCCTACAACGTCAGCGAAAATCCTTACATCGCTGCACAACGTTTCCTCGAAAAGAACCTCCTCCCTCTTACGTACTTGGACGAGACTGTCAAATTCATAGAGTCGAATACCTCAGGTGTCCAACTCGGTCAGGGCTCTGCGGAGTATGTCGATCCTTACACAGGTGCGTGTTCGTGTTAGAGAAGGAAAATGGGAAACGTAATAGCTGACGCGGCTAATTTAGGCACTTCCAGATACCAAAGCAACCCAGCTCCACCGCCATCATCCACCAATTTGCAAGATCCATACACTGGCTCGAACGCAGGTGCAAGTGCATCAACATCTAATAACTCTCCCCTCCCAATCAAAGGTCCTTACTTGACATTCATCCAGGCCAATGTTCCCGCTATGCTCGACAAGCTCCGTCAGCTCAACGGCGGTGCTAAACACCCACTCGATAATACCCAGTTAGGCAGTATAGAGAGACTGGGTAAGTATGTCATGGAATCAAATCCAGCAGCGGAAGTAGATGTATCTGATTTAAGTGTCTTGTTACACGCTCTCCGTACCTGGCCAAAGAGCGATATCTTCCCATGTGAGTTTGCTGTTGTCATAATGCACACTTCCAGAATTCTACTGACTAAAATCAGTGCTCGACTTGCTCAGAGCTCTCGCTTCGCGTTCTGGTCTTGTTGCTTCGAGTAATGACGTCACAGCAACTCTGCTCGACGCGGCCGAATTCGTCCAGCAAACGAGTTCAACTGATGAGAGCAACATCAAGTCTCTTCAGACACGGCAGATGTTGTCGTTGAGAGCACTTGCTAACACGTTCGGCAATGAAGCAGGTCGCAAGACAAGAGGTGTTACAGCGGACGAGGTGGGTCACGAAGAAGGATCGAAGGATAGAAGGAATCAATCTAACTCGTAATTCCTGCAGCTCCTTAAATACCTCGACGGCATACCTTTTGGCACCTTAAACAAGCTTGCCAAGATTGCGCTCTCGTCCTTATTGTTCAAGTGAGGGGATGCACTCACGTCGAAACATCTAACAAACCAAAGTATGACTGTGTTATCGCTATCGACGGATCTAGCTACACCAACATATAACAGAATACTAAGGGTAATTTCCAAAGTGAGTCATCGGACTTATTTTGCGAAACGTTATCTAAAAGAAGAAGACATTAGAAAATGGATCAAACGACGAAGAAACGATATACAGGTTATTTGCAGCATATGGGAATCTTGTGGGTGTTGCCTTAGGCTTATCAGATAAGACTGACTTGCGCTAGCTATGTAAGCACAAATCAACGCTAGACAAAGCAACGGTGGGCGGGATGCAAGAGATAGTCGACGTTGTGAGCATCACTCAGCAACCACAGCGTATAAAAGATCTAAGCAATGCTTTCACATTGTACTAAGAATAAAGAATAAATTTTATATCTAATGACTCAACTCTTCTTACTCAACGACGACGAGACCACCGAAAGATGCTGACCAGGCGTTCAATAAGGACATTCTCAAGCTTGAATAAGCCTACATATATACACCCAACAAGCTTAGCTAAGAGATCTCTTGGTACCACCACCACTAGATCTGCCGTTGCACAGTCTTCTGTCCTCGGAGGCGGAGATAGCGGCGGCGGTGAGATGAATAGTCCTTCTGAGCTCGCTAGAAAAATCTCAGCTGCTGTCCTCCCAAAGATCGACAAGCCAAACGTTAAGAGAGTTTTAGTCGTCGGCTCTGGCGGTTTGTCAATTGGACAAGCAGGTGAATTCGATTATTCTGGTGAGCACCTACACATACAATTGGTTTTGTTTTCGCTTACAGTTGTTCAGGATCCCAAGCTATCAAAGCCCTTAGAGAATCTGGTATCGAAGTACTCCTCGTAAACCCAAATATCGCTACAATTCAAACATCCCATGAGTTGGCTCATCAGATTTACTTCCTTCCCGTTACTCCTGATTACGTTGCTGCTATTCTCGAGAAAGAACGCCCAGACGGTATCTTTTTGACTTTCGGCGGTCAGTCGGCACTCAACGTCGGTGTAGCTCTCGATAAAATGGGTTTGTTTGAAAGATTGGGCGTTCAAGTTCTCGGTACCCCAATTAGAACTTTGGAAGTTTCCGAGGACAGGGACTTGTTCGTACAGGCTTTAAATGAAATCGACATTCCAGCTGCTCAATCTACAGCTGTCGGTACCGTTCCTGCCGCCCTTGATGCCGCTCAGAAGATCGGTTACCCTGTCATCCTCCGTTCCGCCTTCTCCCTCGGTGGTCTTGGTTCTGGTTTCGCCAACAACGAAGACGAACTGCGCGATCTCTCAGCTAAATCTCTCAGCTTAAGTCCTCAAGTTCTTATCGAAAAGTCTTTGAAGGGTTGGAAAGAAGTTGAGTATGAAGTAGTGAGAGATGCGGCAGACAATGTCATCATTTGCTGCAATATGGAGAATTTTGACCCACTCGGTGTCCACACTGGTGACTCTATCGTCGTAGCTCCATCCCAAACGCTCACTGATGCTGAATATCACATGCTCCGTTCAGCTGCTGCGAAGATTGTTCGTCACGTCGGTGTCGTTGGTGAGTGTAACGTTCAATACGCCCTTGATCCACACAGCAAGCAGTACATGGTCATTGAAATGAATGCACGTCTCTCGCGTTCATCCGCTCTCGCTTCAAAAGCTACCGGTTACCCTCTCGCGTACACGGCTGCAAAGATTGGTCTCGGCCATACTCTCCCTGAGCTTCCAAACGCCGTGACTAAGACGACAACTGCATGTTTCGAGCCATCTCTTGACTACATCGTTACCAAAATTCCAAAGTGGGATTTGGCCAAGTTCCAACATGTCCAACGTGATACTGGATCGTCTATGAAATCAGTTGGTGAAGTTATGGCTATCGGTCGTACATTCGAAGAATCTCTTCAAAAGGCTGTTCGTCAAGTCGATCCAAATTACCATGGATTCGAAGCTTATTGGCAACCAGAAGATCTCGATGCTCAGCTCATCCAACCTAATGACCGTAGACTGTTTGCTATTGCACACGCTATGATCAATAAGGGTTACACAGTCGAAATGCTCCATAATCTCACCAAGATTGATCGCTGGTATCTCTACAAGCTCGACAACATTGTTCAAATCCACAAGCATCTCTCTTCCCTTTCTGGACTTGATGCTGTTAACAGGGAGCTTTTATACCAATCAAAGAGAGCTGGTTTCGCCGACACTCAGATTGCCTCTCTCACCAAGTCCACCGAAGGTGATGTTAGAAAGACCAGAAAAGATCTTGGAATCACACCATTCGTCAAGAGAATCGATACTCTGGCTGCTGAGTTCCCTGCTCACACTAACTACCTCTACACGACATACAATGCCCAATCACACGATCTCGAGTTCAACGACAACGGTACTATGGTTCTTGGATCTGGTGTCTACAGAATCGGCTCGTCTGTTGAGTTCGATTGGTGCGCTGTTACTTGTGCTCGTGCAGTCCGCGGTATGGACAAGAAGACCATCATGATTAACGTGAGTGTGTTGGTTTTTATTTTATCCTTTCTTACACTTTGCACAGTATAACCCAGAAACTGTCTCTACTGACTTCGACGAAGCTGACCGTCTCTACTTTGAAGAACTTGGATGGGAGCGTGTGATGGATATCTACGAACTCGAAAAGGCAGAGGGTGTCATCATATCTGTCGGTGGTCAACTCCCACAAAACATTGCTCTTCGTCTTAAGCAATCAGGCGTCAACGTCCTTGGTACTGCCCCAGAAGACATTGATATGGCAGAGGATCGTCACAAATTCTCGAGTGTTTTGGATTCAATCAATGTCGACCAACCAGCATGGGTTGAGGCAGCTACACTTAACGACGCCAAGGCATTTGCCTCTAAGGTTGGTTACCCAGTGCTGATTAGACCATCGTACGTTTTATCAGGTGCAGCGATGAATGTTGTATATGATGAAACAACTCTCGAGCACAACCTTTCTGCAGCAGCAAATGTATCACCAGACCACCCTGTTGTTGTTTCTCAATTTATTGATAGTGCTCAAGAAATCGATGTCGATGCTGTTGCCCACAAGGGTGAATTGCTCGTTCATGCTGTATCTGAGCACGTTGAGAACGCTGGTGTGCATTCTGGTGATGCAACTCTTGCTCTCCCACCATTTTCTTTGCCAGAAACTGAAATGCCACGCTACAAGGAGATTGCACAGAAGGTTGCCAAAGCATTTAGGATTTCTGGCCCATTCAACATGCAAGTCATTCGCAAGGCTGGCGAAAATGGCTCACAGCCTGAACTCAAGGTTATCGAATGTAACTTACGTGCATCAAGATCATTCCCATTCGTTAGTAAGGTTCTTGGAACTAACTTTATCGATATCGCTACTGCTGCAATTGTTGGTAAGAATGTACCAGCTCCAGTCGATTTGATGGCTGAAAAGAGAGATTACGTTGCTATCAAGGTACCTCAATTCTCTTGGACCAGATTGGCTGGTGCTGATCCATATCTCGGCGTCGAGATGGCATCTACTGGTGAAGTAGCCTCATTTGGTAAAGATATCCACGAAGCTTACTGGGCTTCGTTGGCATCTACTAATGGATTCCGCATTCCTAAAGCTGGCAAAGGTGTTCTGGTCGGTGGAGATATCGCCAAGCCAGAGCTCAAATCTGTTTCTGAAAAACTCACAAAACTAGGATTCAAAATGTACTGCTCTAATGCAGACGTTGAGACTCATCTCAATCAATCAGGTCTTTCACCTACAAAACGTATCTTCTTCCCTACTAAAGATAAGCGTAAATTACGTGAAGTGTTCGACGATCACGAAATTCAGTTCGTCGTTAACCTCTCTAAGTCTCGCGGTAAAGACACAGTCGATGAGGATTACGTAGCTCGTCGTAACTGCGTCGATTTCGGTTTACCTTTGTTCAACAACGCTAAACTTGCCGAGCTCTTCGTCGACGCTCTCGAAAAGAAGATGCCTGTTGGCGGTTTAGAGGGCTATAGAGAGGGTAAGATTCCTTCCGAAGTTAAGTCATGGAAGGAGTTTGTGCCTGAGGAGCGTAAAAATTAATCATCATCTGTATAGACTTTTCTCTTTTCTCGTCTTGTATTTCTCGAATTATGCAATCTACTTTATTGGTTCTTTTTATATAAAATATAAGATGCGATGCATGACTCAATTAAATCCCTCTTGTAGTCTATATTCATGTACAACAGCTTCCACGTATCGTCCAGTTGCGTAACCGAGAGAGGTTTCCCAACCCTCAAATCTTTGAGCAACAGCTTTAGCGTTGAAGGATGACCTTGTCAATCCCAACAGCGATGCGATTAGTGGTGATGAGCTATCCTTGTCGCCTTCCTCCAGCGACGGCGGTTTGTTGGTGAGTATATGGGGTATTGTTGGTAATATTGATGGCGAGAGTGATATAAGATATCTTAATTTAAGGGCGCTTTAAGTGGTATGAGTGATGAATTGGGTAATGAATTTCAACTCACGCTGCCCAGATACGCAAATTGTCAGTCCGACGGAATGTCCAACTTGTTTTAGATTTGGATGTTTTCGTAGTCTCATCGCCCTCCTCCTTCTCGAGGCCTGTTATGTCGTGTATATCCTGTGGTGGTATGAATCCCCAAGGTCTTCGTGACCTACGAAGAACACTGTTGAATACAATGCACAGCATCTGTCCATCAGACAGTCTATCCATAAATGCTACCGGGTCTTTGACAGGCGATGGCAACAGCTGGTTCAGACTGTCTGGCAAAAAGGAAACGAGAAGTGCGTATAAGCGGCCTAGTATCGCATCAGCGAATTACAAAGCTATACAAACAAGGCTCACCTAATGGATCACTCTGGTATAGCTTCTTCTGCGCCCAGGTGGGTAGATGGCTCTCATCACCGCCATCTTGGCTAATATTGGTGTAATCACACATCGCCATATCCTGTAATGCATCACCAAGATGATTATCAGATGTTTTTATAGGTGACGATAAAATAGTTGGACTCGAGTGTCTTGGTTTAGCCTTGACGGTATCTAGGAACATTTTCTCAACCAAAGCGACGTATTTCGCTGTAATTTTGCGCTCCTTGTCGAAATCTAACTTGATGTTCACACCATCTTTGTATATGTATCCATTAGAGTTGAGTAAGCGCTCTTCCCACCGTTCGCGAGCTGGCCTGTCTCCCGCCTCTTCGGCGTTGGTGAGTGAGTTGATATCTGGAGACTCGTAGTCTTGCCACACTGGAACAGGTTTGCCGGATCCAGTGTAATGCGTGGCAATAGATGCCGCACCAGTGGTATTACCAGTAGCATCTGTCTTCAACGACGTCTCAGCTATAGGATGTTCGATCAAAGGTATCTGAGCAAATGAGTTTTCATTTTGGTGGTATTCTGCAGTTTCCAATGTCTCGAGTTGTGATTGATCGCTGATAGACTGGATGAAGTTGTCAGCATTGACGTGGTTGGGAGATGTCAAGGTGGAGGTGGAGGTGTTTTCGACGCGACAGCGCTCTTCGATGTCTTGCAGAGCGGAGAGTACCTCCAAAGCACTGCTACGGACAAGTGCAAGCGGGTCAAGGAAGTCGTTCTGAGTGGTAGATCCTAGTGACGCACGAGTCTTACGTGGGTTTGGTGGTCTGAACTGACGCGAAGCTGTGGATATATTGTAAGAGATAGAGCGAAGCGTTGGTAGTCTTCTATGTCCGATAGCTGCCTGTGATGATGTCGTGGGCGTAGAGACGTGGTCAAATGGGAGAGCCATAGCGTACTGCTGAACCGAGCGAATGGTGGATATGGTAGATTTCAGCAGTTCGAGTATATTCACAGACGGATGTGACTCTTTCGGTTCTAAATTCCAAAGCTTCTTAATGTGGGTGATGTCACGTTCGACAGCTGGCTTGAGGAGCTCTGGATCAGTTTGAGGGGCGACATCGGGTGACTGAGGCTTATTCCAGCTGCTAGTTTCCAGTATTGGCGTATCAGGTGACGGTGGGAGCTGCACTCTCGGTGGAGGCTCGAGCATGCCTTCTTCTGCAGCGCTGGGACCGAGAGCGAGGACTACGTCAGAGGCGTGCGTAACATTGTGAGGCCTTGCCTTGCTCGCCAGGCCATTCTTTGCGTATAAATGCTGTAGGTGCTGGATTGAGCCCAATGCCATGACAGACTCTCTCTTAGCAGCAGATCTAGAGAATGGCTGTGGGGGTGCTCGTGGATTTGGTGAGCCGTAGAATGCCGTTGGTCTGTTCTTGCTCCGGAGCGGTCGACGTGGCTCAGCGGATGCTGCCGGCAAAGTCGATGCGGAGAAAGCGGTAAACGAATCAGCCTCAGTCTCATTGAGCGTCGGGAACGGTATAGACATATTCGTTAGATTCCAATTTTTATTTTTATTCGTTTTCAGGTACGTCGTCGTCGTTTGCGAAAGAGCTATCTCCGCAACTCCCCAACGCTCCCCACCAAATGTCAGCGAGACCGAAGACGGCGAAGAAGGACGGCAGCGGCAGTGTCAGCGCCGGCAACGGCAACAGCGCAGCCGACGGTATCAAGAAGGTTGTCACGCGCGTCTCCCGTGAGTCTTGATTCTGTCCTGCGTGGGGTGACACAGCTCCTAACAAGTCCTTATCTCAGGCGCCTGCGATCAATGCCGCAAGCAAAAAATGCGATGTCAGAATGCAGACGATCCGCCATGCGTGCGCTGTAAATCTGCTAACATTCCGTGTACTTTCGAAAAGCCAGCGAGGGATTCAACGGCTATCGGCGAAGCTGGTCTGGAGCGCATAAGAAGTCTTGAAATGCAAGTTTCGTCAATGAGTTCTAATTTGTTCGAACTCGTCGGCTTTTTCCGGTCTACGAACAAGGCACAACCACAATCATTGGATAATTCCCCATTCGGATCTGCTCAAGCTTCAGCTTCTCAGCCACAGTTACATCATCTGGCTGCTCCCGCTGAGCAATTCCCCCTGAAACGCCCTGTGGAGGATTCTACGGGGATGAGACACACTCCCCAAGGCACACATTTTTTAGATTCATCACAACATCACCCACATCCAGTTCCTGGCGCATTTCCATCTTCCCATCATTCACGACCCTTCCATGCCTTTGCATCGCCTAGAAATTCGAAGCGACAGTACTTTCATTCTACAGTCACATCGGCTGCTTCGTCAGACGATGAGGAAGAACTCCCGTCTTCAGCTCTGGTTGCTCCCATAGAAGTGCTTAGAGGGCTTGCTGATGCTGCTGCTGAACGACACGCTACAGAAGCTATAGAGGCTAAAGAACAAGCCTTGCTTAGGGCTAATGCGAGTGCTTCTGATGATCAACCACAATCAAAACTCCCGCATCACTCATTCACACAACCGTCCGACTCATTCCTACCTTCAAAGCGGAAAGATATGGCTGATAACCCACTGTCGACTGGACGCAACAAGCGAAAAAAAAAATGTGACCCACCACATGCCTACGCAGATGTTGTCACTAAGGGTGTAGTTTCAGATCAGACCGCGAGAGAGCTTTTCAAGATGTGAGACTGCTAATTTTCGCTTCACCTTTTCAACTCACCATTGTTTAGATATTTCGAAGAATGTCACAAGTTCTTGCCCTTATTTGATCCCACACATGACACTTACGAGGAGCTTCGCAAAAGGTCACCGTTCTGTGTCACTGTTATTTGCATGGTAGCGGCTAGAGTGATGGATGGAGGTAACGCACCTACGCAACTCTATCTCGATTGCCAAAGAGAGGCGAGGGAGATAGCGAAAAACTCAATGTTTTTGCAAATGACGAGGAAGGAAGCTGTGCAAGCATTGGTGGGTGGTATATTATAGACAACTGCAAAACTGACAGATGACCAGCTTTTGTTTTCTGCATTTCAGGACAACTCTTGGCTAGTTGGAGGACATGCTGTCAGAGTAGCGTATGAGGTTGGACTAGATAAGGCAATCTCCAAGCTGCTTAGACGTTTGAAGAAAACACCAAGCACAAACTCACCAGCGGATGATTATGAGCGGCAGATAGTTGCTGCAGTAAGGATATGGATCTGTCTGTATATACACGAGCAGCAGTAAGGCAGAATTACAGCCGCCTACTAATTTCGACTTACTCCAGCACAGGCTTAGCTTCGGTACTGGTCGAACAGCTTTTTTGAGAGATGATCGGGGTACACTTAGCCATTCACGAATATTACTTGACCACCCACTGGCTACACCGACTGATTTTCGTCTTGTGAGCACAGTGGAGCTCTTGCAGATTAGGGAAAAAGTACACACGGAGCTGCAGCCGTTTGATGCACGCGTCGATGAGCATACCTTTGCGACGCTAAGATCGGCGACTGTAGAGTTTGAGTGGGTGTACAATGCGAGGAAGCAAGAAGTAACTAACGATTTGTGACAGCGGATGGTTCAACGATTGGAAGGAACACATACGTGAGTGAATAGAATGTATTTCAAACTACCACCGCTAAATCTAACAATCTAATCATTCAGAAAACAAATTCCCAGATCAACAATTTTTCATACAGAGTTTGTACGTGCAACGTCAATACGCTGAGCTGTTCCACCACGCTGTTGCACTGCGGGGCATAAAAGGACCTTCGGATATAGTCACTATGCCAATGGAGCAGCGATCGATAGCACACCGAGCGATGGGCGCAGCGCAACACTGCCTTGATGCTTGCATCAAACCTGGAGAATACGGGCATAATTTGAAATACGCAGTGCATTACACTCACGTATGTGCCGCATTTGCTGGATCATTCCTGCTCCGTCTCGCCAAATTGTTCCCTGAAGATTTGCAGTTGGATAGTATACTGGAACGTGTGGAGATATTGGCAGAGTTGTTGTCTAGAAGTGAGTGCGAGGGATGTTTTATGAGTGATACTTACATTATATAGCCCCGGCCAGTCGGTACGGGCGCAGTCTCAGACTGATGCTGAACAGAAGTATGCGACAAGCAACGCCATCGGAGCTAGGTAGAGGAGGTAGCTTACCAGCAGGGGTGGGAATAAGGACAGGGATGAGTGGCAGTGGAGGTGATATTGGTGGTGGTAGTGGTGGTGCAAATCTTAATGGACATAACAATGGCAATAGCAATACCAACAATATACCAATGAGCAATGGGATGATGCTCGATACGGGCCATATGGAACAACCGTGGAACTTGATGGAAGGCACACAACAACAGCAAGAAGGATGGTCGCCGGTGATGCTCAACGGGCTGGGTATAGAGACATCGACGTCGACGCCAAACTCGCAGTCGACACTTGTGAGTGGGGAGAATGGATTAGGAGGGGGAATTGGAACGGAGTTGCCGTTGTGGCTCCAGGAGACAAACCTCGGGGATCTTGGATTAACAAACACAGGCACGGAAGCGTATTTCTTGCCATCGGAGGATTTAAGTAATTTCACGTTGCTGTAGAAGAATATTAAATGATAGAATATCTTAAACCAGGTCGGCCATGTCTTCGGAATCTAAAGGGTTAGATAATTGTTTAAATTTTAAAATAAATCTTAGGCAGCCACAGATCTTCAACGTTATTCGTTTCCAATTTACCATTCACGCTGACAAATGAATCCCTCCTCACCGCCTTCTCTGATGTTGGTCCACTCAAGTCTGCGTTCGTCGTACTCGATCATGATACAAAGGAGAGCAAAGGCGTTGGGTACGTCACCTACGCTATGCGCGAGGACGCTGTTGCTGCGTCGAGTGAGATGAACAACAAGCTCATCCAACAAGGATCAGATAAGAGGAAATGTAGAGTGGAATGGGCGAGGCAGAGAGCGACGTTAAAAGAGCGTAAAGAAATAGCTAAAGAGAATGAAATGGATGCTAAGCTGTACAATAAACCACAAGCTACACAACCACGTAAAGTTGTAACTTCTAAAGACCCTGATGCAGTTAGAACTGTCGTACTCAGTGGTCTCCCTAAAGGAATCTCTCAGAAGGAAATCTACAAAAAGGTTAGAAAAATTGGTAACATTGACTCACTTGACCTGAAAGACGATGATATCGCTCATGTTAAGTTTGATAAACCTTCAAGTGCAAACACAGCATTGTCTAAACTTCACGCGCACATATTCAAAGGCAAGACAATCTCAGCTGTCCTCTTGAAGCGCCTTGAGACTGCTATTAGCGGTAAAGGTAAAGTCAGCCGCAGATCACGTCTGATCATCCGTAATCTCAACTTCAACATTACTCAGGAAGACTTGAAAGCTACTTTCATACCTTATGGTGATATACATATGATCACCCTACCTACTATCAAAGCTAAGGATGGTTCTGATCACAATAAAGGTTATGGTTTTGTTTGGTTTACTTTTCATCACGACGCCCAGAAGGCTATTGAAAAAATGAATGGAAAATCTGTGAAATTGGCCACTTCAGAGGCTGATGTTGCTGCTGCGGGTGGTACAAAGAAGCAGAGAAAGAGAATCGCAAAGGATGTCGAGAGCAGACCTGTTGCTGTTGACTGGGCGCTGTCAAAAGAAAAGTGGGAACATGAACAGAACGATCAAGATAACAACGAGGATGTCAAGATGGATCAAGATGCAAACAAGTCAGCAGGGTCAGACGAAGAATCCAATAACGACAACGCCGATGATAATGATAGCAAAGACAATAGTGAGAGCGAGAGTGAGGGTGAAAGTGAAGATGAGCAAAGCAGTCAAGATGACCAAGACAGTCAAGACAACGATAACGTAGACGACGACGAAATAATGGAAGAGATTGAAAATGAGTCTGCGACTGACGACAGTGAGGAAGAAGATGGCGACAAAGCTCCACCTCTACAGGACGGACTCACACTCTTTGTCCGTAATATTCCTTTCGAAGCCACACAACAAGACTTGTACGAGGTTTTCAGACGGTTTGGAAAGTTGAGATACGCTAGAATAACAATGGACTATGAGACTGAGCGTTCAAGAGGTAATGGTTTTGTTGCGTTCTGGGACATGAAAGCTGCAAACGAATGTTTAAAGACAGCAGACGTAGTCAGAGCGACAACAGGTACCAACAGAACGGACAGCATGAAGCAAAACCCATTCCAGACATCGTCCATCCTCACAGCTGATCCTACGTCTAAGAGCGCGCACAGCTTGACACTCCAGGGCCGTGTTCTCGACGTGGTCAAAGCTGTATCTAGGGACGAAGCTGTAGAGAAGAAAGAGGAAGGTGAGAAAGTCAAACACAAAAAGGACAAACGTAATGTGTATTTGATAAGAGAAGGTGTTATCTTCCCTAATAGTCCAGCTGGTCAGGCGCTGCCTGAGGCTGATCAGGAAAGACGCATGAAATCATTTAACACTAGACGCAAATTACTCGAAAGCAATCCATCGCTCTACATCTCAAAGACTAGATTGTCAATTAGACAGATACCGCTGTATGTGACTGACAAGGTCTTAAAGCGCTTGGCACTGCATGCCGTCAAAGAGTTTGAAGCGGAAGTAGCGCGTGGTGAAAGAGATGCATTATCCAGGGAAGAGCTAGAAGATACCACTGAATCTGACGGTTCCAAGGATCCAAAGAAGGCATTTAAGGGTAGACCGACTGCTGTTATCCAGTCCAAGATTGTCAGACAGACCGACAGAGTGGATACATCGACAGGACTCGGAAAGTCTAGAGGGTATGGTTTCCTCGAAATGAACAACCACAAGAATGCACTCAGGGTGTTGAGATATGCCAACAACAACAGTGAAGTGACCAATATGATGAAGGCGTGGCTCGTTGATGAACTGGAGCAGGCTGAGAAGAGATGCAAGGAGGCGATTACGACCGCGAAGGGCGAGAAGAAAGACGAGGAACGTACTAAGCTTAAGAAACTCGAAGATCGCCTCACAAAAGCGAAGAATGACCAGTTGAAAGACAGCCGCGGTACACTTATGATTGAATTTTCGATCGAGAATGCGCAGGTTATTAAAAGGAGAAGTGATAAAGCAGAAGTTATGCGCAACAGAGCTCTGAAGCGTAAAGTGAGTGTTTATTGATAAGTCGACTGCTTCTAATATGACTCAAGGCTGCAGAAATGGATGAAGAAGTGAGCGGCGAAGAGGAAGAGCAGGAACAGGAGGAGCAGGATAAGCCACAGAAGAAACAGAAGAAAGGAGTTAATAAAGATGGCAAAAAGGATAACAAGCAGGAGAAAAAAACTCAATCCGAAAATGACAACGGGAAGTCAGACGTCGGTAGTGTTATCGGCCGTAAGAGAAAAGAGCGCCAGAAGAAGAAGGGAGGAGCATAAGAAGCGGCGCTTAAGGAAAAGACTATAGACGATATAATATATTTGTAAAAATACAAATTATTTCATTTGGCACACTACTGCTCGACTCACACTGGTTGGAATCAGTTTGTCAAACGAATAAAATGCTCGGGATTAGAGGGATACGGAAAGTGCAGGTGGCAAGCCGGCGACTGCTGAGCACTAAGTTACAAGCAGAACCATTCGATGCCGCGCCACTCGCAGGCTCCAGTCCAGCGCACCGAGGACATGTAATCGTGCACACTCAAATACCGCCGAGAGAATGGCCCAGTAAGGTGAATGGGCTCAGCGAGAAATACGATGATCTGGTGATTAAAAAGGAGTTGAGCGATGCAGGTGTACTCGTCGGTCTCGCATTCAATCCGAGTGCATCAGATAAGAATGATTGTCAAGTATATCCAGCAATGGAGGCTGTAGATGGGCATTCTACCGCACAAATACTCAGCAGCATCAATCAATCTAGTCAGAACGACTGTGTGCACATCTATGTTTGCACACACGGAAACCGCGATTGCAGGTGTGCAGAAGCCGGAGAGCCCACAGTCCACAGCCTGCGAACGGAGATCAATGCACGTGGTTTGGAAGACCGAGTGAAATTGTATGAGATATCCCACATTGGCGGTCACAAGTGGGCAGCAAATGCTATCGTGTTCCCACAAGGAGACTGGTACGGCAATCTTCGTCCATGGGATAGCAGTAAATTCCTCACGAATATCCTTGCCGGTGCAATTCATTGGCCTCACTGGCGCGGTCGACTTGGTTACGATCCCGCTAAAGCGGTTGACGCGGCTAACGCGCGCAGTCTCGATCTGGAGAGCAGCTGTGGGGAGACCAAAGATGCAATGGACGCTTTAAACGCTAATGAATCCGATATCGTCCCTTTACGTTTCAGAGAGTCTGACGGTGCAGTGCACTATGTTGATGCTCTGCTAGGTGAGTCCCTTATGAACGTCGGGCGTAGAGAAGGTTTGGGAAACGTAGAGGGCGTATGCGATGGTAAACTCGAATGCGCTACTTGTCATATGTACTTCCCTTCAAGCGATAGCGCTGAAGCTGCTTCATTCCTGCCAGATGTAAGGGATGAGGAAGATGACATGCTCCAGTATGCTGTCGGCTATGATGACCAAAAATCTAGACTGGGTTGTCAGATAAAAGTCACGCCGGAGCTCTCCCATTGGTGTGCCAAAGGAGGTACAATAGATTTGCCGAAATATTAGAATAGACGGTTGTACATGCATTGATTATTGCTTATAGGAGTTGTTTTAGCTACAGCGGTGGTTGGCGGTGGCTGGTGATAACCGGCGATGACGATACTAAGATGCGAACAAAAGGTGAATCAGATCAGCGTCAACGTCATGAGTAAACGTATGGCGCCTCCGTTACAATGACAACGGTAATGACGATCTGCAAGAAAAAGCAAGTCAGTCGAATTGCGCGCACACTTGTTCGAGTACATCCATATCAAAATCGTCACAGCTGTAGTCCGCGCCGTCAGAGGTAACGCTAGGGGGCTGTGATGGTTGTAAGGGTTGTGAGGGTTGTACAGGCTGTCGTTGTGACTGCGATTGTGACTTTGATCCGGAAGACATGTGTAGATCCACATCCACATCTAGGACTGTTGGTTTGGTTTTCACGTTATTAGTATTTGCAGCAGCACCATCAGGCCTCTGCTGGGCTTGAGGTGGAAATGATGTGTTTGTGTTTGCGACGCGTTGCGGTGGTTTGAAGCGCTGATTAGGGCCTTGTGGAGGTGGTGGTTTGCGCATGGCAGGTTTCTTAGTCGTGGTCTTGTTCACGTTGCTCTTGTTTTCGGGTATGTTTTGATTCTGAGACTGTTTGATAATCGTTTTCTGTGCAGGTGCTAGTTGTGGTTGTTGTGGTTGTTGTGGTTGCTGCTGCTGTGGTGGCTGCTGTACTTGCTCTTCTGGCTGCCGCACCTGTCCCAAACTCTCACTGACATAGCTACAGCTCGCCGTTGCACTCCCGCCGTGATCCTGTAAAGAGGAAGTAGAGCTTCGTTCGCGTTGCAACCTCGCTGACACTTTCTCAATAAGGATATCAAGTTCAGTGTTCTGTTTATCAATTCGCGCTTTCTTCACGCTTTTTCCTGTCGTTTCACTATCAGAATCCTCTTTGTCAGTTCCAGTTGGCTCAAAAGAGGCTGAGGATTGCTGGGCGAGTTGAGAGCGCGTTCTACGCGTACGTGTGCGTCTAAACTGGCTTGATTTGTTATTTCGAGTGAAGGAGAGTGATTTTCTATTCAAATGGCTCGTCGTCGCTGGCTGCTGGGCGATTTGGGGTGAGGGAGCGGGGAGTGGAAGGGGAGGTGGCGGAGGTAGCCTGGCTGATAGTAAAGTGAGCTATACGCGTTTTAATCTACGGTGCAAAAACCCACTCATCTGCGTACCAGCCAATTGATGTAATAAGTTGGATTGAGAAGCCTGCCAACATATTTGTATACCTTCATTTTCATCCTCGCTATCGCTGCAGCTGCGATAGAAAGACATGTTTTTATTTTGATTTTCTCAATCGAGGTGGACGTTGGGCTACGCTAGCAGCCAGCTTGTTGATTTTGTACAACAAAGAAAATAAAAAGTGGATTATGTACGCGGCAGGAGCAGCTCCAGCATCTGGATCTCAAGTGCCTCTCCAGCATCCAGTTCCTCAGCATCCATTCAAGCCACCTCCCACACCGGATACTCTAGCCAAGGATAAGGATTCAAGGGGAAGCTTGGATTCCAATGGATTCGCATTTGAGCAGGATCCTTATAATCCATACAATCCATCCAATTACGTTGAGCAGCAGCAGCAGCAGGTTTATCCTCAGCAGCAGTTATATCCCCAGCAGCACGCTTATCCTCAACAACAGCCGCAATACGCCCAACAACAGCCATACACCACCTATCAACCGATGCAGCCACATCAACAATCCCAGGAAACCCCGTGGAACAATCTCAACGACGGTACAACTCAAATGGGTCTCCAATTCGGCAAATCAGCTTTCATGGCTGGACACGACTACGTGGATAAAAACATTGCACGTCATATTCCCCTTCCCATCGTCAAGACGTTGTTTAACGTAAATACCACGTACGTTATCAGCAAGCTCCGTCTGATATACTTCCCGTGGCGACATAAACCATGGCTCCGTCAGCGTAATGAGAGTATCGGAAACGATGGCTTTAGTGTATCGGCTGGATATCTTTCTCCACGTCAAGACATCAACAGTCCTGATCTATACATACCAACAATGTCTGTCCTCACTTACATTATCGTCGCTGCCATTTACGCAGGCATTCAAAATAAGTTTCATCCAGAGGTTTTGGGCGCCAGAGCTTCACTTTCTTTCGCAGTTGCTGCCTTGGAATTTTGCTTGATTAGGCTTATTTGCTACTTACTCGGCGTAGAGACCTCTAACAGCGGTGGATCCGGCTGGAGCTCTGGTGTCAGTGGAAGTGTTGAGTTGTTTTCATACTGCGGCTATAAGTTCGTCAGTATCATTCCGCCACTTTTCATCACCATCTTTATCCCGCGTTGGAGATTGGTGTATTATTCTTCTTTTGTGTACTGCGTCGCTGCACAGGGATTCTTTTTGGTATGTTTCTGTCGTTTGTCTAATTTGTCCCCAACTAACCCCATCTTCAGCTTAGAAGTCTCAAATACGTAGTTTTGCCAGACGCATCGTCAGCTGCTGCAACGACCTCGATAAGCGTGGGCTCTTCTGAACGCAGACGTCGTTTGCAGTTCTTGTTCATCGTCGCGTGTCTCCAGCTGGTGTGGATGGGTATCCTAGTGTGGATATAACATATACATGAATGAAATGAAAATACCCGATACACGCTAGCTTATTTAGTGGCTATATGAGATTTTCGTATACAAATTTACTACACTTTATGCGCCCGCGATCGTGCATGCGATTGTTCTCGCTCTTTACTCTTGTGCAATGAACTACTATCGCGCTTCCTGTGCTTACTGTGTTTATCGCGCCTACTCCGTGTACTTTCTTTATTCCGTTTTGCGCTGTCTAGCTCAGCAGTCGCTTGAAGGATATCGTTGAGGGGGTCGTCGCGATCCTTGATGAGAGTGTCGTGCATAGGGCTGTAAAGAGAGGGTATATTAGCCACTTAATTATGCCTATAAGTTACATACTCTTCGCGTTGCCGTTTCATTCTACTTTTCAAGCTGTTACTGCCGCTGCCACTCTTATCAGCCGCATCTTCTGCGTCTGCAGCGTCTGCAGCTTGGGAGGGATCTCCAGAAGTATCTACGTCGTACCAGCGTGGAGTGGGATGCACCATTTGCATATCCGTGTTAATAGCAGCGGTGGCTTCGTTGCTCTGTTTGGAAGACTGAGGGGGCTGCTCGAGGTGCTGCCAGAAGTTTGGGTGTTGCTGCTGCTCACTCTTCTCGCCCTTCTCGCCCTTCTTGCTTCTCCCCCTCAGAATATCCAGTTTGCGTTTAGATTCTTCGCTCCGGCCCACCTGCGTCTCGAGCTGCTCAGATAGTCGTGCCTGCTCTTCATCCTGTCGGACTCGCTCGATGTTGGCTGCGTTGTACGGATGATATGATCTTGTGCAGGGTAAGACGTTGGTGTAGTGTCTTCAAATAACCTACTTGTGATGCGCCAATTTCAGCGGCATGATGGCGGGAGATACTTATCAGCGTTACCGATGTCGTTGCGTCATGCGCAAACAAAGATAAAATAATATATATTCATAAATTAAATACACGTATATTTCAAAACGCGCATCTATATGCTCAATGCTCAATGCTCATTACTCAATAATCAATAATCAATAATCAATACTCAATGCTCAATTCCAATTCCAATATGTGAACCACTCATCTTACTCATCCTTCTTCTTCTGATTCCTGTTGTTCCTGTCGCTGCTGCTCCTCCTACTCTTGCTGCCGCTAGTAGTACCATTCTCTCTTACAAGAGAAGGCGCATCGAGGAAAGAGACAACTTTATCGAAATCTCCATCGTTGAGCACATCCGGTACAGGTGTCAGAGGTGCTTCTTTCGACAATGCTTGTGCACCACTCATGCTAAATGATCCTGGCATACTATAGCGCGAATCTGCATCTAGATCTACAACCGCATCTTCCTGTACACCTCGCGACTGTGATTCCGATTCAATTCCACCTCCATCCGCTCTCTTGGTCGTCGACCATCCAAACAGCATCTCATCGAGCCATTGGAATGACGACTGTTGGCTGTGTGCTTGCGCTGGTATAGGGGGAACTGAAGTTATTTTCTCGAAATCCTCCATTTGTTTCGGACCATATTCCTCTATGATATCTGTCAGCTCATTAGCGAGATCTTGTCTCATTCGCTTGATTTTGGACAGCTCCTTTTCGTTCCACGGCAACAGATTCACGAAGAGCGGTCTGAGGCTTTTGTATATGTCCACACCCCCTTCACCGAATTTAAGCGCCGAGATGCCGAGGTAGGGTAGGCTGAGGAGGGCAAAGAGTGGTGACCATCTGATATAAAACTCGCTAAGTCCAATCTGAGAGCCGTATCTCGTCGCAATGTATGTCGTCAACACTACGTAATATAGATAGAGGAGGGGTATCAGTGCGAGAGAAACTAGTACTTTCCAGCTTCCAATCACATCGCGTGCTTCTATTTTGACTGTCGAGTTCGCGAGTGCCTCTTTGGCTTTGCGGTGGCTAATGTACTTAGCGGTGAGGAAGACGGGGAGATGGAGCATCGCACCGGGGAAAGCGAGCAGACCCCATAACAAGAGTAGCCAAACTCTATACAGCAGCAATCCTGCGCTCTTCCAGCTCTTGCGCGTCGCTGCTTCGACTTGATGGTCTCGAATACCCAGATCCTGTAATCTCCTGTTGTACTTAAGGATCTTGTTTCGCAGGGCAATAATCTTCACATCGTCTTTGTAAGACAGGTAGCCAGCTATCAGCCGCCTGTTCAGCTCGACAACCTGCCCCAGTGTGAGGTGGTGTCCGGGGGTCTTGAACAATCTTCTTCCAGCCTGGATAACCATCAGAGTTTCATAGTCAGGCGCTTGAACAGTAACCGATTTAAGACCGTCGTAGATAATATCGAGGAGACTGGCACATGCTGCCCTCTTATCAGCTCCGCCCTGGGTAAAGAGGTCGACGAGGTCGCGTGGGACAGCACGGGCATCACCAAACTCGATCACAGCTCTCGATCTGAACTTGTGAGCGTGAAAATAGGATAACCCGACTGGTACTATTTTTACTTGTAAATCTGGGTTTGCAGCCATTGCGCCGAGAGCCATCACCGATACGCCAGCCTTGAGGGGTAATAGATCCGATCTATCATGTGATCCGCCTTCTGGGAAAATCCCAATACTGCCGCCATCTCTTAGCTTGTCGTATACAGCTTTGTACATGACTTCTTGGTTGATGAAGGGCAGGACTTTGTACTTGATGGCCTGGCTGGTGGTGGCGGGGTTCACGGCTTTGAGAGCATTTATGGCTTGTGGTTTACCGAGATCATTTTTCAAGATGAGGTGGGTGTCGTTGATAATCTCCACCACTTCGGCAGAAGCGCCACCGAGGGAAGAAGACAGGGCGATGGACATTTTGGGGGATACTTGGTGGGTGAATTGAGTGCCGATGCCGAAGAGGTGGTTTGTGGGGGCGGAATGAGTCATGTAGATAGTGCCAACGCCGGGTTTCGCAGCGTCTGCAGCACGCTTGACGGGTATAGATTCCATTGCGCGTGCCATATGACCAATAAAAAACCTGTTCATTGATTTATCGGCTGTGAGGAAGGATAGTTTGCGATTAGAAGCCCGGAGAACTTCGGAGGAGAGGAGTAGAGCGTCTAGGAATTGATTGTGGTGCGGAGCAGCAACGAAGACGATGGGAGTGCCTTTGGGCTGCGACTGAAGATATCGCTGTCCCCTGGATTTGACTGTTTGGGGAGTGAGCTAGGGAACAGCGTGGACACAGCGTGGATATCACCCACCCTCCCTAAAGAACACAAAGATAATAAGCCTCCATAATAGAATTGCCAAGTGGTATGGGCTTGCGAGCGTCATTTGCGTACTTGCTCGTCTTGGTGATTGAGGTTAGAACGAACTGAGGGAAGGAGAGCGAAAGTCTAGGAGTAACGCTCAAAGAGACTTCAGGTATTTCTTCAAGGTCAGGGAGTTGAATGAGTGAGATAAGGCTTACTGGGAGTAGCGCAGACTATTTACAGGGAAAGGGTTATACCCGCCTTACTAAGGCCCCCAATACGGCGAACCGCAAAGAAAGTAAGTGTAGGCCGCTTAAATACCGCAGCGGCATCCGAGGAGCACGTGTCTCGCGCCTTGCCTTGGATGTGTTTCACGAACCCGGCTACCATCGTTCCTGGTCAAGCGGCTAGTCGCGTACACAGAATGCGCTCAGGCTTAGAACATACGTTTTTATCTGTACTGGTAGTCCTGGCAGTGCTTGCTATATTTGAGTCCATGCTCAATCACGCAAGCACACCAACAAACATACTGAATCATTGTTGATTGCTTCAAACGATGAGCATCTTAAAGGAAATTGAAAGGAAAGTGAAAAGTAAAAGCGCGACTACGAATATACTAGCAGTTAGTAAATATCAGCCTTCTTCAAAGATTCTAGAGCTTCACGCGGAAGGACATAGAGACTTTGGAGAGAATTACGTTCAAGAGCTGCTGGAGAAGAATACGCAGCTTAAAGACCATGATATCAATTGGCACTTTATCGGTAAACTGCAGTCAAACAAGCTCAAGCAGCTCGCTTCGATTGAGAAGCTCAAGTCGATCCACAGCTTGGACAGCTTAGCACACGCCAAGAAGCTGGACCAGCTGCTTGACAGGACTATCGATATCTTTATCCAGCTCAACACTTCCAAAGAACTTAACAAAGGTGGCCTATACCCAAACACCACGCAGCTAGACGAATTGGTGGAGTTCCTCTGCCAATCTAGACACCTCAACCTGGCTGGCCTCATGACTATAGGCAGCTACTCACAGTCCACGTCTAACACCTCCGAGAACAACGAATTCAACACTCTCCTCCAAACTCGCAACCAGCTTAACCACAAGTACAGCCTCAACCTGCTCCTCTCGATGGGCATGTCCAGTGACTATATGCAAGCTATAGACTATCACTCAGACATTGTTCGAATTGGTTCTCTCCTCTTTGGTGAGAGACCACAGAAACAGGATAGACCGGTTTAACAGGCTAGTTGGTGATAATAGGATACACCCATTTAGCACGACAGTCCAGTTCCGCTGGATAGTCCAGTTCAATAGTATAAATCACTTAATCACGAGCATCTTGGCTCAATCATGCATTGCTATATTCTCCAAATACTCTGCGAATACTTTGGACCCTTGTATGTAGTTGCTTATGTTCAGTTTCTCGTTGGTGGAGTGTGCGCCATCGTCCGCTCTGCCCATCGGCAATAAACAAACATTCACCTTCAAGCTCTCGTCGAATGTGAGTGTGACTGGAATTGATCCACCCTCCCTTGTCCTATCTGGCTCCACGCCGAACACCGTCTTAATAGCCTTCGCAGCTGCGAGGAAGTTCCAGTGGTTAGGATCCGCAACCCATGCCGGCCCACCGGATAGCTGCACCACCTCAACGACGTTGCGTGTGTTCAATTTCTTCTGTTCACTTTGAAGATGTTTCTGTACCAGCTTTTCAACCTTGTCAACGTCCATATTGGGTACCAGTCGAATTGAGAATTTCCCTTTGACGCCACAAGGTATAACTGTTTTAGCGCCGCTACCTGAAAAGGCACCTTCAATACCGTGCAGCGACAGCGATGGGTAACGCATTCTCCCCATGAGCACCTTAGCCTTGTCGTCGGAGATGGTGATTGGATGGTCAGCAATAGTATCTTGGTATTCTTTCACGTCGAAATCCATATCCTCATACCTCTTCAACTCTTCCTTGCTGAGTGGCTCGACCATTTCGTTGAGACCAGGGATAGTAATCTTCCCATCCGTGTCAACGAGAGTGCTCATCAGCTTGACAACATCAGTCATTGGCTCGTGCACAGTCCCACCAAACACGCCCGAATGCAAGTCTGCTCTTGGTCCCTTAACGCAGATTTCGAAGTAGCTCACACCGCGTAACCCGTAAGTGAGAGCAGGTTTGCGATTAGTGAGCCAGTAATTGTCAGAAATACACACAGCGTCGGTGTCTTTCAAGAATCCGGTGCTCTCCTTCACGACAAGTTCATCGAGACCCTCGGAGCCGCTCTCTTCCATACCCTCGAAAACGAATTTGAGGTTAACGGGAAGCGGAGTGTTAGTGTGAGTGTAAGCGCTGAGGGTGTTGAGCCACCCCACAACGGGACCCTTGTCGTCAGTCGACCCGCGTCCTCTCATGACGTCACCCTCGACCGTCAGCTGGAAGGGGTCTGAGTGCCAGCCGTCACTGAGCTCTGCGGGCTGCACGTCGTAATGGCCGTAGATTGTAATAGTCTTCTTAGACGCGTCGCGGCCGACTTGCGCGAGAATAACCGGGGGGAGTGCGACAGTGTGTCCTTCGAGCTGCTGCGTGCCTATGTCGATCATACGCACATGACCGCCTAGCCCCTCCAGCTGTGCTTTGAGCCAGTGGCCCATCTTTATCACTTGCGGTCTGCCTGGTCATGCGTCAGATCAGCGTGCTCGTACGTGGCACTCTACGCACGCTCAATCTCGCCAGAAACAGAGGCGATCTCTACAGCCTCGCGCAGGCGACTAATGAACTCTTGTTGATGTTGTTCGATGTATTCAGAAACGGCGGACATGGACGTTAGCTATAAGGGGGCGTGGAGAGAGATAGCGGCGTAAAACGGGTTGATTTGTAGATATTTGCAGTGATAGGGATGGAAATGGCTTTGTGAGTCATGTTCTTCCCGCTCTTCCCCGTCCTCGCTGAGTTGGGCGTGATTTGCATTTGCACAGACATGCTCATGTAGCCAGTACGAAAGTATACAACGCCGCTTAGAATACAAATAACCACACCACTTATCACGCACATTGAATTTTTCCTCTTTGGGAAATATTAGAAACTGGGTATTCGCCCTCTTCATCTCGTACGACCATCTAAATCACAATCTAATGACTTCCACACAGCCACCGAGCTACAACAGCGTAATGCAGAGAATGAAAGGTGGGCTTAACCACTCACTCCGCCCGCTCGTCATTTTCGTTAGCTTCGTTGGACTCATCTACTGCGTCGTCAGAGGCGCATCTCTGTTGAAGGACTCCACCGACTCGGCGCCAGGGCTAAAGAAGGCTGATATTGTTCTCGGCGCTATTTACGTCGCTCTCGGTGTATTTCAAATCGGCGGCATCGCGATAGCCATTAAGAAACACGCCAAGATGGTATCACTTTACGCCAAGTCGATAATTGGCGGTGGAGTAATAGTATCCTCACTCGAAATAGCCGCACTCGTGGTCCACGTTAAATTGAAGGAGGAGAGTATACAGCATTGTAGAAACTCACTCTCTGAAAAGGAAGATCAACAGAAAGTCAACGAATGGTGTGATAGCGACTGGAAGAGAGGCGTATGGGTTCATGCTGTATGGATGGCCGTTATTATCGTCCTCGCTGCGATATTTATTGCTTTGTGGTGGAGATACAAGAAACAATTGGAAATGAACGGTTACTCACGTCCAAAGGATAACAACAGCGTTCTTCTCCAGTCTTCACGTTTACCCGCTCAACCCAATCCCAGATACCCACCCTCATCCAACGTATACATGGGTGCATCAGGAGCTAGCACGATTGAGCCAGATTGTGGGTAATTGTTTTTATACGAATGCAATACTAACGCAACATACAGACGTACCACCTTATCTCAAAGAAGATGAAGCACCACCTTACGAGGAAGCGGCAACTAAAGAGGAAGACTATCGCGACGATAAGGAGTTCCAGGAGGTTGATATGGACATGGACCGCAGTCATCAGCCTTATTTGTCAGGTTCTGGTTCAGCTTCCTCATCGAACCTGCAACGCCAACGCCACCACGATAATGTTGTATGACGAAATAAGTGCCAGTCATGCAACAACTAAAGATATTTATTCATGTACATTACTATTAACGTCTACACTGTAATGATTTATTACTAACTCGATTCTCTGCCACCACTATGCACTCAATGTCATTTACGACGATACTGCAGAGGCTATTGAGGAGAGGTTACTGTAGATCATTGGATACTGTCACGCACTGTGGGAGCATAATTATAATATTTTACTGCATTTATATAGTAATTACCTTTTACTCGTTTGCAGCTGAGGATTATCAGAAACATTGTCGAAAGTGAGTTGACATGTAAATCCAAAGACGAAAACTGAAAAGAATTATATTTTATTAGCGTATGCTGAATTGCCGCTTTTTGATCAGCATTTAGACTGTCTCGCCCATTCTCCAACGCTACGGATAGTAGCAGCACCGAAAGTGGTTTTGTTATTTGTGTTTGTACTCGCCTATGTTAGCACTTATACCTGCAAACATGACGGGAAATTTGCTCTTACTGAGATCTTAATTGTTTCAGTTTTATTTTATTCACTACACTCGCTTCTCATGCTCTGAAAACACTACGCTACCAAGGGCTTGCTGATAAAGCCTTCAACGATGCTGAGGGAGGTCTGAGTGAGAAGATTGCGGAGAAGCCTCTTGACATTCAACCCAGCTCAAATTGCTACACCCCACCCACTGCTAACACACTCGTCTCAAATCCTGTCTCATCAGCTCAGTCACTTCGCAAAATATCTGGTTGTATGGTATAGATATAATACACGTTGTTTATATTCTTAAATTGAACAATCATCATTTATATGGTACATATACATTGAACCCTTCTTCGGCTTCTAAACTATGACGCAGTGGCTCTGAGCTCTCTTAACCCCACAATCACCGATGTAGTACTGCAAATGGCTTAGAATAGATCTCCAACGAGGACGCAGAGGTTAGTGAAAAAATTCTGTATTCTGGATTACTAGAAAGTTTCACCCACTTCGGGAGCATACTTGGTAGGACAAATGAGGAAAATTCATGATACCTAATCGCCCATCGAAACAGCCATATTATACTGCTTGTTCAGGGTGTTTGTTATTTGGATTACTGTAAAGAATATAGCTGAGCTCATTTTCCAACAGCTTCATTTTAAAACTAAACTGTCTCAATTTCGTCATGATTTTGAGGACGTATTGTTCTCTACTCGTGCTGTGAATTATGTCTCTCTCATTGCTAAATGCATCATCTCACACGAATAAGAACAAACTTATCATCTCATACCTTGCCATTTTGATCGATCAACTCTACTGCTCAAGTTCTCTAAGTCTCACACAATGGGATGATAGCTACACAGAACTTTACGTTGCCTACTCTACACTAGTAACGTTAAAAATCTCGATGACTGTCATTGATTATGCTCTCTTTCTCCAAAGCAAGAGATGGCTAAATTTTTCGATTTGGGAACCCCTCATATTAGAATTTATCGTTCCTGGTGCTCTTTACGCGCCTCTGCGTGCGCTGAAGAGCGTCTACTATCACGATTTCCACATATCAAAATTAATTGAAAAGGAGGATGGAACAGATAAAAGGTCGAACAAGAAGGTTGCAGAGAAGCCCGTTGCTTGTAAATGTCTTTTGAACAGTCAAGCTCAACCAAACGCAGACTCAAACAGCAAACGTTATTCGCGTACTCGTGCAAACTTTGACTTAAACAGTACACGCGCTTCCCATACTAAAACAAACGCCGACTCAAATACTCACGTCACTTTTTATGCACTTCTGCGCACGCTTCAAAGCGTGGAGCATCGAGACCTCTTTGATGCGCTCATTGAAATCGAGCACTGCAAAGCTAAGACAAGTTTGGCCGAGGAGGTTAAAGAAGAAAAACGTAGCTTGCTCATGTCATCAGAATAATCAATTCAACTCAAATGCAGATACCCCAGTCACTGCTAACACGCTCGTTTCAAACCCCATCTCATCAACTCCATCACTTGGCAAGATATCTGGTTGTATGGTATAGATATGATATATAGACATAATGTATGTTGTTTATTTGTTGCGACTACAGAATAACCATCAGAGGGCAAACATACATTGGAGTCTTCTTTACTTCTAAACTATGAAGCTGGTGCTCGTGCTCTTTCATGTCCACCATCATCATCGATAAGGTAATGCACATGATTCAGAATAGGTCTGTGACTATGACGCAGAGGCTATTGAGGCGAGTTTACAGTGGATCATTAGATACTGTTACGTACTGCGGGAGCCTAATTTCCCTTTCATACTTCCTTCATAGAGTGATCAGTTTGTTCTATTCTGAACCTGAATTAGGACTGTCTGTGAGTTGGTGTGTAAATCCAGAGACAATAGCTGAAGCGAATTAGTTTGTCTTATCATTTGCTTACTTACCGTGTATAATTGAGAAGTCAGGCTATCTCATCTTTTCTCTAAAGGATCCACCAAGAGCAGGAGAATCGGAATTAATTTCGTTATCTGTGTTTCTACACGCCTGTTTAAACACTTATACCTTCAAAAACGACGGTAAAGGTGCTCTCACTGAGATCATACTTCATTCACTTTTGTTTTATCCACTTTATTCACTTCTCACCGCGCTGCAATCAATACGCTGTCAAGAGCTTACTGATAAAGCCTTTAACGATGCTGAGGGAGGTCTGAGCGAGAAGATCGCGGAGAAGCCTCTTGACATTCAACCCAGCTCAAATTGCTACACCCCACCCACTGCTAACACACTCGTCTCAAATCCTGTCTCATCAGCTCAGTCACTTCGCAAAATATCTGGTTGTATGGTATAGATATAATACACGTTGTTTATATTCTTAAATTGAACAATCATCATTTATATGGCACACATACATTGAACTCCTTCTTCGGCTTCTAAACTATGACGCGGTGGCTCTGAGCTCTCTTTAACCCCACAATCACCGATGCAGTACTACAAATGGCTCAGAATAGATCTCCAACGAGGACGCAGAGGTTAGTGAGAAAATTTTGTATTCTGGATCAATGAAAAATGTCACTCACTACGGAACTCTGATTGCCATTATCTATACCCTTTACAGAATTTGGAACTACAAGGCCTATTCCGATCCAAAAGAGAATAATTTCTTTGATTACGATGTGAGTTTTGGGCGTTTGCGTTATCATATTTATCATCAAATCAGTCTGGTGCAGAGATCGGTTACTTCGAAATTTACCTGGAACAAATAAGTGTTTACCGTCCTCAAAGACCTTCTAAAAACAAAAGACAGACGACACTAAACACCTATGGCGTTTCTTATCATTCCCACCGTTAGCTGTCTTAATAGGTGTCTTTTCTCATTCCGTCTGTATCACTACTGTATGCAAATGTTATAGTAACGGTGCTATTATTGAGATCATACTTCAAATAATCGTGCCTGCCGCTTTTTATGCAATTTTGTGTGCGCTGCAGAGCGTTCACATGCACGATCTCATAGATGCACTTGAGGAGGCTGATGATAAGGCTACAGAGAAGCTACTTGTCCAGGATTGTTCTTCTACTCAAGCCAGCGTAAACGCATACACCTCAGTTACTGCTAACGCACTCGCATCAGCAGACCAAGTTTGCAAGATATCGGCGTGTATGGTATAGATAGAATGCATAATTGACATCACCTCCAACTTGGATTGCACGTTTTCCAAAAATTATCCTTTGACCAAACGCCATCATACTTTTTCACTACAGTCCTGCCGCACGACATAGCACCAGGAGCACTCTTTTCACATCTTTGCAAGTAGTAGAGATCTCTTATATCGTGCGACTTGAGGTACTCAAATACGCGCCAGTAATTGAGACCGACATTCTCGGGCGTGTGCGTATCATCTGAGAGCGTCAACCTGGCACCGTGAGTTTTTACGAGATAGAGTATGTCAGAGGCGGGGTAGGGAGTGGGCCAACCCTTCCTGATAGCAGCAGCATTTATTTCAATAAGACCACCATATTGGGCTGCATGTTTGACAATCGCGTCGATAAGCTTCCAAGCTTCTTCATACTCACATAGATTGATGTGCGGCTCGTAAAGACGTATGAGATCTATGTGACCGATAACTTCTGGCTCGAGCGTCTTGACGAGATGGAGTAGGCGCGTGTAGTACTCCACATACAACGCCTGACGCGATCCAGCCTTTTGTAAGGCCTTGTAGAATGTTTCTGAGTCAAAATCGATAGGAGTTTCAAGGACATGATGGACTGAACCGACCAAGTACTCGATTGGATTGTCTGAGTCGCTGTAGTTGTGAATGAGAAGACGTGTATTGTCCAGGTCGATGTCTGTGATGTAGTCAGTCTCAAGCCCTACGAGTAGCTCAATTTGAGTTTTATAGACATTCTTTAATTTGTGTGCCTCAATTACGTATTCGGAGAAGACAGTTGATGTATCTTGAGGATTCATGTCACTCTGGGCAGAGGTTAGACTGGGTATTTAGACTGTACAGAGGACCCACCTCCTCGGGATAAAGATCCTGGCGTCTGTATCGTGGCGCATGTTCCGAGAATCCAAAGAGAGAGAACTGCTTATCAATCGCAGAGAGTGCGATATCATCTAAGCTGCCTTTGGCATGTCTACAAAATTGGCCTGAATGTGAATGAAGCGAGAAAGGCATGAGCGTTACTCTCGGAGGGACGATCACAGCGCAATGGAATTTTTCACGAATCTGCTGAGTATTCCGAGTAGCGAACGAGCTGGTAGATCAGTTGTGGGTGGCTGCTTATCCCACTATCTGTCCCCACTCAGACCGCACACAGCAACAAGTATTATCAGATTTAGATTCGAACTGGAATATCGTCAAGGTTTGCAGCTCAATTTTAGCCACATGTAGCTGATATTCCCAGGACACCCTCACAACCCCAGACGAACGACAGCTTCTGCGTGGTATACAGGCTACAGACGTACCAAAGCGATTATCAAGAATTGTAGACACTCTCGTATTGGAAAGTGGTCGCTATGAAGACATTGAAGAAACTCCTCCTGCTCTCGACTGGTTTCTGTCACAAGGTATGTATCAACATCTACGCACAACTATCCCCCACTTACCCGCGCTTTTAGATATATTATCTAAGCTCGTATTCTTATCTGCATCCGATAGACCTCTTGGGATTAAAACCGAAGTTCTCAAGGCCGTGTCTAACCTTTGTGTCACTATGCAGTCTCACTTTTTCGTACAGGCTCCTGTACACAAGCCACTCGTACACCTCCTCAAAATATGCACCGGCGATGACTTGCCTTCTCCACGCTCAACGACGCTCAAGGGCGCCGCGAGCACTGCTGGTACTTCTCAGCCATCTCAATATGAAGAACATTGTGAGCTAGGGCTCTCGGTTCAAATCCAGGCTAACCAATTTATAGTGGTTGATCTTCTCTGTATTCTTTGCAACAAAATCAAGTCATCTCCCTCACTCCTTCACATCTTCTTCTTGGACAGGTCGTGGATTAGATACCCAACGAGGAGCAGAGCAGACTCAGAACACAGCGATAGACCTGAATCTCTCGCATCCACCAATACTATCACATCGCGAGCTGTCTCGACGAAATCTGACTGTGCGTCTTTTTCTATATAGTTTTGTTTCACCCCTAACAAAACACGCAGCTGAATTCCTAATTTTCACTTATCTCCTACGCTGGGTACACAGGGAGGGGCGTACGGGAGATTTGGCGCGTGCTGCCATCTTGATTCTCTTCGAAGTGAGCACCTCGGAAGACATCTACGATGGAGATGCTATCACCAAAGATGCAGCAACAGACATACGAGCAGCCGTAGCTGAATTCATAGTCGATGGTGATCTAGCTCAAGTGCTAGCTGCTGGGTTGGGTGCTGTATATGGTATCCTACCCAGCAATCTCGCTGTGATACCGACGGATCCCAGAGATGAAGACAGGTCGCATGTGCACCTGTCCAACAGATCGGGTTTGGTAGAAAATGTAGAGCTTTCCACCAGCATTGCTTTCCAGAATCAGTTGTCAGTCTTCATTAGTGTGTTCGAATTCACTGCAGATATCACGAAACGTGGTTTGAAGAGCGGTACCAAATATGGTGGAGCTGTTGCAGAGAATGTCTTGCGCGCTGTCAGAGTCAATTTTTTCACTAATGTTCTCTACCCCTCCATACTCGAGTGCTCGTCGATCGACTACTCGGCCGTGGCTGTAATAACGTATCTCCAAGTCATGCTACAGTGTGTGAAGAGCGGCGATCCACTCGCTAATACGTTGCTGCAATACCTCTTTGCAGAAGATGACAGCATGCTCAATGATACCACCAGCAGCACCGAAAATACTCCCACTAACAGCACCGAAAGCACTTCCTATAAAACCAACACCAAGCCAAAGAAACATGAAAGACGTAGAAGCACCGCTCTCGTCCTCCTCCAAAATGAAAACGCGGCAAATTTTAAAAACACCAATTACGTTTCTTCGTACGGAAGATTCACGTTGAAAGATCTCATCAGCATTAATCTCAAGTCGAATAATAGTGCAACAGGCGTAGCTGCAATGAAACTGTTCAGCTACTTAATATACGCATATGATGATGTATGTCTCAAGGAGATGGTCAGCATTATACCCAACAAAGACGCCACTGCATTCCCCTATTTCCACAGGATACACATGCTCATGAAGGACAACGACCATTACCGCAAGCTAGAAGAGAGTGAGGGTGAGAGCGGGAGTAAGAGCGAGAGCAAGAACGAGAATGTGTTTCCTATACCCCCGCCAATGCGCAATGTTGAAGCGGATGACGATGAGTTGACAAGCTATCTCGGGCTAGTGGGGTCGATTGATGTACAAACCACTAAAGAAATGCTCTCTTCTGGCTATGAGAGGTATTTAGATGATGCACAGGCTCTTATCATGTCACACCCGCAATTCAAGCTAGGAAGTAGGGGAGATGTGCGTGATGATGAATTGCAATTCCAACACAAGCTCGACACCAATGACAGATTGCTCAAGTTGACAGTGAAAAACCTTCGCAACTTTTTCACGCAGTCACCAGAAACCAACATTGCGCTTTCGGGGACGTTGGCAGCGCTCGCATCGAATCCACGTCGTTCGTTGGAGGGCTTCATGACGCAATGGTGGAGAGATGAAGACGATCCGTATGCAGATGATCTCAAAAGCGCAGTTGAGAAAACACCAAACTCACCACCCATGATCCTCCAAACGCTTACCGAACTCGTCGATCAGATAGAAGACTACAGGCTGCAAGCGCGCAACAATATTTCTTCGCAAGACCTGGACTACAGTTTGGGGGAGAGGCGGAAAGGAATGCTCTTTAAGGAGAATCTTCAAGATGCATTGACATTGCTCGACAAAGACGAACCCGCACAGCGGAACGACCTCGTACGACAATTTGAAGAAGGGGTCGGTAAAGCGGTGATGCAGCTGCACAACAAGCGCTTCAATCAGCAACGCAAAAAGACATATGGGGAAATAAACAAATTATCACACAGACGATACCAGGATTCGATTGATACCGAGTTCGAGAGACGCGTCGAGAGAGGCAATAGCTGGGGAATCAGCAATCTCACTGCGAAGGCGGATCAGTTTATCAGACAGCCTAAGACGCGCTCGGCGACTACATCACTCGCTGCTCTTTTCACTGGAAAAAAGGGACAAACAGAGCAGAATGTGAATACTTATAAGAATAATAAGAAACACAGACAGGTTAGCGCATTTGATGGACCGGCGACGCCTTTCTATGACCACTACAAGCAGACTGAACAGTGTCTGATTATACCGAAAGTCGTCGAGCGCGTGCAGCGAGTCGGAGACAGTATACTTGAAGACGATGAGAAGGGAGAGCAAGATGCTGCTGTCAAGCCAATCACGCTCTCCGATATACTGGACAACGTTGTGATATTGGAGGAAATGCTCAAAGAGTGGGTGTGAGTATTTGAAAGAGACGACGCTTACACAGCCATCAGCCTCATTGCTATCATGCAGATACGCAGATCGAACGGGATAGATTTGGTTTGTGTTTTGTAAAGATATAAGATGGATTTATTATCATATGACACTTTGTATCATCGGTGATTCAAGGCATCTTGATCAGCCATCCAATCAACATCATCCACTCCAACCTGAACCACCAACAGCTTATCAAAGACCACTAATGTCCTTACACCAAAATCAAACTGCTCTATTCGTTTGTGATGTACAGGGAATATTCGCTAAAGTGATTAAGGATTTTGATCATGTTGTTAATGTTTCAAATAAAATGGTCCAATTCTCAAAGCTTCTAAATGTACCAGTCTTGATCTCTGAACAGAATCCACAATCTTTGGGGAAGACAGTTAGTGAAATTGATTTCAGCAACAGTCATCTCCTCACTACAGATCCTATCAGTAAGACGAGATTCTCGATGGTAAATGATGACGTCTTGTATGCCCTCAAGACTAATAAAATCCGTTCAGTCGTTTTGGTCGGTGTAGAAACTCATATCTGCATTCTCCAAACTTCACTCGAGCTTATAGCTAAGGGCTTTGACGTGCACGTGATCATTGATGGCGTGTCCAGCTCTCACGCTACTCATAAAGACACCGCACTTGATCAAATCAGACAGTCGGGCGGCAGAATATCAACTTCAGAAACTGTCCTCTTCCAGCTACTCGCTGACGCCTCGGATGAACGCTTCAAACAGTTTCTGAAATTGAACAAAGAGTTCTCAGATAGGAGCACAAGCGCACTAGAGAAGCAAACCAAGTAATCAAAAGATTACACTGATGACGTATATTGTAAATTTGAATCTATATTTGAAAAGTTAAATTACTGTGTCTTTTGATACGTTTGGTATAAGATATTTGCAAATTACTGCTCATCCTCCTCCTCTTGGTCGAGGAGTGCCATGATGAGATCGTCGACCCATTGAACAAACTCTGAGTCACCGTCAAACGCCTTGGAGAGCTCTTCATCTTTGTCAAACACACCCATCTGCTTATCGTAGATGGATTTATACGTGTTGAACTCATCATCAGTCAACAAGGCACTGTCGAGTGCTTGCTCAACCTCGTTTCTGTTAAAGTTTGGTCCACCGACAATGTAGATTTCTTGACGTCTGTCACCGAATTTCTCATCAAACACAACATCCTTAATGTACTTCTGCTCATCTGGGCTGATTTGAGAAATTTCATCTTCTGGGATCTTGGTGTACCACATCTCGCCAGAAGCAGCACTCAACACAGGTCCTGATGCTTGAATTGCACCACCGACTGCTGCTCTTGAAGCAATCCAGAAGCTACCCTTAGCTCTGAGGAGAGAAGCGAATACACTCTTCTGCTTTCTGTCGATGGCATCAACTATATTCTCAGTAGTGATTTCATCCATTTGTGCTGGTTCCTCTTTGTCTTCTTCAATAGCAGCAGCCTTACCCTTGCCTTTATCCTCAACGACCTCTTCTTCTTGATCTTCCCACTCATCTTCTTGAGCGTCTTGGGCATCTGATTGTTGAATAAAGTGGAATGACTCCTTGAACAGCTTTGCGAGACGAGCTGGGTGGAAAGGCACTTTGCGTCTGTAAACGAAAGACTCAATGTCGTTCTTGTTAGTGTATGAGTCACCGCCGTTTGGATTTTTCACTGATTGCAACCACTGTGGGTTGAATGATTGTTCTGGGTTGAACAAACCACTGTGGATAACATCCTTTGCGTCTACGGCTGCGTTGTCGACTTGGACAACTGTAGCGCGGTGATTGAGCGACTTAACAACGCCTTCAGCGTGCATCTTAGCATCTTCTGACATCTTTGATGCGTTGTTGAGGTAGACAATATCTGCGAACTCAATTTGTGCGATGAGGGCATCAGTCAGTGTTGATTCCTCCTCTTCATCGTCCTCATCGTTTTTCTCGCCATCACCAACGAATTCAGTTGAGTGGAAGTCGTTGAGCAATTTTTCACCATCGACGATTGTCACAGCAGTGTCCATCTTGACAAATTTTACCAGACCACCTTCCTTAAGGATTTGTTTTACTTTCTCGCCAGCAACACGCTCACATTCGTCAACTTCTGCATCATCTTCCTCAGCCTCATCGTCTTGGTCGTCGTTCTCCATTTCGACAGCGACAGTCTCAGCCAATTCTTCAGGATCAGCAGCATCAGAGGACTCAATGAGCATGTAGTCGTATTTGCCAGTGTTGGCGATATCGTAGATCTGGCTAGTGAGTTCTGAACGGAAGCTGCAGCAGCCGCAATTGCCTTTGAGTTGTACGCAATCCGCGGCAGATTCTACCATGTTCTTGATCCTGTCTACATTCTGCGTAAGCACCACTGTTCTCAAATCTGCTGCCTTTGATTTGAGGATGTGTGCAATCTGCGAGAAAAGTCAGCCAGTGCACACGCCGTCAACACCTAACTTACAGCGTCAGATTTACCGTAGCCAGTGAATCCAGACACAATAGTAATTGGGATACGCTTGTCTATGCCTGACATGATGAAGATATTTGAAGAGAGAAGACAGTGCACAGAAGTCGATGCGCAACTAAACTGATTAAATTTTCATCTTGACCGCTCTCAGGACTCGCTTTGTGTAGTCATCTGATTCTCTGTTGTCCTCCCTGTGCCCTCGGCTATTCAGCGGGATATGGCACAGCGCATCGACTAAGATTTCATCAAGAACAACCATGAGAATTGGATTGGGTAATCTACGAAACTTTTCAACGCACGCACGTAAACTAGAATCCTTATCGCGTGATTTCAGGAGTGAGTATTTTGGTTGTGGTTGTTTCGAGGCTGAACGGGAGTACAGCGGATACGATAACAGCTCCGGTGAATAAGCAGCAGTACACGCAGGATAAGCAGGCTAACAGCGCACAAAGACTGATGAGATGCTCGCCTATGCATTAGCACATGCGTCGCGTGGTGACGATGTATACGGCGTGAGTGCATTGCGAAACGCACGCACTATACAACTAACACGAACACAGGAAGACGAGAGCACGCAGAAGTTCGAACACAAAATAGCTCGTATGACTGGAAAACAAGCTGCTATGTTCTGCGTATCGGGTACAATGTCCAACCAGGTCGGTTTGCGCACCCACCTAACGCAGCCGCCACACAGCGTTTTGTGCGATGCCCACGCTCATATTTACAAATACGAGACGGGTGGTGTAGCATTCCACTCCCAGGCCCAGATAACTCCCGTCGAGCCGGTGAATACACACCATCTCACTCTGCAAGATGTACAGAGCCATGCTGTGCTAGATGAGGATCTCTGCTCTGCTCCTACGCGCGTTGTTAGTCTTGAAAATACAAAGAATGGCCTCGTTTTCCCTCAGTCGGAGATGGTGCGCATAAGCGATTGGGCTACTAGACAAGGTCTCATTATGCATCTCGATGGCGCGCGTCTTTGGAACGGTACGTTTGCGTTTGCATGTACGCACAATCACTCAGTCTAACCTCCCGCCCAGTGCATGCGGCTACTGGCCTATCCATCAAACAGCTCTGCGATCCTTTCCACAGCGTCAGTTTGTGTTTGAGTAAAGGTGTCGGCGCACCCATCGGGTCCATCCTCGTCGGCAGCGAGAAATTCATTGCCAAAGCTAGATGGTTCAAGAAGCTGTTCGGAGGCGGTATTCGTCAGTCAGGATTCATGGTCGAATGTGCCGACTTTGCCATTGATAAACACCTCCCCCTCATTAAGAAGACACACTCACAAGCCCAGACCCTAGCCAAGGGTTTCGAAGAACTCGGTATTAGGATATTGTCGCCGGTGGAATCATCCATGGTCTTTTTCGACTGCACCTCCATTGGAGTGACGCTCGAAGAGTTTATTCAGCACGTCAACAGCCATGCTGATATTGTTATCGGATCTAACAGGATCGTAGTACACCATCAAATTTCCGATACGGCAATCGAACAACTCTTAGAAGCTGCAAGGAGCCTGGCGCAGCTGAAAAGATCCCCGCTTGCTTCCACGGCTGGTCAATTTGGTCAAATTTACCAACGTCGCACGTAAATGTGTTGATTTGATAGCTTTTTGTATAAATAAATGGATGCATGTAGTAACATACACAAAAAATGCTACTTAGGTGTAGGAGTCCAAGGTCTGTCTTTCCTGCGAATGTCCGGGGACTGGTTGATGCGAGATCTGATTGGAGCATCCGTCGCGCCATTGTCTCGCCTGCTTTTAGTTTTCTGCAGGAGAGCGTGACCGGCCGGACTGAGAGCAACGGATCGGGGTGTTTTCGCGGGAGTGTTGGGAGTGACACCTGCTCCACTTGTTCCACCTTTTGCCTTGTTTTGCGCCTGCGACGCCAGCTGCTGTCCCAGTCTGTCACGTCTACTCAGCCGCGGTATCTTGAAGTCGCCAGCTGGAGGATAAGTGAGTGGTGAGTTGGTGAGTAAGAGCGCGAGTAGTAGATACGCACGACTGTCCCACACTGTCTCTTCCTCCTTATCAACACGTCCGCGAGTCCGCTTTTGAGGTTCTGGTTCTGGTTGTGATGAGCTTTCGACAAAGGTATAACCGCGCACGGAAGGGAGAGTGTGAGTGGGTGTGCTTGCACCACTATCAGCACCAGCATTAACAGCAGCGTTGATAGCATTGGTGTCTACGCTACCAGTCGCACTGCTTTCGCCATCACCGACACCGTCACTATGAGCACCGGAAAGATGAGTTGCCGGATAGTTAGTAACGCGCTTAGCGCGATTCTCCGCCTCTCGATGACGAGTGGCAAAGTGGCCACGATAGCCAAAATTAGGTGTTGTCGCATCAGGTTGGAACATGAGATTATTAGCGGCGGTGAGGGGCCAAGCGGTAACGGCTGCGCTTCTGTTGTCTTGCTGTGAGGTACAAGTTGGAATTAGACCGTGCTCCGTGGATCGCTTTTCAACACCCAACTCGAGCTCGCGCATCGACTGCTTTTCGCGCCGCACGAGTGCTTGTGAATTGCCCTCGCCGGCGTGTTGAGAGATTTGAGAAGTGGTGGTATGAAGTTTGCCTTCTGTGGCTGCCAGAAGCTTCCGTTCGCCGTCGTCCATGGGGTTGTGCACACCCTCAATGCGCTCGTTCATACCCGCATTGGCAAGCTGGATGCGCTCATTCGCTAGTTGCTCTGCATCGTATGCCCAGCGATACACCTCTCGCCGCCGCTTGTTCGCCTTGTGCAGCTGGTAGCTGAAGCTGGCGTTGTCTTCCGAGGTGAACCGCGACTGGAATTCAGATAAGGAGAGGGAGGCGAAGGAGTAAGAGTGGGGGGCATTGGCGGGAGTGGGAGTAGCAGCAGTGGTTGTGGCGGGAGTACCACCACCACGCCAATTGTTCACACTCGCGCTCAATTCATCTGCAGCCTTCAAATGCGGGAAGAAATCGCGTTTGATGATCGCACTGAGTGCAGCCGTATACGCTTCCTCACTGAGGACTATCTGCGAGGAGAGAGAGGTGACTGGGGTACGCGGGATAATAAGGCTATCCGAGTGTGCCTGTGTCGGAGGCTGTGAGCTACCCGGTGTGGGAGTGTAGTGCGGGTCATCGCGGTGATCTCTCATGGTGTTGGTGGTGGTGGTTCAAGATGATGACATTGATAACACAACTGATGACACAACAAATAAATATTTACTCGTCCTATAAATTCTACTCAGTCTTTTGCGTCGTCGGCGATACTATCTCTTTGCTCGTGCTTCCTCCTTGGCTCCAGTTACGCGCGTGTTTGCGCACCGCGTCTGGCATCTTGATGACTGAAATATGGCCGTAGTGGTTATTTGAAGAGGTGGCCGTGGTACTGGTGCTATTCGATGGATACTCTTCGTTGTCTTGTTCCTGTAGCGCGAGGCTCGTAGCGGAGGAGTATTTCTGAGTGCGATTAGAGCGAATGGAGGCGGTGTGTTGGAGGGCGTCAGGTGAGTGATTAGGTGAATGGTCAGTGGTGTGATCTGTAGCTTGCACACCTTCCAAATTCCCAACTTCCCCGCCTACATCACCCACACCCTCGCCTACAAACATACTCTGAGCTCTACGCACTCTACTAGCCTGGGAGTGTACAGCCGCAGCGCGCATACCAACGCTAACCGACCTCGCTTCTATTTTCTCTTCGACAGCCAGATCTCCCGCGAGGGTAGCTGCGACAGAAGCATACTTAGCCTCGGCGACGCGCAGCTCTGCCAGTGCCCCCGTGAGCATCGCTACCAGCTCCCCGTTCAGCCGGCTACGCGTCGAGCGACGGAAGGGCGTCAGCGTACCACAAAGCTCTAGTTTATTGAGCGTATCACTCAAATGCGCGCTGTTCTCCTCCTGTAACCGCGTCAGGTGCGCCAACTTGGTCTGCAGCATCTTGTTAGCCCGCCTTCTCCAGCTTTGTTAATACCCACTTTTAGCTTGCTCGAGCGAGAGTGAGCATTCGAAGACGCGTGCATGTGCGCACTAATCGAGTCGACTGCCGAGTCAAAATCGCCAACGCGGTTCAGTGTCGGTGAGGTGGGCGATTGGGGTGAAGATTGAGATGAAGTGGGTGTAGGTGTGGATGTGGGTGTAGATGCGGATGTAGACGTAGCTGTAGATGCTCTCGCAAATTCTGATGTACTAGCACTGCTATGTAATCTCGACCGCGCTTTTAATCCAGCATAATGAAGATGGCTATCAGACAGAGAATGACCGCGAATGCGGACATTAGCCCACTTAAAAGCCGCCGAGTAGTTGATCAAACTAATCCACAAATGCATGCTCTCGATAGAGTGCGTCTGAAGGAGGTATTTACACTTGCGGGAATGGAGAGTGATGGTATTGGGGTGTTTAGAGTAGCTGTGGTCTACAAGAGCTACAGAGTCATCGAGCGGAATGATATCGTCAGGTTTAAAAGAGTATTGGGAAGGAGTATCAAGGTTGCGGAGGTTGAGTGAAGCGTGGGTGTTATTTGAACTGGTCAAGTGCTCCTTAACAAGGCCATTGAATTTAACAATTTCACTTCTTATAGAAGCAAGCACACTCATGTTTTTGTATAGCAGCAACTGTGAACCTGTTAAAATAACCACGAAACTCCGCCAAAGAGTGTTTTTAGGTAACTTTATGCTCAGTTTGCTGTAATGAGTGAGGCGAAGGAATTCATTAGTAGAAAGGCGTATTATAGGAGCGTTAATGAAGAGACTGTTGAGTTTTGAAAGGGAGTAAGCGTCTGAGAGTGAAAATTTTGCGTCGTTTGGCTTGCTTAAAGTGGGTAACCTAAGCCTATCGAGGGAGTTGCTTAGAATGTAGCTGTAAGGGTGATTTGAAGGCAATCTTGTGGCATCAACGAGTTTAATGAAAGGGGTAAAGCAAGTGTTGTCGTATAAATACTCAAGAAAGTACTCAGAGATGCCAATATAGTTGGTATTCCTAATAAAGTCACGTTTAGACATTTTATGTTTGTTTGACTTATTAAATTTATCTGTATTGAGGAGAAGAATACTGAAACTGAGAATATACACAGTGTCTTGGGGGATGAGCTTGTTGTGCTCATAGTAAGCCTCACTGAAATTTAAAATGAATTTATCGATTTGCTGAGTCTCTGTGGGCAATTGATTATACATGAGCCAGATACGTAGACTGATATCAATTGGCAGTCCATTAAGCGGGTAAGGGTTGTTCTGGTGATTTGATGTGCTCATTGTGCTCATTATGCTCGTTTGTATCCACTCCAACCTCCCCTTCTGGCACCCGTGGTAATTTTAGCTGTCGTGTTGGTTCCTCATCAACAAGGCTATCCAATTCATTATCCAGTTGAAGGTCTGGAATTGGTGTATAAATTAAATTAGATATCTCCTGCTGATAAGATTCTTGTGTTTCCTTGGAATTGAGTATGTCTTGTACGCGTTCCAATCTAATTGTCTTGTTCAGTCTGCTCAGGAGCTGGTTACCCTGCTCCAACTGCTCGAGCAACAACATCTCCTCACGCTTGCCTTCAATTCCCTTTATTATTCCACTCAGACTATCCAGCTGCGCCTGTACCTGCCTCACACTCGCTATGTTGTCATATTTAATTTGTAAAAACTTGCGAGCCGCTGTGACGTCAGAACGGGCGACTGCTTCTGCGGCTAGCGAGTGATTTACTTGTGCTAAATTATCCAGTGATTTCTTAAAATGATTTAGCTTATCCCTTTGTATTTTATTGTCGAGCAGTATACTGTCGGTTGAATGTGTGTTGCCCATCGAAGATGAAAGATATAAATAACTCTTTTACATTGATATTTTATTGTATATTTGGAGTAATCACATTTTCTCGTGTCCTCGCCTCCCATCTCCCCATTTCCCTCCCCGCAATAGAAACTCGCAATGCCCCGCTGAGCTGTCAAAAATTTTATCAATTTAAATTACAAGGGTAATGATCAGAGGGAGGATAAAAAGAGCTATTCCATGAATAAATTGAGTAATCACCGTTTAGTTCCGTCAAACACCGGTTAAAAGTTATATCTCAGACGCACTGATCGAGCCGCGGTTGTACCTCAGACCCCAAAGCAATTAGCGACAGCATCACATCTTGGTAGTAGGCGTTGACTTGGATCAAAAAATGGTTACGGCAATGTCACAACCACTGACCCCACCTACACCATACACGTACACACGCACACGCAGCTACAATCTCAGGCAGTCGCAGCTAAACAGCCTACCAAATCCACAGCAGAATCCATTGGCAAGCTTGTCTGCCGCATTCCTTTACTCGCTCTTCAGTTGTCCACTGCACGCCACTACGCTGGACGCACCAAGCTTGGACAATTTCATAGCGTACGCCATGTACCGGACACAGCTGAGTGGCGATATCTGCTTATCTGCGTTAGTGCTGTTGCACAGGCTAAAGAGACGCTTCCCCAACGCCACTGGGAGCGCTGGCCAGCGACTGTATCTCGCAGCGCTGATGATATCAAGCAAGGTTAACAACGACGACACCTTCGCCAATAGCTCGTGGCATATCGTGGCCAGAGGGCAGTTTACACTCCAGGAGATCAACCAGATGGAGAGAGAACTATTTGCACACCTCGGCTATCACGTTACAGTGGGTGAAGGCGAGATTGAGACGCTCAGCAGCCATCTAGAATCGTTCCAGAGTACTCTGTACCGCACCCCGCCATCAACGCCAGCTTCAGTCTCTTTCAAGAGGCAAAAACTGGAGCATGGCTGTGCTCCTGCTGGCACATATCCCTCTCCTCCACCGACGCCGATTAGGCAGAGCGTTTACTCGACACACGCAAAACCATTCACTCAACTCGAGTCACGGCCACTCGTTCGATCTTAATGTCTCATCTAATACCCCTGGGCGATGGCATGGCTCTGTGATGACTCTTTCTACCGCTGGACTATTACATTCTATTACACTCTATTACACTCTATTACACTCTATTATACTCCTTCCTTTACTCTATAGCATTTGAATATTTTCACCGAATCTCTTACAAATTTTCCCATCTTGCTCTGTCTTATATAGACTATTTACTCATGTACGATTCCATTCACAATTCCATTAGCTTGAGACGGTCTTCTGATTCCCAGGAACACGCATAATTACACCCGCAGTTGTTCGTTCTGCGCACGGGTGTCAGCTGTGTGAAGGATGAATACGGGTGTTTCATATGTGATGCGTGTGTCTCGAGTGCCGGAATTTGTCGGAGTCTGTCGGAGGCTGTCCCAGGTAAATTCCAGTAGATAATATATCCAAGTAAATTCCATTAAATCCTTTTAACCTTTCTTTATTCAACACGATGAGCTTCTGCTTGAGGCTGAATCCGCTCAATCCGCTGGCTAGGAGGAATATTTACAAAACAGTGCAGACTGCACGCAGATACAAACACACAGACATCCACCTTACCTCCCTCTCCACAGCCATCCAAAATCGTGATACAGATGCGCTGCGAGGGATTTTATGCGGTGATATCAGCAATACACACACCGTAGACAAACACTACTCGCACCTACTCGACGCTTGGCTCTCCCCACTCGCACGTGAAAACGACGACGGCGCACAGATTGACGATATAGCCGTTGAATTGGCAGCACGCGGCCAGTCACGACCCCTGCTAAGCGCAATGAAGGTGGCGCTACAGAGAAACAATCCAGCGCGCGTGTTGAAGCTGTTTGAGGGGCTTCAACAGCGACAGCGTCAGTGCAGTAGCAGCAGCAGTAGCAGCAGCAACCACACCACACCCACACCCATCTCCAGCAGACTGCTAGTATGTGTCGTAGCCGCCCACTCCCTCACCCACTCTCTCCAAGGTGCGCGCAGTGCGCTGGCACTTGCTCGACCTGGCTACACCTTCTCGAGCGGCATAGTTGCGCGCGACACGGGTCTATCAGGTGCCGCGCTACAGCTAGCGCAGGAGTACGTCGAAAATGTGCGCTGGGCGCATGTCCTCGTCGACAAGCAGACCGTACTCACCTCCCTCGGCCAAGCCGCCCAGGACGGCATGAGGCGATACATACTGGAAGTGTACGATGCACTAACAGCACAAGAAAACACGCTTCTCGATGACGACCAAGTTTACGCTGCTTTCCTACGTGCGCTCGCTCATACTCATAAACGCACTTCGCCCCCTCTCCCAACAGGTGTCTTGGACAGACCACTCGACGCGCTCGGCCACCACTCTCTGCAGGCAGTATTGGAGGGGGAGCTAGTACATCGCAGCAGTGCGCAGCGCGTCACAACCATACTTAGACATATGTCACGCAGTGGCATTCTCCCACATGAGGACACGGCAGCAGCGCTCATAGCACGCTTGATAGACGCACGCAGTCGCGATGGTATGCAAGTTTTTGACAGTGTGCAGACCATTTACACTGCTCACGATATTCCTACCCCTACCAAAATCTGTAACGCCCTTCTTGCAGGCCTCACCAGAGTGGGTATGAGCGACGTTGCGACTCATGTGTTTCATCAGATGAACAGCCCAACTATCGTGTCGTACAATATACTCATACGCGCTGCTGTACTGCGCAATGACACTCAAACCACTATTCATCTCATCAGACAACTTAAAGAGAATAATATCCCACCCGACGCTCATACTTTCTCAATGCTGCTGATATACCTTCGCAAACAGACGCATCCGGACGCTATCGGCGTGGTGGTGCGCACGATGGCTGAGTGCGACGTCGATGCCGATGTGCACATCTACTCCAACATGCTCGACATATTAGCGAAAGAGGGAGAGATGGATGAGGCACTCTGTCTGCTTGACCGCATGGAGGAAGAGGGCATGTCAACCACATCCGTCACTTACACATCCCTCATTAGCGCACACTTAGCTCGGTCTCCTGATGGTCTCGCAGAGGCACAGTCCCTGATGACACGGATGAAAAGACGCGGGCTCGCTCCCACACAGGCCCTCTTCCAGTACGCTATTACAGCTAGTCTCGCTAATAATCACCCTTTTGCTCCTTGGGTTCTCCTCGAACAGATGGCACACGAACCTAATGTTCACATCACTAAGAATACCCTCTACCTTCTCATGAAAGGCTTTTACGACGCCAGACGCTTCGATGATTGTCGCAGATTAATTGATTTCATGCAGAAGAATCAAAGGTATATTAAAAATACCTCCAACACGCACGACGACGACGCTTTCGGGAGAATAATGGTCAAGGTACGCAGAAAGCTGACCGAGAAAGGATTATGATGTATTGTGCATGTATAGAGATAGATGGGTGTCTTAATGTATTAATTGTTTAAAAGCTGCTGTGTGCTGTTTGCTTCTTGAGCTGCTGCTCCTCGCTATAATCATATTCAGGAGGAGCTTCGAAGAGAATGTTCACGTCGCCATCACGCTCGCCCGACCCATCACTCTGACCATCGACGTGAATCGTCTCGAGAGGCTGCTGATCGAGATGCTCATAGTCGTGGTCTGCCCTCGCAGCCGCCCTGCTTTCCCTATCCTTGATCCAAGTGTAGAACACGCTACCCAGCACTATAATCACGATACTCGCTATCTTCTCAGAGGAGAGGTGCTCGTCAAATAAGACCACTCCTAGAACGGCCATCAGCGCTGACCGCACTGCCGAGCTGACCATATGGGTGATTGGGGAAGTCACCTTGATGGACAAGAAACCCGCTATGCAGATGAGGAACCCGACGACGCCAGTGAGGGCAGCGCCGATCGAGAAGACGGACAGATCGTGGGCGTTGGTGTGAAAGAAGAGGGCGTAGATGGTTGGCAGCTCACCCATGATAACGGACAGCGGCACGAAGAGGAGTGCTGAGAATAGATTGACATAATACGCCATGTCAATCGTTGAACCGCCGACGACAGGAAGACTGGTCTTAATGACCACAGCATGTGCTGCAGTAGTGAGCGATGAGAGCAGCCCGAAGATTATACCACGCATATTCAGGTGCGCGTTGCCGGGATGGACTGAGGTGAAAAAACCGAGACATATGATGAAACACGCGCACAGAATCCAGTTACTTGGGCGGGTTTTGAGGAACGCATAGCTTATGATGACGGTGATGGGCAGTACCAGTCCACGCGCCACCTGGTAGAAAGACGCGTCAATGTATTTCAGGCAGTAGTTGTTGAAGCTGTGAAAGGGCGTGAGAAACGGTGAATTCTCAGATCAGCACTCAGCCCACCTCAATCCAGCGACATTCACTCCAATCAGCTTCCACAATCCTCGAACAACCTTCTTCTCTATCCGCGGTAGTCGCACCAGCTTAACGGCGTGGCTGATCAGAAGCAGGAGGACCGCTATAGCGAGCTGAATAAAAAGAAAAAAGAGTGGCGGCGTGTTGCTAACGTTGAGCACAGCCTTATTCACGAGTACCATCACGATAGCTGCTGTAAGATAGAAGACGACGACCTGGTGGTTTTTGAGTGGATGTGGCAACAGCGTGTAGCGCTACTCACGCCTGCTACAGCCAGCCTAGAGTGCTCTTTCCCCTGTGTCATTATCAGAAAACCCAAGTTGGTCGTTATCACTCAACATTCATCATGAAACGAAATCAGCCAATCATAGATCTCACTGCTGATAGCGACGGTGACGACACCAACGCTATCTCCAACGCCACTTCATCGACTTCCCGCATTCCACCTCCACAGACGTCGAAGGAGTCGAAATCTCGTAAACGTACACGCGCAGGAGAGAGATCCAAATCAGCAAGCAGGAGTAATTCTACACATTCTACGAGATCTTCGTCTGTTGTCAGCGCACACAGCACACAGCAGCAACCCCACAAAGGCAAATCTAAGCCTGTTCAGGAAGCTCAAGAGGCTCCACACGACGATATAGACGGTAGACCTGTATTCAATAATCTCACCTGCCCAATTTGCTTCGATATCGTCTCTAATGCTTGCACTACGGCTTGTGTGAGTGGGCTGTGATGTTTTGAGACACCGATAACACGCTCCGCACAGGGCCACATCGCATGCGCCAACTGTCTTTTCGATTACTTTGAAGGCGAACGCATCAAGAATGAAGGAATTTCGTCTGTTTGATTGTCTTTACGTCATTCACCCACTCACATACACTTTACAGCCTACCAAGACCCATTCAACAAGCCCGGCAACGCTCTCAGAAGCTCAACGCAAAGGCCAGACTGAGAACTGACTACGCTGCTCGCACCTACATGCTGTCTGACAACCCTGACCACACTTTCCAAGGTCCCTGTCCAGTGAGTGGACTAAATCACCCTCATAAACTCACACCAACTCCACAGATTTGCAGAACTGAACTCATGGGCGGCTGGGGCGAAGCTGTTATACCCCTCTACGTTCGCACTCTCGACTTGATCGATTGATGGGGTGCACGGATACTTGCATTAATTACAACACTCCCAAGGCATTGACATTTACATTTTCATATTTACTTACACTTTTATCGATGTATAGCTTGTTCTTGTTCTGACTCACCACTCTCTGCCACCTTCTGCCTCTCCTTCTTGCCCTCCTCAACCCACTTCCTACCCTCCTCCTTGAGTTTCTCGTCATCAGCGCGATCGAGGTTGATCTGCGGCATCATGAGAAGAGCCACCATGAAAGCCACGGTCGCCAAAGCAGCGCTAGTCAAAAAGACTACTCTAAAGCCCATTCTGTACACATCGACTACCAATTTCCTTGTTTCACTGTCGAGGTCGTTTCGTGCACTCTCCGGCCTCCGTATAACGCTGTCGATAACACCCTCAGCTACTCCGTCTTCTAACAATCTTGACCGCGTTATATTGTTAAGTATCGTTCCGCTAATCGCTAATCCCAGTGTCCCGCCTAGATTGCGCACAAAGTTTCGGGTCGATGTCACCACCGCCATGTCTTTCCTTTCGACTCCTGCCTGGACAGCAACCAAACTAGCCTGAAGTGTCTGGCCAACACCAAATCCTGCCAAGATAGAGTAACCAATCTGCTTGCCCAGTCCCGATGTTTCATCTAGCGTGCTTATCAATCCGACGCCTACGACCCATAGAGCCCATCTTAAAGCACGTCAGAGAGTGCACGGTAGCTTTAGCAGTCTCAAACTCACCCAGACAGAATGATGAGTTTATACTTACCCGTCCATGTCACAAGTAGTCCACCGATAGTGCTGCTGATGGTCTGCACAACCGTCAGCGGTATGAGCAAAGCAGCTGAGATAATAGCAGAGTAGCCAAAAGCCAACTGACTAAATTTTGGTAGATAAAACGTCTGTACGAGGAATATCCAACCATTGATAGCCTGTGTAATGCATGCTCCACAGACCATCCTTGATTTGAAGATATACAGCGGCATGACTGGTAAATTAGAATATTTTTCCCATCCCAGAAATACACCTGCTAAGACGACACCGAGAATAAGAGTGCAGAGGACATGCGCTGAATCCCATGCATACTCAGATCCGGCCCAGGTGAGACCAAGAATAATCAGCGTTGTGCTGAGCAATGCGAGTATTGTACCGACGAAATCTATCCTCCCCACCTTCTCTTTCCAATGACCTTCTACTTTTTTCAGTGGCATTATATACCACACCATAGCCGAAGCAATGGCGCATATCTGCACAAAAGTCAGCAAATGCAAAGCGCTAACCTTATAAAGCTTCACGTACAGGCAGATTAAGCCAGAAAATCCATCGCCACTGGACAGTCGCTAAAGCACCGCCAATTACTGGTCCAACGCCGTTTGCCAATGCGTTAAAGGCCCCGAGAATGCCTTGCCATTTTCCTCGATCTCTCAAGCTGACTACATCACTCACTATGAGTTGGCATAAACTCATCATCCCACCGCCAAATGCACCTGACAAAGCGCGAAACACGATACTTTTGATGATGTCAGTGTTTTTCAATTAAGTTTAACCAAACCTCACAGTTGCGTCATGGTCTGAGATAAACTACTTCCTATCGTGAAGACAAAGAAACCGAATAAGCTGACCATCAGTAACATTTTACGACCACAAACATCAGATAATCTACCATAATTCAAAGTCATCGCTGTAGAAGTCAAGAAATAGGCTGATGCGATCCACGAAGATTGCCCTCCTGCGCCGAGATCACTTGCGATAAAAGTTGAAGCGACAGCAATGTTTGTCTGATCCATTAATGCCAGGAAATCGACAGCGCTACACGAGAAAAACACCTAAGCAGTACAGATGAATTAAAAGCATCACTGTGAATGAAACGCACCATTACAATTCTAGATTTTGGCAAATAATTTGTCTGATCTGTAATTTGCTTTTCTCCATTGTTGATATTCCCTGCCATGTGAGATAAGCGGGCAATATTAAAGCACCTGCGACAACCAACTCACCACCAGGCGAACTTTCGTTGCTGTCTAGATCCTTAATTACGCTGTTGTCGGTTTCGGCAACTACTTTGATGAAATTGAGATGACCATTGCTAACTATTTAAGCTACACACCATTTATACTGTCATTTCTTTGATTATGGGACATTTTGCCTTAAGTTGTGATGATGACCGTCTTAATTAAGCTGCGATGTTTTCAAGGTCCGCCGAAATTTCAATTTGACGTTCGACGCACAGTCAATATCGTCAGTCAGGGTTCGATTGCATCCTTCGAGACCCTCACAAGTCGCCGCATGTTATCTGATTGCACCCTCGAATCCTTTAATTTAACCGATTCCGAAGTTGTCTTCTTAACCCTTAGCCATGTCAACCAATAAAGAGTTAAACGTTTACAGCGGTGAAGATGCCCTCTTGGACTATCTGAATCCCGACAAAACACCTCCAACTCCACTCGTTGAACTGCCCAATCACAAGTTCGCAAATGACGATAGGATTAGGATATTTGCTAAGGTGCACTCCGCACATCCGCTAAACAACGTCAAAGCGTTTCCTGCTTTTAACATGCTTGAGAAAGCCAAAAGAGATGGTGAAATCAAACCAGGAATCACCAAAGAAATTGTAGAGTATTCAAGCGGCTCAACCATCATGTCTTTAAGCGTTATTGCAAGACAGTATGTGTCTGCTATACTTTTACCTTTAACTCATTGACTGGTGTTGCTAGGATGGGGATTGAGAGGACGAAAGCCAATCTCTCGAACAAAACAAGTGCAGCCAAGATAGACCTCCTGCGTTTCTTCGGATTGGAGTTGAACTTCAGCGGTGGTCCAAGTCAGCCGCTCAGTAGCGATGTTTACGGCGGTATCTACCATGCTACTAACCGAGGGAAAGACCCTTGCTCCTTAAATGTGGATCAGTATACCAATCCAGATAATCCTGCGGCTCATGGAAGGTGGACGGCTCAACAAATACTCAAGCAGCTACCAAATGTAGGCGTTTTTAGCGCAGGTATTGGAACGGGTGGAACTATGACTGGGACTGGTCTTGCTCTGAAAGGTTTGTTTGCTTAATGAGGATCCACAATCAACTGACTCAGTTAAAGCCAGTACACCAAACATTACCAATGTAGGTGTTTGTACCACAGCAGGTGACAGGGTACCTGGTCCAAGAGCTCTGTCCATGTTACTGCCAGTTACGTGGTACGACTGGCGCGGTGCGGTCGATACTATCGAAGAAGTCGGTAGCAAAGACTCGTATGAATTGAGCTTATGGCTTTCGAGAAATGGTATCATAGCAGGACCTTCCTCTGGCTTTGTGAGTCTGAACCTCTCAATATTAGCCTTAACCTGACCAGTCTCAGAACTTAAAGGGTCTTTATAACTATCTAGACCGAGCTAAGGAAATGAAGGAGCTCGACAAGTTGAGAAGTAGTGAAGATGGGTTCGTAAACTGCGTCTTTATCTGCTGCGATCTTCCATACGTCTACATGAGCGAATACAAAGAGAAGCTAGGTGAAGCCTACTTCGCGCCCATGCACAATAGCGAGTTGCTGGGTGTAGACAAGTATCCATATCTCGATGGATGGGAGTTGCATCCTGAAGAGGCTGCCGTCATTGCCAAGCAAGTGTCTACGCAGGTGTTGGATCTTCGAAGCAGCAGCTTGTTCAATCATTTCCGAATACCATCTTCAGTAAATATCCCAATACTTGAAGACTTATATCCACACTACACACCTAATCCTTTCTTGAACGCGAGCGAGATGGCAAGACAATGGCCAATTCTTGATGAGAAGCTGGCAGCAGTAGCTGACCCTTATCGCGGAAGCAAGTGCCTAGTAATACTATGCGAAGACGGCGGTACTTCTAGGAGCGCTGTGAGTGTCTTGAGAAATTCTGGCTTCGAAGCGTTTACAGTGAGGGGGGGAATCAATCGCTGGACCGATGAGGGTAAACCGATTGAGAGAGCAGCTGATGTTCTAACAATAAGCAAGTCGTCGCTATCTCAATTATCTACCAAAACTGGAATACTCGTTGAACACAAAGACCAAGAAAATTCAAATAGAAAACTTTCATCGTCGAAGCGCTTCATCCGATTCATTCGCAGAGCTAGACAGTCGATAGTCAAGACATAAACTTGTTTGAAACATTTGAAGACTCCTTTTATTTGACCTAAAGTTTTCTACCATGAATTTTTTCACTACTTGGACTGAAACGGTGTGATTTTTATAGATAGAAGCGCAGGTAATAAAAAAAGGGTTATTCGCAGAATTCCGTCGAGCGTGGTCACATTTCTCCAATCTGCTAAATTAATGGAGTGGATGATTTCGATGGACGATCCTAAATGAACTCAACGATATAATCACATTGATTTTGCTGTAGTTTATTTTGCGTATATCATAAGTGATAAACCCATTTACGCTTATACTACTGTCGCTTATCGCGGTTTTGGAATGATAATTGAGGCACCCAGCAAAACGAGCTTGATGGGATTGATTGAGCTGTTAAAATTTGCGGATAATTTAAACTGTAATATTTAAAATCTATTTATTCATTTTCATAATTTCATAATGATACGTGGTGGTAATTGACAGCGGCGACTGTGAAGTGGGCGCGCTATTTAATTTCAGGCACACAATTAAATTTCAAGTGAAAACGAGATATGCATTAAGATGAATGGAGTGAGAAGAATGAGTGGTCTGAATAAAGAGATCAAATTTACCAAGAAGATTTGTAATAGAGAATGAATAGATGCTGTTCTTTGATTGTTAGTTTATTAACGTCCACCATTCAGCAATGCCATAACTGTGAAACCGTTAGTGAAGAACACCTACACCATATCTCACTACCTACGCTGTGCTTGCTTCTGTCTCTGCTGCTGAGCATCCATGAGATGAGACTGTTGTGGTCCTGCCATCTTGGAGACGTGATCGAATGAGTTGTTGTTGTTGGCATAGTGGTGCATGTCAGGATGCTGCTGTTGTGATTGATACGGTTGATGTGGTTGCTGATTCATAAATCCACTCATAGGTTGCTGTTGTTGCTGTTGTTGTTGTTGTATAGCAGTCGCGAGTGCTGCAGCTTGCGCTTGCGCTTGCGCCTGTGCGGCTTGCATGCCTCTCTGTTGAGCGAGCAAACGCTGTTGTTGGAGTAACATCTCATTAGCTTGGGAGTGCTGCTGTTGGTGTGGTGCATGTGGTGGACTTATCGTTGAAGGTACCTGTCCTTGTTGCTGTTGAATCTGTTGCATAAGCAATGTCCCAGCTTGTGGATTTGATCCACTATTTGGTGATTGTGTGTTACCTCCTCCTCTTATCAACGCTGCTAAATGCTCTGGTGGTGCTCCTCTCATAGCATTTGCTTGTTGCATTTGTCTCATTTGTGCTTGCTGTTGCTGCATCATTAACATCTCCTGCAGCTTTTGTTGCTGACTTTGCTCTGGTTGCGGATCTGCCATTTCATTCTGTTGAAGTTGCCTCTGTCTCTCATACGCCAATCTCATTTGATACTCTTGCAGCGCTGCCGCTCTTGGGTCATTCATTGGACTCATTCTTGATTGTTGTTGGTGCATCACATTTGGTGACATTGCTGCAGCTGGACTGCCCTTATTACGTGAAAGCGATAAAGCATTTAGTATTGCAGGATCTTGCGGTGATTGTTGCCTCCTCTGAGCCTGTGCAAGTAATAAAGCTTGATGCTCCCTTTGCATTCTTTCCCTCTGTAATTCCTGCTCGCGTTCTTTCCTTTGTTGCATTATTATTTGTTGTTGTTGTTGAAGTTGTTGATTACGGAACGCAGCTTGTTGTTGTTGGTGTAAAATTGCTGTTAGATCAGCTCCAGCTGATGATGTGGATGTCGGTCTACTAATTTCTTTTACGGAAGATGGTTGAGGCACTGGTGTAGATGAGTTTGAGGTTTGTAACATTGCCAAGACTCTTTGCATTTCTGGTTGGTCATTTGTTAGGTTTGGTGGGGTTGGAGAATTGACTGCTGGCTCAGCTTCCTTCCTTCTCTGAGCATCGAGCCATTTAGCTTGTGCATCCATTGCATGTTGATGTGATTTTGGCTTGGCATCGAAGAATTTAGCAAATCTGCTGGCAGCAGGTGCCTTCTCTGTGACCTTGGGGGTTCCCTCTGATGATGCTGTACTACCGGCATTTCCAAGTTCAGTATACAGTTGAGGTTGCGTTTCTGGTGATTGGGTTTGTGAGGGAGCAGTATTTGAGGCATTAAGGATAGCTGGATCATCATTCATCGTCAATTTGGACATGGATGGCTCGAGGGAAGCGCCGTCACCGAAAGTATCATCATTAGCAGCATCCATATCACCAAAAGTTTCGTCATTCGCAGCGTCAACTTGAAACTCGTCCTCGAGCAAAGCAGTCTGAGGATGGGAGTGGGAATTGTAGTGAATAGACGGAGCTTCTTCATCTATACCAAGCTCAAGCAACCTCTCTCGTCTTTCCTTGTCTCGCATTTGAGCTTTGAAAGCTTGAATGCTGTCAACACCGGCTGAGCCGGAACCAAAAGGACCAGAGGATGCTTTATTCCTAGATCTGTCACGGGAAGAGGAATCATCTAACCACGCTGGTGAAGCATCGTCGTCAAAAGAAGGATTTCTGCCTCTACGCATACGCTGTCGTTCTTGAGCAAAGCCGCCCTTCCTCCAATCACCATCGTTTGATTTAAGAGAATCTTGTAAGGTGATTGCACTGTCTTTCTTTCCAAGAGGTGATTTTTCTTCGTTGCGGTATTTATTAGAACGATCAGGCCGATCAGGCCGATCTTCACGAGGAGTTTTAGATTTATCAGCGGAGAACTGAGAGTATTAAAGTGTGAGAGTGTGTGGTTATGATTTGAGCCAGAACGAACCTTATTTCTAGCGAATTCAGACTCGCGGTCGAAAGAACGTGGCTCTGGATGCCTTGAGTTGGGACTTCTATAAGCAGCTGTGAAAGGTATAAGTGGATGTGCTATAAACCCGCAAAAGAAGCCCACCAAGTGAAGAAGGTTGGTTTGAGGAAGAACCAAGAGCTCTTTCGAAAGCATTCTTGTACTTTGAAGACCTCGGGGAATCGACTTCTTCGTTGTTGCGCCTAAATCTGGGTGTAGTGTGAGCTATGAGGCAAAAATGGGATGAGCAGCGCACCTGTTGTAGGTATTGGAGGCACTTGAGTTGGGTGAGCTGATTGAAGGCCTCGGTGTATTCGCAGGTGGAGCGGTATACTCGCTGTCAACAGAATAAGTCAAAAGCTGCAAAAGCTGCAAAGCGACACACCCAAACCAAACGGAAAACGGTTCCAAGTTATCTGGTGCCTTTACTAACGGTGATTTTGAAAGCCTAAGAAGTTCATTTCTGGTGTATGAAATTGGCTCTGGCAGATTCCTCGACGATGTCGTTGTAAGGATAGCTGGTGTTGCTAGTGTAGCCGGTGTTGCAGGTGTAGCTGTGTGTCCTGTCAGTTCTATTTCCCCGGCTTCTCCCGCCTCACAAATTTCTTCAGACTGCATTTCAGCCTTGGTCGAGTGATCAGAAGGCGTCGTCTCGCACTTTGATAATGAAATTAAAAGGAATTCTCGTTTTAGCAGTCACAGCGCCTGTTGCAGCATTTATCAGTGAATACGATTATAATTATTTAGATGTTCTCTCCTTTGATGAATCTGTCCTCTATCTCGGCGATGACACCACCGCCAACGATGTCAAACCCCTTTCCAAGTGGTCTTGGAGTGATTGTGGCGATGTTGAAGACGCTCTCAAGCTCAGCAAACTCGATGTTTCCCCGGATCCTCCCCAATCTGGCCGTAATCTTACTATAGACGCGGCTGGAACTGTGAACAGATACATTGCAGTGCGTGGCAGTGTCTGCGTAGTACCCTTACACTTCTAACACCCACGACAGGAAGGCGCGTACGCAGACGTCGCTGTCAAGTTGGGTTACATCACTCTCTATTCCACTCGCTACGATCTTTGCAAGGAGGCGTAAGCGCGTTTATTATTTGCACTGATCTCATACTCATCTCCTCACAAGCCATAACGCCGATGCTCAAATTCAATGTCCTGTTGAAAAGGGTGAGCGTGCCATCAAACAGAACATCCAACTTCCATCGCATATTCCCCCAGGTGCGTTGCGTCAACCTTGTCATTTCACGTTCCATCTCACCCTTTACAGCCGCCTACACCCTTCAAGTCAGAGCTAACACCGTCGACGACACTCCACTAGCTTGTCTCAACTTCAGACTAAGTTTTCTTCCGTTTTTAAGTGTTTTCAACTAAAACTACTATCCTAACGACCACAATATGTTGTAATGTCATTGAACGATCCTACGAATCCTTTTGTAATAAATTTTTCACTGTCATACGACGCCGCTCCCAAAATGGCAAGTGTATCTTTCATTAATTGTATCATGATAAGAAGGTTTGTTTACCTGTTAGGGCTGCTTGCGAGCGTTGCACATTCACAAACGGTCTCAACGTCCACACCTGTTCAAACAAAGGTTAAGGAGATCAAAGATTGCGGTGAGTGGGGATGTTTCCTAATAATCCTTATCTCACGCTATTTAGGTACCTCATCAGCTATCACATTCCAAGATGCTACTGGCGATAATATCCAGAACATCACAATGAATGTTTCAGAGCAAGTTGACAGTGCAACGCTCACATATGCTATCGTCGAACAAGGATTCAAGCTACTCAGCTTCGATGGAGATTTCTGTACCTATTTGTTAGTCTACTTTGCTACCATACTCCCTCCTAGCTCATACCGACTCATCCTAGATCAAAAAGCGGCATTAGTTGTCCTGTCAGCCAAGGCAGCTACGAGCTAGATGTCACAAACGACTCAGATATCATCAACAGCTCACAATCAAACTACACAATCAATATGGACATCCACAACGGCGACACTGAGCTCGGGTGTGCAGATATCAGCTTCGAGGTACCTCAATCGCCCGAATCAGTAACAAACTTGAATAATTAATGTATCAATCAGTCCCTGTAATATTCTATTTGATGCCTAGGAGCATTTCATTGCCGTCGTCTGATTTTGTGAACGTCATCGTCCGCAACACCTGATTTGCAATATCTCTGTGGGCATCAGTGAGCTCTTCCTGACTCGGCTCATCGGTATTCTTATTCTTCTTAATCTCCACCGCTGCCTTTAAAATGGACATGAGCATCTTTTGGAACTCGATGGTTGTGCCTTGCTGCTGCTCAGCTATGGCATGTCTCATTGCATCGCGGAGATCGTCGTCTGTGAATAGAGTGGGTGGCGCCTTCTTGTCAGCTCCCGCGGAAGTCCCTTTACCTACAGCGCTCTCGCTCTCGCTTTTTTTCGACTTTTTCTTCTTCTTTGGTTTCTCAACATTTTCTGTACCATCTTCAGCATCCTTATCAGACTTTTTAGCCTTCTTCTTCTTCTTTGGCTTTTCCTCGCCATCCTCCGTCGACGTCTTCTTCTTTTTCTTCTTTGACGGCTCGTCTGTGTCCTTGGCTTTGTTCTCGCTATCGTCATTCGCCTCGTCCTTGGTCTTGGACTGGAGCAGCTACGTTAGATACACGCACACGCCTATTCCTCAGCACCCACCTTTTTGCGCTTTTTAGACTCTTTCTGCGTCGATGGAGGCTCTTCATCCGCCTCCTTCTCCTTTTTCTCAGTCTTGGACTTTTTCTTCTTCTTCTCTTGCGTAGGCGCTGGAGCGGTAGCTGGAGCTGGCGCTGTTGTAGACTCTGGCTCTTGCTTCATTTCCACCGCCTTTGTCTTCATTGCGCGTTAGATGGTGTGTGGTGGTACGCGAAGAGCTGCACACACCTTTGTAGGCTTATGATATAAATTCTTCTGATACTTCTGCTCCTCCGTCATACAGCTCGTGTGTGCTCTGGTTGCGTTGTTAGCGCTGCAGTGCCTCCCCCGCAATCGACCCACTTGGCTGAATGTCCATCAAACGTTGTACTGCAGTCAATACAATCCACAGGCGCCTGGCATCGATTCATGTGCATCTGTAATTTAGGCTTCTTCACCGTATCATTACAATTCTGACATGAAAATGATACCATCCTCTCGCCGATGCGTATCGCCTATCAAAGTTTTGGTCAAGACATCACCTATTCCAGCAAGAATACTCATGAATCGTAAATAAAAATATACAGCAATTCTTTCTCTTTCACTTTACGCAAATGAAAGTGACCACCTCGTTGGATCGTCTTTCACATGCACCTTAACCAAATTCTTGTCTGCGAGCACTGAAGAGGACCATTTAGGCAACCGCGTTTCATCATTAAAAACACTCACCTAGTATGTTATGGAACGCATTCACAGCTACATAGCGCGCTGTGAGCGTTGCTGGACATATATCATTCATCACTAGACAACGCACACTGCTACGCTCATCAACTTGACCCGTGCCGCCGTTGCTACCAAAAACGCCCTTGGCGAATCTCAAAAAGCTATTAGTCTGATTGTCGAGCTCAGCTTCTGGTAGGAATGCTTCATCGAGTCCTGCGAATGATCCATGATCGATTCCCATGGATACATCACCTCCAACGACTGATCCACCAACTGGTGAACGGATCGACTGTCTCCTTTGTGTGCTGCCTATGGGATCCAAGCTGAATCTTCTTCCCTCTGAAACCATCGACACGCTTCTGTGGAGACTTGCTGCAGATGGCGATGCCGTAGACGGTCTGTCGACATCCAATCCAACATCAGACCTCTCCCAAGGTAATGCACTGCGTGGACTGCCTGTTACAGCTCTACCGACTTCAACGTCAGCTGGCAGCTGGAGAGGGTCCATCGGTACATCAAATTGATAGTCTACGCCATGACCAGAGCTGACCATACCACTACCTGCCCCAATCATCGGCGTCGTCTCTTTGGTTCCAGGCGCTCCACCTTCTGCTCCACCTTTCTCTTTCCTTCTCCATCTCGTGATGGTTTTAGGGTCTGGGAAGTTACCACCAAGCTCCATATTCCTAGCAACTACCATGGCTGTTAGTAGAAGGTACTTCTGTACACTGACGTACTATTGAACGGTAATGATATTACCATGTTGCACGCTAAAGTCTCTTCTTGATAAATGCTGTTGCGATGACCAGCTGCAATATTGTCTCTGAAGATGGATAAGCACAGCCCACATGTTATAATCCTTACCTCTCCATATTTTGCAAGTAATTGTCACGTGATCCTCGCAATTCCTATGAAACGTTACTCACTCGACTACACCCGAACACTATACTCACTTCATCTAACAAGTCAAGACGGCTGTCGACAACGAGTCTCCTACGCTTCTTTGGCCTTGCTGCTTGTGGGAGTGAAGACAATGGAGAAGAAGATATAGGTTGGCTGCCTTGTTCTCTCGATCTCTACACTTGCGTTAGGGCAGTAGGGCAGTAGGGCGTCAACAAACACACTCACTCTGCGCTCTTCGACAGACTGAGCTTTAACGCCCTCGAGCGGGATACTTTGGCAAGTAAGCAAAAAAAGGCAATATCTCACCACTGTCTCAGCTTGTCACTCACTCAAAATTGAAAAAGTTCTCACCCAATCCCTCTTCTCTGACATTTTGAGCTATGTCCTCGAAGAAATCGCGACGGATATCTTCCGAAGGCATACCCCAGTCATCGAATCCAGCAGCAATCTGTCGCGAAGGTGGACGATCTTGGAGGAACTGATGAGACGCCGATTGAGCAACATTAGCGGGAATATCAGGACCAAGAGGAGCATGACTGGAGATACTCCAATCCATGGGCATCATAGGTATCATTGGATCGAATAGCAAGTCTTGCTGCGTCGGATCAGCTCTACCAATCCCACTGGAATGGCTGTCAAATGCAGTGAGCGAGGCGATGTTGCTGTCTTGAAGTGCATTGGTCATACCAGCAGTAACATCCTTTCGATTTCAACGTCAGAAACAGCGACAGAGGCTTATAAATGCCCGTCTTACAATCTCAGCCAATTGCAGTCTCAGATCGAGATTCTGTATGTTATCAGGCGCGTGAAGTTGATTGGCATCGAGAGTAATTTGATCGACGCGTGCTCGATGCTGCAGCAAGTTGATACTCTCACCGTCGCTGCTCATTTCCGTATTGTTGATGGCTTTGAGGAGGTTGTTGTGGACCTGCTGGACGTCATGCTCGAAAAACATGAGGCGCTTATCGTAGATTCTGACAACACCGATGAGTAGGCTGGAAGATAAACGCAGCGCTAGTGGCTCAGGAGGGTCCTGCAGCGTTTGGCAGAATGCTGGAACTGAAAAATTTAAAATATCCTTCTTTGAAAGCCTCTTGAAGTTTGTGAGATTGGCTCTGAGATTTGGGTTAGACAGCGTCGCGATTTTGTAGAGCGCACTTTGATGGAAGCGTGGCAGCGATCCAGACCAATGCATATCCATCTCTCCTCGACGTAAGCAGCTCAGTGCTGTTCAAACGGCTTGAGAAAATGGAGATGGCGCACGAGATGGTGCTCACTTCCAGAACTACGCTATGTTAGCCTGTGGGTGCCATTAATCGCCTTAGTACTCGCCATCTCTTAAATATCGCAAATCACGTCGTCGTTTGAGTTCGATGGTGAAAAAGTGAAAATTATTCAAACAATTACAAGAATTAATGAGAATTTGTAGAGTTCGTGGGCGACGTTGAAGTGCCATTGGCAGTGGCTAGTTGCCACGCAGGTATCTGTGGTTTGCCTATTTGTATCGAAGAGCTTGGTGACGTCGTCCCGCCATTTTGTCTTGATAAGAGGAGAGACTTGAGTGATTTGAGCTCAGATTGTAATTCGTTAAGAGTGCTTGCTTGCGATTGCTGCTGTGACTCAACTAGCTTTGGAATTTGAGATTTTATCTCGCTGAGCTCGCGAACGACGCCGTCCATCTCTTCTCGAGTCCTCTTCTCGCTGGACTTGATGCCCTATGAGGCGTGAGATGTTGGTATATACGATGCGCATCCACTTACGTCAACTGCCCTCTCAATTTCAACGATTGTCTCGTTCACCTTGTCCTGCTGACCGGCTAACGAATCCTTGATAGCCGTTGTGTCGTCACGCAGCTCCTTCATTGTGCTTTCTACACTGATTGTGAGTGTGCAGTAATACACACGCCACTCAACTCACCTGCTTCGTCGTACTTGTCGTTCAAAGACTTGAGATCAGATTCGTACTGCGTAGACGATGGAGGCTGCAAATGTGGCCAAAGATATCTCTGGGTGTACGCATGAGTGGTGGATCACCGCGCAAGAATATTCCCACTTTAGCCAGGCTTCCAACGCCATAAGCGAGACCACCGGATACAACGGCCATTATCTGGGCATATTATTAGCAGTGGCTCTGAGCGACTCCCTGCAGCTCACAAAGTAATCTCTCCAATCTCTCTGCAATTCATATCTCGGTGGCTGACTGAAGAAGATTCGGCGATTGTTGTTCGCAGCAGCCAAAGCCTGGTTAATCTCGGCCTGCTCGAGTCCTTTTGACCGCAAGAACTGTACCTTGTCCTCCAGGCTACCTGATTGCGTATTTGGGTCGCTCAGAAAATCTACCGCTGACTGAACCTTATCGCCGCTGCTCATGGTATTGTTACAACGAACATCGATGAGCGAATTGCGGGAATATCTCGATAAGATTACTGACGATGACCTAATTAATCCGGACCACTCTGTCCATCTCGATAATCTTGACAGCCTCTCGAATTTCAGGCAGGAATTCCACTTGCCGTGCAAACGTGGTCAGTCTCGTACCGCTATTAGTCGCAAGCTCATTTGGCAGCAGATGCTGAGATCACCTACCTCTGTGGCAATTCACTCGGTTTGATGCCTAAGCGCACTCAATCGCTTATCGCAGAGGAACTCGACGTATGGAAGACGCGCGCAGTTGAGGGCCACTTTGATCATCCATACCAAAGGCCATGGAAGAGCTGTGATGAGCTTGTCAAAGGAAGCCTGGCTGCTATCGTCGGTGGGAACAGCAGCGCCTGATGTCATCACACACTCATCATTTGCAGGCGCAAACGCGGACGAAGTGGCCGCTATGGGCCAGCTTACTTCAAATCTGCACAAGCTACTCATTACCTTCTACAAACCATCCGCTCAACGTTACAAGATCGTTTTTGAAGACAACGCATTTCCATCTGATAATGTTAGTTGGCTATATCGACAACTGCGAATAGCTAACTAGCCTTAGTACGCTCTTAATTCCCACGCGTATCTACACAACCTCAATCCAGATGATGCTCTCATCAGAGTGAAGCCAAGGTCCGGTGAATCAACCCTAAGAACCCAAGACATCCTCAGCACCCTCGAAGAGCATGGTAATGAGGTAGCCCTGGTTATGTTCAGTGGTGTTCATTTCTACACCGGCCAGCTGTTTGACATACCTACAATCACCAGCCACGCAAAGTCGTTCGGTGCGTATGTTGGTTGGGATCTCGCCCACGCCGTCGGAAACGTACCCTTAAAGCTGCATGAGTGGAATGTAGATTTTGCAGTGTGGTGTAGCTACAAATATCTCAACAGCTCTCCTGGTGGTATCGCTGGTATTTTCATTCACGAGTCTCAAACTCAAAGCCAGTGCCAAGCCGACCACAGACGGTTGGAAGGGTGGTGGGGACATGATCCAGAGACACGATTTGAAATGGGACCACACTTTTCGCCATCTCTTGGAGCTTCGGCCTGGATGGTCAGCAATACACCTGTCCTCACCCTTATTGCCCTCTACGCTTCTCTCCAGCTGTTTGACGAGGCTGGAATGGAGAATCTTCGAGCTAAGAGTGTTGCTCTCACAGGATACATGGAAAGACTGCTGAAGTATTCCAAGCACTACACAGACAGTTCCAACGTCGAGCACAAGCAATTCACCATCATAACCCCAAGTAATCCTAGTGAGAGAGGTGCCCAGCTGTCGCTCAAGTTCAACAAGGACTACATGCTCTTCTACAACGAGCAGCTTCAGATACACGGCGTCGTTGGAGATGATCGCAAGCCTGAGGTTATCAGACTAGCTCCAGCGCCACTTTACAACAGCTTCCGCGATGTCCACAAGGCTGTTTCTGCACTCGACAAGATCCTTGATGACTTTTAATCATTTTCAAAAGATTGTAATGCCCTAATGCCTTCTATCATTCTTGCTATCTATCTATCATCACATGGGCCTCCTCAGCAAAGGTCACAAATGGCTTGTTTGGTTTGGAGCCATTTACGTAGCTCTAATGATATCATTAATCCACCCGAATATTCAACTAGAAGTGCTATATCTGCGAAGGGTGAAAATGGCCGGCAGTGAAACTCTGTCTGATCCAGCGGCTTTTGGGTTGTCACCGTTCAAAACCTTCAATGTCAGGCTCAATACAGTGGATCGGGAGCGACTCGGCAGTTGGCATGTCCTGCCCGACTCTCTAGTGAGCATGGATGGCAGCGTATCGGAGAGAGAGATCGACAACACGTTCAAAACACACCCAACTGTGATATTCGCGCATGGTAACGCAGCTACACGCGCAATGAGCGGTCGTGTAGCCACTGCCGCCGTCATGTCCAACAAGCTCGATGCTAATGTTATATCATTCGATTATCGCGGTTTCGGTGACTCGAGTGGGTTGCCGTCAGAGAAAGGTCTCACACTAGATGCGCAAGCTGCGTACGACTATGCTATCAGTAGAGGCGCTACACCTGACAAGATCATACTGCTTGGTCAGTCTTTGGGTACTGGCGTGGTTACTAACTTTGCTAGAAAACTATCGAGCCAGGGTATCGAGATACGCGCAGTCGTTCTTGCTGCTCCATTCTCTTCCGTCACTAAGTTGCTTGAAACTTACAAAATCGGTGGTCTGTTTCCCCTCTTTAGTCCTTTGCGCTCCCTTCCGCAGATCAGAGAATATTTGTTCACGTTCTTGAGGCATAAGTACGACACAGGCGACAATCTACATGCCATCTCATCCCCTGTTCTGATTGCGCATTCGGTGGATGATATCGAGATACCTGTCGAGCACTCTATCTCGTTATTTAAGAGCCAAGTCAGTAACAACAAGACAAAATCACACGAAATCACCTCATTGACAGGCCATAAATGGGGTGTTTTGGAGTATACCGATGCATCAGCCCAGAGAGGACTGCTGCTTACTCAAAAAGGTGGTCACAATGCAGTTGTCTGGTCTGAAGGATTAGCCGAAACAATGCTCATGTTTATGAGTAACAGCGGGCACGCATATGACGCTCACTACTAGAACATGATGTTGCAAAATGCTTAAATGGACGTATTTTGTACAGCAACTTTACTACAATATTAATATCAAGCTAATCAATGCGACTGCGCTTTGTTCTGAGTGTGTTGGACATTTGCAGGCCTTTACTTGGCGACGGGGCGTCTGATTGACGAGACCTCTTCTTGGATGTTTGCGAGGCATTCTCATTTTCATTCTCGTCGTGATGGCTAGTAAGAGAGGATAGTGGGGATGAGTCCCTTTGAATATCAGCGGTAGGCTCATCTGGCAATTGCTCTTCATCATGTTCATCATTCTCGTTGTGTTCGTCAATCTCAGCATTCTGCTCTTCATCTTCAACTTCATCTTCACCACCATCTTCGCTTCCCTCTTCACCTTCGTCTTCACTGCCAACCATATCTTTGGAGAGCCCCTCACCAGCTGTGGCTGCAGCTCGAGGATGCTTCTCACGGGATGCTCGCGAGTGTACATCTTTCTCCTGAGCATTCCTATGCTTGACGAGTACTGGATGATGATTAGAAATATCGTTGATCGTTATCCGCTCATCGGTAGCTCACCTTTATCTTTAGCTATCAGAGTGACGAGCTTTTTCTCGTACGAACGTGCGCCCTCCCATATCTTGCTCGACGTGCTCAACTCAATCTCAGCCGCCTTGAGCTGTTCATCGTAGAAGTTCTTCACCTCCAGTGCATGTCTGCCTTCAATGAGACTAGATGGACCGACAGCTAAAAGGTGCTGCAACGCCTTAAAACCCGAATTAATTTGTGATATCTTTGTCGAGTTCTTGCGCTGCTCATTAACAAGTGGTTTGAGATCGTCAAATAGCTCGCTAATCACCCTCTTGTGAATTGCAACTACGACATTGGAAGACGCTCTGCTTACTATTTTCAACTGCGCACCTCGTAACACTAACGACGAAGATAATGATCTACCCAAAGCCAGCAAACGTGATTCATCTTCAACTTTTCCTTCTAACAAGAGCTCATGTGCTGATATTAGTGAGGTTGTAACAACGTGCACTATCCCCAGATAATATTCACTACCAGCATACAAAGCAATTTCGCGTATTGCATCCAAAGCTAGCTTATTGAGGCTGTCAAAGAGCACACCAAATCTGCCATGGTGCGCCAATATCACAGGCAGCTTGTCAATCGACAAGACACCAAGTCTAATAGCTTTCACTACGACAGCGATTGTCTCTGAAAACTCATATGTGTAATTGATACGATCTGGTTGGAGCGCCAATGTCAACTCCTGCTTTTTTTGTTTATTCTGCTTGGGTGCTTGCTTCTTTGGTGTTGTCTTCGACTTCCTTTTTTTGATTTTAGGTGCTTCATCCTCATCACTGCTTTGCTTGTCATTTTGGATTTCCTCTGCAGCTTCGTCGTCGTCATTGTCAGCGTTAACGTGAATCTCCTCGGCAAACTTATCGATCTCTGACTCAACATATCCCATACATCTCAGCTGCGTTTCTTCACTAAACTCCATTGAAGTGTGCTTTGAAACTTCAGTGCTCAATTCCTTTGGACGGTTGTCTGCAAACAATATGACTATCTCCATTAAAATCTTGAATCCCTTCGATTTGACGCTGTCTGTCGAGTTTGATGTCGACCCAACCGACAAGTCAATAGCAAGATGATAGAGATTGTCGCGGAGTGTCTTGACTTGCATCTTCTTAAACTCATACTCAGAGTCTTCGTTGTCCGTTGTCGTTGGTTGCAACTTCACAAGTTCAGACACAGTCCAGAGAAGATCTAAGAAGAGAAGCTGCAAAGCGTTTTCGACCATCTGTTTTTGTGTTAATTTGTCTCACGTGACCATCTCACATCTCGCATCTCGCATCTCTGCTCACCTTTGACTCAATCTCGTAGCCTAATGCACCTCTACTAGCCAAAGCTTGAACAATTTGACAGACATTTGCACTTTCTGCTGAGCTCTCATTCAGTGTGTCACTTATGTTGCTCCTAGTGACGACATAAACCAGTCTCAACAACGCCGACTCAAGTCTGCTGACGCTCTCTTGGTCGATATCTACATCTTCAATCTCCTGACCAGCAACTAAAGTTTTGAGAGCTAATGTCAGATTGTACACCAGAGCATTCAAGTTCCTTTCGCTGATGTGGACAAAAACACCTGCATCATTCAAAGCAAATATGCTATCTGTAGCAGCTTCCAATACGGACGGCAGAGAATGCTTCTGAAGCTGCTGGCAAATTTCATTATACAGTGACTCAAACTCACTTTCCATTCTCATATCCAAATAGAGTGTCAACTGCATATATCTCGGCAAAGAGAGCAGGTCAGCTATACGAGAGGGAATGGCTTGGTGTTTGGAGAAAAGACTTGGTAAGTCTTGCATGAGTTGACGCGAGACTGAAGTATAGTCTGTATCGTCAACAATTTTCTTCTTCTTGCGTCCGGTTGATTCTGTCGAAGGGTTTGCCTCGGCATGTATATGGCTGACGCAAGCGCAGAACAACTCAACTAACACATTCTCTTCATCCTCTTTCAACTTGAACTGAGCTAAATCATCGTCGCTACTAGAATGGTCCATGATCAAAGTAGACAGCATCGCCTTCCAATCGCGCGCAACTTGCAACGATGACCAGAGATCATCCAATGCGATTCTTAATCTACTACCAACCTCATTTCCATCATTAACGCTGCTATTACCATCGATGGAGCGAGTGGATGTCACAAGAAGACTAGTAAAGGCTTTGATCATTGTTAGTTGATCGATGTCCTCCTTCTCAGTATCATCATCATCGTCACCAAGAGTTCCCCTAAGTCTTTGCTGCTCATCTTCCACCAATCTTTGCCAAAAATCTCCACATGTTTTGCGTATTTTTGGATTTATATCGAATGCTAACTTTGAGACCTGTATACGTTCATTGTCTTCAAGCAGCTCGTGGCCATCGATAGCAGTCATAAGCTTGAGCGCTGAAATTCTAACCGGTGCATCAACATCTTTCAAGCAGATCTCCAACAGACGCTGTTTGAATCTATCAGTGAAATGCTGCAGTGGAGTGAGATGATCGTCTGAACCATACAGGGTAATCAGTGATTCAATAGCGGCGTGTCTGACTGAAGAGTCGGTGTCTGAAAGCAACCATCCTGTGTATCTCAAGTAGTTGCCTTCCAAAAAGTGGTTCGGCCATGTTTTCATCCAACTGCCGAGTGCTTTTACACATTCTGATCGGATAATTGGTTCTACGTCTCTATATCTGTGTATAAATAAACCATCAGTGATCTCTTGAATGTAATTTTCGACAGTTGTCTTGCGTGAAAGGAGGGAATCTGACTTATTGGAAGATTGACGGCGTCTGGTTTCTTTTGAGAATTGTTTATCAAAGTCTTTAGCAAGCTTGCATAGCGCGCTGGATAGCGAAAGACCCCAGACTGTGGCTGTATGTCTAAATGCGCGGAGTGGGGAAGACGATAAGCTGGTAATCCACTGCTGGCTAGTCTCCATCAAAGTTTCACTCTCTTCAGATACATCGTAGAGTGCTGAAGACTCAGAAGCCGCGCTGACCAAATCTTCGAGAAGTTTTGATATTGAACCGCCAATTTTCTTGAGCGTACCGACACGATGTATTAGAGGGTATGCGGTATTAGACTGGGTTTTGAAAGAGCGTTCTAAAGAGTCAACTACATCAGGAATAGAGTCAAAATCGACAACTTGATCTGATGTAATTGTGTGTTGACAGCCGGTGGACTGTGATAAGGGTGAATAACGCGTCAATTGGGAATAGACAAACAAACCTTGATCAGGCAGTTGATGAGGATTCGCAAAGCTTCGCGACGGCTGTCAACGTACATCGCTAGCCAGTCTTGTACAGCAGTTGGAAGATCGACGGTAGCTTCTGTGAGTGTTTCGTAGAGAAAGTTGTCAGAATCGTGGTCTTTGCGTATCTGGACGTTCTTCTTTCTCTTTAAAGCAGCGCCTGCGCCTTTCATGGCGGATTTCCTCGGTTTCTTCTTAGGGGCGACCTCTTCAAACTCATCGTGACTGGATTCAGCAGGAGATGGGATATTTTCGTGCGAATAGTGATCAGAGTCTTGAACGGCATCAGATTCAGAGTCAGAATTTACGTCTGCGTCGACGTCCATAACCTCAGCTGGAAGATGTTAGTGATATTAGCGAGAAAATAAGATAGTGCGTACGATTACCACTGACAGCTGCCGATCTACGTACACGCGCCGGCCTCAATTGAGAGTTCGTAGATGGCTGAGGCGATGTAACGTTTGAGCTCACTGGAACAGCCATCGTTGTTATCGCGAAAGAGGCGCGTAAGTGAAAGCATGGGAAATATCGGAGGCAGCACGACATAAAGACATAGGCCTTGAATAAATTACATAAATGAACAAACTAGAAGCAAATTCTGTAGGAAGCGTAACGACCAGAAGTTTCTGAAGGTCTGATAATTTTCACGACTTGACCTCTCTCTAATCCAAAGTATCTGGCCACGGGATCCTGTGGGGTATAAGAAGACATAGTTGCGCAAGGAACGGGACTGACGCTAGTTAGTATACGAGGCAGCTGGGTTGGTTTGAGTCTATATTTTTGTAACAGCAGCTTCTTCTCCTCTGCAGTGAGAACTTCGTGCTGGGGGACGAGCTGGTGGTGGCTTTAAGTAGCATGTTAGCGGGATTGGAAGAGGAGAATAGAGGGATAAATCACTCACGTGATGTTTACTTGCAATTCGGACTCTGTGAATGCTTGTAACTTGTAGTCAGCAGCCATTTCAGCAATGACCTGTAAATTGTGAGAACTGTGGGGGCTAAGGGCCAAGGAAACCAATCACCTTGTTTGCTGCTGGTGTGAGTTTCTCTGGGTAAATCAAAATACCTCTGCCGATCTTTCTCTCCTCCAAAACAGTCAAGAATCTAATAACGATGAGCAGCAACCCACACAGGGAGAAACGACGCACTTTCTCATAGTCTTTATACCAATGCTAGGCTCATCTGCGAAGTAAACGAATATCTGATCATCGGGGTTATCTTCCAGACTGGCGAAGAAGTGCAGTGAATTGCGGCTGTCGGTGGTGGGTGAGGAGAGGGTGAATGAGAGGAATTAAAATGCGCACTCTATCATGCCATTACCTGCGTATTGACCTTTGAAGTCGGCGTAAGGAACTTCAATCTCTTCCTGGGAAACAGCAAATCCCTGGGATTGGAAGAGTCAGCGATGCTTAGAGGACAACACAACGACTAACTCGATCCTGAACCAACTCATGAGATGTACGCGACACTTTCCATAATTTAGAAATGAGTTTCTCGTCCTCCATTTGATTGTTGCGGTCGCTGTTAAGGTTTAAGAAGTTGATTTCTCTGTTTGAATGTAACAACCAACATATGAAAATTAATTATGTTTTTAAAAAATACTGAGACGCTTCCACTGCGTAGTTATTCTAATGAACCACGTAGATTAACCTGGTTGAATACGGCGATTAGATGGTTACTGGGGGCTACGATTGGTGCCTTTATTCTCGGCGCTGTATTCAAAACCCATGTAACTGTTCCAAATCTACTCAAACCCAAAGTCAGTAGACAGGTGCGTTTATACGTTCGAATTGATGATCCTCGTTGCTCATTCCATTTACAGGATATTCTCCAAGGCGGCGTCAGTTGATTCTATTCTATCTAATCTCCTCTTATACCCTATCAGATCGCTCAGTACTCCCCTCAATACGACGTGGACTGGGGCGTACCTGATCAATTACCTCAATCTTGTACCATTGATATGGTTACTATTGTCCGTCGATTCACTACCATATAAACACACTCTCACTCCTTCTTTACAGCTTGAACGTCACGGCGCTCGCTTCCCCGATCACAAACCTCGTAATGAAATGGTTGCAACTATCGATAAACTGCATAACGCTAAAAGACCTGCAAAGCACTCCAAATTAAACTTTGTTAGCCATTATGATATCAGACAAACCCTCGGTGAGGAAGACCTCGTTTGGATGGGTCGTCAACAAGCCTATAACTCTGGAAAGCGCTTCTTTGATCAGTACAAAGATCTTATTGACAATTCTTTCCCTCCTTTCTATCGCGCACCAAGCTCACCTCGTGTCATTGAGAGTGCTCAGCTCTTCCAATTGGGTTTCAACGACGATCCTATTTGGAAGGCTTACGACGATCTTGATGTCATCTTACCAGAAGGTAAAGCACATAACAATACACTGGATATCTCAAATTGCCCACTCGCTTCAAACCATTCGACTACTATCGGTGATGATGTTTCTGATGTCTATGCTTCTCTGTGGACTCCTCACTGGGCCAAGTGGTGGAATGACAACTTTCCAGGTGCAAAACTTGAACACAAAGACATTGTCAATCTCTTCCACACCTGTGCCTTTGACGTGAGTTTGCTCTTGTCGATCAAACTTTTCACAAAACCCTAACAAAAACCCAGACTGTCGTCAACAATGGCTACATCAGTGAATGGTGCAAAATGTATAGCCTAGAAGATTTTCATCACTACTCCTACTACTTGATCTTGCAAAAGTACTACGATTCGAGCTATGGTCATCCACTTGGAAGGGCTCGAGGTATTGGATATGTCAACGAGCTCATTTCGAGACTGACAGGTGAACCTGTGGTCGATTCAACCTCAACAAATCAGACTTTGGACGCAGATCCAGCGACATTCCCAATACCACCAAAAGATAGGAATCAAATGGGTCATAAAGTCTTTGTCGATTTCAGCCACGACAGCTCAATGGTGAACATAATCTCAGCATTGGGACTAGCAAAGCCACCTGGACTTAGGCACTTGCCCTTCCTGATAGACAGAAGAGAACCAACACCAAATTACCTATTTGATATATCCAAGTACACACCATTCTCGGGTAGAATCACGTTTGAGAAGATACATTGTGGTGAATCGATTGGTGAGTACGACGCAGAGGAGGACTACGTACGCATCAAGATGAATGAAGGTGTTTATCCGCTCAAATTTTCCAATTGCGGTCCTCTCGGCCAGGAGAAGGGCTTGTGTCGGCTGTCTGATTTCATCGAGTCGCAGAGGTGGAGCATGGAGGGAGGAAACTGGTATGAGTGCTACGAGGACTAAATGATGCACGAGTGCTAGACGATGCATATAAACTTTTGTAATAGAAATTCATAGACATAATGAGCTAATTCATGCGTGTACGATAACAGTGATAATCGAATGAGTGAGCAGGCTAATAAAGTGGGAAGAGTATATTATATACCACATAACGCTTAGCAGACGCAACAGAATGTCACGCTGATTTCTTCAGACGAGTTTTCCTTTATAATCCCAAAGCCAGTGGCACTCAAGGCGGGCATGTTGGCAGATATGCTTGGAGAGGACAGTAAGGGGTATTTATACAGCAATCACACAAATCTAAAGCAGCCCAGGTGCATTCAGTGAGAGCATGAGCAATACCTGTAATCTGGATATTCGGTGGGATCTTAAGCTTTTGCCTATCAGTGGGTATACCAGCTGACAGCGCCTCAGTGGCGTCGTCCTAGAAAAGGTCTGCGAGTATCTTCTATTCAAGCAGAGGTACGAGAGCGTAGACAATAAGGAAACAGTGCCAGATTTCCAAGAGAGGATACCGCCAGAGATCGCGCTTGAGCTGTGCGTGTATCTTTGTGGTATTTACAACAACTAACAATCCCGCAGACTCGTCGCAGCCGATTACCTTCAAAGTAAGTTGCGTGCACACTGACTAAGACGCGTTGCTAACAATTCGCCAGCGTGAGGCCTGTAATGCCTAATAAATTATAAGCGCTCTTTGCACTAGCATTGTAATTTCCAAATCCCTACAAGTGATTCACCAAAACATCCATCACGACGCGAGATATAAATTTACAGGCGCTGCACGATGAATATCCCTCAGCTCCCGGAACCGCCCATCTTACCTGCAGCGCCCATTTCTTCGGGGCTCTCCAAATCACAGCTCTTGTCCAAATGGAGAGACGAGCACGGTGAGTGGGTTATGCAGCGTATAGATGTCTTTTGACATTTACAGGCTTGAACAACACATCATCTATCGATATCCTCAGAGATACAGTCAATATCCTCCAGGGCATCGACGGCACCTTCTTCAGATTCCAAGGCACAGCCAATCAGAGCGAGTTCAAGCTCATTCCAACTGGACAGCGCGTGAGTCTGATCGCTCCACATCCTTTGCCTGCTCAAATCTCAACTCCATGCAGTCGAAACGCGTTCCAAAACCAACACTTGAACTTGTCATCCGCTTGGCTGAATTGGGCTGGTTATACAAGCAGGTCGCTGAGTTCGTGCACGAATGCAGTACTTCTACTTCTAAGGGTCTTATCACTCAGGTTCGTCGTCCATTTGGCTATTTACTATCTAACACACAATAGGCCCTCTCAAGACACGTGCAAAATCGTTTATATGACTTTTATCGCCTGATTGCCCTACTCGAAGCTCAGCTGGCGCACACTCCCGAAAAAGACGACGATCACAGCGATTCGACAGACAGTCTCACTCTTGGCAGAATATCCGTTTGGACGGAAGAATGGCGTCTGAAAATGCGAATGATGAGCACTCTCGTACAAGGAGCAGAAGATGTACACGGCGGTGCTCTAGTCTCTCTTATACATGGCTACACGGAGAATGGCGATCCTTTCATCCGCGCATTCGTTTCGGAGTTGCTTGAAGAGGTTAGTTGGGGAGTCTTATGGATAGTTAATGCTAACATAAACAGGTTTCTCAACCCTTCTTCAACACCCTGCACACTTGGATAACGTCTGGAGAGCTATACGACCCATTCAAGGAGTTTTTCGTCAGCAATAACAACGACCTCGGCATGGATCTCAACTCTTTCGGCTGGATGGTGGGTGCAGCCAACACAGCCGAACACAAGGCGAACATCGACGCCGGGCAGCTGTGGGCCAAGAAATACAGTGTGCGAGATGAGATGAGGCCACGCTTTGTCGGAGAGGCGTTCGCAAAGAAAATATTCAGTATCGGAAAGAGTTTGAACTTTATCAGACACAGCTGTATGGATGAGGAGTTCTTCGCAACTAACCAGATATCGGATATTGCAAACAAGGTACTCACTTACTCTGATATACCGTCTCTTGAACAATCGATCGATATTGCCTTTTCCATCGCCAGTCAGAGGCTGCTCGAGAATATGTTTTCAAAGTACAAACTGATGGACCACCTCCAAGCACTAAAGAGATATCTCATGCTCGGTAGTGGTGACTTTGTTGACATATTGATGGAGTCGATCGGGCCATCGCTGGCGAGACCTGCAAATACACTCTATCGTCATAACCTCACTGCCACCCTAGAGGCAGCTATCCGGGGATCCAACGCTCAGTATGATGATCAAGAGATGCTGCGCAGACTCGATGCGCGCATGCTTGAGTACACACACGGTGAGATTGGATGGGACGTGTTTACGCTCGAGTACAGGGTCGATCAGCCCCTCGATGTCATACTCACGCCCGAAGTTATGTCCAAGTACAGGAGGATCTTCAACTACCTCTGGAGACTGAAGAGGGTCGAGAGCGATCTGGTGAAGGGTTGGAAGAGGTGTGTTATGGGCAAACGCTCGTATCTAAAGGTTCCGAGTGAGTACAGTGGCGTCTTTATGACAAGAATCATGCTTATGATACTCATTCTTAGGTCTCGATAACGATTGGCATCAGGCGCGTCTTGCAATGTCTGAAATGATCCATTTTGTCAAGGAATTGGAAGCTTACTGTCATCTCGAAGTGATAGAGTGCTCATGGGAACGTATGGAGCAGTTCGCTTCAAAGCGCGAGGGTGATCTGGATGCATTGATTGCTGCACACAGAGACTATCTAGAGAGGATAGTGAGCAAAATCATGCTCGTCGGTGGGCGTTCTTCACGGAGGGATGTGGGTAATCCTTGTTAGCCGTTCTCCAAGATGCTGACGCGAAAATGTAGGAGGAGTTGATGCAGAAAACAAAACAACTCTTAAATGTAATTTTAACATTCAGAAGAGCGGTTGAAGATCTTTACACGTTCACTCTTCACATGTCGTCCTCACTTGACCACACTCCCATAGATAACGCTAACAATAACTACCGCAATAAGAGATTGTCAACCGCTTCGTCGATCTCGCGCGCTCCTTTTGAAGTTGCAGGCGGTGGTTCCAGCTCTAGTATGACGGGCAGCAGGACTTCAACACCCGGCGCGGCAAGCGTCGTCGACGAAGACGACGATAGCATTGCAGGTATCAGAACTAGAGTGCAGTCGTCTGCTGAGGAGTTCCACGAGTTGGCTACTTACGTCGTCAACGCCCTTCAATCTCACCCTGACCTCGACGTACGTTTCCTTGCTGTTCGTTTAGGCTTTAATCAATTCTACCGTAAACCTACAAAATAATGTATTTTATACTTGTAAATTATCTCAGATCTATCTATAAGAAGAAAAAAAGCTACCCTTCAATTGACCCAAGTAAATGATAAGACGAACGCAGAGATAACATAAACTGACATTTTGGGCATTTTAGCAAAAGCATCATTCTCATAGCAACTTTAAAATTTCAAATACATCCTCATCTCAATCATTTCAACCATCCGCTTAATAGCCACTGTGTTAGATTTCTCGACTACCACCTGTCTATCAACCAAGATGACTGATTTACGAGTTTTGATAGTCTTCAGGAGAAACCCTTCATAAATGGCCCTGAATAATCTCTACAACGACTTGCCAAGATTATATCCCTGAGCCTTCAATTGCGCCTTGTAGGCTGTTCGGAAGTTGGTATCCGTCATCGCTCTGCATCACGCTATAGAATAGATAAGAAGAATTGTACGCGCTTCATCGATGTAAGCAAATATTTCAGCTAATAAAGACCACAATAACTCAATAACTTCAAGCACTCGGCGCAATAAACGTGATTACATTTCCCAAATTTAACATTCACAGGACTCAGTGGTGGCTCCAAAGAAAAAAATTCGTTACTTAGGATCAGCGTATACCTATTAATTGCGATTCGTGCAAAGAAAAATGGGGGTTTGTTCAACTCTGAAATTGAGGGTTGGACCTCACCAGATGCATTTCGATGTTTCAAAATTCACAAAGGAAGGGTGATTGAAATCACGTTAAAAGCTTAGGTTTTAAATTATTAGATAATTACATTTTTTGCTCTTAAATCGCTCACCCTGCGACATACCGCATCTAGTTGGACAAGCATAAAGTGTAACATAGCGCTAGTGAAATAGGTCACAATAAACCTAAAATAAGCACAAAATAGACCTCTTCAAACAGCTATTCGTTCCAGAGTGTTACCAAAACCGCCCTAGTTTCCAGTAATCACTGTAGTATGACAAACACATTGTTGATCATGCTATTATGAGACCACCGCATTATCTAAATTGCCTCATTAAGACTGATACAAGGATAATCACGCGATATACAGCGATAAGATGTAAACTGCGCCCATTTGTACTCCTTATTTTAAGTTTTACTCCTTGAAACATTCCACATATATCTGGATCATGAAAGAGTACATCACTACACTATTCACGATGAATCTATTCTTGCATTTATCGAAAAGTCTATAATTACAGAATGATACCAAGATTTCTCAATTTTGCAGTCAATAGGGTGCTATGACGCATTCGTCATTGAACATGCCATTATCATTTTGGCAGGTGGAAATCTCGAGTATTTTTGCTCTAGAAGTGGCAGATGTCTCATTAGAAATCTAGCAGTTTGTGGCGTATTCTTAAGTTTTTAGATACGAATACGAAGCACAAGTCACCATCTCTTCAGACGACGTTAGAAATTCAACAGGCGGTAAGGCGGGACGAGTAGGATTGTGTCGAATGAGACTGTATGGGTGGCAATCATGAAATGCTAATGAGGCAATCTTGAGCTGCGATGATAACCTCTGATGTCCAAAAGCGAGTGGAACAAATAGAAGCGGCAGAAACGAACGCATGTAAATAGAATTGGAATCCGATGTTTGATCTTAACTGAAAATTAAATACCACTGTCGATCCAAACATCTGCGATTTGTAAACAAAGTCACTCAAAACAAAAGCCTTAACTTTGAAATATACATTTCTCATACAATAACATTAATCCTTCTTCAATTGACGTAGTAATTTGAAAGTCTTGCATGATTTTGGACCGTTAAACTCAGCTTCTTCTCTAGCGACTTGTTCCAAATCAGTTTTGGTAGCAGATTGAGTGATTTGCTGAAGAGCACCTAAGTCACAGTTGCTGTTTGTGACAACATACATCTCTAAAGCGTCACCGACTTCAATATGACGCTCAGTTGCACCTGTGAAAGAATCTGTTACGATTGCCAAGACATTATCGAGTGGAAGGGTACCAGGTATAGGAGGATTGGTTGGGTCAGCTGGCTGTTGATTTCTGAAGTAAATTTGATTATCGAGGAATGGTTGAAGAAGCGATTGAGCCGCACCTGCGGCCCTGCAGGTCTCTCTTTCATAACTGCCAACAGGATCGAAGCCGTAGACAGCACCAGTGCCTTAAAGAAACTCATTAGAAATAACTGAGTTTAATCATGATTCTTACCATCATCATCAATACCACCAATGATTACGTATGAGTAGAATGGGAAGAATCTCTTACCATAAAGCATGGTTTGTACCATTCTGGCTATGGATTTAAGTGGCATTTCTCTGTTGTGAGCGTGCTTGTAAGTCTATAGAGAAGATTGAGTAAGATAAGGCTGGTGAGATAGGTCTAACTCACCTCGAGTCTCCATTTCACTCTCTTTACGAGTTGCTTGCAGTCAGCAGCGAAGCCGTTAGCTGCGATAGTTGCTTTCTCATTCCTTTGAGTGGATAAGATTGTGAACTGGGTGGGATAAGACGTGTACCAACAATCTCCAGACTTTGGTTTCGTATCTCGATTGGATGGAGAAGCCCTCTGATTGACGAGTATCACCCGCGACAACGCAAAAATCTTTACCTGCGATTGCCAGGACTGAATGGAAATTAGTATGCGCCGATGGGTATCGATGAGTGGCTTACTTGTACCGCCGTTTCTACCAAATGAGATAAGCGTGGATAAATATAAATTCAAATAAACTCACTGCGTATATGGAGAAAATGACATTGGTTGACTTGCTTAAGCAGCTGTTGGTGGTTGAGGTCAGAGAGTACTGGGACTTACGTACTCTCTCCACCGAACGACGACTGCAAAATGGATCCAAGATCAAAAAGAATTTTGAAGGTACTTTGATTCTCAATTGGCTCTAGGAATTTCATTTTAACTCTTTATTCAGGAAATCAAAGGTTTGTAATGTCATACAGAGTCGCACACACGCAGAAACACTCACAATTCGTTTAGATTGTCAATTAAACGATAATACCGGCATTCTCGTTGAAATGGTCAATGAGAATCCTTATCATCTTATTGGTTCCTTCGATGGTCCAGACGAGACACCTTACCAAGGTGGTCATTTTCAAGTTGACATACAAGTTCCCGATAATTATCCCTTTCAGCCGCTCAAAATGAAGTTTATTACGCGCGTCTATCACCCCAATATCTCCTCACAAACTGGTCTCATTTGTTTAGATATCTTAGGCAAAGAATGGTCTCCGGTTCTGACACTCAAGTCAACGTTGATCTCCTTACAGTCCTTGTTATGCTCACCGGCGCCTGACGACCCTCAAGACGCTGTTGTGGCCAAAGTATATACCACAGATAGGAAAAAGTTTGAATCTACAGCTAGATTGTGGACGCAGGGTATCTACAAAGAAGGTGAAAGTAGCAATCTCTCTCCTGTTGCTGCTGCCGGCCTTGGCCAGGAAGATGTCGATAAGTTCACCTCGATGGGTTTCTCTGAAAGTCAAGTTATTGACGTTCTCTCCGTCTTGGACTATCGTGGTCCTAATATTCAAAATTTAAGTGATGACGCCGTTGTCGATCAATTAATCGCATAATTCTTCAAATCAAGTCAGTATACGTTGCATGTGTACAAATCATTAATTTAGTAGAGTCCGTTATACATAATGGTAATCATTACCATTAGTATGAGCAGTTTTATATCTATTATGGATGAAAGTGATCCTCCCGATTCACTCTCTGTCGCAGAAGGCGAATCTGACGCTTTTTCATATCCTCTAATCAGATCCGCACCTTTTTCACATAAGGCATATGTGATTTGCATGTGATGTGCTGCAATTGGTAGTGGAATTGTCGAGCTATCGATAACACGAAGATTATCCACTCCATAAACTCGCAAGTGAGAGTCAACTACACCACCATTTTCTCTTGGAAGCATCGCACATGAAGATGCTGGATGATATTGTGAGACAACGCTACTCCTTATATAATCGTTGAGATCTTCATCACTCATTACATCTTCGCCTGGGCTCACTTCACTTTCAATGACGCTGGATAAAGGTTCTGTTGATGCTAGTCGTCTTATGTACCTCAATCCACTGCGAAGTACTTGAATATCAGCAGGATGAGATAAGTAACGGGGATCAACATTAGCATTCTCGCTTGCATTTTGAGACCCCAAACTAATCTTTCCCCTACTAAGTGGATGCTGAATGGCCAATTGGAAGCCTATGTCAATGTAAGCGTGTGTTTGGTCTGATTGACGTTATTTACCTAAGTTTGAGCCCAAGTTGTTCATTAATATCTCAACAACCGCATTTCCTGCTCTATAAACATTCTCCAAGTCGCTTTTGTAAGTTGCACGATAGCCAGATTTAACTTGTTCCGGCTCATTTCCAGAACTAGTTGCATCTGTCATGTTAGCTTCAAGTGCGTCAAGGAATGAATCCGTATCATCGCCCATAAGATCATCTAATGGAACATACGCAATAGCTCCATTTGGGGTAGAATAAACGCTTCTAGCAAAGTTTCCGTCTTTAAATAACTGCAGCTGATGATCTAATTCTTCATCACTGAGATTACCAGCTACGGGCGCAGTTGTTGCGTAATTGATGGTAGCAGAAATGTGGTCTTGAACGTGTTCACCAACTCCAGGAAGATCAACAACAACATCAACATCTTGACTTTCTAAATTTTCTCTAGGTCCAATACCAGACTGAAGAAGTATTTGAGGCGAGCCAAGAGCACCACCAGCAATGACAACCTCTGAAGACGCATACACTTGAAATTGATTGTTACTCCCGCTTGTAGTAAAGGTCAAGCCATTAGCTACAGGCTTTGAGCTCGAGGTATCAAAGTTTATACGTGTCACCAGAGCATCAGAAAGTATGACCAGGTTAGAGCGCGTGTTTTGTACGGGATAAAGATAAGCACTGGCTGCGTATGAGCGCAATTGAGTGTCCGGATCAATTGAGTTTGGCGTTATATATCCACCAATATTTTTACCGCTGAAGGGGTCTGAATCGGATTCAACTCCTAGATTATTGAAGGTTTCCTGCCAAAGGCTGACTTCGTTCAGCATTTGCTTGTGCAAGCGATAGAAAGAAGACCCACCTGTTTTGAGGATAGTTATATTGTGGAAAAGATATCTGGATACTGAGACATTGATCAGAATGAAACATTGGCTTACTGTGTATTTAGACTCACGGTCCATCATATCCATGCGCGGAATCCTTAACTTCAATAGACAGATTATCTTTCAAGTCTGAGGCTGGAGGGGAAAAGTTTTCATATCTACGGAAGTATGGAAGTAAGCTGTCCCAGTTCCATCCATCATCGTCTACGAGCTCAGCCCAAGCGTCGTGCTCGTCTTTAATTGATCGAGTCATATAAAGCGCATTTACGGCAGTCGATCCACCGACTATTTTGCCCCTAACAAAGTCAAAAGCGTTCAATTTGATTTAAGTAAGTATTTCTCACCTCGGCCAATGTAAATTCCTACCGTTAAGTTCATCTTGAGCTTCTGTATAAATACCCCAATCGTAAGGGGAGCCTGCGACAGGGAGACCTGATGGGTGTTAGACATAATAAAGATATATCATCAGATTTACCATTTAAATAGGCTTCTGCAGGAATATCGATACGGTCACGAACATCATCACCTTGTCCTCCTGCTTCAATAACCAAAACACGAGTATTTTCGTCCTCGGTCAAACGATTAGCGGTAACTAGACCGCCAATACCAGCACCGGCTATAACATAATCAAAGGTTTGGTCTAAAAGGGTCTTAATTAAGGGTTTTACTTCGTGAGGTCAATACGTACCGTTAACTTGATTAGCGTCAGTAATCACACTGCGTTTGAATTGATTGAATTGACTAAAAGGGAAGGCGGAGGCTGTCGACAGGACATTGAGCAACGATATAAACTTCATGACGCACAGCCAAGCTATGTTCCTGTGCAATTATAATCTGACCCTTGTGACCAGGGGAAGACGTTTTTAATAAAAAAATTGATCAAGTCACTCGCTATTACACAGTGATTACCATTAGCCAGCATTTAACGCCGCTTATAAGAGGAAGTGTGAGAAGGACTTATCACGACGTTGAGATAGAATACAATTGAGTATAAAGTGTTTAGAGTAGCAATATGATAGTGTATTTCCCACCATCCTCATTTAGGTCTACGATCCTGGCCAATCACCTGCAACAGAGATTTATATAGTCGATCAAGGCTGATATGTGTATATTCATTAAATACGAATACTTTAAGTATACATTAAGCAACGCTGTATTCTCCTTAGGAAGGTTTTTGGTTAAATCCGATTAAGACAGAAATCGGTCATAGCTCACCCGCTTAGATGAGTGGAAACATACGAATTTTATTAAGATGAGCGGCTGTGAATAGCTTGTAAGCGATGCGCTTTAAAGTCATTTAGTCTGCTCGTACGATTCCTTAGAATCTTATCTTATACAAGAACGTCCATCACCATGTTCAGAAACTACATTTCAAAGAACATTCAACGTCCAGTGAATATCAGCATATTACATTGGTGCTTTCTAATGTTTCTTAGGTCAAATTCGCTAGAGCCTACGCTTCTGCACCAACGAGCGTTTATCAAGGCAACAAGGACGCAAACGTAGGCGCAGCAGCACCAGCAGCAGAAGTAATTCTAATATACGTAACAGGGAAACTACACAGTTACATTGATTCCAGGTGATGGTGTGTATTTCGTTTGCTCCGTTGAATACCTCACTAAGACGCTTATAGGTATCGGTAATGAAATCTCAGACGCTGTGAAGAAAATCTACGAAGCAGCAAAGGTCCCAATCAAGTGGGAAGAAGTAGACGTTACTCCTTCACTCGTCAACGGAAAATCAACTATCCCTCAATACTCAATAGACTCGATAAAGGCAAACACTATCGCATTAAAAGGTCCTTTAGCTACCCCAGTCGGTAAAGGCCACGTCAGTTTGAACTTGACCCTGAGAAGAACTTTCAACCTCTTCGCCAACGTCCGTCCATGCTTGTCTATACCTGGTTATAAGACACCTTACGACGACGTTGATACTGTCCTTATCCGTGAAAACACTGAAGGTGAATACTCGGGTATTGAGCATGAAGTCGTCGATGGCGTTGTCCAGTCTATCAAGTTAATCACCTTCGAAGCTTCCGAGCGTGTTGCAAGATACGCTTTCCACCACGCTTCAACCCAAAACCGTAAGCGTGTCACTGCTGTTCACAAGGCCAACATTATGAGGCTGTCAGATGGTATGTTCCTTCAAGCTTGCCGTCAAGTCGCAAAGGAATACCCTGATGTCAAATACGATGAGGATTTGTTAGACCGCGCTTGTTTAGCTATCACTACCGACCCATCTCCATTCTCTGACAGAGTTATGGTTATGCCCAACCTTTACGGTGACATCCTTTCAGACATGTGTGCTGGTTTGATTGGTGGTCTCGGTCTTACTCCTTCAGGTAACATTGGTAAAGATGCTTCTATCTTCGAAGCTGTACACGGATCTGCTCCTGATATTGCCGGTAAAGGTCTTGCTAACCCAACTGCTCTCCTTCTTTCATCCATCATGATGTTGCGTCACATGAACCTCTTTGAACATGCTGACAAGATTGAGCGTGCTGCTCTAACAACTATCAGAGAAGGCAAGACTATCACTCGTGATCTCGGTGGTAGCTCAAGCACAAATGAATACGCAGATGCCATCATTAAGAAACTCTAGATTAAAATGCTGTTATCAGATTGGATAAAATGTTAGATACACAAACTTAATACATAAAAAACACTTCAATTATTATTACAATGCTTTCAAATCATGTGCTGTTTATTATCCGTCTAATTTGAATGTTTCAGCTTTCCATTTAATTCATCGAATAACGTGAGAGGTTTCTCTGTAAAAACGTCGTTTAATGAGTAAGCTGACGGTGTGCGGGAGTAGTTGTGTGATGGTGGGGGTGATGGGAAGATGGAGTGATCATCTAGAGCTTTACCATGCCATGAATAATTAAGTGCAGGCATCTTTTCAACTGCGCATTTGGAAGGTAATCCCACCTTCCTAAGCTTGACTGAACGTATTTCTGATAGGAATTGATTCATATTAAGTGACTTATTTGTGTCCGTGTTCGAAACAGTTTTCGCATGTGCTTCGTTTGACCTCTGATTGTATCGTTTTGGTGGTGGATTGTGTGGGGTTGAGCTTGGTTGAGCAGCTGCCATATCCCTGAACTCTTGTGATCTTTGCCTTTTCTGATGAAGCATCGTCGTGTCTTCCTCCTGACGAAGTCTCTCACGCTCTTGGTTTGGCTTGGTGATCATATCGGTCAAAGTCTTTACTTTCGATTCAAGGTGTTGTATCCTTCGCTCATTTCGAGCCTGGGTTTGATTGTGGAAAGCTGTATTCCTTTCGACGGCAGATAAGAGATGATCGTAGCTTCTGCGTAGTTCATTGAAGGAGTCCATGTCTACGACTTGACTTTCTAACGCATTTGATTTGGTCTTGTTGTCTGTTGAGTCAATGAGATTGTTGTAACTCGCAGATAAATGAGCCGCAGGCGTGATAGGATAGCATCCAGGTATATGAGGTGTTTGTAGGCTCTTTATGTGAGCCTTATTTAAGTGATTACTCTTGCTTTTGCTGTTAGAACTGGTGCTAGCATTCTGCTGATCTTCAACAACTTCATTTATTGCAGGCACCGAATGAGATGAATCAAAGTGGTCTGAACTACTTCGCTTGACCTTTTTGCGCTTCTTAGTAGGTCTGTCGCTATCAGTGGCTTCTACAACGCTCTGTGAAAGTAGATAAGAATCGAAACGTCACCCAAAGCAAAGAATCCTTACAGTTGACGCGTTATCGAAAAAACTTTGCACTTCTTCTTCTGCAGTCTGTCTAACAGAGCTAAAGAAACCGCGTATTGCGCTAGAATAATCCATTTTATCACGTCTTCACGGTTTCGGTCAAAGGTTTTTCATTCAACGAATAATTAAATAATGTGCCGTACAAGCCAATCTTTTAGTTCTTTATTATTACCAAGTGCTCTATAGTCTACAGTGAAATTACTCATGTATTGACTGTTTGTACGAAAACTGATGTCACATCCAACATCTGTTATCATAGGATGAATAGAGCTGATTGGGCGTAAGTAGCTAGCTTTTTTTCCTCTTGGACTTACATGTAGTCGCATAATCTCTTCCTAATTACGCATCTCTCTATATCGTCCACCCACCAATCACTACAATTACTTAAATTAGAGCATAGTTCGCGTAATGCCTCCAATATCACCGTAAGCGCATCCGAGTAGATCAAAGTCCTTAACTGTGTGATTGTTGTTCGCTGTAAACCCTTTGCAAGTTGTACAAGCACAGTATGAGGTGAATTGAGACTGATGATTGTAGTTTTACTATCATTGTGAGACGCAGAGTTCAAAATGATGATAGCACTTACTGTTTTCCGAAGCTTATACGACCTTGGCTTCCGATGGTTTGAGGTTTGTTATTATTGAGGAAGATGTCCAAAACTTCACGAGTATACGTCTTCTGTACATGGTAACTAGCCTCTTTCACCTCCACATAGCATAAGAGATCGGTGATACGACCTAGCAGCCCCTTTATGCTTTCAGTGAAAGCTTCATAGTGTAGTAGATCAAGTATTGGTTTCAGTACTTGATTATTGTTAGCTGATATATTCTTATAAGATCTGATTTGTAACAGTTTGACCCCAAGCAGCAAGCCGTCGCACTTTGATGATATTTCTTCACCTTCCTCTATGTAATCATCTCCGTTAACCTGTCATATATTAGCTGCGTTCATATTTTTAAAGCACACTCACCAACTCCAGTACAAGCTGGCTACTTGTATCAAGCTCGATAACTATCATCTCTGCTGAAGATGTAATGACAATAGGTATTTGATTTGCTTCATTTAGTAACTGCAAAAGTCAACAAACATTGTCGAATGAGTAGTATACTTACAGATGCAAACAAATCTTCCTCAAAAGATGAGCTCTGTGCATAGTCTAAAGTTCGAAGCAGCGAATCTATCCTTTCATTCACATTATCCGACGTGTTTCTCATTTCAACATTTGAGCGAAATGCTGATGATGTTTCAATATGATTACCACTTCTTATGGATAGCTTAAGACGCCTATTACGCCTTTTTGGTATGCTCAAATTGAAATCGTTTGATTGAGAAATTTTAATGTCAAGAGAAGCTATTGAATCATGCTTTATTTCATTAGAGGCTGTTCCTGTAAGCTAATTATTAGCAAACTTAGTCCAGCACGTACCTTCATCGACAAAATACAGTACTTTGAGGTCTTTAGCTGCCTTTTCCAAGTCAGTTGTCGACTCTGACTTTGCATTTGACGGTATCAATGTCCAATTTCTGTCACGTAAAAGCAGACAGTCATCCCAGAATTGAGCATTTTGGGCATTGGTTTGCTCGGTTTGCTCTGATGCTCTATCGAATATGTTGGCAGCCGATTGCAATGATTCATTCTTAGTAGTTATAGCAATCTTCGACTTTTTTAGGGCTTGTAATGGTGTTAGTTCGCTAGCATTAATCGCAGCAGTTCCGAGAGAATGTTTAGGAATAGGTAGCTGGATTTCAGTATTCTCGTGCCTGGGAGTATTTGAAAGCAGCAAGTTGACGACATCCAGAGCAACTGCCAACTCATTTTTAGCGTCACTGAGAAGCTTTTAGTAAATGCTTTTAGACTAAGATCTAATTTACTCAAGATTAGTGAGAACTGAATGCTTCAATTTGAGTACATCATCGACTGATAACGATTCGTCATTTCGTGTGTCATCTTCTGGCTCTGATTGCTTGTCAACGTCGTTTAATTCGTTTAATTGATCCTGTAACAAGCTCTTTGAGCTAACCTGACTGAAATCGCCCTTTTCTTGCCAGATTCTGTGCAGCGTGCGAGCAAACTGAGTATCACCATCAAGTGGCCTGAGCTGTAAGAGAATAAATATTCGAAATTCAGCTGCTCACTCGTCGTATATGGGTTCACCACTTTCAGGGATATCAACGAGATCTTTATCGCCGTGGTAGCCTTCGTTCTCCAATGAAATGGACATTAATTGAAATCTATATCAACGAGGCTCGTTGCTTCTAAAATTTATAAATTGCTTGTTGGATGTGCTGATTTAACTTGCATCGCGACCGTGAGGATTGACATGTCAAATAATGATGAAAACTACACGCAAATTGATTTAACTAGATCGTACAATAAGAATCTAAGCGCTTTGAAACGATTTCATCAGTGTTTGCCGTGGTGGTTACACATTGCTGCGATATTACTATTACTGTATTGGGCGTCGAGGTTATATTCTAAGCTAGTGATATTCTCTAGAGAGCGTGCTTATAGGATGTTAGTGATGATTTTATCCATCACTTCCTCTAATCGTTGTTTAGTGAACAGCGGCGAAGACATGGCATTCCTGATAGCGATAAAAGATCATTCAAGTTAGCCTTGTCAGCCGCAAACGATACACGTCGAAAACGCATTCTAGAAATTCAAGCAGAAGAGGAACGTAAGCGCCAATTTGATCTAGAGGAATCTTCAAAGTGGAGGATGTTAGGAAAATCAACAGGGTGGTGTCGTGAGTAATGCGTTTTATTCAAGGCGATAATAACAATGTCACAGCGCAACCAAATTCTTCAGATCATTTTAATGATGTAGACTCTTCATCCACGCTACCAGGTGGTTATGATCCACAAGTTTCGTCAAATAGCTCGTTAGTATAGCTTTTGAATACAACTTCACTGACAATACTTCTTAGCTTTTACGAGCCACCAAAATTTGAATACATACCTTCATCGCCCTCAAACAGACTATCAACATCTTCAATTGCAAGGGATTTACATTCATTAAGGTATCCATTAACGCGCAACGTCGATTTCCCAGATGTGAACGAAGAAAGTAACTTGGAAGATGAGCGAAGCGAGATTTCAATGAATGTCGATGATGTAAGTGATTCTCAAATAAAAGATTGTCGATCTAAAACACGTACAGTACACAACTTACCCTAATCTTACGCGCAAAAGATCGATGGACGAGTTCTCTCAGAGAGATGAAAGCGATTTAATAAGCTTTGAAGACAGACACAAACGTCGGCGAGCTACTTCTTTATCTACAGATGCATCAAACACTCCAATGAGTGAAGGTTCATACGAAAATGAATCTTTGAGGAGATCTGCATCGCCTCAAAATGATATTAGAGGACGTAAACGTAGCCTTGACGACTCTTCAGATATCGTCAGTGTAAACACAAGGTCGAAGAAGCTTCCAAAAAACAGCGATGAATGGACTGATCTCACTGGAACGACATACAAGTACGATGATGGAGTCAAAAAGCGTCTTACCGTGGTGAAGGAGTGGAGATCCAAATACAATATGCCTAAAGATTCCCAGCATCCAGATCGCAACGTAAAGTTGAGAGTATTTGTTGAGAGATGGATCACAGATGATGAATACCAGGATGCTCTAAATAGATATGAGCTCGCTTGGCAGCCAGATGAAGATGAGTTGATATCTATAGATAATAAGGACGCGCATGATGAGAACATGTCGCAGTTGTCAGAGAGTTATCAACCGCAAGTATCTCGAAAGTCATCTGGTGTGTATTATACTAGAAGAACTCCAATTAAAAGGCAGGTTTCGAATAGATCATTGGTTACGCCCTCCGTGTCGTCTGTTACATCTTCACCCCCTAACTCAAGTGATGGAAAGCAACAGGCTAACAGTAGATTGCGTTTAAACAGAAAAAACAATTCAGAATTAAATTTATCAAAGTCCACTCAACGGAAAGACAAGGAGAGGGAGGCAGATATGTTGACTAGTATACGCAAAATGAAAGCAGCAAATCAGGAAAGCGAGGTGAAGAGAGACGAGGCTGCTAAAATGGAACAAATGAAAAAGGACGAGACTCAGCGTAGAGAGGAAGAAGGATTGAAGCAAAAAGAAGAAGCGAAAAAGCAGGAAAAGCAGAAGGAGGATCGTAAAGCTAGAGCAAGTGGCCAGCCCGGACCGGTATCCTTCAACTTCGGTGATCAAATGACATGCGCTGATAAGAGCATAAGTCAAACAAGTAAATCTACAAGTAATGATGATAAAAAGGATACAAAAACCACATTGCCATCCTTCAATTTTGGTGCATCCTCAGCTGAGAACGATAAACCAGCATCATCATTGAGCCAGCCACCACAAGCACAAGCAGGAGGCTTTAGCTTTAATTTTGGCAAGTGATTTGTAATTTTGCGATGAATAAGCCTCTTCTACCGCCAAAATATTGATAGCGCTTACTCCTAAACCATCATCCGTGGAAATACTTATTGCGGAATAGACGTTGAATATTTACAATAAAGAGCTCAAATATGTTAAGAAACGTCAGCAGAATCAACAAGAATGTCGCTAGGGCTGCATCCAATAGGAAAGCTGTGATTTGTCAGCCAGTGATGAGGTCATACTCATCTCAAGGTGGTGAAAGTGGCGGTGGCAGTGGCAGAGGAGCAATCTTTGCGGGTGGTGCTTTACTTACAGGATTAGGACTGTATTTCTTTAATAATCTCAACAACTACGAGGGTACTCGTAATCAGGCAGTGGCTAAGATTGAGGAGAAGTTGCCTGTTGATTCTGGCTCAAGGGATTACCAAAAGGTTTATAACGCTATTGTTGATGTTCTGGAGAATGAAAACTATGACGATGGGACTTTCGCGCCGGTCCTTTTGAGATTAGCGTGGCACGCGAGTGGAACATTCAGTAAGCACGACAAGGCGAACCCAGGTGGATCAAACAAGGCGACGATGCGTTTCAAAGCTGAAGCTGAAGATGGTGCTAACGCAGGATTAGAAGTCGGAAGAGGTGAGTGCAAAGCAGGTCATAGTACACGACTTAACAGGAATAGACCTCCTCAACAACAGAGTAAAGCCACAGTTTCCATGGATTTCATATGGCGATCTTTGGACACTCGCTGGTGTAGTTGGACTGCAGGAGATGGGTGGTCCAAAGGTAAGATTATTTGAGAAATTTCACAAGCTTGACTTATCAGGAACAGGTTGCTTGGCGTCCAGGTCGTATCGATGGTATAGATGAACGTGAGGCAATCACGAACAGATTGCCAGATGGAGCTAAGGATGAAAAACACGTTCAAAACATATTCGATAGATTAGGTTTTGATGATGGCGAGACGGTATGTTTAATTGGAGCACATGCAGTTGGTAGAACACACAGAGATCGTAGTGGATTTGAAGGACCATGGACATTCAGTCCTATCACCTTCTCAAATCAATTCTACAAACTGTTGATGGAGTCAGAGTGGAAGGAAAAAAAGTGGGATGGACCAAAGCAATATGAAGATCAAGAAACTAAGAGCTTAATGATGCTACCAACAGATTATGCACTTAGAACAAGTGATAAGTACAGACCATACGTAGAAAAGTACGCAGAGGATGAGGATGTCTTCTTCAAAGACTTTTCAAGAGCATTTGCTAAACTTATTGAGCTGGGTGTACCACTCAAGCAATTTGAACACTCACCACCAGTGTTCTTCAAGACATCAGATGAAGTTGAAGCGGAGAAAGATAAGTAAATATTGATTGGTATTGTAATTGAGAAAATCTATGAAAATAAATTACTTTGCAAAGTAGATGCGCCAAACGAGATAAGCAGCGATAGCGACCAATGGGAATAGCAGGTTGTTGATTCTGCAGATGTTAGTAGGGTAAGACAAAGCAGGATGAAAACTCACAAAGAAGCTCTCGTATCTGATGATTTAGAGCCAGTCTTTGTGGAAGAAGAAGACGATTTTGAAGGCTATAAAAGAATTAGGAGAGAAGAAGACGATGAAGAAACTCACGCCATCAAAGTCACCAATGTAAAGCTTGTCTAATTGAGATCTAGCTTCGTCCGAGTGGCCCTGTAAAGGTCAAAAAGAGTAATACAGAAAAATGAAACTAACAATATCATCGAAAGCTTCTGTAGCGTCTTTACCGCCTTCAGAGATGATAACTTCATCACCACCTGGGTGCTTTAGGAGAGTAAGTGGCTAAGCATGTGAATATTAACAAGTCGACCAACATCGTCGAGGAACTTTGTACAATCGTAGACTATTAAAGCGTGTTAGAAGCGAGTTGCTGGAAAGGTGGGTCACCGACCTTTTCCATTAATCAAAAGCCACATGTTATCTGCTGATTGATGAGACTTTAAATCATCAATCGTGAATGTCTTTTGGTTTGTATCAGACATAATGAACAAACGAGATGGTTTTGGTTGGTTGGTGACGAGGAAAGTTATTCGAAGGGATCGATCATTGACCTATAAAAATTAAAATTACATTTAATCATAGAGATGTAGATGAAAGAAATCAACGGCAGCACAAACACAAAGCAGACGCTTCTACGTTAAAATAAAATAAATAATCGTTACAATCGAGAAATATGCGGCCCGGTTAGTGCTCAAGAAAGTACTAGGACTTAATTGAGCGTGGAGGACAACTGTATTTAACTATACCACCTCAAAGTTATGGGTACACCATATCCATCCTGCTACAGATGAGTCGGACGCCAACCCAACGACATACCCAAGGCAAATTTGAAGTGGTTTATGGTTTAGTTAAAGAAACGGTGAGAGAATTGAGTATTTTTATAGTCAGTGAAAATTTGATTAGGGTTAGGGATGCGCTTGATAGAATGTCAGAGATACAGAGTTTTAAAATTCAATCAAAATGAACAATAACTTTGCAACAGATACAACTTTTGACGAGCATGTGAGTCTTAGTGTATCAAGCTTAATTTCATCCTGATAAATCAAAAGATACACGAAGTAGTTGGATATTTATCAAGGAGTAAAAGTGAGAATGAGAAGATGAGCTATTTAGATGAATATCAATCAAAGCTGGTCGATTTAAATGATTCTAACAAGAAGACTATCATTGATAAATTATTGAGTGATATGACAGCTTTGGGTGGTGGAAGTTGGTCAGGTTAGAGTCGGCATTCTATGGGCGTCTATTTGCTAACTGGTTGATTATAGAAATTGAAGGATTCTACAACTTGATTGGTTTTTTGATACTTCAAGTTTTCAGTGAGGATTATAGTAAAAGATATCATACCTTGGTGGATTTAGTTTTGATTAACAACTCAATTGAAGCATCTTTAAAGTTCAAAACAATCAACAATCTGCTCAACAATCTGAGAAATACAGATAATGTTAAAATTGAGTTATACAAGTTTATTCTAGATAAGGATCAAAATTTCATTATCAAGGAAGATGATGAGTTGGTTGCTTGGCTAAGTGATTTAGGTGTCGAAGCTAAGAAATCATTCTTGGTAGACATTATCAATCACTTCAACAGCATAGGTAATATCCATAGAATGATAAAATACCAACAGATAGCCATTGAAATTGATGAAAGCAATGAAAAGATCGCAAAATCCATCATATTGAACTCATTAGAATCAATAAACAATTACTCATTTGATCAATTAGTAAACTTGAATGGGATAATCAATATCAACAAGTCAACAGAATTCAATTTATTGCAAAGCTTTATCAACTTGGATTTCAATCAATATATTCAATCAATCAATCAATTAAACAATGTCAACAAATCAATTTTGTTGGATAAATTCAGATTACTTCAATTGAACAACTATTGCTCAAATTTCATTGGGAAATCTATCAATTACAAAGACTTAGCGCGTGTTATTCAAGTAGAAGAATCCAATATAGAGATGATACTAATTCAACTTATAAAATCTGGGTTGACTTTAGGCAGATTGAATCAGTCAACAAAGCAATTCAAAGTAAATGAGTCTGTCAAGTTTAAATTTAATCAAACTGATTGGTTAGAATTATCCAACCAGCTTAAAAAATTTAAATTAAATTTGAATAAAATTATTTATAATGTAAACTAATTCAATTTCCTCTTCTTAACGCCCATGTTTTTGATACGGCGAGTTTCAACGAATCAATCCAAACAATTGAAGTTCTTGAAGAGATGTATTTCGAATAAGCCAACGAATCCAACGAAGCCAAGGAATAGAATCATAGATATTCTACTCTTCTCTTCTGCTAGCTTTGGCTTGTATGGTCTGTATAATCATTTCAGCAATCAACCTTTCATTAGCAGTACAGATAGTTTCACTATTCCGATCAAGTCTAAGGATGGTATTAAGTCTATTAAAACTGTTAATAAGCTTTCTTCTTCGGATATTTCTACTCTACTCAAATCAAATGAATCTACAACTAAAATTGTTAAATCTGGTCAGCCTTCTTTAATTAATCAGTACTACAATAATCACATATCTTCGAACAACCCCATTGAAGATAGGCACTGTGAAATCATTTTGGAAAGAGATTCTAAGCCATATGATTCCAATAACCTCATTAACCTTGATAGAACCGGTGACTTGTTCTTCTTTTGTGTTTTTGATGGTCACTCTGGTTTTAGAACTTCAGAATTTCTCTCTAAATCCTTAGTACCTTCCACTGCTCTTCACTTATCATCTTTATTCAATAACATTCCACCTACAAACTCTTCTTATTGGCATCAATTTATCAACCTCTTCAAATCTAACAACAATTCTACTAACTTAGACTCTCAACCTCAACTTGTCATGCAATCTTTGAAAAATGCTTTCATTAATTTGGATAACTCTTTATTACAAGCTCCTATAAGCTTATTAAATCAATTACCTAAAACTCCCTCTCCACCGTCCAAACCTGATGATTCTTTACTTTCTGCTTTGTCCGGTTCGTGCGCTCTAATGGCTTACATTGATGAAATTCGTCAAGATTTATATATTGCAGTAACCGGTGATTCAAGAGCTATAGCTGGTTACTATGATAATGGTAAATGGTTTGTTGATGTTTTATCAGTTGATCAAACCGCTAAATCTAAATCTGAAATCAAGAGGTTAGTTGCACTTTGCTTGGTGTGATATTACTCTGACTTTATTTCTAAAGAATTCAATCTGAACATCCTTCTGTTGAATCTCCTTATGTCGTTCAACGTGGTAGAGTCTTAGGTGGCTTAGAAGTGAGTTTTTCTTTCTTAAACCACCGATTTTTTAATTTATTCTTTTTACTCTAAATACAGCCAACAAGAGCTTTCGGTGATGCTCGTTATAAATGGTCTGCTCCTTTACAATCTCAATTATCAAACGCACTCTTACCTCCTTCTTATCCAATAAGACCTCCACCAAGGGCTTTACTCACTCCTCCATATGTTACCGCTGAGCCTGAAGTTACTCATCGTAAATTGAATCTCTCAAGCAAACCCCAGTTCCTCATTTTAGCTACCGATGGTCTTTGGGATAGATTATCAAATGAGGAGGCTGTCGCATTAGTGGGAAAATCTCTAGATGGTTCTGGTGTTAGAGGTGGAATTCACGGAAAGACTATATTAGATAAATCCGAACTTCTGCAAAATGTCACATCTGAAAGAAACTCGTCAAATTTCGATGAATCAAATGATAATCAGTACATATTCAACGAATCAAACTTATCAACTCTACTTATCAAAAATGCTTTAGGTGGTGCGCATGAAAATCAAGTTTCTGCTTTATTATCTATACCCCCACCGCATTCAAGGCGATTCTTTGATGATACGACTGTCTCTGTCATTTTGTTCAACAATAGTAATGACAAGATGAACGATTATGACTCGAATACTAAAAAGCAATATGCTAATGTACAAAAATTAAAGGATAATCTACAAATATAATTTTATTTTTCATTTCAAAATGACGTATGGTCGCCTGATCATGATCACCCATCTCACTAACAAACGTGCACAAATTTTTTAATGAATACAATCTCACAACACAATAACATTGACAATTTCCCATCCTGGTTAGTTGCTATATATGTCATCAACTTCGAGCTAATATCATCTAGTTTCGGTCATAGAGGGGAATGTCTATCGAAACGCTTCGCTATCCACTTTAATGCTTTATCTTTAGGCTAGTGCTGGATATCCTGAAAATACAATGGCGGCTTTTAGAGGTGCAATAAAGTTAGTACCTATCTTATCATTCAAAGGACGTAATAAATTTCAATTCCTTTATAGAGACGGATCCGAAGGAATCGAAAGTGGTACGTCATATTTCTTACCTTGGAAGCTTCATTTATCAAGGTTCTATCTCACAGACGTACACATTTGGTATTTTTTCATTCATACCTTTCAACTCCTCAATTAACGCTACTCTTGTAGTGCTGACGATGTCATTGTTATGTTTCATGATCCTGAATTAGATCGTCTAACTGATGGATCCGGTAGTATCCCTTCGAAACCTTACGTTGGTGACATTGAACACTTACGTACTCTCCAACAACCCGCTCAACCAATTCCTAAATTCGATGAAGCCTTAGAGCTACTCATGAAGCCCGAAAACAATCATGTCAAATTTAACGTGAGTTTATCACTCAATTATTGCATCACTCATATCTGTTTTAGATTGATATTAAACCAAACAATCCACCGGAAAGATTATTTAGTATCATGCACAAATCCATCTCAAAGTATACCGACTACGAAAATAGATTAGCACCACGCCTTATACTTGGTTGGTTTTGATTACACTTTTTTTTTACTTATTCATCAAACTTAGGTCTCTGGCATCCAAAGTTCATAGAGCCTGCAAAAAACATTATTCCATATGCTCACTTAGCTCATATTGGTATGAGCACATCACTCGCTCGATCTCACTTCTTCGTAAGCGTCATTTTTCCAGCTTAGACATCTTCTCATCGAATTCAAGGATCATGTCAAGGTCTTGAGTATGTCATTTAGCTCATTAATCAGTAGCGACGGTCAAGCATTTCTTAAACAGTGCAAAGAATCACATAAAGGTGTAATGGTTTGGACTGTCAATAATCGTTCCGAAATGGTCGAGGCTTCTAAAGTGAGTGAAAGATTGAATATGGGATTTGTTAACTCTGCCAATCAGTGGGGAGTTGATGGTATTATTACTGATGAAACGAAATATTTCGTTCAATTGAGAAAGGATATGGAATCGTGAGTTAATCAATCATATAGTCAAAGGCGGCCTCTTACTATTTCCAGTGACTTTGATGCCATTTCGAATGAGAACGGTCTTCTCTTTCCATGGTCTTCATTGAAGTATTACAAACCATTGACAGATTTGGCTGCTTATTTGGAAATCAAATTTATAACTCTACATGGCGGTCAAATTGAAAGAGCTAGCACTTGATTTTTCTTGTAAATTTGTAAATTTGCCCTATCTTGAATTGAAGTGTGATATTTAGAAACTTTTTTAACTGAATTATAATTAATAGTAATCATCATTCCACAAGAAGTACTCAATATAACCGAATTCAATCAGTGACATTGTGCATTCGTAAAATGTTGGCATACTCATTACACGCAAAGTGCGTAACAAGACGACGTGCTATTTAACTTGGTTTCTATTACTTCCAATAAAGGAGGCATTTAGCATGTGACTTGTCTGGCGATCATTTAAACTCAACATGAAATTATAGGACAGCAGAATGATCAACCTGAAATAATAATCTGCATGAAGGGCAAAGTAGAAAATAACACTACAACTTATAACGGATATTGACGCTGACGTTTCACCAAACAAAGCTCCTCAACCAACGAACCAACGTATGTTTCCCGCCATAGCCAAAGCCCCGATACGTTCTCATGTTTTCGAACATGACGGGTAAGATGGCTAAAAATTGGACGGAAGTGTAAGAAGTTGGTCCTGATCCATGATCCGAAAATGTGGAACATTCTGCAAAAGTCAAAATCAAAATTGATATAAAAACACTATCATAAATGCTTCCATTAGATTGAGGCAAATTGTTAAATGAGTGATACAAAAAATCAATTTACAGTTATAGACAAATTATCCGATGTAGAAGACTTACCCTTCGGTGACAACTTTGACAATACTTTATTCTCAAACAAATTAAGCACTATGCAATATTATGATAATTCATTACCGCAAAAACGTCATAGATTGTTTTATTTGCGTACATCGAAAAAGAGAACGCAGTAAAGATGGCGCGATATATAAGCAGCAAAACGTGAACAGCATTAGTCTGCTTCAAAGTCAACATTAAACAAATAAAATCTGTAAAATTGAATCAGGATACCGAGCTCTGACTCAACATTCAATCAGAGAAAGCTGCCATTCGAAACAAATTTTTGTTCAAGCAAGAAAAAGAAATATTACTCGTATAGCCTGGTATTATTGAAGACAGTGAGTTTGCACATGGTTATTTTATACAATTTGCTGTCTCGTGTTTCTCCGCGCATCTCAGGCAACGGAGGTGGTGATCTGCATACTTTGTGTGTCTCAACTTTCCACATTTTAGGCATTGTCTCGGAATGAGGTTCGCTGGTTCTACTCTAGGCATTTCTCCGCTATAACCAACATTCAGGGATACGCTAGCTTTGGCGGCGTTGATGTCGTTCAGTTGCATCATTGATCGACAGAATCGTCAATGCACCCTCAAATGACGTCTCAGAGATGCGCAAGATCGTCAAGAACCTCGATCGCTTATGTTATGGATTACGTGTAGTGATTGATTTAGCTGAGCTCACGAGGAACGTTCACCATGATGTAAAATGGATTGAAGCGGCCCCAAACACGTACAATAGGCTCTGCGAGCCCATAAATGAGCTTAATACTCATGTAGGATTATACCAGGCCGTTAGAGAACAGAGCAAAATCCTACTATTCAATTAGATTACTCTGCTAATCAAGTTGCACTCTTGTTCCATCGAGACTTCGAGAAATCTGGCATAAAATTGTCAGACGCCCCAAGAAGAAGATTTATGTAACTCTCATTAGAGTCTTTGCTGCTTGGAGACCAATCTTTCCGATCAAAGCCCGCGTTGCTTTGTGTAAACTGTACCTAACGAATTGATAGATTGACCCATCAACTGAAAACCCCATAATCTTAGATAGAAAGGGCAAAACCGACAGCTTCGTCTACGGCTTAGCTCGATTACTTTTCCAAAATCGAAGTAAATTTCGAACTGATTAATACGCAAAATTGCAAAGCTAAAGACGCCGGCAATAATTGAAGCAAAAAAAAGGGTGAAATATTAGAGATAACTTATGCCGTATATCCACATTATTTTCAGACAAATCGTGTACAAGCAGGAAAATGACATTCTTCTTAAACATGTGACAGAACCGTGTAGGATATTATAAACTAGTGATCTACTTATTTAATCGTCATATGTTATATAATCATAGAAAATAAACAATAACATAAAATCGACTAAAAGACACCTTCTTTGAGTATATTGCAATATTGTGAAACATGAGTAACGACGAATTGATTTATTCCCACATGAACGGAATCAATTACGCTGTGAAATGTTAGAGAGTGTATCTCGTTTAAATTTCCTTACGGATAACGCGTGTTTCTAAAGAACAGTTTTATCTTTATAGATGTTATCTTATTAAAAAAAAAGTCAAATTACCATTTGAATCAACATCTGACTGTCAAGGTTGTCTTAAAGCATTAAAAAGAAGAAGTCGTGCGGAAGCAAGGCGAAAATAGGCACTAGTTGAATTGCAAAGTTCGGACTTACTGTTCGTAAAATAACTTCACTTTAGTAACTCTAGTGCAAATTACTACTTTTAAATGAAATGGTGATCTACTTTTGTTGTACGCTATAAAATTGAAAGTTAATTTGTAGAACTTATCAATGAAATCGACTTGTACGGCCGAAGGTGGTTCGATTGTTATTAAAGTCTAGTACTTATAAAGTCAAAACAGTGAATTCTTGTAATATAAGATGCTATTCCTATGTAGTACCTGAGTATGACAAGGATGAGATTGTTGAATTCTTAAAAAAACCTTTTCACAGGGCTGCAGAGTGCAAGGGCAGCCTTGCCATATGTGAAATAGATCTGTCCGCACAGGTTCCACGAGCTAGTGAAATCACTAAACATACACGCATAAACTCCTTCCTGAGAAACTGATAATCGTTAAAAGAAATTTAATCAATTACTTCTGCACAACATTTATTATTTTACATAGATGTTTGCTTAATCAGTATCACAAACCGGATATGTACTCAAAAAAAAAAAAAAAAATAAACCAACAGGTTCCTTTAGATCTTTTGATTTATTGAAATGGAAACAGATGATTCGACACGCAATTATGATTTGCTGAAAGTTTTCAACTGAAACCTTTTTGCCAAATTATAATTACAATTTTTCAAGAATGAATAGTTAAGCAATAGCCGTTGTTTTGTCTTCATTTGAAGCAAATGAGACGCATTTGAATGCATTCTTTAAAATAGACCGTAAAAGTTTACGACTGTAGTGACATAAAGCTGTTTTATTCGATTAAAAATTAAGATGCAGGTATAAATGTAAAGTAATGTTTTATTCCAAAAGAACCGAGTTTCAAATAGTCGTTTTTTTTTTTTTCCAAAAATCGGTTATTGACTTGAATCTTAAAAAGGATTGTTGTCTCACGTGTCGTTATCTTATTTATTAATCGGACCGTGCGATAGAAGACGGTGTGTTGAACTGCGCTGTTCAGAGTACCGCCAGCACTTTAATGATTTTCAAAGTATTGTGTTGCCACTAAGATAATGAGTAAATTTTCTTTATTTCAAAACATGTTTAAATTCAATTTTAAGAACAAGTTTGCTTACCCGTTGAAGTTTCTCTCGTTTATTCATATTTTAAAGCGACTCAATGTTAAAGATTAGTCCTGAAAAGGTGGCGAGACATTAAAATAGTTATGGGATGCTTAAGCGACTAAGTAGTTTTAAGGTTACGAGATATTTTAAATTTATTAAAGCTTTGAAAAATGACAACCCATGTCAAAAGATCAGATGAAAACTGCCCCTCTGAGGCCAAAATTCATCAGTGTAACAAGTTACTTATTCGAGGTGTTTTCAAAAGTAACTCACATTAAATTTGACATTTAAAGAGTTTTCTTAAGCTTCGAAGCAGAGTTCCCCACTTGATTGGGATTCACTGTGACGATTTTTAATGAACGATTTGTTTTATACATTTCGAACTTTTGAAGCAGCCGTCATTCGTTAGGAAATGTAAACGAGATACACTCTCTAGCATTTCACAGCGTAATTGATTCCGTTCATGTGGGAATAAATCAATTCGTCGTTACTCATGTTTCACAATATTGCAATATACTCAAAGAAGGTGTCTTTTAGTCGATTTTATGTTATTGTTTATTTTCTATGATTATATAACATATGACGATTAAATAAGTAGATCACTAGTTTATAATATCCTACACGGTTCTGTCACATGTTTAAGAAGAATGTCATTTTCCTGCTTGTACACGATTTGTCTGAAAATAATGTGGATATACGGCATAAGTTATCTCTAATATTTCACCCTTTTTTTTGCTTCAATTATTGCCGGCGTCTTTAGCTTTGCAATTTTGCGTATTAATCAGTTCGAAATTTACTTCGATTTTGGAAAAGTAATCGAGCTAAGCCGTAGACGAAGCTGTCGGTTTTGCCCTTTCTATCTAAGATTATGGGGTTTTCAGTTGATGGGTCAATCTATCAATTCGTTAGGTACAGTTTACACAAAGCAACGCGGGCTTTGATCGGAAAGATTGGTCTCCAAGCAGCAAAGACTCTAATGAGAGTTACATAAATCTTCTTCTTGGGGCGTCTGACAATTTTATGCCAGATTTCTCGAAGTCTCGATGGAACAAGAGTGCAACTTGATTAGCAGAGTAATCTAATTGAATAGTAGGATTTTGCTCTGTTCTCTAACGGCCTGGTATAATCCTACATGAGTATTAAGCTCATTTATGGGCTCGCAGAGCCTATTGTACGTGTTTGGGGCCGCTTTAATCCATTTTACATCATGGTGAACGTTCCTCGTGAGCTCAGCTAAATCAATCACTACACGTAATCCATAACATAAGCGATCGAGGTTCTTGACGATCTTGCGCATCTCTGAGACGTCATTTGAGGGTGCATTGACGATTCTGTCGATCAATGATGCAACTGAACGACATCAACGCCGCCAAAGCTAGCGTATCCCTGAATGTTGGTTATAGCGGAGAAATGCCTAGAGTAGAACCAGCGAACCTCATTCCGAGACAATGCCTAAAATGTGGAAAGTTGAGACACACAAAGTATGCAGATCACCACCTCCGTTGCCTGAGATGCGCGGAGAAACACGAGACAGCAAATTGTATAAAATAACCATGTGCAAACTCACTGTCTTCAATAATACCAGGCTATACGAGTAATATTTCTTTTTCTTGCTTGAACAAAAATTTGTTTCGAATGGCAGCTTTCTCTGATTGAATGTTGAGTCAGAGCTCGGTATCCTGATTCAATTTTACAGATTTTATTTGTTTAATGTTGACTTTGAAGCAGACTAATGCTGTTCACGTTTTGCTGCTTATATATCGCGCCATCTTTACTGCGTTCTCTTTTTCGATGTACGCAAATAAAACAATCTATGACGTTTTTGCGGTAATGAATTATCATAATATTGCATAGTGCTTAATTTGTTTGAGAATAAAGTATTGTCAAAGTTGTCACCGAAGGGTAAGTCTTCTACATCGGATAATTTGTCTATAACTGTAAATTGATTTTTTGTATCACTCATTTAACAATTTGCCTCAATCTAATGGAAGCATTTATGATAGTGTTTTTATATCAATTTTGATTTTGACTTTTGCAGAATGTTCCACATTTTCGGATCATGGATCAGGACCAACTTCTTACACTTCCGTCCAATTTTTAGCCATCTTACCCGTCATGTTCGAAAACATGAGAACGTATCGGGGCTTTGGCTATGGCGGGAAACATACGTTGGTTCGTTGGTTGAGGAGCTTTGTTTGGTGAAACGTCAGCGTCAATACTCGGATTTACAATCTTCTTCGTACTATCAGGTTGTAGTTGAAGAGTTGATGGATTGAAGATATAGTTTACTAGGCGTGGTGAAGATTACCCAAGGGAAGCGGGCGCACACGACTTGCGATGTCACTCAAGACATTGAATCGCAAGAAAAAGATTATATAATTGTGGACTGCTTAGACGTCGCAGCAGCGACTGAAAAGGTGATTTTCTCTGTGGCTCACGTGGCCCGTAACTTGTTTCGGATGTGCTTCACTTACCCGCTACCCTCGTTACTTGTCGTGAGTTTATTTTCGTAAACGAATCTGCTCAGCTTTTATTCCTCATACCTGTTGGTGTGTTCAGTTATTTTTTGTGCTAACTGTTATTTCTAGAATACCTTCGTTCCTTGTCACGTGGCTATAGGGATGCACAGCATGCGCTCAGGCGTAAATTTTCACGTGTATTTACACAGGCAGCGCTAGCACTAACCTGACCTATTACCGGGGCACATTAACAAACATGTTGAATCAACGATGGTAATCTTCCACTAGGGAAATCAAACCTAATACATAAACCTCCTCACAAACCACTATGTCCAAGAAAAAGTTTAAGAATTATAGAAGTAGCAAAGGAAGTAAGCAGATTTTAATATAACACCTCCGGATCTCACTACCTATTGCACCCACAAATGTATTCCCAATACTCACTTTATATAAATAATGCATCTCATCAATTTCATCTATTAAGCTCCCCCATTGTAAGCTTTAGACCGCTATTGAGAAATACGCACACAGCGATATAAGATAGAACGTATGAGATTAGCCTATACTTCAAAGAAGTAAGCTTAAGCGTTCTATGTTCTAAGGTAAGTCTGTAGGTGGGCGTACAGTAAATTATATGAAAATGATTGAGGCTCTGAAAGAGTTGTAAACATTCTTTCAACAGTTCTCCTAAATAGATATGTATCGTATTACACATATCCTTCTGTCTGACTTGAGAACCAGGAAGGCTGGAAGGGTGATGTAGACAGAGGTTGACGCAGAGTGGCATGGGGTGGCGTGGAACGAAGACAAATAACAAAAAGAAAAAAAAAGTAAACTGGTGTAGCAGAGATAATCACTGCTCGCCACGCTCATATTAACTTCGATGCTACCGGCATTGCCCCCACCCACGCCTACACTGCGCTCCACTCGGCATCCAGCATGAGCGCTTCACCATTGCCATACAGCCTGTACAGCTGTAGGGCTCCGTCGGAACGTGCTGCACAAGCAAATTTATTATCTTCACGTTGATATTTTGGGAGACCTAATCTGTGTCCATTTGATTAAATTCACTTGACGATGAGTCAAGTCCGTCATACGCTGCTCGTCAGCCGAGCCTAGAAACTCTTTTAGTGACACAAACATTGCGGACCGCGTGGAACAGTCATCGGGCAACTTGAAAGTGTTCCAACCAAATAAAGTCGCACCATTCAATACTTTTGCTTCTTCGCCGTGGCCTCAAAAAGAGTATAGTAGCGAGTACTATGGATAAGTATTTATCCGTTATTTATGCAGCACACATGTCTGGGAGCATTTGATGTGCTTAAGTTGTAAAAAGCCATGTCGAAACAGTTGGGCTGGCAAAGCCCCATAAAACGGTCGTTGAAATGAATCCTAGCATCTAAGGAATAGTATAATAATGCGATGGAGATCTAAAGATTCAAGCAATAATAAAAATGTTTTGAGGGGGCCATGGTTTTTTTTTTTTAGTGGTTTTTGTAACCCAGGGCTTGCCTTATCAATACACCGTCACTGATGGCGTCCAAACACAACGTAGGTAATGTGGCTTGACGCGACTACAACTAACAAGAAATAGTGGAAATCTCTAAATTTCTTTAATTCAACACTAGTGAAGAACTCTGTGGAAAGTCTTGATGGCTGTCTGATGACGTCCAACCATGAATCGATCATCAAAGTATACCCAAATGGCAACATTAAAATTTATAACAAAAACCTTGAGATTATCCACGAATGGAATGGCTTTGAGGATTGCAAATGCCTTTACTTGGACATGTCCAGCAGCATGCTTGTAGCTCTTGCTGTAGGTGTATTCTTCCGATTCTGATAATCTAACGCGATAAATTAGGAAAATTCCTCAAACTATCCAGTCATTAAGTGCTGGAACTTGATTGATCAACCTAAACTCGCTTATCATAAAGTCATAGAGCACAACAGCGATCCTCACCCTGTAGGTGCTAATCATCAAGTCCTCGCTTTCTGACATTACAGGTTTCTTCGTTTGCTATTTCCGTCGACCTGTCCTTCTTAGCAATTGGTCTCGCAAATGGCAGCGTCATTTTGTTGCGAAGATTCAAGCAGGCAATACAGCAGTTGGAACAATTAAAGCCTTACAATCTTATCGTGGACGTTAATGAGCCGATAACGGGTCTTTTGTTTGGCTCATCAGAGGACGTTCTGTTTATATCAACACCTTCTTGCGTGCTCGTCTCAAACATTAAAACAAGGAGTAGTCGTACAGCTGCACCACTCGACGACTTAGGTTGTAGTTTAAATTGTCTTCAACCAAGTCCAGTAGCTTCAGCGAGTTTGGTTTTAGCTAGAGAAGAGGCATTATATCTTTATGGAATAGAAGGCAGGAGGGCGACGTATGCATTCGAAGGAGAAAAATTGTTTCTACGGAGCTTTCAAAACTATCTTGTGCTTTGCATGAACAGCAAAGCTAGTGCAGACGCAAATTCAATCACTATAATTGATCTTAACCTTAAATTCGTAGCGTACAAAAAGGACCTACATCAGGGCATTATTGACGTAGTCAAGTGCGACAAAACACTCTTTATTATTTGCAATGACGGCAAGGTAAGATTTTACGGGTTTTAATACTTGAACTTAATTTCTATTTCAGACGTATTCCCTGAGCGAGATCAGTATTGATGCCAAGTTGAATTCACTTTACGCTAAGGGTTATTATTTGCTAGCATTGGATATAGTCACAGAAAAGAAGTTGGCAAAGGATGTCATAATGGATGTCCATAGACTTTACGGTGACCACTTATACGATAAAAGCGATTTTCATTCGGCAACACTAGAGTACTCCCAAGCAATTGGATTCGTCGAATCTAGCAGTATTATTCGAAAGGCAAGTAGCATTGCCCTAGCATTCTGGTCCATGCCTAAAAATCTTCTAGTTATTAGAAAAGCAACGATTTCACGAACTAGTGAAATACCTTCAAGAGTTACATTACAAAGGATATGCCAATCCTGAATATACCACGCTATTGCTAAATTGTCTCATCAAAATAAAGGTACTGAATGCTAAATTCTTCCTTTTTCACTACTAACTTTAAAAGGATGTTGACTGTTTAAATGATTTTATCAATCAGTCTGATAGTAATGATGAAGTGAAATTCGACCTTCAGACTGCTGTCAGAGTCTTGAGACAAGCAGGATACGTACAGCATGCTTTGCAGCTCAGTGCAAAGTATCATAGGCACGAAGACTTCCTAAAAATACAGATTGAAGATAACAATAACTGGGCATTCGCATTGTCTTATCTCGAGGAGCTTCCTTCCAAAGATGTTTGTTGATCATTGCTAAATAATCCTGATCTAATTAAATACGCAGGCTGAGAAGTACCTACATCACTACGGGAGATTGCTTTTGGAGAACATGTGTGAGGAAACCACTTGCGTTTTGATAGATTTGTGTTGTGGCACGTACAAGCCTAAATCCATTGATCAGAAGCTTATTAAGAGGAAAAGTGGCTTAAATTCAATAGCCACCAACACGATAAACTATATTGGATACAACCCTAGTAATCATGGCTCACAATTGTCATCGGAGGAGGACGAAAATGTTTACGTCCCCCCATCCCCGCGCAAGTATTTTTCTCATTTCGTCAAAGTCCCGAAACAGTTAATCAAATTCATTGAAGCTATTTTGAAATCTAGGGTGGGGATAGAAATTGATACAACTAGCATCAAAACATGTGATCAGCCAACGTTGTCTAAACCAATCAATCACAATGATGCTTCATCTTTGATGACGACATTGTTAGAGGTATATCTAAAAGTAGCGAAAAATGCAGAAAATGGGAAGATGCGTGAAGACTTACGCTCAAAGTCACTCACTATGATCGAGAATCACGATAAGATACCCATTGACTTGAATCACGCGTTAATGACATGCACATTAGAAGACTATGATGAGGGAAAGCTGAAGATTTGGTGTATATTAGGGCTATACGAAGAAGTAATTTATCATTACATCGAGTTGTGTAAATACTCTGATGTCAAAGGTATAGGAGAAGAGATGATCGAGCAAGTAATCACGTCCATCCATCTGTACGGAAGGTTTGTTCCTCACATGTACGTGGTTGTACTGAAATTCTTGGTTGATCGAATCGAGAGTGACAGCAAGAGACTGTCAGACATACAAAATCTTTTGAATGAAATAGATAACGTAAAAGTAGAATTGAACAAAAATGGGCATGTGGACGAGTCGATCAAGCTACCGGAGTATAGTGAGGTAATTGAGATAATCAGTAAAGCAGGTGTACAGATCGGAGCAATCAAGGAATGGATTATAAGAAAAGTTAGTGACGACGAAGAAAAGAGCAGACTCGACGAGCTGCTGTTTCTCACGTATCGAGAGGAAAGTAAAAAGAAAGAGAACAAGCTGAATGGATTGAGTGACAAGGCGCAGTCATTCCAAAACACAAGGTGTGCTTCTACAGGGGAGAGACTGGAGCTACCTGCAATACACTTTGCGTGCGGGCACTCGTACAATGCGACGTCATTAGCAGACAATGAAAGCGAATGTCCATTGTGCGCGCGCAGTCATGGGGTGATAAGAGAGTTAAGGAAGAATCAAAAGGAGTTGATAGAGAGGCATGATATATTTTTGAATGGGGTTAAAACAGAGGGCTTTGACTTGATATCAATAAATTTCGCAAATAAACTTTTTTAATTGTAAAGAACTTGATATTAATCGACGATGAAGTGGTTGATCGCGATTATAGCATTGGTCCAAGTAATATGCGGGTTTAAGCTAGAATCAATAAATATCCCAGAAAAAATATATTTTCATCAGTTCAACTACAAGCAAGTATCTCAAAACAAGACTGCGCTGGTCACCCACTCCAATAAAGACATCAACGTACTCAACCCTTCAGACGGCAAACTACTCAACAGAATAAACTTTGATAATCTAATTTCTTATAAGTTTGATCAAGACGTTTTGGCTAGTTTGGATTCTCAACACACGCTAAGACTGTTTGATGGACACAGCTTGCATGAATTTTGGAACAAAACATTGGCAGCTTCGAGTGACTTCCAGGTAGATTTTACAAAGGATGACAAACACTCCATCCTGGTCCTTGATAACAATCATCTGAGATGCTTCAATATTCTATCCGCAGATCTACTTTGGGAGCTCCAAGTACATGACAATTACCGTCTACAGTCTCAATCAAATTTCATCTACTTATACAACAGCAACGAAATTATGTCTTTGGATCCCAGTTCGGGTGATACAATGTCTAAGGCGAAATTGGAGGATCACCTTAGCACTCAGTTCACCCGAGACTACTTAATATTGCTAAACAAACACTCTAGGCTTTCTATCATTGATCTTAAATCTTTGAAACCTATCACGTCATCAAAAAAGTCCTTTAAAACTCTCGTTGATTTGAATCTGTCATCCAAGAATATCTTCAGTGCTGTCTATCAAGACGATCTTTTGGTTTACACTATCGAAATGGGTGTTCTCAATCAACTACATGCCTTCAAGTATGATCCCACTTTGACATACTTTAATGGTTATCTAGATAAGCACAATAGAGCATTTATAGTACAGACTTCACCCGCAAATGCACTACGAGTTAGTGATCACTTGATTACTATTCGATTACTTAAAAAAAACTCAGGCCTTAACCGTCAACATCTTTACACCAGACGGTCCCGACGGCAAGTTGGAAAGCTCATACACATTGCCTTTTGATCAGACAAAGCGCGGCACACCTATACAGATTATCAGTGAAGCAACTTTAGCAAACAACTACAGCTCAGTGGCTAGAATGGCTTTGATTACGACATCCGGGACAATGGAACTATATCAAGGCCTACAAATAAAATGGGTGAAGGAATTAGGCTTATCAGATCCACTGTCGTTGACTATGGTTGATTTACCAGAAAAAGATGAACCAATGACTTCAATTGACAATAACCAACTGTACTCCTTTATCCCAAGAATCCTGAGTCATTTCCACAACATCAAATACTTTCCCAGATATATTGTCAATTTCGGTTCCAGATTTTTAACAGGAGACAGGCACAGAGATTCAACTTCGTTAGTTAGAGATTTATTCGGATACAGAAAAATAGTGATTGTTGGCACAAAACAAGGTAAATTAATAGGATTGGATAGTGCCAATCCGAACAAGACACTTTGGAGTAGAAATTTTGGCTCAAACACGAGAGTAACACATTTGATAAACACACGCTCAGCTGGTATTAATGATGCAGCTCACGTCTTAGCATTGGTTGAATACCTAGAAATTAATGGGAAATTGAAAACCCTCGCAATTGAGGTCGATGCTTTGGGTGGACCGGCTTTAACGGGCTCTGGCAGTGTTGCTTATTTGTCTTTAATGGAAAGCAGACCGATCAAAATCATACCACTTGATATAGAGTGTGGTAGCTCTGGTAACAGAGCAATAGCATTGATAGATGAAGAACTGGGTATACATTTATATCCATTTTGCAAGACTGTCAGAGATAAATTCGATTCAATATCCAATGACTTTTATTACACGTTACAAGTATCTGAGGATAAAGTAAATGGATACAAACCAATGATGAACTATGAAGATATAGAGTCAAATCAAATCTGGTCATTTTTTGCACCAGAAAACCAAGCTATTGTCGGTGTTCAAGAACGTATAAACAGTGCAACTGCATCGGTAGCACAGATTGGGCCCAATAGAGAAGCAATTGAAAAATACTTGAACCCGCATGCTGTACTAATTACTACGGTAATTGCAGATACATCTATGAAGCAGCTATATGTCGTAGATGGTGTGACAGGACAAGTCGAGAGAGAGTACACAATAGAGGATGAGAGCGAAGAAGAAAATAGCGTTTTTATTGACAATAGAATAATCACAGTTGCCAGAACAATGGACATGAGTACAATAGTTCATTCCAAAGAATTGTTTGTCAATGTCGAAGACTTGAAACATGAATATCTGTATTCACCGAACACGATCAAAGCTATAAGTCCAACAGTAACAAGGAATGGTATTACACACAAGGATTTGATTATAGCTAACGATAATGATGATATAATCTCGATACCTAGGTTATACTTGGATCCTAACACACCTAAGCAAATGCACATTAACAAGTTGGCTGCAATCAGCAAAGGCAAGAAGAACAATAGCCAATTCGACATGGTCATAAATAGTGATTTGGCCAAGATACCAAATGACCCAAAAGCAATACTAAATGAAGATCCAGTCATCGGTGTCAAAGACATTCAATGCGTACCATCGACGCAATTAGAGTCCACTTCGATTTGTGTTGCTTACGGACAAGATATCTTCATGTTTAGAGTCTCACCATCCAGACAGTTCGATGTATTGAGTGAAAGTTTCAACAAAATACAATTAGCTATTACGATTTTGGCGTTGTCTATTGGTCTTATCATAGTCAAACCGATAGTAAGCCATTAGTTGATTAATATGAATACTGATGCTAACAATGAGTCAAGGTGAAAGCGAAACAATTAGACGCAAAGTGGTTTTAAACCCTCTCATTGAGAAAACATTTGTAGAAATAGTGAAATGCATCAGAAGCTAAATTTATCGAGCCATTCAATCAAGCGATCAATGATAAACTTCAATTCTTGATCGTATGAGACAGTGTGGCTGGAATCTTGGTAAATGTATTGAGTTAGTGCTACTTTTGAATAGGGTAGTGCTTGATGAACGAAAGCAAAAATGGTAAAGTATAGAGATTTCAAATCAAGATTTGGATCTTTACTAGGTGAATAGTGAACGATAAACACTGAAAATATCCTTGCAATTAAGATGAGAGATTGATCTAAAGAGCTATTCAAATGAGATTTGAGTGAAATTGGTGCTAATAATCTGAGAGAATTTAGGGTATTCAGGATTGAGTTTAACCAGCTGGCCAGAAAAGGATGATTTGATACAAGTTGAGGGGGATTTAAAGTAAAGTCACCGTTAAAAATTGGGTATGTTGGTAATTTATTTTGTGATAATTTGACTTTAACACTATCTGACAGTAAGGAAGATGATATAGATTTTGAAGATTTTGGAGACTTGAGCAGAGATTGTAAGTAGTTTTTGGTGTCATTTGATGGTATGTTAAAGGACTTGTTTATGAAAGATAGGATGGTAGAATGAATTATTTGAGATATAGGGGGTGAAATGTCTAAACCGATAGATGAGAAGGAGTGATTCAGGTAAGTGATAGAGCCAGCTATTGAAGATAAGGCTACGGCGTCATTGATAAAATTAAGGTTGGATTGTAGTGAGGAGAACAAGTTTGCTAAAATGTCTTGTATGAAAGGTAATAGAATGAGTTTATCATCAAGGTTGCTAAAAATGGAGTTGAATTGGCTAATTAGATCAGTTAAGGATTGTCTAACAAAGTCAAAGTATAATTTGATGGAGTCTTCATCTTTAAATGAAAATGTTCGTTGATTGAATAAGGATAACTTAGATTTCAAGAATATAATGGAGAGCGCTCGGTAGTCTAGATTGGTTAACTTTTCCAAGTATTTGATGGAATTGTTTAAATCACTTAATCGCTTATTTGAAGATAGTGATATGATTAGTTTGTTGATCAAAATCATTTTAAGGCTATCCAGTTCCATGATTAGTTGAGATGATAAACTAGAAGTTGAGGTCATAATGAATTCGTACTTATCTAATAAGAGTATGGATTCTTTGAAGTTATCACATTTGATCAAGTTATCTAACTTTATGGGTAATCTTAGTATGAACTGGAGCTCATTACTCAAATTCAACAAGTCAATTGAAGATTTCAGATTAGACTTTATATTTCTAGTGTTCTCATTGAATATTGATAGATCATCTACTAAATTCAAATCTAAGTCTAAATTTGAACTTTCAATTGAATTAGCAGTTGATTGGTTATTTAAGAATATATTATAATCCTTAATCAATAGATTATTTAAATCATTGGTGGAATCAAATAATTGAGATTTGAGTAGCTTTGGTTGCTTATTTATTTCAATTAGCCTTAAATTATTTAGAGATTCTAAATATTCTAAGTTATCTGTAAACAATCGATCCATTCGCCTCAATAGTGTTCTTGTTCAACCAACCTCAATGTCCCTAAATTCAATCGATACAAAAACAAAAAATAAATTGCAATCTGATCAAGTTATTTTAGATCTACAATGTTCGTTATTCATCTTCATATACACTCTCACTCACACACTTAATCACAGCTGCCGTCAAAGAATTAATTGAGAACAGTTTAGACGCTAATTCAAGCATAATTGAAATTAATTTCTATAATTCTGGTTTCGATGGGTTTAAGGTTATTGATAATGGCTTTGGTATCCACGAATCATCCTTCTCATCCTTAACTAAGAAGCACTTTACTTCAAAATTATCCAATTTCGACGACCTCAACAATTTATGCACTTTCGGTTTCCGTGGTGAAGCCTTATCCAGCTTATCTACCATCTCTAAGTCCTTCGATTGCTTAACTGCAACCGATGTGACGTCACCAAAAGCTACAAACATCTCCTTCGATAACAAAGGAAACATTACTCAGTTAAGACACAATATCCCAAGACAAAGGGGTACCACCATCTCTTTGTCTACTTTATTCTACAATTTACCCGTTCGAAGAAGGGAGTTCGAAAAGAACCTTAAGAGAGAATTCAGCAAAGCTATCAACTTGTTACAATCTTATGCGTTATGCCCTTTACACTCAAGTGTCAAATTCAATATTTCCAACTATAATAAAGCTAATAAGAAGTCTATCATCTTTCAAACTGCAGGTAAATCTTCTTTACCTTCTTCAATCGCTTCTGTATTCGGCTCAACAGCAAATCAATCTTTAGTTCCGCTCTCTTTAGAATTACCTGTTCAAGTCGATCCTTCTATAGCAAAACGTGAGGGCATAACTAACACTTCGTTCACTGTAAACCTGATTGGTTCAATATCTAAACCCTTATTCGCTCATGGAAGATCTACTTCTGACAGACAATACTTTTATATCAATGGTAGACCTTGTAATCTACCAAAAGTCGCCAAAACAATTAATTCCCTATTCAGATCTTACATTAATCAATCTTATCCTTTTATCGTCGCTGATTTTAAGATACCCACTGATGCTTACGACGTCAATATTACTCCTGACAAGCGTACAATTTTCTTACACTTTGAATCTAGCTTAATAGATTCACTCAACTACCATTTGAACCTATTTTTTGAACCATTTAGAGGTCACTTTACGATAAACAAACAGTCTCAATCAGTTCCAACGCCAATTATTCATCAACCTAGCATTCAAATGCACTCAATCCCTTTAAATGAACCCCCAAATAAGCTTTCTGATTTACCTCAAAAGGATGCTGATGATGATCAACACAGCTACGATAGGGATGCTGAGTCATTGTCAGAGGAACAAATTAGTCAAGATGATTTTCAAAAAAAGCCCAATAACAACTCAATTGATAGCGACAATGATGGTTCGGTTGTGTGCGAGAAGGTTAACGATTTACCCGAAAATCCAATGAGTAGCTCTCAAATAAATACGAGACATGCTTCATGGGCATCAGAGGTGTTTCCTGATAATCAAGTAACAGTTGATCGAGCACCTAAAAGAAGGAAAACTGAGACAGAACTAATTGATGAGATTAGCGATAGAGAGACTGACACGAAAATTCGAATCGATCAAACTGATTCAAAAGTTTTTGACAATGGCTTTTACAATCAAATAGATGAAAATGATGTCCAGAATCCTCATAACATTGACATGCAAATCGTGAATGACACTTTTACGATCGACGAAAGCTCAGAAGATGATGAGCCAAACTACTTTAGACAGTCACTGACTGTTAATATTGACGAACTTCATTATAAATGGCAAAAAGATACAAACAAATCGAACGCATTGACTAATGAAAATTCGCAAAAGTTGTACTCAGAAAAACTGGAAAAAGCTGGAATAGAGAACTTTGATAACTCTCAAGCTGCAGAGCAAGCGCTATCGCGAGTATTGCACAAGACTGACTTTGAGAATCTAGAAATACTTGGGCAGTTCAACTTAGGGTTTATGATAGTCAAACGCAAGGCTGTCAACGACAATGGTCTACAAGAGAATGATCTCTTTATCGTTGACCAACATGCCGCAGATGAGAAGTATAATTACGAGAAGCTACAACTCAATTCTAGGATACAGTCTCAGAAGCTTATCAAGTGAGTTGGAAGCGCAACCAGCGTAGTGATTATTGACTTGTTTGGCAGGCCACGTACTCTCGATTTAAGTGCGTCTGATGAATTGACAGTTTTTGACAACCTGGAGACGCTCAAACAGAACGGCTTCGAAATTCAAGTTGACGGAGATGGCGCGAGTGGTAGACGATGCCAATTGGTAGCTCTGCCCCTGTCAAAAACTACAGTGTTCGATTTGAGGGGTACGTTGATATTCAAGTCGATATATGTCTAATGGTAGCCAGTAGATTTAGAAGAGCTGATTCATGACATCAATGAAAATCCAAGCCAGGTTCCCCGATGTACAAAAGCAAAAGACATGTTTGCTAGTCGAGCATGCAGAATGAGTGTAATGGTTGGAAAATCCCTGAAGAAGAAGCAAATGACAAGCATCGTTAGGAATCTTTCAACACTCAAACAGCCCTGGGTGAGTATCTTCAAACTACTATCATTGATTAAACTCCTAATCTGTGTAGAACTGTCCTCATGGGAGGCCAACGCTGCGGCACCTACTAAGCTTAGAGAACAAGCAGGATGATTGGAATGAGTGTAAAATAGATTGGAATTATTTTATTTAGTTTTATCGTTTAAACACGCCTCTAGTTTACGCGTCTTTCATAACCGTCATGGAATCTGAACAGCTTGCTATGTTTTGTCCTGATCCCGTAAACAACCCAGATTTCAGGATACCCAGAATCAAAGGGATTGATCACGATAATCTACCTCCATCTGAACAAGTAGGTTCCCGTTTGATTGTGAACATGTGACTGACAAAGGAGTCAGATTGAGCAAATGGACCAAAGAATAACACTTACGTTACGTTAGTAGATTTAATCGGATATAACAAGGCTCATTTTCTTATCAGAAAACATAGACGCTGATCTATCAAACGTCTACAATGTAATTCTCAGCCGCATTCTGCCTGAAATCAAAAATTACGGATTAGCAACTGATAACTCGAGAAATATATCCAAGGTTTGTCTTTCGATTTTGAGACAAACATTCTTAACGCAATACTCAGTACTGGAAGTCCTTCTTCGAGCACGCAGCACAGGTCAGAGTATCACAGACTGGAGAGCAATCATTCGGAGACACTTATTACAGCGATGATCTTACAGCCACAAATATCAACCACGGTGCTGAGCGCGATGACGACAGGTCTATAAATGAGACTTTCAATCAAGACTCTTTCCTCGGCCAATTAGCTAACAACGGTGTATCTTCAACACCGTTGCCTAAAGTTGATGGATCAGAAGCTAATATACAAGATAGATCGACAACAATACCTAATTCGCTTGAATCACCATTTGAAAGACTTAGAAGACAGATACGCGAGAACGATGACGATGATATCAACTTTGAGACCAGTAATTCTACATCCATCCTGCCTTCCTTTTCTTTACCTTCCGCATCTGAAGCTGAAGCTGTTGGAACTGGAACTGGTGAAATCAAGCCTGATGACTCACAACTTGCTGATGATACCATTAATTATAATGACACAAACAACTACCATGAAAATCAACAAACTTCATCTATGAGCTTCAGTTTCAAGCACTCCACGCATGAAGTGCCGATCAATAAGGAGAATCAGGATAACGATGGCTTAGAGAAGACTCCTAAGAAGGGGAAGGTTATCAGCAATCCTTTTGGTGGTCCAAACTGGAATGGTATCACCGATTTGAGAAACACACCACTGCGCATAGACAACAAAGAGGGAAAATTTAACTTTTCAAGTCACAATTACAGACAGAGTGATGAAGATGGCCTTGATTCCGATGAAGATGAAGATGATGTTTTACCCCCTGGAATGTCACCTCCACAGACGATGAACTTTACTATGCCAAAGTCTAAATTACAGAAAACACCAGCTAAAGAAGCAGCAGCTAGTATTGTGGATGACATACTCAGAGAAACTGGTCAGTCTAATAAGAAACCCCTCAAAATTAAGGCAATTAATGCTGGAGATGATGACAATGAGGATGACCAGGATACACTCATGCATCAAGGATCGTTTATGACTAGAAATTACAGTAAGGGCAATGACTTTAATCCTGATGTCTCTTCATCTTCTACGACTAGCTCATTAGACGATACTAGTATACAGCCACAACCACTTGCGCTCACCGCTGCTGCTGTGATGGCAAATGTACAAGACGACTCAGACTCAGACGATGACAGTATAAATAACAGTATGAGTAATCAAAATACAGATGCTTCTGATACCTTGTTTGGACCTCGATCTAATAAGAATCAGGAATCAAAATTGCAATTACATGGCGATGTCACATCCACTTGGTTCGGTACGAATATCAATAATGCTGGTCATGATCCTCAAAGCCCACTTGGTAAATAAATTATTAGTATCATTTTACATGTATTGTACAGTTTAAGCCACTTTAATTGTATTTCACTTTTCAGGAGTTTCTGCTGGCTGATTTGTGTCTTTAAGTGAATGATTCGTTTCATTTGCTGGCTCGTGTGTTTCTTTTGTTGGTTGATCTACATCCTTGGCCTCATTTGGTTCATTCTGCTTGTTGAATTCACTTTGCTTATTTGGTTCTTTTTGCTCTTTCGAATTTGCATCACTTGGATTCTTTAGATCTTCTGTATCCTTTGCATCTTGTTCATCCTTTGTATTTTCTTCATCCTTCTCATCCTTTGCAACTTTTGACTCGTTACTTTTATCTTTCCCTTTCTCATTAGCGTTGCTATTTTCATCGTTCGTATTTGAAGTCTTTTGATGTTTAGAACGACTAAGAAGGGTTGTTCCTAAGACTTTGTAAGCAAAAATGTAATCTAGAAGTATTATTACTCCTTACTTTTTCTAGAGATATCTGTAGTATGCATCCAATCAGCAGGAAAAATGGCCGCTAATTCGGCATAGACCTTACTACGATAAGTTTGTTCACGCGTTGGAGTAGGTTGGTTCTTATCCAACTCAGATCTTTCAAGGTCTAAATGGTATATATCCTCTTTGATTTCAGTCATTGCCATCAAAGCGGTGTTCATCTTTTCTGTCCACTTCCAGCGTGGTTTTGGTGGATCAGGTGCTTGTTGATGCTGTGAGAGCTTTAATGAATGACCACCTGATTTAATGTCTTCAGATATTTTAGCATCTTCTGGGTAACGCTCTTGGAAATGATTCCAATCAGCTTCATATTGCTTTATAGCATCTTCGTGGTCATGAATGTACTGGTCCCGCTCATTGTCAACTTCTTCTTGAAATGCACCCTTACATAACTCGTAACGCTCTTCATAGAAATTTTTGTGGTAATCGAATAGCATAGTCTTGGTTAATTTCATCATAGTGAATCTGTTGTATGGAAAGAGTCTAGGTAAACGATTGAAAAAGTGATTTTCATCATACTGTTCTAGCTGGATAGCTATTTCTGCTGTACGTTTGAGTGGATCTTTGAGACTTTGAGGAAATTTTGTTTTTTGTTCAAAATTCTCCTTCATAATGAGTACGGTGAGCTGCTCGAATGCGCTTTGAAGATCCTCTGAAATAGGTTCAATTGGGTATTCTTTTTTACCTTTTGACCAGGAAGGTGAAGGTAGATGATCCATTGTGAAACCTGTAAGTAAACCACCTTTCTTTGGACCAATAATTGAGCTAACGTCTGTACGTGTTTGAGACTTTGATGGCTCTGGAGAGTCTTTATGTTGGGTAGTGATTGCAGGAGAATCTCTGCTCTTGTTGATGGGTGTATCAGATACATCTAAAGAAATGCCTTCAAAAGATATATCTGGAGCAATTGGAGTTGCAGGTAGTTGCGGTTTAGGGAAGAAGGAGGAATACTTGGACAAGTTGTGTAAGCTTGAACGTTTCTTTTGCTTGTCTTTGTCAGAATCTTTTTTCTTCTCTTTAAGTTGAGAAGGAGATTTAGTCTCTAGTTCGACATGATCAATTGTAATATAAAAGCCCTCATTTGTAGGTTTGGCCATCATCTTTGGTTCATCAACGGTGAGTTGACTATCATCAACGAAGGGGTCATTAACGTCGTAATTATCGTATTCAGCGCGTTTCTTATCTGGATGAGGTTCATCATCATCCTCAGCATCACTAACATGATCCAATAAGTTGATCAAGTTCGAGTAAGGCTTATCGGGAGAAAGTTGATTAGAATTTTTAGACAAATGTAAAAAGTTGAATAAGTAATCATCTTTATCCAAATCAATGTCTAATCTAACCGTTTGAAGTGGTTTTAGTTGCTGATTTTCAAATAAAGGTGGTGAAGGTGTACGCTGCTTACGCTTCTTAACAACTTTAGATAAATCATTTGGATCTTCGTTCAATCTTTTATTTTCATTTTTGATTGTTGATTCTAAAATCTCTTGAGATTCCATCTGATTTTCCTCTTGATATTCACCTTGAACAAGGACAACCAAGTTGAAATTGGATTTGAATTTTTAAAATTTACTTTGAAATTTCAAACCCACTAAATCTCTAAAATGATGACTAAAAAACAGCAAAGTCAAGCTCAACCGTCGTAGTAACGCTTTGACGACATATTTAGAACTGAATTGAGATTTAAAGGGTGTTTCAAATATTTTACTTAAAAATTGATTTGTAATTTGCATATTATCTTTTGTTCTTTTAATTTTAAATTTTACACACTTTCACCTCTCTTTCTACTCAGTCACTCAATCATTTAATGGGAAAATCTCAAACCAAGAAGAGAACCGCAAGGCATAATCCAATTCGTGTCCCGGATAGCCATCACAAGTCCTCCAAGGACAATCACACTCAGGTTATCCCCGTTTTAGAAAAGTTTAACTCGCCAAATCCAAATGATAGAGTCTGGGCTTGTGCAGCAACTTCAAATCTAATTGCAAATGATTCTTCCACTCGTAGGCTTTTACAATCTAAAGGTGTCATTTCTCTCTTAATTGGAAGATTAACCGATGATGAACCTGATGTTATAAATGAATCAACTGGTTCTCTTAGAAACCTTTGTATTGATGGTGGTCCGGAAATCTGCGCTGAAATGTTTAATAAGAACATACTTGCTCCTTTAAAAACTCATGTTACAAAGGTTTGTTGATCTCTTTTGTCTTCTTATTACAACTTAATTAGCATCTCAATCAGATTATCCCTTTGATTGAAAATCTTATTCAAGGTCATCCACCCGCTGATCACGATGAAATGTCTTGGAGAAATATTGTTTGGTCCTGGGTTGAGAACATTGTTACTATCTTCTGGTGTCTATCGTTAGTTCATCACCAAAGTTATACTTATAACTAACAAATACATCCAGTGAAACTTCCAATAAAGCATTCAAAGCCGTCAACGATCTCTCATTACCTCCATTCTTGGTTGCATTTTTGAAGAACGACCTTAGAAAAAATGCACCTCTTTCAACTACTATTGCTTCTGCACAATGTTTATTCGTTCTTTCTGAAGAAAATAGTATGTTTAAAAGGCACTTCACTGACAACCCTGGTGATTGTACCGCTCTTGTCGATATAGTCCAAGATTCTTTCGACGGTCAAGACCAAGTTAAGGCTACCCTATCAAAAATCCTAGCTTGTGGTCAGTCTTCTATCTAATTTGAGCTCACTTACTGAATAATCCTCAAAGGTATAATACGCAACATATCTCCCTTGCCTGCTGTGATTCCCGCAGCTGCTATTGCTAATGATAGTAGTACTATCCTACCTATTCTTATTTCTTGCTTAAACGCAGACTTGAAATCTCTCTCCGATGAAAGTGAGACATTAGCGTCAAAGCTGGTGAGTATATCCTTCAAATATCAAACTCAAGCTCATTATCTTCCAGCCTCAAGTTTCTACCAAGCAAAACAAGAATTCTACTGACCACAAGTCAAATGAGGAGAAGAGATTAGATGAAATTGAGCTTGTTTTGATCGCACTTCAAAGCAGTCTTGACGTCCTAACAGGATACTGCTCTCAAATACCTGACGATGACTTTGAAATTAATCAAGATGAAGAGGATCAGAATGAGGATATGGAAGAGGACATGGAAGAAAACATTGATGCAATCATTGAAGGTGATTCGAACATGCAGGATAATGAAATTAAAGATACTCAACCAGTGGCAACTACTTCAATCATTCCATCCTCTTTAGTCAAGTTGTTTGGTCCAGAGATAGCCTTACATGAGGGCTTAATCAAATTAGCTTTCCCTACCAACATGTCTCTCCTTCGCACTGGATTATCTGCTAGGTCACCTCATCCACCAACAACTGCTCACTTGTCCGCTGTACATTTGCGTGCTTTGGAAGCTCTTCAAAATCTGTTATTATCTTTGGCTCGTTATGCACCATCACCATCTAGTCCTACATCGGATAATGAGGCTCAAGCATGGTCGGAGCTGAAGCAGCAATTGAAGCCAGCGTTGTCTCAGTTATGGAATAAACTGTTCGAACTAGGTCAGGCGATTGAACCATGTGAAATGAATGACTTTACGATCAAGACTCAAAGCGCTCGCTTCGGTTGTATAGATAATCTCGTTGGATGTATGCTAGGTGTTTCAAAGGTATTAGGAGAAGATTTGATTCTACAATCATCGGAAATTGCAGCTTTGACTTCAATTTACAGGTCTACGACTTCCGATGCTCTCAAGAGTAAGGTTATTGGAACTTTAGGTAGTCTTGCGCGCCGTCAAGATGCCATTGAAGACAACAGATTGATTGGCAACTTTTTCATCGATTTGTTATTCAAATTACCACAAGTAGCGTCACAAGCCACAGCTGAATCAACGACTGCTGAAGTAACAGTTGCAGTTCTCAACGAGCTTTTCGATGTTTATGCTGATGAGAACTCTTCTTATGATGTTCCAGTGTTCAGGTATGAAAAATTCTTGAGCAAGCTTAGAGGCGTTGTACCTTTAGTCAGGACTTGCGTACGTATGTTAGTAATCAAGGATATCTTAGCTGACTCATCTACAGACACGCTCGGTTGACAGAAAATTCAATCCAGAACTCCGAGCAACAATAGACGAGGCCTATCAAAACTTCCTTTCTTTCATACGGTATAGACAATCAGTAGTTTAATTAAATACAATTACACTTATAACGCTAAACTTAAGAATGCATTCTAATTTATACGGCACTCGCGGGTCTTTTTTTCTTGCGCACGGTCAGTACTTGGGCTTTTACAGGCTCAGTATCTGCTGTCGCTTTAACTTTCTCAGGGTTATCGACTTTAACATTTGGTGCTATGTATGCTTGAGAATTATCTATCAATGTCCTGATCTTGTTTAACCACGATGACGTTGCAGACACCGCGCCTTCAAACGTATGGAAGTCCGAGTTTGTCAGCAGATCATGAATTCGATGGAATAATTCTATCGAAATATCGATATCTTGATCCGTCTTATTCACCTCAATTGCCTCTTTGATTGGTCCATCTTCTCTTGAGAAATGTAGAAAGAAGAATCCAGTCACTCTACCTGACGCACACTCCTGTCTATAACCGAGTCTTTCCCAAAACTCTTCAATTGAGATGCGGTCTAATGCGTTTTGCTTATAGCTTACATTCTCTTCCTTGCTGCTTTCACGTCTGGGCTTCTTCAAAGAACGGCCGTCCAGAGCTTCAGCTGAGTTAGCCAATTCGTCCAAAAATCTCGACTTTGGGTCATCTTCAAAGTAAGGTATCAAAGATGAGAGGTTCCTGGAATTCAATTCCTGGTTGGATTGATGTGGATTACCGTAAATCCAATCATTATCAACCTTGATGATCCCTATCGCCTCTTCTTGAGAAAATCCAGGCAGAAAGAGCCATCGCTTGAATGGAGTGAGGTTATCCAATGTTTGCTTCCACCATCTCTGCAATTGCATGTCAGAGAGTACTCTCTTTTTACCATTCTTCTCGCTATTAGGGAATATGTATGCATTTTGAGCTCGAGAAAAAATGTGTAGCCAGACTTGCAAATTGAAGGCTACTTTGGCCCAGTGTATGACACTTTCAATCGCAATTGACATTGGTGAAGGTGTCAAACCGAATCCTGTAGAGTCTACCTTTGAGACGTAAATAAGGACTCTGTCATTCAATTTGAATAGATGCAGCTCTATCGCAGAGCTGAGCGTATCATATTCTGCGAATGCAATAAGGATCTTCTTGATTGGTGGATTTGGTATAGATGAGGTGAACGGGAATAGATGTTGCTTTAATTGAGTGAAATTTGAGACTAATGAGATTACTGTTAAGCTCCTCTTTCCCGGTAATCTTTCCTCTAGTTTTCTATTCAATATGTCTTGTAGACTGTCGATCATCACCGTAATCACCGAAGGAAATCAAAATCAACAATCAACATTTTCCTTTGAACGTTTTAATCAAATCGCTAATCAAAAATCAACATCGGGAATGCTGGAATGTGAATATTCGCTGAATCCCATTCTTGTTTTAGTCAAATGATTATCAAACGATGCTTTGTTCTGGCTGCTATTGTAGCCTCTGCTTATGCTGCTAATCCTGATTTTGTATGTTGATCCGCTTCTACAAATTCTGCCTAACTCAATTGTAGATCGTTATCGGGGGTGGCACAACCGGTCTGGCATTAGCTTCACGGTTATCAGATGTCAGCAAATTGCAAGTAATGGTACTCGAAGCTGGTGAAAGGTTGTTATCACACAGTAATTCCACTTTATCTCACATTCATGTAGTGGCTTCAATAACAGTAATATTGACTTGCCTTTTGGTGGATCTGCAATAGGATCTAAATGTAAGTTTGAATTAATTTACCAGCTTACTTTAACAAGTGTAGTCGATTGGAATTACACCACAGAGGCACAAGCCGATTTTGGCCTTCATCCGATTTCTTTACCGAGAGGCAGAGTTCTTGGAGGAACGAGCGCTTTGAATGGACTGTATGTTCTTCTTTTCATTGCTGGAATAATCATTAAGCCTATCTAGTGGTTGGGATAGACCTCATTCTCTCGAGATAGATGCGTGGAATAACCTTGGCAATGATGGCTGGAGCTTTGATGATCTACTTTACTAGTATGCAACATCACTTTGTATAAATAATTCCGCTGACTTTTCTTCTAGCATGAAAAAGTCAGAGACCTTCCACATTCCATCTGATGATATTCTTCACAAATATTCCATTGATGACAATGACAAGCTCAACGATTATGCCATTGGACATGAAGGTCCACTTCAAGCTACAATTAGCCAGAATGTCCCCGATTTTGCAAGGAGATGGCTGCCAGCCTTCCAAGATATTGGTGTCAACGCCAATTACAGCGTAGGCAAATAGGGCAATTCTTTATACCGCTAAACAATTCTGCAGCCTTGGGATGGAGACAATTCTGGAGCTAGTATAAATCCAAGCTCAGTAAACTACCACAACTTCACAAGAAGTTACTCCGCATCCGCTTATTATTTCCCTCTTGCATATAGAGATAATTTACAAGTCGAATCTAATGCTCAAGTTATTAAGTTGATAGTGTCTGACAGTCGAGTTACCGGTGTGACCTACACAAAAAGTGGGGAAGAGTTTACTGTATCTGCTGAGAAAGAGGTCATTTTATCAGCTGGTGCAGTTGGCACACCTCAAATATTGGAGCTGAGTGGTATTGGAAGAAGAGATATTTTGGAGCAGTAAGTTGTCTTATTTTGCAGGTCATACCTCTGACACCCACAGAAATGGTATTGATGTTATACTGGAGTTAGACGGTGTTGGTGAAAACTTTCAGGATCACACAGCTATTTCTGTAGGCCTCAATTACACCGAATTTGCGTAGTTGACGTATCCTTCTAGACTATTTGGAAGTTGAAACCAGAGTTTAGCTCAAATGATCGATTGTAAGTAGTGTGTGACAATTGTAATTCCACTCACAGCCTATTTAAAGGACACACGACAGAGAGCTGTATCTTGAGGAGCTGCAGAAATTCCAACAGGGTGACTTCACATCAAAACTTGCACACGTCGGAGCTTGTCTTGCATATGTAAGCTTGGATATTGTCTTCGAGGAAAATGAGAAAAAATCATACCTGAAGAGCGCTCAAGAATGGGTAGAGTCTCAATCTGACTCAGTCTACGCTTCGTTGTATCAGGAGCAGATGAAATTTATTGAAACTAATGCAATCGAACATCTTGTGGCCAATAGTTTTGTTTCATACAATGACGATAGAAAACCAGAGACTAACACCAGCTACATTTCCGTCGAGGCTGCTGTCCAACATCCGGTAAGTGTCTTGCTTTATCGGTATCCAGAGGTTGACGCCATACAGCTTTCACGTGGCTCTATACACATTCAGTCGCAAGTATCACAATTTTAGGGTAAATGTTGCTTACCGTAAACACAGCTCCGACCATAATGATCACCCTATATTATCAGCAAACTATTTTGGAGTTGAATCAGATAAAATTTTACAGACCCAAGGATTGAAGCGTAAGTTCTTTTGAACAAATTTTACGCTGTACTGAAGTCTACAGACATAAGGAAGCTCATGAAGTCACCATCTATGCAGGAAATAATACAGCAAGAGGTGTATCCTGGTCCAAGCGTGAATAATGATAAGGATCTTGAAGAGTATTGGAAGACTGCAATTAGAAGCGAGCATCGTGAGCTGAATACCTTCTAAAGAGAGCAATATTCTTACATACATTTAGACTTGATCGGTACTGCCAGTATGATGCCAAAAGAGCTTAACGGCGTTGTTGATAGCAATCTAAAGGTCTATGGGCTATCTAATTTACGTATTGTGGGTTTCCATTATACAAATCGACTAAATTACTTAGACAACGTTAGGCTGATGCATCAATAATGCCGTTACACGTAAGTGCACATATCCAAGCAACACTTTATGGTATCGCAGAAAAGGTAGATTTGCATCTTGATCTCAGCAATTTCTTAGCTGATATCTCAATAGACTGCTGACATGATTTTAAAATCTAACTAGCAATCCGCAACGAGTTTGTATTATAATTTAATTAAATGTTATCAAAGCAATTGCTTTTGAGAGGGCGCTTTTGCCTTGATGTATTACAGTATCTTTTGCGGGCTGCCTCGAGCACTTCAATATGTTGGAGAATACTCAGTAACTTGTGAAGCAACAAGATGATTGAAGAATTGGGCTTGCTCGATCAAGCTCTGAATAATCCACCTGTACCACTATTGATCTTCGATCTGGTTTCCCTCTGCGTACATCAATGATATCACCAGAATCGTTTTACTAGAGTGAACTCATGGCGAATCAAGAGAAGGGCGAAAGATAAATGAACCCCAATCCTTTATAAAATCGCTTTGCTTCAGTAGCCTGTTTCTCCTATGCCCGTCTATTCAATGGGCTATTTGCATCAAGTTGAGTAAAAGACTCGAAGGCCGTTTAAACGGATTGAAATGTGTTAATTTAGCAAACAATACTCGAATAAGCACATTGAAAGTTCACATGCTTCGTAGCTTCTCATCTTTCCCACTTTAAGGCATTTCATTTGATCGTCGCAGAGCATTATCAGCTCATAGACGATCAATCACTTGCAAAAGTCAATACTCAGTACAATTTTCAAGTTGATTACATGCATTAATTACTCTAAAAAAAGTATTTAATCCCCCAACTCTCACCTCATCACTAAACCAAAACACGGCATCTCAACGTTATAGAACTATAATTGCTACAAACTTGAGCAACATTGGTATCATTCCGAAACAATCGCTTTTGATAAATTCGAGATTGATTTTTAGTATAAATAGGGTGTGGCGCTCTGTAATTGCCCATTTAGATGTAGAATGCTCCTTGTAGAGAGTTTTGGAGTTTGAAAGCTTTATAACCAAATCATCCTGCTTTCTGAGATTCTAACGCGGTCTTAGCCACCTTCACACCACCATTACTTCCCATTATTTGAAATCTCGAATGCACTTGGTCCATCCAAAGTCGCGATTTCAAAGTTGGGCTGACCCCCCCCCTTTTCTTTAGATCGATTGCATTCAATAAGCTTGCAGCCATGCTATAACACAAATAATAATTCCCTGGAGCCACTTTTAAGACTTATGGACGCTAAATACTTGAAAACGTAAATCGCGTTTATATAGCCAAATACCTGGAAATTTTGAGTGTTTGTGGTCTGCATCCTCTTAAACAATTTCTTTCCATCGATGAAGCACATGAAATCTTCCATATCTATCCTATAGCGTGCTCTAGAGCGATATCGAATTACAACCTCCGAACAGCCTACATTGCGCGATTGAAGGCTCAGAGCTAAATCTCGGGTACCATCATGTAGAGCTGATTCATGACTGTTTCTTTGGCTGTTTTAATTTGCAGATCATCAACTCGTATATAAGCAATCTGAGATGTGAGACAGGTGGAAGTCGAGAAATGCAAATCAGTGAATATTGAGCGGAGGGTTGAGATGAAAATGTATTGGTATTGCTAGAGTTTCTATGAAAATTGTAGTCTTGATATTTGTTTATCTTGCCAGTACTTGTACTTGTTATCTCTGCGTTCGTCTTCTCGATTACTTGGTCATTTTCAGGGTGCCTTGAGCTGATTTAATTAAATCGGCGATTGTTTACTTTCAAGTAATGCTTAAGATACTAGACTGAAAAGTCAATTTTTCCTGATATCTCATTACATCATCCTGAGGTTCTCAGTGATCTTCAGTCGAGTTGCAAATAGGGTCTTTGTGCGATGATAGGCAAAATCTGTTAAATTCGCTTACGCTAACCATCACGGTATCAGATACATTCATTTAAGTCGTCTACTTGCTCTTTTTATCACTACGATGGTCGTCTCGGCAAACAAACGGAGGAAGGTATACAGCAACAGCAGTATTTCAATGAACTCATCAAGTTGCCTACAATAAACACTGTAGCAGACTGGCATTAATTAGTTGCATACGGCCATAATGAGTGATGATTCATTTTCAAAGTCTGTTTGGTATGCAAGGTGTGAATGAATTGTTAAATTAATAATAAATAAAATGCGAATGCGTTTTATTCTATAAGTTGCCTGTCTAAGCTATCGAAACGCGGCCCCATCCTGTCCATTTCTTTGAGTTGTCGGTTGACATGCGAGCGATAGACACCGTCATACGCTTTAAGCGCCCAAGAAAAGAATCCGAGTGCCTGCTTAGCGGATTTATGCACAGACAGCTTACTTTCAACACCGGCCTCGTCTTCTATCTTGACAAGTGTGGCGAGCTTCTCATGCAATGGTCTCAATCTAGCGAATACGAGATGTGGTGCTAAATCCGGTTTAATTTCTTTGCTTATTTTGATTGCTGTTGGTTTGGAATCCGTAAGTGATCTCATGTTAGACGTAACGGAGGTGGGTGGATATTTTTTGACGAAGTTCGACAGCACTTCTACAGCTTCAGAGAGCCGATTAGATCTAATTACGTTGTCAGGTTGGTCAACAGAGCGACAGAAAAGCTTACCGAGCTAAATTATTGAGGTATGTCGACCATGTTCTCGAAATGGTCTTCTCGTCAACACCATTATCATCTTCCATCTTACGCTTCTGCGCCAAGCCAGCTTCAATAGAGGAAGACTGCTGAGCTACCACTTTGCTTTCATCCATGATTACGGGTGTTATGCTCTCCACGTACTCCACGTACTCTTCAAACAAGCCATCAGCGAGATGAGCAGCTTCCTTGTGATGCTTGTAAATATACTCGAGCAACATGAACATGTTGTGACCATTTCTAGATACATCCAATTTTATTGACAGTCTCTTGACAAACTCTATTAGTTCTGCAGGATTATATTTGGAATGGTTAAGCCGTATGCTGAGGTAAGAGTTGACTAAGCGACTATTGAGATTGACATTTTCAAAAGGTTTGAAATTCTCATTAGCGTGGTTTTCTGGCTCCTTCTGAGCGAGAATCAAACCATCAACAGCCAAGCTATGACCTTTGTCGGCGAGTATCCTGTTGAATATCATATCAGATTCTGCCATCAACTCGTGGGGAAATTGTGGTATCGACTCTGGAGTAAATGAGTGGGGATCATAATGCTCCGTCTTGTCTACATCCACTCTATCTGAAGTCTCGACCTCAGTTTCATCGTTGAGAGGTTTTTTATAGTTTAATTGAGGTGTTTGGGCAGCAGCGTATGCATAAAAAAACCTTGCAACATCCTGGCTGGTGATAGGGTAGCCGCTTCTCATCCAATTTGCAAACACGTGTCTCGCTCTCCCAACGTCTCCGGTCCTTTTCGCCAATTCCATCAACGCAGCGAAGATTAGATGGGTTGGTTGGATACCTGTGTCCAACATCTCATTAAACAATCTGTCAATTTCACTTGCAGTTCCTCTGCGATGACCTTTGGCGAGTGTGTGGATGAGTGATGCGTAAACAGTTTGATCAAGAGGGAGGCTATACTCCTTCATCTCCTTGTACAGATCAAGAGCACGCTCTATCTCCGGCTCGACTCCCTCCGCACAAGCCGTTATCATTGTGTTGTATAGTGATATCGATGGTGTAGGGTGTGCCATCAATCTGGAATGCACGAAGAGATTCCACCCTCTCTCCTTAATTTTGGATGGCTGCTTGCTTAGTAAGTGCCCTTTGATGAGGTTGGTGTAGGTTGATTGAGGTACTATCATTCCACGACTCTCCAAAGACGACAACATGTTCCAGGCATTTGTCAAGTCAGATCGAGAAGTGTGCGCATCCACCAAAGCACCATATGATTTTTCACTAGGTTTGATCAGATGTTTCGAGTAGTCTATCACTTCGGCAACTTGATGGAGTGCCCCGTGTTTGGCGAGGATGGAAAGAGTGTCAGTGTACATGTCCGCTGAAAGTTGCTGTGTTCGTTCAAGAAGAGCAATTGTCTGCTTGATGTGATCAATGTCTACTTGATGGGCCTTTACAGTGTTAGAAAGGGAGTTAGAAAGAGGGTGAAACTTACAGCTGAAGTGATGATTGTGTGCCACTCTCCCTCATTTGCTACTTGGAGAATTGGGACAACATTGTCTTTGGAAATTGAGCTAGCGCCTATACCAGATGCCTCAATGGCTTCGCTGAAACGATTAAGAAGAAGACCGCGTTGGTGTTGAGATAGCTGAATTCCCTTAGACTGACGGGTAATGGCATCGATTTCTTCGACATGGTGTATAGCGGATTCCCTGGATTTAACTCTAGTGGAAGATCTAACTGGCAGAGAGGATTTCTGCTTGTTCAACCAGATTCTTCTCAGTCGGTTTGCCAATTGTGAATCGATAGCAGGCGTTGACGACAATTCAGATTTGAGCTGATGAACGAGAGACTTTCTTATGTTCATTAATTTATGTAAATTGCTGTCATCTACCTCAGAATTTGGTGCCATTAGCTGTTTGTACAATTGAGCGATATCCTGTGAGCTGAACGAGCCAAGCTCTTGGGAAATTCTCTGACCAGCCAATCTCTTTTCATTGAGCCTGAGAGTCTTGGCGAGATGCCTCGTCTCAGCCTGGAGTTTGTTCATAGTCGTTGGTGGTTGAGGTTAGAGGGGGATAAGGTTGCTCAAGATGCCTCAAAGCACGCGTGGTATCATCAGCAGTGTATAGCTTGGTGCAGATTTACAGTCGAGTGCTAGCCGCTGCGTCGTCTGAAAATTTTACAGCTATATAAGATACAAACAATGTTGCAAATCTGTGGAAGCCAGTATGTTTAAGAGAACCGCTTAATGAGAAAAAGAACGAGTAACTTTATATTTGTACATAAACTAATAGAAAGACTTCAACGCCCTATCCAAAGCGTTAAGAGATCTAATTTCAACGAGCCCAACGTGTTCAATGTGGTTTGGGAGAGCTGTTGATAATGACGGGAAGAAATCCTGCAATTTGATAAGCTCAATACGCTGTGGAGATAATAAGACGCACCCTCCAAGTATTGTCTAGGGTGAGTAGAGTCCTATACGTATCTGAATGCCATCCAAGCTTTATAACGAGTCTGTGGTTTGTTGTAAGTGTGTCTAACATAGACTCGTGGGCTATTGCCATTTTATTGAGGTGATTAAGTACAGTCCATGCAGCGGCATCATCCTCAACAGGTTCAAAGCCATTCAATTCCTTTATTATGTTTGTTATCTCCACTCGTAACACGTCCAATCCCGGTGCAATGCGGTCAAGGCCCGCTTTTCCTGTGCTGGACCGTATAGAAGACGTTGATCTTCGCAAGGCCTGGGATTTGGAGGTTGTGTCATTAATACGTTTTACGATGTTCGGTATTGTAGAAGTATATTTTGTAGGACGTATTGAGCCAATTTTCGAGTTCGAGTGTCGGTGATGGCGATGGAATACGCTAAGCGGTGCGCTTGAGCAGAGAGCAACAAGCAGGAGTAATACAACCAAATACTTCCTCATCGTTGTTATTGAAAGTTAAATTAAGCCTTCCCAGTTTTGGAAGGTGAGTGGCCTTGTCAAACACTCCATATCCACCCCATTCTCTAAGCGATACGCAAATACGCTTGGCAGTTGCGGACTTTAATTTAAAATTTTGATAGTAAAGTATTCTATTTCTATAATTATTTACAAAATATTAATCCTCGCCTTCAACAATGAAGTACGCAGGAGCATCGAGCTTCTCGAGTCCTTTGAGGAAAGGAAGGGCGACAATGAACAAATATTCAAGAGTTGTACCACCAGCTTGCTTAATTAATTGTCCTGCTGCGGTTGCAGATCCACCTGAAACACTGATTTTAACCGAATGCGGTTATATTTTCTGCTCTAGTACTCACCAGTCGCGATAAGATCATCGATAACGATCACATTCTGGCCAGGCTTTATAGTGCCTTGTTGCATTTCAAAGATGTCTTTGCCATACTCTAATGTGTACTCCACTTTGCTGCACTGTCCAGGCAATTTTCCGCCTTTCCTCACAGGGACGAACGCAGCACCCAATCTCATGGCAAGAATTGGACCCAACAAGAAACCTCTTGCATCTAATCCAACGACGGCGTCTACTTTACCGCCCTTGCCAAGTTGAGGGATCGTATGAGATGTGATATGTGACATTAAGTGGGTGATGAGTATTTCAAACTTTAGCGGGTCCGCGAGCAAAGGGAATATATCCAAGAAGGTGATTCCAGGCTTTGGGAAACCAGGATGCACGCCTAAAGATTGCTTGATTATTTCTTTGTCCATTTCCAATTAGCAAGAGTTGATAGTTAAAGCCGAAGAACTTCTTCAATTCTAACATCCGTTATAGCCGATATAAGCTTAGACTATTAAAATGTTTGTACCACTGTTGATTTACATTGGATTCTGAGTAATTGGTTTACAGGATAACAGACATCACGCTCGCACAGTTGGCCAACACGCTAGGAATCATCACAATGCTGGCTATCGTACTTTTCCACTTCCTAGACACTCAAAATGACCAAGAGAAGAGTACTTAGGTGTACAAGCCTCAAATAAAACCGACAAGTTGCTGACACGTAAGATTACTGATTCAAATACCACATCAAAAGTAATTAAATAAATAAATGTATTTTATCATGTACCCTTACCTATCCTCACTCTTTAACTGGATTGTTTACTCTTACTGTCATCATGGTCATTTACGGTGCAGGTGGGATTTTTGGTTGGATTTACTTAATACAATAAACTAAAGCTATATACAGACGAAGTTAGCGCTCTTGTCGTTTCCGCTGGCTCAACGACGCTCTGTGCAGGTTACGCAGGTGAAGACGCACCAAAAGTAGTTATACCAACACATTACACCCATAATCAGGAAAAGACTTTCTTCGGTGATAACGGTCCTGATGTCTATAGAGATGGTTATCAAGTTGATAACACAATGAAGGATAGCTTAGTCGATGACTTTGATAAGTTCACAGAACTCCTCGAACACACCTTCACGCATTGCTTACGCGTTAACACGGAAGACCATCCACTCTTATTCACCGAACCTGCTTGGAATACTCAGAAACATCGGGAAAAAATCGCTGAAATTGCTTTCGATAAGTTCAACGTACCTGGATTTTACATAGCAAATGACTCTGTCCTCTCTGCATTCGCTGCAGGCAAATCAACCGCTTTGATTATCGATATCGGTGCTGAATCAACATCCGTTACTCCAATAGTCGATGGATTTGTCCTGAGGAAGGGCGTTGTTAGGAATAATATCGGCGGTACACAAATCACAAACAATTACCTCAATAGCTTGGATCCAACTCAAAGAAGCAATCTAAATACCAACCTCATCCCTCACCAACTGATCGAATCAAAGACAACAGTTGAACCTGGTAAAAATCCTCAATTCACTACTAGAAGTGATATCAACCCATCTGAAAGCTGGATGAACTGGTCAAAATCAAAGATACTCAAAGATTGGAGAGAGTCTACGTCTGCTATAAGTGAGAACGGTTGGGATCATGGAGCCTTAATGCAACGTCCTATCAAATCTTACGAATTCCCTAATGGTTTCGCTGACAACTATCAACTTTGTCGATTCGTAGCTAACGAGATACTGATCAATCCAATCCCCTTCAATCCCCTACCACACACTCCAAACACTTTTGAACCTGCCTCAATAAATTGTTCATATCCAAAACCCCTACCTGAACTAATCAAAGAGTCCATTCAAGCAGCTGAAACAGACAGTCGCCATCATTTGTTATCAAACATTATCATTGTCGGTGGTGTCAGCGCAACGCCTGGATTAAGCGAGAGAATACAGAATGAATTATACGCTGTATTGAGCAATACAAGAGTTAAAGTGCACTCACCTGCCAACACTGTTGAGAGAAAATTTGCTTCATGGTTGGGCGGCTCTATGTTGGGTAGTTTAGGTACATTCCATCAACTGTGGATATCTCAAGATGAATGGAGAGAGTTCGGTAATCCAATAGTCAGTATGCGTTGCAAGTAAAATATTCTATTTATTTCAATTTAAATAAACTTGATAAAATTGTTCATAATGAATTTCAAATACGAATGAGACAGGTTCAAGAGTGGAAACAATGGATAAATTGATTTAATTGTGTTTATGGATTGGTTTGAAATTTGTACTATTGCCAATAGGTGAAATTTACTACTTTGAATTGATGGTATATATCAGTTTAGCTGGAGATTGATTCAATTTAGTTCTTGCGACAGCATCTGAAAGCATTGGTTTTAATCCAAAAGTAAAGTGCACCAACGAATTTAAATGCAGTTATACCGAATGTAGTCCACAGAATAACTTTGAAAAACATTGATTGCTTGTGTGTCAACCATTGGCTATATCCTCTAGAATCCTTTATAAACTGCTCTCTTTCTGCATCGGATGCTGATAATTGTGGTACTGTTGGTGATAAACCATCTGCGCTTTGAACGACGATGACGACAATCATATTGCAAAGCAACCAGAACAAGACCAATCTAGATCTGAAAGCCTTGTTCTCATCATCACTTGATGGCTTTTCTGGCTCTGATTTCTCCTTAATCTTCGTAGCGACTGTTCTCTTGACCGTTTCTTGAAATGCACCATCAATATCCTTCTGTTTCATAACGTTAGTTTCAGCTGTTGCTTCACCACCCTTCTCCTTCTTGGATTTGACGGCAGGTAAAGCGTCATCTTTATCCGAACCTTTCGTACCCCAACTGACATCATGAAGATTACAGAAAGCGTAGACGTTGAGGACGTTAATAAACGAAGGTGCCATCAACAAGTATTGAGGGAATGAAGTAAACATGTGCCATGGATCTAAGAAGAGGAACGATGCCAAAAAGTAGATACCGAAAGTAGCTGCCAAAGCTGCAATCAAAACAGAGTTCTCCGATTCCAAAACGTATGCTAATCTTTCCCAAGCATTCGTACCTTCAACTTTCATGTTAATGAATGCTTTGACTGTAAGGAAAATAGCTGAATAAATGAGATAAAGACCAAGAATACCGAAGACGCTGTTAAAATTAAACTGTTAGACCAATACTATCTTAAATCAAACCAAACCCACAAGAAGGAAATGTTGTAGAATGTTCGCTCCGCTTTAGGCTTATTACCCAATGCCAACACAAATTGACAAATAACTATGAAAGCCCAGATCCATTGAAATGACCTGTTAAACCAATACGTGACAACTGGGGTACCGAATGAATAGATTGGCGTATCACCGGTACCTTGCTTTGATAACAGGGTAATAACGATGGAGAAAGTGAGCCATAGACAACTAATAGAGAACCAAGAGAACATCAAGTTAATGGTGTTGAAAATCAATTGGACGTGCAAGAAGAACATCCTGACGATACCGTGTGATGACCTATATAACCTGAAGAAGTTTGCAATAGCGTAAACGGATGCGGCAAATGAACCGTTCAACCATCTTCTTCTTTGGGAGATCAATTCTGGACCTTCTTCTGGAACATCAGTCTCAGCTTTAGATGACTTAACGTATGACAATGTCCATCTTGCATTTTCTTTGGCAACCAATTCGAAGCAAAGAATACGATCTTCAGCTAAGAACATGTTCTTTGTAAAGATATTCATACCGTTAATACCTTTGTTACCGAGTCTCTCAGCCATAGAGTGATCACCGTGGAAATATTGCTCGAGTGGTCTGTCTTGAATAGCTCTATATCTATAAGCAGAGAAAGCACCTGGCAAGACAGAGACATAACCGAAAGCAGATTCAAGTGGCTTATCGAGGATGTTTGAAATCTTGTATTCGAAATTTTGAGCAGCGACAAGAGGGTTTATGAGCTTCTTACCACCTTTCAATTGAGCATAGATTTCACCACAAGCACCACCCAAGTTCTTGTTGTTGTAGAAAGCCTCCCATATATAGTAGAGAGATTTCTTGTATGGCTTGGTACCAGCATCAAGAAGAATACAAACTTCAGGTTGTAGCATTCTACCAATAGCGTTAAACAACCATCTGTGTGAATTGATCTTCTTCTGGTTCTTAGCCTTTGCGACCAAGATGATTTGAACTGGAACAAGGTTGTTAGGATCATCACCGTGAGGAACGATAAGTTGAGGAGTGGTGTCGACGGAGAGTTGCGTAGTGTACTCAAAAATATGGGCTTCAGTTTGTTTGTCATCAATTTCCTTCTTCATGACACCATCTTGGTAAACACCAATAGTTGCTAATAAATCGAGGACAGTTTTATCCATGGGTTCTAAACCATCCGTGATAAGGGCGACGACAATTCTTTGCCAACCAGGTTGACCACCTTCAAGGCCAGCTGATCTCCAATACTTTGATTGACGAGTTTTGCAGATATCTCTCACGTTGAGCATAACTGCATGAAGAGAACGAGCGTAAAGGATCTTGTCTTCGTTGTACGAAGTGATAACGATGAGCAGTTCAGTATGTCTGCCGTAATTGGAAGCTCTCAAAGACCAGCCATTCTCTGTGGTGAAGTCATCAGGGTCGCAAGTAGCTGCCGTGTATCTTAGGTGGGAGAACTCTCTAGTGTGGGTGAAATCCCTGTAGACGGGCTCCAAAGCGTTCTTTACAGCTGTTGGGACTGGGAACTCGTGAATGAAATGACCCTTTGTAAGCTTAACTTTGACAGTTTTAGCTCTGTCTCTTTTAATAGTTTGCCTGCGACGCCAATCAGCCTCAGCGGACATTGCGTTTGTAGCAGGCTCCTCGTATGGGCTGTTGTATGGGTCACCGTATGTTCTCGGATCAAAGCTGTGCAAACGTCAGTCGGTGATCCAAAAAACACATAAATTTCACTCACCCAGCTGGAGCATACGTTTGTATTCTGTTGTCAGCCGTTAATGGCATTTTAGCTTCAGAGTCCTCGTCTAGGCTGTGATTAGGGCTATCAAATTGACAGCAATACGCGCAAACTCACCTGGATTTGAAGGGGGATATGCGCCTAAATTAGAGTGAGAGAATGATGATGGCGGGTAATCGTAAGGCGTTGCTTGGCCACCGTTGAGGTTCACCGATGAAGACGAAGGAAAAGAGGGGCTGAACTGTTCCTCGCTTAGTGGAATTCTTTGAGGCGGTACTTCAGCGTGGTTAATTGGATTCCTCTCATTGAATGGATCTGCGTAAGGTCTGTTTGACATGCTGCCAGCGCTGTCCTCCCAAAAACGTTACGTGAAGAAGCTTGAAGCTCGAACGCAGGCAATTCACTAGTGCGTAAAATGAAAATGAAAATGAAAATATATTTTGAGTTTATCTTATTCCCTCTTTTATGCTTTATACATCCACACGCGTTCTATCCCTCTACGCTTTTATCCTGGCCGTGTACTTGATATTTGTTCGTGCACTGCAGCATCTTGCGTTCCTGTAACGAATCAATGCGTTACTCTTTCATTTTAAAAAGGTTTTTTAAACCTCATATACTACTCAGTTTAAATTTTAGCTTCTCCGTCTCTCCACGGCTGGACCTGTAACCTTAATTGAATCATCGGCATCTTCACTCCCTTTATCCTTCATTTCTTGCCTTGCAATATCTGATATATCAAGATTGGATTTCTTAAAAGTACAATTTATAAGTATAATAGTCCTGAGCCTGAGAATGAAAAATGTTCTTCACCAACCTATCCATTTGCTCTTAGGTTGCTGTTTCGCTGGTAAATCAACTGAGCCGTTCTCGCCATCCCATACGAGGCGCAATCTTTCTCCATCTTTATCTTCGAACCAGAATATTGCCCTTTCGGGTGTCTCTATGCGGATATCTGAGATAAAGTATTCCTTGGTCTTTGGGGGTTCGGGTCTCACTGGGAGTTGCTCAATGAATCTGAAACCAATTGGTCCTAGTGTGTATTCGATTTGTGTGAGGTCAGATGGTGATTGAGCGTGTTCATATTGAATGATAGAGTGTCCAAGGCAGAGCAGTGTCTTACCACCATCGAACATGATTCTTCTAAAGAGATTATCACCTCCAAGGAACTCTGCAGCTCTCATTAGCAATCTAGTAGCGAACCAATCGTCTGATATTCTATTCGGGAGGTGGTGTGGTATAAGATGTGTCCAGCCGTTAATAAAGTGGTGCATAGAGATGAAGGGTAATCCTGACTGTAGATAACCGGCACCCGATCCAAGTACATCGAATTGATGCAAACCAGGCTCAATTGTGAGCACTTCCTCAAAAGGGATACCTAAAACGTAAGCTGCACATTTCGTGAGTTTGCCGTCGCCACCCCAATATATGTTAGCTTCTCGAACGCAGTCTTGGAATTTATTGCCCATCTTCTGCATTACGGGGTTGGTAATAAATAAGCCAGCACCACCGAAAGCTTGTCTGCCAAAAATTTGTCTTTGATCGGCACCCTCAGAGATATCACCAATGAAATGATCATCAGCAGGATTGTACTTGCTGAGCATTCTCTGCACTAGCCTTAAATCGGTGAAAAAGGTATCATCGTCGCCAATGCAAAGCCAGTGAATACCGCCTACTCTTTTAGCAATTTTGTTTGCCTCCATGGGAACAGAGAGCATACGAGTTTCATAATGATCAATTTCGCTAACTTGAACGATACAGTGCAATTTCCTAACTCTCTCCAAGAAGACTTGTAGTTCTTCAACTCTATCTTGATCGGAGGGAGGGAGGATAACGAGGCAGCGCGCACCAGGAGACATGAAGTGACGCCAGAGGGTGGAGTATTCTCTAGCCCTTTTAGCGGTTGTGGTCATTGCGAAGAGAATATTTTCAGGTTTAGGAGCGGAGTCGGACAACTCTGGAACGCGTGGGTAAATGGGAATAGTGTGGTTCGGAGTAGGGGGAAAAGTGTTGTTGAGGTATGGTCTACGAATACCCCCGAGACTGAGAAGGGGATCATCATACGTAGGTACCGGCGTCATTTGAGTGGTCTCGTGCTCCCAAGGGACGACTTCGGGAATAAGGAGTGCCTGTCTAACTCTCCAAACGCCGTGTGGAACAACGTATTTCGATGGCTCAGGCCAGAAGCAAACAACAGCGATTGTAATCATAGCAACCAAGCCAAGTGCCAATTTCTTTGCTTTTGCGGGAGAGCTGTAAGCGGCGGCGGCAGCGGCTGCTGCAGTGACTGGGATTGGCAGGCTTAATTTGCCCAATTTGCTCATTATTGTCGTTGGGATGGAAGATGTTTCGAGTTATCGGTCGCAGCAACTGAACTCAGCGGCTGCGGATATCGAAAACGGAACAAAGTTTCAAAAGAATCAATGATTAAATTACATGTGTAAATGTTGTTTATGTATTTAATTGTTCTTTCTTTCCAACTGCACAACGCGTCCGCATCTAGTCCGTAAAGAGTCAGTCACACAGATGTAATGATTGCGTAGCCAACTGTGAATTATCCCTAAGACTGATCTTTATCTCTCAATTGCACCCGATTTGCTTGAAATTTTAAACAAAACTAGCTTATCCATCTACTCCACCGTTAACCGCAACATCCAACAACCAGGAAGTGAATGGAAATCAGTCTTCCATCGCCAGCAACTTTAAACACTCGAAATAAATTCGTCGGCGTAACTAAAATGCGCAGATTGAGGTTGCTGATTACTGTGATCATAGTTAGCGTGATTGGCTATTTGACTATAAATCATCATATACAGACAGCAGGGCTGCCACCTTCGATATACAGAGTACGAATGGGTATCCTATCGCCCCATTTTTCCCCTTGGAAAGAAGAAACGAGCCAATTGAAGCCATTGCCCTTCTACAATGACGCTCTTCTTACACCACCTGGTATTAAAACTCCGATTATACAACCACCAAATAACAAGAACATCCTCACTAAAGCTCTCCCGTCTATCCCTGTTAACGATATTGACGTATACCCTCGCCTTCCCTCGCTTCCGGCGAATGCTCCTCAATTAAATCAGATTATCTTTGCAATGACTACGACCCCAAGTAGAGCACGCGATTACTCTCAACTTTGGTCTCACTTTATCAAAAGCGACTCTAAATGTCTCGTTCTTCTCGCTCCTCACGACGCCCCTCAACAATCCTCCCTCGAATCCTTCTTACGCAATACAAGGGGCTTAAATTGCTCTGTTAGATCTTCCAAGATAGACATCTACGAAGATCGTATGCTTTCTTTACCCGGTGAAGCCCTCCAATTCGCTCCCACCGTCGATTGGGTCGTCGTTAGCGATGATGACACCACTTTTATCGATATTAGATTAGTTCAGCGTATGCTGTCAAAGTACGATCAAAGACAAGATTGGATCTTGGGCGGTGCCAGTGAATCCCCTCGCCAAGCACATGACTTCGGTTTACAGGCTTTTGGTGGTGCCGGTATCTTCCTCAGTAACCCTATTGCAAGAAAAATCCATAGCCAGTACGATAATTGCGCAGAAAATTCTAGAGACGTCTTTGGTGGCGATGGCAAGGTGTCCGGGTGTGCCGCTTTCGTTACCGGTAAAGACATGAATCATCTTGTTTCCCATGAGAAAGGTTTGCATCGTAAGTTGAATTCTATTATCCCATCCACACTCCTCTCACAAAATACAGAATTTGATATACATGGGAATGCCGAGGGCTTCTTCCAATCCGGTTTACCATTTATTTCTATCCATCATTTAATCAAAGGTTGGTCTGACATCATTCCTACTTACTTCCCTAAATACATGTCGGAGGATTGGACATCCATCAAGATTATATTACGCGTCGCAAAATTCTTAGGAGGCGACAACATGTTTAAGAGATTCGCTTTTGATGGTGGTAGAACTTTGGTGACGCTCGGTCATTCAATCATCGTTTTCAGGGAGACGCTCACGCCTGAACATTACAGAAATATTGAAAATACTTTTGGAGACGATCTCACTGCGGATTTCCCCTCAAGACCACATAACAAGAGGTCATATGAGTACTTTATCAAAGACATCTATCCCACTTTCATAGATTTATCCACTGTATCTGGATATACTGAGCAGCCACCTCCAAATTGGAACATCTTATCTGACGATGAAAAAGATCATGCTCTTCAACAGTCGTCTGCTGCAACTTTCGTCTACGAAGAATGGTATAGAGGCCGCATATTGAAAATGGTCTGGGATGAGTTCAGATCTGATAATGATCTCAAAGGTGAGGGCCTGTGGCATGGTCAAGAGTGGTTAGACCGCGAGGCAGAGAGCTTGCAATATAAGTATCAGTCTACCTCCAAGCACGTCTGACCGCACCACTTTCTGCATAGATCATTTTCTGTTTATTAGGTTCTTAGTAATAGTGTATAACTAGTTGCGCTTTTCCAATCATGAAACATTTAAATATCTTATTCGTATGTACTTTAAGTGGTGTAATAAAGGTAATTATCGATTATATGTGTGAATCAAAATGTTAGTATATGGAAAACTTCGTGACATGTCTAATTTAGTGTTAGTGTGTATTTGGATAAAGTACCTCGCTCCCACCTCAAGCACGATGCACTCTTTGTCTATCATTGCACTTTCGACGCCAAGATCTGTAAAGCTAAGGATAGTTCTGTATGGTAGCTTGAATTCAATCTCTCTCTTCTCATTATCTTCATCTTCCTGGGTGTATATTGCTTGGTTCGTTAGAACATCTATTGACTGCTGTGATCCTTTCACCAACGCTTGTCTTTCAGGATACCCGTCTGTTTCATGCAGAGACCGTTGGACGGATTCACCAGGTGGAATGTGCTCCATATTACGCTCTTCTTCATCACTCACATCACTCATGTCAATCTCTTGCATGACGTTTATCTCATCTTGTCCGCCTATCTCGCCTTCATGGTCGTCGGCTTCGTCTTCCTCTCCGTCATCCTCGGGAGGAGGCTCAGACATTGTCCTACCATTTCCAATCAAGGCGCCCTCTTCTTCATCTACCTCATCCTCATCCTCATCCTCAATCTCCTCATCGTCTAAGTCATCGTCAATTTCATCCTCGTCGTCAACATTGTCGTCTATGTGCTGTAAGTATCTCCTGTTCTCTTCATCTATTATAGCTTCTATTCCCTCGAGCGCATTCTCATGATTTGGAAGGTCGTTGTTAGCAGTAAAATCTCTTATCCTGGTAGCAATATGGTTAACCATAGCCTCATGATCGCCTGTGTGAGGTGCAATGAGAGTGCCTCGTTGATGTTTCTGAACGTATCTGTCCATTCTCCTTTGACGCCCACCTACCAGTGCTTTTCTATCTGCGGTGAGTGTAGGTGGCTTACTCTGCCTAAGACGAGGATTGAAATCGATCAACTCAATCATGTTGATCTTGGGTACGTTACAGAAACGTGTGCCATACATTGGGTAAACAGACTTAGGTTCGCTGATCACCCTAGTAACATGTGCCAAGAAATAAGCATCAAATGAACCTTTCGAACGACTCTCGCCGTGACGACGCGTGTTGTCGATCTGTGAAACGTCCCTTTCTATCATATTCTCGAGCATTTCTTTCTTCTGGATGATGAAAGTTGCTGGATATATGTCGTCTGACAGATAGTCCGATGAGGCCACTTCGATGCACAGACACCCTGACTCTTCAGTTGGTTGAATCGAGCCTCTGTTTCTGAGCGATGCATCGGTCGTGTGAGATACGACAGGCTCCGCGAAGACGAATGGAACGTGTTTCTTACTTCCGCTTAGATCGTCAAACTGAGAGGATGGTTTAGTGAGTGCAAGGCATTTGAATGGCTACTGACGAGATGAAAGTCACTGAGTATCTTAAAACCAACAGCATCAACTTGCCCAGATGGAATATCCGGTAAACCATAGCTGTACCTCTGCTCAGCTTGTTTTTGCTGCTTAGAATCAAGCTGAACACATTGAATGATAGGATTACCAGTATTTTCCAATACAATTGCAAGTGCTAAGATATCAGATGTAAGAAAAGCAGCAGCTTCACAGAGGTTTAATTTGTCGTAGTAGACAGCCTCCAAAGCCATCTGTCTAGTCCAATTCCATACGCTGACGACAGATTTGCCATCTCTTTCATTAAATTGCACAGCCAGATGGGGACCATTGAGCTGCATCTGGAAAGGCGCTGCGACTGACGCGCGTAGTATGTTGTGAGTGAAGGGTGCTGAAGCTATAGGATGCTGAACTGCTTCCTGCTCATTCAAAGCCTTGGAAAGACTGAAGAAACGGAAGTAGAACTGCAGCATCGTGTTATCTGTTTGAAATTCCTGTATGCAACACACGATGAGGTCATTCTCGACATCCAAATCAAAGTCTTGAATCTGTTTTTGCGTGCCGCCAGTATCGAATTTAACAATGGAGGGATAGAGTGGATGAACGTTGTCGATGGAGTGTTGAGAGGATTCGCCATTCGACTGTGGTAACTTGTAGAGCTCAAATTGGCTGTCCCTTGAAGAAACAAGGAAATAGCCGTCTCTAAGCACTCTTAGGCTAGAATGGCTGTGTTTTTTGCGATAAGGAATGTTATTAGGATCTAATCTTGCCTGGAGTGCTGATTTGTGATCGCGTATAAGAACATGGTGCTGTTGTGCGTTTAGACAGTTAAAGTTGCCTTGAAGATTCTGGACCTTATCAAGCCTCTGTTTGATAGCGTCTGGGGTGTCTGTGATGCGATCTGATTGGTTGTAAATTTCAAGCCAGTACTTGTATTGCAGTTCTATTGTGGTGAATAGAGAGTGGAAATGTTTATTTGTAAGTGCAAAGCTCTTAAGGCTATTAAAGTCTAGGTGATTCGCTATAAGAATCCAAGTCTCTGCGGGGAGTGGTTTGAGTGTGTACATTTGGTAGATGATGGTGGTAATGAATTAAGAAGCATTTTCCCCATTTCACTCGTTGCTCTCAACCTTCTCTTTCAAATTATGGGTTATCGTCTCTGTGTATTAGGTGGCTGCTAGCGTAATCCTAGCAAACGATTCTAACTCGTTTTCAAAGGCTGTGGTACTATGGGTGTCGCCGTACTCTCCGGCGTGATCGACGGTCTCAACACTCGCAACTCAATGTCTACTTCCCAGCTCAATACCGACGACGCGTCTGGTACTTCTACCCCAATTGACATTTCCTCTTCACAAGCTATCATGGAAGCTAAAGAGTCTTGCTTGCCTTCGAAATTCCTCTGTACTGTCAACAGGAGTGAAAGTGCCAAATCTCTGCGCAAGACTTTTGACCTTTTGGGAGACGCAGGCAAACAAGTAAATATCTTACAAGGCGGCGGTGTTAATGTCGATGCTGTACGCGATTCTGACGTGGTATTGCTATGGTTAGTTACGATACGCGCTCGATTGTGATATTAGACTAAAGTTTAAATCAGCGCCAAACCTCAAATGGCTCACACGATTCTCAATGAACCTGGAATGCAAGAAGCCCTCGCTAATAAGCTTCTCATTTCGATTTTGGCTGGTGTCACTATCACTCAGATTCACTCTTGGGTCCCAAAGTCTACAAAGGTCGTGAGGGCAATGCCAAATACTCCATGCAAGGTGGTTATCTTATGCGTTTACTACATTTCTCTCACACTCGGTAGATACGCGAAGGTATGACAGTTGTTTCAGCACTCCCTACCGACTGGGTATTCGAAAAGGAACTCATTTTAGCTATTTTCCGCTCAATTGGACGTTGCAGATTCCTTGAAGAGAAGCACTTTGACGCGTGCACTGCTCTTTGTGGCTCTGGTCCGGCATTTGCTGTGACAGTCTTAGAAGCAATGGCAGATGGTGGTGTTATGATGGGATTGCCAAGGGCTGAAGCTGTAGAGCTAGCTGCGCAGTGTGAGTTACTTGATATCCTAATCAAGCCCACTAAACACTTCTAGCCATGCAAGGAATCGCAAGGATGGTGTTGGAGACAGGCGTTCATCCAGCTGCACTCAAGGATAGCGTCACAAGTAAGTCGCTGTATCTCTTCCTCTTCCCATTTAACCCTATCCAGCACCTGGTGGTTGTACTATCGCTGGTCTTCTCGCCCTTGAAGATGGAAAGGTACGTTCAACAATGGCACGCACTATCCAAGTAGCCACGTCACACGCTTCCGGTTTAGGACAGGCTAAAAAGTGATTGTAATGATTATTTGTATTATGCATCATTAAAATACAACTTGATTTAACTTATGCGTGATGATTCTTTGTCGGAAAGTGGAGTGAAACGAGAGATGATTGAGGGGAATGTGTTCTTGACTACTGTATCTTTTGTTAGAGGACGCCGATTTATATTCAGAGGTGCTGCTGTTGTTTGCGCCGTCTGTTGACGTGAGTGGATAAACACTATTACTCCTACCTCCGCCATCCTTATCATCCCCGCCATCATCACGCCGTCTCCCTTCCTCCATGCTCCGCGAATCATCACCTTCACCTTCATCACCTACCTCTTCTTCGTCGTCTGGATTTGGTTTTGTGAGGAAGCGTTGATGTTCAGTGTCGTCATCATCGTCGTCATCACCGACGTCGAAATCATCAAGGGAAGTCTGCGCTCTGAATCCGTTGTCTTGAGGGGTTGTTTTCGATTTAATTAGGGAGTCAATGAGCCAGAACTGGTAAGAATCGGTGAAAATTAGCGAATTAGCGTGTTTGAGCGGGTGATTGAATAGACATACCTGCATAACGTTCATAATAAGTGGCCAGACACACATTGAAATGATAACTTGAGCATTTGGACCCATTTCATCGAGGAGGAAGTCGGAAACGCTGAAAATGAAGGGGAAAAGGGCCAACGAAGCTACGACGAGGAGCTTCATGAGGGTGAGGATGAGTACGTAGACTGATAGTTGGAGTAGCCAGGCTTGAGGAAGTCAGTGAGGATTTCCAGCTTCGATAAGAAACGCACAGAGAATAGAAGGCGGAGAACCATAGTGACCGGAATGGAAGCGCTGCTTGTTGAGCTTTGTGACGAGGATCCAGTGGAATAGCTTCATAAGGCCATAAATGATGAGTACGCCAACAGTAGTGTCTATAGAGATATTAAGAAAGTAGCCACTGCATGGATTTCTACCGCCATGAACAGCGAATAGATCAGAAACGAGTAGGTTGAAAGCGTGTACGAAGGCTGTGGGTATTTAGTAGTGATATTTTAAGCATGAAAACGCCAACCTTGTCCGATAATCTGCTTGGAAACGTCGCAGAGCCTGTGGCCAGCGTGAGGAGTATTCTACGACCGCTAGTACGAGTAACCCACCAAACTTTCCACGGACGCCTGATAGATTCCCTGTAACGCTTGAATACGAGTGCACCTATCACGATTAAGCCCATCAACGCCTGTACGCCCAAAGCGACTGGGCCTGTGCGACGACAACGATTAGATAAGGTGCCGAATATAAGGAATATAACAGACCAAGGAGCCTACACGAGCCATCATCTAATTCTGGTGCTCTTCTGAGAACCATTTTATATTCTTAATTGCGTAATCAGTTCAAAGTCACAACGCAACGCTTATCGTAACTATCATGAGCTGGTTTTCATCTTCTTCATCTGCCTCACAAAGGAAGCCCGTACCGGATATTCCCGGTAAATCTTATTCCTCGCGTATTCCTCCGCCTCGTGCGCCAATGGATGGATCGTGCGTCTTTGTGCCTTATACAAGTGCTGGGTTGACAGACAGCGCAGCTACAGTGTACAGGCTGTGCCTTCAGAAACACTAGCCCTGTCCAACAAGATATTCGTACACCCTTCCACCTTCAACCAGGATGCTCCTGCTGTCCTTGTCAACGGCAAATACGTCTTCGTTACAGCGTGGGAGAATGGTTTGGCTGATATCAATTTAACTCACATATCCTTTCAATAGCCCCGATCCTACTCCTGAAGGTGATCCACGTAAGATTAGACAGGGCGCTTTCGGTGCAAACGCCGTTCAGCGTCAATGGGCACAGCTCTCCCTTGCATCACCTGTTAATCTCTCCCCTGTCGTTATTGAGGACTTCCTCGAAAGCGTTGATATCGAAGTGCGCCGTGTTTTTTTTTCACTTTTCACTTTAGACGCTAACACGGGTACATAGATTGGTACAAACAAGAAGGGCTTCGAGCCACAGCAACCATTCAGTGCTGATGACTTGCAGACGAGTTTCTTACATGTGCGCTGAATCCGCTGTTTGATTATCCCTTCTAACCTCCACTTGGTAGGCATACACAGGTCTCATCCTCAGTCCAGGTCAGGTACTCGTTATGGACTACCACGGCATCAATCTCAAGGCTGTTGTACGCAATACCTCTATAGTTGCTCTCATGCAGGATACCTCAAACTCTACACTCAGCCAAACTGGTCATGTTATGGACACTACTACTATCAACTTCTCCAAAGACCCAACCAGTCTTATAAAGATTAAAGGCTCTGCTAAAAGACCTGCTGCAAACGCTGTCATCTCACCCAACTTCAAATTCGAGGATATGGGTATTGGTGGTCTCGATGATGAGTTCGGTGCTATCTTCAGACGCGCTTTTGCTTCACGTGTCTTTCCGCCAGGCTTAATTGAAAAGCTCGGTATTCAGCACGTCAAAGGTGAGCTTACATGTGTTTTCTAACTCATCCTCCTCACCTTGTTCAGGTATATTGCTCTACGGTCCACCGGGAACTGGTAAGACATTGATGGCACGCCAGATTGGCACCATGCTTAATGCACGCGAGCCAAAAATCGTCAATGGCCCTGAAATTCTTAACAAGTTCGTCGGTCAGTCAGAGGAGAATATAAGAAAGCTTTTCGGAGACGCTGAGCGTGAATATCGCGAGAAGGGTGATGAAAGTGAATTGCACATAATAATCTTTGATGAACTTGATGCTATTTGCAAGCAGCGTGGTTCGACTGGTGGAGGAACTGGTGTTGGAGATTCTGTCGTTAATCAGCTTCTCTCAAAGGTGGGTGAAATGTTCATTATCGGTTACACACTCACATTGCAATCTTTGCACAGATGGATGGTGTCGATCAACTCAATAACATTCTCATCATCGGTATGACCAACAGACTGGATATGATCGATGAAGCACTCGTTCGTCCTGGTCGTTTGGAAGTACACATGGAAATCAACCTACCTGACGAAAAGGGCCGTCTTCAAATTCTCAACATCCAAACTTCCAAAATGCGCGATAATAAGGTTATGGATAGGGATGTAAGTTTGGCTGAGCTTTCAGCAGTCACCAAGAACTTTTCTGGTGCAGAAATAGGTGGATTGGTAAAGAGTGCTACGTCATTTGCCTTCAACAGACATGTGAAAGTGGGTTTGATGTTGTTATTGGTTTTGGTTACCGCTAACACTATGTGCAGGTTGGTACTATGGCTGGTGTCTCAGATGACATAGACAAGCTGCAAGTAAACCGTGCTGATTTCATGCACGCTCTCGATGAAGTTCATCCTGCCTTTGGTGTATCTGAGGAGGAGCTCGCAACGGTTGTGCAGAATGGTATTATACACTATTCATCGAGCATTGGGGTGAGTGAAAGAAGGTGAAAGGTTGCGACACACTACTAACGCACAGATCAGAATATTCTCAACGACGGCCAGCTATACGTTGAGCAAGTGAGAAATTCAACACGCACACCACTTGTAAGCGTACTCTTACATGGACCTCCTGGTTCTGGTAAGACTGCACTCGCTGCTACTATAGCGATGAAGTCCAACTTCCCATTCATCAAGCTCGTATCGCCTGAGGATATGGTCGGATTTAGTGAGGCGCAGAAGATAGCGCACATGAATACAGTATTCAACGACTCATACAAATCGCCGCTGTCGATAGTAGTGATTGACCAGATTGAGAGGTTGTTTGGTAGGTTAAAAGGGGTGATGATAGCAAGGGAGTAACTGATCATCCTGCAATGCAGACTATGTGCCGATCGGTCCACGTTTCTCAAACAATGTCCTACAGGCATTACTGGTGCTTCTCGGCAAGCGACCACCAAAAGTGAGTTGATATTGTGCGCGTTAGGATATTTTTCCCGCTCACACACCCACCCCCAACAGGGCAGGAGACTTCTGATACTAGCGACGACGTCAAACCGGCCAATATTAACAGATATGGATGCAATAGCGACATTTGATGCACAAATCCACGTACCTTCCATTGCCAAGTTAAGACATGTTGATTTGGTGTTGAGACAGGTAGGTTTGTTCGACGACGAGCAGGCGCACGAGCGTGCAATGGAGCTGCTCCACCAAGCGCAGCTCAACGAGAGCGGAAAGCTGCTCATTGGGATTAAGCGTCTACTGGCCGTTGCGGAAATGGCGAAACAGGTGAGTGTGGGGACGGACCACGTGATGGTGGGGTTATGGCTAACAAATCACACTTCAGGACCCAAATCCCGCCGAGAAGTTTGCTACGACGCTTGTGAACTCGCTGTAGATTCTTCGCGTCACGTCGCGCTGCGGTTGTTTGTAAAATAAATAAATTTCATCTTGTGACATTGACATTGACGTCATACGCTCGTTCAACTTAAGATTGGCCGGGTGACACGCAAAGTAGGGCGATGCGGGAGAGGAGGGGAAGCAGCTGACAAGCGCGTAGTGAGAACACCACCAGCAGGAGTAGTACCGACGGAAATGCGAGAAGGCAGTGTGCGAGCGCCGCTACGAAGCAAGTTTATATCGCAGCAGCTGGATGATGGACATTGGGTGTCTGCGTATGCGCCGAGTGAGCTGGTACGCGTACGTGGACACAGGCCATACCATAACTGGGGAGACCGTGCACCGTGGCCGACGAGCTACACGTTACAGGCGATTGAAATGGATCAAATGTGGCACAGTACACTGAAGAGCTACAGAGAAGGTTCGAATATAATGAGGTTTCCGGTACATAGCGCGCACACACACAACGCACAGCCATTCCGCGTTCTCGATATCGGCTGCGGGACTGGTACTTGGTGCCTGGAAATGTCGCAGACGTGGAAACACGCAGAATTCTGGGGCATGGATCTCGCTCCGATACAGCCAAATCCGGCTTACCTGAGCCAGGACGATAGCCTCCCCCATCGCGTTAACTGGCTAATTGCAAACTTCCTCGATAAATGGCCTTTTGAGGATATGTCATTCGATTTCGTCAATATGCGTTTCGTCGCACTAGGTATACCGGAGGTGCAGTTCTACCATGTCCTCGACGAAGCTTTTAGAGTGCTGAGACGCGATGGCCATCTGGAAATCTATGAGCGCACGTACCAATTCGCCGCGGGACAGGTTCCTATCCCCCTCTCGAACCCCGAGATGGCACAGAGAGCTCAGCGGCAGAAGAAGCACTCGCACACGGATCTCGAGCAGGTGTATGAGGAGGTAGAGACGGTTAACTTGAAAGCACCCGATTCTAACGCGTTACAGGTCCTCACCGCACACACCATCAACAGCTCCCCGCTGTCTATCATAGCCTCTGCGATTGTCCTGTATGACGGCAAGGTGGGTGTTATGTATTTTGTTGTGTTTAACAAATCTGACGCTGTCTTGGTATCGTCTACTAGAACATTGTACAGTCTCCTGTTATCAGAGGTAGCTTTCCAGCTCGCTCTTTCACCCCAGAACGTAAGATGGATATGCGGGATGCGAGGCTGGAGCCCTGGATGAAAAAGCCACATGCTGAACACTTTATCAAGACAGTTACGCGGGCTATCGAGTCGCTGTCGCCGTATGAACGTGATTACCGTTTCAGAATGATACTCCAGTCGCTGTCGACGATGGTGTCCGAAAGCGCTGACTGGCTGTGGGATGAGTTTACCAGCAAGGTTGTCGGGAGTGAAAATGGAAAAGTCAATACCCACATTCACTCCCAACCACACTCCCCCTGGTCGAGCAAGGATAAATTCGATACCCAAGTTAAAGAGTGGTCGATGGATCTCAACAGAAGAGCATCGGTGGATAAATTCCTCGAGGTGATTTTTGGTTGGGAGGACGGAAACGAAGCCGAGTTTTGTCCAGGTGGGAGGAAGCTTGTCGGAGCTAAGACATGGTCGAACGAGAGGAAGTTGGAGTGTGAGTCTGCGGAAGACAAGCTTGGATCGTGGCAGATGTGTGGATTCAGGATACAGAAGAGTTAAAGGGAGGGATACCAATTATGAAAATTTTACACCATGTACAAATACATACCAACACTTAGGAATTTAACTATGTATTTTGAAAATAACAATAAAAAGTTGACTATTTGATGAAGAAAAATCAAGTAGAGAGAAGGTCGTTATAGGATAGAGATAGGTGAGCAGAGTAGGTGCTAAGGAAATATATCATGTGATGGGTGAATGAGTGCCATGTTCATAAGTGTCATGTTAATATGTGCCAGGTGTTTGATGATACATGCGATTGTAAAGAGAGAGTGGAATGCATTTAGAATTACTACTCAATTGAAAGACGCATTTGATCAAGTGGTATAGGATCAAAGTTGTTTAGATCGATTCCCATATCAGATTGAAGGGAGCTTCTGGCGAATGACGGGACGAGGGTGTCATTTAATTCAGGTTTGATGGATAATTCCTCCTTTGTAAAGTTAAATAGGGGAGGGAAGGGGTTACCATTTGGTAGCTTCCCATCAGGCTGTCTTAATTCGTCGAAGAAGGGATGACACATGGCGTCGATAGCAGTTAATCTCTGTTCGGGGGTGTATTGGAGCAACTGAGTAATGAGATCGACGCTATCTTGAGGAGTCTTTGGTCTAAAGACTTTGTTGAAGGGGTGAGGTTTAATTTGAGGGAACTTGTGTTCCATGTAGTTTGGATTCATAGTCTTAATTTGATCTCTGGTAGGTGTACCCAAGATTTTGATGATTTCGACTAGCTGGTCGATACCTGATTCACCTGGGAAAAGAGGTTGACCGAGCATGAGCTCAGCCATGACGCAACCAGTGGACCAGATATCGATAGCAGTAGTATAGTTAGTTGCACCAAAAATGAGTTCAGGGGCTCTGTAGTACCTCGAACAGATGTAACTAACATTTGGCTCACCTGGGATGAGCATTTTAGCCGAACCAAAATCGCATAACTTGAGTTCACCCGTGTTTACATTCAGGAGAAGGTTCTGCGGTTTGATGTCTCTATGACAAATACCAGAGGAGTGAATGTAAGCAAGTGAGCGGAGTAGCTGATACATGTAGAGCTTAACGTGTATCATTGGCATAGTCTGCTTCAACTTTGAGTAATGACGTGAAGCACGGTAAACGGTCTCTGGAACGAATTCGAGCACCAAATTGAGATAAACTTCATCTCTAGCGGGTTTGTCGCCTGAAGAGTAGAAGAAAGCTTTCAAGTTGACAACGTTCGGGTGGTTGACGATACGCATGATCTGTAGTTCACGGTTCTAAGGCGTGTAAGATGGGTGATTGCATGTACCCCAATCACTCACCTTAAACCTCTTATCCTGCAAAACCTTTTTAACGGCAATGTCTTCTTCCCTTGGTGAAATTAATTTAGCAGCGAAAACAACACCAAACGAGCCATTGCCGACTACTTTGCACGAAGTGTAGGATATTTCAAGATTATCGCCAGATCTGCCATCGCTGGCATCTACTTTGACTACCTTATGAGGTTCATCCAATGTATTCGATTTGTTGAATGGGGTTGTGCTGCTGGACATAGTGTATCGTGGTGGTGGCTGTTGACAAGGTGTCTCCCTTGAATTTTAAACTTTACTTGAATATTTCAAGTCAATTTCTTTTTACTAGTCTTTCCTATTATTCTTTCTTTTATATTCAAAATTACAAGCCTCCCCACTAATTCGCCTAGCCATGCTTGTCACGTGGCTACTACACTGATTAGATCATTAAATATTTTTATTTAATAAGCTTATCTTTCTAATTCCACCATCATGTCCACTGTGAGTATTCTCTGTTACTCACTCCACTCCTCTCAAATCTCAGCCATCTTCATCTCTTAACAGGTCCATGCAGGATCTTTGGTCCCAGTCTCGTTCCAGGGTTGCTACTCCACCTGCTGGTTCTGCTGCCCACGCTGCTGCGATGGCTGTCGAGGCTGCGGCCAGGGAGCAAGTTGGCGGCGCCCGTAAAAACAATTTGAAAGATGTACAAGGTGGTGTTGAAGCTAGCATTGAAAATGGCCTGGAAAATCCTTTAGAAAATCCTCCGGAAAACGCCCCGGAGGCACCCACAGAAACACCCATAGCTGCCCCCTCAGAAATTCCCCAGGATGCTACCAAAAAGCGTAAAAAATCTTCCACCACCACCAACAACTCAAAACGCTCTCGGAATCAATCTTCTCAGTCTTCTATCGATACTACTCCGCCTACCGCCCGTCTCACCGATTTAGGCGGTATAAATGAGTGTGTAGAGAGAATGCTCGAATTGGTTGCAATGCCGCTTACTCACCCAGAAGTTTACCTCCACACAGGTGTACAACCTCCACGCGGCGTTCTCCTCCACGGTCCACCTGGCTGTGGTAAAACTCTACTAGCCAATGCAATAGCAGGCGAAATGGCTGTTCCTTTTCTCTCAATATCTGCTCCTTCAATTGTTAGTGGTATGAGTGGTGAAAGTGAAAAAACTATCAGAGACACTTTCCAAGAAGCTGCCTCACACGCTCCATGCTTATTATTCATTGATGAAATTGACGCAATCACCCCAAAACGTGAAAATGCTCAACGCGAAATGGAAAGAAGGATAGTTGCTCAATTACTCACTTGCATAGACGATCTGAGTTGGGATAAGACTGATAATCGTCCAATCATCATCATTGGCGCTACAAATCGTCCTGATAGTCTTGATCCTGCTCTTCGTCGCGCTGGTCGTTTTGATCATGAGATTTGTATGGGTGTTCCCGATGACAGTGGCCGTGAAAGTATCTTGCGTGTTTTATGCGCTAGGTTGAAACTCGCAGGCAGTTTTGACTTCAAAGCTCTCGCTAAATCTACTCCTGGATACGTAGGTGCTGATCTTAGTGCTCTTACTGGTGCAGCTGGCGTGATTGCAGTGAAACGCATCTTCAAGCAGCTAGCCGATGAGAGTGGTGAGATGAGTATGGATGTAACGACTAGTGGTGAGCTTGATGAAAATCAGAGTACGCAACTCTCTTCGCTGCAATCACTCGTCAATCACCTCCCCAAACAGTCAACCATCGCACACTTCCTCCTCACACACCCAGCTCCACTCACAGACACCCAACTCGAGCGGCTATCGATAGAGTTCGGGGATTTTGACGCAGCCCTTAAGATAGTTCAACCGAGCAGCAAGCGTGAGGGATTTGCGACGGTACCCGATGTGACGTGGGGGGATATAGGAGCGTTGCACGCGACGCGCGACGAGTTGCACATGGCAATAGTTCAACCGATCCGCAAACCCGAGCTATTCACCTCGATAGGGATCCATGCCCCATGCGGTGTGCTCCTGTGGGGACCTCCTGGCTGCGGTAAGACGTTGCTCGCGAAGGCAGTCGCGAACGAGAGTCGCGCCAATTTCATCTCCGTCAAAGGCCCCGAGCTACTCAACAAGTATGTGGGTGAGAGTGAGCGCGCGATACGGCAGGTGTTCATACGCGCTCGCTCCTCATCTCCTTGCGTCATCTTCTTCGACGAGCTGGACGCATTGGTGCCGCGACGCGACGATAACCTCAGCGAAAGCTCAAGTCGCGTTGTTAACACCCTTCTCACTGAACTCGATGGGCTCGAGTCGCGCAAGCAGGTGTTCGTTATTGGGGCTACTAACCGACCTGATATTATAGATCCTGCTATGGTGAGACCAGGTCGATTGGATAAATTGCTCTATGTCGATCTTCCAAGTGCTGAAGAACGCGTGTTGATTGTGCGGACTCTCGCTACTAACACACCTATTCACCCAAGTGAAATCGCTAAGGTGGATCATCTCATCGCTTCGGATCGCTGCTATGGCTTCTCGGGTGCGGATCTTGCCGCACTGGTTAGGGAGGCGGCTGTTTTAGCGCTCAGACAGACGCTTATTTCTGATGCTCACACCGACGCTCAAACTGACACTCAAGTCCCCGTTGTCGTCCTCGCAGACCACTTCAGCTGCGCGCTCGATAAGGTTCGGCCGTCGGTGAGTCTGGCGCAGGTGAAGAAATACAACACGCTGCGCATGAAGTTTAGCGGGTTGCCTACCAAGTCCAAGAAGAGCGAGAGAGAGGAAGGTGATGAGTAAGATGGGGAGTCATAGAGTGTTATAGAGTATTTATGAGAGTATTTATACATATTCTAGAGTGTCAGAGGAGATGGATGGTCTTCTTGTTAAGATGGTGGCGGTTGGAGATACGCTGATATTCCAAATACGCAGCTTGGATAGAGTGGGAGTGAAGGGTGTGTTGGGAGTGTTCAGAGTTGTCCTCCCCCTCCTCCAAGCCGCGTACAGTAAAGGGAGAAGAAATAGGGATGGCTGGAGAGGGTTTATGGATTGGATGCTCTGCTTGGTAGACGATGGAAATTGCGATGAGGTGATGGAGAAAGTCTAGTGCGAGTGAGTTTAGAGTGTCTGGGATATCTTCTAGGTGTAGGTGCTGCAATATGTTCAGAGTATGGCTGTGTGTATGCTCACACCTATCAAGCAATTTAAGAGCGATATCAATAGAAATCCCCTTGCTCGTCGCTGAATCAATGAAATGTCTCAATTGAATGCTTAGTATGTTTTGAATAATTTGGGTGTTTGAGGGTGTATATCCATGTGTACTACTGATATAATCATTCAATGACATCCTTTTACCAGTAAATGCCTCTTTAAAGCGTCTTTTCTACTAAATGACTTGCCACAATTACAGTTAAATGGCTTAAAATCCGTGTGGATTCTCTGATGTCTCTTTAGATCGTGATTCCTGGAGAAGAATTGATCACAAATTGAGCACTTGAATGATTTCAAGGTTGTGTTAGGTGTGCTTGTATTACCACTGCTAGCTCGTTTTTCAAGTAAATGAGAAGATTTTGGTCTTTTGTATTTGTAGATAAAAGTCCTTTTAAGTGTCTTATTAGCTCCGTCTAGCTTGAAATTCTCAGTATCCGTGGTGGTTGTCGTGGCTGTCGTGGTTGTCGACATGAACCAAGGTATTCATTCAACAACGATGAACACGCCCACGAAGCCCATTCAATCAAAATTTGTACCATCGCCTTCTGTGAAGAGGCTATTCAATTCCCCCAACTACTCAATCCTCAGTGCTTCTCCACAGATTTCAAGGAGCGCTGCAGTGGATTTTGACTTGAACTACGATGAAACTGGCGGCCACGACGACTCAATTAACCTCCTCCCACCTCAATCCACCGACTCTCAGCTCATCGATAAACTCCGGCTATGGCGACACGACGCAATGATGCAGCATCTATACACGACCGCTCAATTCTGGGGCGATAAATGCTTACACCTCACAAATGACCCAAATGACGCGTTCTGGTTGGCTCAGATTTACTTCTACACCCACTCTTACCTACGTGCTGAGCAGCTTCTCACTAATCCTTTCAACATGAACGGCGATTTCGTACGCTTATACCAAATTTCTGTCTTTTGCAGATACCTCACTGCCCAGTCTCAGCTCAGGCTCGGCAAGTGGCACGAAGCGCTAGAGCTGCTCGGCGACACCAACCCTTTCAACAAAGACCCAAATCACGGCTATAACGTAAAGTGTCACGATGGCGGGATTAAGATTGAGTCCTCCCTCTGTCACCTGCGAGGTCTCATCCACCTCCACCTCAACAGCCCTGATAAGGCTAAAGAGTCTTTCATCGAAGCTCTCTCTCTCGACGTGAAGAATTACGACGCTTTTATCAAACTAGTCGGTGGTTCTATGTTGTCTGACGAGGAGGAGTGGCACTTCGTGCAGTCCCTTCACTACAAAGAGCAGATTGAGCATGATAGCGATTTCGTTAAGTTGATGTACACGACGCAGCTGAAGAAAAATCCCGCGCATGCAGCGCATATCGACAGATCGCGCGATGAGCTGTGTTTGGAGAAGTATGGCTTTGAGCAGAATGTCGATATATTGCAATCGCGAGCCGATTCGCTCTACTCACAGCTGAGATATGGGGAGTGTTTCAAGCAGACAACAGAGTGAGTGAGAGATTTACCAATTTAGTTAGAAACACTCAATAAAGCCTCATAGCATCCTCAAACACCACCCATCCCACCCAACAACCCTTCCACTACACATAGCGTGCATGCAGCACCTACCCAATCTGCGCAGCTCGCTTTTTCTGCTCGCTCACCAGCTCATCGAGACGGACCCTGACAGTGCGGTGTCGTGGTACGCCGTCGGCGTGTACTACTATCTCGGCAGCTACTACCAGGAAGCGCGCCGGTACTTGTCTAAATCCAGCCTTATGGATCCGCGCTTCCAGCCGGCGTGGATAGCATTCGGACATGCTTTCGCACTCGAGGGTGAGCATGACAGCGCCATTACGGCTTACTCGACAGCGAGTAGACTGTTTCCGGGCACGCACCTCGCCTTGCTCTACATAGCAATGCAGCATATCCAGCTGGCGAACAACGGTGTTGCGATGGGATTCCTCGCGGGTGCACTGTCTATTTGCACCAACGACCCCGCGGTCTACCACGAGATGGGCGTCGTGAGCTACTTCAATATGGAGTATAGCAAAGCAGTGGAGTATTTCGGCAGGACGCTCGAGCTGGAGGGGTTGGAAGGGGGTGTTGATGTACAGGAAGATTCACTTACACACGCACACAAAACCACCGCAACTACCTATCTCGGTCTCGGACAGGCGCAGCGCAAGCTGAAGCAGTTAGCACAAAGCAAGGCGAGTCTCCTGCGCGCGCTGCAGGTCGATGATTCATGTACTGCCACACTCACCACTCTCGGACTCGTCCACAATGAGCTAGGCGAGATGGAAGACGCCATCGAGGTCTATCACAAATCCCTCTCCATACTCCCAGGTGACGCTATGACGACGGAGTTGCTCAAGTTGGCAGTCAGCTGCAATGTGCGCGCTACGTCGGCGGAGAAATTCAATCGCCTGCCGGAAGCGTGGAGGGTAGGGGGAGTAGGTGGTGATAACAATAACAATACCAACCACACCAATCACACTAATAACACACTCTCCTTCCGCGATGACTCGTCTATTCTCAGTCAGAGCAATAGCAACATCGATATGACGCGCCATCTAGATGACGAGGAGAGTATGCTTATTGAGTAATGTAGTGTAGATTACATGTATTGATTAGGTTATTTATTTGTTTCGTTGTAAGCCTCATTCTCCGCGCGCTTCTGTTCTCTTTTGCGCTCATCTTTGAGTCGCCTTTTGACACCTCTATTTTTTGGCTTTGTGGTGTGCGACTGCGGGTGTACGTGTGCGTGTGCGTGTGGCTGTGGCTGCTGCTGCTCATCTTGATTCCCATCTTGATCACTATCGCCCTGCTCACCTTCACGCCGCTCACCGACCAACATAACAACCCTAAGAGCAGATTGACTGCGCTGGTGCATTTCGATATCAGCCTCTTTATCTGTGGGGAGAACTTGATCGATGACGTCGACTGTGCGAGTGCGCAGAAGAAATCTGATGGCGTTAGTGGAGTTACCGAGGTGCTTTCTAATCATTGGAATAAGCTGGAGCGTGAATGGGATCGCCGCAGAGAGTGTATTGAGTATAATCTTCGTAGCGCCCAATTCGAGGACTAGCGATTTAATTCTGCGGATATAATTGATCGCGCTCTTCTTCCTGCTTACGTTGATAACATTTGTGCGTTTCGCAGCGCTCGTTGTTGCTACGGAGGATGCACGCCCAGAAGCGGTGCGTGAGGATGGCATCGGCGGTGGAAGCTTACGAATACGAGTGGAGAGCGTCTTATTCTTGTTTGTACACCCACTCGTATCATCCGTCCTTATCCTCTTGCTCTGTCCATCGTCTTGGTCTATTTGGCTTTTTCTCTTGTTCATCGAGGTGAAAGAGTGCAAGATGAAAATGATCCAGACGCGCGGATTCTCAGTGGCACGCAGAGTGAATAAGTCACACAGCGCACAGAGCCTAATACAGCCAGTGCCGCTCTCAAGCATAGACACACAAACCATTCCAACCAGCTACACAAAGCAGCCAAACCATTCAAATTACCGTAGGAATGGACTCGTAGATGAATTCATACAGCTTCAATCCATCAACGCACTCCCTTCAAACCTTCTCGTAAGGAGAGACGGCGGGAGAGTCGCCAACGACGGCATAAAGAGCGATGTACGCCGCGATCTCAAGAAGGTAATGAGGAATTTGTAACATATATATTTTAATTTGCACATTTACACTCCCATGCTCCCTACAGGACATACATGGATGGCGTGTTATACCTCTTGCCATTGTACACGCTCTGACCGACTTGCCAGCCCTTTACATCTTTCATTATCTCGCTTTCACGTGCCATTGCCGCACGCTCTCTCCTGTAGATGTCCCTGTCGTTCTCTGCCATCAGTGCAGGTACTATGTTGATGCGTGACCATATCTTTTCACGCTCGAGTTCTCGCATCTCAAGGTTCCCTTGGCCGAGCTTGTAGAATCCCCAGCCAGATATCGCGAGGATCGTGCCGAAGATAACTGCTCCGCTGGGTCCTTTCAGCGGGAGTGATCGCTTGTATTTGACTGTCTCAAAGCCACCAGGCGGTGGGAGGTCTCTGGGATATCATCAGAGGTGTGCGTAGTGCTGCAAGCCCACTCACTGCTTGCCTCTGACGTACTCCATGGCTGTTGGTGGTTGCGGTTTGAGGAGAATCCGTCGACTGACAAACACAGCCAATATTGCACAAACACAGCTCAATTGTAATTTATATTCATTTACAACGCCTAAACACCCTTCCTCACTCAACTTGCTCGACATCGCTCAAGTCTGGCTGCGAAGGGAAAAAGTTGTAATCGTCGTCGATATCGACATAGCCTTGTAGATATTCAGGCACCTTCCTCTCACCTCCCTCGTTCACCCCATCCACGTCCACCGCCCGCTCATCCTCCACGCCCTTCACCACCTTGTTATCCTGGTCCACGTAAATATCAAACTCATCCTCCTTCTCTTTGTACTCGATGTTCGTCTCGAGCTCTTCAAATCCCGGTGCAAATGCTGCCCAGCGCTGTTTGTTGTTTGTTGTCCACGTCAGTATCTGCCCATGACTGTCTATGCTCGCCATGTGTGGTTTGGTAGGATGCCAGATCACGTCGTGCAGCGGACTGCGCGGTCCTTCGACCACCTTGATCAGTGTCCCCGATGTCGTGTCCCATATGTATATATAATGTCCCGCTTTATGTCCGCTGCCTGGAATTTTGTAGCGTTGAGTACCTTGAGAAACCCTACAAAGCAAACCCACCGCCTATTATGTACTCGTTGTCGTTGGAGAAGGTCACGCCATTCCATATCGTTCTGTCGATCTCGTCGGCGAAGCGGAACAGCGTGGTTATCTGGCGCAGGTCGTCGGAAATGCTAGCGACGCGGATAGTGCGATCTCGCGAAGTACAAGCGACAAGTCTGGGCGGTGTGAGGTGTGAGTTGTGTTTTCAATCTGTACCTCCCACCTGTCTCTGTTATCGATTGCAATCCGCTTGATTGCGCCATTGCAGATAGCAGTCTCTGATATGACCTGTAATAGGTGAGTGCTGTGATTTAGATGTATAATTCCCCACACACATTCAAACTCGGTAATTCAAAAATAAGCAGACAGCCCTGCGACGTTCCCCCCACAATGAACCGGCCACTCGGGGAAAACATAGCGGTTGTCATCTGCGACCGCTGAATAGCCTGGCCGTTAGAATCCGTCTCCCAGAGCATACCTATCTCAGTCTTGGCGAGTTTCTCTTTTTGTCTCAGCTGGGAGAGATCGACGAGGTAAGTCTGCTGGGTGGACAGCGTGGCAACGACAGACGTGCTAATGAACGGGTGCAGGAAGGCTTCCTGCACTGGAGCGTCGTATTTGATAGTATGCACGCGCTCGCCCGTCTCCACGTCCCACAGCACACAGCTCCAGTCCCTGCACGCCGACAGAAGATATCGCGAGTTGGCTGACCAGCTGTGGTGATGGCGGGTGCGCGGTTAGCACTTGTCAATCATCGCGTAGCACCCAGCTCTCAGCACCCACCTCACCGTCACGACAGCCTTCACGTGCGCCTCCAACACCCGCAGCGGCGCTAGAGTGAGCATGTCCCAGATATTCACGAACCCGTCAAACCGCCCGGTCGCAAGTAACGTGCCTTTGTACTTGCCCCCGTGGTTGTACGCCGCACATGTCGCTCCTGCGTCTAGCGTGTGCTCGAGCGTCTCTGGCCGGTCTAAAGCGAATGGGTCTGCGGCGTGGTTAGCTGTGTCTAGAGCTGCCTCTGCTCATTCCACCCACTCGCCAGTGCTAAGTCCATCGATAGCGATAGCGATAGAGATTGAGCACAACAAATGAGCGCATTAACGCTTTCTAAAATGAAGATATATCAAATTGGCTGTACATTTACGTCTCCACGTGTGTTTCTACATCTCAGTTTTCCTAGTTGGGGTTTTCTATTGAGATTCCCGTTTTGTCTCAATCTCAACCTGATATTGCACATGCTTCTCAGAAGCGCGGCGAGGATGCATGTACAGATCTCTGCTTCGGTCTGAGAGCAGCGTTACCGTATTTAAGTTCCTGCTGAGCCTGTACGGATTCGATCGACTTGAAGTATCTAACGGTCCCGACGCGTAGTTCAAGTGTGGCATCTTCATCAGCCACCACCATAGCCCATGGGTGTTGCTGAATAGCAGAGACAGTCCACATATGATTGACGCCTTCCTCGATAGACTTGGCGAGAGCGGGAGCCTTATGTTTGCCCGTGATTACGATTATAACCTCACGTGCATCCATCACCGTCGCTATGCCCACTGTGAGAGCCATCTTGGGTACTTTGGCTATATCGTTGTCGAAGAAACGCGCATTGGCAACGATGGTGTCGTAGGCCAATGTTTTCATGCGCGTGCGCGAAGCGAGCGATGAACCAGGCTCATTGAATGCAATGTGACCATCTTCACCTATTCCACCTAAAAACAGATCTATTCCGCCAACAGCCTCGATCTTCTCTTCGTAGCGCGCACACTCTTCTACCAGATTCTCCGCTTCACCGTCGAGGATGTGAGCGTTGTGTGGTCTACGCGGTGTTTCTTGTTAGTAAAGCTGTAAATCACGTGAATACACTCTCGAGAGACTACTCACTCTATATCCACCTTGCTGAAAAAATTGTCAAACATGAACGAGTGGTACGATTCAGGATGCGACTTGGGAATACCAACATACTCATCCATGTTGAATGTGATGACATGCTTGAATGAGACCTTTCCGCGGTTGTGCAGGTCGATCAGTTTGTGGTAGACAGGCAGTGGTGAGCTGCCCGTCGGCAAACCAAGCACGAAGCGCGGGTGATCGTTTGTTGGCTGGAACTCGTTTATGCGCTTAGCTATGTAGTTGGCTGTGAAACCTCCAACAGCTGGCTTATCGTCGCGGATGATCAGTCTCATTTGTGTCGTTGAATGTTACTTGGTAAAGAAAGCGCGCGTCAGTTATTCAATTAAAACCCCACCGAAACTCGCTCATCAGATCTTACCGCATCCGGCGAAAACAGCGAGGAGCGTACGACGTCATCATCAGAAATTAACACATTTACGCCGCATTAAGCGTGTTGGCCGAGAACGAGAAGGAAAAGGAGAACGTGAACGATAGTGACAACTATAAAGATAACTAATCGAAGCTACGAAATGAAAGTAACAAAGTTCACCAACTGCGTGTGTCTACAACGTGATGGCAGTGTGGGTGTGATAGTGATTGTAGAGCAGAGCACGCCCGACTAACCACAAACACACAGCTAGCCCACGCGGATGTCTACGTCGATACGCACACGGGCAAAATCATCTCAGGACAGGATTTTTTCTACGCTGCCCAAGAGCTTCCTTCACAAATAATCGATTGCGCTGGTGATATACTCTCGCCAGGGTTGATAGATGTCCAGATAAATGGTGCTTATGGGTTCGATTTCAGCCTGTGGCCGCCACTGGGTACTGAGAATTTGAGCAAGCACGAGCAAACGGACGCGTATCTCGCCGGGCTGGACAGGGTGGCTGGAAAGATAGTTGAGACCGGAACGACGTCATTTCTGCCAACGATAATAACCCAGCAGCAAGATCTGTACCGGGAGGTGGGAGACAGTGATTACGCCAAGATGAAAGCCGCTAACACCAACACCAACACACCAGATTATCCCGCTACTTGGACCACGCTCGCAGGCAAACTCAGCGCACATCCTCGGCTACCATGCCGAAGGGCCATTTATAGCAGGATCGCGAAAAGGAGCGCATGCGCCGCCGTTCCTCCTCACAGCGCCGCGGGGTTTGAGTTCGATCGAGGGAGTTTATGACAGTGCAGCGACGCAGCTGCGTACACCCGACAGCGGCGTGAAGCTGCTCACCCTAGCTCCAGATGTGGATGGGATAGCTGGGGCAATTGCGCCTCTCGCGCAGCTGCCCGGCGTTGTCGTCTCGATCGGACATTCAGATGCAGATGTGGACCTGGCGAGTAAGTGTGTGGACGACGGAGCGCGGTTTATCACGCACCTTTTCAACGCTATGCCGCAGCTGCACCACCGTGACCCCGGCGTTATCGGTTTGCTCGGCAATCAGCCGAAAAGGCCGTTTTATGGGCTGATCGTCGATGGCGTGCATGTTCATCCGAATGCTGTAAGATTGGCTTATGACGCTCATCCAAGTGGGTGTATCCTCGTAACTGACGCTATGCCCCTTATGGACCCCCATCTCGGCGACGGTATCCACGACTGGCGCGATGGCAGGAGACTATTCAAGCAGGGCGCTAGACTGTATTTGGAGAACACTACCACGCTCGCTGGAAGCGCTAGCACGCTAGATGAATGTGTTAGGAATCTCAAGTCATTCACAAACTCGAGGTGTTTCGGTGGGGCACTCGCATGCGCTTCCTACCACCCAGCATCACTCCTTCAGTTGACACACAAAGGCAATTTAGATGTAGGCTCAGACGGGGATTTGGTGATAGTCGATAGATACACTGGGAAGGTTAAGGCGACATATGTCAAGGGAGAAAGTGTGTATCGGTGCTAGACATTCAAAACTTTTTTCACGGCTTGAATGATAATCCGCCATTCAGTCTCGTGTATTCTGTTTTCCATAGATTCAAGCGTGTCTTGTTTGTGTATGTCCACGTCTGCAACGACAATAGGCTCACCACGGTCGACTTGGGGGATGACGTAGTGGACCATGCAGCCAGTTTTGGATATGTGACCTTGTTTGAAGGCATCGTAAGCCCTCTCAATTGCGTGTGCACCGTCAAAGGCCCCGGGAAGGGCAGGATGGAGGTTAATGATTGGTTTTTGGTGGATATTGTTGAGGAAAGCAGGGGAAAGGATCATCATGAAGCCAGCCAAGACGATGAGGTCAGGTTTGTGTGAGTTTACCATGTTACTGAGTTCAATTTCCCAGTCTTGTCTACTTGAACCTGGGTTTCGATTGAGGAATGTTTTGAGGGCGAGGACTTGGGTGGGGATAGGAGGATCACAGCGTTTAGCCCTTTCTAAACCAAATACATTTGACTTGTTTGATATTACCGCCTTAACGTTTACAGAAGGAGGCAAGTGGAGATGAGCGGGAGTTCCTAGCGGCGTAGAAGAATGCTGATGCGGCAGAGAATCGAGAATCGCTTGTAAATTTGAACCAGAGCCAGAGATTAAGACAACGATATTCATGTTGGGTGTTGGTGAGGAACCGCCATGACGAGTATAATTGGTAATTTACTGCACAGCTACAACAACAAAACGCCGAGCCAATACAAGCTATTGGATTCCTTCTTACTCGTGTTATGCCTTTCCGCTGTCTTGGAATTCGTCTATGCGCTGTGTATCGATAACACACCGTACAACGCCTTCTTGGGAAGGTGAGTTGGGATTTTATACGGCGAAAGCACCTCACAATCACTCAGCTTCATTTCAAAGGTTGGACAGTTCATCCTCACCGTGAACCTCAGAATCCAATCAAATCCATCCAACGCACATCATTTCACTCAAATATCCCCAGAGAGGTGGGTTACGCGTTGTTCCATTTAACCATTTAACTCCCTCTCAAGATCATTCGCTGACTTTGTCTTTGCCTCGCTTCTCCTCCACTTTTGCGCTATTTCTTTCCTCGGTTGAGCCCGATAAACACATTTATTCCCTTACAACGCTCTAAGCACCGCCTCTTCCACATCCGTCGTCGTTGCCTTGCCACCCAGATCCGGTGTCACCTTGTCCCCCTTCAAAACCTCATCCACTGCTCTGTAAATCCCTGCTGCTGCCTCCGAGTACCCCATATGCTCGATCATAAGCGCTGCTGATCTAATCGATGCTATTGGGTTCGCGATATTCTTCCCTGCAATGTCCGGTGCTGATCCGTGCACGGGTTCTGCCATTGCAAACGTATCATTCGCGTTTATCGATGGCACGACTCCGAGACTCCCAACCAGTGCTGCTGCCCCATCTGATATAATGTCTCCGTAGAGATTAGGCGCAACACAGACATCGAACAGCTGTGGCTCCCTGAACATTCTATAAACGAATGAATCGACCAGCTGCTCAACCAGCTTCACCTTGCTAAACCTCTCATCAGACTTGTGGGCCGCCTTGATCGACTCCCTGAACAATCCATCCGTAACGCTCAATACGTTGGATTTGTGTATCGACCAGACGCTTGGCTCTGTGTGAGGTGAGCTACACTGCGACTGTGACTGTCTGACCTTGTCCCTCTTCAACGCTATCTCGAAAGCAAGCTTCCCGATCCTTTCAGACGCATTCTGGGTTATTTGGCGGGTAGCTCTAGCCACCTTTGACCCGTCACCCAGCGTGTCCAGCTCCTCTTTCTTGATATAAAGACACTCCGTGTTCTCTCTCACTGTCACCATGTCTACTTTCCCATCCACGGTCGACACTGGTCTGATGTTGGCGTACAAGTCGAGGTGCTTGCGCAATGCGACGATTGGTGACGAGTAACCCGTTACCTTGTGCGATGGGCTCGATACACTGCCAAAGATAGCGCCGTCGACGTCGTTTTTCATTACCTCTATCGTCTCATCCGGCAGTGCAACGCCTGCTCTTCTGAAATACTCGAATCCTGCGTTGAGCGGGATGAACTCGAGCTTAGGGAGGGTTTTCCTCGATGAAAGCTCCTCAAGCACTCTCTGTGCTGGCTGAAGGTTGTGTCAGCACGCTTCTTTCCTTCCCTCTCCTTCTCCGCCTACAGGAAGCACTTCATGGCCGATTCCATCCGCCGGGAGCATCCCGAAGCCTGTGCGGTGTTAGCTGGGCATCCTACACGCTATCTACACCCACGGAGCGTCTTTGTCGCGAGATTTCTAGCTGCCGATGACATCAAGCTGGAGGTGTTGAAAGAAGGCGGTAAACAGCGCAAATTGTAAAAACTTTCACAAACATAAATTTAAAGAGGTGGTCTACATGGTGTGTCTATAGTAGCATACATCGCGCTGCTCGCGTTACCGCAGCTGTTGTTTTCAGGTTGAGGTAGAAATTTGCGATTTCCACTTTATCTCGAAACGAGCGTAACCAAGCTCATCAGCTCTGCCGAGACCTTTCTCCACATCAAAGAGGTCTGTATTGTCTATACACAACGCATCCCCGTCTGGTTGAATGAACCGACCGCTGAAAGCATCCTCGACGCTCTCCTTCATCCCTACATGTGTCTTACGGAGAGCGATGAGGACGTGGAAAGTGCCCTGCTTCGACAGCAGCTGAGCAGCTGCGTTGTGCAGCATGTAAGCGTGGCTGAGGTCGTAGCAGACATCTGCACCGAACATTGTATCGAACGTGCCTAACGCACTCTCACTATCACTGCTATTCCAATCGAGATGTGTAACGTGTGTAGGTGTGCTTGTGCGATTCACTTGGACATTCCTGCGCAGATTCGCTATTATGTCGCTTAGGTAGTCGCTTAGAACGACTTGTGTACGCTTGTAATCCAGCTGCGACGCCATTTGCGCGCACGCAATTCCCACCAATCCCGTACCCGCACCTACTTCCAGCAAACGACTCCCGTCGCGCACGCCGAAATGGTCAGGGTAGCGACATACCAGCCGCGACAGGTGCACGGCGGCTCCCCAAGTCTGAGCGCCGACATCCTCGTGGCCGTTGACTGTGTTGTCGTGCATCACTATCTCGAATGGTGTGGCATCCCGGCCGATGAAATTGAATGTGCGATCGATGGGACCAGCGGCTGTAGGTTAACGAGTGTAGAGTAAGCGCGTTAGCCTTGTTGCTTTTTCAAATGCAATTTGCAATATGCAAGAATACATCAACTCACCAGACATGCCCGCAACACACGCCAGAGCCGCTGCAGCCATTTCTACGACTCTCTCTCTCTCTCTGTAAGCCTCCGTCGTCTCGTCTCCCTCTCCCGCTTCAACCTCACCCAGCCACTCCTCGCTTAGGGCTATCAATCGCGTCAGCCAGTTGCTCGACCACTTCCTCTCGAAGCTGTCGTCTTCGTTCTCCGCCGCGTACTGCACACGCGTGTCCGATGCGTAGACATTCTCGCCATCGTCGTTGGCATGTATCGACGACCACCCATCCACGCCTTGTGTCGGGTTGGATACCTTTATCCCTGCCACTGTCGACGTGTATATAGCCCTGAGGCTGTTAATTACCCGCTCCAAATCCTCTATCGAGGGAATTCGACCCGGTTTTATCGGTGGAAGGTGTCTCGAAGCTATGAACATGGAAGAAGGCGGTAAACACGCGTGATTCGTGCAGTTTGTGTGTGTTTGGGGCTATGTGGCTGTTTTTATACCACATACAAGGCTCATACATCCTTTAAAGTTTATCTTACAAAACAAATTTATGCGTCATTTGACACAGATGCGGCAATCTAAAATACCGCGCCTGCTCTAATTGACGCTGTCACTCTGCCGGACATTCAGAACTCCACAGCCATTTTCGCGCTGTGCAATTATGTGATGGCCGAGCTGAAGAAAGTCTTCTCGGTTCAGAAACCAGAGAAAAAGGACATGAATTTTTATTTCACTATTTCAATACACTCGATTTACTCTGCTAAACGGCCTCCGTATTCCCAGCTCAGGCGACGGTGTCGCGCTCGCTTCCGCTCTCGCCGCCGCCTGTTTCAGTCTACTCGCCGATGGCCTTTTCCCGAGAGTCCTAGCGCGTGCAATGGCGCGTCTGGAGCGTTTAATCTGTACGTTATCTCTCCACATGCCGAGCCACTTGGTGAGCGACTCTCTGCGACTGATATGAGCAGCTAGCCGAGCATTACGTGCCGATGGCAGCTGGGCATTCCACAAGCGCAATGTGCGCGTCTTGAGAGAGGTATTGTAATGACGCACAGCAGGTAGTGCAGCACAAACGCTCATCCACCGCGCTAGTCCCGCATGCAGCATCCGCTCCCGACGCAGTATCAGCATCTCCGTCTCTACCGCTTCCAGTTCTAGTGTCTTTATCTGGTCGTACCACGCCTCGAATGCTGTGCGTTTCGTGCGCGTTAAGCGTCGTGAGAGGAATTGCTCACACTTTCTGCTCTGTTCCACTCCCAACTGCGTTCGACGCTGCCATCTCGCCAGCATGCCGCGACGGGTGTCTGTTGGGCGCTGCGTTAGACTGTGCTCTCCTCGCTCCCCTCTAACACTCCACTCACTCTCTTCTTTCGCCTCCCGGTACGCCGCACCGGCGCTGTGCAGACCCTGCACGGCTGTGTTCTTGGCTCGCCACTGCTGCATAACAGACCTGGGTTTGTGTTAGAATGCACACAGAATCTCCTCACCAATTCTAAAAAGCTAGAGGAAGTACACCCACTTCTTTCTCTTCCGCTCGTGCAGCATGTCGGCAGAATACATCACGTCGCGGCTGTCAATAGTCCTCTGAAGCCACTTCTGGAGCACAGCCGATGTGAGTGTCTTGTGCGTGCGCTCAGCTTTGAAAAGGTCTTCTCGAGCTCTGAGGTCACATAGAACGCCAAATCTGTTTCTCCACACTGGGTAGATGTGTCAGGAGTGTTTTTCGGTGCAACACACCACCCACCATTCCAGCTGTCTTTCTTGACAGTCAGCTCGCGTCTGCCTATCCACTCTTCCTGTCTCTTCCGACTGAGAGCCATTCTCCATCCATAGAAAGCATTTTTCTTCTGGATCATCCGTCGCAGCACATATCCACGTCTGTTCATCATCCGTTTATGCTGGTAGTTACGCATCCACTTTTTCAATGCAACATGCTGGCTGTTCACTTGCCTGAATTCGACAGCCAGCCCATTCCTAACGCGCACCTCACCCCATCTTGACTTCCACCTGTCGAACAGACCTACACCCAACTCCCGGATGTGCACGAAATGGTACTCTTCAGCCACCAATTCTCTTTCCTGAACATCTTGCATTTTGCTGTACCAGTACTGCAGGACGAGCTGGCCGAGCGTGTGCATATGTGAGAGGTGGAAAGTGAAGCACTTGAGCGAGAGTTGCCACTGGTGTATAGTCTGTCTCCTGATTGCTTCGTGTCTATCTTGCGAGAAGGTATCAGCCAGAGCAGTGAATTTCTGTACCGTGTACAATTTCCGCTGCCAGGCGTAGAAAGCAGTGCGCACTGCAGATGCATCTCGCCATGCTGCGGCTGCTTTATTGGTATCAGTTCTGTATTTCCACGCATCAAAGTATGTGCGCGTCGCATCTCCCCGCCATCTCTCCTCATATTGTCTTTCTCGGGTTTGGAGAATGCAACGTTGTTTCCAGCGATTCAAAAACCTCGCTGCTCGTCTCTCGTTCGCAATAGTAGCCAATTCAACAACAAGACTGTCCTTCTCGAGTACTTGTATGGTGCGTTGCTTCCATTGCTTGAAATGCGCGCTCATTGTCGCATACGAATACCTCATATCTGCCCTCCTCGTATCGGTTGCTTGCCGCCATAGCTGCCAAGCCTTTTCCATCAATCTCTTCGCAATACCCTTACGTATAGTTACGTATGTCGTGCGCAATCTATTTTCCTTTCTGTGGCGAAGTCTGTGTCTTAGACGAATTTTCCATAGTTTGAGGGTATCGTTTGTTATTCTGGTATTGTCGTGCGACACTGCAACGTGGGTGGCAGCAAAGACATGACTGTTGAGTGCATACTGCCATTTATGAAAGAAGGTACTGAGAATGCGAGATTGTTGTACCGTTTCTACTTTCACATTACTCTCGTGAATCCACCTAAACAGTCCAAACCAAGCGTTGAAAGTGCGTGTTAGAATGTTTTGATTATGCAAAGCATCAGCAGCGCTTTCCATTTCTCTAAGGACTTTATTTTCATCCGCTCGCTGTCTCGCTTCGTCGAGCTCCCTTTTGCGAGCAAGTTGAGCGCGTTGGTGGTGCTGATGTTCTTGGCGTCTCTGTGCTAGTTGAGACTGACGAACGCGATTAGTCTGAGCGTGAACACTAGCCATTGCGCGTGCATGGAGTGTTTGAGGTGAGCGATGAGACGAGTGCTCATATTGGATTGGAGGGTATTCCTTGTCAGTTTGTCTAGCATCAGCAGCCAGTGCAGCAGTGGAAGTGGAATGAGAGTGAGAAGAGTGAGAATGAGAGGAATTGGATAAAGTGGGTGAGCTGCTATGGTCTAAAAACACAGTATCGCGATTATTATGGATATTATGACTATTATGAATAGAAAACTCAGAATACTCGGAATACTCAGAATTCACAATAGCTTGCCACCTTTCAAACCAATCGCGTCCTCTAACGACACCCAATTTCAATAGCAAATCATACAATTCCACTTCATCGTTTTGATCAATTCCGTGCGCGTCGAGTACTTGATTATAAGCATTGAATAACGAGAGAAAAGAGTGAGAACCGCGTGGAACAGAGTCTATGATTTCAGAGATTAAATTCACAGTTGATCGATTTATATTTGATATGTTTAGGGAGGTGTCCATTGGGTGTTCAAGTACAACGACGCGATATCAATGACACTGCCAAATTTACGCTCAATATTCGCAGCGTCAAGGAGTCCTCCAGATGAGAGAAAAATTTCAAGAATTTCTTTTACAAATTTCATTATTTGGCTGGTGAGTTGTGCGGGAATTGCGTTTCGAGCGGCGAGTGCGAGTGCGAGTGGACAGGGAAGGCAGCTGAGGTAATTCAAATATTCAATCAGAAATCCATCAAGTAGCAGGCTTCTTGTTGCCATTAGCCTTTACAGCATCTTGGATGATGTCACCTTCATTGAAAGCAGCTCTTGCCCTCTTTATATCCTCTTGCATGTACAGCAACTCCTCAACTCTATTCAGCTTCTTGGTGTCGTTACGCAGTACGAACTTGATGTCTTCGATCTTTATTTTACCGCGATTTCCACTCGCCTTTTGCGATTTGTAGCATATTTCCATTATAAAGTCAATCAATATCTCCTCCAACACGTTTGTTGCTTCTGGATCTGGATTGACGTCGTCGCCGAATGAGTACATTAGTGGGCGTACTTAGGCATAAGGCGCGTTAGGGGGATATTTACATTCTAACACCACACCACTCACACTCTTTGGTAAATTGACCCTTCATTTGTGTTTTACGGCGAACATTCTGTGTCTGCATCTTGACCGTTACAAACAACCATCATCAATATTCTTAACTTATTCAAATCACTCGGGAAGAAGTGGGAGATTTGTTGTTTCCGTGGTGCTGTACCTAATCCACACAACAGCCACAGCCACACAATGGTCACAAAGATACAGCCAACAATCAAGCTTGCTAGAGATGCTGCAGAAATGAGGGAGAACAAGATCAAACAGCTCCCAGATCCGCAACCAGAAACTTCGATATTCGCAAATGGCTGCTTTTGGGGGTAATTTCCTCTTATCGGTCATCTACCGGTGGTACTGACACCAGCTACAGCACGGAGGAGCTTTTTAGGAAATATTTCAAGGATTCCATAATAAGCGCAGAGGTTGGATTTATTGGCGGTGACGATGCAGGCGTTGGTGGGTTAGCTATACGCACACTCCATATTCTCTAATCACAGAGCAGGCAACGATCCTTCTTACAGACTTGTTTGTACGGGTACAACTGGACACGCAGAAGCCTTGTCGTTGACTTGGGACAAGCGCAATGCGAGCTACGAGGAGCTCCTCGATTTCTTCTTCCGCACTCACGATCCAACTCAAGTTGATCGCCAAGGCGCTGACGTCGGTACACAGTATCGCACGGCACTCTTCCCAACTTCCGAGGAGCAGAAGAATGTCGCTGATTCAGTTAGAGAGCAAGTCCAGCAAGCTCACTTTACACCAAATGGCTCCACAATCGCCACGCAAATCAACCCAGTAAACAAATTCAAGTGGTGGAAGGCAGAGGATTATCACCAGAAGTACCTGATCAACAATCCAAATGGCTACCAATGCTTCACGCACAGATTACATTACTAAAATTACTTTAAATGGCTTGAATATTGATTTCCTTTACTTTCAGCATGAGCATGAGCATGAGCAGCATAAACACTCGCGTACATTCAAAGATTATTGCGCATGCTGGTGTGTTTAGGCGTATTAACAGTGTACAGAACTCACGTACAACCACTGGCAGCCAAATACCCAGAAGCCGCTATTAATGGGGTTTTGATAGGAAGGATAGAGGCGAATGAGGTGGAGATTATTGGTGTGTTATCGTTTGCGTAGCAGTGCTGAAGGTCTATTAACACTCCCACAAGACGCTGTACCGGTGCAGCACCTCTGGAACACGCTCTCAGTGGTGATGGAAATGGGACTGGAAATGGTACTTGTAGTACAGGCAATATAGGCAGTCCACTTACAAATTCACAGATACACACCCACGCACGCTCCAAAGGTATGGATTTGGTGGGCATGTACGAGGCGTCCGAGATTTTGGAACAGAATCCAACGCTGAGCTCAACTGGAATACAAATACTAAACAGAATTAAGATGAATGCTGGTAATAGCAAGCACGTAGTCGGTGTAGCTGTCGGTGGAAGCACTGAGGACAAGCAATGGAAAGGCTACACCCTACATTCATTCAAAGCAACTAATTCCCAGTCGCTCTCCAAGGTTACTCTCCCCGTCGCCAACGTCGACACAGCCAAAATCAAGACACTAGTTGATTACTTGAATGATCTCGACAACCACCTCTCGAATAACAGCCTGGATTGGATGGAAAATAGAGACTTTGTAAGCAGATTGTAGTGGTATCCAAATTTGTAAGCAATTACAACATTTTACATGTCTCCTGTCTTGTTGCATCACCACCACCTTCTGATGGAGAAATATGAACTAAAAGACAAGTTGGGAGTTGGTAGCTTTGGTGTTGTTTACAAGGCGTGAGTGGGTGTGTTGTAGGCTGTATAATGCCCCTCACCCATCATACAGCCTCAATCGCACAAATGATGAAATCGTCGCTATCAAGATAATCGACTTGGAACAGAGCGATGAAGATATTCAGCATATCCAACAGGAAATACAGCATTGTGTGTTTTCTATTCCACCCCATCAGCAACCCTCACGCAATTCCCAGTGGCTGCTTGCCAATCTGACTACGTTACCAAGTACTACGCGTCTTTCATGGATGGATTTAAGCTTTGGATAGTTATGGAACTGGCCGTCGGTTCTTGCTTGGATGTCTTGAAGAAGAAAGTTGAAATCCGGCAAGAACAAGTCGCGACTATTTGCCGTGAGCTGTTGAGAGGATTGCAGTATCTTCATTCAGAGGGTGCGTTTGCCGTGCTCGCCGTTTCCCCCTTCTTACCCCCTCACACTTCCCCCACCAGGCAAAATCCACCGAGACATCAAAGCTGCAAACGTTCTTCTCTCCGATACTGGCCAAGTTAAGCTCGCTGACTTTGGCGTGGCTGCTCAAATCTCAGAGCGCATGTCGAAGCGAAATACTTTCGTCGGCACCCCTTTCTGGATGGCACCTGAAGTTATACAGCAGACTGGCTACGACACTCGCGCCGACATATGGTCACTAGGCATAACAGCGATCGAAGTAAGTGTGTGTGCTTATGTCTACTCCCACTCACCTTTACTCACAGCTAGCTACTGGTCTCCCTCCACTCTCTGACTTCCATCCCCTCAGAGTACTCTTCCTTATACCAAAATCAGCTCCTCCTCAACTAGAAGGCGACCATTTTTCAGACCTGTTTAAGGATTTTGTTGGTCAGTGTCTCACCAAAGATTTTCACTATAGACCCTCAGCTCCAGCTTTGCTCAACCATCCGTTCATAGCAACAGCACAAGAAACCAATATATTGCACCCACTCATCGAAGTACTCTCAGACGGCGTCCTCTCAAACAAAAGCAGTCCGAAAGATGGCAACGACAGCGACGACGATATTCACTCGCTGATTGACGAGTGGAATTGGAGTTTTGGGACACTTAGACCCAGTGGCACCGTCAGAAAAGACGACAAGAAAGACATCAGTCAGACGGATATGGCGAGAAAGTACGCAGCCTTAGATTCGAGTGCGGAGGTGAGCCACAATCGCCAGCAGAGTCGCAGCAGCTCTGTTATTTCTAGGGAAAAATCAAGACAGCAGTCAAGTAGTGATTCTTCAGACGCCGAACGCATATGGAATTATCCGCCCACGCGAGCACGAGAGCAAAGTGAGCAAGTTGAGCAAATTGAACAAAGTGAAACTTTCAGCAACCACCTCAAACACTTGTCGACATTGATAGACGATACAAGTGATCCAAAGCAAATAGCCTCACTGATGATACTCAGAAACAGCTACAGGGATCTTCACGACCAGAATCACGACCTCTACACACAAACTCTATACCACAATTACATGGTACAAGGCGACGCTAGCCCTCTACCATACAAGACGAACGAGATATCAAAAATGTTGTTTGACAGATGGACTGAAGCGATAAGTCAGAAATATTTATTGTAATTTATCGATTTAACTAATTTAATCAAGTTGACTTAATTTCATCATGACTTGGATCCTGCTTACTGGACTCGCCATTAGAGCTGTTTTGATTGCATATTCGAGCTATTACGATGGTATAGCGCGCACAAACGGTGGTCCTACATACACAGATGTTGATTATCGCGTAGTGAGCGAAGCTGCTGAGTTAGTCCACGGTGGGCAGTCACCATACGAGCGGAGGACGTACAGATACACGCCGCTGCTATCGTGGATGCTCCTTCCGAATATAACACTCGACGAGAATTTCGGTAAAATTCTCTTCTCGTTGGCAGATCTGGCAATTGGTGTGAGTGTGGATAGGATTCAGCGGAAACTGCGCGTCGGTCGCAGAGGAGGCTATGTATCTCACCTCTTGTGGACACTAAACCCAGTCGTTATTTCTATTTCCACCAGAGGCTCCCCGGAATCCCTCATAGGCGTACTTGTCATGTCCACACTCGATTTGCTCCTGCATGAGCAGTACACGCTCAGCGCAGTATTCATGGCACTCAGCGTTCATTATAAGATATACCCTTTCATATACGCACCTTCGATACTCGCTCACATGTGGTCTAAGACGAGGTCGTTTACGCGGATGGCCTCTTTCTCGGCTATCAGTTTGGGCGTCTTTGCAGCTGTGAATGTGGCCATGTACAGGATGTAGGTTTAGTTTGGGTGATCACACAAGGTTTCACTCTCAGACTCCCTCTAGATACGGCATGCAGTTTGTGGAATCGACCTACCTCTACCACGTGGGGAGGAAGGACCACCGACACAACTTCACGCCCTACTTCTACCCCACCTACCTCAATTACGACGTTCAACCAGACACGGTCTCACTCTTCTCCAATCCAGTCCTCTCACTCGTACCGCAACTCATCCTATCACTTGGATTAGGTGTTGTGTACGGCGGAGTGGATCTCCCACTCGCTTGGTTTTTGCAGACGTACGCGTTTGTCACTTTCAACAGGGTTTGTACATCGCAGGTAAGTAACGCATGAACGCACACTCACAAAACTCATCCCAATAGTACTTCCTCTGGTACATTTGGCTCTTGCCTGTCGTTCTGCCATCGTTGAATCTCTGCACGAAGCAAAAAGTGGTTTTGCCGATATTGTGGCTTACTTCACAGGCTGTGTGGCTTTCTATCGCATATAGGTTGGAGTTCCTCGGCCAGCCTCTGTTTATACCTCTGTGGATAGCAAGTTTGTTTTGGTTTGCCAGCAATGCTTACATACTTGCAACACTCATAACAAGTACACGAGCACGTACACTCACACATACCAAATTCAAACAACCAAACTAGTGTGATACTATGCATTATTCGATTGATTGACAATGTTCGTTTTTCAAAGACTGATGTTATCAATGAGTGTCTTGATGTGTTCAATTAGAAAGATAGAGGTGTAAAATATAAAAGAAGTCCAAAGGTAATCCATTTACTTAAGGAATGGAATAGTCGAAAATGTCTATTAAAAGTGTAATGAAGTTAGTTGTAATGTCGTGCCATCATTGATAAGGAGCTGATTTAAGCATCTTATGCTTCACCTGGAGCTGGAAGGCCCTCACAAGTCCATGAGGCGTCTCTTTGTGAGTAACCACCGGTAACCTTGTATGGCTCTTGGTAGAGGCATTGAGCAACAGTGTCGAGTGAGTAACCAGCGTTTTGCATTTCAGGGACGTAGACTTGTGGCAAGTGGCTGGCTGGTTCGTGAACGGCATGGTTCAAGACAATGTGTGATTGACTTGTGTCGGAAGCAAAGCCGTCGTAGAGGTCCAAGATTTCTTGGTCAGATGCACCGAGAGCGTCTCTCGAGTCTTCTGACCAGTTGACAACAGTCAAGCCCCATCTGTCTTGGAGGTGCTGTACAACTCTGTCATCAACTTCACCGTATGGTGGGCGGATGAACTTTGGAACGACACCAATGATCTTCCATAAAGCGTCTTCAACGAGTTGAACTTGCTGATCGATTTGTTCGTTGGTGAGTTGAGGAAGGTGGACGTGTCCCCTGCCAAGCTGTCAGAGGTGTCTGATAGATTGAAAAACTTCAAAGACATACCAAGTGTGAGAAGCGATTTGGTGGCCGTTCTCGTGAAGGGCACGGAGACGGCTCACGTTCTCCTCCGAGTATATACAGCTCCAGTTGTTACCGTTGACAAAGTAAGTAGTTTTACCGCCGACGGCGTTGAATTGGCTGTTAACGTTGTAGTCCCATTGGTATGGACCGTCGTCGTAGGTGATAGCCATTGAGTCTGGCTTGTAGCAGCTGTTTACGACGCCTTGAGTTTGGCGCTCAGCTGGTGCAGCAGCAGCAAAGCCGAGGATTGAGGCAGCGATGGCGAGGTTTAACTTCATTGTAATTGCAAGGAAAGAATTGGTTGGTAGTTCAAGTTCAAGGGCCTCGGAGCTATTTAAAGCTTCCCCGCACGTCCGCTGAGATCACTCTTAGCACAGGTTAGCTCGGTATTTGCAAAAAATTCGTGGCTATGCACTAAGATGCGGTATGTGAGCGCCACTTTACACATTGTCCCGCTCTCTTCACCTCATTTCCGCAGCTTCCGTTCATAATTGTGCAAATTTTGCTCACCTTTAATTCTGGCGCCGCCCTATTATGCATCAGAGACAAACATCTGCGACAAAACAAATCTGAATCACGCCGAATGTTGTCTGAAATTCTATAAAACCTTTCTCCGTGCACTTTGCACAGCTTTTGATATCCGTTAGCCGGTCACCGGCGAGCGCTCCGTGTCAAATTGTCTCGTCGGCCGTTAAATTTAGAACGAGACAGCGTGTAATAAAGCATGTGACACAACGCTATGCAAATACCTCCATTCTATTAATTACCTCCACTTAATCGCACACACTAAATCTAAATATACTCCCGATACACACGCTAATCACAGGGCTATGCGCAATTAAAAGTAAATATTTTCATTTTTCAGTTTTCATTCAGCGATGATATTAGCTTGTGCCAATAGTCTGCTGACTCGTCCGGCGCCGGCTGTGCAGAGCTCGTCGGTACACCGCTTACCGAGTTATCAAGTGATCCACTTAAGGGCATCATGTCAGGCACACCTAATCCGAGCAGCATAGCAATAGTATCCGCCGGTGCGTCGTTCAATGTCCAATTATTCCCGTTTACGTCAATTGACGGTGGCTGGAGGTGGTTTGCTGATGTAGCAGCAGAAGTGGAAGCACCGGCACCAGCACCTCCCCCACCACTATTCCATTGCCATTGCGCATCTACATTGTCACTTCCTGAAACCACACTCTGGTAGCTCGGTGCGCTCGCTTCGGCGAATGACGAATTGGACATACCCATCAATAGATTGGCATTCGAATTAGCGTTTGGCTGCGCGAACCTCAGTGATGGGTCCTTATCTGCTGTAGTGTCATCGAATCCATCTACTTCTTCCCCATTCACCCTTCCCTTTGCGCCTCTCCCACTACTGCTAGTCGCCGCCGCTCTCGACTGACGCAGCTCCTGTGCCTTGTTTCTGAACAGCTGTATGATGCGCATCTCATTAACCATAGCCTCATCCCATGGTAGCGTCACCGTCTTGTCTTGCCTCTCAGCAAGGAACGAGTCGAGTATGTGTTTGTGCTGTGCGGAGTCCTTCCCGAACGGCTCCAAAATCAATGCTATCGCTGAGATGAGTGTGGAGTTAAATATTCTATACTGTCCACCACCGAATCTACCGAGCGACTTATTTGTCTCCTTCCTGAATCTCTCTCTAGCAAAAAAGTCGAGTTTCGCCGACTCGAAGCAAGCCCTCCTTGATGGTGCATACCTCGTGCTGTTAAGTTTGCGAAGCACCCATGGTCTATGCAGACTTATCTTAGTAAAGTAGCATTCCACTGCGAGCAGGAAGCGATGTGTCGGCAACCATGGCATTTGGCTATCCACCGATGTGTCTGGATCCTCAAATCTAAACACAGGCGGCAATCTTGCGATAAATTCGCCTATCTCTGCATCTAGTCTTAACACATTTGAGTAGCTCGACGGTGCGCGCAGGTTCGAAAAGTGCTCGTTGCACCGAGCTACTATCTGCACGAACGAGTGGCGCAGCACATGAGCCGTCATCAGCGTAGGTATATTGAGTGGTTTTGGTAGCGGTGGGCTTGTATCCACTGATGTGCTCTGAAAATCGTTGTCATCAATGTTAGATGGCGGGAGAGTGTCGCAGTATGCCGGGATAATCGATGGAGGCCTGCCCAATATCAGAGCTAAGGTATTGTCTGCATGCTGAAGATAGCTCCAAATCCTCCTGCGATACTCTGTCTCGTAACAGCTCAGCCCGAGCTTGCTTCCGTCTCTGTGCATGCCTAGACTCTGAGCAGTTCTAATCGCGCTTCCGAGCTGCGACCATGATTCTGTCAGTCTTCTCTCGTTGATGAGCAGACGGGTGCTCAGAAGCCTCGAGATGACCATCTCTGTGCAATCTCCCTGCACTGCGGACACAAGAAGTGAACATCTGCGAGCTGAGAAGGTGTTAGCTGGTGTTTTGTTGTGTGCGCAGTAATAGTTGGGCTTACTGCTCCAATACAATCTAAGCGCCCAGCTACGTCTCTCCGCTTCAGATAAACCGCTGCCAGCCTCAACTGCAATCTCTTCATTCGGAGCGAATCTAAGCGTGGTTGCGAGAACGATAAACACGAGAGGAAGGTTCTTGAAATCCTTAGCCTCCAAACTCCTGCGCTTCTTGTATGTGGACTCATAAGCGTTTCTAAAGCTCTGTTCATGTATCGGATACCTTGTCCAGTTAATGTGCGCGAAGAAAGAGTCAACGAGTTTATCTGCAAACTGTTTCGGCGGAAGTTCGTCCACAAGCGTGTCGACTTTAGACGGGCTCATCCCGAACTCCTGAATGACGATACTGAGTTGATCATCAACAGCAATTGGACTATGAGCAGGGTTCTTGAAGTCTGTAGTGGTGTCTCCGCCAACTTTGTCAGCGAGATCATGCGCTATTTCAGACACGTTCAGGCTCGATGGGCCATACCAATTGCCGTTATTGAGCAGAGTGCCTGAAGCAGCGGGACCGATACCGACGTTGGCCAGATCGTCCCTCTCCTCGTCATCATCATCACCCGAAGTAGCTGTGCTCATCGCCTTGCGTCTCTTGCTTGGTGGTTCTGAGGTGCTGCCTGATGTATCTGTTTGGAGAAGCGGCATCAAACTCTCGACGAGCCCTTCGATTCTAACCAAACGACTATGAACATCGTTATCGTGGCCTGGTTGGAAAGGCACGCACGGCACTTTCCGCTGGGCGCAGTGGCTGCATGGCGTTCTTATATCGAAATCAGTCAAAGTGGGGGTGAAATATATCAGTACACACTTGCGATCGCATTTCTGTTTTCTTCTGTGGCACTGAAATGGCGTCATTTAACGATAAACCTTTTATCGTGCGCAATAACTCACTTCGGTGCAAGCTAAGTTTTATCAATCAGTATCTGATGAGTCATTTCGGAGCTCAACGGAGCTCAACTCACAGAATTGTGTACGACGTGGTCCCTTCTTCCTGCCTCTTGTACCCTCCACAGGCTTTGACTCTAGCTCTAGTGAGTTTATAGATGTCGGCGGCTCCATCTTCATCGGGTCTTGGTGGCCGGCGATGAAGAAGTGTCTTGAGGATTCGAGCGGCTACAGCAGCTCAGCCACTCTTGTTTTCTGAAATAACCAGCCCTTTACATACCTTATAATCCATTCTACAACCCTACTTTCCGTTATCTTAACAATTATAAAATTTTTACATCTATAAACAAATGCACTGTATATCTTCAAATACACTTATCTTCTTTCTCTACTTCTTTTTCTTGCCCTGCTTGCGTACTTCGTTCGGGTTCCTCCGTCCATGACCTATGCGAGCAGGGCCTCTACCTCCCGTCCGCCTAGCATTTGCGTCAGGCGCAAGCAATCCTGGTAACCAGTCAGGATCCATCCATTGGCCGCTTTTAGAATTACGTCAGATCTTTGACTCATATGAAAAGTCCATAAACTCACGTAAAACCACTGGTGCCTGCTTTTCCCTTTTCGAGAGATCTCATCAGCGCTTTTTCCTCTTTGCGCTTTGCAACTTGGTCGGCGTGCACCGATCTTTGGAAATCTGGATCATCCTCTCGCAATATCAACGGCAGTCCACTGCCAGTCTTGGAGCTACCAACTCTAGATGCAGGAATAGAGTACTTGGTACCTCTATTCTTGTACTGGAAGTTCTTCTTCAAGTGTACCTTAACTACAGGTGCAGCATCTGCTGATTTAGGTGCATATGTTGTTATTGACGTTCTCAAAAGAGTGCTGTTACCACAAGCGGGGCAGAACCTTTTTGACTGATCTCTGCAGAGTCTTTATTGGGAATGTGAGACGCAGGTTTTTAGTAGGAAATTACTTACTTAAAACAAGCATGACATCTGAGTACCCAGCTCTTGGCGCTTTTGATTCTCTGTCCATTTGTACCAACCAGATTGAGTCCTATCTGTATGAGTACATTTTGCATAGCAAAATCAGCTGTCATGCATGCCGCTTTTAGGAATACGGGCGGCTTCTTTGATGTATCCTTCTTCGACTGCTCTTGAATTGTCTGGTGACCGAGATCAACTGCTTTGTGATCTTCTACGTTATCTGGTGTGATCCAGTCACCTGCATCTTCATCATCTGATTCGTCTTCCCCTTCACTCTTATCATCAACCTGTATACTTCCAAAGTCATCCTGAGACTGTGTGTTCTTGTTGCGGCGTGGTTTTGCTGCTATTGACATACCCTTTGATACTGTTGTGAATTCTTCCTCAGCGGGTTGTTGATGAGGTTGTTGAGCACGGGGATCCTGCTGATCTTGTTCTTGCCTTCCCTTTGGCGTCTCATCTAGAGTAACGTTTTGTATTTTTTCAGACAGCTTATCACCTATTGCTGGTGATGAAGTTGATGGCGAGTTAGGGTCTGTGATCTGATTTTGTACAGGTTTCTTTGCTGTTGACTGAGGATAATCATGTAAGATATTTCGACGGGAATCCAGGAAACCCACTTTGCCGGGTGCGTCTCTCAATCTAACAGTACCATTCTCTTTCACTTCCAGTGCATATGTAAGCGCAAGAATACCCATATCAGGACCGGACAAAACGCTGTAGTCACCAGTAAGCTTTGAGAAGCTAGAAACTGCATTTAAGTGAGACGAATGAGAAAATGAAAAGCTTATTGAATCGAACCTTTTGCGTAACTGATTGGATCAGGTTGTTGTACATTTATATGAACACCTTGAATCTCAAGCATTTCTAGATGCTTCTTTGATTTCTCATCCCTCAATTCCTGTATAACGTGAGGAGTTGTGTAGAATTCTTGTGCCATTCCACGAATAGGGGCTTGAGTGAGCAAAGGAGCGGCATCCAAGACTAAGCGCTTGATTGGTTTATCGGGAAAAGTGGTAGAGTCCTCAATAATTTCCTTGTTGTGCTGCATTCCAAGTTTAGTTGATGAAGGAGGAAGACGACCACCAAGACTTGTGAAATGCAATTAAAGAGCTATTATTGTATTTGCGGGGAGTTTATCGTATGTAGTGATGCTCATTAGACAATAAACACTCTAAACACTCGCATACAGCTCGTTGTTGATAAGCCCATCGACCTTCTTCCAACGCGGAAAACGGATGGAAGCGTGATTATAACGCATAATGCTGGAAATGAATCAACAAAGCGCAAATTCAAGGTTTCTGCGATATCGCAGACGCCTTGTATGCTTCAAAGGTTCTGAAGATTAAATAGATTGCGAAGAATGACTGACAAACCCTTCAAACAGGAAAGATGGCATGTGTGAGCGTCAACATAGGCTCAGTTGCCCACGATGCACAGTTGTTGTAGCGTATACCCACAACGCACCACTTTTCCTCTCAAAACAGGATATAAAGCTGGGTACTAAAGAAGCTGACTACATTTACATACTTAAAGGCGCGTTATCTGATGTACAGGGGAACATACCAACTGAAGCGTTGCAAGACAATTCCCGGTCTCCTGCCACCAATAATGCCCAAATAAAGCGTGAAAAAGCGTGAGGAAGTGTACAATACTTGATGAGTACACGCTGAATTGTAAAATATAATCATTTATCACAAATTTATAACAAATCCCCGACTTCTCTCTTCGATAGCAACGGCGAGGAGTACAATATGGGTAGAATAACAAAGAAGAATGAAAAGGGAGCCGTGAAGAATTACATGACCAGAAACCAAGTGTGTTTACTTGAAAGTGCTTGAAATATTCTAACAAAACCAGGCAATTAAGAAATTGCAGATATCACTCGCAGACTTCAGAAGGCTCTGTATTTTGAAGGGTGGGTGATAACTCTAATATTCTGGAGAATGAGCTCACAAGTAACCCACAGGAATCTTTCCTAGAGAACCTAGAAACAAGAAGAAGGCTAATAAAGGCTCAACAGCTCCAAAGGCTTTCTATTACACCAAAGATATCGTTTACTTGCAGCATGAGCCATTGCTCAACAGCCTTAGAGAATACAAGTCTTTTGCAAAGAAGATTTCAAAGCTTATTGGCCGCAATGAGCTCGTTCAAGCCAAGGCAATTGAGGACAATCAAAAGCCTGAGTATAGATTAGATCATATCATTAGGGAGCGTTATCCTACATTCCAATCCACTCTCAACGATCTTCCTGATGCTATTTCACTTATTATGCTCTTTAGCCACTTACCTGCTAACAGCAGAATCCCTGCTGACATCATCGACAATTGCGCTAAACTATCCGCTCAATGGCAACTATACGTTATGCGTACAAAGTCTCTCAGAAAAATTTTCTTATCAATCAAAGGTGTTTACTTTGAAGCTGAAGTGGAAGGTAGACCAATTAGGTGGTTAGTTCCATACATGTTCACTCAGCACATTCCAGAAGATGTTGATTTTAGAATCTTGATGACCTTCTTGGAGTTGTATCAAACACTCACTGGCTTCGTCTTCTACAAGTTATATAACGATATAAACTTGGTTTACCCACCACCACTCGACATTGACAAAGATGGTACTGGCGCTGGTATTGGTGCTTTCAATTTGAGAGAAGCATCAGGTGCACTCACTAAATCTGGCGAAGATGACGTCGCTGAGAGTGCTAAGGTTAGCGCCAAAGATGTTCGCAAGCAAATCAATCAAATTGGTCAAACAGCTGCTCCTCCAGCTGACGATCAACTTGAAGAACAAGAAAATGTTCAAGACGACCAACAAGGTCTTCCTGCACCAGAAGAGTTCGTTGAGCAGCCATCAAAAAACGTTGAAGCCTCAACTGATATTGGCCAATCGCTAAACACTCTCCTCGCCAACTCCAAGTTTGAATCCGCACGTGCAAACCTCTTTGCACCATACACTTTCTATCTCTCAAGGGAGGTTACAAGACCCACTTTAGAGTTTGTGATCCGTTCATTCGGTGGTCAGGTTGGATGGGATATGACTACTCTCGGTGGTGGCTCACCAGTACCTGACGAGACAGATGCTCGTATCACTCACATGGTCGTCGACAGACCACACCTTCCAGCTCGTTTGAAAGAGCTCAACCTCAAGAGAGCGTACATTCAACCACAATGGATCGTTGACTCGGCAAATGCCGGGAGATTGCTTCCAACTGAACCATACGCACCTGGAGAGACGCTCCCCCCACATATGTCACCATTCGAAGTTGCTGACGAAGAAGCCTATGTACCTGGTCTGGAGATTGAAGAGAAAGAGGCTGCCGAAGATGAGGAGGAGGGAGAAGAGGATGAGGACGTGCAAGATGAGGACATGCAAGAAGACGAAGAAGAGAAGGAGCAAGCACAAGAAGCACCTAAGAGTAAATATCCTACCGAAGCGCTTATTGCTGCTGCTCAGAATCCAAATGACGAGTCATTACACGACGCAGCCGAACTTGAAGCAGAACAGCTCGGTATTTCCCATGATGTGTTCGAAGCTGAACTCAAGAAGGCCAAGAAGTCTTCCAAGTCCTCAAAGAAGGTGAGACTAGCTTCACTTGGAAATTCCCGAAATTTTCCGCTAACACATTTGCCCTCAGCAGAATACTTCCGGCGGCAAAGAAAAGGAGGATGACGATATGGCACACTTAATGATGGGATCTAAGCAGCGCAAGCTCTACAACAAAGTTAAGCACTCCCAGAAACGCCAAACGGATGAGGTAAGTGGGTTGTGTGAAATAGTAGCGCGTACTCACAAAACTCTAGCACGCTCTTCTCGAATCCAAGAAGAAGGATATAAAAAAGAAGCAGCAGAAAGACAAGAAGAAGAAAAGTACATAGATAGATATCTCTTCTTGATAAGTTATTACATTTCCATTCATGTTCTACATTTCTACAATTTTATTTTACGGCAGATAGTGTGATTGACTCGCTCGCTCCAACCTCGATCGCGATAAAGATTGATAATGGAAATTGAGGAACTGATCAGCAGTTTCAAAGAAAGTCACGTAGGCCAGCATGAGCTAGATATACAAGCGATCAGGGTGAGTGATGGTGACTATTGCGGTGCACTGAAATTTTGACCGAATTCCGGCAGAAGCAACTCATACAAACAATGTGTCCCAACAACAGCAGTAGTAACAACAACAACTCTACTCCACTCTCAACCCCCAAGTTGAAGTCTTCGCAGTTGTCAAACTCCTCCAATGGTGGTGGTGTCGAGAGGCGTGGTTCGATAATGTTGGAGGATAGCTACGATGGCGGTAGCTTGCTTTTTGCTTCTAATCCCAGCGCTTCCAAGCCAGTATCGACGTCTGCATCGTCTGGCTCTTAATTCCGGATATCGTTGGTTCCTTGGAGCCACTCTCCTTTCAATACTTGCAAAAGGTGCATATTTATTCAAGATGTGTATTATAGAGCTTCTTTTAGTTTTCTAGATCTAAAAATCCATATGTATTACTACAAATAACTAAACATGCAATCTACTGTCTTTTTTTATGCTTCTCTTTGCGTTTTGCAGCCGCTTCCCTCTTTTCCTGCTTTAGGATACTCGATTTACTCCGACGCTCATTCTCGTTGTCTATGTTGTGTTGCTGTCTATCGATATGAGTCTTGAGAGTGGAGTGTACGCGCGAATCTACACTATCTTCACCATTTCCTGGAAAATCATCTAATGTCCACCGACCAAACTTGCCATGGCGCATTGCGTTTATAAGGAACTGCGATGAATTATCTATATCGACAATCCCACCTTTCCGAAGCGCACCTATGCGTCTGCCCAAGTCTTCCAGCAGTGTGTATATGTCATTTGTTGGAGGATAATTCTTCCCTAGCGGTAGTTGCGATTGGTACGGAGAATCTATCAAGCCGATCAGTTATGACATAGCGTAATATAATTTCTAACTAACGTTGGGCAGCGTCTCTCAAATTGAGTTTGTAAAGTAAATAATCAAGTATTGTTTCCGTCTCTATCAAATCGGGCTTAATTCCCGCTGCGATGGCCTGTGTGAGTCAATGGATGTATGCAAAGTCATCCACACACATGTCAATGCTAGCTTTAGGCCCATTTCCAATCCCATTTCATCATGGCCAAGAAACGGTACCATTATTCCGGGTGTATCGTATATATAGACGTTAGGATCTTCATTTATCTTGACAGTGCCTGTTAGTTTGCGAGTAACGCCAGGATCTGAGCCTGTAATAGCTGCCTTTCCTAACACTATTATCAGCACACTATAGCATTACGATATGAAGCCAACCTTTGTGTACTCCTACCCTTCTCAGCGCATTCAAAAAAGTTGATTTACCGACATTTGGCATACCGGTGACGAGTACATTGAGTTTCGGGACGTCGTGTTCTTTAGCAATGGCTGTTGTGCGTTAGACATATCGAAAGCTACGACACGCACCCACAGACAAGCTGCCGCTGAACGACGCGTGGATCTTTGTCGTTCTTGCTATCGGTAAAGACGACATGCTGACCAGCCAAGTTTTTGAACGAGCGTATCAGAGGCTGGCAGCTGTGTTAGGGAATCCTAGCCTTCTAAAGCAGCATCCTCACACCCTCATATCTTTCTTCGGCGAGATCACGCTTCGTATAAACTACGATACGCTCAGTGATACCGCCGAGCTTGGCTCTATTAGACCAGCCACTCTTAATCATCTTTTCAAACTGATAATTTATCCCTGTAAGCGGTATACGCGCATCTCTCGCTTCTATAATCACATCGATTGTATTGAGCTGCTCCGTCATAATTCTCATCCCTTTGCTCATATGCCCTATATACCAACTAGGTGCTCGAGAGGGATAAATGAAGTTTGTACGCGGTATGAAACTCATAGTGTGAGGATGACGGATGACGGATGACGTACGAGAGAAGACAAAGTAAATATGAAAATAATACATGTTTCTATCTTCTACTTGTTACCAACGTATTTCGTAGCTTCCACTTGTCAGTTCACCCTTGAATCCTTTGTATGGCTTGTAGCCAGCATCGCCTGCGATTTTGACACCATCAATCTGGACTCCAGAAGCTGTATGCTGAGGTATTCTGAAGTTGACTCCGAACGCAGTCTCGGGTCGTGGTGATTCTTCGCTGTTTTGCAAGGTAAACTCATAAAGCAAAGTCAACCGTAGAAACCCACCTTGATTTGAAGTTTGCAGTCAGGGTATGTACGCTAGTTGGTTCTATATGGGATATGTTCCATTTGAATATCTGGAGTTACCTGTCAGCTCAGGCTAAGGCTTTCATCTAGCTGTCTACAAACCTTGGTGACATGATCGAACTCGTTCGAGCTTATTGCCTTGCTCCCAGAAGGTGTGTTTTTCTTCTTACACTCGCCCCGTGCAGACACTGCACCGTGTCCGAGAAATATACTCAACTCAACACCCTCCATCTTCTTTCCGACAGTATTTGTCAAAATTAATTCAAAGTTACCTGCAAAAAAGGTAAACCAATCCACTCAAACAAAACAGCTTTCTTACCTTCATAGGGGGACACCTTCATCGAGCATTTACTGCTTATCGGCAAGCGAGGTTTCACTTTAGGTTCGAAGGAAATCAATCTAAAACGGCCGTCTGGTGGAACGAATGAGAGAACGCGTTCTCTAATCCAACGCTGGTATCTGTGGAAAGGTTTGAGTGTTATTCATAATAGAGACGTTTTCTATCTACCTTATGCATGCATGCTGGGATGTTTTTTCAATCGAAGTGGAATTCTTCAATGTTAATAGTATGTCGGGAGTGCCTTGACGCAATGATGAGAATTATGTCAGATATCTCGGCTTTACCCACCAGACAGTCTCGAATCACACTCAATTTGTCCATTGATCTCAGCCATGACTGCATTTCCGTGCTTATCAACAATCGCATCTATCGACTCGATAACATTGAAGAATATTTCATTGTTATTGTGCTTGACGCCCGCCTTCCTCCATGTGATTGGCGATGCGTAAGGTCTAACGTTTGGTTGACTGATGAGCGTAAGCGAAATATTAACACCCAAACACACCCGCTAACCTCTTCACATTCATTCCAGCTGACGACATGAGCTTGGACAGCGTCGAAGGCGGAACGACGATATCGCTCAAAACGGCAGTTTCCGTGGTAACAGGGAAGCCATTATCGAGTATTTCTTCCATAAGCTATAAAACTCAGTTGTGGGCTTTGTTTGCAACAGTATAACACCAACCTGGTAGATGATGTCAAAGTTATCGCGTACTACAGACTCATTGAGCTTGCCAAAGTAATCAACTAGCAGCTTAATAGTTAATTGAATGAACGATATTGGGATCGACAGGTCCACTGGGCTTATTTAGATGTCGAGACAGCGCTAAGCATTTCACGTACCATTCTTATTGAATGGACATAAGATTACGATATCATTGACCCGTATAAAACTACTAAATGATCCATTTGGGGGTGTATCTACTGTGAAAAAAGGCTCAATTGGTTGCTTGTAGTTGTATGTGTCAATGTGTATAGCTGGGTAAAAGCTTGGTTGCTTAAAGCTCGAGTGCAGCAACGCATTTCTACAAAAATTTAGAACAAATTCCATATCTTGCTATTCCCCTACCCATCCTTGTTCAAAACAATAAGCCCGTCAATCATGATGATTGTAATGGATATAAATAAATATATTCTTGAATTATCCCTATTATACAATTTACTAACCATTACGACGTTTCTTGTTGTTTACTGCACGCCTCTTAGCATTGCGCATACCTCTAATATCTGTCTTGAAACGCCTATCCACCATTCTATAACGTCCACTAACTCCCTTTGGACGTCCCTTCACACCCTTAGCTGCACCTTTAGCAACAACAAGCTTCACTTCACGCTTCTTGTTAGCGTTGGCTTTCGTCTTGTTGATCATCTTCTGTACACCCATAGCTTTCTCTTTTTCAGTGAGCTCTTGATTCTCCATCACAGTCTCAGCCTTGGCCGCAGCCTTTTCAGCAGCCTTTGTTGCCTTGTACTTCTTCTTGGCTTTCGCTTCAGCAAGTTTCTTAATTGGACGTGCGTCAATAGCTCTCTGTCTAGCCTTCAAAGCGTCGACTGCTTCCTTGGTGATCGGTACGTGGACCTTGTAGTTCTTACGCTCGTCCGAGGTGAACCAATCAGGCAGATTCTCTCTATCGTTAGTGGCGTTTTTGTTGAAACCATCATCTATAAGCTGCTGCTTGGTGGTCATACCATTCTTCAAACGGTAAGCCATCGACATAGCCTCTTCAGTAATTAATCCAGTGTCTAAAATGGTCAGTACAGTAATGCAAGATTACGCTATACACACCTTCGATACGCTTTTGACGAACTGCATCTTGATCCTCATCGTCGACATCCCACATTTGACCGTCGTCTTCTTGAGGTACTACTTCAAATCCGTCAGATTCTTCGTCCTCTTCTTTGTCTTGTTGGGGTTTCTCGTCTTCCTCCATTGACTCATCCTCAGATTGCTTGTCGTCTTCTTCCTCCTCGCTTTCTTCGTCAATACCATCAGCACCATTGAAGAGTGGATTACCGAACCAAACACTAGCAGCGGCTTCATCTTGAGCATTGTCTGCTTTCTTCGGTTTTTTTGTTGACTTCTTAGACTTTCCGGCATTTTCCTCCTCTTCATCGGACGAGTCTTGGTCAAGCTGCATGCTACGTTTTTCTTTAGCATCGTAGCCGTGTTCTCCTTCAGACTCCTCTTCTTCCTCTTCTTCATTCTCTTCATCATCATCATCCTCATCATCGTCATCGCCACGACGAGGAATACCACCCCAAGCCTCTCTATTCTTATCTTTCCGACGTGCCTCCTTTACTTGATGCTTACGGTCTCTGTCTTGCAGTTTTTCTTGGTACTTTTCATACATACCATCCATTTGAGATTCAAGACGAACGACCTTGTCTTCCTCATCTTCATAAGCATCTTCGAATTTTGGAGCTTCGATTTCTTCTTCAGAAGATGCATCATCCTCATCCATTTCATCGAGATTGCGTCCTTTAATGTGTTTTTGAGAGTGCTTCAAATCAAACATGTCCTGTTTAGATTTGTTGCCTGGGAGGTAGACATCATCTTGGAGCTGTTCATCTTGTTCCAAACCGATATCAAGTGGTGCACCCATCTTAAGCTGCATACGTTGAACTTCCCTTGCACGCTTCTCATTGCGTCTTCTACGTTCTTTTCTAGCACGGGCTGAGTCTTCGTTTTCTATACGCTCAATCTCCTCAGCTATTTGCTCATCTTGATTCATTGGATGCTCTTCAACCTTTGACTGACCTGCATCGTCAACGTCTTCTTTAATGTCTTTCTTTCTAACTTCGAGACCCATCTCTTCGCGTATAATTAGTCTCCATTTCATTAGTTGTTTAAATTCTTTCTTTCCTAACACTTTGAGATCTTCGCAATTAGCTTTAATGTCATCGGTGGTGTCTTCATTTTTCAACAACTTCTTATCTTCCTTTGATTTGAAGGTTATTGCGTTGTGAGTACCAAGTATTGTGACAGGTTCAGTGCTTTCGATGAAATCAGTTGCACTGATTGCTTTGAATTGAAGGTAATTGCCTTCCTCATAACCTTCCCTCTTTCTTGTCTTCTTCTCAGGCATAAAGACATTGGCGTGAGCGTTTGCAGCAGCAGAACCTTTACCAGAATCGGAAGCAAGTGCAGCGATATCTTTGAAAACGTATTTAGGATCTAAGAAGCGAGGATCGAGCTTTTGAGGAGCAATAAAATCTTGACAAACGACGAATAACTCAGCAGAAACCAATCTAGAGCTGTTTGGCTTTGTTGCGTTCACGTTTTTGAAGAGTTGATTGAAAACCCACATGAGGTTATTGTAATCCTTTGATCTGAACACTTTTGTGACGAAAGTACCGCCCTTTTCAAGAATTTCAGCAGCAATCTTCAAACTAGCGAGTACAAGCTCATTTTGAGCGAAAGCGTCCTGTAACCAAGCAGCACCAACGTTAGGAGCACCGTCGTGGACAACCAAGTCAGCGAGGTTTCCCTTCATTTCATTGGTAATGAGTTGCTTGCAATGTTGAGTTGTTAAGTCAGCAACAAAGGTAGTAACACGTGGAATAGGAACAATAGGAACCAAATCAACACCTATAAAGTTATAAGCCTTCACTTGAATTCAATGGAAATGCCCACCAATGATAAGAGAACCATGAGGCATACTACTCGATAAATTCTGTAACCAAGACCCAGGCTTTATTTTTATTAGCGTTGATTGAAAATCAATAGTGAATACTAACAGCTGCACCTAAATCCACAGCTATGCGACTCTTCTCGATAAAGTTAAAGCGCTTATTCAGCTCAGCCAGCTTGAAGTAAGCACGGCTTCGATAGCCACGATCTTTGGCCATACGATAGTACTTGTCAATTCTGCCTTTTGCATGTTTCTTTAGGAATTTTCCCATTTTGAGTGGGTGTTGGGATGCAAGGGGTTGTGAATAGGTGTAAATTGGTTTGTAAGTTGCGGAATTTCTGTTGTCAGTGAGTAGATATATAAAACCCCCATTCTAATTAAAATATCCCTCCCAATCCCCCCACATACACTCCAATTTTCAAACTTCAAATTTGACCAATTTTCACCTCGCCTTCTCTCTTCACGACGACCACTATGAGCAAGTTACCAACTTCCACAGTCCGTGCGCAGGTCAAGGACGTACTTGAGCAAAGTGCTAAGCCTGAGAACAAGAGAAACTTTGTCGAGACCGTTGAGCTCCAAATTGGTCTCAAGAACTACGACCCACAAAGAGACAAGCGTTTCTCTGGTACTATCAAGCTTCCACACGTCCCAAGACCTAGAATGGCTCTCTGCCTTCTTGGTGACGCTGCCGATATCGATCGTGCTAAGCTTATGGGCCTTGAGTTCATGTCTGTTGAAGATTTGAAGAAGCTCAACAAGAACAAGAAGCTCGTCAAGAAGCTCGCAAAGAAGTACGATGCTTTCGTCGCTTCCGAGGCTCTCATCAAGCAGATTCCTCGTTTGCTTGGTCCTGGTTTGTCTAAGGCTGGTAAGTTCCCAACCCCAGTCTCTCACTCAGAGGACCTCGAGAAGAAGACCACCGAAGTCAAGTCAACCATCAAGTTCCAACTTAAGAAGGTTCTCTGTTTGGCTGTCGCCGTTGGTCACGTTACCATGTCCGAGGATGAGCTCGTCGCAAACATTATGCTTGCTGTAAACTTCCTCGTTTCTCTTCTTAAGAAGAACTGGCAAAACGTCAAGTCTCTTCACATCAAGAGCACTATGGGTAAGGCTCACCGTCTCTTCTAGATTATTACAGTCGTTATGCATGCGCACGCTACACCTACGGAATTTTTGTTAATTTTCGAGAGGGAGCTTGTAATGGTCGTTTAAATGGTGTTTCCTTTTACTTTTGTTTGTTTACATTTACTTGCCGATGCAAAAACCCGCAAAGAGTGCGTCTAATACGTCCTCCACGTCAACTCTCCCAGTCACCCTACCCAACGCAAGTGCGGCATAACGCAGCTCCTCTGCAGCTTCTACAGGCGCATTCGAGGGTGTGCCTATGAAAGCCTTGAGGAATTGCAGACACTGCTCGAGATGGTATCGATGTCTAGCATCTGTGATGATTGGCATGTCAGCCATACCTATATCGAATTGCTGCTTGATATTGTTTGTTAAAGTGAATAAAAACTCCTCTAAAGCCGCCTCCTGCTTGACACTGCCAGCAAACACATTCTCAAATGGTTCTAGCAGCTTCTTCACTTTATCAAGTTGTGTCTGATTCAATGGGGCGGTGAGACTGTCTGATTTATTTAAAAGTACGATTGAGTCTTTGGAAATGTGTTTCAAATCCACATCAAGTCTACCCTCCTGTAATAAAACAGGCAAGTCAAGAACGACGAGTGTGATATCTGCCTGGCGGGCTCTGATAGCGAATCAGTGGATGATTTGAACATCACAACGCAACCTACTCTTCTACAGCCCTTTTAACACCCATTTGCTCAATTTCTTCATCCGTCGTGCGCACGCCGGCTGTGTCGGAAACCAAGACAGGATATCCACCCAAATTGAGACTAAGTTGGATAACGTCGCGTGTAGTACCTGGGAGATGTGATACTATAGCAGCCTCTCTTCTAGCCAAGCGATTGAGTAGTGTTGATTTCCCCGCGTTAGGAGGGCCGTAAATCGCCAAACGAATCCCGCTGCGAACAATTTCACCTCTTCTGTTATCATGGAGGTGTTTCTCGATTTTAGCGGCGAGATCACGCGTGTTTTGCGTGGCTGAATCAAGTGCAAAGAAGGTGCAAGTGTTAGACATTATCACCTCACACACACACACCTACCTTGACTTAAAACGCCTTCCTCAATCTGCTCATCTTCCCCAAAATCTATCACGGCTTCCACGATGGAGAGTGCGTGAATGATATCCAAGCGCATATCGTCGTATTGCTGTCTAACAGCGCCCTGATCCGCGTAAGATATACCAAGACAATAACAAGCAATCGACGCACACTCGACTGCCGCAATGCCAATCTACGCTGCATTTCCGTTTCAGCATCAACGAGATCCCTCAATCCTTCGATCTCAGTAAGATCCAATTTATGCGACTCGAAAGCTCGTCTGGCAAATTCACCCCTCTCAGCTGGTCTGCAACCGTCTATACAAGCGATTGCGTTGAGCGCTGCCCCCACGACGGCGTTGCCGCCATGCAGATGCAGTTCTAGTGTATCCTGCGAGGTGAACGAGCGCGGAGCTATGAGTGGGTGGGTGTGTGAGTGTGTGTGTGCGCATTAACAACCAAAACACACCCGCAAAATACACCAGCAGCGCCCTGTCGATGACTTCCTTAGTCGATGGATTCACGATGCTTCTGTTCACCATCACCCGCTCTTGCGGCAGTCTGCGTTGCTTGTGCGTTGGCGTTGGCGTTAATGCATCGTAGACCCGCCGCACGTCCGGTCCAGATACTCGCACAACAGCTATACCTGCCTTGCCTGGGGCGGAAGCGAGAGCGAATATCGTCTTGAGCTGTGAGGTGGACTGCTTGAGGGGCGTGGATGGGCCGCCGCTCTTCAAACCCATCGAAATCATCGAAGCCAGCATGATTGTCGTTGGTTTCCTCTCTCAAAACTACGACGACTTGACGAAAGCACTCAATCTCAAATGGGTCAATCAGGTTCACAACTTCTAGGAGACTTGGAACGCAACTCTAATTTCACCGCTGCTGAACTCCAGCGGCTCAAGAAACGCTTCATGAAGCTGGATAGAGACGGTAGTGGGTCTATTGACCGCGAGGAGTTCCTACAGATACCACAAGTAGCCAATAATCCACTCGCTCATCGAATGATTGCCATTTTCGACGAGGATGGTGGCGGGACTGTTGATTTCCAGGAATTCGTTGGCGGTTTGAGCGCTTTCAGTAACCGCGGTGGCAGGGATGAGAAGCTCAAGTTTGCATTCAAAGTGTACGACATGGATCGCGATGGATACATTAGCAACGGCGAACTCTACATCGTCCTTAAAATGATGGTTGGAAATAATCTACGTGATCAGCAACTCCAGCAAATCGTAGACAAGACTATCATGGAAGGCGATAAGGATGGCGATGGCAGACTTTCCTTTGCTGAGTTCTCCGATATGGTCTCTGCTACAGATATACTCAAGCAGATGACGCTCGAGGCTTTGTTTTAGATGCTTTGTTATACCATGTTATTTTCAATCAAAACCAATTACATTACATTATACATCATATTTTAGCTGTCTTAAAGGTTGGATGGGTACACGTAGTCAGTTGGCTCAACAAATGCCTCCTTGATCGATCTCGCGCTAACGAATCTCGAAAAGAGTGATGGTGCACCTGCCTTGTCATTCGTACCAGACGCTCTAGCACCACCGAATGGCTGCTGACCGACAACGGCACCAGTGCACTTATCGTTAATGTAAAAGTTACCAGCTGAGTTGCGCAAGAGTGCTTGTCCCTTGATCACGGCTGCTCTGTCTCTGGCGAAGAGTGCACCAGTGAGGGCGTAAGTCGTTGTTGAATCGACGAGCTCAGCAGTCTTCTCAAAGTCTGCATCCTCGTATACATAGACGGTGATTACTGGACCAAAGATTTCCTCAGTCATGGTCACTGTCTTAGGGTTGGTGGTGACGATGACTGTTGGTTTGACATAGTATCCCTCGCTGTCATCACCACTGCCACCGGCAATGACCTTGTCACCAACATCTTGTGCCTTCTTGATGTAACCAGTGATCTTGTCGAATGCTGGCTTGTTGATGACAGGACCCATAAAGTGGTTCCAGTCTTGGACCTTTCCGACAGTTATACTGTTGACTTGCTCGACCAGCTCCTTCTCAAAGCCATTCTTCCACAATGATGATGGAACGTAGAGTCTTGAACATGCACTGCACTTTTGGCCTTGGTACTCGAATGCTGCTCTTATAGTTTGGATGACAGTTGGCTTAATAGGAGCAGAATTGTGGACCAAGTGGAAGTTCTTACCACCAGTCTCACCGACAATCCTTGGGTAACCCTTGTAAATGTCCAAGTTGCTTGAGATGGTCTTCCAAAGGTGCTTGAAGACTTGAGTAGATCCCGTGTAGTGGAGAGCAGAGAAGTCTGGGTTGTTGACCGCGCGACCGACAATCTCAGCTGGTGGGCCTGGAACGAATTGAATGACACCCTTTGGCAAACCAGCTTCTTCGAGGATTTGGTAAACAATGTAGTTGGAGAGTGTGGCCATTGGAGATGGTTTCCAGACGACAGTGTTGCCAACCATTGCTGGGGCAGCTGGGAGGTTACCACCAATAGCAGTAAAGTTAAATGGTGATACAGCCATGACGAAACCCTCGAGTGGTCTGTATTCGGTACGGCTGCAGTGTGTGAGAATTTTCATCTGCGTATTGACTTTACAACTTACTTCCAGACGGTTGGGGAGTTCTTTGGTGGCTGGACAGCGTACATCTCTTCAACATATTTGATACCAAATCTCAAGAAATCAGCGAGCTGAAAATTTTATCAGCATTGTCACATGTTGTTGTAAGACATTCAACTCACCTCGGCAGCAGCGTCGATCTCAGCTTGCCATGTGTTCTTACCCTGACCAAGCATAGTAGCGGCCATAAGGGTATATCTGTATTTGGTTGAGATGAGGTCAGCGGTCTGATAGGGGATTAGCGAGTCATGTGCGGGGTGAAATAGTGGCGAACCTTCATGAAGATAGCAGCCTTGTCATTCCAAGGCATTGCTTCCCAAGACTTCTTAGCGTCGAGGGCGCCCTTAATGGCAGCGTCAACCTGAGCGTCGCTGGCTTCCTCGTAAGTGGCAACGACTTGAGAGTGCTGGCCAGGGTTGAGCTGCTTTCCGGTGCTCTTCAAACCAGAAGATTGTCTCTCTCCGTTGATAATGATTGGAACTGATTGTGGGAAGGTGGCTTCGAGATCCTTCAAAGCCTGTGTGAGTCCTGCTCTATCAGCCGACTGTGGTTGATAGTGCTTCATGGTTTCATTCTTTAGGCGTGTCAGTAGGTGGTGCACTACACGCACGACACACACGTACGTCAATTGCCGGTATTTTGAATGATGCAAGTTGTGCTACGCTCATTTTGTATTTGTATTTGGTCGTTGAGGTCTAAGGACTGGCGAGTGCAAATCCTTGGATGTCTCTTCCAAATTAAAATCTACTCGCCTTCTAGCGGAGTTGGCTCGCTTACTCTACTGATATCATACTCGCCTTCTAGCGGAACTAGATCGGTTACGGAGCGGCATCGGAGCCTCAGCGGAGATGCGCCGGACTTGGTTTCTAATTGATTTGTTAATATTTTAATGCATTATAGTGTATTATAATGCTACAAGATACACAAACTCATTTTGCCCCCTTGCCACTCAAAGTCCATTGAAAAAGTAATTGTTAGGGGACCCATTTCTTCCCAAAGGCAATAAAACGGACAAGAAAATACCCGTGGAAGCTTCCGAAGATTCGCGAGTGTGGAATAATTAATGCGGTGTGAACAAAAGAAGATTTTCGCAGCTCAGCCCACAATTGCAGATGTCTTTGGTTGCTGGCCTATAGAAATGCTATATCAGATTCAATTAATCTCAAGGTCTGTTAGATAATTAGGAAATGATACATGGCTGATATAGCTGATAAGGATCAGCTGATCGACGAATCATCGGCTACTAACACCCGGCTTTGAGAGAGCAGAGCTACCTCCTGCATATATCTACATCACAAACACCTTAAGAAAACAAAATTATAACGATTTTAAAATACAACGTGATATTTCTATTTACCACCGAACATGCCTGCCATCTTCGAGAAATCCATTCCGCCGAGCATAGATGCTGGATTGAATCCACCTGCGCCACCCATTCCAGGCATCTGTGGCATCTGTGGCATCTGTGGCATTCCAGGCAACTGTGGCATACCTCCACCACCGCCGCCCATCGCATTTGGATTCATTCCCATCTGTTGTGCCATCTTTTCCATCATTTCTGGATCCATTCCTTTTGGAATCTGTCCGCGTTGCAGCTGCTGTAGTATCTCAGGTCCACCTCCACTCTTCAGCTTTTGAAGTAATTGTGGTGGCATCATCTTTTGCATCTGTTGTACCTGATCTCTCGATGGCATACCCGGCTGACCTGGTTTCATTCCACCAGCTCCACCCGCTTGCCCTTTCATCATGTTGAGGATACCGCTCTTCATCATCGTATATTGCACCAACAGTTCTTCAACTTCGCGTACACTAGTACCTGATCCCCTGGCAACTCGAAGTGCACGCTTGCTCATTCCAACATATTTCCCATCCGTGCCTTTGCGCAGGAAGATTGAACCATCACTATCCATCTCCTTCACCGTCATACTATCGGTGATGAAGAGCATTCTTTTTATCCTCTTGCTAGCCTCATCGTCACCACCTTGTCCAATCATGTCGGCGTTGAGTCCCGGTATCATACCTGCTATCTTACTGATAGGTCCTAGTTTAGTTACATTCTTAATCTGTTCAGACCAGTCTCTGATACTCAGGCTGCCTTGCTCAAACTTCTTAGCGAGTTCCTTTTGTTTGTCGGGGTCGGACATGGCTACATCCTGAACTTGCTCCATCAATCCCTGCATATCACCCATACCGAGTAGCTGTTGAACAAATGGACGAGGTCTAAAGGTATCTATATCGTGCAAATTCTCACCAGTACCGATGAAAATGATAGGTGTTTGAGTAGCAGCGACTGCAGAGATAGCACCACCACCTTTAGCGTGACCATCCATTTTAGTGACAATGATTGCACCAAAATCGGAACTCTGCTTGAAAGCGCTAGCTTGAGATTCAGCAGCCTGACCCATCGCACCGTCCATAACGAGTACCGTCATTTGAGGTTTGACAGCCTGGCTAATCATTACCATCTCTTCGAATAAATCCTCCTCCTGCTTATGTCTACCAGAGGTATCAACAATGATGACGTCGAATTTTGACTTTTTAAATTGTTGAACACCAGCTACTGAGATTGCTACGGGATCAGTTTCAGTGTAAGAGCCGTAGAAGGGTATTTTAGCCTTTGTAGCGTTTTGCTTGAGTTGGTCGAATGCACCAGCTCTGAAGGTATCTGCGCACACAAGAGCTACTTTGAAGCCCTTCTTTTGGTAGTGGACTGCGAGTTTAGTGCAGGATGTGGTCTTACCGGCACCCTGTAAACCAACAGCCATGATAATGTTAGTTTTCCCTTTCGTTGGCTTGTAAGGGTCTTCCTGTGGGTCAACGAGAGCGACGAGTTGATCAAAGATAGCCTGTGGATGTTAGCTTATAGCCAAACGCGCATTCTATGCCTAACGCACCTTGTGTACAATCTGCTTTGACTTTTGGTGATTTGTGCTAGCATTGGCTTCCTTGATCTCCTTCAAAGCGCGGGTCTTGACGTGGTTGCGTAGGTTACCTACAAGCTTGACGTTGATGTCAGATTCGAGTAAGGCCTTTGAGATTTCCTTGAGAAGTGCGTCGAGTGTCTGGAGGAGTGTGAGGAGAGTGGAATGAAAGCAAGGGGGCTATTCACCTTCTCATCAACAACGCTAGCCTTGCTGAATGAGTTCAACGCTGTATTCAGCTGCCTTCCGAGTCCTGCTAGTACCATCTTGTAATTTAGATGATGATGGTTGAGATGATAGAGGGATGGCACTATCTGGGTGGATATTAGAGATTTATTTGGAGTATGAGTATATTTGGAGTTGTATAGCCATGCTAATATCGATTCTAGTGCTAGATGGGTAGTATAAAATTTTGACGCCGCAGCCGAGTAAACTAGACAATTAGTGGACCGGTGTGGGTAGTGGAATATGAAAGAGATCAAAACGGGGCCATTTTCCTTCAAATTTCCGTCTCTAGAATGAATCGAGGTACAACGACAAGCACTTCGCACAGGCACTGAGTAATTAAGTATGCTTGACCAGCTGCGGAAGGAAAGTATAAATATCTAAAATCGATAACGAAATTTTAGCATATTTTTAGCCATAACTCCAATATCTCGGCTCTTGTGATCCACAGAAATTCGGCGGAAAGCCTGGGCACAGTTACACAGCAGCGTAATCATTGTTCCTTGACCCACAACGACCATGTTGTTGAAAATAATAATTTTGGCTGCAGAGATTGCAGTCGCGCTCGCTAGCAGCGTCTCTCTCCCAATCTACCACTCCATACGCAATTCAGACACACAGGAATGGGCATACGCTCAAGGCCTCAAGCAGCGTGCTAAGTACGGCCATCCATTGCTTCTCGGCCGCGAGAGAATGTCCACCAGATCAATTATCGCACTCACAAACCAAAATATCGATGCGTGAGTCTAGGGTTATTGATCACATATGACATAATCTAATCATTCAACAGCGCTTACTACGCGACTATCGGCATCGGCACCCCGCAGCAGACGTTCCAAGTCATTCTAGATACGGGCTCCTCGGCTCTGTGGATCATCGACTCGGCTCTCTCGGACGCCGAGGAAGGTAAGTTTGGAAATGGCTACGATCCCGAAACCAGCAGCACTTTTGAGAACAGGACGGACGGATTCTCCGTCACTTACGGCTCCGGACAGGCTTTTGGTTACGATGCTACCGATGACGTTCAATTGGGCGCTTACAAACTCTCGTCTTCCCCATTGGCCATCGTCGATCAGGTCACCTCGTCTCTCATTTCTGCTCCTGTCTCGGGTATCATGGGTCTCGCTTGGGCCAAATTGTCCCAAGATGTCGGTACTCCTTTCTGGGAGCAACTCGTCCAGAATGGCCAGATCAGCGATGACCATACCATGTCATTCTATCTCACACGTATGCGTTCCAACAGACAGGCTCAGTCTTTGGAACCCGGCGGTGTCTTCACTCTAGGTGAACTCGACGACTCGCTCTACACAGGCAACGTCTCTTACCACAGCATTTTGGGTGAAGACTGGTGGAGAGTTAAAATGACCGCTATTAATGTCGATGGTTCTACTGCTTTTTCCCCGTCTATCACTGTCGGCGCAGGTGTTGATTCTGGTACTACCCTCATCGGCGGTCCTCACGACGACATTGCAAAGATCTGGGAGGCTGTTGAAGGCGCACAAGAGGGCACTGGCAACTACCAAGGCTATTGGTTCTACCCTTGCACCACGAATCCCAATATTGAGATTGTAATCGATGGTACACCTTACGCAGTCAACCCTGAAGATCTCAAATTTAACGAGTCTAGCGACGGGACTTGCCAGGGTGCAATATTTGCACTCAGCTCTGGTTCTACTCAAGGTACTGACAACCGTCTCGAGTGGGTCCTCGGTGACACGTTCATGAAGAACTACTACACTGTCTTCAGATACTCTCCACCAGCTGTCGGTTTTGCGGAACTTTCAGAAAATGCAAAGGCTAGCCAAACTGAAGCTGGCACAGTGCCGTCTCAGACTGTAGGCGATGCTGACAGCTTCGGCGAATCCGCCGCTCCATCTAGCTACCAACCAGCCTTCATCCTCCCTATTGCAATTACTCTCACCACTATTATTGCATTGTCCATTTAGATGGCTGCACGATAAGTAATTGCAAATTATGAACAATTTATGTTTACTCACGCTTCAACGACGTACATCCGATAGAGTCTTGGATTCTTGGAGTCTTCTTGAAATGGACGATACGCTTTTATTTTTCTTTTCTATCAAGTCTTCAAGTTTCAGTCGCTAGTCATTGGGAAAATGACGCGTCTATTAATCAAAAAAAATCTCATCTGTAACACTCATTTCTGGTACCAGGAAGGACTAGAATGGATGGACCATAATACTTGTACACCTCTACTTATATGTATACATAACCTTCGTTTGGATATTTTAGATGAGTAAATCGCTTATTGTCGGATGGGGGAAATATGTCTACAGCTAGGCTAATTCTGTCTATCAATGCGTTTATTTCGAGATATTAATAACTTGATATTTGTCAACAGCCGTTGGATAGCTAAGCGAATGAGCATCTAAGTAAGTGCCATCTGAACAAATATCTGTTAAAGAGTTTATTCGAGAGTCTTGAAAGCCTATGAAATTAGAACTAGAGTTTAATAATGTGTTCATTTGGTCGGGTATCAGAGCGATCTGGGCAATTTGGATACTGTTGATGGATAATTTGTTGAAAAAGAGCTCAAATACTAGGATAAAGTCTCAGGACACCCTGGTATCTACTAAACGAGCCCTGACAATACCAATGGTATAAAGTCTTATCTTTGATTGAACATAGTGAGTGATGGTCGGGGCTAAATTAGAATTACCTATGTAATTAATAAAGCTGCTCGTGAAAGCTGATACAGTCTGAAGTATTGAGACATCGGCATCGAAATGAAAATGCAGGAACCGAGTCACCTATAAGATATGCAGATATAGATTATTAGCGCTTGATCTGAGTTTAACCTATTGGCGACCACCGAAATAAGTCCCCTGATTTCTTGATCACCTGCCAATGTTCGATCTCCTATAAAAACAACTCCACCTCATCCAGGCCCCTGCGGACGTCAGGAGAGGTATTCAAGGCGTGTATCAAGCTGAAAATTAATCAGATGAATATTATCAGATAGATTATTTTCAGTCTCGATTGCTTTCGCGCGATACATTTCTATGTTTCCGATGTTAGTGAAAATGTTACAAATATTCATAACATAAATCCCATATACCTACGCATTTGACAGATTTCTCTGACACATTACTTGATTCATTCGTGTCCGTTCATTGATGACTTTTTAACAGCTTAAGCAAACATCGTGGCGCTGCTCCACACCTTCATCTCGAGCCACATTAATGGACGCGCATGAATGATGGGAAGTAGCATGTAATAAATCGGTTAAGTTTAAGAAGGACAAATTGCCATGTACCTGCTTCAAAACGAGTATGAATTCCATGAACTGATGCGGAGTGGTCAATCATTATGATAGAAAATGAACGTTTTACAACAAAGGACGATAAGAAAGTGAAAGAAGTATCCAAGATATAATTTACGTAGTCGTCGAAGAAATGGTAGCTGAAAGTCAAAACACTCTATTCATATGTTGCAATGAGACTAGCCAGAAGATTGAGTGATTGTGTCTTGGGCATGATAACTGTTGGCCACATAATTCTCGATTCTTAGCCATGATCAATCCTTGTCATTGAGCTGGTCTCTATAACGAAGAAGTGAGTGAGACTTATACGCACAATGCTTTTCAAACAAATCAAAGTCGGATATCCCAGTGCTAATTGAGGAATCGAGAATTTTGTTGATGTTTTCTAATAAGGTAGAGAAACCCTTGTTTGTCATCAAGGTCTTATATATGCGCCCCTTGAAAGCAACTAGTCCACAATTCTTGAAGTCATTTCATAATTCATTTGCAAGGGAAATACTAAGATGACCGTTATGCTCAGCCTCTAAGCTGTCCACCTGCGTCAAACTCCCATCGAAAGCCTCAAAGTGGAAATTCCTGAGTGATGAATGAGCCCACGATTGAAATGAATACGTGATACAGCATAAATCACAGTATTTTTGCCGCTGATTTATTATGAATAACTTGTGCAATTGGATGATGTGATTGATGGTATCTCCACTACCACCATGTCCGATAAGCAATCGCTTCCGCGCCCAGCAGCGGCAGCAGCAGCGTATTCTAGCAGATGGAAGAGACCTCTCATCGCTGGCGTCATTCTCTCGCTTTACCTCATCTCACGCATCGCGCTGCTATTTTCCAATTCTTCGGCGGATAAAGCAGCAGCAGATAGTCCGATTCAATGTCCAGCACAGGCACCATCACTCCCTTCCCCTGCTATCCCTTTCCGCGTTCCTGATGGCAGTATCGAGCGCTGGAGCGAGAGTGTCACTTATCCGACAATTTCCTACGACGATTTCCGCGAGCCCGGCAACGACACACGCTACGACACTTTCCCGCCTTTTTACGCCTTCCTCCAGCGCGCTTTCCCTGCAGTCCATGCCACGCTCTCTCACGAGACAGTGAACCATTATGGCAATCTCTACGAATGGCGCGGGAGTGATGCGTCCCTCAAACCACTTATTCTGATGGCGCACGCGGATGTCGTACCTGTAGACCCCACCTCCGTCGACAGATGGGATGCGCCTCCCTTCTCGGGTCACATCGATCCCGATGGCTGGGTGCACGGCCGCGGCGCTGGCGACTGCAAGAACCTCCTCCTGTCTATCTATGAAGTAATTGAGGGTCTCATTAATGCCGGGTTTACTCCACGCCGCACTATCATCCTGTCGTTCGGCTTCGATGAAGAAATAAGCGGCCCTCGGGGTGCGAAGCACCTTAGCGAGCGCATTCACGACAAGTACGCCACTAGTGACAGTGACAGTGATATCGCTATTGCAGTGCTCGACGAAGGTGGTTTGCTAGACCTGCACAGCCACTCCACCCCCTTTGCCCTTCCAGCCGTGAAGGAGAAGGGGTATTTAGATGTGAAGGTGTCAGTGGCGACGCGCGGGGGCCACTCCTCAATCCCACCTCCCCACACGTCTATCGGATACCTCGCACAGCTAATAGCACACATGGAGGCACATCCCCATGCACCCCACCTCGCCGTGGAGAACCCCTTCACAACACATCTGCAGTGTCTGCTCGAACACTCCCCCGCATCGCTCGATGCGATTGATCCCCATTTACGCCAACAGCTTCCCAATACGCGTCTGTGGGGGGAGGCAGCGCGCACTGTGGCAGAGCACGATGTGCGCGACCGCTACCTCATCCAGACGAGTCAGGCTGCTGATCTCATTGCGGGGGGAGTCAAGGTTAACGCACTCCCGGAAGTCGCGTCCGCTGTCTTCAACCAGCGCATAGATGTCGCGGGGAGTGTGCACGGCTTGAAGGAGCATCTCACATCCCTCCTACAACCCTACGCTGAGGAGCTCGGGATGGCTTTTGTGGGTTTCGACGGGAAGCTGGTCGGTGACGCGGAACTTGGCGTCGGTACAGTGCAGGTGGAGGTGTTCGGTAGCCCCCTCGACCCCGCGCCCAACACACCAACGAGTGGTCACGTGTGGGATACACTCGTAGGTTCTCTCAGGAATGTCTTCGGTGGTGATCTCGTCGTCAGCCCTCATCTCATGGCCGGTAATACTGACACTCGCCATTATTGGCGTCTCACAAGGAATATCTTCCGCTTTGAGGCTTTCGATGCGAGTTTGACCAAGGACATGTGCGTTCGAGCTTGATCGATTTTCACATCTAACCAACCACACCACAGACACACTGTCAATGAACGCGTACATAAAGATGCTCATATCCAGTCAATGTCCTTCCTCCATCAGTTTATACAGCAGTTGGACAGCTTAGATGCTTAGCTGCCTTGTTATCTCAGTGACCAATGTAATTTACGAACACCAAAAAATTTTATCTTAATTTTCGGCTGCTAAATCCTTAGCAGCTAAATTAGTTTTATTGGATACATCTTTAACTTTCACAACAAATTCGCTTGAAATCTGATTATTTTCTGCAATGTCTATCAAATTACATGTCAGTGGTTCGATTAGACAATATGCCCTAAAAGCCTTGAAAATGTCATCTATCAACGCGAATGAATTGGAGCTTTTAGCTGAAGGAGACATTTTTAAGTGCAAGTTTGTCCCTCATACACAAAATTACTACGATGCTTAAAATCTGAAAATACATAATAAAGTGGAAGCAATCTGCAGCTTCTCTAGGCAGGCAACTAGCACACCACAAAGATAGCACGGTTGAACGTTTATAAGTACAATGTTTACAATCAAGTCAAAGAAGGAAAGAAAGGGGAGGGATATGTAAGCTTTCTATGGAACGGTGTTGGTGTTTTTAAACGGGAGGTTGAATCCTTATGTGACACTCTAGTACTTGATCTCGGCAGGCTGTTCCCATGAGTCGCCTTGGTGACCGAAGTGACCATATTTAGCCGTCTCGTTGTAGATAGGGCGTTGGAGGTTGAGAGCTTTAACGATAACACCTGGCTTGAGGTTGAAGTTATTTCTAACAATTTCGACGAGCTGTGCATCGCTGTGACCTTGCTTGGCGGTGCTGTACGAGTCGACAAAGACGGAGAGGGGCTCAGCCACACCGATAGCATAGGACAACTGCACAAGACAGCGCTGCACGAGGCCAGCCTTGACGAGTGATTTGGCTATCCATCTACCCGTGTACGCGGCAGATCTGTCTACCTTGGAGAAATCCTTACCAGAGAATGCACCACCACCGTGTGCACCCCAGCCACCGTAAGTGTCTACAATGATCTTGCGGCCGGTAAGACCAGCGTCACCTTGTGGACCACCAATGACGAAGCGACCGGATGGTTGAATGTGGTAGATGGTGTGCTCGTCGAGGAGGTCAGCGGGAATAACCTGTTTGATAATCTTCTCGAGAACTTCTGTGCGCAATTGCTCGGTGGAGATATCGTCGCTGTGTTGAAGCGAGGCGACGACTGTGTCTACGCGCTTTGGGATCACTGCACCGCCTTCCTTCTTGTACTCGACCGTGACTTGTGTCTTGGTGTCTGGACGAACCCATGGAAGCTGACCGGTGCGACGTGCTACAGCCAACGCCTGGTTGAGTTTGTGGGCGAGTGAGATGGTCAATGGCATACACTCAGGTGTCTCGTCGGTAGCATAACCGAACATAATACCCTGATCACCTGCACCGAGGTTCTCGAGCGCACCGTGGTCAAGACCTTGGGCGATATCTGGGGACTGTTGCTCGATAGCTACAAGGACGTTACATGTCTTGTAATCAAAGCCCTTTTCAGAATCATCGTAGCCGATTTCCTTGATGGTTTGGCGAATAACAGATTGGTAGTCAACGTGTGCCTTGGTTGTGATTTCACCAAAGACCTGTATGGTGTGTGAGGAGTGAAAAACCTAAGAAAAAAAAAGAGAGACCATAATCATACCAGTCTTGGCAGCAGTTTCGCATGCAACCTTTGAGAAAGGGTCTTCTCTCAGGCAAGCGTCAAGAATAGCGTCTGAAACTTGATCGCAAATCTTGTCTGGGTGACCTTCACCGACGGATTCTAAAGGGGAATGAGAAGAATGTTATAGGTGGGAATAGACGCACCAGAAGTAAAGAGGAAATGACCGTCTGGGAGAGTTTTGTTGGCTTGGTGAGTCACTGCGGCTGGCATTATGTGATCGTTTGGTGGTTGAGGGGGAAGAAGATTTCTCGCGTCAAATCAGCCAACGAATATTGAAATGTTAAAGGGAGAATACAAAGTTGGTGTACTTGGTGCTACGGGGACAGTGGGACAGAGATTTATACTTCATTTACACAATCATCCTTTCTTTAAGCTTGTGGCTTTGGGTGCCAGCTCACGCTCTGCGGGGAAGGCGTATAGAGACGTAACCAAATGGAAGCAAGTTAAACAAATTCCAGAGAGTGTACAGCGTATGCAAGTTGAGGAATGTACCGTCGAGCACTTCCAACAATGTGACATCGTTTTCTCTGGTCTCGATCACGACGTCGCTGGCCCAATTGAAGATGCCCTTAGAAATGCACACGTTGCTGTGTTTTCCAACGCTAAGAACTACCGCCGCGATCCACTCGTACCGCTCGTTGTTCCACTCATAAACACTTCCCACTACAGCGTGTTGCCAGCCCAGCAGAAGTCTTTGGGTCTCACTAAAGGCTACATTGTCGCCAACGCCAACTGCTCCACTACAGCCCTCGTTGTCCCGCTCGCCGCACTCGAAAAGGCGTTCGGTCCACTTGAGCAAGTCCAAGCCACAACTCTCCAGGCTATCTCCGGCAGTGGCTACCCCGGTCTTCCTAGTCTCGACATACTCGACAATGTCGTCCCATACATTGGCAGCGAGGAGGACAAGATGGAGTGGGAGACGTACAAGATCCTCGGTGGGGTGAGCGCGCAAAATGATGCATTCGACTACCACGCACAATCCCCGCTCACAGTCTCAGCTACGTGCAACCGCGTGCCTGTGATCGATGGTCACACTGTGTGTGCAGGTGTAAAATTTGCATCTAAGGTGAAACCATCACCGCAGCAGGTCATGGAAGCTTTGTCGGCTTACACCTGCGATGCTCAGCACGTAGGAGCTCCTTCTGCCCCACAACAGGTCATCACCGTCCACCAAGAACAAGATAGACCTCAGCCACGCCTCGACAGAGACCACCAGAACGGCGCGGGTGTGAACGTCGGTCGCGTTAGAGGGGACGCCCTCTTCGATATCAAGTTTGTCGTTCTCGCTAATAACGTCCAAATCGGCGCTGCTACTTCATCTGTCATGAATGCAGAGGTAGCTGCGTTACAGGGGTATGTATAAGGAATTACATTGCGTGTATTGTGTTTAATTCATTACAAATTACATTCCATGACGCTATACTAGGCTTCTACCTTGATAGGTTGTTGTGTGTGTGTGTGTGGGTGGGTGTGAGCATCAACGTTAGCATGAGTATTAGCATTAGCATGAGCAAACCAGCGCGTAACACCCTTCCAGCCCTCGACTCTCTCTACAAACTGAGGCAGCTGAGTCGGTTCTCTGCTTTCTCCTGTTTTCAATCCGCGCGCCCTCCTCTCAGCATAACTGAGGTGGTCGAGCTGATTATCCACCCGCGACACCTCCACATTCCACGGATAGTGGTAGATGGGGATGTTTTGTGTGGGTGGGAGTGGCGAAAAGAGAAGGGTGCGTATAGGTGTTTGTGTGCGCGCCAATACACCCCTTGTGCGCGTGTGCCTGGCGCATTCTAAGGCGTTCTCCAACGAATCGTCTATGAGCACCTCAGCATCGATTCCGTCGATGATATCAGCTTTGGAGGGGTGCTTGGAGGTGTGTTTGAGTGTGTCCTGTGTCTGATCCTGCGCCTTCTCCTGCGTCTCTCCATCTCCGCCGTGCTCCTCCTTTGTTTCCCCGTAATGCTCCCCCTTTTCCTCCTCAAACTGACCGACAAAGTAGAGCTCATCAAACAGTCCACCGAGATGCAGACTTAGCCACTCTGTCGTCATTGCGCGCTGGCTGCGACTGCGTGCAGTCACAATCACCAGATCGTGTCCTTGCGCTTGGAGTGCCAATAAAGCTTCTTTGACACCGGCGACGGGCTGCGTGCTGTGCAGACCCTTCGGATCACTGTAGAATGCCCGCACTTTCTCCTGACACTCCGCTGGCGTACCCCAACCGGGATTTTTCCTGTCATTTAGAAAAAAAGGAGAAATGAGAAATGAGAAAAGCAGGGATAGAAAGACACACACCAGTAGTGGTAGTCTGCAGTTATTTTGGTTAGCCGTTAGCTGCCAGCTACTAGTGCACTTCACCTACAGTGGAATTCATCCATCGACCATTGCGTACCGTACACCCGCTGTATTGTTACATATCAGCACAATCCTTAACCCCCCGCGTATCACTCACATTATGCCACTCGCATATTGCTCTGTTCGTCTGGCTAATCACGTCATCGAAATCAATCGCTATTTTCATCGCTGTAGTGTTAAAGGAAATAGACAAAGCCAGAGACAACACTAATAAGGTGAAATTTTATTTTGTTTATTAAAATTAAAATTATAAGTAGATACAGTTAAATTAGTAGGATTGGGCATTAAGTCTCGCTTTAAGCTCTAAGCTTTACTTCTTACTTCCAAGGTGCAGCATTCCAGAGATACGTTTTGATATTCTCTTTGGCAGCGAAGGCTTCCTCTCAGTGGCTTCTTTGACTGCCTCTTTAGACTCAGTTTTAGCTTCAGAGGCACTCTCCTTAGCTGCATTCGTGGCATCCTTCTTGACTGTGTTTGCCTCGTTTTGGGCCTGTGCGGCACTGCTGTTTGCTTGGGTTTGAGCCTGCGCGGCAGAGGTATTCACCTGCTCTTTAGCTTGAGTGGCGCTTTCCTTTACTTCGCCCTTAGCTTGGGCTGCGGAGTCTTTGGCTTCTTCAGCCTTCTTGTCGGCGTCTTGTTTAGCTTGGTCGGCCGAGTTCTTGGCTTCCTGAGCTTTCTTATCAGCGTCTTGTTTAGCTTGGGCGGCTGAGTTCTTGGCTTCTTCCGTCTTCTTATCGGCATCCTGCTTGGCTTGAGCTGCTTTATTTTCTTCATCTTGCTTAGCCTGAGCCGCCTTCTTCTCAGCATCCTGTTTAGCTTGAGCCTCCTTCTTCTCAGCATCCTGCTTAGCAACTGCTGCCTTGTCTTGGACATCCTTATTGGACTCATCTGCCTTAGCCTCACCATTCTTCTTGACGTCATCGACGTTCTTCTCAGCATCCTCAACCTTGTGCTTGACATCTTCACCAGTGGTGTTGGAATTTGTTGGAACTTGAGCAGCGACGCCAGTTATTGGTGGGTTGATTTTAGTGTCGTCTGTAACATTATCCGGTGTTTCATTGGTGTTGCTAGTATCATTGGTGTCGGTGGTGGCTGATTCTTTGTGCTGATCTTCTTGATGGCCATCTTGAGCAGGTGAAACAACCTTGTCTTGAGCCGATTTTGATTCATCTTCTGGGGATACTTCTTGTTGATGAGTGTATGAGGTGTCTGCGGTGTTTTTCTTGGCACCCTCAGTAGCACCTGCAACAACGCCGTCAAAAGCCTTATCTTGGTTATTCTGGTTATCCTCTTTCTTCTGGTTATGCTGCTTGTCAGAGTGAGCGTGAGTTTTCTCAGGTTTCTCAGGAATAGCTGGCCAAGATGTAGTATTAGCAGAGACGCGGTTTTTAGACTTGGAATGATGGTCAGTGAGGTGTTCAACGGCATCATCGTCATGGTCTGAGTTGCTGTTGCTGTCATCGTGGCTGTCGTTGCCATGGGTTTCATTACCATGGCTATCGACGCCCTTCAAAGCCTTCTTAGTTTTCCTCTTGTTTTTCTTCTTGTCTGCTCTATTCGACGACGGTGGTTGATTTGGAGCGAAAAAGTAGTTGACCAGGACGTTGAGTGGACTGCCATGCGACGACTCAACGCGTGGATCAATCTTCCACTCCCCATTCACTTTATAGCGATATTGGCTGTATTAAACGTGTAAGCCCAATTCAAACGCGTTTGGTTGGCTTACTGTTTCGCTGAGTAGGTTACGTAGTGACTAGCCCTCCAAACGCCATCTTGGCCTTTCTTCAATGGGATATTGCTGTCATTCATCCATCCCGTGAAACTTCCTTGGAGGTGAACGTCGTGGGCGGATCTATCATGCCTGCAGGGGTATTTAAGCGTTAAATACACAGCGATTTCCTGACTAACCACTCAAACTTTGCTTCGTATTTATTTTCTGGTTTTGTCATCTTGGTCGTCGTCGTCTGTCTGAGAAATTCCAAGTCGATGCTGTGAATCTGATCGCCGGAAATGTTGAAGTTTTTTTAAAGTGGATAAAGGATTCATTTACAGGCGTACAATACACTATCAACAACTCTACGTTGCTCTTGTCCACCAACTCCCTCAATTTCGAGTGGTGTCTGTTGATCAAAATTCTGTCTCTCCCTGTCAGCACCTGCGTTTATAAGTAGAATAGCAGTAGAAGCATGGCCTGATTCCATTGCAAGGTGTAGCGGTGTGTTGCCCAGCCTGTCAGCTGTATTAAGTCTCGTCTTGTGTTGTGCATTAGGCGGACTAATGAGTAACTTGATGATATCACCGTTGCCTGTTGTAGCTGCGCGGTGCAAAGGATGCTGATTAGCTTTATCTTTCACGTTTACATCCGCTCCCTTTTCCAGAAGTAAATGAGCAATCTGGCGAGTTATTCGAGTGAATTCAAATAAACCAACGAAATCCACTCACAGTGGCATGATTCTTGGATGCAGCGTAATGCAAAGATGCTTGTCCCTTGTTGTTTACGTGATTAACTGATGCTCCATTCTTTATCAGCATATCCACTATCTCCAAACTACCCGCAGAGCCTTGAGTGCTTGTGAGAAGTGTGCTAAATAACTCACAATCCACCCACTGGCTATCATGAGAGGTGTCCACCCTAAACCATCCTCAATATCGACTTTTGCGCCTCTTTCCAGCAACATTCTAACGACAGAGGGATGACTGGATGTACAGCCCCAATGTAAAGGAGAGCGTGTGTTCTGTGTCAGTGTGTTGGTGCTTGCAACTCCTAATACTCCCAACGCACCTTGTCCAGTTTGTCAATTGAGTTTGGTTGTGCGTTTAGCAACTCATTCAATTCCCCCAATTGAGCTGTAGGCTTGTGAATACAACTGCCAAGCTATTTCATCCTCCACAAACCCTCTTGTGCCGCGCTATGTAATGTACTCATTGGTGGTAATAGTTATGCAATAAATCCAATTATGCGTTCAATGATTGTAAAACAAGTTCAAGAAATCTTTCTTCATCGGTTGTTTGGTTGGTGGGATCGCTGTGATTGCTGTGATCCTCCCCTTGCGTTCTGCTCTCCTTAAACATCCCCCAGATTCCACCAATTGCCATTTTAACGGCTCTATCGAGCTGGTTATCCGAGTTGCGTGTGTCATCCACTGTGCTGATATGTTCTTCTGCCTGGCGCGTGTAGAAGGTGTCTTGGTTGTCTTGAATGTAATTTCCTTGATTCTCTTCACCGCTCTCACCGCTCTCACCGCTTTCGTCAGAGAAATCTGCCCAGAAATCCTTGTTCGCCGTGTCTTCCTTCTCTTGCTCTGTGTGTTTGCCAGCGTTTGCATTAGCGTCGCTGATAACACGTTCAGCTGTGAGTATGAATGCATCCAACGCCATATCCTGGTTTGTGTACCAACCTGTATTTTCCATGTTTGTGTGTTTATCTGCTAGTTGAAGATTGTGAAATTTCCAATGTTCCTTGGTGTTATTGTTATTGTTATTGTTATTGTTATTGTTATTGTTATTACCAATGTTATTATCATTGTTATTGCCAATGTTATTATCATTATTAACATCGCTCTCCTCCTTCAACACCAAATACAATCCTCCCAACCTCATCCTCACATACTGTCCATCCTCCTCGTATTTATAACCAACTGGTACACGCTCCAATCCCTCGTCTGAGCTAATCTCCTGCAATTGCTCCACTATATTCGCACTCGGTTCCCATGACAGAAACTCTTCAACTTTCCTAGGTGGCAGTATCGAATGGCGGTAGTTGAGCAGTGTGCTGCATCTCTCTTTATCCAATGGCACGTCCAAACTCAACAGCTTTGGCAGCAACTCCAACGCCGTCTCTGTCGCTCCACTCGCACTCATGGTTGTTATCGTAACGTGTGTATTAAATTCATTTTACTCTTTTCCACCTTTTCCTCTCTCCCCACCCGGCTTCCCCGGCTTCTGCAATCTACGGCAACTGCAAATTACGGAACGCGAACAAGATATCCTCCGTGTTGATTATCGGTCCGTCGAAATACCGCGCCTGTGGTAGCATCTGCAGCACCAATCCCAGTGGATCCTTTACCTGTCTGGGTGCTGTTGGTGGTGCTATTCCACCTATTCCACCCATTCCACCCACTCCTCTACCACTGCCTAAATGTATTGGTGCTCCACCAATCTGCACCCCTTGAGCAGGTGAATTCCGCTGATTGCGATGAGGTGGCAAAGGCAATTGCTGCGACTGTCTTGATTTGCTATTAACATTGTTGTTGCTGTTGTTGTTGCTGTTGTTGCTAGTGATACTATTTCTACCGCCTTCTCTCTCACCTCCAACATCACGCTTCAGGCGTTTGTTCCGCTCTTCCTCGAGATCCACCGGCTGAGTACGTTCACGCTCACGCTCACGCTTCCCGCCACCACTCGCGTTGTCGCCCATCCTCGGTGCTGTCGGTGCCTTGACGCCGTATCCGAGGTCTGTAGTAGCGATTTTATCAACACGCTGGTGCGAGTGTCTCTCCGCAAAGCGTCGTATGGGTTGCTCTTCTGGGAATGTGTCTGCGAGGCGCTGCTCCAGTTTGAGTGCACTTGGAAGATCGCTGTACATGTACTCGTACGATGCCCATCGCGTCCACAATGGCCGTGCTTTCTCAGCACCCATCCCCGGCGCTATCCGTTCAAACAGCGCGCGTGCATCTGTGTATATATCAGTCAATCTGCTCATCTAACACCCCTTCCATTGTACTCACTCCCTTCGTCGTTGATACTAATGAGGAAATCGAGATACTTGAGCACATAGTCTATCTCCCCAGCGAAACGCTTCAGCCCGAGCTCGAATATCTTCGTTGCTACCGATGCGTCTTTCGAGCTGTGGTACTCCATCATAGCTGCGGGTGTATTAGTGTATTGTACCCAAGTATCACACTACACTCACCGCCTGCTTCAAACACCTGCCAAGTGCAATAGGGCGAGGTACGCGCTTCTTTGAAAACCACACGCGCAGCTTTGATCCCCTCTGATCTCCTCGCTAAGCGCATTTTCATCACCCACGTCAGACCTGCACCTTTGCAAAGCTCGTCGAGGTCCTTCGCTTTGGACTTGGCTACAGCCTCCTTCTTACTAGTAATTTCGCCCTCTGCTATGCGCCTCTTCTCGCGCACCTCGCCCTCATTCTCGCCTGCGGCCTGTGCAGCATTCGCCTGCTGCTCGATACTCGGCAACTGAGCGTCAAGTTCGGCTTGCTGGCGAAGAATACCAGTCTCGATAGCTTGAGCGTGAGCGACGACGCATGCGAGGAGACGGTGGAGGACCGCGTGTGCTTCTCTGTAATTTTGCGCCAATTCCTCCGCCTCGGCACGGGCGAAGGAGAGCAAATAGCTCTCAGGTACAGCCTCGCTGCCCTGCTTGAGCAGACTAAATGCCTCTTCGTCGCGCCCCATGCTCCTGTGTGCGATGTACGCCCGGTACCATATCTCCGGATAGAAGCGCATGTACACGAGTGCTTTCTTGAATGCATACGACACACGACTGTGGCGCGCTGCCTCATCCTCTAGCTCCAACGGATTGCCCTCCTCCCATGCCAGATACCGCTTCCACGCTCCCACTACTTGCCTCTCCCGCTCCGTCCAGCTCGGGCGCCGCGCGAGCGTACCGTCCATGTGGAACAGATTCACAGGAGCATCTACCAGACTACGCATTTCACGTAGTGCAGACCGCGCTGTCATGTACGCGGGCGATTTATCCGCGAGGAATTTCTTAGCCTATTTTGTGATATGTGAGGTTATTTGATAGTTCTGCACTCTTTTACCCACCGTGACTTTGTTGAGCGACCCCTCAAATGCATCCCACTCACGCCAAATCGCTTCGAGATTCTGGATCGGTATCACGACTGCGCGCTGGTACGTCCTTCTGAGCGCATCCATACGCTGCTGCTCCTCCCACGTGTTGGTAGCAGCGCCGTCCTTGAGAAACCTTATATAGGCCAGCCAGATCTCCCCGGAATCCTTATCCTGACCCACGTGAGAGATGGCAAACTCGTAAGCTTTCACTACCACCTGCCTCCCCTCGCCGCCGTCGTTGTTGCGGCGTATGTAGTTGAGATACGAGGACCAGAAATCGGGCGAAGGCGTCTGTTTAAGCGCCTTGCTGAAGATTTCTTCCACCTTTTTCATCCGCGGTGGCGTGAGACTGAGACATTTGTCAATGTAAGCCTGCCATTGCTTCACCTGAACAAGGTAAGCGGGTGCACAAACCAGTCGCGATCACGCTCAGAGCTAAAGACATACAGCACAGGGCCAGATTTTGAAAAAGGCATCGTATACGCTTGTGTACTCACTCCACCACGCTTCCAACTCATCGCCAACGAGATTGCGACCGAGTGAGTCGAGGTGGGCAATCAATTCAAGCCATCCGTCAGCATCGCGTGGGTCGCTCTTTAGTTGCATTTCCAGGCTTTCTTTTCTGTTTTTTGGGATGGCGAGTGGGGGTATTTGAGAGGTGGTAGTGGTGGTTGCTGCGGTTGGTGCTGTAGGTGTCTGTGACTGTGACTGTGATTGTGCCGCGGCGGTGGCTGCGTTTGCGTCTGAATCTGCCACCACACCCACGTCCAGTCCAGGAGCAGTTTCATCTGCTACACCACTCACGTCACTCGATTCCGCCATTCCAGTCGTATCCTGCAAACTCTGCTCAGCCTCCTTGTAAGTGCTAGCGCTGTCAGTGCCATCGTCTTTATCGTCGCGGAGGAAAGGAGGCTGGTCGTGATCGTGTGGCTGTGGCTGTTCCGTTGTCGGCATCAATTCCTGTGCCTGTAGATCCCCAGTATCCTCAGTATTCCCGCTGTCTCCACCACCATCATCACCACCACCCAAAACCTGGTTCAAGCTACTCAGCTGCTCTGCTATCGTCTGCTCAGTTTCTGCACCGTAAATATTTTCTTCCATTAATAAAATTTAATTTAATTTTAACTTGATCGTTCGTCACAACCCGCACTTTGGCCTACCACGATGAACAATTCCAGTGAAAATTTTATTAAACCTCTCTATCAAGATGACAGTGATGAAAGTGATGGGCCGGATGACACTAGTCAGCACAGTGATTCTCCCCACGCTGCTCAATACATCGATGAACATGATTTGGACGAGGAAGACGAATTTGAGGCTGATAGATTGAAGTTTACTAATTCTAATGTATCCAATGGCGTGCGTTTCATTTGGTCTTTTTTTTTACTCAATTTGACCCACTCTAGCATGATTTAGTGGACCAAGAAGGCGTAGAAGACGTTAACAGCGCAGAAGACTCTGATTCATCCTCTCAAACATCTTTGAACGCCTCCTACAACTCTCTCCCTCTCGCTGCACTCGCTCACGCATCCTCCCGTCTCGATAGCACCAATGATGAGCTCAACGACGACGAGCGCAAAGTAAACAGAGCACAGGCGCTTGCCAAAGCTAAAGAAGATCTTTGGCAGAAACAGCAAGCTAAAAGGGGCAAGTCTGACACCAACAAACCAGATAAAGTCATTAAAGACACCAAAGATAAGCACAAAAGGGCCAATAAGCATGCTCCCACAGAAATTACAAGTAGGAAACCAACAAGCAGGAAGAGAGATGTAGTGGATGTAGATAAAGTAGTACGTTATCCATTTCGCAACGAAACTCACTCTTACGCGACTTTTCTCACTCACAGAAATCTCGTGATCCTCGCTTCTTATCACTCAGTGGCAACTTCTCCCAAGACCTGTTCGAAAAGTCATTCTCTTTCTTGAAAGGTTCCGTCGAGAAGGAGGTGTCTAACGTTAAAGATCAACTCAAAGCTGCTGATTTATCTCTGCGCAGAGCTCGCGCTTTACCCAGTAGCACTGATGATAAACAATATCTCATCTCACATCATCAAGCCGAGGTCGACAACTTGACCCAGCAAATCCAAAGCATGAGCTCGCAGGTGAGGACGTCTCAAAAGAAGGATATCGAGAAGGATACTCTTAGGAAGATTAAGAAGGAAGAGCGCGAGAAGATAAGTGATGGTAAGAAGGCTTACTTTTTGAAAGATTGTGAGTACCCTGCCTATCAATCCACACCACTTATTCTCATTACCACTACTTTACAGCCGAAAAGCGTAAACGCGTCGAAGAGGCTCAGAAAGACGCCTTACGTGCTAAAGGGGGTAACAAAGCAGTCAAGAAATCTGAAGAACGCAAACGTAAGCGTCATGAAGGCAAGGAGAAGAAGTCTCTGCCATGGTCCAGAGACGGTGGACGCGATAGTGTTGGTACTAAACGGCGAAGAGGATAGTTTTGTAGTTTCGAATGGAATATTTATAGTGATCGCTTTATTAATCGCGTCTGTTACTTGTATATCAGCGAATTGTCAGATGTGCAAATCGAAAAGAGACACATGATTTCATTAGTAGGACTGAGGGGATAAACCTAAAGTAATGAAGAAAAAGATTAAGCGAGTTATTCAACAAAGGAAAAATATCATAAGAAACACCAAAAAAGATTGGTTGTAGATTACCACTACTTCAGACGGGGCTCGAACCCGCAACCTTTGGATGGCTAGTTCAACTCGGTTTGAACCCTTCGATGATACTAGAAGTCCAATACTCTACCATTGAGCCACTGAAGCGCCCGTTGCGCTAATCGGTTGTTGAAACTGAGAGGTTTTGTTAACTACATATTCAAATGAAAAAAAATTGTCAATCAAATGCTCATAAAAACGACCATTTCATAATTTTTCTGGTGGCACAGTTTTATTGAGAACTACCAACAATTTAGAGATTACGATGCTAATCAAGAAACGCTTCCAGCAAATTCCACACCCCCTTTGAATCTTCATGCTTTAAGAAGTGTTGATGGAAGCAGTTTTAAACATGTATCGTCTCAACAATATATTCGGATTTCATCATCATCATCATCATGCTTTCATAAGTTTTCGATTTAAATTAGACTAAATTTATGTAAGCATCTTTTAAGCTACCTATTGGAACTGTGAATCACGTAACAATGAGTTGAGCATACAATCAATCGAAATCAACCTACTTTGAAGCGCGAAAATACACACAAAGAATAGCACAGATATTTTAAGCAACTCTGAAAAGTCATTCAAGCTAAACGCCTCACCATAAACATCCAAGTTCGATCAATTTCATACCAAATTCAACGCGTTTTACTCAAGCTACGCGTACATATGTCAGATTAGGCTGTCAAAATTGTACCAGAAATTTCTTCTTGGGACCTTGTGCATCGTATTGCATCATCGCGCAACCTTATTAATGATGCACGTGCAGCATCCGCAGCCAGTTACCCGCTGTGAGGATAAATAATAGCGCATATGAAAAACGCGGATATAAAGACACACTGTCAGACACACAGACGTCTAGAAGCGTGTATCGATTGTCAGGCCCATACCTCCCGAGCATGTCAGACGTGCTGTCATACCTGAGCGAGGAGAGACTCGAGAATGAACAGCGAGGAATGAGTATGCGAGTAAACAGGCACTTGCAATTCTAACGCAGACGCTCACAGAGGATTGAGGGGAGTGTAGCAGCGACACTAAGGAGAGTAACGCGCTATTGAAAGAAGAAAAGAAGTAAGAAAGCCAATCAAGCAAATTAATTAGCTCCAGAGTCTTCATTCAAGCAGCTCCAGCCAAGTCATACAGATCCCCATATTCTCAAACGTTCTAGGTAAGCCGTCCCTTACATCACCTTTCACGAAATCAATCACTAACGATGCGCGCTTTTCTATTGCAGCTAAAGCGGTGTAGCAGTCAATCTTTCTTTTAAAAAACCATGGGATTCACATTGTTCAAGAAAAAGTCAAAGTCTCAGTTGAAGAAGCCTGGTTCGGCGGAGAAGAAGAAGGAAATTTCACGGCCGCTTCAGCTGCCATTCCCTAGCTCAGTATCTTTGCACGACATACGTGACTCCCTTATCCATCCGTTACCTGATCTGCACACCCGCAGACGCTCGAAAAGCACCAGCTCATCTGCTGGCAACCCCGACAAACAATTCAAAGAGTCACCAGAGCTCTTCACTAAGGAAGCTGATCCCTTTGCTCCACCTGTGCCCAAGATACCAGCCATCTATCACGGCGGAGAGGCTTCAATGATGTCATCCTCCAGCAACAGGGATGATAGCACGCATATAGAATTCCAGTGAGTGTAAATTGTAAAACAGCAATTATCAGCACAACTCAATCTTGATACAGGTACAGAGACTCTCAATCGTCCAGGCTCGGTCGTCCTAGTGGTGACATCAATTCATTTTCCAAAACAGAGCCACCGAAGCGTCCACCACGTACTAGAAGGCCTATTCCCTTTATTGGAATGTCCAACTTTCTCAAAAAGAGGTTGGAATCATACGAGAACGAGCGTGCTTCTCCACCGCCTCGCACTGCAAAGGTATCTTTCACTCAATCAATCAAAGGACTTGGGATGAGGAACAAAAGTTTAAGACACAGCGTGAGTGATGAGTCATTCGAGAGCGTTTCTATCTATTCAACGTGAGTGAGGAGTCGTGTGTTTCACTTTCACTAAGTACAAAACACAGGATGCGCACATCGCCTATGCAATCAGGACCACCACCTCGTCCATCCCGATTACCCCCCAATCCACCTATATTGGGTAGGGGGAGAAGTTCGACAGTTTCAGGTGCACCACCGTTACAGGAGAGCCAAATCATCGAAGCACGCCTCAACAATGCGTTAAATACAGCTACTACTCGCAAGCGCTCAAACTCAAGCCCTTCAGTTAGAAAGGCGGATAGTGGAGCGTCCAACAAGTACTCTTCACTTCACTCGATCCCATTCAGCTTGCAGGCTATCAAAATCGGTTCCTCTTCATCTTCAATCCCTAACGAAAGATCGTCTTCTGGGATTAGTGTAAATGTTCGCAGCACTCCAGGTACACCAGACACTCGAAGCTTTGGATCGTCGCCTTCTAAAGAGCACGCTACTCACAACGCAGCCGATCAGACTGGCGATACCAAAAATGACAGCATCAGTCATGAAAACAACCAAATGGTCAACAGTAGCACTCTGAGCAGCTTCAACGATGGCAACAACAGCTTCGATCCCTCTCAATTTCTCAATTCATACACCAAAGACGACTCACTCACGTCGTTCGAACTCGATAAGTCAGTCCTCAGCCCTAGCAGCTCTAAGAAGGAGCTCGACAAGTCGTCGCTGATGGCTCTAGGTCCTAGCCCAAATTCGAAGAAATTTGGTTTCTTCGAGGGAAAAAGGTTTGAATCGCCTAGAGAAGATGAAGAGGTGATCTCTAACGGCAGTAACGATGTGCTCAACGTGTCTGAGTACGTTGAGGGACATTGCACCATTGGGAGTGAATTCTTCAAGAGTGACCAAGACGCCAAGGACCGTTCAAAGATATTTTCCAGCTTGGAGGCCGTCAAGAAACACATGTCAACTGACTCATTTAACGATGACTCTAAAAGCACGGAAGATGGCTTCTCAGACACCTTTTCAAACTTCTCCTCCCCACCGCCGCTGCTTGACTTGAGACCACTCTCACCACTCAAAGTAAGCGAGTATGAGGGCGATGAGAGCAGCGAAGATGCACTCGATTACAGTCCAACAAGAAGTCCTTCGCAGCAGATATCAGGGTTGGTATTGACAAGCAGTCCAAGTCGTGATAGCTTGAGTACCGTCACTCCTTCTCAATCACTTGATGTCACCAATGATGATTCTGAGAAAGTAGACAAGGTAGATAACGAGAACTTGGAGCAGGCAGAGAACGTGAAGATGGATAAGGTAGAGAGTGACGATATCGAGAAGCCGGAAAGTCAAGACATAACAAAGATGGCGAATCAAGACATGCACAAGTTGGAGAAGGATCTGGAAACGGAGAAAACTCTACGTGACTCAGTGTCAATCTATGATGACGATGAGGTCAAAGCTTTACAGAAGAAGATAGCGGACATGGCCAAGGTATGTATTGGCTGGAAGGCAAAACACTCACCCTCACACGATCTACAGAAGCTTGAAGACATGCGTCAATCGGGAGGCTCTGCGTCCATGCTTTCATCGAAATCAAAGGACAGCCTTCCACCATCCTTTTCATTCCAGCTCGATCCCCGCGATCGTCCAGAGCTAAACGACGGCGTGGAGCTCTTAGACACAGACAAAACGCCTCCACAAGAAATCGCACTGCCCGCTGTTGGTCCCGACGAAATTGAGCTACCGGAGTCCCCTCTCGATAGCATCACCTGTGAAAGGAGTCAGAAGCCAGCATCAGCAGCACCAACAGTACCAGAAACAGTGCAAACACAAACTGGGAATCATATTAAAAATTGCAGTGTTAATGGCTCAATAGACGATCGCACTACAAGGTCAACATTCCATGTCACCAACGCTTCAAACTCGTCGCGTTCTTCTCAGGAAGAGGAGGATATGGTGGAAGACAACAAGGTGATACATATCTCTCCGGAATCACAGAAGAAGCTCCAGACACAGCTGCGCAGAATATCCGAGCAACCAGTGGCGGCTGATCCACCCAAGCCAAAGGCTACTGAAGCATCGCCAAAAGCCAATCAGAAACCCGCCAATGCTACCGCCAAACCACAAGCTCAGAAAAGAGCTGAAATATCGTCGCTCAGTTTGCGAGATTGGATGCCTACTCCGCTTTCTCCAAAGATAGCGGAAGAGACGGAACCATCGGACGAGCAACCAAATAATCGACGTAGAAGAAGATTGAGGGAGGCTGATATGAACATAGATCACAGCGAGCCGAAAATGATTCACCCACCTCGATTCTCGTCCTTTAAGGCCACTCCCAACGTCCTCTCGCAGGCTCAAGTGCTAGAAAAGAAAAATAACGACAAAAACACGCGCAACACGTGGCTGAAACCATCCAACTCTATCTCGACGGTACCCAGATCCACACCATCGCCCTACAAGGATGAGAATAGGAGTCGGAGAATCAGTCAGCAGCCAATCGATAACTCAGTGCTGCCTCAGCGAAACGCAAGCAAGGCCGCTAAGAGCAACACTAGCTGGCTGCATACGATGGAAAATGAATTTGACTCAATACACGCCGATCCCTCTGGTGAGAAGCGTCGCAGTGACCTTGAGCAGCAACAGATAAGAGCCAGGATGGCAATGGATGCGGCATGGAAAGCAGCGCGTTCATCTAGCGTCCCACCAGTCGAAGAGTATGCACCTCGCAAGCAGAGTAAAGAAAGAATTTCTTTACTTCTTCCTCAAAAGAAGGAATTGGAGAAGAAGGCACTTCCAACACTTCCATATTCTGCACCAGCCCAGAAGACGTCGTTTGCGAGTGGATTGGAAGGTGTACGCAATAGAGATTCGCAGCATGTGCCATCGCTCCCATCGATGAAGTCGTTTAGAGCATCGATAGAGGCGCCACAGCACAACTCGCGTACGACTCAATATGACCGACGTATTAACGCAGCAGTAGAGAGTAGTCTGGGATCTTTTAATTCCAAATCGATGAACACGATCAAGTCAGTGCCTCCTTCTGCAGCTAGCAACAGTACAAGGAAAGCACGTCCAACGAGATTAGATGAGTTAGGACCAAACAAGCAGTCAAGTTCATTTGGATATTTCAACAATAACTCATTACAGACACCACCGTTGACGGCTACGTCTTCTGCAAGTAGTGTTGCTGGGTTTGATAGTATTATGACACCACGCTCGTATTCTCACAAAAGAGAAGCATCTGCATCGTCGATGGATTCCATGTCGGCGCGCAGTGTGAGCTCGGAAGGGAGTGCGAAGCCAGCTTCAAATCGCGTGTCGTATTTACCACAAAGCAAATCAGGGTATAGTTTGAAAGGGGAATCAGGGTACGGATATGCAATTTGAAAGATAACGCTATTATATTTGCGCTCTTTAATGACACTCGTTTAATGTTTTTAATGGTTTTAATGTTTTTAAGAATTTTCACTCATTTGTTTCATGTATAATTAAAAGTTAGGAATACATAATGTTGGAACTATTCTGATTTCTTTTGCTTGATGCCGCTGTCATCTTCTAAAATGGCCATAGCGACGTAAGAGATTAGGACGACGTTGGCAGTGATTGCAGCTGTAATGGCAGCGTATGTGGAGTTACCCGTGAATATTCTATTCAGCGATACAAAGTAAACGGATATTGGTAGCAAAACCAAAGCTAGCGAGAAAGCAATCAACTTGGACATGGACGATCTACGTATCCGAGTGAGCTGGAATGGAGTTAGTAGAGGAAAAGAACTGACCTTGTAACAGCCTCATTTGATTTCGCCTGCGATTGCAATTTATCTTGAAATTTGCGATTAGAAGCCCCCGCCATGACGTCTGAGATTAAGAAACGCTATCTTGAATCGAAACTATCATCATGGATGTGAGTTCTCTAGAGAGCCCTAGGTTCGAATCCGGTAACTTACAGATTTGATTAAAGGTCTCTAAAATGTTCAAGCTCCCTCAACTACCTTCGGGTAAGAATAAACGCAGATTCGAGCCAGCATCCGAGGAAGCAATCAAGAAAGTCAGGCTTCAGGAAAATCAGGATGACGCACAATCAGCACCAGACAACGGTAAAGGAAAGGGTAGAGCTGTGACGATAGCAGATGAAGATGAAGACGATACAGTCGAGTACATTGATGCTAACAACGACGAATTTGAAGAAGACGACGAAGACGGTAGATTCTTTGGTGGCGGATTGACGGAAGAGCAGTCAACAATACTCGACGTATTCGATAAAGCCGATAAAGGCGGCGAGGAGTTGACACTGTCACCAGCGTCAATTAAGAAGCAGCTACAGCAATTAGAGCGAGTCATTAGCAAAAATACTCAGCTTAGAGGTAAATACCCAGACGATCCACATCAATTTATTGACTCAGAGGCTGATCTGGATAGCGCGTTACATCAACTCAAAACTTTCGCACAGAATCCATCTATATCCTATCCACAGCTTATCAACACTGGCGCAACGGAGCAGCTGGTTGGTTTGTTATCTCATGATAATACAGATATTTCGCTTGATGTGGTCGAAGTGCTAGAGGAGTTGACTGATGAGGATATCTTGGATGCCGTAGATGACGTTGATCAGGGTAGAATTCATCTTAACTCATTCGTAGACACCATCCTACAGCTTCAGATATTAGAATTACTGGTATCTAATCTGAAGAGATTGAACGAGGATCAAGATAGCGATGTCGAGGGTGTTTATCATACTCTCGCTTTACTTGAGAATTTGATTTCACTCAGGCCAGAGCTGGCAGAGGTGCTGATTTCATCCACCAACATATTACCTTGGTTGCTCAAGCGCATCACTCGTGTAGAGTACGACCAGAATAAGCAATACGCGTCAGAAATCCTAGCTATCGTGCTACAGGATTCGTCTAAGAATAGAATGGCCGTGTTGGAGCAAAAAGATGGTCTTGATAGTATTCTGCAGTCGTTGTCGGTGGGTTGAATATAAAATATCCATCAAAAACACTCACAACACAATTCAGCACTATATGAAAAAAGACCCCAAAGATGCTGAAGAATTGGAGTTTCTGGAGAACGCTTATAACGCACTCTGTACAGTGCTGGCCGAACCACTCGCAAAGGTTCAGTTCAAGGATGCGGAAGGAGTCGACTTGATGGTACTGATAGCACAGGAGAAGTTGATGTCAAGGTCACGCGCTATCAAGACATTAGATCATGCCATGTCAGGACCAGAAGGCTCACTCAATAGTGAAGCATTTATCGAAGCCAATGGGCTGACAAGCTTATTTGGTGCATTCATGAATAAAGTTCCTCATAAGAAGAGCGCACTTGGAGCTGTATCGGTACAAGAACAGGAAGAACATCTTTTGGGTATACTAGTGTCATTATTTTCCAACTTGGGATCAGACACACTCGGCAGAGTTCGTTTGTTAACCAAGTTTGTCGAGAATGATTACGAGAAAGTTGATAGATTGTTGGAGATTCGTGAAAACGCTGCGAGTAGAGTGAAAGTACGCATTGAACAGGATAGTCAGATGGATATAGAAGAAGACGAGGCCTACCTAGGTAGATTGGAAGATGGGTTGTTTACCTTGCAGCTATCAGACTACGTTTTGGCCTGGCTAGTGATGGAAGACGACGGAATCAAAGACCACACTGAGTTGCTCCTCAACCGTCGCGGAGTGTCATTCAAGGATGTTACATCTATTCTACATGAGTACGCTGATAACATGGGCGAACAACCTTCAAATAACGATGGATCACCCACACAACGTGAAATTGTGGAACATCTCATCGAATATGTGAGTAGTTTGTAAAGTGTTTGTATATATAAATTACAATAAATTATGATCAAATCTATCTAAGTGTTGATTGTGCAAATATCATATCCAAAGCACCTCTAGCATTCATGAAATCCGTCTGTACGTTGATTTCGTCGTCAACCTTCTTGCGCAGTTTGTTGAGAAGATTGTCAATAAGCTCAGATTGTCCAGCTACGTCTCCATATATGTCTATAATAGTAGATGCGACAACTACAGCTATATCAGTGAACCGTGGATCGACTATCCATTTAACTAGTGTAGAAACAAGTGGCTCAAGACCAATATCGTCGCGTCCAGATACAGCCTGTTTCAATCCATTCCTATTGATCAACTCGAGTAACAACGCAAATAAGGTTGTAGGCGCAGCTTTCTTCGCTAGCGTCACATCTAAAGCTTCAGAATATTGGAACTTCTTGAGATATTTGTCAAACTCTTTCAATTTTAATCTTCTAATTGGTTCTATCTTAAACTCGTCGTGTGCAAGATTACCCTCTGATTTGACGCTGGTTTGCGTTACGGGTTTTACAGTTTGCGCTTCCTGCATGTACTCATACAAACCAGATTTCATAGCCTCCTTCTCAGCAATCTTTTCAGCGACTTCTACACCCTTAGCTTGACGTCTACGAATAGCAAGCGTACCGTCCGACAATCCAGCTGCGAGATTAATGTTATCCGGCGACATAGCTATTGACAATACAGGAGCAGGGAAACGCATCGTATGCGTAACGTTGAGACTCTCCAAATCGTACACTTTCACCATCTGGTCTAAGCTACCAGTCAGCAAACGCTTCTCATCACCATCAACACATAGCGATGTGACAGCCTTCTGGTGATTACTGAACGCTTTCCTGCATCTGCCACCTGCCATGATATCCCAGATACGCACAATAGGACCGGAGCTAGACGCAATGGACTCTGCGCCAGGTAAGTAACATGTGGATTCGACTGGTAAGCCACCAGTCGACATGGTCATGGCCGACTGCTGCATTCTTGTGTCCCAAAGTTTGACCGTGTGATCGTAAGATCCTGAAACAAGTAGATAAGGAGAAGAAGGTGAGAAATTGGCTGTCCTAACGTAATCAGAATGCTCGTCAAATTTATGAAGCGCAGTCTGAGTTGGTATATCGTGTAGTATCACGCTACAGTCATCGCTAGCTGAAAGAACTTTGGTTTGTTCTGTAGGATGGAAAGCTGTAACATGGACGGGCTGCTTGTGGTCGTCGAATGTACGAAGGATAGCGCGGGAGTTTATATCGAATACCTGCAAGTAGAGCATTAGCTGAGTAATTAATACGCGCAATCTTCTCGCACCTGCACCAAACCAGAATCGTCGCCCGCTATAACCAATCGACCATCACCACGGATCTGACCAGACCTGGCAACATCCTTGAATCTGCTGATCGTCTTCACCACCGACTGCGATCTAGGCGTATATATCTGTACTCGGGTGGCAGATGTCACTGCAAATCTATGCGGCGTGCTTGGTGAGAAGCTCACGCTGGTTATAGGCGCAAACTCCTTGACGAAAGTTGACTTGAAGCTTTTAAAATATTTTGAATCTTGGGAGTAGCCTATTTTATGGGAAAACGTTTGCGGCAACGGCAGCGTCTTCCTGTAGTCCATTTTCGGTGTTGCTGGTAGGTGAAGGAGGAAGACAGAGAATTTTGAAGTGTTTGAGAGAGCGAGGAGATAATTATATTGGGAGGCTGAGAGTAGTTGTGAGTGCATATTCGCCTCTGGATGTCTCCTAAGCTTCTAATCTGCTCAATCCCCAGCGATAACAATGGACATAGGCATTCTTCAACGGATATTCCATTAAATGATTTCACTCATAGGAATGCGCTATACATTCCATTCTACATAACACAGTAATATTATCGAAACATTCATAGTTGACCTACGAATTGAAGGTTTCGAACGTATAAAACACTGTAACAATGCTTCTAAGGATCTTATCTAATATCTCACACAAGAATCTCCTTTTAGCAACTTGTTTGCCTAAAATTTTCAATGTTCTTATGTAGTACATCAATGAGGGCTCAACAGAACTTAAATCAATAATTTATATATTTACCAATTCTTCACTACTTCACAGCGCGATTCACAACGAACGATTGCGATGTCAGTCTCAGACACCTCACACAACAATAGCAGCAGCAAGAAAACTGTCAACCAAAATCTCAAAAGAGTTGCAATCATCAACAGAATCAAGCAGACACACACAAAGGGAAATCTCGCAAGACCCAAGAAAATTGATGTATGAATTTACTTTTATATGAATAAAGATGAAAAGATGATACGAGTAAGGACTCTAGATCTTTTGTCCCTTGAGACCGTCCTTCCACAAGGTGAAGTAAGGAGTAATACCGTCTTCACGGTAGTTAAGGAGAGCGACTTGACCATCTGTAGACAATGACTCTCCCATGAAGAATTCGAGGTCACCAAACTTGGACAAGAGTTCCTTCAAGCCAGCTTGAGCTTCAGCCTTGAAGCCATCAACACGCTCTGGGTTGTTGGCCTTCAAGTGATCAACGACGTTCTTCATGTAGTCCTGCAAATTTTCAATCAGCTATGCCTTTGTTTTTAAATATCTCAAAATACCTTCAAGTGAACGGTGTATGACTTCTTGTCGAATTGAGTTTGTTTCAAACCGAAAGAGTGAACCAAGTTGATCTTTTGCTCCTTAGAATCGTCTACACCGCCTTCGTCACCACCGATATCAGCGCCTTCACCGCCGACGGTGATTACCTAGAATATATCGTTGAGCTCGGATGCTAATGGAACGTGGATGGATCGACTCACTTCGCAATCGATAGTCAAGAATGGGCCTTCCTCCTTCATTGGGTATGCGTCTGAAGCAAGCTCATCACCGGAGACAACGTCCTGGATTAATGTTAAAGCGGAGTACTACTTTTGAGCAAAAGTAAACTCACTGTGAAAACCTATGATAACAGCATCAGCGTTGTTCTTTAGGGGGAAATCGAAGAATGCGTGGGTGATGTACATTATCCCATCAGCTCCGACAATATTTTAGCTCACCTTCATTTTATTTTGATATGCGTTTGATGGATGGAGAACAAGCTGAAGACGCCAAAAATCTTCTTGGGAGCAGACGAAATTTTCTTCCAGCAGTGTGATATTCAAGAGCTGGAGATTAAGAGGCTTATTGTATTAATTTTAAAATCTTTGAATTTTCGTTGCCAATCAATGTACTTTGAAATCTAAGTCATAAGCCATTGATGTGAGCTAGCTTGATCAGAGCTAAATTTGGAGTACAACTATAATCAGCGTGCTCCGTGAATATCGCACACCCGAAGCCATGTGACAAACTGCTATGATGCTATCATCAACCCCGTTTTAACCATTCAATCACTGCGATGCTAAGAAATTTGGGCAGAAGATTTATAACGACGCAGAGACCTCCAGTTGATTCCTCTGCGACTAGCACTATCATCCCCTCTTCTAAATTCATCAATTTCGATTTCCGAGACCCACTCAAGCTCGACACGCTACTAACTGAAGACGAACTGGCAATTGAGTGAGTGCTGCTGGATTGCACAGCATTCTGCTCACACGTGCTACAGAGAAAGCGTGAAAGTCTACGCACAAGAACAACTCTCGCCTAGAATCCTCGAAGCTTCACGACATGAACACTTTGATCGTCAGATACTCAAAGAAATGGGTCAGTTAGGTTTCCTTGGCGCCACTCTCGACGGTTACGGCTGTGCCGGTGTCTCTAAAGTGGCATACGGCTTGATCACGAGGGAGGTTGAGAGAGTCGATAGTGGATATAGATCGGTTTGTCACTCACTTTGTTCAAAATCACCCTCTCACACTACCCACACAGGCAATGTCGGTTCAATCGAGCTTAACAATGTATCCAATCCACGCTTTCGGTAGCGAAGCGCAACGCGAGAAATATATTCCAGGACTAGCATCCGGCGATCTAGTAGGTTGTTTCGGACTGACAGAGCCACAACATGGAAGCGATCCAAACGGAATGGAGACGATAGCTGAAGAAACACCCCATGGATACAAACTCAACGGCTCCAAAACGTGGATAACCAACTCTCCAATTAGCGACGTGTTTATGATATGGGCGAAATGTAAATGGGATGGCAAAATTAGAGGCTTTATCCTTGAGAAGGGTATGGACGGTTTGACGGCGCCTGCAATCAAGAATAAGATGGGCTTAAGAGCTTCGCTTACAGGATCGATATATATGGATGATGTACATGTGTCCTCAGAACACATTTTGCCCAATGTTTCTGGTCTCAAAGGACCATTCAGCTGTCTCAACCAAGCGCGTTACGGTATCTCGTGGGGTGTGATGGGTGCATTGGAAGATGTTATTGCTCAATCCAGAGAATATGCCCTCGATAGAAAGCAGTTCAATCGTCCATTAGCGTCTTTTCAACTCGTCCAAAAGAAACTGGCTGACGCAGTTACTCAAGTTCCGCTGGGTCTTCTCGCGTCTTTGCAAGTTGGAAGACTGATGGATGCAAATACCTACAGCCCAGAGATGATCTCACTCGTGAAGCGCAACAATTGCGGTATGGCTTTGCAACATACGCGCACGCTTATGGATATATTTGGCGGTAATGGTGTGGCCGACGAGTATCATGTCGGTCGGATTGCTAACAACCTGCACGTCACAAACACGTACGAAGGTACACACGATATGTGAGTTATAAGTTCTATTTATTAGGGTATCACTGAATTTACAACTAAAATAGCCACGCGTTGATTCTTGGCAAAGCTACAACTGGCATTCAAGCTTTTGTATGATTATAGCGTTTAAATTCTGCACATATAATTCTTGGGTTCACCTTCCCCAGCTCTCCATCTCCATTTCCTCCAATTCATTGACGCGTCGACCAATCCCACGCTTATATGCATATGCTGATCTGTTGTGCGTTGTGTCTGTGAAAGCTGCCCGTACCCCATCCCCCAAGCACGAAGAAAGAGCGCAGAATACAAACGTCATCAGACTTGTTTCAAATACGTTAGAATTAAGTTATGCAAGAAGTTAGATTCACGTTATCACCACTACTATCGTTAGCAAAATTGCTAGTGATCCCTCCATTTTACTTTATTCCCGATAATGATTGCAAGATGACAAGAGTTGAAAAAGGTATATCCTGGAAATCAGAGCCGCTGAATAGATACAGAGTTCCTGTGAGTTTTCCAGCACTCTAGCGAACTCTTTTCATTAATCCCTGTAGCATACCTAAATTCCAATCAAAGCGATAGAGCTCGGTAGACATAGTAAACAATCAATTGTTATTTTGCACAATTTCCGAGCTTGCTTTACTTGGCGATGTATTTTTGAACGCATTTTAGGTGCTCCTCGAAGCGCTAATAGCTGTGAAGATACTATCACTTTCACCAATAAATGATTAGTCAGTTGATTAATTTAAATTGATTTGAGATGCGTTTCTTATTCCCACTTCTCTCGCTGATATGTTTTGGTTTTGCATTATAATAGGTGTTAGCACTGTCACCACGCAATAACTAGATTTTAAAGCGTGTAAAACACCAAATTTGTCCATAAATGCTTCAAAAAAAGATGATGATGTTTCTGCATTTCAGGTTTTGTGTATGTTTGAAATATTTTGTAACAAAATTCGTGAGTGTCAACAACCGATTAGCGCAACGGGCGCTTCAGTGGCTCAATGGTAGAGTATTGGACTTCTAGTATCATCGAAGGGTTCAAACCGAGTTGAACTAGCCATCCAAAGGTTGCGGGTTCGAGCCCCGTCTGAAGTAGTGGTAATCTACAACCAATCTTTTTTGGTGTTTCTTATGATATTTTTCCTTTGTTGAATAACTCGCTGAATCTTTTTCTTATTGCTTTACGTTTATCCCCTCAGTCCTACTAATGAAATCATGTGTCTATTCATTCTTGTGCGTCATAAAACATTGCATGACGTCGACGACTCAGACGCTGAGACAAAAGAGGTAGGCGCCAATCAATTATTAACGTATCCTGATGGCCTAAGAATTTATCCGATGCCTCGAATGACTTACGAGACTAAGTTAACATTTCTGGCAATTTGTCTCGGAATCGTATTGACACTTAGACACCCGGCGAGACACCCGGCAAATAACCCACTCAAGAAGCGCATGCTTTATACCATGTTATTATCTTCATATTATGTACAATAAATACTAATCAACTGACATTGTATTTCCTATTGGCTGCGTTCTTTGCTCTTCTAGCCCGGCTTGTCCTTCATCATACTCTTTCGAATGCATCTGTGTATCTTATCCTTTGTCGCATTTGCATTATAAGTCATGATGCATTCCTTCACACGGCTGAGGATTAACAAAGTTCGGTATATCTAGCATTTGACAGAAAGCCTCAGTCTGGGGATTAGTGTATGTGTGAGCTGCATGTAGCCGGTCAGAGATACGTACTAAAAAAATTACACCTACGTTGTCCTTTGAATGTGAATCCTCTATCACCATCACCTGGCGCAGTCTTAACGAATTGCTGCACACTCTCCACTTCCACATTGCTCAAATACTCCTTTGCCCACTGCAGCTGCACATCTATCTCGCGCTTGGCTTCCTCCTCTAATGGCAGTGTCTGCGAGTCTTGTGTAGACATGAAGGGGTGGTAGGCGCGCGTGATAGCTAACCAATAGGGATCGAATGTAAAAAAAGGCCTGTGACTGGCGTTTCTGTCGTCTGTCTCTATATTGATAAACTGTTATGGATATGTTAAAATTAGGACTGCAAAACTTTGTACAAATACCTGCCTCTAAGAATTTGCGATTTGGAAGACTCTTGTCGAGTGCTGTGAAATATGTGACCTCTTCATCGGATGGTTGAGGTGCGCTGCTAATATCGTCTACTTGCTCTATACCATTTTCATCCCCTTCCTCGTCTTCTATAGCGATCTCTTCGGGATTGCTGTCGTGTTTCTGTCTATCTTTTGATTCATTCGCCCCTTCAGCTGGCCGATCATCAACATCGTCTTCTATTGCTATCTCATCTGGATTAGTATTAGATTCAGTTGGGTCTTCAACAATCTTGAGACGCTTAGACGGTTGCTTTGCGTGAGGAGATGAAGATATACGCTTGCCGCTGCTGCTACTTTGTGCCACTGACAGCCACTTGGCTTTGAAGTATACGTGCAAATGCGCCGAAAACCACTGCCTAGGTCTGAGATTCTGGAGGAGGGTGAGAAGAGGTGGTGAACCGAGCTCATTTTTAGAGATCTGAAATTTCGAAATAAGTGGGAGATACTGCTGTAGCAAAATTTACCCACCTCATCCTTGAAGAAAGGCTTTTTACGTATAAGGCCGTTCGTATCGCCGTATCTTTCTATCGAAAGAGGCCAGTCGTGAGAGAGGAAGATGTCTGGTTTAGGTAGCTGTCTTGAGATGAGAAGTATGGCAAGAAAATTGACTGTACCCACATGCAGTAACCTCGAAACATCAAACTGACGTATGTGATAGGTTGATCTCAGGGTGTAGTTGTTGTAAGGGATTTTCTCAAAGTATCCTATAGAGTTGTTAGATGTGTAGTCATAATGAAAATCCATTCACCCTTTATGAAGTCTTTTGGCTTGTAGATGCAGCTAGCGCCAGAAATGCGGACGCCATCGACCATTACAGAGCCAGAGCGACCTAGATAGTAGATATTTGGAGCTAGCCATCCGCCGTGGTATCTGGGAGCATTAATCCGAGTAATTAATACTTCCACGAGAAAACTCACAACTCCCAGAAGTACGAGCTGGCCTCGTGGTTTCCACCGATACAGATGGTCAGGATAGGCGCAGTTTTCTTGCCACTGTAATAATTGTAAAAATCACCCAGCTGCTTGTATTTTTGCGGGACAGCAAGCGTGTTGAAGTCAGAGTGATTCCTCAAAGCCTGAACCGCAGAAGCGAGGCGTCAGATGCAAGTCAGATGTGCGGGCTTAATATAGCACACCTGAAAGTCTCCGCAAATGAGGAGTAATCGTGTCTTGTGTCCGCTAATCCTGTCATTCTCAGCGATCGCGCGGTAAATAATATCGAGTGATCCTGTGGTGCGTATGAGGGGGAGACAGAGACTACAGTCTGAGATACAGACCATGGGCACAGCCTTCTACAGCAACCTTGTAATTATCTAAGTTTTGGAATCTCCCCGCGAACCGGTAACTCACTCGCAGCATCTTCGAAATAAGCAAGGAGGAGCAAGTCTGAAATGTAAGGTTTTTACAATTTTGTACTACAATTATGAAAACAAAACACTATTAATATCCTTGTCACACCTATCACCCTTTATTCCTCCCTAATCGGGATTGTAGCCGCTTTGAGACAATTGCAGAATTGTGTACAACCAAAAGCGGAGACGAAAATCGATAGAAATATTCAAACTATCTAGCGCGTTACTTCTTGCAATAATCTTAGTGGCTCATTAAACCCGAGCTGAAACTAGGAACAACGTCAGCTCGCAAGTGATCCTCGCTTAAATTTTGAGAATTTTCTCCCCACCTTGCACCTGATAACGCGCCTTTATATTTCCCTCAATCCGTCTTCTTCATCTTTAACAATCACATAAAAGTGAGTATAACCAAAAGACATTGCTATGAGTGTCTAGTGCCTTGTCTTTCTCTTGTTAAGATAAGATTGCCAGCCACTCCTCAGCCAGTCAAACTTGATGCACTGATCTAACTCTGCCTTAGTGAGCGACGAAAAGCACAACAGCTTCGAAAGAACATCAAGCATCGGCAGCATGTCGAAGACAGACCAAGAAGCCGAAAAGCAAGAGCCTCATTTCAGAGCAACTTTGGATCCTGTTGAAGAAGTCGACGCTACTGGTGAGTTTGCTTTACGCCTTGTTTACTCCACCTAACAATACCCTCACAGTCGACCCATTCTCTGCTCAAGCAGAACACAAAGAAGGTGCGGTCAATTTCCGCAACATGGGCTGGATCAGTGCAGGTTTATTGATTACTTGTGAGCAAGTCGCTCTTGGTATCCTTTCATTCCCATCAAACTTCCACAAAATGGGTATGTTCGGTGGTGTTTTCACTACCTTCTTCCTCGGGATGTTGTGCTGGTTGACTGGTATCTGGCTGGTTGAGTTCAAGAAGAAGTATCCTGGTTGTATGAACTACGGTGATGCTGGTAGAATTATGTTTGGTGAAGTTGGTGGAATCATATTTGGATATGGTCTCGTTTTGAAGTCCGTTTTCATGGCAGCTAGCCACGTCCTCTCCGGTGGTATCGCATTTAGAAAGATGATTGGCAACAACGACCTCGTTTGCAGTATCGTATGGACAGTCGTTATGGCGGTTGTCTCCTTCCTCATGTCGCTATCGCGTAGATTGGAGAAATTGACCTTCCTCTCAATTGCATCTGTTACCGCAATTCTCACTGCCTCCTTCATCACTATTATCGCAACTGGTGTCCAAGACGATAGCAGACTTGTCTCACCAGGTGATGAGCCCATCCATTGGTACGCTTTCGAAAACCATGGTCTTATCGGTACTATTAGCGCTCTCACAAACATCATTTTCGGTTGGGGTGGTCAAGCAATCGTCCTCACTGTCGTCAGTGAAATGAAGAGACCAGACGACTTCAAGAAGAGTTTGGGTATCGTCCAAGTCCTCTCTATCACCTTCTACACCATAGTAGGCGCTACAATCTACTCATTCGGTGGTCAATATGTTACATCACCTTCTCTCACCATGACAGCTCGTCCTGTCATGATTACGGCCTATGCCATCGCCCTTATTTCAATTTTCGTCGCCGGTGTTGTCCCAGTTGCTGCCGGTGCCAAGCTTGTCTACGTCCAGGCTTTCAGACACTCTGAGCGTCTCACTGAAAAGTCGTGGAGGATGCGTTTCGCCTGGATGGGTATTGTCGGTTCATTCTGGATATTTGGATGGGTCATTGCAAACCTCATTCCATTCTTCAGTGAAATGCTTTCTATCATCAGCTCAATCTTCAGTGTTTGGTTCGCTCTCGGTTTGCCAGGTGTCTGTATTCTTCACCTTTATCGCACCAGCGAGCCTTCCTGGAAGCACGTATTCACATTGAAGCGCTCACCATTCATCGCACTCGCATGTCTCTGCATCGCCTTCAGTGCGGTCATCACCCCGCTCGGCATCTACTCAGCAGTTGAGAATATCAAGGCTGGTTATGAAAATGGCACATTCGACCATCCATTCTCTTGCGCAGTATAGATGATATTAGTGCGCATACTAGCACACTTTAGACATCCTTACACAATCTACACACCCCTAAACAACCTTATACACAGTATATCATGACACGCAACGATAGCAATTACAAAACAACACATTAATTAGAATTATGGATGGATGGATCAGTTGAACTGGATTTAGTTCATGGATAAAATCAATTTTTTTGCAATAGATTTTCAGATTGGGATTTAGGTATCATGTACTTATTTTTATACATTAGTTGTTATACTCTTAATTCGGCCTGAGGATTACAAATTTGTAGCGTGGCTTCTCTCCGTTTTGACTAGGAACCATCTACTATCAGTGATATGTGCCTGTGCGGGATTAGAAATGAGGAAGTAGGCGATTGGTGGGAATTGATTTCATATTAGACTATTGCGGGAATTTCCGATATCTCGAGTACCCTCTAATTAGACTCTGTTAAGTTAAACAATCCAGCAATTATTTGTTACAAATTTTACTAGCGGTCTAGATTAACTTGCATATTTATCAGTAACATTCATGCCTTAATATTAGTGTACATTTTCTCAGAGCCTATTTTGCTTTTGTACCGTTCAGAGCTCACTTATGGCCACCAGCCCGATAATCAAAGTATCTCGAAAAGGTAATTTGATGGTGATTTTTGTAGTTAGTTTGAATTCGGATAGTAGAGTGATCGATTCTTTCTCCACTGCCACTGTACCGACATACGATTACAGCTCTCCGTATCCAGCTGATACTACCTACCAATTAATTCTTCCAAGATTGCCACTTAAGCGAAAGCCTTGCTCTTTTTACTGTATCCTCAATAAGGTTGGATGACATTTTCATCATTTTTGAATAGTAGATTTTGCGGCAATAATGGAATATGAACACATTCGTAACAAAGAGGAGCGGATCTATTGTATTCATCTGTGATGCTCTGTGGTGCTTCGTCAGACCGAAGAGCAAAATAACATCAGCTTCTGCCAGAAAAAGGACTTTTCGTGGTGAAAAAGCTTTCGGCCGGAATCGAACCGGCGACCTCCGCGGAGCAACTGTTCATCTTCTCAGATGAGCCGGTGTTAACACGGCGCTATAACCCCTAAGCCACGAAAGCGATGACAATAGCAACTTATTGAAACTAATGTATCAAAAAGTTGCTATAACTCAACGTAATTCTAGGTAGATGCTGCAAACGCTTTTAACGCTTTTCATTCCGAGGCTTTTCATAAGCAGTTATTTAAAAAAAATCATATATACTGGAAACGCCACACTAAACTAACCTAACCTGCGGTGTGCGGAGATAAACAAACTATTGATCTCCATTGACTTCACTCTCAAGCCGGCTCTCTCCGCTTTCCGTAGACGCCTGCGTGAGCGACACACTGCTCTCTTGAGAGTAGATGCATGTATTTTACCAGGACCAAAGTCAAAAGATGCAGAGAGAGCAATGGGTAGAATGACCTCTACACAGGCGGCAAGGATGCTCAACAAGCTTCCCCGTGGTACGCGAAGTGTGGCCAAACAGATCCGCTCAAACCACTTCCCTGTTGCCAAGTCTTACCGATACCAATTCAAAATGTCCGACTCACCACTTTGCAGCAAGTGCAATGAAGTAGACAGTATCAAACATAGGATTTTCAGATGTAGGAAGATCGATCAAGCAAGATTATCGTTGAGGAGGAGGATATATGGATTGGAGTAGGTTCGAGATGAAATATATGCTTTCAAATGAAAAAGCTCTCAAAGCTCTCTAAAAATTCTTCAAAAACCAGCTCAGCACCCACCCGCGCGCCTCCGGTAGCTCCACGTAGTTCCTTCTCCATTTACGGCACACATGCCAAGAAATACAACCCTATGAGTCACTACAATCGTCAGCTTTCAATGCACAAGAATTATAGATAGGCGAAGATTATTAATCGTTGTAATGCTTTTGACTATATGTTATGAATTCTATCTATCTATTTCACAACACACATCGAACGAAAGTAAGAGTATTAAACTGTTAATTGTCATTATCATTACAAGAAGTGTGCACAAATGATATAATAGGATTTATGGGTATCAGATACTACGCTAAGCATGCACATCGAATGTGGTCCTACCTATGACCTAAGGCGTGGTAGCAGTTGTTCAATTTGAGCGATCCTTGAATCATCTGGTACTCGCGAACATTGTACCTTTCGACGTAAGGCATTAAATCATCGAAATCTGACACGCCCGCTATAGCCCTTATCAAGTCACTGTGCCAATGATCAATCTCGTCGTAAGACTCTTCCCTGTCGTTGTCGTTGTCGTTGGCATCTTCAGGCGCATGCCACATCTCAAAAGTAAATATCCTCAGACGGAAATTAGACTCCCTTTTAACCAGCTTCTCGATGCTTGAGCTGCAAATATCTTGATGAGATAACATACCATAGCTCCATTCCATGCAAAAAATGTCCAATTTTTCCAGATTGGGGGCGTTCATCAGCCAATTGTCGAATGCGAAATTATCACCCAACTCTCCTAGCGTCAGCTTTTTCAAATTTGGAAAGTTGAATGGTGTTTTCTCGACGAACTCGCAGTAGAACGTGTTGATGTAGGTAAGAGACTCCAGTTGCTCGTCAAAGTGGCGAGCGAAGGTCCTCGTCAATTCTTTTGACAGCCAATAGATATCCGATCTAGATAGCAAGGAATTGCAGTAAGCGGTCAGTTTGAGTGATCTGTAAAGATTCAGCACTGTTAGCACTGTCATATGAGCAGGCTCTCAGCTCACTTGACGAGCTTTCTGTGATTCTCGTCCGCTGCGATGCCATTCAAGACAGCGATGCTATTCTCAAATGTGTCCCTGGTTAATGAGCACATCTCGTAGCCGTCAATTCCAGTCTCGATGTATAGGCGGACATTTGGTGTTTTTAAGCTCGAGTAAATGTATTTTTCATCCATCTTCCGGATCAGTCGGCAAGTTGACAATACTTCTAGTCTTTCTTTGTGTTCAAAATTCTCTATGATCATCATTACCAGCTCTACTGGGAGGTCAAGCAATCTGAAGAAAATGCTCATTGGTGGTTTGGGAGAAAGAAGATGCAATTTTCAAAATAATTTGAAAGGAATAGATTAAAGTGATTTATTTGAAGAATATACAAGTGCGGCCAATTATTATTGCAACAACCTACGCCTGCTTTCGTCATTGCCTTAGATAACGCAATCAATTCCACGCGTATGAGATGATAACTTGTATTTCAATTTAGCAGGATGTAAATTGCTAAGGTTGAGACTATTTACAAGATTCTCACAAAGCCCTCCTCGTCACTCGAGAGAAATCCCACGGCAGTAAATGAAATATTTGCCACTCTCGCTGGGCTTTAGAGGTTTATAAAAAAATAATGGGTCTTTATTGATACATTTAAGATAAATTTCTTACTTCCATGACACTCTCTGGTGTCTTAGTCTAAAATTGACCTGAATATATTGTTAACACGATAAATGTTTAGACTGCCTCTAACAATACTTCTTAAAGAATGAGGAGTCAAAGGGGGCGCCGAATTTACTGGAGGCGTTTCTCGTTTAGCGTCGTAATTTGTAAATTGTTATTGGTTCTCAATTGCGCTGAACCACTGGAATATCTTTGGTACGTAGTCAATTGCAGTTTGAAGAACTCGTAAAGGGCTCGTAGAGAATGTGCGTTTCTGAGTATTGGAACTAATTCGAACCGAATATTGATCTTGGTAATATTTTTTCTTAATGTGATTCTGGCCATTATATGTCTTTTGCAGAAGATTCTATGCGAGATGGTGTCCTCTGTGCCACACGCACTGCATTTAGGTGAATCAATCAGTCGGAAACGTTTAAGGTAGGACTTAGTCGCAGGTAAATGCCCCGAGCGTAGCTGGGTGGTTAGGCATCTCGTTGCTCTGGGCAGTTCATTGAGTATCTTGGCCGTTTTTGCTGCTGTCAGCCTTCCAGCTGATGTTTTTGCGGCGTTGAACTTAATGTCTGATATTTTGGAGGCATCTACTTTTAGTGGTGCTGTATAGCGCTCGCGCATTCTGCTTCGCATTGCTGAGTATGAAGTTTTAAGTGTTAGGTGACACCACATAGTCCTGTGGATCGGCAGTGTTCTACCATCGTTAGCGGTGTCTGCTAGTTCGTTGCCGTAGATATCCACATCTCCTGGGATACAATGGGAATTGAATGTTTTGTAAAATTTTTGCATTTATTCTTTGCGTGTAACAGAATCAGCACATAAGCTCAACAGTACTCTCTCAGTTCGAAATATCTCAATGGGAGAAGCTGATATCGAAAGGTTGCAGGTTTCGAGCCCTGCGTCGGTCACTGCGGCCGGCTGGCTCAATGGTAGAGTATTCGACTACGGTTAAAGTTTTGCTTTTTGATGTTTGCACCAATTTTTAAACAGCTTCTTTCCATAGTTCTACTTGTATACTAAGCCTAGATTAAAATTTTTGTGAAGATACTGAGTCTTTGAAAAGACTGATCCTCACTCTCAGAGAACGTCTAAAACCCGAGATTAATAGTAGTATTACAAAAGCTAAACAGTTTGTAGGAGGTTAAAAGCGCCAGCTTAAATGATTGGGAGAGGGGTACAGCCTGAAGTGTCAAGTTAGCAATGCAAAAGGTATCACGGCAAACGCGTCAACGCACCCAAACCAATGAGACCATCTGATTCCATGTCCTCGCAACAGACTGGGGTGTTTTTACATTCATCTAGCGTTTTGTTAGCATTGTTCAAGGTGACGAAAAGGTACAAACCTTGCAATGCAACACCGATAAGGAGAGGGACTTGGTCACACTGAACACCGATTTGAGAAGCAATGTCACCAGTGGAGATGAGAGAGTCATCCTTGCCGGTGCTAGATTGAGCCTTCTTGTTCAAGTCGCCTTGGCGGTGTGAGATGGTGTCAAGCTAAACATCTCCCAAACTTACAGCATGAAACTTTGCCGGTGTTACATGAGCCAATCTTGCTCTTGTCTTCCCATCCGGCCGAAACAGAGGCGATGAGGGCGGTAGCGAAAATGGTTTGAGCGATCATTGTAAAGATTGGAGATGAGTTGTGTGGAAAGAAGGAAGGTAGGCGGTAGGTATTTATACTCTACTCATTCCGCACTAACTTTACAATCTTTATTAATTTAGCGTGATATTCAGCGCGAATAGGGGAAATGTGTTGATAAAAAAACCGCAGTTAGGAATGTGAGCTAGTTCAGATCTTCTCTGGCGTAGTGAGATTTTTTTATTGTATGTTGCATATCTATTACAAGAACGCTGATTTACGTACTCTTGAATCGAATTTTAGCATAGTGAAAAATTTAGCACCGCTGAATTTGTGAGAGGTACGCGAAAGGTAAATCGTGACAGAAACTGTCCTCGCAACAGAATTTTATGACAACGATATGGATTCAATGAAAAAAGTTTATGACATGCTTTTATGATATTTCCTACGACAACAACGACATTTTAAGTAATGACAGAATGATATAAGTGCTTTGCTTGGCTTACTTGGCACCGAGAGCTTCGCGGACCATATCACTAAAAGTAACCATACAGATAGTTTGCCAAACACCGAGACCGATTCTAGGGGTGACACCGCGGTATAGGCCCTTGACACCGTTCTCCTTGTAGATGTAGCCGAGAGTACCGAAGACGCCGTTTGGCTTGTTGGCGACGTCAGCGCTCTTGCTCATAGATTGCATCTCAACTCTAACAACCTCGATTGGTTGATTCCAAGTAGCGAGTGCACCACCAAAGGTAGCAGAAGCGACCTTGTCTGCCAAGTTGAGCTTTTCACCATCTGTCTTACCCCTAGCCTTTCTAATGAGACTCTCTGAGAGACGAGCAAAACCCATTCTTGAACCCCAGTTGGTCATTTGACGGAGAGCGACAGCGTTGACACCTTTGTTGATACCGGCAATACCCTCAGCTTTGTAGATATCACCAAAGACTTTCCAGGTTGATGGAGGGGTGATGCCTGATGCGGCCTCCTTGTGTCTTGTAATTTCAGCAGTCTTCATACAGGTGCAGAAACCCATAGTAGCGTATGCTTGAGCGATACCACCACCCATACCACCGAGTAAACCGGCGGCAGCAGGACTTATCCCGGCAGTAACGGAGTATTTTTCAATTTCAGCGGCGGTGAAAAGAAGAACGGCGCCTTTTGTAGAAGCTTCGATCCAGGCCTGGTTACGGTGTCAAAGAGATGGGTAGAAGGTGTCTCAAGAAGGACTCACCCATGGTATCAGACCTTGATAGAAACCAGCGAGACCACCACGCGAGTAAATGAGAGAAATGGCTTGACGCATGGACAAGGATCTTTGAGCGGAGAGAGTAGTCTTACAAACTTCAAGTGGCTGACCAAGTGTAGATACTTATGTTTGTAAGATACTTATAGCAAACAGGAAGGAGACAAAATACTAACCTTCAAACATGTTCATTACGCTACCTACAGCGATGTTTGACCATGAAAAGCCTTTCTTTCCTTCAACAGGTGCCATTTTTCGTTGATTCGTTGAGTTGGTGGTTGTTTCGTAGGGGAATTCTCAGCTCAGTTCACCCCACTCGATTGTTAAAAATCAAAATATTCATCAAAAAGCGATTTATGTGTCTGGTATAATTAAGAAAAGGGTACTCAACAGGCACAATTGTCTCCGACTTGCTTTGGTTGGTTCTCGGTTGAGTTGAGGCTTACGTTGTTCTGCTGTGATTGATCCTGGGCTCTGGATTTAGTGGAATTGAGGATCTGCTCATGTGGAATCTTCTTTGCAATTTCAGTAAAAACTTCAACAACGCCTTCACTAGTCTTTGCGGATGTTTCAAAGAAGAGAAGATTGCTCTCTTCAGCGTAAGCTTGAGCTTCATCACGTGAGATGGCCCTTGAATGAGTTTGGCTTGGTTCTGAGACTGCGTTTTGATCGAATGATGCTACGTCATCTAAATAATCCTCATTCTCCTCAGATTTCTCAACCAAGTCAAGCTTGTTACCGACAAGGGCTATAATGACATTTGGAGAGGCCTGTCGTTGGAGTTCCTTAACCCAACTCTTTGCCTTGTCGAAGCTGGATGATGAAGTTATATCGTAAACGACTACAGCAGAGAGAGCGTTACGGTAGTACCTGAGAGTATTCTAAGTGGATTTTATTGAAAGCATCTCAAAACCCACATTGGTGCCAAACTCCTAAACCTTTCCTGACCAGCAGTATCCCATATCTCAAATTTAATCACTTTATCCTCTAATCTACACTTTTGGGCTGTTTATTGATGTTAAATTAGTTATTATTAAACTCCCCACCCACTCAAGAATGCTGCACCAATCGTAGGCTCTTTGTACTCCTGGAAATCATTTTGAACGAACCTCAGAACGACGGATGATTTTCCAACGGCTGCTTCCCCAAGAAGGACGAGCTTCACTTGTACTGGCTTTTGATTCTCACTCATTCTGTTGTAACGGTTGTTGGCTGTGTGTAATTAACAGTATTCAACCCGATATATCAATTATATTAATTATTTAATTACTCAATGTATATCTTTTTATTCATCTTTCTCCCAAATTTCCCAGTTTCTTCCCTTGAATTTCACCCACGACGTAATTCCCCCATTCGCAGCAGCACATGTCAGATTCAAGGCGGTCTTCAGGTATTTTCAAGCGTAGATCGAGGACCTCTTCAATCGCATCCTCTAAAGCCCCTCAGCCACAGCCACAGCATCAAGAAGATGTCCCTCCAGTTCCACAAATCCCAAATGACAGTAACAACAAGTCAAATGATAAATCTGATAAACCTGATAAATCCGGTTTTTCTTGGAAGAAATTCGGTCCGATTCCTGTACCTAGATTTGGTATTTCTCGGGAAGATAGCGACCACGTTAACGAAAATGAAGTTAAAGCTCTCTTTAAGAAGGCTGCAAAGCATGCGCCTGTTCACTCTTTCGATCCAAACGAATCCACAACCAACAAAGAAGCTGAATTACTTGAGGAGCAAAAGAATGATCAAAATTATGGTGTAGAAGGAGATAACCTTCCAAAGCCTTCAACTCCAAAAGAAGAGCCACGTATGTCTCCAACAATCTCCCTCTCCTACACTCACATACTCTCCAGCAAAGCCAAAACCTTCAAAAGTTCCTGCAGTTCAGCAGAAGTCAACTCCTCAGCAAAGCACAAAAAAAGAAGGCGAAGCTGCTTTCGAATCTGGTCCTATCTACGCTGTTGAAGATATTCCTGGTAACTTGTCCAGCTCCACAGATGAGTTACCTTCTACTTCCCTCCCAAAATGGTACATGAGGGATAAAGAAATCCCAGACAGCTTAGGCGCTCATTCTGTTGAACTCAACGGTGTCGATGATGATGATGGTACTTCCACTTTGCTTCCCGAAAAGTTCTATGGACAATGGTTTCACAACGCTGCTGTCGTTTTAGTCTCTTCTATACTCACTTACATTCTTGCCTACTTCAACTTCAGCCTGGGCCCACAGGCTGTCGTTGCAGTAGCTGCTGTTACTTATTACAATATTAGTATCTCAAAAGTTGATCACGAAGTCAGAGAGGGAATTTCCAGGCAACTGATGAAACCTCCACTTGCAACAGAGGCTCAGTCAGCTGACTGGGTCAACAATCTACTAATCAACTTCTGGGAGCACCTCGAGCCATACATCTGTGAAAAAGCTATCAACAGTGTTGAGCCTATAATAGCTGAGCGCAAGCCTGGATTCGTAAGGTCTGCGAGACTTCGTTATCTCACCCTTGGTAGCAAAGCGCCGCGCATTCTCAAGGTCAGAACATGGCCATCGACCGCCGACAACCAAATCACCATGGATTGGCACGTTTCATTTACACCAGCAGACTTGGGTGCACTCGGAGAAGGTCAGACAGAAGGCACTGTCAACCCAAAGATTGTCCTACAAGCCGTTATCGGTAAAGGTAAATACTCAGTCAGTCTGCCTGTTGTGCTCAAGGAATTTAGCTTTACTGGTAACATAAGAGTCAATCTTACCCTGATTAATGACTTCCCTCACATCAAATTGGTTGATCTGTCATTCATCGAAAAACCTGAATTCGACTACATGGCCATACCAATCGGTGGTGAACACTCTGGCTTGGATGTCAACTACATTCCTGGTTTGACCACCTTTATCAGAGAACAGATATTTAACATGATGCAACCACTTATTTTCGATCCTAACGTCTTTACAATCAACTTGCAAGAAATTCTCGCTGGCGGTGCTCTCGATTCCGCATGCGGTGTATTGGTACTCACTCTTCGTCAAGCTAGAGGTCTGCGTTCCATCAAAGTCGGTGGTGGTGAACCAAATCCATACACTACCGTCAGACTTGGTAACTCCAAGACAATAAACGACAAAACAACGATTCATAAGTCTACCAACAACCCATTCTGGATGGAAACAAAGTATTTACTCGTCAACTCTCTCAACGACCAGCTGGTACTTAACGTTTATGATTACAATGATTATCGCAAAGACTCAGACATTGGTTTAGCCACATACAACATCCAATCCCTAGCCGATGATCCTTTGCAAGAACATGTCATGACAAAGCTCTACAATAATGGTAGAGAAAAAGGTGATATCATATTTGATCTGAGCTACTACCCAGTCATGGAGCCACCAAAGGAAGGAGACTCACTTGAAGCTGTTCCAGATCTCCCAACTGGTGTTGTCAGACTATACATCCACGAAGCCAAGGATCTCAACACAGATGCGTCCAAGGTTGGTCGTGTAAACCCTTCCGCCAGCGTTTACTTGAAAAATAAGCAAGTCCAGCAAACAAAAATGATCAGAGGTACAAATTCGCCTGAATGGGACTCCCACGGCGAATTTCTCGTCACCAACAAAGACAAGACGAGTTTGAAAGTCAAGGTGTATCACGCGCACAACTTCAAGGCGTCAATCCCAATCGCGCATGTCAATGTCAATGTCAGTGATTTGCTTGAGACCAATGAGAAGGAAGGAAAGTGGTTTGATTTGGCTAAAGACGGTGGTAAAATCAGAATGTCCGCGTCGTTCAAGTCAGTGGCTATGGATGATGCGCTGGATGTAGCAGGCCAGTACACTCCACCTATCGGACTGTTGAGAGTCTTCTGCAAGCGTGCAAACGACCTGAAGAACGTTGAGATCGCTTTCGGCGGTAAAAGTGATCCTTACGTTAAGGCCATTATCGCTGGTAGAGTGCAAGCTAGAACGAATATTATCGATAATAACCTCAATCCTGTATGGAATGAGGTTCTCTACATACCGATCCACTCTCTCAGAGATATCGTTTACTTGGAAGCTGCCGACTACCAGAGCCAGGGCAAAGACAGACCATTGGGACACACAACTCTTAGAGCTAGAGATATTATCAGACCCAACGATGATGAGAACGAGAGAAAGAACAAACCATACATGGCTACTGGAGTAAATAGACGTACGTCTCCTATGAAGCTTGACAAGGGTGGTTATAAGGGTGAACTAGAATTCGAGGCTGACTTTGTCCCTGCTTGGAAGATTAAGGGAAGTACCTTCGAGTCTGCGGAAGATGTAAAGAAGAAAGAGGAAGAAGACAAGAAGGAGGAGGAAGAGAATGCCAAGGAAGAGAACATTGACGGAGAGAGCGATGAAAAGGGTAAAGAAAAATCATCTGCCGAAGAAGAGGAAAGTGCTGGTTTGGAATTAAATGAAGATGAGTTACTTGAAAGAGGTGAGTTAAATAATTTATGCTGATTAGTATCTCACCAAAACACTATCTAGAGTCGGGAATCATAGTTGTCAAGTGCGATACAGGACAGGTGGCACAGAGGAACACGCGACTTGAGTTCCTCATTGACGACGCAATCTGGCCTTCGATCACCACCGAGAAGGCGCGTTCGAAGAACGCCAACTGGAATTTCATTGGAGAAGCTATGGTCCGCGAGCTTTCATTCTCACAGCTGAGAATTAGATTGAACACAGGTTCACAAGAAGAGGATGATCAGGTTTACGCTGAGACAAGCATGGATATGAGAGAATTTTTCTACCGCACGCTCAACAAAGAGGCAGAATTTACTCTATCAGATGCAGGCGATAATCAGTCCAAGGTGAAGGTTTTGTCTAAGTACATCCCCGTTGATATCGACCTCAGTCTCAGAGAGTCTGTCAACAACCAGGGCAATCTCAGAGTCGAAGTCCACAATGCCAAGGGGCTTGCAAGTGCAGATCGCAATGGTAAATCTGATCCATACGCCGTTTTTCTCCTCAACGGCGAGAGAGTATACAAGACTGAAACGAAGAAGAAAACGTTGCATCCAGAGTGGGAAGAATTCTTCGAAGTCCAGGTTCCTAACAGAGTCGATGGAAACTTCACGATTGAAGTTTATGACTGGGACAGGTTGTCAGCAGCCGATTTACTCGGTGTTGCCAAGGTGGACTTGACTGCATTCGAGCCACTCGAGTCGACTGAATTCACTTACGATCTCAAAGATGGCGAAAGCGGTGACCAGGGCACGATCAAAGTCAGTTACGTCTTCAAACCCTCATTCATCGTCAAGACGCGTGCGCGCACTTCGACTTTCAGCCAAGCTGGCAGAGCTCTCACGCAGGTCGGCGGTATTGGTATTGGAGCTGGAAAGGGAGTCGCCCATGGTGCCGGTCATATCGGCAAGGGCGCCATCTCAGGCGCTGGCTTCATCGGCAATAATGTCGGCGGCGTTTTCGGCAAGGCTGGTCAAATTTTCGGCTTCTCCAAAAAGCCTTCCTCTACTGGAAGCGAAGGTTTCGTAGATGACGAAGCGGATGCTCCCAGAGAATTGATGTCAGATGCTCAGCGCGATAGACCTGCATCGAAAGTCGACTCAGGTGATTTGAATGTAACTGTCGTCAGAGCATGGGATCTTAAAGGAGAAGGTCGTGAGTTGCCTAAAGCCAGACCTGTGTTGAGAATGGGAAGATACAAGATCGAAGGAAAGGCACTCTCTAAGAGTTCCGAACCTTCTTTCGATGAAACTTTCCTTTTGCACACTAAACCTGAAAAGCCAACGTTTAGTGTAGAGATTGTTGACAAGCATCTCTTCGGTGATCGTCAAATTGGCTACAATAATATCATGATTGGCCAATACATTCATCCAGAGAAGAACGAAACTTCAGGTGGGTGTTATATTTTGTGTGAACAAAAATATCTTGCTAACAACTCAAGCAGCTGAATTTGATATTGAATTGCTTGGAGGTAACGGTTATGTCACAGTCAGGCTACAATGGTCACCTAATGAAGGTAGACCATCGACTTCCTCAGTGAGGAATCGTGAAAGTCTCGATCCGGGCGATAATCAATCAGTCACCTCTAAGAAACCAAGCAAGTCGTCTAAATTTGCCAACTTTAGTCGAAGCTCATTAAACAAAGAACGGGACTAACTTACATCGCTCAATCTAATCACTTCTTTCTACCCATTTTACTCAATCATTTCACTCGCTTCTTATGATTTCAATGACTCATTTTTATTTATCACTTATGCCGATCACACAACTTACTTTTAATGCTTAATTTGTTGTCAAAAAATTACACGAAATTGTTCTTGATTCTAATCGTCCTTGTCTGTTTTAAAATTGGTTGTTCCAGGTATAATATGGGGATAATACTCTTGCTAAGCTGGGCATTATTTCTACTGTGAATGGCAGGATTGGTGCACTTTCTCCGTCGATTGAGATATATCCATCGGTTTGTAATGGTTTGAAGTGATAAGCTTTAGCTTTGTAGTACTTTAATGAATCGTCAAAGAACATAGCACCGTTCTCGGCACCATCCATAGCCTTTATCTTTTGCATACGTGAGACATTCAGCTGAACGGCAACATCTATGAAGCCGTCGTTTGGCATGGAAACGGGAAATTGTTTCAAGTCCCTGCTAACCCAGGGCACCTGTCCAGCATATAGGTAGGAGATGTCATCGGAGACCTTTTCCCAATCAAATTCAGGACCATTTGGATACTGTACTTTTGGTAACTCACTTCCCGTATACTGAGGTACAGGAACCGGTGTGTCCAAATGTCTTTCGCGTACCCAATTGACCATTTGATTTTTGTCATCGTGCTCTACCTTGATGTAGATTTCGCAGGGGCATGGCGCATTTCTGACAAGAGAGCGCACGTAACCAATTACGAATCGTGTATCGCCCAGCCATCTCATATCCTCAGTACCGATATCTAAATCTGCCATTAAACCAGTGGCTTGAGTGAGATACGATAATGTGCGCTTGTTGCCTTGCATAATTGAGAACAAATCCAAGGGCATGGCGTGGCCTTTGATTGCGTTGAGTGTTGCCAAGCTGATGTCAAACCCTTCCTCCAAACCTAACAAGCACAAGCTCAGACTGTTGCCAGAACCAGCAGGGATTGGACAAAGTGGTGTTTGTATTGCCTTGATTGGGTTTTGGTGGTGTAAGAACCCGTTTAGCACTTCGTGTACAGCACCATCTCCACTAACACAGACTATGGCGTCATAAGAGAGATCCATTTCTTTAGCAATGTCAAAAGCATGTAACTTGTATTCCAGCACTTTTGATTATTAGAAGGAAACGGAATGAGTATCTGATAAACTTACTTTGCAAATCTACTGTGCATCCAGATGATCTCAAAATAGGGAAGACTCTTTCATTGTAATACCTGATTGCATTTCCTTGGCCTCCTACAGGATTGACCAATACCTTCAACTTCCTTGCTCGAGGGATGCCTTTATTAATTAGCATGGCAACACAAGGCAGCGACAAACTCACCAGCCTTAACGCGCAATCCGTGCAAGAAATCTCTCGCCTGCTCAATTGACATATTCAATGGATTCCCCTCAAAGCTCATGAGCTTGTTGTCATGTTGAGAAGACACGACTGATAGGTGCACATAGCCTTCGATGTTGATGCTGCAACTGACAATTCTGTAATAGGTGAGGTGAGTCTCATGTCCCACAACTGAGTCAATCGGCTCGTAATTTCCTCTATTAAAACAGCTTTTACAACTTCTGCTTGCCTTCTTCGTAGTGTTGGCCTTTGGAGTTCGGATGACAACCCTTGTGTCTTCTGCAACAATCTTCGATGATTGCTTATCCTTATCCTCTAATTTTAATTCCATCAGTCCCATCTTGGTGGATACTCGCAAAGGATATTTAACCTATTTAAAGCCATTGAAATATTTAATGGCTTTTGATAGCTTCAATTTCTTAACTTTCAATAGCCGTCACCTTTAAAGGGTTTTCTTGCCTTTGGCGTGCTCGCTTGGCATTTCAGACATTCCTGGTAGCTGATAAGATTGTTTCACAATTGTACACAAGTTTTACTATTATAGTACATAATTCATAAATAGAAGAAACTAATTTTGACAGCTTAAATATCCCTGTTTCCGGTGATATCATTCCATAGCAGGGTATCATAATCTATGATAAAGGCAATTGTGATCAAGCTGTATTTTAGTGTTTCGTCGTAATAATTGCTTTCGTTGTGTCCACCTTTGAGAGTAGTTTGTTCAAGTGAGAATTATAATATTGTTGATGCAAGTTAATCTTTACTGAGGCAAACATAACGACTCTGTGAGCACAAAATGCATGTTGACTTAAGTCTGATGTATTCAAGACACCGAAAATTTCACTATCTGCACGACCAACTTAAGATTTATCAATAGATTACAAATTATCCTCTTGAAAGCTGTTATTCCAAGAAGTAAATGGAGAAATAAGACGTCCAAGCGATGGCAAAACCTCAACAGTAAATGGCAGCAAAGGTATTTGCTCACCATCTGCAGCCAGGTAGCCTGAGTTATCTAGAGGGTTAAAGTGGTATGCCTTTGCTTTGTAGTACTTTAATGAATCGTCGAAGAACATAGCACCATGCTCGGCGCCATCCATAGCCTTCAATTTGTGCATACGTGAGACATTTAGCTGAACGGCAACATCTATAAAGCCGTCGTTTGGCATGGAAACGGGAAATTGCTTCAAGTCCTTGCTAACCCAAGGTACCTGACCAGCGTAGAGATAAAACACATCATCGCTTATCTTGATCCAGTCTTGTTGAGGTCCATTTTTATAGGTGACAGGAGGGATTTGGGTGTATTCAGGCAGTGAGAAAGGCTTTTCCAGCCTTTTCTCGTGTAAAAGTTTGATCATTTCGTCCTTGTTGTCTTCTTTGACCTTTATGTAGATCTCGCAGGGACATGGTGCATTCCAAAAGAGTGAGCGGAGATACCCCACAGTGAACCGTGTATCGCCCATCCATCTCAGATTTTCGGTGCCTATGTCTATGCTTGCCATCAAACCGGCCGCTTGTGTGAGGTAAGAGAGTGTGCGTTTACCATCCTGCCATATGGAGAAGAGATCGAGCGGGATTGCGTCGCCTTTTGCAGCATTGAGCGCAGCGATGCTCAAGTCAAGACCATCTTCAGCTCCCAAGACACAAACGCTGATGCCGTTTCCAGATCCACCAGGGACAGGACAAAGCGGCATCTTGAACGCTTCTGAGGGTGTTTGATGATGTAAGAAACCGTTTAGGACTTCATGCAGTATTCCATCTCCGCTCACGCAAACAACTGCATCGTATTCTAGCTCTAATGCCTTAGCTATATCGAAGGCATGTCTTTTGTATTCGAGGACTTGTGTTTGTTGGATAAGTATTGGTTGAGTGTGCAATCCCAAAACTTACCTTGCATGTCAACAATACAGCCTGAGGTCTTCAGAATTGGTGCGACTGTCTCAACATAATAGTCGACAGCTTTGCCTGTACCCCCTACTGGATTAACGAGTGCTTTCAAACGGCGTGCACTTTTCAGTTTGGATTTCGAGCGTATGTCTTGAATGAGCGTTTCATTTCCTTGATCAAGGTCGTTTGCAATGCCGTAAAAGTCGACTAGTTCGTTATTGTGTTCAGACAACAAAACAGAAAGATATATGACCTTCTCATCGTCTATATAGCAATTGACAACTTTCCAGTAATCAACGTGGAAAGTGGATGCCTCAGGAGAGGATATTGATAGGCCTTTATCATCGGGAGTGATAGTGATGTTTGAATTGTTTTGCTTGTTGTGTAGCTGAAATGCAGCCATCGTTGTTTCCGCAGAAGACCGCTGATGTCTTCCTCAGCATCACCGATGGTGCAAACCTATTATGAGGTTTTAGAAGTAAGCAAGCAAGCGACTCAGGCAGATATACGATCGAGTTATTTGCACAAAGTCAAGTCGTTACATCCTGATCGCAGCGGATCGAATGAGCAAGTCATACAGCTTTATAAAGCATACGAATGCCTATCAGATGAGCAGCAAAAGATAGAATATGATGAGAAATTAAATAAAGATGAGAATTCAGTGGTAAATAGGATTTATCCGCAGGTATCGCTTGATCAGTTTGATGTTAGTGAGGATGAGGAGACATTCAGCTTGCCGTGTAGATGTGGAAATGAGTATATTGTTACGGCAGATGATCTGGAGCGTGGATCAGAGTTATTGGGTTGTAGTGGATGCAGTGAACGTATTCATGTACTATATGAAATGGTGGAGGAATAGACATGTAAAATAAGCATATAGAATCGAATCATATTATAGGAGCCTTGAGGACATGACAGCTTATATAATTCACGACGCAAACAACTTGATTAAACGACACAAAAATAATCAGAGTAAGGAATGGAAATGAATTTAGGGCTAATAAAGAACAGAAACCATCTCAAAATATGAGAAAACACCTCTTTAAGACCAGTTTGAAAACTTTAAAATCAACTTAAGCAAGAGTTGGGAAAGCCTTCTCGTCGTTAAGGTTGACGTTAGCACCAGCAGCGTTTTGACGGTTACCACCCTTTGGACCACCACGAGGCTTGCCAGCAGCAGCAGGTGCAGGACCACGGCCTTTACCGCGAGGAGGACCTCTACCGTTTGTGTTTCTTGGTCTACGCTCGGACTCAGCCTTAGCGAATTGACCATCAATCTCGATGTGAACCTTGCCAGACTTTTGTGACTTTGCCTTTGGCTCCTTTGGTTGAGTCTTTGGAGCAACAAAGTAGTTTTCTTCCTCGTTTGAGTTACGGAGAAGTTGAACGCCGGTGACAGTGTCTGAGCCTTCGTTGGCTTTACGAACTTGAGGAGCACCAATGTCAAGCTTCTTTGAAGCACGCTCAGCGAGGTACTCGTCTAAAGTCTTGGTTGAGTCTTCTGGCTCCTTTGGTTCAGCAGGAGTGCCTGGAACAGTCTCAGCACCTTCAGTAGTGGCATCCTTTTTGCCAGCTTCTTCAGTTGCGAGCTCCTTTTGACCGTCTTCACCACCCCAAGAAGACTTTTGCTTCTGGGAGTCAGTACGACCAGTTTGTGATTGACGGTCGAATTGGCGGCCTTTACGTTGACCACCTGCGTTACCTGGGGTCTTGGCTGGACGGGTACGCTTAGCACCACGCTCACCACGAGGGGCTGAAAGCTTTGTGAGTGTTATGCTTTATAGTAATATGCCAAACATACCACGCTCTGATGGCTCATTGTCTTCTCTGCCAGAGTCCTTACCACCCTTTTGAGTGCGTGGCTTCTGTTGAGTACGTGGCTTTTGCTGTTGAGCAGGTGCTGGTGCTGGGGCAGCTGCAGGTGCTGGAGCAGGAGCTGAAGCACGTGGAGCGTCACCGTCTTCTGCTGTATGTATTTGTTAGATGGGTATTCCTCGACTACGAAAATCCGTACAAAGAAGAGCGAATGGGTTGACAGAGCGAACACCTCCAGACCTTTAAATTAGATAAATAAGCACCGGGAGTTCCAATTATTTAATAAAATTACCAACATTTTCAATATTTTTACGTGTTAAGCTTTAGACTTAAGTGAGCAACAACTAGTGAGCCCATGGGAACAGCGGCCAAAATTTACTTTACAAATTTTAATTTTTACAGACGCTTTTTGAATTAATTTAATAAGTCTTGAAGTATACGGGATATTCTATTCCTTTTACACCGTCCTCCTTCTCCTCGCTGTCTTCTGTAATGTCTGAGCTATCTTCGCCGATAATTGAATCAATTTGATAGTTTATGATATGTATTTGGTCTTTACAACTTTCACCAGCCTCTCTTAAACTCAAAATCTAGACATTTGACAGTTTCCTGATGATCATGCGCCGATTGTCGACCGAGAAGTTCCAGTAGAGCACTCTCGAACGACGCATCAACAACATAATCCACTATCCATGCCAACCTATCACCAGTCTGTCCGAAATCAGGACATCCGTTGAATTCCAGCAGCTTGACCTCATCCTTATCTGTGACCAACAAATCAACTCCGTATATCTCAAATGCATTAGGCAGAGGCTGGAAGTGTACTGACGCAGACTCAACAGCACCTTTGACAGCCTGACCGATTACCTTGGATGCACTATCCAACCACCTGTTTATCTGATCAGACGTAATTTGCGTACCACTATTAGTATAACACCCCTCTAGCTCTTGCAGTGATTTCACAAATTTATCCCTATCCATATTCGAGCCCTGTAAGCATGAGTTTGTGAGGTGAGATAATAGGCTTTGATCTTCATCTGGATTTTTGTAAGACTGAGATGCAAATAATGCTAGGATAGACTTTGGCATGTACACTTTTATGCTTCCCTGTAGTACTTTCAAGTTAAAACGACCTGACACAACTTGTTCAAAATTATCACCTACGACACACAAAACATAAGCTCTCAAGTGGAACTTGTGGAATGACTGCTGGTTTCCCGTTGGATCTATTAGAAGTGGGTTCGATAAGTATTCCTTGTCGATAGTCAGCGTGAGCAGAAGAGAGTGATTGATTAAAATCACCTGTATAACGAAATGTCTGAGCTGCGATGTAGACACAGCAGTAGAGTATTCATCTGAGTGGTTATCGTCATCTTCATCTTCCCCTTCATCTTCTGAATCACTATCGAATTCTGCAAAAATTTCACGAAGACTGTCTTCACTGTTGAAGAGCCTGATACCATTGGCACGATCAGCCCTTGAGAGTTGTGTGAGAATTGAATATCACAATAGGCGAATTAATGATTGCTTACATTGCAGGCTTGAGAATGAACCAATGATCGCCCTCTTGGGACAACTTTTCACGAAGATCGTAGAGCTCATCCATTAGCACCTCATCAAGATCCTCCGAATGAGCGACATCTATTGTCCAGCATTTTGGCATCGCATTGCGCAATAAATCCACATTGGCTTCTTCGGAACGATCGACGGCATTTACAGACAGTCTATGCTCCATCTTAGCCAAGTAAGCCTCGATAGTTTGATGAAGAAAGTTTTTACGCGTAAGAGCCTGATTTGCGGGGATGAGTGGGTGTATGCATAGTTGAGCAGGTAACGGACTTTGCGGAAACAATAACTAGAACCAATACAGTTACTTGTATCTTGCATCAGCCAATCGAATTCAATCAAGTCGTCTGGATTGTTTGATGTGAGTGTGTGCTACGGCGAAGATCGACGACTACCACACATACAATCTGCATACTGTATCTGTAACTTCTCCGTAGGCTTATCTGTAATAAGAAGAACATCCGGTAGATATTTCTTGAATCCTCTAATCACAGCAGCTTGCGTGTATTCCGAGGGGAAGTTAACAAAAGCAGTGAGTGACATGGTGGTATAGCCAAAGGAGAAGACATTGAAAACACATTGAAAACACAAAGCATACCAGATAATTCAATTTCACTCACGCCGTCATGAAATAAGCTTATGTGAATGAAATACAAGTATTTTTGAACAAAGGTTAAGCTTGTTGAGCTTGTTGTTGTTGAGCAGGTGCAGAAGCTGACTCAACGTTTGGCTTAGCCTTGTTCTCAGAAACAACTTGTACTGGTTGCTCCTCCTTTGGCTCGACGATGACGACAGAGTCAGGCAATGGCTTAGGGAAACCAGCTCTGCCTTCTGGGTCGTGTGGTCTCATGATCTTAACCTTGAGACCCAAAACACCTTGCTTGAGGAGAACGTGTCTAACAGCGTAATCGACAAAGTCTCTAACAGGTTGACCAGAGTGGATCATGAAACCATCCGTGAACTTCATAGCTTTGGCTCTAGCAGCTCTAAGCTTACCGGAGACGACGACTTCGCAACCCTTAGCACCAGATTCCATGATGAATCTAACAACACCGTAACAGGCACGACGAACAGCGAGACCACCAAGGAGCTTGTATCTCAAAGATTCACATTGAGCGACAGCTGAGAGACCTCTGTTTTGCACCTTCTCAGCGTATAATTCCAAAGAGTTCTCAGGGAATTTGAATCTCTTTTGGACGAGTGCAGTCAATTCACGGATTCTGCGACCCTTTTCACCGAGAACTTCTTGTGTGTGGGTGGCACGGATGATAATCTCAGTACGAGCGTGGGTAACACGTACTTCACATCCGGAGAATCCTTCCTCACTGAGTTCACGGGTGAAGAATTCACTCAATTCAGCTTGGAAAACACCGTCTTGGACGATCTTACGGGATCTTTTTGAGTTTATCGTTAATTAGATTCCCTGATGTTTGAATAGCTCACTCACTTGCTGACTTGGCGGTTCACTGCAGACATGGTCGCTGGCTGTTAAGCTGGAAGCTGTCCTCCCTTCGTTTGAATGAGAATATTTTCTGTCGAAAAAAAATATTTTTTGAGCGACGCAAAGAGGGATTTGTATGGCTGTTATTAGTGTTCTATATTACATTCATTTCAACCTCTTTTTCCCCTCCTCGCTCCATAACTCATCGTAAGACTATGATTACATGAATAGTGCTACAACAATGCTTTCGATTGTCCTAAGATATTCTTCAGCGTTTGTATTGCTCCTTTCGCCGATAATTGTAGACTCCACAACGTTACATACTTGACTCGCTGGTTATTCGCTTCTGTCGATGTGACGTGATGCGCGAGTGCGTCGTATATACGATCACTTACTGCGCTCATCAGTCCAGCTATGATTGATTATGTTAGCAATTCTATTCAGAAATCTCCAACGTTTATACTCCAACTCACTCTCCCACATAGTCCAACTCCCATCAAACTCATCAATTAGCAACTCGACATGTGACAATATTGGTATGAGTGTGCGGTTTGAGTTTATGAATGCAACTATTGGCCGCACTAGTGCATTGTTTGTATATGTTAAATCACTTGTGTAGTATGGCACACTAGCTTTGACATCCCTGAACCTCAAATCTATATCAACAGCTACCCTCTCCTTACTCAACGCCGGTTCATCCTGCTGTTCAGTCTGGTCGGGTGACTTGAGTGCTGGTCTAGTAAGTTGTGCTTGTCCAGGTATTCTACTATCTCCATCTTGCACGGCCGAATTTAGATTATTTATACTCTCCATTATCGCATCGAATAGATCTTCATCCTGCTGGAATGGGAAGGTGATATCAACTACAGCGTCCATCTTTCCGTGAGTTATCCAGGCTGTTGGTCCTGTCATTCCCGCCGCTGCCTGAAGATGATCCACTGCAACACCATCTATTCTAAATCTCGTCACTCTATCAACATCGGCGTTGTGTGTGCGTGTTATCGATTGTGGTTTATGCAAACTGAAAAGCGAATTGTCAAACTGACCAGTCATTGCATATGCAGCTAGCAAGTCGTGGAATAACCACTGTTTCCTGAATGTTCCTATCTCTCCTCTAAATATACTCATATTATAAGGTCTGAAATCTTCTGGTTGGTACACTGTAATCAGTAAATCTTCAATAGTGAGTGATTCAAGTTCAAAGTCTCCTGGATGATGAGGGTGCCTAAAATCCTTTGGATCGAGTGGATTGTCATAGTCCCATTTTACACCCCTTCGATCTAAGACACCACGAATACCTTTTATTGAGGCGTCCTTCACCAATCCCTTCCCATCCAACCACCGCCATAGTGATAGTTCAACATCCACAGAATCGAGATTGATATCAAACATAGTCCAAGTCTCTTGAGGAGGTGGTGGTGCAATTTTTAATGTGAGATCGTGATCTTCGTCGTGTACGTGTGCGTGATCATCCCAGATAATCTTTCGCCGCACCGCCGCACTATCTGGCTGAACGGGCGGTAGAGTTTCTCCACCAGAATGCCTAGAAACATGAACATTTTTAAAGGATATCCGGCTGTCTTTCCATTTGGGTAAAATAGCACTCTCAAAAGCGACAGTAACCTGAATTTATTATTAGTGGGGTGTGGTAATGGGTGGATAAAGTACACTCACACCAGTAGCTTGAGTGAGATAATCAGAAATAGCACCTGCGATGTAATTCTGCAATCTTAGACTATTTGCAGTGGCAAAGATAGCAGAGAAGAAAGTCGTTGTACCAATCAAAATCCAAAATATGTGTCCGACGAGTAGCCAGCTAATGAAAGCGCTGACGTCGTCTGCATTGAACTTTCTGAAACCTCTAATTGTCCACCATTTCCAGCGTATGCGTAGTCTCTCGAAGAAGCCATTAGCCAAGCCGAGGAGTTCTTCTTTTGTCGGCGTGTGGGGGTGTGGTAGATTGTGCATCAGTGATCTAAAGAAAGGGGAGTATTTCCTGTTATCATGGGTGTTTTGGGTGTTTTGAGTGTGCTGCGTATGCTGTGTGTGCTGTGTCCATTGATCATTCTCATCGCTTCGTTTGGGCTGCTCGTAGAGTGGTCGTTGCGTCGTGAATGATCTTTTTAATAATTTAATGTGATTCTGTGTCATATGGTAGCTCCTGTTCACTTGCAGCACACTATGCACTCTTAAAGGCCGTAGCAACGCCCTCATCTATTGAAGAAGATGATGGTCGTTCGAGAAGAAGGGAAATGTGCGGATTATTGAGTAAATCAGTGGTGAGCTTGTATATCAGATATACTCGCGGTAGAAATTCAGTGTAAGATGCTCACTCTTCGTAAGATCACATCAACCAAAAATGGCTAAAAAGTGTATAACAAGTATACAAGTATACTCATTGTAATCTCAGGAGTGCTACAATACTAATCATCTCTTCATAACTCTAAATTCCATTCACAAACCAGCTCAAATCAAATCTGCATACGAGGATCAATGAAAATGGAATAATAATTACATGTATAAGGAGAAGAGAGTGAGCCGAGTATTTAAAGCGCTGCCATATATTTATATGAATAAATCTTTATTTTTCACGTAAATCTGAGAAACTCGCTCGCAAAATTACAAACTTGTCCTGGAGCATCCATCACTAACCATGTCCACTTACACAGCAGCACCAGTCATTATTGACGCTAAGGGACACCTCATGGGTGAGAAAGCTAAATAACCGCGGCCAAACGACTCACCAGGCTTCTCAGGTAGACTCGCCAGTGTCGTCGCTAAGCACATGCTCAACGGCAACAAGGTCGTCGTTGTCCGTTGTGAGGAGCTCAACCTGTCTGGTGGCTTCTTCCGTAGGAAGTTGGACTACATGAAGTTCATGCGTCTTCGTCACTTGGTTAAGCCTTCCAAGGGTGGTCCATTCCACCACAGAGCTCCTTCCCGTATCTTCTTGAAGAGTGTTCGTGGTATGATTCCTCACAAGCTCGCAAAGGGTGCTGCTGCTATGCAACGTATCAAGGTGTTTGAGGGTGTCCCACCACTTTACCAATCAAAGAAGAAAATGGTTGTTCCTCAAGCTCTTCGTGTCTTGCGTCTCAAGCCAGGCCGTAAGTACTGTACCCTCAAGCGTTTGTCCTCAGAATTCGGTTGGGCACACGCTGAAGTCGTCGACAAGCTCGAGGCTAAGCGTAAGGTTAGTTTGATTGGTTATTTTGATCATTTGAACTACCCACTCATTCCCACTCACAGGCTAAGGGTGCTGCTTACCACGAACGTAAGGCTGCTGCTACCAAGCTCCGTGCAAACGCTTTCAAGGATGCTCCACAAAACGCTAAGCTCGCTGAGTTCGGTTACTAATTGTGTCTATTTAAAGCTTTTTATAACATGAAGGGCGCTTGGTGCTGATTCTTTCAAATTTTACACTTTCCATCACCATTCAAAGTTGAATTGTGTGGTGAGAGTGGTGTGGTGTGATTTGGTGATTACCTCGTGTCTATTCAACTATGTCATTTGCATTTGCGCTTAAGCAGTATACACTCAAAGACCCAGAGTCTCTGCCCAAATCAGAGGTACTCTTGTATGACGACAAGACTGTGACTATTCATGATAAGTGGGTGTCCAATCATTTGGTTTCTTTACGTGGCTTATGAATAGAGCAGATTTCCAAAGGTGGGTGACTCAGCAAATCACTATCCGCGCTCTTGTTCACCTCAATCGCAGGCCAAGTACCACTTTCTCATTCTCCTCAGGCAGCCGTTTAACATCAGATCCCTTGACCATCTTCTTTCGCAGCCTGACGACGTGATCAACGCAGTGCTCGATGCGTTCGACAATGACGTAGAAGAAACGATACGAGAGGAACAACTGCGTGAGTATGGAACGCACTGGGGAATCAGAAGAGGATTCCACGCTGTACCATCGATGGACAGCATCCACTTGCACGTCTTTAGCAATGATTTGGTGTCAGATAGATTGAAGAACAAGAAACACTACAACTCATTCACGACAGGCTTCTTTGTGGACTTTGGCCAAGTCACTGAAGCTGTCGAAGAAGGCAAAAAAGATGTGAGTGTGTACACGCACCTAGTCTAACTAACAGGTGCCATAGCAACTACGACAATCCCTCCGAGCCAAACAAGAGCTGTTAAAGAGCCCACTAAAATCGCACCACAACGGCAAGATATTCGCCAACATGCCTAAATTGAAGCAGCACCTCTTTGAGCATTTCCATAGGACTATATTGACAAAGTGACGTAATCTGTGCAATTAATCTTATGTATAATCTCCATCACTTGGGTTTATCGAGAGCTCTATTGAACCCGCCTACACGATTCATGTATTGTCTATAAGTACGCGGCTGGTGTACTTTAGCCGCGCCCTCCTCATTTCCAGACACCTTTTTGCCCTTTAATTTGTAAGAGAGTGTTATTCAGTCAGTGAATCTCGTTGCTCACCTTGGTTGAATCGAAACCACCGAAACCCATCATCTGCTGCATTGCCAGGGTATCTTGATCGACCTCGTCGTCGTCCTCCTCCTCTTGGTCCTCTGGTTTCCGCTGCTCTGCGTCTTTGGCCTTTCTCTCGCCCTCCTCGATGGCTCTATGCTCTTCTTCAACCCGCTTGCGCTCTTCTTCAGCTTCCTTGGACTGGATCTGTTTCAACATACGCTCACGATCTGCTGCCGAGCCGTCGCGTAGATCTAAACCGCCTACTTTGTGGTGGCTGGTTTCTGCGCGAGTCGGTCTGTGCCGTGGAGATCTACTCCTGCGTCTGCCGCCCCTGCTGTCCGCATCTCTAACATCTCTGCGACTCCTGCCATCCCTAATATCCCTTTCAGCCCGCCAATGCCGTTCATCTTTATCGCTGCGACGATCATCTCTACTGTTGCGACCATAGCGCCTGCCATCTCCGCCATCTCCGTAATCCAACATGATGGTAACTGAAATAACACGTTGACCAGCAACCATCACGATGAAAATACCCGAAATTATTTCAATTTTGATAATTGCCAGTATAGCACTAGCAAAATCAGCTCTACTATCTAAATACGATAGTTTAGCCCAAAATCAAGCTGGTGTTGTTAAATTGGACGATTTGAGCTACAACGAGCTTATAAGGACGCCTGAGAGGGACTTTGGTGTGGCAGTTGTGTTAACGGCGATGGATGAGCGTATGAAATGCACTCCTTGTCATAAGTTCGCGCCGGAATTCCATTTACTCGCTAAACAAGCTAAAGGGAGAAGATCAACCAATAAGAACTCAATCGTATTTGCAAGTCTCGATTTCATGGACGGTCAGCGCACTTTTAACGATCTAGGCTTGAATACCGCGCCTTCTCTCTTCTATCATCCACCACATCAGCTCAATGGACATCTGTACGACTTTAACAGGAATGGTTTCCTCGCTGAACGTTTAGTTGCCTTCTTAAACACTCACTCTCCCACTAAATTCGCTTTCAAACGCCCTGTCGACCACACAAGCACGGTTATTGCCCTTGTCCTCCTTACAATCCTCGCAGTATTCGCAAAGAAGAACTGGAATACCTTGACTAAACCTTTCATCTTCTCCAAATGGTCCTGGTGTATGCTCACTCTCATCATCATCCTCACTATGACTTCTGGTTACATGTGGAATCAGATACGCAAACCTCCACAGATGGTGATGACTAAGAATGGCGCTCAGTACTTTGCAAATGGAGTCACCAACCAGTATAGAGCAGAGACTGTTATAATTGGCACTATTTATGCTCTTCTAGCCAGCACTATCGTCATTCTCACCATTTCTGTTCCCAAAATACAAAACACTGGCAGACAAAGAGCTGCTGCATACTTATGGACACTAATACTCATTGTCACATTCAGTGTGCTCGTTTATATATTCAAAATGAAGCAGCCCATCTATCCATTCAGGTTGTTTGTGTAGATTTACTGTGGCGTTGTCGTTGTCGTTGGCATTATGGCATTATATCATTGTGACATTAAAATAAATACACTTTTTGACTCTACTCGACTCTACTCTACATCGAAGCATTTGGATCACCATTAACCCGCGCCCAGAACATGTTTTGCTTTAGTTCCACTATCTGTCTCCATCTAGCCATCTCCCATGTTTCTGTTTCTGTTTCTATTTCCTTTTCTGCTGTATCGCTGAGTTGCAAATCTAGTGTGTTCTGGGTGAGCGTGGTGTTCGAGTCAACACTTTTATCCGATTTGTCGTCAGAGTTTTGCCTGGCAATATTCTCTTGATTCTTATTTTCACTCCCCTCCTCGTCCTCCTTGTCGCGCTGAGAAGGTATCGATGGAGGTGCACCTGTCACCGTGCCCTTCCGTCCCCTGCTTCTCCTTCCGCGCTTGGGTTTCGGTGGTGGCTGCTGAGGGTTAGACAAGACAAGGTGAGGATGGTGGGTGTCGTCTTGTGTGTGTGTATGATCGCTGCGACTGCTCTCGTCAATATGGTCATCGACACGACCCGCAATATCGTGTGTTTCCCTAACCCCCTTCTTTGTCTCATCAGGCAATTCAGTCTTGTCAGCGTGCAGAGGGGACGGGGAAGCGGAAGATGGAGCCGACACCGATGGGGTAGATCTAGCATACTGGAAAGCACCCCAGAACGATCTACCTGTTGCTGGGGGTGGAATAGTAGGAGAAGGATTAGTATCTCCACTGAGTCCATCTCCACCTTTTCGACCGCTCTTCAATCCCATCCTGCCTATAGATGCATCAAACGCCTCCCTAGTCTGACATCCCGCTGGTGGGCAGAATGGGGGTTGCATAGTAACGACAGATGCCTGCAGAGCGCGCACGTACCGCCACAACTCGCACGCAGCACGCAGCCGCGGTACCGCCCAGCCTGCATCGACGGGATAGCGGGTAGCTGTGGGGCTAGCGGAGAGTCTGAATACGTGTATTGCGCTCTCGCCTGTACCTGCATCTGCATTTCCACCTGCACCCGTTGAGGCAGGTCGGCTGCTCCCCCTGCCGCTCCCACTCCAGCTGAAGAAAGAGGACTGGGACGCGCTCCCTTTGTGACCACCTTCGCCGTCGCGCACGGGTATGAGCACACGACCTGACAATGCACACTCGGTTCCGGGTGCAAACTCGGCGCCGCGAGCAGGCTCTAGTTCGAGCGTGCCCTCTGTCACCGCTGTGAGCACCTTACCGCGTGTGAGGAGGCCAAAAGCGCGTGAGAGGTCGAGGCGCAGCGTTGGCTCAACGTCTTCTTCAAGCAGTCGGCGCAGGAAGGCGTGTGAGAGGTCGAGCGGGAGGAGTTGGGAAGGAGTTTGAGACTCACTCGCTCTCTGCCGCACACTGGCTGCGCTTGCCAGCGTATGCAGGTAGCTGATGAATTCCAGGTAGGGGATATGGGTGTGCGTGAGAGTAGGAACGGGAGTAAGAGTTGGTTTGAGATTGGAATCGGAAGCTGCAGGTGGTTGGAGGGCGCCGTTGCTACTTTCACCCCTCTCTACCCACTCGCTCATCTGGCGCTGGGTGACTCGGACAGCTTCCTCAGCCTCAACGAGCCTCTCTTCAGCTACACGGCGTCGATCCGCTTCCTGGGCTTTGAGCAGTCGTTCGACGCCAACCATGCGGTTAGCCTCTGCGAAGAGATTAGCGCTGAGATCATCGAGGTCCTGCTCGATAGCTGCCTTGTCTTGTCGCGCTAGCGTAGCTTTTTGGGTTTCGGTGACGATAGAGTCAACCATATGTGTGAGCTCGTGCATTACATTCTCGCGCTCAACGAGCGTGCCGTTGTCGAGACTCGTCTTCACAGCCGCTGTCTCCTTCTCGAGCGCGGTAATGCGGAGTTGATGGTGGTGGTGCAGCGTCCGCGCCTCATCAAGCTCTTGCTGGAGATTGTCTGATTTGTCGAAAGTATGGACTAGCTTCGCGTTGAGACTGTTGAGCTGGCTGGTAAGCTCATCGATCTGCGCACGAAGAGAGGCAATAACTAGTGCATGGGGATTGGATGCTGCACGTGCTGCTGTTTTATCAATATCTTGGTTTAACAGACTTGTACTTCTTGATGAGTGTGGTTGTGCAGCTGGTATGTCATCTGGACTGGGAATGACGTGAATGTCGTTTGCAGCAGGAGATCCCTGGATAGCCTCCGAATCGTGAGCAACCTCGGAATCCTCGCCGAGATGATCGCCGTGATCTTCGTTGTCGTCGTAGTCCTCATTGTCATCGGCGTAGTCAGGGCCATTATCAATCAGGCTGGGTATTGAAGAGGATGTCTTGATATTTTTTTAGAAAATAAAACGCGCTTTAATTTATAACACACCTCCATTGATGACACTTAGCATTCAACTATCAAGTTAGAATGGAAAATGTAATCACGTTGACAAATAAAAATGAAATAAAATCAAATTTAAATAATTTGGATAAATTAATTGGTAGTTTGGAAGGCTTGAGGGATTTGGCATCGGCTTCAGATTCGGCATCAGTTAACCCAGCCACCATTGCAAATGACATCACTCAGATAAATGAAAATAATTTGGATAACTATAAGTTAATAAAACGTATTGACAAGTCTTTGAATTCACAGCCTCAATCTACAATTCCCACTGTAGACTTCAACCACGATTACAACCTAAACAAAGCTATAGCTGCTTACTTATTGAGATTAGGATGGTTGGACGTGTTTAACGACTTCTGCAGCGTTTATAAAATCGCATTTGAGCCCAGTTACATCAACAAAATAACATCCTTAAACACAATCATAAATCAACTCAAATCTAACAATCTCACATCTGCTCTGGATTGGGCTAATCATTACCAACATCCTCTCAATTCCCCTCTCCTTTTCTACCTACACCGATCAAAATTTTCACAATTCAATTCCTCCCTAGACAGCCTCAATTACTTCAAACAAAACTTATCACCCTACTTATCATCACCACAATTTTCTAAACCTGCTAGCTCCCTTTTAGCTTCACTTGCCTTCAAAGATCTCGCTAACTCACCTTACTCTTATCTCACAACAGATGCAATTCACTCAAATTTACTCGTACCTACATTTGAACACTCCTGGTGCACAATCAACGACATCCCGAAAATTGATCATCTCAAACTCACTCTAGACATCGGCGGTGGTTCTGCTCTCCCCATTCTTTCACGATTCAATCAATTGATACAGAAAACACGCACAGAATGGTCTCAATCTGATGAATTACCTGTACAAGTACCTCTACAAGACAAATACAAATTTCATAGCGTATTCACCTGCCCAATTAGCAAAGAACAGACAACTGACACAAACCCACCAATGATGCTATCATGTGGGCATGTTCTAGCCAATGATAGCTTATCCAAGTTATCTAAAGGCGGTGGTAGAGTTAAGTGTCCTTATTGTCCTGCTGAATCTCAATCCTCTGCTGCGTTGAGATTGTATTTTTAGTTCTTGTCATCTTGCTACACAACCAATTCAACTAGATTATCTGTAAAGTTCTTCCCTCTTGTGGTATTGTGTAGTGTAAATAAGTTATCATAAAGCACTTGAGCGGTATTGAGTGTTTTATGCACATCAATCGTACCACTAAGGTCATTGCAATATTTGAGCATTTCATCAAACTGTCTTTGTGAGCAAGGATGTGGTTGAGGTGATAATTAAAACGCACCTCCATTAAATATCTCAGAATGATATCGCGATGTGACTCAAGCACAGCAAGTGCGACGAATAGTTCAAATTGTTGTTGAACAGGGCGAGTGAAGAGTGCCTAAGAAAATTATTGATATAAGTGAGTGTGTAATATTTACCAACCCCAACTCACCTCCCACAATGTGATAATATCACTAAACAAAAACTCCCTCTTGAACATCACCAATATCCACCTAAAGCAGAAGAACATATTGAGGTTGTCACTCTGTTTAAAGTGTTGGTAGAGTTGTGGATCCATCACTCTAATCAAATCTTGCAGCGTTATTAATTTCCTCGACATGCCTTTCTGATCAGCTGCGAAATTCTCCTTGGTGCGGTTCATCAAGTTGACAAAAAGCCAGAACGTAGTTGATTCATTAGCCTCGCTGATAACGTAAAGAGGAGCGATAAGATCAGACATGCCCTGGACATATCCCAATCCTTTTTCGTAGAAATTGTATGTGAGAAGGATACCCTGCAGCTTGCGAACGTGGACATTGCTATAAGCCTGTGATGAGCCTTCTTTGCTGTCGCTGTGTTTGTCCTCACTGCTATCACCACTCCCACTCGTACTCCCATTCTCACCCAACTCCGCAATACCCAGTTTGAGCTCGTTGAGCTCACTGTCGCTCTTGGCAAAGAGAGGGACATTTCGATCAGTGCGCAGGCAATCGACGCGAATGCGATGACGCTCTTCGGTAACTTGTTTATCGTGGAATACATCGAGATTCTTCCACGTGCTCTTCAGCTGTACATACTGGGTATCCAAGTCATCCCAAGCAGATTGCCTGTCTTGATGCGTTGTATCCCACGGTATAACGGAGAGAATGAATGGCCAGATAAGACTCTTAGCGGTACTTTCAGTGCCCCTTCTAAAAACACGCTCGCGCATCTCCGACTCACTAATGAGGGGCTTGCCAGTATGATCGAACCAGGCTGTACACTCTGGGAGAGTGATTGGATGAGTTGGATCTCGTGTACACCTTTCTGAGGAAACGTTGAGTAGCTGGAAATTACCTAAATCACTCTCTACACTGCCGTCAACTGTTTGTATATTTTCGTCCACTGAGTTACTTGATGGTCTCATTACTCCTACTCCCTCTCTCCTCTCACCCCCCTGGCCACTATTCCTGTCACCCTCTTCAGCCACTTTGCGCGCCCATTTGGCTAGGTAGATGCGAGCGCTGTCGTATTCACCTGCGTGACTGCGTCCAGCAACTGCTCTGCTCTGCACGGGAGTCGGGAGGTGTGGAAGGATTGGTTGAGCGAGTGGGTGAGACAGAATATTATGAGCAGTTTGTTTTGAAAAGCGGGAAATGTTTGCGAAGCTTGTAAGGGTATTTTGATATACTGAAGTGAAGTTATTCACAGCGGGAGTTGCATCAGCGACATTATCTGGAAAGAAACCTTTCATAGTAGTAGTTGAGTTGTCGCGTTGGTGGGAGTTGAAGCGTGTAGAAATGCGTTGAGAGTGAGTTGATTGTGGGTTTAGAGCATAGTGAAGGAGTGATTGTTGCGTCGGTGGTTGTGACTGTGGCTGTGGCTGTTGATGAAAAGTTTTATCGATCGGATTAGGATCAACGAGGAAAAGGTTGTTGGTGATTTGAGATTGCAAAAGAGATATATAAAGACGAAGACAGCTTATAAACTCATTTCCACCCCAAGTGCCTCGTGTTCTAGGTATCGATGATGACGTAATTTCGTCATCATGGAAGTGCAACACAGGGAGAGTAACACCGCCTTGAAGATTAATAGTAACAGTACCATACCAATTAGAAATAGAAGGAGGATTAAGCATTATTGAGTATATGTCAGAAATTGGATAATTGAAGGCGTATGAATCGTTTATGTGCGGTGGAGGATTAACAATAACTTCAATCTTATTGGTTGATTCAACTAAGACAAATTTGTCCTCTTCATCCAGTTCCTTAAGGATTGTCTCTGGTAACCAGCTAATCGTTATAGAGTCATTGGGATCTTCAACCAAAGCTAAATTCCCCGGTATTTTACATTTTGCGGTATTTATATTCACTTTAGATTTTGAGTAGAGTAATTTGCTCATTCTCGGTGATGGTCGCTCTGGCTGCTTCTAATCAACCACTTAGAACGACGTAAAGCAGAAAATATTCATGGATTTATACTCAGTTGATGCCGATATTGCCGAGATCAAGAGGTTAGATAACTCTATCAACCACCTTATCCGTTCCAACAGCGAGCTACTCACTTACTTACCAAAGACAACGAATCTGCAATCTCAATTTGACGGTGGCTTTGACAGCCAATCGATTGGCACACGCGACGCTGAAATTGCTGCCTCTGAAGATACACAGCAGCTGCGCGTAGTTGACGACGATTCTGATGACGACTACTCCCTAATCACCAACACCATCAAAGAGAACGAGTACACCATCTCTAGTCAGCGAGAACGCGTCGCTTTACTCAAATTCAAGTTGAATGGTGGTGAGAACGAGCAAAACAAGCACGACGAGCACGAAAAGCACGAAAAACACGAAAAACACACTAAGAATACAGGCGTATCTCTCTAATCTCTGTAATTATCTTTACTCAACTGTACAACGTGAAAATTATCCGAGACATCTCAACTCCTAAACACCACTATCCGTGATCTCCACCTGGATTCCGTTTCCTGTATGTGCCTGACTATCTCCCATCAGCCACTTGGTAACAAAGTTATCCTCTGAAGTCCTGTTGTCGCTTCTATACGGTGAAGTAGCTGTTGGCGTTATGGGTGTGGTGATGGGTGTAGCCCCTGGTGTGCTCATTTCCGTAGGTGAATGTGTATGTGTGTAGGTGTACCGAATTGGCCTCTCCTTCTCATCCGCATTATCCACTTCATCCATCTCATCACTGCTGCCTTGCTGCCCAACGAGATGCGGAAGGGATGATTGTGAGCTGGCGTGGTCGATCTCGACGGCTTGCCTGGAGGGGGATTGAGTGTGTTCATCATCGTCCTCCCTCCTATCTTCGCTGATAGACATGGGAATGGCACTGGCGCTAACAATCGCGCTCCCAGTCCCGCTCACACCCACTTCATTGATATCCGCATGGTGGCTCAGCTCGCCGGTGCTCTGTTGCGGCTGCATTGAGGCTCTTGACGCGCCTGACATCCTTGCACTGGCTGAGCTGCCTGACACACCTGACGCCCCCGATACCACCTCACCCTCAGCCCCATCCTCTTCCTCTTGCGGCATGGCTACCTTCACGCTCTTGAGGAAGGCATCGAGGTACAGCCTGCATTCGTCAGCCGTCTGTGCATGTGCAAGTATGTTGTGCATCTTGACAAGTGTACCTTTGTGTATATATGCATCATCCGTGTCGCGTGTGTGCTGAGAGTAGGGTGTTTGACTGCTTGCCCTGCTGGCTGTCTGCACAGCTGTGCTGTAGCGTTCGTTGGTGGATGTGCTGTCGTGCTTATCTTTCTCGGTTTGTGAATCGTTCTTCTGTGTCTGTTTCTGGGTCTGGGTTTGGGTCTGTTTTTGATTGTGCTGCTGCGCCCCATTGTGTCCCCTTCCCTCGTTCGCCCGCTGCGTCATATGCCTCTCTCCACCTTCAATCTCTTCTCCCACTTCTCCCCCACTGTCCAGCGCTGGGACAGGTTTGCGGATTGGCGACGGCTTCCCGTCGCGTCGTAGACTCTGGGAGGTGCTGTGCGACCGACTGCACGGGCTGTGTGTGCCGTATACCTCTTCCGCCTTTGGACTGCTGGGTCTGGTATATGAGGGGAGTGATGGCAGCGGTGGAGTGAGATTGGCGGAGGCGTTAGTGTTATTGTTATTGTTTGTGTTGGTGTTTGCATTCGCATTCGCATTTGCACTTCCATTTGCGCTGTTCAAATTCAAATTCTGATGCGTAGACTGCGTTCGTCTCAGCACAGCCGCTGCGTACTGATCTGCAATCGCAGAACTCGTGCTTGCGATCGGTAGCTGCTGCTGTTGAGACTGCTGCATATGCACATACGACGCCGGAGATACTGACGCCGACAACGATAGCTGAGGAGAGGGCGATCTGGTGAATGATGTCGACATGGGCAACGGTGACTGAATCGGAGGAAGTTTTTCTGTTGTTTGCGTTGGTGCAGGTGCAGGTGCAGGTGCAGGAGGTGTATGGCCATATCCATTCGTCAGTATTGGCGGTGGACACGACGAGTTTGACACTCCAATCCCTGCTCCTGCTCCCGATCCCGCTTCCTCCGAATACGCTGACTGCCTGTCTGGCTCCGAATAGCGCAATGTGGAAAAACTAGATTTGGGTGCGGTGGTTGTGCGCGCATTGCTCATTGCACTTGTGTGTCCTAGACTGGTACTGCGCGCACTGCTCACGCTTCCCGCGCCGCCCAATCCATTCAGACCGTTACTCGATGCTGCAGTGTGGAGGACAGACGCAGGAACGCTAATTTTATTCGCCGTCTTCTTGTTATTATGGCTCTCGACGCTACCGCTGCCTGTACTGGCCACACTTCCACCACTGCCACCACCCCCTTTGCCCTTGAAAATGCTCTTGAATTTGTTGGTGCTCTTCTTCTCGTTCAATGGCTTCGGTGTTCCGCCGGGCGGTTCTGTGTTGAGGAACGCTATGAGGTCGCGGCTGAAGTTGGACAGTCCTGGTGTGCGTCCGTGCTGCTCGTCGTCTACGGACGAAGGCAGGCTGTGGTGTGATTGGTGTGGGTTATGAGGTACACGCCCACCGCCGTTTTCCCAGGGCGGTGTGCTATTGAGGAAATCGATCAGCGACTCCTTCTTGTTGGGTTTTCTGCCGATTTCTTCACTGAGCGAGTCCACTTCATCGGAATCGTCCAGCTCGTGATCTTCATTGAGCGTGTCTATGGTGTGTATAGTGTTTGCCGCGTGCGCGTAGCTCATATTGCTTGCTTTCTGTGTCTGAGTCGTCGTCAGCATCGTCAACGGTCCCCGCACAGACACCACCAACTCACGTGTACTGTCGTAGGTGTTAATGATAGTTTCACCGTATCCTTGTTATTCAAAATGTTGTCGAATATTTTCTTGTCCGTGCTTTCTGTTTCACACTGCGAGTCTGAGTCAACTCTAACTTGGTCGTGGGTGTCGAGAGGAACGAGCTCCACTTACAATTTCCGGAGTATTTTTTAATTTCCTAAGATAACTGGAGGAGCGTCTGCCAGCGATAGTGGTACTGTCTGTGCTGTCCCTGCTATCCCTGCTAGTTGCGCTGACTGGTGTGTGCAGACCACTGAACAGCCTAGCGCCGATACTTGAAGAGTGTCTATGCATTGTATTTGATTGGGCTGTATCTATAGATGGTGGCCTGCTTTTACCAACTCTATTCCCTTGCGTCGCCTGCGATATCCTGCTGATCGCACTAACTTGACTCGTTATCGACCGCCTTCTCTCCTCCGCCTGATTCACTTTCAGCTCAATCTCATCCTTCATCAGCATCCCCTGTATAACGCTGTTGACGTGATCATTCTCTGCGTCGCGCGTCAGCTCTGCCCACTCCCGCCAGCAGTCTCACCACCTTGTATTGCATCGTAGAGGTCTTCGAGACGCGCTTCATGTTTGGTACTCGAGCGCACAACGACCGTTGCGATATCCGCGCATATCGTCTCCGTCACGCACTCCAGCACCCCCGACATGTATATCCCCGCAACTGGAATGCTCCCCAGATCCAGCACGTGGTTACTAAGCGATTCGTACAGCTTGGTCTCGAGCGTGGCTGCTAGTGTGAGTGACTGCAGTCCCGGATCCGAGTATTTGGATTTGAGGATGGCGTTGTACCGCAGTGTCTAAGGTGTTCATTAGAGTGCTGCAATGATGCAATAGTGCAATAGTGCAATATCAGAGACATCAACTTACATTAAACGCGTCGTCTAGTGGGAACTGCCCTAGTTTTCCATTTCCGTTCTCGTTACCTCCGCCGCTATAATAACTCCCCAACGGATAGCTCACTTGGAGCTTCATTTCAGCCTCGGTAATGGCATTCTGTCCAAAGCTCACGCCTATGACGTCCAGTATCGCTCTGCGTAGGAGTGCAAGTCTAAAACTGTGTGCATGCGCCAACACCCTCGCCAATATCTCATCGAGCAGACTGTTTAACGTCGCTAGACACTCGAGCGATACTCCTACACTGCGCACGTCTGAACATAGGTGCGATGCTGCATTGCGCGAAACAAACGTCGCTTGTGTTTGCCTTACTCTTTCTAAAGGTATCTGTTGGCTCATGATCGTTATTACTTATGCTCAATTCTATAAGGAATGTGACTTTCTTGGGTATACGTCAACTGCCTGTCAAATAGTCCATGACATGGCTATTTCCTGTCGTGTCCCTTAATACAATCAGCTGCTTGGTGGGCATTTCAGCGTATAATTTCCTGCATTTGTATTCTTTTTGATTCTAAATTTTCACCGGTATGAAGGGAACGCGCTGCGAAGGAAATTGAGGTCTTTAAGCATTTAAGACAGCCTCGATAATCTGACACGTACCTCACTTTTCTCATTAAAGGCTGCTTCATCTCACTACCATAGAGGTTCACCTACTGGGCCTCTTTGCTCAAATCATCACAACATAAAAACCAAAACCAGTTCATCAAAAATTTTGTACCTTAATAACTAGCATACATATTTCTTCACTCCCCTGATATTTTCCTCCTGCCTACATAGGTAATTTCTGACGCGTAGATGACCGAGACGCGTCTATTGATAAACACGTAGAAACCATAATGACTATTCAAGATAAGATAAATACAACAAGTTATTATACAACTAGGTCTTCCATCTATCAATCAAACCCACCAACTCTTGCATACGCCTTTCAATCTGTTTGCGAACTATATCGCGCATCTCATCATTGACCCCTTCGAGCTTATTGAGCTCTTCAGGCTCAGCCCGCGCAGGATCAACAGCCAGCTTAGTCCCATCGGGAAGGGGAATGAATAGGGTAGCTGTGTCGTGAAGATATCTCGTTTCGTTCTTAGTGGATGCATTCGGAAGGTCGATATGATCGATATTGAGATCCGATATGCCATTCCCCACTAACTGTATAGATGGACGTCGTTTGATAGTGTGATGTGTTGAGGTATTGTACATACCAGCCCTCACTTCAGCCTCCACCTCAGCCTCATCGGGCAAATCATCATGTGTAGTGAGAGTGGGGTTAAAAGAGGAAGAAGGCATATGAGAATCTTCATCTTCACTATCTTTCACCGCACTGACACCATTTCTGCCCTTAGTTTTTGATCTCGTTGAGCGTGTACTGCGTGCAGAAGGTGTTTTAGCAACTTTCTTTGTATTCTTCCGACTAGTTTTCTTCTCAAGCTGTGGACTCTGACTGGGATCAATACCATCGCCGTCCTTGTCCACCCGCTTCCGTTTCCGTGCAGCTTCCCACTCCTCCTCGCGGTCATTGTCTTCAAGATCATGAGTGGCGTCTTTAACGCCCTCGCCGCGGACAGCGCGTACGAGATCACCGCCGAATTTGTCCTGAAATTCACCCAGGGTGAGGTTGTGCAGTGCTTTCGGGACACTTGCGAGAATGGAGAGAGAGCGAGCTGTGAAAGCGCTTAAAGATCTATCGAGGTGTAGCTTCATTGCTTTGCGCTTGTTGTCGACTGCGTGCGGTGTTGGTGAGCTTTGTGTGCCATTCACTGCACCGCTACACACTCACCATCTAATAAATATGATTGCAATATCGCATCAGATTCATCTTCACTAAACGCTTGCGCCTGCGCTGTCCAATTCGATTTTGACTTGTCTGGCGTTGCGGTTACCGCAACCGCGTTGCGCATCATGATGGGTGGAGCTTACAACGCGTTAATACAGAGTTGAAACTGAAATTCAAATAAATTTAAATTTATAAATTAGTATTCATCTATTACATCCTCTTAAATTCCCATATTTCAGTCTCATAGCCTCGTCTGCCGCATCCAATAGATTTGAGGTGAGTCGATTTGAGATTTATTTGGCTAGCATGATCCCAGAAGGTGTCTTCTTGATAATCCCTATATTTGTGCGCTAGAATTAGCTTGGTTGATGGATTCGCGGTGAATAAGTTGGATAAAGTGTTTCGCAGAAGTTGGAACGATGACATATTGTATGTAATGTCGGCAGCAATAATGATATCATACTCTACACTCTCAAGCGAGCTATTTGATCCCCAAGACAGCTCTTTTGGTTGTATTTCAATGTTTTTGTAAAGGTGAGCGTTTCTCTTGGTATTGCTCCGAAGAAGGGGTATAGCGCTGTTTAAATCAGTTGCAGTGATTGTGTGCGACTGTTTAGACATCTGTGATAGCAGAGTTGCGAGAGTAATTGATACAATTCCTGTACCTGTACCTAATTCAAGTATTTTCAGTGATTTTGAGAGGTCTAAATAGGTATTTAAACAGCTAATCAGGTCTCCACTTAAAGCCAATCCACTATCCCATAACTTTTTATCCAAATCGAACGACGTGTGTTCAACAATGTGTAATTGCTGCGTGTTTACAGTGAAAGAACGCTGTTGAAGGTATTGAGCTTGATTTAAAGAAGAAGGGAGTGATTGTAATGGGATTGGGTGTTGCAAATGTAACACATCCTTCAAATTTGGCTTGATTGATGAGTTTTTCGTATAAATGAGTAGACTAAAGGTGTCTGAGGGGCTTAGACCTGCAACAGAGAGAGGAAGATCAATAACTTTATATCCATCACGTGAAGAAGCGTAAATTAAAACGTTATCCAGTTTTATTGGTTTTGATTGCCGATTGTGAATCAAAACAGCTGCATTGATCTGAATAGGATTTGTGGGTTCCAAGAATTCAGTTCTAAGGTCATTAGATATTGAAACAGAGAAGACTAAGCTTCCATTTAAAATTCTCGGATATTTGATGAAATGAATGAAATTGATCATCGCAGGTATTCACCATCATGAAGTTGATTGAGGCATCACATAATTATTTAGATAAGCTTTTAAATGACGTCATTGGAATTAAATCGCTTTTACTTGATAGCACCACGATAAGCTACATAAGTTCAATTACCTCACAAACCAATATACTCAACAAGGAAATCTATTTGATCGATAAGATTGGTAATAGGAATAGACAGCGTATAAGTCATTTGAAGTGTATTGTCTTCGTTACTCCAACTGCACAATCCATAGACAACCTCTGCTTGGAACTATCGAATCCACTCTATTCGCAGTACTACTTGTACTTCTCAAATACTCTCACCAAATATCAAATTGAGATTCTTGCTTCATCAGACACCTACTCTGTTGTTAAGGAATGTCAGGAGTTGTTCCTAGACTACTTAACTCTCAGTGACTGTCTTTTTTCACTCAATTTCATTCCAACGAAGCACAATCTATACTCAACTAACCCTGATGCTTGGAATAATCACTCTTTGAACTCAACTACAAACTCACTTACAGCTCTCCTTCTCTCTCTCAAACGCAAACCAATCATTAGATACCAATCATCTTCAAACCTCTGCAAATCATTGGCTGATTCAATTACCCACAATATCAATACAGAGTCTCAACTATTCAACTTTAGGTCTTCTCAATCCACCCCCACCTTACTCCTATGCGACAGAACAAACGATCCTGTCACTCCACTTCTCTCTCAATGGACATATCAAGCAATGGTACACGATTTGATCGGTTTAGAAAATGATAAAGTGGATTTACGCGCTTTTGACAACATTTCTCCTTCTCAGAAGCAACTTCTTCTATCTCTCACTTCAGACAACGACTCATTCTACACCCGCAACGCTTTTGCAAACTTTGGTGACTTGGGTGCAAATGTCAAGCAATATGTCAGTGATTATCAAGCCAAGATAGGTGGGAATGACAGTGTAAAAAACATTGAAACTATCAGCGATATGAAAAAATTCGTTGAGTCATACCCGGAGATGAAAAAGCTAGGCAACAACGTCAGCAAGCACGTTACGTTGATTGGGGAGCTATCTAAACTTGTTGATGATAAGAAGTTGCTACAGGTGTCTGAATTAGAGCAGTCGCTCGCTAGCAATGAGAGTCATTCATCGGATTTGAGGGTGTGTACAAGGAGATATGCAGTTCGAATATGCTCTCACACTAACGACTAATCACCAGGCCATCAAAGAAATGATAGACAGCCCCGATATACCACAAGAAAGCAAAGTGCGTCTCTCTATTCTCTATGCACTCCGCTATCAGAAAATGCCATCGAATGCTATCCAGGCGGTAGTATCGCAACTGTTACAGCAAGGCATCCCACAGCATCGGGTTGCGTTGGTATATGTGATGCTAAACTTAGCCGGAGCGGACAAGCGACAGGATGATTTATTCATGAATGACAATTTCTTCAGTCGGGGCAGATCGGCGTTGAAGGGATTACAGGGGGTTGAGAATGTGTATACACAGCACACTCCGCATCTCTCCCAAACGGTAGATCTGCTAATGAAGGGGCGGTTAAAAGAGAGCAGCTATCCTGCCATGGCGCCTTTCTCGCCAACGCAGCAACAGCCTGATGCTAGTGTGTATACTTACAGACCGCAGGAGGTGATAGTCTTTATCGTCGGCGGCACGACTTATGAAGAGGCTCGCAGTGTGACGCTGCTTAATGAACAGATGGCTAAAGAGGGAAGTGCGTCGAGGGTTATCCTTGGTGGGAACACAGTCCTTAACAGCCGTCAATTCCTCGATATGATGGCTGACGCGGCGACACACTTCGCGCCTACCGTGTACAAAGCGCCAACGAACACAGGTAATGCACAGAACCAGCAACTCTTGGGCAATGTCCCCGACCTCGATATTGATCCTGAGAGGTTGGCATCGGCGGCCAAGTCGTGGATACAGAGGGTGCGCGATGACATAGAGGACAGGATAATGATTTGATGTGCGTGTGTGTGTATATGTTATATGTATATGATAGGTTCGATACATGTGCGCATTACATTTACATGCCCATTATGTCTAGATACCCTTCATAGCGGCTACGATGCTCTTGTGGACAGTGTCGCTGCACAAAGGCACAGGATGGCGCGGTTGAGGGTTGTGATAGGCGTATTTGCAACAAGCGGCCAACTTGATGCCGGGGATGCCACCCGTAGCTGTCGTGTCTTCCAACTCGGCCAGCTTCCTCTGCAGCTCAACGGCGCGTCGCGTGTCGCCGCCATCGTATGCTTCCTGTACAGCCGTCACGAGCTCGGGAGCGTAATTGGCAGCGCCTGTAATAGACCCGTGTGCACCAACGGACAAGGCGGCCACTAGGTAGTTAGACGCGCCTGCAAAGACGGCGAAATCATATTCATGTTGCGTCTGTGAATGTAGACCAGCCAAACGAGTCATCTTACCGATATCATGGTCTGTCTGCTTGATACCGACGATCTTAGGATGGGCGGCGAGGGTAATGAGAGTGTCAGTGCTCAACGTCACACCATTCGACACGCCCGGGAAGGAGTAGATGAGGAGGGGGACTGGGGAGTGTGTAGCCACTTCAATATAGAAATCAACCAACGCCGCTTGAGTGAGACTTGCTGCGAAATACGAGGGCGGGAGTGAAAGCACGTACTGTGCGCCGTTCTCGCCTGCCGATTTGGCCAGCTGGATGGCGTGTCTGGTGGATTGTGCGCCTATGCCTGCAAGCACTGGTACATGAGTGAAACCATGATCGTTGAGAATTTTCCTGACGGCTTGCGTGATGCTGCTTTTCTCGTCGTCATTCAAACTGACCCATTCGGCAGTACTGCCTTGGCATACTACACCTGCTACACCCGCCTTGACGATGTTGAGTGCATGTTGCGCAGTGGCTGATAAATCGACAGATTGATTCTGATCTTTAGCGTAGAATGTAGGCTGGCGGGGGTGTGAGTGGTTTGAGTGATTTGAGTGGTGTAACAGTTGCGCGTGCTTACGATTGGTGCGTAGTTTCCTCTTGGTAATGATAGCGTCATCTTGTTGACTTGATTCGTTTATTCGTTGATCGTTCACTTTACCCTCTCGTTCAAAATCCATTTATACCTGCGCACATCACATGTCGTCATCCAACCTCGCGCTATCTTTGCAGCGAGTGGAATTACCGAGTCGACTTAGCGAGTGGGTTCTGAACCCAAAATAAGATAGATCAATTCAATTTACACGCTTACGTGCTCACAACTTAAGTCTTGAGAATACACCCAATTTGGCATCATAACTCAACCAATTCCAAGCGTTATTTGTCCCGGGGTGTTTGCTGCTGATAGCGCTGATGACATCCTGCGCAATGAAACCACCGAGGGTGGCATGTACGGGAGCTATCGAGGTGTTGAGTGAGGGTATAAGCTGAGCTACGTCTGCCTTTGTGAATGGCAGTGGATTGTCATCAATTAAATCAGCATACTTGGCTTTATTGAGGAGGGTGTCGTAGAACCTGTCAACATCCTCACTCTCTGTTGTTACACTCCTCCTCTCGTTTTCTAGCCAACTCCACCACGCCATTACCAATAGCCATCCCCTCCATTTACCCAGCAAATCTCTTTTTTCGCGCAATTTACGTGTTTTGGTGCCAGGTTTTGATTGAGTAAGTTGGTCGAGAGTTTTGTGTACCATTTCACTCCCACTCGCGTCAACAGAACCATTCGTCACAATCACGTACCCAGCCAGTCCGAGAGTGCCAATCAAGTAGAGTGGTGTTAGTGGGTTGAGCTGTGAGTGGATGGCGTTGTAATTGTGTGGCTGTAGATCTGTAGCTATGACGATATTCGCTGTTTTGTACGCGTCCACAAGGTTACTGTAGCTGTCCACTGATTTAATTTCTACTTGCACGTGTGGATTGAGGTTATTGATATTTGATTTGAATGTATCCTCTGTGCTCTGTGTATTGTTCTCACCGCCGCGTATAAAAATGGCTGTACTTCCATCGACTTTTACATTATCCCAGTCGGTATGCTCCACTATAAGCGTTAACTTGCCTACACCGGCGAGTGTTAGATTCTTTGCGACTTCGCATGAGCATCCACGCAGAGCATTGACCAGTACAACGTGGCTACTGCGTATCTTGTTCTGTGCTGATAAACCCCATAGACGTATCTGTCTATCGTACAGGCTTGCTTCTTGGTTTGAAATTGAAGTGGACATGATGGATATAGAGGAAAGTGAATATATTCTACAAATAAGAATCTATAACTCAAATAATTTATTCGCTTGCTTTGTGTATTCACGGCGTATCTTTAGCGTGTTAGATGTGGTATAGGCGTACATCACAGCACCCCACTTACACCAGAGAAGACGTGTTCTTTTTCACCGAAATCTGCGAACAAGACGCACCAAGTTGCTGTGACTGTGGTGTGTATAAGCCCATGTCAAATACCCCCATATACACAACCACACCCACCACCTGAAATAGAAAATCCAATTATATTTACAAACTGGTTGAATTTCATCTGTGCGATCTGTCTAATCTACAAATATTTTTGATTTAAAGTACGGGTGTTCTAGCGCTTGATCTACTCGTATCCGCTCGTCTTGGTCGAACGTCAGCATCTTCTGCAACAAATCAATCAGCTGGAGTGAAGAAAGATCTCGTGCTTTTATTATCTGATCGATAGACTTCATCCCCTTTACCACTTTTCGCGATTGCTTTGTTGTATTCCCATTAGGATAATCGAGTTTCAATCCACGAAAATATTCAGGTTTCGCTTTCGACGCTTTCTTCTGGTAATTGAGTGGCATTGGACCCATGACCACCTCCATCATAGCCAAGTGTTCGAGGTTGTCGTGTGTCTGGAACAGCGCCTCCCCCGTCATCAGCTCTATTATTATACACCCAAGACTGAATACGTCGCAGGGATATGACCATCCAAGTCCTGTACATTGTTAACTAAGGTGTAAGCCTCTTGAAACAGCGAAACTCACCTAATATAATCTCAGGCGCCCTGTAATGTCGCGTGCTAACCACACTCGAATGATACTCAGATTCAAACGTCGCACTACCAAAATCAATCAAGCGTATATCAGTATTAGCGAGAATCTTCCGTTGGGGTTTCTTGTCGTTAGCCAATTCCATCTTGGATTTGTTGCTGACGAGGAGGATATTCTCTGGTTTGAGGTCAGTATGGACTAGTTTGAGTGTGTGTAGGTATGCGACGGATTTGAGTAACTGATAACTTATTTCCTGTATGTGTGTGGCGGGAAAGGGAGTGAATTTGTTCGATTTGAGGAAGTCATACACGGACTCGCTCAACAAGTCAGAAACGATGCAAATGTGATTCTTAAAGTCAAACCAATCAATCATCTCGATGCACTTGTGATCATTGGAGGGATCGTTATCGCGTAGTGTGCTCAAAACCCTCAATTCGATTCTACTGGCATCCCTGTACTTCTGAATGCTTTTGATAATTTTCACTGCGACATTTTTCCTAGCGAGTCTATCATAAGCCTCAACGACCTTACCAAAGGTACCTTGACCAAGAAGTCTCTGTATTCTATAACGCCCGTCTAATTCAACGTTTTCGAGTATAATCAAATGACCCTCCTTATCGTCACAAGGGACGGGCAATGGAGTGCAAGTGGGTAAAGGAGGTGTATTGCCGCGTACTTTCTTTCTCTTGGAGGGTGTTTTCGCTGGAATTGTGGTTGCCGATGCGTTGTTGTTGCTCGTTGAAGCTGCTGGCTGTCTCCTTTTGCGGGTGTTTGAAATTGACGGCTTTGAGGATATTGGTGTAGGTGCTGGTTGGGGTACTTGGGATACTTGGGATACTTGGGATACTTGCCCTGGGTTATCCCCCTCCTCCTCAGAATCATCAAGCGATATAACCTCCTTATCCTTGACATGCTTTACTGTATACCTCACTCTATTGCTGCTATTCTCATTTTCACTCCTCACTCTCACTGCTGGCTGCCTCATTCTTATTTCCCCTTTTCACGTGTATCCGTCCTAGTCGTTGTTGTCACGGTTGTCACGGTGTAAGAAATGGGATATAATTTATTTGGAGTTTGCAGATGGTTTTGTATGCAATATCTTCCTGGTCTAATATATCCTCTGATTCCCCCTCTATCTACCTGCGTGGATATTCACTCAACATTCTATTCACCTTGACTATCTTTTTCTCTATTCACTACAATATTACTAGTGTCTTGTTTAACTTTCTAGTGTCCACCCTTTCAAACCCTTTCAAGCTTCACTTGTACAAATCAAATACATTTATTCCGCTCTAGACAAAACTAATTCTACATCCACTTCCTTTGAATTACGCGATATGTTCGGTGTTGTCCTATTCGAGAGTGCTTCTTTGAGGTGGTACACATCAACGTGTCTGGTGTTGGATTGTTTGGTATGGTTGGTATGGTGTATTAAAACGTCTACCGCGCTATCCGCAACACCTTTGGCACCCGCATACATCCCCGCCGCTTCTACAGCATCATCGAAAGTCCACACCCTCTTCAATCTCTCATCCAGCTCCAGCCTAGAGAGACCAGTAGCTAGCAGCACGTGAGCATCACCGGCAAGTTCCTCAATCGCAGCCACCTCGTCGACGATCCCCGTCACGGTTCTGCTGCTCTCTCCGTCATGCACTGCATCCCAGTCGTCCTCGCTCGGGAAGAGGAGCGGGGGAGCTGGAGCGACGGTGAAAGACGGCGTTTCTGCTGGGTGCAGGTGTGGTGGAGTTCCTAGCACACTCCCACCCAATCTGTCCAAACCTTTTCGAGCAAGTTGGCGCACAGTCGCGTTGCCCCATCCTTCCCCTATCTCCATCCAGCAACGAGCGACAAGCTCGCGGATAGCGCGGCATTTGCACCGCTCGTCGACGGCCATGTTGAAGTCGGGGGGTTGTGTCATTCCATTCAAACTACTCCAACTCCAGCTCGCTTGGCTGCCCCGCCGAGACCCAGCTGTCTGGAGACCAGGCCCTAGCTGCACTTCCACGGCATAGCCATCGAGTGCGCGAAGGAATGGCACTATCGTTAGCAGCGTTTCTGCTCCTCCTCGCCGAAGTAGCGACGTTATCAGTCCTAGCAGGTGCGTATAGTCCGTTAGCGTCGCCGTGTTGCTCGGTAGAGAGGGTGTTGTGTGGCGGTGGCTTGCCATCTGCTTCAATCGTGCTAATGCGTTCAACGTGCTGTTGCTATTTTTCCGCTTGTGTTTGTTTACCTTGTTATTCTCATTCTCATCTTCCTCCTCGTTATCATCTTTCTTCTCAACCTCCTTCTCCTTCTCCTCCACACCTTTGCCCTCCCGCTCCTTCTCATAGCCATCGTCCGCCTCCTCGCCGCCGCCTGCCTCTTCCACGATGGGCACATCTGCAAGATTGCGACACGTTGCCAACACCCACATGGCAGCATGGAGGGCGGTGAGGAAGCAGTTCAACTTGGCGCGGTGGACGTGTATTGCAGCGAACTCGCCCTGCACGAATCCTGCCAAGGCGCGCACATACCCCGCGCGCACACTGTAACGCGGCTCTATCAGGAGACTGACTGTCGAGGCCATATCGGTGGGCGAGATGCGTGAGCGTGTGTGAGTTTGCTGTGAAAGAGGCGGATTTTGAGGTTGAGGTGGAGATGGAGGTGGTCGCGGTGCAATTGAGTTATGTGTGTTGAGTGTTGAGTGTGTTAAGTGTGTATCGGGTTTATCGCGTCCGTTGCTTGTCTCGCGTGCCTCTCGTCCATCTACGCCCCTTGCTGACACTAGCACCGCTCTCTCCTTACCCTTAGGCGAGGTGGGTGAGGCGGGGGACTGTAGCGAGGGCTGCAAATGTGAGGAGACGGACGACTTGGATGAGATAGATGCCTTGGACGTCTTCTCCGCCTCTTGCAGCCCCAACGCGCCATCCTCCGAAGGACCGTCATACGCCTCGGCCATCACCCCTCCGAGAGCACAGAGGAGGAGGCGAAGTAGGTCATCGCGGCGTTCAGTAGTATCAGCGAACTGAACATCGTTGATTACAACCACAACGCGTCCCGCCATATCGGATATCTGGTCAGCGTAGTAGAGGTGTTTGGCGAGTGCTCCGACAGCAGCGATCGTCATTGGACCGAGAGCGTCCTGCCCATCGAGTCTAAATCTGCGAACGAGGAAAGCGAGGAGTCTGTCGAGCGTAGCTAGCACCTGCAGCCCGTTCACTGTGGACTCGCGCGTGAAGAGGTGGGTGAGGATATGCAGGTACCCTGACTGCTTAGTCGTCGTAGGGAAGGTATCCTGGCTTTCAATGAGCATGTCGAGAATGGTCGTGGGAATATAGGCTGCGTAATGCGCTGGTGTCCACTGCAAAGCGTGCGCCAACACCCAACACACCCACTCTACTTCCCGCCACCGCTTGTGTTTGTCGAACGAGTCGAGTGTGGGTTTCGTGCACATCGATATCCACCGCCCTGTCGCAGAGTGTGCGTAGATGGTCCTGTATACCCGCAGAGCTATGGTGGCGAGAAGCACATCGTCTGTGTTGCGGTCGTCGACCTTGTTGCTTATACACGGCAACACGCGGTGCTCGAGTAGATCAAGCTTAGTGTCACGGGGAAGAAGATTGTCGATGAGCGGCGGAACAAGCAGGTTGATAGCCCTGCGACGGTCGTCGACCGGTAATCCACCCAAGACATCAGACTCAAAGACGGCCTCTATACCCAGCAGGGCTATCCTACGCGTGCGATTACGCGTATTCTCATCCGCGTCGTCCAGACTGCCCATACCGTTGAGTCTGTAGAGAATCGAGTGGAATGACGTAATGCACTCATGTGCTATTTCCGCGTGTTGGTTTTTCAGCAGGGTATTTCTGAGCTGTGGGAGTGTATGAGTATAGAACACATCCCCAAGCACGCCACCCACAAGAGTCACCGCTAGCTCGCGCAGTTGCAAGTCAGGCGGAATGGGTGGGGAAAGCGCTGTATCGATGATGAGGAGCGTGTGCGTGTAGAGCGCGCCATCGGGCATCGTCTGTGAGTTTATTTGTTGCAAAATACGCAGCGTCGCGTGGACCACACTGCTCATAATCCGGTCAGCGGCGCGTAACTCCGGATTTAAACAGCGCACACACCTCCGTTTGCGTGGGTCGTGGTAGACGCGGCTGGCTGCCCGCATGTGCTTAAGCAATGCTCCACCTGTCGCCTGCTGCTTGCTGGGCGCGTGCAGCTGGGAGATGAGCTTGCTCACCGCGCTGCTATCTGGGTGCTCTGTGTGGGTGTAGCATCCATCGACTAATTTACCCGTGCTGTTCTGTGGTAATAGGAAATTACAACAGCCCATACGTCAAATTAATTTTCTTTTGGTTTCGTTTTTGGTTGTTTAAGAAAGCGGGGCACGAGTCGACCAAGCGGGGATTCAGGGAGGGCTAGGCACATGAATCAGGGAATATAAAATATACATCATTAATGCATTACCTGCGCGGCTATCATTATGTGATCCGATGCCGTCGTGTCTTGCTTCGGCAGGCCACCAGTGAGTGTGTCTGCGTGCGGTACCTCCAGCGTACACAGTGTGGCCATATCCCTCTCATGGAAAATGTAATCCAAAGTCAGCATTCCATACTTGGGCATGTAGTTGGTGAGGTAAGGCTCGTTGGCGCCCTTTCTGCCCTTCAAAGACGCGTCTCTGTGGCTATAGCGCTGTTCACCACCCGGGCACGCGTCGTAAGCGGAAATAAAGTTGGGCATATCGCTGAATGCTTCAATCAGCTCATCAACAGATGGTGCATTGTCGTTGGGTACTGAATTTGTTATCGGGAGATTCGCGCCTTGTTCTGGAGGCACATGCCCACTCCCGCTAACGCTAGCGTGGCAGACACGCGATACACCCACTCGCTCCCTCTCCTTGTCGTCAATACTACCGCCGACGATGGACTGATACACCAGCTCATGTGGCTCGCTGTTGAAATCCCCAGAGAGTATTATAGGGTAACTGAGTGCCATATCCCGCCTCATCTGCTCGCACTGCTCGATGAGTATGTACGTCTGGCGAGTCCTCTCGTAGACAAAGGCAGGATGCCAGAAAAGGTGAGTGGTTGCGATGATTATCCCGTCGCTAGGCTCATCCCCGGTGCTCAGCACGGCTATCAATCCGACGTTATTAGTTTTGCGCGACAGTGGCCACTTGGGGTGCTCGTCGTAGCTCACCGCTTTGGAATGCACGAGTGTAAAGCTATCGCGGTAGAATATCACCAGTCCATGCTTCTTCGGTGTGGCGTTGTCATTCTGCGTGCCAAAACAGCTGGCATACTTGTGGCGTGGCAGGCAATCCTTCAATGCTTCTAATTGGTCCACCTCCTGCAGGCATATCACATCCGATGCGTACTTGCCCAGTTCCTCTTTCAGCCGTGGCAGCCTCGACTTGATCTTGAGACAGTCTGACGACTCATAGAGCTCTCTCTTGATCAAAGACTGCGAAAGTATATTCCAGCTGGCAATTTGAATCCTTCCTTTGCCTCCCTTGCTTGCTTGGCTTGCTTGGCTTGCTTTGTTGAATTGCCGCGTACGAAGCATTCTCGCAAGGGACTCGAAATTCTAATTTCACCGGATACACTTTATGCGTATCATTTCAGATTGATCCATGGCATAAGTACATTCTCCGCTTCTCAAATCCCCCTTTGGCTGTTTTGTAATCAATGAAAATTTGCATAGACTGAAATCAGAAGCAGGGCGGAATTGAATGGGGAGTAATGAACGATGTAATGTTATCTAGGATATATGTCTACATATCGAGCTGCATATTCTTATCTGAACATCTTGCTTACGAACGATCAAGATGACAAACGCCCATCTCCTCGTTGGAAGTTTAAAGTCTGAGGAATATCTCAAGCTAGTGGAGGAAAACAAAGCGGCTCTCAACTTAGTTTATGATAGAATTTTGGAGGGTGGCTACGAGCTACCGGCGAACAGCTTCGATCAGGTAAATCTATCAATCACGGAGGATGATTATGCCGCGATAAACTCGGATCAGTTGTTCCTGCTCCTTTTCCAGGCACTGGCTCCGAACGGCAATCTCACGATCCACAAGCTCACACCACCCACGCTGTCTTCCCAGCTCATCTTGACGGGTTACACCGCTCCAGTCAACAGCGAGCAGTCATCCACAACCACAACCACCAAGCCAGCACACACTCCCGCCGTCTCCCTCTCCCTCAACCGCTCTCAGAAGCCATCCAAGTCACTTTGGAACTTTGAATCCGCCCCACCGATCGATCCTTCCCAGTTACTCACCCAAGAGGACAAGGCTGCTCCTGCTACCCCTCTCTCTTGCCCCACTACCAAGAAGAGAAGAGCGTGTGCTGACTGCAGCTGTGGTTTGAAGGAGGAGCTCGCGAATCAGTCCCAGGTGAACATCGACACTTCGACTGACCTCAAGAAAACTTTCAACAGCGTACAAGACGCCCAAGCTAAAGGTGCCACTTCTAGCTGCGGCAGCTGCTACCTCGGAGACGCTTTCAGGTGTGCTTCCTGTCCATATGCTGGTCAGTTTCCATCATTTCCTTGAATCACTCTAACATTCTCCTCTAGGCCTGCCTGCATTTGAACCTGGTCAGAAAGTCGAAATTGACATGTCGGCGGATGTCTGATGTCTCATTTCTCTTGGCTTTTGACTCATGTTTCATGTCTGATATTTACTGCATTATTCCATCCACACTCCTTTCAAGTTCAGTCTATGCATGCGTTTTACAATTAAATATCACAACGTCGCTGCCACCGCCCCACTCGTCTCCTTCCAGCCACACACCTTCATCGAGAAAGTCCCGCTGCCACCACTGAGTGCATTGAGGTTGCTCGAGTAAGCTATCATATTGGTGAGGGGCACATGAGCTTGCACGACCATCCGCGCGCCCTTATCACCGCTCTCGAAGGAGCGTGTGGAAGCCTGTGTGGGAGGGGGAATGTAAACTGAGGTGCGAGTGTCAGTGTGAGCGTGTGCGTCTGAGTTTGCGCCATGCATATCCTCCTCCATCGACACAACCACTCCATTCCTCAGCGAGGTGAGATCGCTAATCACTCTGCCCACATCTCCCTCGTGTGCTATGATATCCACTTGCATCAGCGGCTCTATCACCACCGTCGAAGCTGTGCGTACAGCTTTGATAACAGCAAGCGAAACAGCCGCCGTTAGTGCCGAACTTGGCGACTGGTCTTTGTCGAGGAGACGTATATCTGTGATGGTAATGTGCAGCCCCCGCACAGGATGCCCTTGCAGCGGTCCACGAGCCGTGCCTGCCATCACACCGCTCTTGACCGCCTCCTCGTACTCTGGTGCGAGCTGTGTGTGTGGGGTGTTGAACACGATCACGTTGTCTGCGTTGTGTGCGTTGTGTACTTTCTCACTCTCACCCTCCACATCCTCTCTCCGCCGCACACTCACTGTAACACCGGCCTGTGTATGTTTCCTGCTCACCTCGCGAGCGTAGTCCTCTTGACGCACAGCGTGTGCATCTAGCGGGAGGGTTTCGAGAAAGCCGACGCGCATGGGCCCCATACGGCAACGAACGCCAAATTCCTCACGCAGGCGAGCATAGCTAATCTCCAGATGTAGCTCACCCAACCCGCTGAGGAGGGTCTGACCATCACCACCCGCCGCGATACTCTCGCTGGCCTCGCTAACGACGAGCGAGGGATCAGTGCGGACGAGACTGCGCAGCGCCTCTACCACGCCTGCTTCATCTGACAGGGACTCGGGCTCTATCGCAACACTGAACACGGGTGGGGGGATGGCTATGTTTTGCAGTGTGACATTACGCAGCGACGTGTCGCGCGCTTCTGTAAGCGTGTCACCCGTTCGCGTGCTCTTGCAACCTAGTATCACCCCTATTTGACCTGGGTGTAATGCGTCGATCTCCGCTTGATCGTCCGCACTCATCACTAGCAACCGGTTTACGCGCTCTTTTACCCCCCGCGAACTGTTCCATAGTACACCTTGACGCGTTAGGACACCCCCATACACTCGCACCCATGTTAGCCAGCCCTTTTTGGCATCGTGGACTACTTTGAATGCCATGGCTAGTGTGCTTTGTGAGAGCTGTGTGGTTTGCGTGGTTTGTGATTTGTTTGCGCTGTTCACTGCGCTATTGCTACCCCCGATACTGCCAATGCTGTGGCCGCCGGTCGTCCGCGGCGCAGGAACGTCTAGTGGGGAAGGAATATAGGTAATGATTGAATCGAGGATGCTGTCTATGGAGATGTTCTTGAGCGCTGAGCCACACAACACGGGCAGGACCTCCCCAGTAAGGACATTCCGGCGCAAGGCGGAGTGAATATCGGCATCACTCACCCTGCTATAGTCCTCCACGGCAAGGTAAGTGTCGAGGAGGCTACTGTCGACTTCACAGAGGGTTTCTATGAGGCAATTGCGAGCTAAAGAGCGCTGATCGAGGATATCTTGGGGTGTGTTTATCGGAGCATCGCCGAGGACGTCGACGACGCCAACAAAGGCATCACCGCCAACGCCATTGCTATAAATCGGCAGCTGCAGCACGAGGGGTCTCCTATGCATTTTCCTTATAGTGCTCTCAATCGAATGTCTGTAATCGGCGCCTACTCTATCCATCTTGTTGACGAAGAGGAGAAGCGGGTGGAGAGAGTATCTGCGACATTGCGCCCACACGCCCATAGTCTGCGCTTCCACGCCCTCCACGCCGTCGAGCACGACAATCCCGCCATCAAGCACGCGTACTGCACGCTCGACCTCTATCGCGAAATCTGCGTGTCCGGGTGTGTCGATGAGGTTAATGCGGTGGTCACGCCATTGCAGAGGGATCGACGCACTCTGTATGGTAATACCGCGCTCGCGTTCTGCAGGGAGGAAGTCTGTCGTTGTTGTACCCTCGTCGACGTTGCCGCGGTGCTTGAGGTGACCCGTAGCGTGCAGAAGCGACTCCGTGAGCGTCGTCTTGCCACCGTCTATATGCGCCATTATGCCTATGTTGCGCGTACGCCGGGTGTCGCTCCAGGATGCACTGCTTAGCGTGCGCGTAAAAGAGGTGCGTGGTGTGCTCCTGCTTGTCCACCGCTGCCGCTGCAATCGCAATCGCACTCCCGCTCGCACTATCATCGTGATGGACGAGAGAAGGCAGAATGATTGTATGAGGTCATTTGGTGAGAATTTTCACTTTTTCTGAATTTTGCATGTGTGTGGCTTCGGCTGTGTGTTTTATATAAACTTTAAAATGTACAGCACACATCAATTACTAAATAGAATCAATATCACCGCCTCTGTAAAATTAGCCTCGCGCGCGTCTTTCTGAGATACAAGTACGCGACTCAGGCTAACAACAGCCATGAGCAGCCGTACGAAATTTAAAAAAGCAGGCACAGGCCGCAAAGAACCATCGGCACCAAAGATCGTCGACGAACGTCAGCTACTTGCCGCTAAATTCGATAAAATCAAAGAAAGCGACCATCTCGACGCCAGGCTAGGATTCTCCAGATTTGAGGAGGGAGGAGCGCGGGAGGCGTGGCTGGTGAATATGCACCCCACGCTCATCGAAGATGACGACTACATTGGTGGAAAAGCAGCCGTTGACTTTTACTTCCTCGAGGACGATGGCGGAATGTTTAAATCTACGATAACCTACGAGCCTTATTTCTATTTATCTTGCAAGCCAGGCACAGAAGCTGCTGTCGAAGAATGGCTTTTACGGCGGTTTGAATCGCTTATCTATAAGATTGAACGCATTTACAAGGACGATCTTAAGGCACCCAACCACCTCCTCAGCCTCCCGAAAGTTTATCTACAGCTTAAATTCAGGAACGTTCAAGACCTCCTCACCATTCGCAGAGAAGTTCTCCCGCTTGCTCAATCAAATGCCGAGAAGAGATCTGCCGTCGATGCGTACGCTGACGTCGTCGCTTCTGCTGACCAAGATATCACCCTTGAAAACTCCGGAAACGACGCTAAAAGCAAAGAAGATCCCTCGCAGTTAATCGTAGACGCACGCGAGTATGACGTACCATATTACTTACGCGTTGCAACTGATTTAGGTGGGCATTCCCTCTTTTTCACTCTCCCCAGCTCACTCTCTGCTAGGTATACGAGTTGGTATGTGGTACACCGTCTCAGCAAGCGAGGGCAAAATAAAACTGGAAAAAGTTGAACACCGTGTTAAGCGCGCTGAACCAGTCGTCATGGCGTATGATATTGAAACGTGTAAGGCGCCTCTTAAGTTCCCAGACAGCGCCGTCGATCCCATCATGATGATCTCTTATATGGTAGACGGCCAGGGATACCTCATCACCAACCGCGAAATTGTCTCTGAAGACATCCACGATTTCGACTACACTCCCAAAGACGAGTACGATGGCCCTTTCTCAATCTTCAACGAGCCCGATGAGGCTGGTGTCTTGAAACGCTTCTTCGAGCACATCAGACAGGTTCAACCCACCGTCATGGCTACTTACAACGGTGATTTCTTCGATTTTCCTTACGTCGATGCTCGCGCCACTGCAAATGGTTTGAGTCTCTACGCCGAGACAGGTTTCGAGAGGGACAATGAGGATGAGTATAAAAGTGCAACTTGTTCACACATGGATTGTTTCAGATGGGTGAAGCGGGATTCCTATCTCCCCCAGGGTAGTCACGGTCTCAAAGCTGTCACTGTTGCCAAACTCGGCTACAACCCCATTGAACTTGATCCAGAGCTCATGACACCGTAGGTTTTCTCAGGCTCAACTTTGAATACACCACTCACCCTTTTTTCTAGATACGCCATTGAGCAGCCGCAAGTGCTCGCTCAGTATTCGGTGTCTGACGCCGTAGCTACTTACTACCTCTACATGAAATATATCCATCCGTCAGTTTCACTTTCTCCTTTCATCACCTCACACTAACGCTCTCTCAGTTTCGTCTTCTCCCTCTGCAACATTATACCTCTCAACCCCGACGATGTCCTTCGCAAGGGTTCTGGCACGCTCTGTGAAACTCTGCTCATGGTCGAGGCTTACAGTGCTGGCGTCATAATGCCCAACAGACACGTCGACCCACAAGGCAGTATGTATGAAGGACATCTGCTGTCGTCAGAGACTTATGTCGGTGGTCACGTCGAAGCGTTGGAAGCTGGTGTGTTCAGGAATGACATAGCTACTGATTTCAAGATTGTCCCCAAGGCTATTCAGCAGGTTAGTAGGATTTGTTTGATTCGGTGGCGATGACACTCATTCTCCTCGCCTCAGCTCATTGATGACCTCGACAACGCACTCCAGTTCTCCATTGTCGTCGAGGAGAAGAAGAGGTTGGAGGATGTGGAGAATTACGAGCAAGTCAAGAATGAGATCAAGGGGGTTTTGGAGAATCTTCGTGATAATCCCGTCAGACAAGATCCACCGTTGATCTACCATCTTGACGTTGCTGCCATGTATCCGAATGTGAGTGAGTAGTATGTCTTACACACATGCTAACACACCTTCTCTTAGATCATGTTGTCAAACAGGCTACAGCCAGATGCCGTGGTTGATGAGGGAATGTGCGCAGCATGTGACTACAACACCCCCGATAAGCAGTGTGATAGGCGTTTGACATGGGCTTGGCGTGGTGAATTTTTCCCTGCAAAGCGAGATGAGTACAATATGATTAGACACGCACTCGAATCGGAGTCTTTCCCTGGTCGTCAGATAGGTGCGCCCAAGAGACGCTTTGTCGAGCTCTCGCCTACTGAACAGTCCGCTCTAATACAGAAGCGTCTTGGGGATTACTCGAGGAAGGTTTATCGCAAAACACACGATACCAAAATCATCAACCGTGAAGCTATAATCTGTCAGCGCGAAAACCCGTTCTACATTGACACAGTTAGGGCGTTTCGCGATAGACGGTATGAGTACAAAGGTTTTCACAAGCAGTGGAAAGGTAAATTAGACAATGCAAATGAAGAGGGCAGTTTGTCTGCCTCAGTTGAGGCTAAGAATATGATAACTCTTTACGACTCCCTTCAACTCGCCCACAAGTGCATTCTTAACTCTTTCTACGGTTATGTCATGCGTAAAGGTGCGAGATGGTATTCTATGGAGATGGCAGGTATAACTTGCTTGACTGGTGCGACTATCATCCAGATGGCTCGTCAGCTCGTCGAACAGATTGGCAGACCGCTTGAATTAGATACTGACGGTATTTGGTGTATGCTTCCAGGCTGCTTTCCTGAAAACTTTAAATTCACTCTTAAGGGCGGCAAAACCATGGGCTTCTCTTACCCATGTGTTATGCTTAATCACCTTGTCCACGGAAAATTCACCAACGACCAATACCACACTCTCACCAACAAGGACAAAGGGGAGTATGAAATGCATTCGGAGAATAGTATTTTCTTCGAATTGGATGGACCATATCGTGCGATGATCTTACCTGCCTCCAAAGAAGAAGATAAGCTGCTGAAGAAGCGATACGCGGTGTTCGAAGAGGACGGTTCTTTAGCAGAATTAAAGGGATTCGAAGTGAAGCGCAGGGGTGAACTGCAGCTCATCAAATTCTTCCAAAGCGAAATTTTCAGTAAATTTTTGTTAGGATCGACGACAAAGGAGTGCTACGATGCTGTCGCCAAAGTTGCGGACCAATGGCTGGATATTCTCTTCGGTAAAGGTTCCACTTTATCTGATGAGGAGCTAGTTGAACTGATTTCCGAGAATCGATCAATGAGTAAAACACTTGCCGAGTACGAGGGTCAGAAATCCACCTCCATATCAACAGCTCGCAGACTTGCAGAGTTCTTGGGTGAGCAGATGGTCAAAGATAAGGGTCTTAGTTGTCGATACATTATTTCTGCCAAACCATTCGGTGCTCCTGTTACTGAAAGAGCTGTACCGGTTACCATCTTCACTGCTGAACAGTCTATCAAATCTCACTATCTGCGTAAATGGCTGAAGGATAACAGTCTGACTGACTTTGATATTAGAAGCATTCTCGATTGGGATTACTATATTGAGAGATTCGGTTCAGTTGTTCAAAAAATTATCACTATTCCAGCAGCCCTGCAGAAGATACCCAACCCAGTCCCACGCATCGCTCACCCGGATTGGCTCTACAAGAGAATAGCGAATTCGGATGACAAATTCAGACAGCACAAGCTGACTGATATGTTCGAGAAGCAGAGAGAGGTTAACCAGGACATGGAGGACTTGGGCATCGGTCCATCTGTCAATGGCAAACCGAAGCAGGCAGCAGTGCGCAAGAAAAACCGTCAGCAGCTCGAGGAGGAAGAGTATGAGAGAGTCATGTCCATCCCTGTCCCAGATGCCGATGAGGATTACAGTGCATTCATTAGAGTAATGCGTAAGCGTTGGAAGTTGCAGAGGGCATATAAGAGGAAGCATGGATCGAAGGCTTCGAGGAATCAAGCAGGCGTTTCGCGTCAGACTGCTCTTGGTATGTTCCAAGACCGCTCTGTTGGATTTAGTGGGAGTGCTTGGGATATAGTGCAAATCTATCCCTCCGTTAGACCTGGTGAATTCAGGTTGTGGTTAAGCCTTGGCGGTAATTTCCAACAAGTCCGCTTGAGGATACCGAGGGAGTTCTATCTCAACCTCAAAAATGCACCTGGTGAAGGTGAATTTGCGGAAGAGTATATGGCTGAGAGGGTCGTGAGAAGCTTGCCACGTGACCAACCATGTCTCAATCTTTTCAAGTTGACTGTCCCTGAGCGACTCTACGTCGACAATGAGTCTCACTTCAAGAATCTGACGAGTAACATAAATGTTGACAGTGTCTACGAGATGCAGGTGGGTTGGATGTAGTACCTCACTGACTGTTCACATTAACGCAAAATTCAGGTACCACTTATTGATCGTGCGTTGATCAGGCTGGGATCAAAGTGCGCACTTTCGAAAGCATCAACTGGTGGACTAAGCAAGGGTCTTGACCGCGGTTTCGAATTAGTGGAGCTCTCCAATGCAGCTCAAAATTCTAAAACCTATCTGCAAAACTTCAACCAGCTGCGGTACATCTACATGTTCCACGCTTACGTAGATCGCCGCCACATATATAGTGTCTTCTCTCCAGATGGTGAATGCAAGATATTTATTGTGGATTCATCCAGTAGGACGCGTCCACAGCTGCCAAATTTGGACAAGGTCTATGGACAGAGTTATGAAAGTTATCTATCCCGTAAATCTGAGGAGAACGACGAGGCATTTGAGTATAGTTCTGAAATGTCTTTTGAAGTTACTTTCCACGGTGGCGAACAGTCTGCTGTCAAGAACATGTTCAGATATCTCAATACCCTTGGTGGTCAGAGGCAAGGTCCTACAATTGTTGTCCTAAACTCGCCCCAATCGCAATCCTACTTCTCTCAATTTGGTGACGGACTAAACAATTACCCTGTCATTGCAGTGCCCACGTCCCGCAAAGATTTGAGTATCGACGAGAGTCTGATGTGGCTGCCGAAGATATCTAAGAGGATGATTGGTATGTACTTCCGTATGTCGGCTTGGATTCACGAGAGGATCGGGCTGGCTAAGCATTATGACGTCCCTGTTGGTAACATAGAGAGGGACGCCCCTATACAGCTGTCTGACATATCGTTTGCTAGGCGATTAATTAAAAGTGATATCCTACTTTGGTGGTCTCATTCGTCGAAGCCTGATCTCGGTGGACGTGAACAGGATGTGCCTCCTCAACAATTTGCAGACGAAGGCGGTGGGCCTGAAGAGTTCTCAAACCCTGGCACATTTTCAAACGTCGTACTTGAAGTTGAGTTGCGAGATATTGCCGTCAACTCTATCCTTCAGTCGTCGCTTGTAAATGAGATGGAAGGTGCAGGATCTGCAGCTACTGTCTTTGACAGTACATCACACACCATAGATGAGTATACAAAAGGGCAGGCCAAAGCTTCTGTCACGTTGGGAGAGGCTGTCGTGTCATCGCAGGTCTTCTCCATTCTCAAGTCGATGGTCAAAAGCTGGTATCTAGATAAGGCAAAGTCAGCTGACGGACAGAGTGCATTTGGACATTTATTGGTTGATCATTTGCTCAGGTGGATCTCTTCACCAGTGTCACGACTCTTCGATCCAGGTATTCATCGCTTCCTGCGAGGACTAATGAAGAAAGTATTCTTGCAGCTTTTAGCGGAAATCAAGAGACTTGGTTCAGGTATAGTTTATGCGGACTTTGGACGAATTTTCATCCTCACATCGAAACCAACTGCTGGCTCAGCTGCCGCGTACGCACAGTACATTCTCTCGGCTACAACCTCGGCTGAATTGTTCAAGCACATTACACTTACGACGGTAAACTTCTGGGACTATCTGGTGTGGATGGATCTGTCCAATTTCGGTGGTGTCGTCAATCACGCTCCAAATTCATCCTCTCCGCCTGAGGAGTTCCATGTCGATATGAAGTGGAACGTCCCACAGTATCTCCCACCAGCTTTGCAAAACTACTTTGATATAGTCATAGCTGAGTATATCTACGCCATGTATTCTGAGAAACGCAAGATGGGTCTACAATACAGAAAACCACTGCGAGCGATCGCTAACGAAGGAGGCGAGGTTGCGGTTGATGATTACAAAAAGCAAGAAATAGACTTTGAGAGGAATTTGATCACGCGTGTGATCACTAGGAGACTACTCAAGATAGTCACCGAGATGTCTCGCAAACAGTCGGAAGCGGCGACGGAGTTGGCGAGCGGTGTGGAAGACAACGAAGAGGCCAACATGTTTATCTTCCCTCTCCTTCCAGGCTCACAGGGTAATATGAAGAACCCAACGTTGGAATTTGTTAAGAGTGTGTGCACTGTGTTAGGGTTGTCTAGAGATGTTGCTATTGAGGTGACAGTACTGAAACGCAACCTGCTGGATATATTGAAAGTACGAGAATTGTGGGTGTATTCGTACTTCTTGTGAGTCCCGCTAACACCCATCTCCAGCTCCGAGGATGCCCAATTCAAGCCGCCTTGTGAAAGCTTTAAGGTGACAGGTGTGGTGTGCAAAGCATGTACATTTGTTCAGGATCTCGACCTCGTGCGTGATGTAGAGCTTCTTGAAGAAGAATGGCCATGTGCTTCCTGCGGTCGCTCACAGGACAAGATGGAGGTGGAGCTGTCACTGTTAGGTGTTGTAGACAAGCTGGTTGCTGGGTTCGCCGTGCAAGATCTCAAATGCTCCAAGTGTGGCACGATTAGTGGGTGCTGAAATGTTATCTTGGCTACTCTAACGCGTCTCAGGATCTTCCGATTTAGCTGCACATTGTCACTGTTCTGGTGCTTGGAAGCTGACAACATCACGCGAAGCATTCAAAAGGCGTCTCCAAGTTATAAACTCAGTGGCGCGGTACCACGATCTGAAAATGTTGGAAGAATACACTGATAGCATCAAGTCGTCATAGATTGTTGTAAAATATTTGTTAGAGTGCATCCTCGACAAGATGCTTGAGAAGTTGATGGTAGCTGCTGTTAGAAGAAGCGTTGAACATGTTAATATGTGCGCTAATCTCATCGTTGGCGAGGGAGTTTGAAGTCTTGATGAAACTGCTGTGCTTAGCAGGTATGAGACAAAAAGTCCTATCATTGAGATGTGGAAGGTGGGTATAGTAGTTTTTGAATACCACAGGTGCATTAGACATGCTATCCAGGCGCTCTTTGAGGCTGCGCGTGTTCCACAAGTTTGACAAAAAGAGCAAGTGATCGGTAGTCAGACCTGCTGCTGCTCGATACGCCTCTAATATCTTATCTCTCCCAAAGTAAGCACCTGCGCCTACTGCAGATATAGCTGCTATAGCTGCGCCTGCCGGTTTGAGGTAGTTTGTGTTAGGTTGTACATTGTGTTCCTTGTCTTTAACCTTTTTCTCTCGCTCATCTCTCTGTTCGGCACCGCTTTTATCAGACTTATTCGCGCCCCACAATGCACCGACAAAAGGTATCAGCACCGATGCGCCACTTGCGACATCTTTGACTTTGTTAAACTTGTTGTAATAGTCGTTCGTAGTATTAGCGAATACATGTGGGTGTAAGCCAATCATGGGACAGTCGAGATTGAGAACAGCCTTTATGTTCAGTCTGTTTCCTTCTCGGAGGGACTTGAGGTACACGTCGCAGGCGAGAAGTCCACCCATTGAATGCGCGACTAGTACGAAGGCCGTGTACTGGTTTTGCAGTTGTTGCTCTGCCATCCAGGCTTGCAGATTGTCTACTGCGATTTCCTGCAAGTGTGTTGGGGTTATTGTATTTGAGTACCTCGTCCATCAACCCACCAACTTCCCAGACGTCTTCCACGCAGGATACACTGTTGAGGTGTATTTGTCTAGCTCGGTTTGCATGCCCAGCCAACACTCCATATCTTGCGGTAGACTTCCGAATGTATCCACGCCGCCTTTAAAGCTGTTCGGTGTGATTGAGTGCTTGTTAGAAGGGAGCATCCCACTCACCCATGCACAAACACGATTGCAGTCTTATCTTGCATGATGTCAGGATGCAATGTGGTGTAGCATGAAAGCATACACTTATTTTCAACAAATTATAGTCTAATTATTCTATATCCACCTGGTAGTGGTTCTCATTTTATATCTTGAGACTTAGCGAAATTTCGTCGTACCAAATAGCAGTACAAAATTTTCATGCCTATTTGGGCTGCTGCTGGCCTTCAGCCATGAACGCGACCGAAAAATCGCGCCTGACTGTGTCCAATCTGCTTTTATCGACGACAGGCACCTGCTCTGTATCGCGCTGTATACTAAACATGTCGCTCATCTCCGCATCCAGTGTACCGTCCATACGTTGCTTGACGAGTTTGCCGAGAACAGTGTACATTTTGTAGGCATGTCCGCTGCCGCCAGTGGCGAACAGGAGCGACTTGTTGGAAAGGGGGTGGTAATCTATAATATAATCGCCGTTCTGAGCATCGCAGTACCAACACATCCTCGTTTTCCACTCCAGCGACGAGTCATTAGCTATCTCCGGATAAACCTCTTTCAAACCATTTCGGAGCTCGTCGTACATCACGCTAGGTATTTTGGAGATGGACAGTGGAGGCTCGTCTTCACCTAGTTGCTCGCGTTTGGTATCTATCGAGACTGGTGCATTGCGCTCTCTACTGATGTACCCTGCGTGATGCTTGGATACCTTGAAATAGCGCGTGGAAGTGGGGGGAAACATATAAATCCCGGTATTGAGGTTGATGACGATAGGGGAGTCTTTGTATCGCTCGTGTTGCTCTTCAGTGAGCTTAATCATGGCCACAGACTGCGCAGACGCGAGGAGCATCTTGTTGATCTGGTCGTCGAGCAGAGTGGACCACGCGCCTGACGCGATAATGGTAAGAGCAGCATCAAGTACCTCTCCGGAAGCACTCTCTACGCCTACAACTCTGTCATTGTCACCACTCCAAATAACACGGCCAACGGTGAAATTAGGGATGAGTGTCGCACCCATTTCCTCACAGCGTCTGGCCAATTCGGCTGTAGCTCTCCCAGACTCGATCCATCCGCTTGCTTTGTTTTGATATGCTGTGCGCGTGAGGCTATTCAGTGGAACATTCTTCGGCAGGACGTCTTGTATGGAAGATTGGTCGAGCAAACGCACCTGCTCAGGATACATAGATTTCACATGCTTGTAAGACGCCTTAGCGTAGTCACTTTCCCCTAGAACAACCATCCCGCACTGATGGAAGAAGCCAGCCTCTGTCCAGTTCTTCTCAAGATCCGCTATCGATTCTGCTGCGAGCTTTGAGTAGACGGCTGAGCTGTAGTCTGCGCGGACAATCTTGGAAATGTCCTGTGCGAGTATTTAACGTGGCTGGGATGGTCTTCGGCGTACATACCGTTGAACTGGAGCTCTCAGAAGGAATTTGGTCTGACTGCTCAACGATTGTGACTTTGTATCCATCTTGCAACAGCTCGTACGCTGTGCTTAGCCCAAACACTCCAGCACCAACGATAAGCACGCTTTTTTCAGTCATCGGAGTGCCGAAATAAGAAAATCAATTTGTAGCAATGCACATACAGTACACAGGTAAAACTTTAACGTGTCTTTATAATACCAGCGTTGATCAACTTCATCACCTTTTCTTGAATAGCAGACGATGACTTCATATGGTGTTGCAGCACAGCTGGATCAGTTTGTGACTGTTGCAAAATAGACTGCATAACTGGGTCACCCATGATAGCAGCCACTTCTGGATCCCTCATTGCTCGCTCGAGTGTCTGTTCATCTGACTCCTCACTACGCTGGCTATACAGTGCTGAGTTTATCTTGGCTGACCAATCTCTGATCTCTTTGCCGTTTGATCCCTCCTTATCATTTGCAGTGGCCTTGTCGAGCGCTGCTGCTGCTTGCGTGTAGTCTCTCATGCCGAACAACACCATAGCTTTGCGAATATGCGCTCTGACGAACGATGGGTCGATGTCTATAGCTTTGTTGGCATCCTTGAGGGCTTCAGGAAGGGCAGCTAATTTGTTGTACGCAGTTGCTCTGTTTGTGTATGCACGCGCGTTGTCTGGCAGTCTCTTTATTGCCTCGGAGTAGAGTTTGACGGACTCTGCAAAATCTCCACGCTGAGTAAGATTGTTAGTGATGTGATGGCACTATTGTGATCTAGACTCACCTTGAAAGCTACGTTCCCTTCGTCGCGCGACTTTTCTGATAATTCTGGGTTGATGTATGCCTCCACTTCGGCATCCTTCTTCTCCTTCTCAGTGGCTCTGAGCTTGTTGAGCACATCAGCTGAGCGATGTTCTGTGAGCGACTTATTAAAGTAGTTCACAGCCGCGTCAAGATCCTTCTTCTTGTAGTACACACTACCGATACGACCGAGAGCCTTCGCGACGAGCTTGTAGTCAGCTCGCATCGATCTACCCTCTTCCACAGCCTTTTCACAAACTTCTAGGCACTTTTCAAGATCTCCCTTCTCGAAGAAAACAGCTGAAAGGTTAGTGAGGTATGAGATGTCCGAGTTGTCGAGTTCCCAAGCCTTCTCGTATGCTTGAATGGCTTCATCGAACTTGCGGGCTTTGTAGAGCTCATTACCTTGTTGTTTGGCTTTGAGAGCCTCCTTCTTTTCGTCAGAAGTAGAAGACTCAGCTGGTTGAGTTGCTTCTTGCATCTTTGCCTCTGGTGCGGGTGAGGGAGAAGGAGCTGGGGCTGCTGCTGGCTTAGGTGGGTCTGCCTTCTGGAGGTTTTCAGGAAGTTGATCACTACCCTCTGGACGTTCAAATGCTTGTAAATCGACACCCATCAAAGCGCCCATAACCTGTATCATGCGTGGATCTTGGAATATGTCTGGTGAAGGTTGACCACCCGATTGGATAGCCTTGAGTTTAGCAATGAACGCAGGATCAGCGAGCATTGGGGCAACTTTAGGGTTTTGTGCCAATTTTCCAATGAGGTTAGGATCTTTAAACATTTCAGCGATTCTGCCTGGACCGTCGTCGTCGGATTGAGCAGCAGCCTTGACGTCAGCCAAACCCTTCTGCAAGCCAGAATCTGTCGGAGCTGCTTTCAAACCCTGCTCATAAGCCTCAACTGATTCCATGTACTGCTGCAATCCATGCAGCGCAGCGCCCTTTCTAGCGTAACCTTTTGGCCAATCAGACTTCTTGCTTATTGTGGTGCTGGCATCGTCTAGCGCCTTCTGGTATTGCTTAAGACCTGCGTAAGAAGCCGACCTGTTTGAGTAGAGGACGTGATTGTTGGCGTCTTGAGCGATGGCTTGCGTGAAGAGGTCTACAGCTTTCGTGAAGTCTTTTGCGCTAAACGCTGCGTTTCCTTGGGCTTTCAATTCGTCTGCGGACATGATGGAAGTTGGTAGTAGAGGTGTGTGTCGTGGGATTGATGTACCACGATGTATATGATACACTGGAATCTTCTGGATATTTTTGCCAAGGTTTCATTGAATTTCAAACACAAGTCTCACGCAGAACTCATTTTGAAGGCTTGAAGTCTTGAAGTCTTGGAAGCTTCTCGAAAAGGTTACGAAAGTTGAGATTTGTATCTTACTGTCGTGTGTTTTCATTACAACCCCTCCTTACACTCTCGCTATCTTTCTTCTCACTGAGACTTCTTATTACCGTGAAATTTTGCCTACTCAGAACAAAGCCAAGTGGGATGTATGTTGGAGAAGGGAGTTACGGTTTTACACATAGGTATGTTTCATTTAGCAGCGTGGCTTCTTCACATTTATTAAAGACCCCCGCGGCCACGGATGAATTCACCACATTCCAAGAAATCAATCAAAGCTGCATACTTAAGGAGGAATATTTGTAAGATGAGTTGCAACTATAAATTACCAGCTTCAAGCAATGAGAAAAGACCCTGTTGTTCCATACCTCATAACGCGCTTCTGTCTGGCTGGTGAGCAAGACAGGTCGATCTTAAACACAGAATTTCAGACGATGCTGAAACTAGCATACATACACACTTACACAAACAGACAGTAATTGCCTATTTCAGTGGGAGGGGGGTAACCAGGAGACCTTTCGAGGAGAATTTGAATGAGAAGTATATACGCCAGGAGTGTCTCGAGTCAGCAAATAGGAAGAAATTTAAAAGATTTTGCTATAACTGTAAAATTTCATATACGCCTTGTGAGTGAGACTTGTACAGGTGAGACTGTCTCAAACGCGACTCGCTTCACAGACTGGCACAGATCGAGGCTGAACGGCAAGTTAAACTGCTGTAACGCCTGTGGATTATCTGAGGTGGGATTGGAGATTTAAATCACAGCCAAATGCTCAGAATATTCGAACAAAATGCAGAAAAGCCACGACGAGAAAAGGGATTTGATTAGTTTAGAAGAAAATTTGAGGATGAAAAAATACATCAATGAGACGTAGAAAGGCTTTGGAGGTATCGAAGTAGCTGGTTTACCTACACACCCCTTCTTAACTTGCTAATGTAATGATTATAAACCAAATAACTATTTCCGAACCAAAGAAAGACGGCAGCGACGAGTGCAACGATCCCAGCCTTGTATGAGTGTGGACCTATTGGCAGGTCCTCTTTATCACTGATTAGACGACTTTAGCTGTGTGCGTGCGTTTTTGTATTTGCTCACGCTACCAAACTGCAAACTCCTATGAGCGTAAGTAAGCAGCTGAAAATAGCCAAACAGAGGTGCAGTGGGTGGATTGTTTGGTGCGCTTTCTGGTATAGTCCATCCGCTCTGCTCTGCAGGCTTTGCAAGATCATGTGAGAGAGAGAATTAGAGGAGATGGAGGTGCTACGTGTTGTGGTATAGGTGGCCACAGTGGTTGGCACATCATCAGCTAGAGTATAGATTATAATTTACCGTGTGCAGCGTACCCGGGTTAATGTACAGCACCCCACGTTACCGGTTATACGGACTACCGGTAAAGTCTTATTGTCTGTATGGCTTGGACTTGGGCTTATATGCTCTTTATCGTTGGAAACTGTAGACATTCCCAGACATAGACAACGGCTCGAATTATTCAAAGTGACATAAATCACGTGGATTTTACCAACGCGTTAAATGCAATATGCATTCTGTACTGTTTTTAGACAGCCAATTTGAAATACTAAGAATGTATAGCCATGTTTGGCGTGCCAACTAGGTTTAGAATGGATCAATTGGATCAAAATTTACCCGTAATTAATTCCAAAGAAGGCACAGAGAGTAGTGCACATAATTCCCTCATCTAAGTAATCTCCACAAGCCAAACAAATTCCAAGATGATAGACCTAGCGTAAGTCACGCTGTATATGACAGCTCCAGCGTTATTAATTGATTACATTTCATTTCGCCGACAGTGATATCACGAGTGCGAGTGTGATATGCGCCCTAAGAAATAAAAGAGAGATACTGAAAGGCTATTTGATTAGCGCGCGATAATCGCTCCTCCTATTTGCTCACCGTATGCGCTATGTAGATAGCTGCATACACGCAGAAAATCCCAACAACCACAATAAACGCGTATATAATATTGCTCAATACGCTTAAAATGACACTTTTTTACGTGCCCCACTTCAATTAGTCCTCATTGGACATTCCAGGGACAGGAACGCGTTAACTCATTCGTAAGGCGAGGGGAGTGAGAGTGAATGGAGAATGCGTGAATCTGTACAGTCTCATGTGCCTTGCTATCGAATACGTTCCAGAATATTAATTTTATTTGTAACTGCATTCAAGTGTCGGATCACTTATAACTGCTCGCTCGGCTCACATCTTGTAGACGAACGACGACAGTTAAATTGAAATATGCAAATCAAATTAGTAGCTTTAGCAGCAGCATTCGCAGCAGTAACCGCTGTACCAGTTGTGAGTGTTTGAAATACACAGCCGGCACACCGAGCGCGCTTAGCACACACTGACACCACTTAGAACTCAGAGGAAAACTTCTTTGGAATCGGAAGACAACCAGTCTATTAAGACGTTTGAATGAATGCAGCGGATTTCAACATATGATACAATTTCATTGATTCAATTACCCTTATCAACTTTATATAACAAGAATTCAAATGAATGAATATTTTTTGAGACATTTATTTTCCTACGAAACGTTTATCGCAGCTCGGGTGAGGGCATTCAAAAGGCTTATCAGCAGTATGTGTGCAGACAATTTCTAAGGCTGGGTATTCTAATATCAGAAATTCGAATGAATACTTGGTTTGAGACAATTTCACAAGAATTTTTAAGCAAGTGTTTTGAATGAATAGTGCCAAATACAAAGACTCTTCGAGTTTAAATGTAAGTATCGTAAGCGATAGGAGCGATGGTCTCTGGAGTAGTCTTTGACTTGAGCATTTGACCTTCACGTGGTTGCTTTGGTGAACGCTTAAGGTTGACACGCTCGCCCTTTTGCTTAGCCTCAGAGAGAGCTTGTCTGTTGCTCTTAACGCGTCTCAAGAACTCCTCACGACACTTGGAGTGCTTGACGTGCTCAATACGCAAGTTGACACGCTTCTCGATGTAGCGGGAGCGGATAATCTTGTAGACGATGACACCAACGGCACGTGGAGCGACGTTGAATACGATACCGGTGCGACTGTATGGAGGAATGAGTGGCGCCTTCTTGGGCTTGAATGAAAACTCACCCGTGGTAGAACTTGTGTGGCATACCGCGTTGCTCACCTGGGTTAGCCTTGATGTCTACAATGTCACCAACCTTGTATGGAGTGAGGTAGGTTTTAAGGTGGATTGGACCGTGCTCTGAGGGACGTTAGACTATGCAGCGAGTTGGGTACACCTCACACACCCTTGAAGTTACGGGAGAACACTTGCTCATTCCATCAGCCATTTAATAAAACTTGTAAGCCATACTCACAGTGACGGGTACGAGCGCGGAGACCAAATGAGTGAGGCATCCTGGTTAAATATTCTGTGAGCTTGGTTTCGTTGTTTTATTCAATTTCCTCACTTTACTTGCTGAAGGTCGCTGGGGGAAGAAGGCGAGCAATTCTGCTGAGATGCGATTGAAATGAAAATCTGATTTTAAACCGTGGAGAGTATGGGAGGGTGTGTGAAGGGTGTTTGTAGGCTCAGTTGTATTCCTAGCTTATTTTTATCATTATTTCTCTTTTCCCTGGTGAGATTGGAGTGGTACTGAGGAGGTGGAGTGGTGGCAACGCAGACAGCCAATGGTGGGCTAGAGATGGTCTATCAATGGCTATTTAACGATTTATACATGATTACAATTGAAGATATACCTTTACTGCTCTTGTCTGCGCTGTTCCTCCGCTAAAGCGAATCTGAAGCTATTGATGAGCGCGCTGAGCTTGGTGAAAGCCTCCGAATACCCTTCCTCCACTTCCAGTCCCTCACTCGTCTGCCTGGCGTGTGCGTTTACTAGCTCCTTCAATTCCTGCACCGCTTGCATTGGATCTGTGGTGTAATTGTGCTCTGTCAGCCATTCTCGCACTTGGTTTATGTCTCCTGGCGTTGGCGCGTTTATTTCCTCTTTCGCTGGCATGGACATGGGCGTGATGTGTGACTATTTGAAGGAGGATCGAGAGGTGATTGTGAGTGAATGGTTTGTAGGTAGAGTGCGTGCGTTGCAGGGAGTGTATGGTTGGTGCTTCGGTGATGCGTAGCGTGTTTTATGAGCTTTAAGTGAAAATATTCAGCTAGAAGTGGTATAAACGCCCACTTTACGCAGATAGTGGAGATAGATCCCTGAAATACGCTCTTCTGCACACCACACACATTCCAATGACCTTGCTACTTTCTAGACCATCATCCACTGAAGTAAGTTGGCAGCGAGCTGGCGATTTCTAGGCGATGATTGACTGTCGCGATAGGATAGAAGTGGTAGACGACAAAATTCTCAACTATGGCACTGAAGATACTCCCCACACACCAATCTCCATAGACACCCAACGATATCCTCAACAACTTCAAGAGGCAGGTAAGAGAAACCAAGCAGGAAAAAGCGCGTAATACAGTAGAGGGGGATAGGGAGAAGAAGGAAGCGGCTGAGCGTAGGATTAGGTAGACGAAGCAGCTCAGCGATCCAGAGCCATTCGTTGCTTATTTCGTTCGGAGCGGCGGGTGTGATGATGGGTGTTGCCTTGCGTTTTCTACTGGGTGCGTGTAGTGTGAAATGTAATGCATACTTGAATGTACATGTAATATGTTACTATAATTGTAACTCCAATTTACTTTGACACACGGCACGTACGGCACGCTCTACTTATGCAGTGTGCGTTAGGCGTATTCTTTAGCTGTGCAACTGCGCGTCTGTGCATCAGCTCATCTGTTCATCTGTCCCTTATCTGTGCGCGAATCACTCTTCTCGCCTTCTCTCGCTGTACCACGCAATGACAAAACAAGACGTCGAAAACACCTCAAGTACCTCGGAATTGAGCGACCTGAGCGATATCAGCAACCTCAGTGATCTCAACTTGGGTGACTCGATCAAGCCGCTTTCGTCGCTTAGTGAAGAAGAGGTGGCAACGCATGTGTTTCTACTAGCGCATATTGACGAAGAAGAGAAGATGTTGGTGGTAGACGTAGGTGTGACTGGAGAAGCTGTTCATGACAAGCTAGTGTTCACCCTCACCGACCTTAGGAACGCAGTGCATTTTGAGCAATTCACTCAACAATTCCGCTCACATCTCAGTGGTACCGCTCGCAAAGCGCACGACGAGCTGATCGATATGTACGCAGACAGAGACAGCCAAGACGAGAAGACATTCGTGAGATACAACGAGAAACTGATCGAGGTGAGCGATATACTCGCTATGGAGCTCGAGGAGAAGGAAGACTTGCAGAAGCTGTGCGATGAGCAGGAGGATTTGGATGCAGTTGCTGTTGAAAATTTTGCCAGTAGAGTATGCAGCCATTTCAGCGAGAAATACCCACACAAAAAACTCGCAGTGGTGCTGTTGGATCCTATCGCTACCCTCAACGCTTATCCTGATGAGTATGAGGTCATGCCGCACACCCTCAGAGACGCACTCGTTGATGCTGGTGCAGACGTTTTCATGTTGGAAGGCGATGAGGAGGGCGAGCAAGTTAAAGAGGAGCAGGAAGAGAAGGCGAAAAATACACCGGCTTTAGACTTGCAACACAAACTCGGCAAGGCTTTTGAACATCTTGCACTGGATTAGAAATTAGAATTAGAAATATGGAATGGCATGTATGTTGAAATGTATATGATACATTAAATGAGAGCGTGTATCTCTCTCTCTTGGTTATCTGCTCACGTGGGTGCTCTATAGTGATGCCGGATATAAACGGCAAAGGAGAATACAGGGCGAAATTGCTACCGAAGAGGACTAATTTTAGTATAGTCTTAAAAATACGGATCAGGGCAATTTATCAAGCCTTTTTATTTGAAGATGATAAAAGGCAAGAATCCTGATAACTGCTAAGTGCAAGTTGAAGTCTGGAAATTGGGTGGATGGCTGACATAAAGGTAGAGTTGGATTGCTTGAGAATCTATGATTATAATGGTGCTGCTAAATTATACAAATTGTACTGTGTCTTTCAAGCTAATTCGGTGTTTCAATGTTCAAAATGGTCGAGCAGACAATGGAGAGTGGGTATAATGAGCAAGAATCTACAGGCAAAAGCTAAGGATCCAGCCCCAATCGACTTAATTTTATCCCAAATTTTAACAAGTTGGTCGACGATTCGACAGTTTCCTGCTTTGTTCGCGACGTCATTCAAGATAAAAATGCCGAAAGTGATACAGTGGGTGGACGAGAAAGGAAATTAGCCAAGCTAACGGAGAACAAGGCTAGATAGGGAGCTAGTAGAGGAGTACATAAGCAAAGGGGAGCTCAAGGCGAATGAGTGGGTGGGAGCAGCCGAGCAGCCAGCGAATGCTCGACGCTTGCACAAATCTCACACCTCACACAACACACAGTCTGGATATGCTCAACAACTCACTCCAGACAACTCTCAGATACGTTGGATTCGGCGCTGTGGCTGGTGCGGGCTCGCTCTTCTACCTGGCTAGGCGGTACCAGCGCAGATGGGCGTTACCGGCATTTGCGGGTGGAGTGAGTGGCACTTTCCTCGGCCAGTACGTCGGTGCGATGAGTTTCGCCAGTCATTTCAATCAAGAAGGCAGAGATCCACGCGTCGTTCTCCAGACGCTGGCGAGAATCAGCAGGGAGAGCGATGTAAAGCGGGCGCAGAGGATGGCTGGCGGCGGGAGTGTGGAGACGGTTCGTGGTGACAGTGGTGGCAGTAGTAGCCATGGTATTGGTAGTAACGCGGGTAGCTCACGCTGGGATCAGCTGAGAGGCGCCAGTGGTACAAATGGTATACCTCAATCTACTAGTGCAACTCAATCAACTCCAGCTATCGATACTGACTTGACAAACTTCCCCAGATCCAGTGAGGATTTCGAATACGTCAGCGATAGCGATAGAAGTGAGTACAGGAGCAGCGCCGAGAAGGATCTTTGATTGTACAATGCATGGATTATAATTCATGGTAAAATACACTATCTCTCTTGTACCTTTACCTCCATGAGCAGCTCGAACGAATCAACGCAAACAGCGCACACAGCGCACACACACGCGCGGCGTGCTAAGGTTCCGCTGCCAGGCATAGCGAGGACAGCGTACGATCTACGCAAGCCGCAATCAGCATTATCAGCATCAGCATCTCTAACAAACCAACCACACCACTCCCAATACCAATCAGATGGATTCATCGGGCGCGGCACACCTCCACGAGGACCTCCGAAGCAGTCACTCCCAGTGCGTACGTCGAAGCTATCCCAAAAACACGTATTCCTGCCGGGGGAGATACAGACGCGAGCGTTGCCGTACGAGAGTGAGAGGGGAGAGAGTACATCCGGCAGCCACATGCACCGCCCACCCACAGCGCACGAACAGCAACAAGAAGAAGAAGAAGAGCGAACGTCGGCGCGGTTCAGGCTGGCTGAGCGAATGGGGAAGGAGGAGCGAGAGCGAGCGTCGCACAATCGTCTCACCGCATACGCCGTGGGGGAGCGGTACAAGATGCGCAGTCTAGCGGCATACAGCAAGCGGGAGCACAATGCATGGGCGAGGCAGTACGATGAGGCTATCTACACAGTCTACCATCGTCCCTTGCTTCCAGGATACAGCGCAGCTTCGTGTATTCGTTCAAGCAACCCCTCCCGTAGCCCAGGCGGGGGCAGCATTATCGATATGTACGAGGAAGCAGACGAGCTACCCCAGCTAGCAGAGATGGATCATAGCCACCAGCGCCCCTTCGACGACGTCGCTAATAGTCCCCCTAGGATTGACGACGATGGATTTATTCGCGAGGGTGGTGGCGTTGCTGGCAGTGTGGACGAGAGCGGGAATGGTAGTGCGAGTGTTGCAGCTATTCCAGAAAGCAACACGGACGAACCTCGCGACGATGCCGATGTGCAGAGCACTGAGTCGAGAAGGCAGACACAGACAAAGACTCAGAAAGAGAAAGCGAAACCGAAACGGAAATGGAAGACGCAGCTGGAAAGTGTGAATGATACGGTAGCGGAGGTGATACATTTTGACTATGTAAGTTGGGAGTGTGAGTCTGTTAGCTAACAACGCTAACAACTGGGCGATAGGGAGTTTCAGTATTTTACAACATGACAGAAAGTCAAGAGCGGGATATATTGCAAGACATGGTGAATGCCGGTGTAGTAGTCCGACCTCTGCACCCAGATAGTCGGGAGATGGAGCAATGTCACTATGGTCAAGACAGTAACATACCATCGTCGAGGATATTGAACGATTTCTTCACTCTCAAGACTAATTCGCACTATTTGAAGCTGTCATTGGCACATGCTCTAGCGCAGTCGACGAAATTGTCTGCGTTTGAAGAATTGACGCTGGGAGTACTAGATAGTGCATCGACTATACCTAAGGAACTGGCAGCGACAGGGACATTAGCACTCGATCGTCGACAGGCTATACGACTGACAGGAAAGCTATTCAAATTGCGTGTGGATGTTAATCTGGTGAGTAATGTGCTCGATGTACCTGAGCTATTCTGGTCAGAAGCTGGACTCAAAGCGCTATACGATGCGGGGAGGGATTATTTCGAAATAGGAGCGCGGGTACAGACACTGAATGAGCGGTTAGCGGTTGCGGGAGATTTGTTAGACAGTAAGTAAGCATTAGGGGAATATCGCAGAAACTAATTAAGCAAACAGTCATTCACGAACACGTCAATGAGCAGGGAATGAGCAGGATAACGATAATAATCATATGGCTGATTGTTATCGCGTGTTTGGTGGCAGTGGGAGAGGTGGGAGCTAGGTTGGCACTGCACGCGCTTAGGCCGGGGAGTGTGACGATGGTGGAAGGGGGAATGAGGTGGGTTAAGGGAGGGAGTGTAGTGTAGTGAGCTGAGTAATGAGTGTTGATAATGCGCGCTGTATAAAATAGAAAATAATTTACAAAATAATTTTTAGCGAATCGACGACTGCTAGGTGCATCTGATTCAGAACCAAGAGGAAGATAAATAGAAAACAGCAAATCACGCTCATTTTAATAACAAATAATAATTAGACACGGCTATCAATTACCATGTCAGATGCACATTCTATACCCTCACTGACGAGGAACCCGAGGCGTTTGATGCGTACGAATAAGAGGGATTTGTGGTTTGATGGTGGTGACGATGGTGCTGGCGGCGACGGCACCGGAACAATCATCTTAAGTACTCAGAGCCCAGCACCTACTTTCGCTTCTCCAGATGCAGCGACGGACGGTAGAACTACGATGATTGGTGGGGGCGTCAGCAGCTTATCGATACAGAGCGGTGTTAGCAGTGCTAGTAGCGCTAGTAGTGTTAGCAGTGTTAGCAGCGTTAGCAGCGTTAGTTCTCAGAGCACACAGAGTTCTATCAGCTCACAGTCATTGGATTCGTCGCAGTCATCGCAGTCATCGCAGTCTACGCATTCTCTACAATCATCACAGTCATTACAGTCATCCCTCTCCTCCCTCTCCTCTTCCTCTTCCCTCTTCTCCGGTAAGCTCAGCGCACTGTCCCACGAAACACCCCTTAACCTCTCGTACAGCCTCTCCATCCGCGACTCTCAGCGACTCGGACAGCAGCAACGACAGAGCGTGGATTGCTGGTCCTATTGTCGGTTCTATCGTCGGCGCACTCGCACTCCTCGGCCTCCTACTCTTCCTCCTCACTCGCAAGCGCAACAAGCAGCGTGCCTTGAGTGGTAAACAAGCCCAAGAGGCGGCGTTGGCGAGTGGTGGGAGTGCTGGTGGTGGTGGTGTAGCTACAGATGGTGATGCTACAAATGGTGCAGCTACAGATGGTGCTGCTGCAGGTAACACCACAAACAACTCTAACATGCTCGGCGTAGGCGCAGGAGCAGCAGGTGCAGCAGGTGCAGGCGCCATCGCAGCAGCCTCAAGCAGACGCTCTTTTACACCCTCTTCCCACTCTCACTCCCGACGCGACTCTCTCCTCGCTCGGTCCAACAGCGATAGATCCATGTTCCGCCCACATTCGGAACACTCATTCGGGGCATGGGAACAGCAATCGAGGAGTAGCCACGATATACTCGCACCACCACCACCACCTAATAATGGACAATCTAATAATACTAATAGACACTCTGTCGCCTCCCCATTAGACGAACTCGTAAGGTCGTTTAGTTTGAGAAAGGCCAACAAGTAATTTCTATACTGTCAATCTCTACTCTCTATCTCTCTCTACACACACACACTCTTTAGAAGGAAAATTCTCACTCGCACAAGATGCATTATTTAAGGAATTTCTATACCCACTTTACCTTTCAAGTACCTCTTCCTCTCAATTTCTGGAGTTTTTTCTTTTTTTCTTTTATCACTACGCCGATTCGCTTATTCGCTAATAAATGCTTTTTACCGAATGTTTTGGGTGATGGGGGCTGCTTGGGAGAGTAAATGTGAGCGTAGGCAAAAATATTAAAAATAGGCGTATGAAACTGTATATATAAAGTAAACAAAGTTATAAAAGTGAAAATATTCACAAAGACCTGTAACAACGTCAGCTAAAATGCAACAAACAACATTGCACACAGCCATCGAGATTCAGTTATGAAATTCAAATCATCAGATGAACACAGCTGCCGGCTGAGCTTACGGGAAGACGGTGCGTGTGTCCACCTTAAAATAAGAGGTGCCAGTAGAGAGCCCTAATAACCGTGGGCTTTTCGATCATGTGGATGGCGTGTGTGGAGTGAGCGGGGACTTACATAATGTTTGGAGGTGGTGGAGGTGGTGGTAGTTATCGCGCTGCTACTGATGCTGCTGGGTGACTACAAGAAATCAAGCAAACACCAAGCAAACACCAAGCACAGACCTACCACTCACCGCCATCCTCATCGTTCTTCTCCAAGAAGCTTGGTCGAATTAAAAAATTTAAGCCAGCCTCGCTCGCCTGAAGGAAGAAGATTTCAAAAAATAATCCTTCGAGTCAACGTACAAGATCAAAAATGGTAAGAAATCTCAAATATTAAAAGGCTTTGCTAAGAATTTACAGGCCAGCCTCGTAGCCCCAGAGCCGCATATGCAGTTCCAGCATATCTTGCGTCTCCTCAACACAAACGTTGACGGTAAGAGAAAGATCCAGTACGCAATGACCGAAATCAAGGGTGTTGGTCCACGCTACGCCAACGTCGTCATCAAGAAGGCTGATGTCGACCTCTTCAAGCGCGCCGGTGAGCTCAACTCTGATGAGCTTGAGAGAATCGTCAGCATCTTGCAGAACCCAACCGCTTTCAAGATCCCTGCTTGGCTTCTTAACCGTCGCAAGGACGTCAGCGACGGTAAGAACCACCAAGTCGTTTCTAACCAAGTCGACTCCAAGTTGCGTGATGACCTTGAGCGTCTCAAGAAGATCCGTGCCCACAGAGGTCTCAGACACTTCTGGGGTATCCGTGTTCGCGGTCAGCACACCAAGACCACCGGTCGTAGAGGAAAGACTGTCGGTGTCTCCAAGAAGAAGGGCGGTTAATTATGTGCATCTTTCTTACGCCTTTCGTACTCTTCTTGTACGCCAACCCAAGCAATTGATTATGTTTTCAATCATTCCGTGCGTTGCCTGTTGTGTCCGTGTCGATGATTGTGCCCTGTGTGAGGGTGGTATAACACGTATACCGCTGAGTAGAGTAAGAGCAGTGTTAAATATCATCTTACGTTACGTTACTTGGTAAACTCTGACTGAACACTTTAAACCAGGTTGACATGAAAATTTGCACAATTGATCCATGTATTAACTAAGTGTACAAGATAGACTAGAGAAAGTCGCGTAAATCCTAAAAAGTGTAAAAAGTGTAAAGTAGGCTATCATAACCATTCCAATTCTATAAGGGGTGAGGGCGTTGGTATCAGGAACGTATCTACGCCCAGTTACCGAGCAAACTCATCAGGCCAGCTCCGAGGAGTACGCAGAAGCCAGCATACAGGACATACATGTCGGACGCCTTCTTCATATGCGAGCTAAAGATAAAGTCGTGCGCCAGCAATTCTACCAGACCGGTGTAGAGCAAAATACCAGCAGAAATAGAGTTCAGGAGACCAGTGGTGATGAGAGCCGCAGTAGATCCAGAATTGTACGTCTCTCTAACACCCAAACCAATAGCGACAAAGATAGGCGTGATGAGGAAATAGCAGGTGGCTCCAGTGTACGGAATCCAAGTCTGCCTCACAGGCAGCTCCGCAAGTCTAGCGCCCAATCCTAATCCTTCAAACATTTGATGAAACACAATGACGATGAGCAGCACCCTGAACTCATCCGATGACGAGGTTGCGAGTGTAAGACCAAGGATGGCAGAGTGGAACAAAACACCGAACTCGAGAATGGCTACACCAGTAATCATTGACATGGTGTTGTATCCGAAACTGCCCATCGAGTGGACGCTCTCCACGTCGTTTGTCTCAGTTGATTTCTGATCAGCCATAGTGGTAGCTGGAGCGTCATGGACTTGTGGGTGAGAATCAGAGGTGTGTGTGTAGGTTTCTGCACCATGAGATCCTGCTATACCACCAACATTGTCATGGCCGTGATTGTCGTAGTTCATCCCGCGTCTTTCGAGGTACTTGTTTCCGAGTCTTGAAGCCCACAATTCAGCAAAGAAGATAAACTGTTAGAGGTTAGTAAAGACCTTTTAACGGCTTACTTTCCACTAACAAATACTGCAGCTTCCGCGAGAGCTGGTGCCCAATTGTAATCATTCCAAGCACCACTCAAACACTCCTGATCGGTGAGTTTCTCAAAGGCTTCAGCGAGCAAGTGAATGAAAGCAGTCGCAACAATAACCCCAGAGCCAAAGTACTATGGCTGGTGAGCGGTGACATCATAAGAAAACAGAAAACCACACACACCTTAATTGTATCGTAGAATATCTTGGGCAATCCCAGCCCTTTTACTCTACCGGTTACGATTGGAAGGAGTGTGCCTAAGGCTGACGTAGCCATTACGATGAAGATTGCACCAATGCGAAGACTGCGATTTGTGAGGGAGGTACGCTGAGAGGAGGATTACGACTCACCCTTGTAATGAATTGTCATGGTATTTGCTACCGCAATTTACAGCTGCAAATACTGTCAATCACTACACACTCCTTTACATGATCACTCACATGCTTCTTCTCCAGCTCTAGTAATCAACTTTGCGAATTCTGCAGACATGGTGGATTTAACTTAAAGAGGATTATATCGAGTTGGTGGTTTAAATCTGACTTGTCCTAGGCACATCCAATTCCACTATATGAGTACCGTCATGGTTCTGTCAAATCTTCCGAGGTTTGAGATTAGCGGTAGACAAAAAAGGAAATGTGCATTATATTGTTAGATCAATGGATCGGTTGTGAGCATTTATTCAGAATCCTGACGTTTAATGCCATACCATACCTTCACACCGAAGTAACTGACGACTGACACAGTACTCGCATTTCCATTTCGGGTGTCTGGGCGCTCGTTAAGACGGGACCTTACCGATGTGGTGCATGTAAAGAAGGTCTGTGCTTTGCGAGTGGAATCTGTCACAACGCCAGTGCCGTTGATGTCTGATGCGGTCGTGGTGAGAGGTTGAAATAGAGGCGGAAGATGATTATAAAGGGACTGATTAGGTTAAGGGGACTGCTTTAGCTGTAATTGGGATATCTGTCACAGATCTGACATGTCTTCCTTTTCTCAAATTGTAGTCTTCATGTCAAAATCTGAAACGGAAGCAGTCGGATTTGCTGTCTAAACCAGCCAAATAGCCTGAAATTGCTTCTATCACCGTCTTATTCTCTTTCAAGTCAATTTTAATAGCCCATTGTATCTCGGAGGAAATTCTTCGCTAAATTTTCCGCCCTGAACATAAATAAATGCGTTGAGGATACATCTTGCACCCCTTTTAGACTTATCGGATACATCTATCTCGCATCTAGCTGTGCCTTGCAGTCAGGTCGTAGTCGACGGCTACAGCTACACAGCTGTGAAGGTACTTTGAAGTGGTAATTGTAGTGGACGTGGTAGTTTCAAAGGTTGCGCTATCTAACATGTCGTTACTCTATTTGATAGTGGATCCTGGAATCTCACTCAGTAAGACACCATCTCATCACTGGAATCACGCAATTATCACGGTATTGCTGCATATAATAAAATGTGAGTGGTTAAAATAGTTGATTATGGAGCTGATTTGAATCTCCAGCCACTTATCAGTGTCTTGCACGTATTAGGGTGGTGTCGCAGAGATGTATAAGATGCACCGGTGGCTCAGTCGACCCACAATACCCTTGAAATAAGAATAATAACAAAGTATAAATGACACGTTCTTACCTATTTTCTAACGCCAGCCTGAACACAAATACCGCACACACTACATCGACCACGCTAAAACTCAACGATACGATGAGATATTGTGGCAGATAAAAAAGAATCCAATTTAACAACTCACATCAATATAAAATCCCAGTAAACTCACTCAGCTGCAAACTTTGAAGCCACTCGCTCTCCCACGATCGTCCCGAATTTCCACACAGATCAGCAACACACGCAATGTCCGCAAAAATCTCTTCATTTGTAGAACTACACAACCACAATGTAGTATTTCTCTATCTGGAACCCCCACGCCGGCAAAAAGATCCAAGCAGCAGAGCTTGCCGATGAAAAAAGGCACACATTGAAGAGCTAAATCTAAAGCTGGACGGCGCTGCCCTATGCGCAATAATTAACACGTGCAAAGTCTCGTTCTTTGCCATAAGCGGCAATATCTCGCCTAGAATCACTATTACAGAGTTCGATGAGGCAGTAGATCGCAAATGCTTCCGATCAAACAAGAAGCTACAACTCTGCGACTACACGCTCGCATGCCTCGACTCATACAGCAAATCCCCGCGCAATTTTCACGCAAATGATCAGCACGCTGATCTGCAGTCACAAAATGAAGCCTGGCGGCTTGTTGTGATGAAAGAACCAAACACGACCTCGCACAGCCTTTTATCAATCTCCTTGAAGTTGAACAGACGGACAAGGAGAAAAAGGAGTTTAGGAAGTTGGCAGACGAAATTGACAGTGTGTTTGGCAGGGGTGTTGTTGTTTTTGATGTTCAATGTGAGTTTGGTGTTCGCTTAGATGGGTATCTCGATGTGTTGGTGTTAAAAGAGGTATTTCAATAGCTAATAAAGCAACCCCACTAACTCAAGCCAGATCCCATCTTATACTATCAAAGATGCCCTCATGGAGAAGGGTGTCGAGGTGAAGACGAGTGATACCAGAGCATCAGCTAGTTTCTGTCCCATGCGCGGGAATAGAGTGCAAGTGCCACTGTGTTTTGCTAGCGAAGAGAATCGATGTTACAATGACCTCCACTGCAGCAACATTCACTCACTCGCTGTCCTTAGAAAGTGGGAAATATTCTGTGGTACCAGCGGAACATACTTTCACCGCACTTTCGTGGTTACTGAGAATATTATAAATGATTTCCTCTAATTTGCTTACTCGACTTGCTATCCTTTTGCTGCTACAGTGTTTGAAATGTATTTATTTTACTGTTGAAACATCTTCAATCTACTTCCATTATTTTACTAATTTCTTAAGCCTCCCCCACACCCCACATTCGGCCCTATCAGTCAACCACCTCCACCTCTATTCCAATGTTCCCCAAAATTCCCACGCAGTGTTGTATTTCAATCCTGAGCCGGCGACGCACCAACGGCCAGATGGCATCGCAAAAACCTGCGCCGTGATGTTACAAGACTCAAAGTAGACAGCACAAAGCCCGTCGTCGCTATAGCATCCAATGATTATGAAATCTACGCGTCTAATGGGAATATAAAGTTATTGTTTACGTTGAAGGACTTTGACAAAGCTACTGGTCGTCCGGAATATTATAGAAAAAAGGAGTTCTTATTATCGAAATCCACACTCGACAAGCTAGATTGTTTCCCCTTTCCATCTCATCAGTTTATAGAAGAATGTCAGGAAAAGAGACAAGAGAATTTCAGCTCTTGCACTTCAAGTTGGCAAGGCGAAATTGTGAGTAGTGTGCGCGGCGAAATAACGAAGGACGAGGCTTTAATTCTTGAGAGGGAGCAGGTCCATAAGAAAAAGGTAGAGGTAAGGAAAATAGCGGACGAAATTGTTGACAAGCTTGGCCCTTGCATGATCATTTTAGATGAGCTGAGACCATTCCGTAGGAGGACTACTGAATATCTCAACATATTCTTCCTATCAAACGTGGCAGGCGTCCTCTAGTACAATGTACTGTTGACGTTCTCAAACAGACAGAAGATCTTCGAGACGTATCCAAAACCCCTCCTATCACAATAAGGGTGTGTTCCAGGATATGGGCGTCGAGATAAATTGCACCATTTCCTTAGCTGCTGCTAGTCTCTGCCACGTGTATGCTGAGAAGGTCAAAACACCAGCGTAACCAGTAAGATACTTTCACCTAAAATCAATCGAGCACAGAGATTATCACTCTGGCTTACCAAGGAGGTCTACTGCCAGAAAGACCATTACGATGTCGACTGCATCTCTGATGAACCAGTCAGACCCCTCCCGCGTACCTATTTCAGGCGCGCAGTCAATGTAATGGATAAAATTAAGAGCCACCTGAAACAAGAATATTTGTATCCCGCACCAAGCTTCATTCCTTGCATTTTGTCTTACAAATATGAATTGAAATTTTCACACTCCTGAAAATGTTTGATGTGTGAGTAATATAATAATTAATGTGATGAATTTGTTGATTCTGCTGTCTTTGTTGCTACATGTTTTCTCCCAAGGAGCCAGATTCTCATCAGTTTATTCAAAGTCATGTGTAACTCCTGATTGTCTCACTTGTATTTCTCATCACTTGACAGCCATTATCTTTCAGCCCAATGCCGCTCCTCAGATTCAAAGCCTTGAATTCAGATTTCAAATTCATCTACATTCTCCCAGATACAGTCAACCTACAGTCAGCCAGGAAGCTTAATGATGATTTGAAAGACGAAGTGATGAAACTCAAAATTGACAATACAAGGCATATACTCATGATAGCATCTAACGATAAGGAAATATACGCATCTGATGGTAACGACTCCCTACTCTTCACGTTGGAAGACTTTGATGAGGCAACAGAACGCCACGATTACTGCGAGAAAAAGAAGCTTTTACTTCCTGATCATAGACTCGAGTGGCTAGACACCTCCTTAGCACTATCACTATATGAAAAAGAAAAGAATACTTCCTTCTGGAGTCCCAGATCACATTATTTGCCGGACGGTGCACGTGAGGAATTGATGGAAAAGGAGGTGTTGGCTCTGGAAAATGAGCAAAACAGGAAAGAGGATGCAATGATGAGGAAAATAGTGCGTACAATCATCGAAAAATTTGGTCGTGATTGTACGATTGTTTTAGACGAACTAAGACCATTCGGGTTTAGGTATACAGAGTATCCGAATATCTCTTTATGCCTATTGCTTGTGGGTAAGACTAACCTTAGTGACTCTTACTTACTTTACGAAAACAGGACGAAGAAAATCTTCCAAATTTCCCCAGATCTCATCCAATCAGTATTAGTGCGGTGTTTGAGGGGATGGGTGTGAATGCGAAGAGCATTCAGTCTAAATGTGCAACCAGTATTTGCTATGTTTGTGGTGGAAAAGCAGAGCAGCCAGTCCGACAGACGACGGCGTTTCCTCCGATGTTATCCAAAGAAGAACAAATCCCAATTGCGATGTCGAGGGAGTTCTACTGCAAGCATGCGCATCACGACGTGAATGGTATCTCTGAGAAGCCAGACAATTACTACCCCAGTGACTGCTATCCTGGTACTTTTCTGAAGCGAACTGTGAACGTGGTGGAGAATATTAGGAAGAAATTGAGCTAAATGAGAGTATATCCAGTTTGAAGCTTTATACCTTGCTTTTTCTTGTATTTGTCTTGGATTTATGATTTAATATTTCTATCTCTTCTGAGGAGTTCTAAGGAAGGATGATAGTCATGGGAGCTTAATTGATAACCGCTTTCCTGACCAACTACTCACTCGTCCAGATTATTTTTTCTCTCGATTTCTTACATCCTCACACCCCACATTCCAACCCAATCAGCTGACCATCAAAACCCCACTCTAGGCAATATGACTGAGGATAACTCGCACACTAAAGTCCAATTTTCCGGCCGACGCACCAACGGCCAGATGGCATCGCAATAGCCTGCGCCGTGATGTTACAAGACTCAACGTAGATACTACAAAGCCCGTCGTCGTTATAGCATCCAATGATTATTACATCTACGCGTCTAATGGGAATGCAGATTTACTGTTTACGTTGAAAGACTTTCTCAAAGCCACCAATTGTCGCGAGTATTGATCAAAGAAAGAATTCATTTTCAAAATCCGCAATCGATCAGCTGCAGTCATTCCGGTTCTCGTCAATCGACTAGAAAGTCTATTGTGGGATGAAGGATTCGATGCATTTGGAGCTCGCAATCGAGATGTGCAAGTGGAAAATAGTGAGAAGTACACGCGAAGAATTGACAAGAGAGGATTTCGGGATTCTCGATGAGGAACAGCGCGAGAAGGAAAATGAGTATTAAGAAGATGTTGTACGCGATTGTCGAAAAGCTCGGCGTTTGTCCGTATGTTTTAGATGAGCCGAGACTCCTTGGGATCAGACCTACTGAAAAAATAGACATCTCGCTAATCTCACTGGTGGGTGATTACTTTTTTTCCTCGGAGCTTGTTGATAAATTTCAGACGAGAGAAGATATGATTGACATCTACAAAAGCATTCCAATCACAATGACAAGATTGTTTAGGGATATTGGCGTGAATTAAAGTGCACAAAGTCAGTATACAGGGCTAGTATAGCCATGTCTGTTGTAGAAAGGTCCATCTGCCAGTTGGAGGAGCAAGAGTGTTTCTCCAAAAGCCATACGAGTATCGCAGTGTTCCTTTCTGGCTCACGAAGGAACTTATCTGCGAGATAGATCATAATGATGTCAAAGGTTTTTCTGATGAGCCAGATAGAACGCGTCCAGGAAACTTTCTCAAGCGTGCATTAAACGTAGTTGATATTATCAGGAAGTACCTTAATTAGATAAGAGCATTTCTATAATAAGTTTCATACCATGTATTTTCTTGTCTTGACGGGGTGTTGAAGGGGTTTGAAGGTATTAACTGTAATAATATCTACTATTTAAATATGAAATATACTAATTTTCAATAAAGTCCCAGATAACCTTCTTGCATCTTACACTCTGACGATGATTATGATTCCAATGACGAGAATGGCGCTGAGGAGGGGCAGTAAGTGGTAATACTAATCAATTTGATATTTCTAAGCACGTTTCCCAAGCCACGCTCACTCGGTCACTAAGCACTACTAGATGTACGAATGTACTCAACAAATTCGATTTTCCAGCGTGAGGAAGCAACTATAGTCTATATGCCAATTTAACAGCATTTCTCAGTATGTCTCCTACTATGACTGAAGGTGGTATCGCTGGTTGGAAGATTAAAGCAGGCGACAAATTCAGCGCAGGCGACGTTTTGTTGGAAATCGAAACTGATAAGGCCACCATCGACGTCGAAGCCCAGGATGACGGGGTTCTCGCAAAGATCATTCTCAACGACGGCGCAAAAGGTATTCCTGTTGGTGCTCCGATCGCTGTGCTCGGTGAGGAAGGCGATGATATCTCAGCCGCGGACGCCGTGGCAGAGAGTGCAAAAAGTTCTCAGGGAGAGTCAGAAGGTGCAAAGCAAGACTCAACACCACAACCAACCCCAGAACCGGCACAAAGCACACCCGAACCTACACCTAAAGACACCCACGTAGAATCCACCAAACCATTATTCCCTTCTGTCTCACGTCTCTTGATCGACAATGGTATATCAGACCCAAGCGCTATCCAGGGCACCGGCAGACACGGTATGCTTACGCGTGGTGATATTCTGTCTCATTTGGGTAAGATTGACAACCCACGCGGCTCAATGAAGCAGGTTGCCGACAAGCAGGCCAAGGAAGCTGCTGAATTCAAGCCATTTGAAGGCCTGTCTGAGAAGAAGGATGGTAAGAAAGATAGCAAAGATGACAAGCCACTCGACTATGTTTCGATCCGTAGCATAATCACAGCTGGCTTGTCTAAGGGAGCTGCTAAGAAGGGTGTGGAGAAGAAGAAAGAGCAATTGCCCTCATTTGACGACGTTATCGCACCATACCTCACACCTAACCCCAAACCAAACGAAAAAGTACAAGAAAGACCATTCGCTGGCACAAAGAAGAGCGCGGATTACTTGGAAGGGTTGTATTAGAATAGATTTGTTGATTTTTTTAGTTTCTATCGTGTCCTCGTTGTCTTCTCGCTACCAAGTAGTGCATGCTGAGTAGGAGCAGCTGCTGTGTAAATAGGTCTATCAGTAAAGCCCGTATAATGTCCACAACTCCCACTCAACCCGCTCTTCCTGAAAATCACAAACTCACAAGCGAAAATACAGCCCAAATACTGATCCCAATTACCGAGAAGAGCGACAACAAGGCATTCATTAATCCCATACAGGAGTTTAATAGGGACCTGTCTGTAGCCGCTATCAAAGTTTGGTCCGAGATCGTTCGCGACGAGAAGTCTGCCAAGTTCAAGCAGAGGCTGGAGAAGAACAGCAACCGTAACAGTACCGGTAACAGCACCGGAAAGCGGAGAGAGCCTATCGAAAACCCAGACTGGGTGCACAATTTCAGCATTCTCGACGCTCTCTCAGCTACCGGCTTGCGAGCCATCCGATACGCCAAAGAGATCCCCAACGCCAACCGCATCTACGCTAACGACTTTTCTCCCGACGCCGTCGCTGCCATCCGCCAAAACGTCGCGTACAACCAGCTACAAGGGCGGGTAAACGTGACGGAAGGCGATGCGAGTGCGCTCATGTACCAGCACCGCAGCAAGGCGCAATTCGACGTCATTGACCTGGATCCATACGGTACAGCAGCCCCGTTCATTGATGCAGCTGTGCAGTCGCTTAGCAGTGGGGGTCTTCTCTGCATCACCTGCACCGACACTGCCGTCATGGCCGGCACCAACTACCCGGAGAAGTGTTTCTCCAACTACGGCGGCACGCCTGTACGCGCCGAGTACACCCACGAGGCGGTGAGTGAGGCGCATGGTGGTGGGATGCTCACTCAAACTCACACTCACACACTCGCAGGCACTCCGTCTCATCCTCAACTCCATCTCCCAGTCGGCATCGCGGTACGGGCGCTACATCGAGCCCATGATGTCGCTCTCCATCGACTTTTATGTGCGCATGTGGGTGCGCATCCACGACGGCTCTGCCGAGACCAAAAAGGCGTTTAGTAAAACGGGGAGTGTGCATGTTTGCTCTTTCTGCCGCGCGCACACCATCCAGCCTTTTGGGAGGGTAGTGGAGAAAGTGAGCGGGAAGGGAAATGTCTCGAGCAAGTTCCAGGCAGCGCAGAGCGTGGGTGTAGGCTCGGGTGTGGATGCGAGTGGGCGATGCAGCGAGTGTCACGCGCACTGTCACACTAACGGCCCCATGTGGATCGACAAGCTGCACAACAAAGCCTTTACGCAGCGCCTCTTGCAGCACGTCACGCAGGCGCAGGAGGGCACCTACGGTACGGCTACGCGTATGAAGGGGATGGTGAGCACAGCGCACGACGAGCTCGACGAGCCGTTCTACTTCACCACAGACAGCGTCGCGAGCGCTATGAAGCTGACGGCGCCCTCTATGGTGACTGTTGGGTACATTTTGGTTTGCTAGAAAGGACTGATTGTCTCACCCCCTTACAGGTCCGGCCTCGTTAACGCGGGGTACGCCGTCTCACGCTCGCACGCCCTCCCCGGGTCCATCAAGACAGATGCACCTGTTAGCGCCGTGCATGACATGATGCGCAAGTGGATGCTGTCCCATCCCGTCAAGCTGGAAAACGTCAAGGAGGGCTCGCCTACAAGACACTTGCTCACCAAGGAGCCGCGGTAGGGTGAGCTTTTGCGCGTGATCTGCTCTGATACACTCACAGCATCGACGCTGATCTCACCCATAACCAGAAAGTCGTCGATCTGTTCAACTCCAAGGAGAAAATCAGACGGTATCAGGCCAACCCGGCGAACTGGGGTCCATTGGCAAGGCCGGCAAGGGGTGACAAGATTGAGAAGCAAGGGGAGAAAGATGAAAAAGTGGAAGACAAGCACGAAAATACAGGAGACGAGCGCAAGAATGTAGGAGATAAGCGCTCGCAGGAGCATTTGCAGGATCGCACAGACATTACTCACACTAAGAAAGCTAAAGTAGGCTAAATAGACGTGTAATTTGATATTTACAGCTGTATGAAAAAATTGCGCGTACTTGATGTGAAGAGATATCAGGGCTACTTGCGTTATTTTAATGTGCTATACGATTTTAGTAATCAAGAATGCTTATAAATCTCGCTGTTTTTCTGATCTGCCTGAATCTGGGTAATCTGGTTAAACTGGCTAAACGTTTGGGCGAGCGGGTAGCTTCAGATTGGAGATTTGCGTGGCATAGTGACTAAGGCCAAAAAAGCCCGCAATCCATTCACCACCCAAACCTCTCACATCACTTAGAGTACAATCTGACGTTCATTACCATGAGAAAATTCTCCATTTGTTTTGTGAGAGGAGATGCTAGGTCTGTTTGCACCTATTAATGTAGTGCGTAGAGCAAACAAGCACATATCGATAAAAATCTGGCTGATTTTCTGTTCTGCCTGAAATTGGTTAATCTGGATAAACCGGCTAAATGTTCCAGCGAACGGATTGCCACAGATGCGAGTGGCGTGCAAGACTGCGACTTACTGAGCACGCTAGACATGCTGTATACGCTTTCCACCTCCACGCCCCTCAAAGCGACTTGCTGATCACTCATCGCACCCAGTTGACGTCATGATTTCTTGCACCAATAAATTTCGCCGATTTGTCATGACTTCTTCTCCAACTACGAATAATAATGTGGGTAATGTGCAAACGTATCGCCCTATCTAATAACTTTCCTGCAGGTCCGTATACGATTCCGACAAACCCGTCAACGCAAACTCGAAGGCCGAGCAACTCGCCACCGCCACCAGGGACATCCCTACGGAGGGAGATGCCTTCCACCGCACCACCTTCGGCGCCAAGGCTGATAATGTTGAAGTCGGCATGAAGGCCGGCCGCAGAGGCCCTTACCTTCTCAGCGATCCTATCATGCGCGATAAGGTCTCGCACTTTGACCACGAGAGAATCCCAGGTGCGTTCCGAGCATTTGGTTTTTCTGACTGACGTCATCTCAGAGCGTGTCGTTCATGCCCGCGGTGACGCTGCACATGGATTCTTCAAATTGCACACCAGCTTGGAAGATGTTACGCACGCTAAGGTCCTTAATGACACAGAAAGTGAAACTCCTATGTTCGTGCGCTTTTCAACCGTTCTCGGAAGCTCCGGTGCAGCTGAGACAGCAAGGGAAGTAAGAGGTTTCGCGAGCCGCTTTTACACAGAAGAAGGAAATTGGGATGTTGTCGGTAACTCACTTGCACCGTTTTTCGGAAGTTTAAACCACGTTTTGAGATTGTTTACTTACAAACCAACAGGTACAAGATGGTATGAAGTTTCCTGACCTAATCCACGCTGCTAAACCTGAACCTCGTACTGGCATTCCGCAAGCACAGACGGCACATGACAACTTTTGGGACTTTATTTCCCTCAGCGAAGAGTCTACTGTGAGTTAAGAAGATTTTATCGAGATATACTCACACAATATCAGCACATGGCTTCCTGGGCGTTATCCGATGCGACGATTCCCCGCTCTTACCGTATGATTCAAGGATTTGGTGTAAACACCTTTGTCTTTGTCAATAAGGAAGGCAAGCGCACTTTCGTAAAGTTCCACTGGAAGCCTCATCTTGGACACCACTCATTGTGCTGGGATGAGGCTCTCAAGCTCGGCGGCCAGGACCCTGATTTCCTCCGCCGCGATCTCTATATGTTCATTGACGCGGGCATCTACCCCAAGTACGAGTTTGGTGTACAGCTCGTTCCTGAGGAGGACGAAGACAAATTCTCATTTGACTTGCTTGACTGCACAAAAATAATCCCTGAAGAGGAAGTGCCAATTAAATGGGTAGGAACAATGACGTTGAACAGAACAGTCACAGATCAGTTTGCGGAGAACGAACAAGTGGCTTTCTGTACCAACAACATTGTACCAGGCATCGTAGGTTTTGGAAGACATTTCCTGAAAAATGTTGACACTTAACAGGATTACTCGGATGACCCAATGCTTCAAGTCCGTAACTTCAGTTACTTCGACACACAGATTTCTAGACTTGGTGGCATTAACTTTTCCCAAATACCGATCAATCAGCCAATTCCTCAGGCGTGTCCATTTATGAACACTCTCAGAGACGGTTCATCAAGCAAAGTTATCCCTAGTGGACCAAACTACTATCCTAACAGATTCAACAACAACCCTGGTCCGGCATCTGTTGCTCAGGGTGGTCTCCACCATCCACCATACAAGGTTGGAGGTGTACGTGAGAGAAATCTGGGCCCTAAGTTCTTCGAATATTATGATCAAGCCACTCTCCACTACAATTCATTATCTGACGTCGAAAAGAACAACTACGTTAACACGGCAGCTTTCGAAATTGGTAGATGTGATGACAGAGGTGTTCAAGAGCGTATGATGGAGCGTTTCAAGCACATTGATTATGACCTCGCCAAGAGTATCGCCAGCAACTTCGGCATTGACGTCGGTCAGCCAGTAAAGAAGAACCATGGCAGAAAGACTGACGGCTCCAATCCAATCAGTATGCTCTCCAAGAACAACACATTCAAGGCTGAGGGAAGATTGATTGCGATGATTGCACCAGATGGCTTCGACTATCAACAAGCAGTCGCTGTTCAGAAAGCCTTTTCTTCTTTAGGTAATATTGTAGCAGTGATCGGAACAAGAAAGGGACCAACTTATGGCAAGAACGGCGAGCAGCTCGACACTCAATTCACATTTGAGTTAGCCAGATCAACATACTTCGACAGCTTGATTTTCTTAGACGGCAACGATACATACCAGAAGACTTTGCAAATGGGCAGACCAAAGCACTGGTGCATTGAAGCTTATGCACACTACAAGCCGCTGGCTGTTGTAGGCAGCAGCGCTGAATGGGCATCCAAGCTCATCCCAATCACGAACAAGATCGAAGATAGCAAGAGCTTCTCAGTACAAGATGGCGTTGTCGTCGCGCCTAACCTCACAAACCAAGACACTGGTTTGCTTGAGAAATTAACACACGGTGCTTACGACGCCGCCACTTTCGCAGGTGCTTACGCGCAAGCTATAGCTGGTCACCGTTACTGGCGCAGAGACAACTCTACATTGGCTTACTAGATAGGCGCTATCGTCGCTTTTCAATTTGTATTCTTTTTACGATAATTTATATGTCTCACTTTTGCTTTTTGCGGAGACTGCGTTGGCCGCTCTAAAGAGTTTTCAGCCTATTAAATTGATGTTTACAAAGGGAGATCTCGAGTAGTTCTGTTACCGAAAATCACACATTTTAGTAGTAAGATCTCACAACGACTGTGGAGTACATCTGCTATATCCCTCGCCAGCCATATAATCAGACAATCTTTAGATATCTGTCAATCAATTCCTTGTTCTGGAGTTAGAGTGCGGGTGGGATTGAGATTAGTAGATGCGACAATGGTGGTGTTCACTAGCATAAAAAAAAAGGTTCAAGCGCATTGACTACGATTTCGAAGAGCATCGTCAGAAACTTATTAAACAACACCTTTTCAAAAGTACACAGCTGCAACTTCAAGAAAAAAAACATTAGTATCGTGTACTGTAGATGAAAAACAAACTGTAAAACATTTGAAAGAAATTCAGCTAATCAAGTATGTATATAGAATCATTTTGCTAATTTAATTAGATGGCCTAGTTGCGCTGTTCTTCGCGATCCCATTTGCTCGAGTTTTCTCTCGTCTTCATTGCGTAGCCTCGATAATTTCCCTGTGAGTTGTCAAAAAGTGGCACATCTGAGACAGCAGGCTACTTACAGTAAATTGAGGTTTCCTGAAAGCTACTCAAGCTTGGTGGCCAGGAACCTGATTTCCTTCGCCGTGAACCTTTTATCTTCATTGACGCGTGCATCTATCCCAAGTACGAGCTAAAATCATAACACAGGCAGCCATCTTTGTGTAAACCTAGAAAGCTTAGAAATTGAGCAACGCTGTCTGGTCAGATCTCGGAACTCAAGAGATGCGTCGATGTGAAAGGCAGAGGCGGCTCATAAACGCAATCATTCCGAGTCGCAAAGTCGGATGTAAATGTTGCAAGTAGCCAAAATCCCTTTAATGACTCGCTCTGCAGCTCTAAGAGATGAGATACTGACGCATGGAACTTTAAGCCCAGAGGTTTAAGAAGCCAAGCAAAGATATCTCTATGAGCTTCAATAATCTTTGATATCTCATGTCGTTTTCTCTTTGTCGTTTTATGGGTATATCAATTGGGGGGATAATCGCTAATGTCTATCTCAACGTGAACCAGGACCTTAATTTGTTAGGACCCAAAGTTTTGTTTAAAGGTAATAGTACACCAGCAGATGATGAAGCAGGTACACTACTGACGGAAAAGTGAAACATAGGTTATCTGTCGCAAGATGATGTCACAATTGCAAGATTGACGAGTTCAAGACTAACTAGGTTATTAATGATATATTATACGCTACCTTGTTTCTTTTCAGCTATCATAAGTGACTTGAAAAGAGAGACAAACTTTTGCTAACTACTACCTAGATACACACCAAATGTAGCACGTTTACGCTCATAAAATCAAATCAAGGGAATAATGAATAGTTAATCTAAAGTACAACGTGGTGCGGCTAGAGCTCGTCCTTCTTGTGTTCATTGTGAGGGGCCTCTTTGTCACCATCGGTTGCTGACTTAGTACCTCTGTTATCTTTGATGAATTCGCGGAGGGATTCAGGAGATCTATCACCTTCGTAATCGATCCATTCTTTAGTGCCAGCAGGCTGGAGTTTGAGAGTAGGGAAGGAGGAGATGGAGAATTTAGTTGAGGGAGGGATGTCGTTAGCAGTGGCGTCCATTTTGGCGATGGTGAGAGAGGAGTCATTCTCGTAGCTCTGCGCAAGTGCCTCCCACTCAGGCGCGAGACGCTTGCAGTGACCACACCAAGGGGCATAGAACTCAACAAAGACGTCTTTTTCGTTGTTGTAGACAATTTCATCGAATTGATCAGCGACAAGGGTGATGGCTGAGTCAGTTTGTTCAGCTGGGATGGCTTCTGATTTAACGGAAGGTTCTACCTTGCCGTTGGAAAAGTCCTTGACGAATTGAGCGACATTCTTCTTAGAGACGGGTTTGGTGATGTCCATAGGATATTTGTGACCGGCCTGGAGATCTTGGATGACGAAGCCAGGCCATTCGTCCTTGATAAGGTTGAGGGCCTTTCCGTGCTCAACAAACTTGACACCGTCAATCCAGACGAAGCTAATTTTGCCCTTGTATTCCTCTGCAATTGGCTTTAACTCATCAACGTGCTGAGCTAACTTAGGGTCTTCAGGGTTCTCGAAGATGTAAGCGAGAGGGAGACCAGAGGTAGCGTAGCGGGAGAAGTTTTCAGGGCCAATTTCATCAATGAGGGGAATAGAGTTGATGTTAATAGTTTCGGTGAGGGAGTTTTCATCTAAAGATTTAGTGTTTACGTCATTACGACCTTCATCGAAGGACTTGTAAATGACGATGGAAGGACCAGAGACACCAGCTGACTTTGCAACAGATGAGTCATCAGATTCACCAAAGAGGTAGTTATCGCGAAGGTTAGTGGCGGTGGAGTGGAATGTCTTGTATAAGTCAGTGTTTGGTTTGAGGTTGTAAGCCATGATGACGACTTTATCGGATTGTTTAAAATCGTCGTGGTTTGAAGGGGTAACTTGAGAAACAGGTGGAAGTGATTGTTTAGTCATGTAGCTGACGATACCTTCAGACTTTCTAGTTCCACCGTAAGGCGATGCAAGACCTTTTCTGAATACTTTGAGTGTTGGATAGCCGCCTACATCGTTCTCAGAGCAGACTTGAGCCTCCTCAACGCAATCAACCTTTGCGAGGCTGATATCCTTGGATTTGAGTTGACCAGCTGCCTCCTCGTATTGTGGAGCAAGAGCCTTGCAATGGCCACACCATGGAGCATAGAACTCGACAAGCATGAGATCAGCAGGCTTGACAACATGATCAAAGTTGTCTTTTGTGAGTTGGAGTACGTTGCTGTTTCCATCTGTGGCACCTGCAACGCCTGCAAATACCGCTAATAATCCTGCTACGACTGATATTTTCAATTTCATTGTGTGCTGTCGATGACTGTGTGGGTTCAAGAATGCGTTGGAGATACGTGTACGTGTCAATGGAAATATAAAAAATAAAAATGTATTTTAGATTTATATTTTTGTTCATTCCAACTGCCTTAAATCAAAGTTGGTTGCCTTGTTTCTGCCACTCGGATACGTCAATGATGTCTTTAAATACTCCCGGGGTGGTGGTATATCCAAATAACTTGTAAACGAGTATTCACCGAGGCTATCTGGTGGTGTTTTGCTATCACTAATCTCTTGTGTTCCTTCTGGCTTATTCACGTTGCGTATTGTGGCTGATCGTAGAGGTGGTGGTGGTTCAAGTGTTTGATTGGGTATGGAAACAGCACCGATACCCTCCTTTGGTTCAGCTGCTACTATTCGTGATTTTCCGAATTTTCCAGGTTTCCCAGGTGTTCCAAGTGTTCCAGGTGTTCCAGATTTCCCATTGTTGACATTCACATTGGAATTAAATCCGCCTCTTGCCGGTGGTGGTGGTGGTGGTGCCCTGAACATATATCAGTTTGCCCGTTTAAAATACGCCTTCTCTACTCACCGAATCGATGAGCTGGTTGTTGGTCTGGGTGGTGGTGGCGGTGGTGGTTGTCTGTTATTGTTATTACTAATCCCACTGCCAATTCCCAGTCCACCTCTTTCTCCCCCTCTAGCCGGTGGTGGTGGTGGTTTCGAAACCAAATTTGCACCTCTCGATGGTAGACTTGGCGGTGCTTTTCGCTGTGGGGCTGGAGGTGGTGATGGTCTATTAGGTGGTTGAGGTGGTTGGGGTATTGAACGTGGTGCTGGTGCTGGTGCTGTTGCTGTTGCTGTTGCTGTTGCTGTTGCTGGTCCTGGTGGTAGTACGCGTGGTGGTTGAGAAGGTGCTTGAGTTGCTGGTGCTTGAGTTGCTGGTAATTGAGTTGCTGGTAATTGAGGTGTCACTGCAGCCACCGCCGCTGCTGCTGCTGCCATACTCCCACTCGCACCCGCACCAGGCTTTGGTTTGGGTTTTGGTGGAGGTGGCTTCTTACCAGCTGCACCAGCTGGATTAACTGGTGGGACTGGCGGAGGGGGCCGAGAGGTTGTTTGTGTTGTGGGCGTTGGCATGGGCGCAGGTACTGGCGGGGCTGCGGGAATACCTCGAGCTGGTGCTGGAGGTGGTGGTGGTGGTGTAGCCCTAGCCGGCGGGGCTGCTGGTGGTCTCGGTGGCATACCTCTGTTTGGTGGTGCTGGTGGTGTTGCTGGTGTTGTGGCTGCTGGTGCCTTGGGTATCGACGGTGGCTTAGCTAGGCTTGCTTTGTCTATGTAGTCGCGTTAGAAATACCCAAGCACTGCGCCAGACTCACTTATTCCTGCAACGCCCTTTCCACCCGCTGGACGCAGCTTGGGCATTCCAACGCCTGCGAATATCCCACCGAGTTGCGGGGCCGTTGATGTGTCTGCGGGGTTTGCTTGTTTGGTGGTGGTGTTGGTGCTGCCGCTGCCACTGCCACCACTGCCACCACCGCCGCCTCCCTCACCGACCACTCCCCCGCCCACCGATGGCCCTGATCTGTCATTCGTCTGCGACTTCTTCAGCTTTTTCCCGCCTTGGATTTGTGAAAGCAGCGCATTGTCCATGGTTGTGCGGGTGAAAGGTGTTATACCGCGAATACAAACTTGTTATCACGCCTTTTGTGGTTTACACAGCACACACATACACCTCAGCTATACAAGTACATTGTTTATCCATCCTACAATAGCTGCGCAGACGCAAATTTTCACAACCTCAAACACCCGGCCTGCCTACGCCCTTTCCCCACACACGTACAGACGAGGATATGTTGGTAAGACCAGGATCGCGGGAGTGTTCCTCCCTGCTGATATCCTCGCTCGCGTAAGCCAGCAGGAACTTATTCGGATGCCATGCCACCGCCTTGCTCTTGGCGGCAGTGTTGAAGGAGTGCAGCACCTCGCCCGTGTGTATACTCGCAATAACCACGTTCCTGTCGTCTGTCCCTATAGCCACGCACTCGGAATTGCTGTTCGCGCTGATCGACCGCACGAGTCCGTCTAGATTGTTGATCGTGCCTCTAGAAACCCACTCGTCCACATCCCATACGTGCACCACTGCATCCCCCCCGCCCGTGAGCAAATGACGACGATCGCGGGTGAACTCGAGCGTTGTAGCGTCCGATGTGTGCGCTTGGCATGTGTATTCAGGTTCAAAAGACGGGTAGAGGTGTGTATGAAAGGTACCATCACCGCAACAGACAGCGAAGAGCTGGCCATCCGCCGACCACTTGAAATCGTGATTGATCCGTTGATTGTCCGAGTGTCTCTCCAGTGTCTGCATCGGGGCAGCTGAGCTAGCGAGGTCGAAGAAATCCACCGTTTCGGCGCCCGCCGCCACTGTATTCCCAGAAGGGTGGTAGGCGACGTTATAAGCTGGTGCGGGCAGCTGGAGGGTGTGTGTGGGTGCGCGCGCGCGTATGTCCCAGCACCGCAGCGTGCGGTCGAGCGAAACGGTCGAAAGGAGGTTCGAATCGAGCGGGTGCCATGCGAGTTGCGTCACCTTGTCGCTGTGCCCTACCATCGCACTGGCTAGTTTGGCATCCGGGCGCACACTGTCGAGTGCCTTCTCGGGCCAGATTCGTAGCGTTTTGTCGGCCGACACACTGCCCAAGCGTCGTCCATCGACACTCCAGCTCACGCTGTTTACGCGGTCCTTGTGCGCTCGCGCACTGGCTCCTCCCCACGCCTTAAAGTCCGGTGTCTGCAAACACGCAGGTGAGCGGTGCTCTGCGGATACTACACGCTAACCACCCACTGATATTCCCCGCGATTGGAACTGCACGGCGTATGGCAGCTGTGTGTTCATCCTGCTCGCTGTAGCTGCTCGTGGTGGTTGCGGTGTACTCCCTCTCGAACGACCATGAGCACAGAAATTATTAATTTCCAGGAAGCTGTCAAGGAAAGCAGACGGCGCAGCGACGCAGACTCACTCGCCCATCTCTTCTCCGCCGTCGATCTCCCGAATCGGGCGTATCTGGCCAACGCGGTTGATCGACTGGACGGGAGGATGCGCGAGACGCTCACACGCACCCAGCGCAGCCCATTCGACGCCATGTGCGTGTACCACGCTTTCGCTGTGCATGCACGCTACAACCAACACCACACACTCGCGTTCCAGCACCAGCACACACTCGCGCAGGAGTTTATCCGCTTCTTCCAGCCCCACGGTAGCAGCTTCGACCTCAAGTGTCTCTACACCATCAGCAGGGATCTGCGCACGCTCGCGAGGAGGGCAGACGAGGAATGCACACAGACCCACCGGAAGCCATATGCCCTAGACGAATGTGCTCGCTTCCTCAACAAGGCTTTCACTGCGTGCATACAGCATAAATCCGCTGGGCGTGAATCCAAGCGGTGGGGTGTATACTACGTCATTGGCCTCGTATTCAAAACTTACTTTGAAATAAACGCTCTGTCACTCTGCAAGAACATCCTCAGAGCTGTGGCTGCAATGAAGGACCTCATGCCGCTCCACACTTACCCTAAAGCCCACCAAGTCACTTTCAAATACTACACAGGTGTCTTGGCTTTCCTCGACGACAAATTCGATAAGGTGGGTAGTTCTCAGGTGGTTTTACCCGTCTTACGTGGCTATAGGGTAACGAGGATTTGACATATGCGTTGGAGAGAACGCCTGTGAAATACCACAGGAATCAAGAGTGTGTGTGGGTTTTTTCAGCGATATACACACTCACACATCACACACAGACTCATCCTTACTCACCTCATCCCCTTACGCCTCATGCAGGGTGACCTCCCGTCCCCCCACCTTCTCGGTACCTTCCCCGCCCTGCACACACTCTACCATCCCTTCGTCAACGCGCTGCAGACGGGCAACGTGAAGCAGTTCGATGAGGCTCTGGTGCACGGCGAGCGGAGATTAGTGGAAAGTGGTACCTATGGCGTAGTCGAGAGGGTGCGCGAGGTGTGCCTGCGCGGTCTATTCAAGAAGGTGTGGCTTCTCAACAAGAAAGCTAAAATTATCGATATAGCCTTGTTCAGAATCGCGCTCAGTGTCTCGGGCGTGTACATTGAGACTGCAGAAGTCGAGTGTTTGCTCGCAGGGATGATCTTCAAGGGATACATGAAGGGCTACATCGCACACCAGCAGCAGAAAGTTGTGCTGAGCGATTTCTTAGCAAACAAACCACACCCATTCCCACCCGTCAAGAGCGTCAGACGGGCTATGGTGGAGTTGCCGTTGTAGTTTTTGACATTTCTTACAAAATTTTCATTTCGATATATTCTACAGTAGCGCGGCTGGACAAGCTTTGTGAGACTGTCTATAGGCTTGTTGTGCTTGCTAGTGGCCGCGTTCGCGTTACTGACATCACCTCTGCTTCAGCCCCTTGAACCTTAACCACCAACACCTCGCAGTGCGGAGATGAGCTCATCGAGTTCTGCCGGTAACGGCAACAATTGCAGCAATTACGACAACGATGCCGCTATCGGCTATGGGGAATTCTCCGCTATCTCCACACCGCCCAGCTCACCACCCTCGTTCCTTCAAACCAACTCCAGCCCCAGGAGCACAGCGAAGCGGGATATACTGGCTGGCTACCATAAAATCCTGCAAGCGACACAGAGTGTGATTGATGCTTCCAACTACGACGCACTCGACGACGACGAATTGGAGTGGGTCAAAATGGAGCATGCACACGTCGCGCACAAGGCGCAACTATACTCACAGCGGCTGCAGACGGAGAGTAGCGTAATGAGTGCGTTACAGGCGTTAAGCTCGAGCCTAGGCAGCGGGGGTCTAAACACTGCACAGCACACGGCTCAGCTCACCCAATCCTCCCAAAAAGTAGACAACTTGGAGAAGGTACTCAGTAGACATCGCTCTAGACTCCTTCACCTCCAGAGTCAGCTCCTCCACCACCAGGCCGGCGTTCTAGCACGCTTCATCCAGTCTAAGCAGCTTCTACAGAAACAAAACACCTCGCCTATCCCCCACAGCAGCCATTTTCACGCCAACAATGACCGCGCAAGTCGGTTTGAGAGTGTGGGTGAGAATCAAGGTGAGGATGTGGAGAGTGAGAGTGACATGCATCCACACACGCAAATATCCCACCTCCAAGCTCAACTGGCTGAGGAAAGACATGCCAATGCGGCACTACGGCAGCAACTTGAGCGATCGCACGCCACAGTGATCGAGAAAACGGACCACACGCACACTCTCCAAAGCCGTCTACAAAGCAGTTTGGATGAATTTAGCGCAGTTGTGTCAACACGAGATACGCTAACAGGGGGCGTAGGTGCGCTAGGGGGTGTGCTCGACGCGCATCGCATAACTTACGTTCACGACCCCCATAACCCACTCCACTCACTCTCGTCGGTTACAGCGGCTATTGACGCGGAGTTGGCGCGCGTTAGAAAGGCCGAAGCTCATTGCCACGGTGAATTGGCTAGCTTGCGCGAACAGTGTGCAAACGGTGAGAAACACACTAAGCAGCTTGAAGACACCCTCAAGAGCCAGAGCAGCGATATGGATCACCACTGGAATGCAACGCGAGGCATGGAGAGCGAGTTTAAGCAGCACATTTCCATGCTCGAGCGTCAGCTAGAAATGAGACAGCAAGCGAGCCAGACCTTCTACAAGGACAGCAATGCTTCCTACGAACAGGAGCTGAGGGGGCGGGAGAACGAGAAAACGAAAGTGGAAGACAAAGGCAAGGAAAGACATAGTAGAGGTGCGTCAGCGTCAACGTCAACATCGACATCAACATCAACATCAATACCCGCTGCAATGACCGAAGACAGGCTATCGACGGAGACGTTAGGTCTAGTTGTACGGGGGCTGTGGAATGCCATACCGTCGCCAATCACACAGCGCTCCCCATCGCACCCTCTCATCGTTTCCACTTCTCCCACACTTTCGCAACCTGATATAGAAACTCTCAAGCAGGTTCTTCAACGCTCAAAGGAGCGCCACTCTGACCGTTTCTCGCTGAGCGCGTTCACAGCCCGCGTAAAGACTCTCGTCAGTGATAACCGCCACTTCATCGAACGAATCCTCCTGAATGCTGAGACAGCGAATCTGTACAAGGTGGGTTGAGTTTTCAGTGTATGTGAGATCATTTGACATTCTAACACCACACTCACACCAGAGCAATGCGGAGAAAGCACACAAACTCGCACTTGACTTCAAGATGGCTCTCGAAGCGTACAAGAAGCAGGTGGTCGATTTACAGACCAGTTTGTCACACGCTGCGAAGAAGGACGGGGAGATGTGAGCATATGTGTTTTTGTTACATTCACGTTGACGCAACCCTGCAGTAGGAAAGAGTGCCAAGTTCTGCGCGAAGAACTCACGCAAATGGAGAAGGAGCTCGACGCACAGAGGAAATCAGGGGAAATTGATAGCCTCCGTTTGTCGCTCGCACATAGAGAGGATGATATACAGGCTTTCAAGCAGATGCAGATGGATAAGTCGCTCGGAATGCTCGATGAGCTTAATAGGTGGGCCCTACCTTGTGCGGTAGCCTCCTCACTAACCCAATCCATTCATAAACAGCCTTCAGACTGAAGTTGCTGACTTGCGCCAGAAATTGCGTCAGAAGGGCGATTAGCGGGATGTATTAGGAGAAGAGTGCCTTGGAAGATAAAGTCTAGGAGGGTTTTTAATGCTTTTCAGCGCTTGGCTGCTCGGTTTCTCGCCAACTCGTTTGTCGTATGTCATTTGCCTCACCTCGCCTCGTGCCTTGCCGGACGCAAGCGCACACCTTCACTCGTCGCACGCAAATATACCACTAGTCATGCATATAGATTTACGTTGTACTTTTTCCACTAGACTGCATATTGAGCCGAGTTCCAAGAAAGGTGGGAGTACCGCAGGGAAAAAGACAAGCGATGTCTTGCTTTCGTTGCCAGTGCAAATTTAACAAAATAAACAATACTTTCACTACACAATATCTCTGACATTCCAAGCTCATCTCGCATAAGATCACAACTCCATTCCGAACGTAAATTAGTGCGTACATTTCCGTTAGTGCGCTAGTGTATGTACAACTTTAGTGCAGGAATGCTTCTGCTATAAAGAGCTGCACTACACAATCTCTCTACAACCCCATCTCCAAATTCCCATCTCACACAATGATCGCTCAAACAGTCTTCACCGTTGGTCTCATCGCTGCCGCCTCTGCTGGCTGGGAATCCAAGACCGGCTCATGTAACACTGGCACTATCAGTTGTTGTAAGTATGAGACGTGTAGATTGACACCGTCTCACACTGCTAAGGTGACCTTAACAAGAAGGCTCAATCCAGCACCGGCAAGAACGACGCCCTCATCTCAACTGGCGACATTGCATCTCAAGTTGGTGTTCAATGTGATCAAGTCCCTCTTTTGATCGGCGTAGCAATAGAGGGTTCGTAAAGGTTTCATCACCTTCTCAAATCTAACACACTGCAGACGAGTGCAAGAACACTCCAGTTTGTTGCGAGGACATGGAATCAGACGGCCTCGTTGGTGTTGGTGAGTGGAGAATTTTCACTCTTTTCCCTTCTAACTTGTCACAGGCTGCACTCCATTGTCTATCATCTAAGCGGGGATGTTGGCTCTGTACTCGTTCTACCTCGCCTAATCTAGAACACTTAGCCATGACTTTATTTGTACTTCTATGCATTATTATTGAAGCTTTTAGTTTCTTTTGGTATGTTGCTGGGCGTCATTGCCCCTCAGCTGCTGGTATAAGCTTAGCTTGGTGCACAAACAGTATTGATAGATACGGGTTTAATATCAAGATTAATACATACCTTCAAGCACTATATGATAGCCGGATTATCCCCTTATTTTCACTATCTCGCAAAAGCAAAGTAAATCATTTCCAGATCGAAAATGGCCAATATTGTTGTATAGCGTGAGTATACGTGTCCTTCTCCTCGAAGCACCTTCAAAAGCATCCCTGCCATGATCAAGGTCTATTTTGTATTGCATAAGGTGCCTGATCACAATCTACATCCGCCTGTGCTGGACAATGGAGGCGCGCTGCATGTCGCGAAAGACGTACTAACACACAACACAACCGGCACACATAGCAAATAACACATAGCACAAAAATAGCTTGCACGTAAATTAATCCTCTACGCCTAATTAATGTCGGTTGTATACAGCATATATCACGCTTACACCCTTGTAGACGCCGCGTGTTTTTATCGGCGAAAAAAGGAGTAAAAAGTTGGAGTGTATCTTTGAGCCCCAACTAAACAAGTTTTATTTCATATACATTGTAAAGCTTGGGAAAAGAATACACCAGCACTGGCCGGACGTGGTGAGTGGATTGGGAAAGTTTTCACATAAGATACATTTTAGTCGCGCAAATGACTCAAAACTTTCACATTCTATGAGTTTTACAACATAAATCCATACCACGGTGATTAGCCAGAGTGTCTCAATGGAATGTTTAGCTTATCGAGTATACATTTAGACTTGACTAATAATCACTTATGCATAGAGCTTCACGCTTTCTCTCAATCATTGAGTGTGATTAGGTCGTTGAACCACTGAATGCATTTACACAGTCTTATTTGAGACACCCAACCATTTCCTTGACTATCAAGGATACATTTGACTAGCAGAAATACTGGAATATGTGCAATAAACCAAACAAATTAAAGGTATCAAGTAGAGCAATAATTAGCTTAGGCGTTCGGCAGATACGGAAAACCTCCTTAGCAAGCTCGCGCTAGAAATTGATAATTTTAACAACGAGGATTATGAAAATACATTGAAGTAATCATCACTCAAACGAGCGCAGGCCCTGGAAGACAAAATCGACAAAGGCTTTGAAAAGACAGAGCGGCGTCTACTTAGGTTAGCTTCCGAATAGCCTACAGAGATGAGTTTGAGCCTCAGGGATATAAATCTGGCGAAATTTGTCAAGCTCATTCAGGGCTATTTATCAAGCTTTTTTATTTGGAGATTATCACAAGTCGAAAATCAGACACTTGAGATGAGGTGGGTGGTAGGGGAGAAACTCAACTCGGCGTACATGGATCGGAAGGTTAAGTTGCAGATAAGTTTGGAATGCTGAAGGTGCTTTGAATCTGATGGTCTTGTTAGATTGTTCAAATTATCAGTATATGACATACATCGCTTCTCACTCACTTTGTCATTAGCAGGTTGCCTTTGAGGCTTAAAATGAATAACTATAGGTGGTAATATCTAGACGTTCTATTGTCTTGTACAGCTAAAAGTTTCATGCTGACATGTACACGTGCGATAGTGATAGCTTGGGCCATGTAAAAGTACCAATTGCTTGAATCTGCTAAAAGAAAACGCGCATTTTATACCGTCGAGCACGCTCACTAGATTTTGAGATATGTCAATTGCGGCAGTCAATGTCTTGTTTCTTTTTGAACAGTCTAATATCAATTTCTTGTATCTTACACTCTTACTACACACCCTAATAGTAGGTTTAAAAGTACATGTTAATCCCTCCTTCTGACGCAACGCTAGTTCTCCTCGAACTGGTTTGCTTGCTGGCTAGCCCTAGTCTTTTGTGAAACATTTCGACAGTGTGAGCAATTTCCTCTGGATGGGATACCCCTATGGCCTTAGCGGATGCCTTGAGTAGTCTGTCGTAAAGGATGGGATAGTCGCCCATTCTATCAGAGGTATGGTAGGAGCGGACCAGGTTGGCCTCAGGCTGGGCTGGGTATGCGTCGAGAGGGATGCGATCTTCGTAGAGGCTGTGAAACCAATTACTGTCTTGTTTAACGGCAGGTATGCGGTGAGGGTCGCCCGTGCGTCTAAGTTCGTCGGCTAGCGGTGGCCAGGCTGCGGTTTGTTAGGTTTTGAATCGCACTGTGTGTGCTGCATTACTCACTTCTAATTGTGTCCTCGTCTGCCACTGGGACAGTCCGTTCCATGTAATCGAGAAAATCGTCTACCTGTTCGTCTGTAGCGTCTATGATTTGCCTGTGGGGTGTTTGTGAGAATGAATGAACTGACTGTCTAAACTCCCACTCCCACTTACACCTGGTCATTCAAGATACTATCCGAAAGTTTGAAGTGTTTATCTAGCGACATAATCCACTTGTTCTTGTCGAGAAGGCTCCTTATTCGGGGCTGGTCAGTCACCTCGTTGTCTAAGTTATACACGAGGGTGCACACGGAGACAACAACAGCCATAGCAATAATTTCAGGAGCGCAAGCTTCGCCCTTCCTGTGTTTGCTGCGCTTGCCCATGCGGTGGTGGGGGAGGAGAGAGAAGCTGATGCCGATGCGCTGCACCATCTCCATGCAAAGCGTGTGCATAGTCGGTGGCAAACCAAGATCATGTACGCAGCGCCATAAAACTGGTGTCACGTTGTAGTCACTGAACGTCACCGCGTATCGCTCCCGCATCTGTCTGGCGAGGTAGATAGATGCGCGGTGTACTTTGCGCAGAGATGGAAGGGTCTAGAGCGTGTGAGTGTTTTTTTCGAGCTACCTAAAAATCCAGGCAACGCTCACCTCTGCTTGGAAAGACGTGCGTGAGCTCGGGTTGAGACGCGCTTTGATGGGTTCAGGGAGGTATGCAAGAGCATCCATGTATGGCACACGCCGGTCTTGCAAGGCTGCCTTAAAGTCGAGGTGGAAGACGGGCAAGCGGAGTGTCCAGAATCCCAAATTCAGCACGGCTAATAGCCATATCATGCTGAATTCATCCACTGCACTTTGTACACGGCGTGTCGTTTTTACCCGGTTAGCTGCTTCGAGTGCCTCCTCCATAGTCTGAGGCTGGTTCATGTCTTCGTCTGAAGGTGGGGTTTCGAGATTGCCGAGCATTTCATCGGGGTCTTCGAGTGCGTCATCGGAGTTATCGCTGGGTTCTTCTTTATCGTCGTGTTTCGTGTCCTCTTTACTATCCTCCTTATCGTCCTCCTTATCGTCCTCGTCGTCGGTTTGTTCGTGCGTGCTCCGCCTGCGTGCCATTTCAATAGGAGCGGCTACGAGGTCTTTGAGGAGGGATACTCTGAGAGCCCAGAGGTCGCGTATGACGATCTAGAGAATGTGAGTGGTTTGCGTGGTTTGCGTGGTATTTACAACCCAGCGTACCTCAAACTCGTTGGGTAGCCCCCAGATAGCAATCAAACATTCCACTTGCCTGCGTAGAATCAACTGCTGGGCTTGAAGATGCAGAAATCGAAGCTTGTCGCCAGAGTACCCTGCAGCGGGATTAGATAAGGTGGATAGTCTAGTGTACGCACTGACAAGCATGGCTTTTGAGTACTTTCTTGCGCACTTGTCTGCCTTTTTTTATGTATCGCTGCTGTGCTTGATGCCTTATCGCGCCATCTTCCTGCGTCTCGTTGCGGAAGCCCTGAGAGACGTAAGTGATTGGAGTTGGAGAGATGCGCCATAATAACCTCATGTATGTGTCCCTCAACGCACATTACATGCCCAGACGAAGGATCCTTTGTCCATCTCCGCGTTCTGCAGATTGGGCATCTCATGATTGTTCTTCTTAACAACAGTCATGATCAATTACGCTGAATATATTCTACGCAGCTATTTCATGGCTACAGATTGGAATCCAGATGCTCAATATTCAAATCTAAATAGGGCATCTGCAGCCATTCTCGATTTTGCGCCGCCATCTGCACTTTCAATCTCACTCTCCTCATGCCCAACGCAATCATTCGCTAGCAGCTGCAGCTTGTCTATACTGCCATCGCTCACTGGCTCACTTGCGTATCTAGCCAGCTCAACCGATTTGCCCCGCCAGAAACCAACGCTGCACTCACTTGTCCACAACTTCAACATTTCTGCCCTCCCAAAGGTACCGACCAGCACACACAACCATTACCTTCTCTACGGCCAGCTACACCTCCCATCCTCACGCTTACATTCCCTCTATACACGCAGACTCAGCCCCCACTCGCAGCTCCTCGTATCCAGCATATCCCATCCCCGCCCGCCAACCCGCGACGAGCCAAGTGAAATGTACATCACCTACCAAAAGGACAAAGGGGAGTATGCCAGTGAATTGGCCTATTCAGTGGCTGACGGGATGGCATCCGCGTCTTCTCTCTTTCACTTTGGTCTGATTGATAAGGGTGTCGAAAGCTCCCACTCCCCATCCACCCCACACACAGCACGCATAGACGAAGAACCTGACGACGATGGTTCCGGTGGTCTCAAAGGACATTTCAGTCTCGGCGGTGAAATCTACGCATCCGCACTCGAAAAGTCAGCAGGTGGTGGGTAGCTTTTTTTAAAAAACGGTACACCCCACTCACACTCTCGCAGTATCAACAGGTCTCCGCTTCCAGACACTCCCCGACACTCACTCTCCGCCGACCGTCCTCGTTGCACTCCTCAGCCCCATCACCGGATACCTCAGCGGGACATACGCGGCGACCGTGGCGCGTGGTCTGTCACTGGCATCGCGGTTTGAGTTCAATCTATTTTCGTACGAGAGCGTCACCACGCTTGGCGCTGAGTGGGCCATCCACCGCAGCGAAGAGGGCGAGAGGGAGCAGGAGAGGAATGACGATGACACTTATTGGGATGAGAACTCGCAGGAACTCAAACTCAAACCTAATGCAGTTAACTCTATCCCTCTGTCGGCTTCTACAGCCATAGACGAGAAAGACCCCATTCAGGGCTACGTGAAAGCTAGAATCACGACAGAGAAGGTGAGTCAGGGGGTGTTTTGAGACACACTAACTAATTTCCCTTTGCAGTCAGTAGCACTTCAATACGCAGGGAGACTCAAGTCCCTCCTCATTTCCCTCGGTCTCGTCGCCGACCTCAGCAACCCTCACAAACCCGTTCAGAGCATTGGATTAGAGCTGCAGTATCTCTCTCCCGGTAACGAGCCGGAGTAGATTGATTATAGATGGCGTTGTATTATATATTCGCATTACATGTACTACTAGCAAGCCTCATTAGCCTCATTGCCATAGATGTACACTACGTACTTCATATTAGTCGGAATTTTGTCCACAAGCTTCACAGGACTGATCATCTCCGCTTTCACCCTCAGCATATGTTTGTACTCTGAGATACTGCAGTATGGCGGCGGACTCTCCCTTTCCTGCTCAACCTTGCACTTGTTGTCTTTGAGCATGAGCTTGATGGTGGAGCTAAAGAAGGACTTCCGCCGCTCATTGAATCGCTCATTTCCTTATTCGTCTTCCTTCGGCGATTACCATTTCGGAAATTGGTTGCCTCGTCTCAGTGTTTCGGATTTTAAATTTTCCAAATTTAAGTAAAATAAGTAGAGCATTCTCGTTTTGTACTTCATTCTACCAACATAATTTCCATGTATAATTCTTGATGCTATTAAAGTGGCATCACTTGACACAATCTCAAACGTGATTGTGATTTATAACATGCGATACAATGTTGCAACTTTTTCGATACACATTAGCGCAACATTCGCTTTTGACTATTTTTTTACCGTTTTTACACTATCGGTGCCATATATCTGAGATAGAATTCTTCATTGGGCTAATCCATGACCAATTCGTGAAGGGTGATATTGATGAGCTGAGTCTGGATAGAATGACTGTGATAGTTAGGCTTAACGATAATAAGACGCGCGTTGATGGTGAAATGCCCCGCTGTCGGAATTGCAATAATAAAGTACAGCTTGTGGTGTACAGAAAGCTGTTGGCTGAGCTCCCTTCGTTCCATTGACTGGCATGGATTTTAATTCGCAGGATTGAGATTCACATGAACGAGGATTTATCAACACCGATTGTCAGACAAACAAATGCTTCAGAATGGTAAAACTGATCTCAGACTTAGCGCAATACTCAATAGCTTCAAACCTGCCACCCAAATCATCCTAGAGAATAGATAACTCAGATATCACTGCGCAGGTGGGAGGTTCATACATCGGAAATGTGAAGATTTATTTGATAAGCAGGTTCTTATCGATACTAAAATTAATATCTTTGTTCAATGATAGAATCATGTATGAACACAGTGTACAATAAGCTTAACAAACAATCGAAGCTTAGTCTTTCTTGTCGGTATCGTAGTGATTGTCTTGCTTCTTGTCGTTGTCGTGTTCTTGTTTCATGTCGGTATCGTGCTTGCCAGAATCTTGTTTCTTACTGGTGTCGTAGTGATTGTCTTGCTTTTTGTCGTTGTAGTGCTCTTGTTTCATGTCGGTATCGTGCTTGCCAGAATCTTGTTTCTTACTGGTGTCGTACTGATTGTCTTGCTTCTTATTACCAGACTTGTTGTCGTACGTGTTGTCATCTTTCTTCTCACCCTTCCAGTACTCGTCTGTCTTCTGGTTCTATTACTGTGTAAGCCAATTTTCAGCAAGCTTCGTCATTACCAACCTTGTCATTTGCTTTGTTCTTTTCGGCAGCTTCTTTCGTCAGCATTTTCTGCTTTTCGACCTCTTTGCTGTGCTTCTTGAGCGCCTCTTCGTGAGATTCCTTGTCTTGCTTATCGTATTTGTCGTAATTATCGTTGTTCTTGGCATCCACACCCTTTTCAGAGTTTTCATTCTTGTGACCGACATCTCCTACATCTCCGCGATACGAGATGTTGCCAGCTGGGTTAGGTGCAGCGGCTACTAATACGATGGCGCTAGTAAAGGCGAGAACGGCGAGAGCTTTGACGTTGTTGAAGTACATTTCAATTTTCTTAGTTGTGAAGAAGAAAGAAAGATATAGCGCTTCTTATAAAGCCAGCTGGGCTGATGTTTCTCACTTCTATCATCACATCTCGTCATTTAATGAAACTGCCAAGTGATTCGGCTGAAGCTTGTAAACAAATAAAAAGGCGTGTACTTTAATGCGTCATTGTCTCAATATTGGGCGTTTCCTGTTGTCGTAGACAAAATGACACAAAGTTTCAGCCGGAGGAGCTTCAAGTAAATTGAATAAACAATTACGGTTTATGGAATTCTAAGTTTAAAATTGAAGCGTCTCATCTAGAGGTTTGGGAGTTGGAAGTGGGTGTTCAGTAAGTAATCAGAATTAATGTCAAAGACGAAATGTTATCATTATTGAAATCTTTCGAGCAGCCTATCCACTGTCGCGTCCTATCCTCTCAACTCTCATCATATGGTAACGATTCACAAAGTCATAGCCATCAATTGCGCAGCATTATTTCTCAAGCTTATCACTAACTACTTCATTCATAATGAATGCTTGACATTCGAAAATGTTTCTATTTTTTACTCTATATCTCAAAGTATGCGCGTGGTTTTTCCTAAATATTTGCCTGTCAATAGCTCTCCAACGCATCAGGTTCCAATCTGGTTCTCTATCGGAATCTTGTCATTTGGTCTGAGAGCTGCGTATGACAGTGGCATTGCCATCTATGATTGGTATACATATAGATGTAATGTGATTGAAACGGCAATATCAGACAACACTTACAAATTCTACGTGGAAAATTCATGTACCAAGTATCCACATTTGGAAAAGATATCAAGTGCGATGAACCACAAGTTAACAAACGAGAAACCGAGGGGGTCTACTAAATGTATAAAGCAAAAGTTTGACGATAGTTGGCATGGATACGCCGTACTTAATGATCACTCAGATAAGACTATTGATTTGAGCAAAAGTCCTTGCGGAGGTAGTCAGTTATTTTTCGAAGGTAAGCTAGATATTGAAGGGATTGCAAGATTCCAGTTCACTCGCAGATACCATTATAGCCGGGTGTAATGGCTCTGTGGTCCAGTAGTTGATAGCGTTTCCGAAGTTTGTAATTTCAAAGCAGAGAAGACCTATCTGAAGATGTTGTTACGTGATTACACTTCAATCAATAGCTCTCACCATGCACAAAAAGTAATTGTACCCAATAGACACACCAAACGCTGGTGATATATAATTACCAGCGAAATCCACAAATGCATCATTCTCTACTGGTAGACGACAAGTGGGCACTGCTACACATTAATTCACGATGTAGATTATGCAGCTCCAGAAGGTATAAGCCAGCAACAAGAATAGCGGTCCTGTGAGTTTTGAGTGGTTTTATTTTTACGCGAGACAAACACACCTGCTTCTGTGTTCTGTTCTCCTAGTGTGACAATCACCGCCGTCCCAATAACCTTTTTAGATCAGCAATCAATCCTTTCCTTTCTCTTTCAACTCACACCACCTATTCCGTAAATTTGGATATGACGTCTATTCAGATTTCGGCTGGTATGAGAGCCCCTTTTTGTTGAAGACTCCGGCTCGGCATTGTTAAAAAAAAAAAAACACGCTGAGTTTATGGAAGGCTCCTTTTTTCTTCTTTATTCATTGGTGAAAGAAGAGTTATTGAAAAAACGACCCTACTTATCCTCATCCTTATCGACGCCTTATCAGACATCTTATCAACTGTATGTTCTGGTCAATAAATCATGTGAAGGTCAATTAAGCGACGGAAATTAAGCGATAGTATTCTTGCATGTAGGTTTGATAATGAAGTGCCTAGATATCTTTATCTTCCTTCCTAATCGGTGAATTCCTGGTGAGTTCCTGGTGATAGTTCCATATATGACATTGAATAAATGGAGAATAGAAAGTGTTGAATTTAGCAGCATTTAGATTGCTTGTTTTTGACATACAAGCTCGTAGGAAGTCGTATAAGTGGCAAAATATGGGCATCGATGTGCATTTCTTAGCTATGTGATGTAATAAATACGAAAAGAGACCTTTAGAAGCGTAAATCATTAGTGAAAGCTTATTTAAATGCATTCACAACTCATCGTGAATTACGCTGGATTCCATAATTGGTGACGTAGTCAGTAATTGAAGAATTTCATGTGCCACATCAGCCGCGACCATCTGTCTTAGCTCACTTCCAGCGTCATATGGTGAATAACTTCGACTATATCTGCCCCAACAAAATTTAAACCCTTCAGATTCCTTAAAATAGTCTTGGCTTCGCGCGTGGTAAGCCCACCAGGCTCGGGTGTTCCAGTGGCGCCGGCAAAGGCAGGATCAACTGAGTCTATATCAATTGTCAAATAGGCTGCCGTATTGCCGACCCTTTTTCTAATTTGATCTGCAATTCCCTTTGCACCGATTTCATCTATAGCATCGATCGTGATCATTTTTATACCAAACTCTTTATTATCTGTAATATCCCTTTCTTTTGTAAAACGCGTCCTTATTCCAGCTTGGATCGATCTCGAGGTAAGCAAATTTTCCTCCGACGCATGCCAAAGCATGTTGCCATGAGAGACAGGTGCTGTGTCGTGCTTATCACTGAACCCATACTTTTTGCCTGAAGACCATGTATCGATATGAGAGTCGATCTGAATAAGCGATATAGGACCGTGTACCTAGAGATGAGTGTCGGGAAATGTACTTCGATGAATAGCGCGGATTACGCGCCTTTTTTAGAGTACGCAGAATTGGCAACTCAATTGAGTGGTCACCTCCAAATGTGAGTAGCATTGGATGCTTTAGATGCTTACTTGCAGTTGGTCGATTGAGAAGATTGTCGTGCGCAGCTTCGGTGCTTTTTTATGACATCTGGTTGTCTACTGTAATCACTGGAATATCCCCACAGTCTAAAATTTTGACCCCTTTCGCGTAAGGGTTGGCCTCCCAGAAGTGCGACCATGCATTTGCTGGGTCTTGGTGACGTGATCCCTGACTAATGCCTAAGCAAATCAGCAATATATTCGAGCTTGGGAATTGGCTCACTATTCGGTCCGAATCTGGCCCCTGTTCAGTATGACACGCTTGTATCAAAAGGTATACCATTAACAGCAATATCAAAATTCTGACTTTTGTCCGTCAAGCAATGATGGTGTTCTTAATGTGAAAAGTGACTATATTAGCAAATAACGATGCCTTGATATGCTTAAAGTCATCCCAGGGCTCTTTCGCTAAGACAAACTGAATAATTGCAGCTATCGCGACTAATTCCAACTTCATCCCGATGTTATTTGAGCTAGATGTGGTCTTGAATTACTGTATAGGTAGATAGTCACGGTCGCTTAGATATCTCGCTTGTCCATGTCAAGTATCTTGTGTTAAATAAGGTGGATAAGACGGATTTAGGGATCAATTACGGTAGTGAGAGTGTGGAACAAAGGAGACAAACTTGAAGGGTTCAAACTCAGCTGGGATAAGTAAGATTTTATTTTTGGAATAGCTTGATAAGCGAGAGGCCCTATCGGGGTAAAGAACAAAGCACCTTGCTGAATACTCAAAATTAATATCTTTGTTCAATGATAGAATCATTCATGAACACAGTGTACAATAAGCTTAACAAACAATCGAAGCTTAGTCTTTCTTGTCGGTATCGTAATGATTGTCTTGCTTCTTGTCGTTGTCGTGTTCTTGTTTCATGTCGGTATCGTGCTTGCCAGAATCTTGTTTCTTACTGGTGTCGTAGTGATTGTCTTGCTTTTTGTCGTTGTAGTGCTCTTGTTTCATGTCGGTATCGTGCTTGCCAGAATCTTGTTTCTTACTGGTGTCGTAGTGATTGTCTTGCTTTTTGTCGTTGTAGTGCTCTTGTTTCATGTCGGTATCGTGCTTGCCAGAATCTTGTTTCTTACTGGTGTCGTAGTGATTGTCTTGCTTTTTGTCGTTGTAGTGCTCTTGTTTCATGTCGGTATCGTGCTTGCCAGAATCTTGTTTCTTACTGGTGTCGTAGTGATTGTCTTGCTTTTTGTCGTTGTAGTGCTCTTGTTTCATGTCGGTATCGTGCTTGCCAGAATCTTGTTTCTTACTGGTGTCGTAGTGATTGTCTTGCTTTTTGTCGTTGTAGTGCTCTTGTTTCATGTCGGTATCGTGCTTGCCAGAATCTTGTTTCTTACTGGTGTCGTAGTGATTGTCTTGCTTTTTGTCGTTGTAGTGCTCTTGTTTCATGTCGGTATCGTGCTTGCCAGAATCTTGTTTCTTACTGGTGTCGTAGTGATTGTCTTGCTTTTTGTCGTTGTAGTGCTCTTGTTTCATGTCGGTATCGTGCTTGCCAGAATCTTGTTTCTTACTGGTGTCGTAGTGATTGTCTTGCTTTTTGTCGTTGTAGTGCTCTTGTTTCATGTCGGTATCGTGCTTGCCAGAATCTTGTTTCTTACTGGTGTCGTAGTGATTGTCTTGCTTTTTGTCGTTGTAGTGCTCTTGTTTCATGTCGGTATCGTGCTTGCCAGAATCTTGTTTCTTACTGGTGTCGTAGTGATTGTCTTGCTTTTTGTCGTTGTAGTGCTCTTGTTTCATGTCGGTATCGTGCTTGCCAGAATCTTGTTTCTTACTGGTGTCGTACTGATTGTCTTGCTTCTTATTACCAGACTTGTTGTCGTACGTGTTGTCATCTTTCTTCTCACCCTTCCAGTACTCGTCTGTCTTCTGGTTCTATTACTGTGTAAGCCAATTTTCAGCAAGCTTCGTCATTACCAACCTTGTCATTTGCTTTGTTCTTTTCGGCAGCTTCTTTCGTCAGCATTTTCTGCTTTTCGACCTCTTTGCTGTGCTTCTTGAGCGCCTCTTCGTGAGATTCCTTGTCTTGCTTATCGTATTTGTCGTAATTATCGTTGTTCTTGGCATCCACACCCTTTTCAGAGTTTTCATTCTTGTGACCGACATCTCCTACATCTCCGCGATACGAGATGTTGCCAGCTGGGTTAGGTGCAGCGGCTACTAATACGATGGCGCTAGTAAAGGCGAGAACGGCGAGAGCTTTGACGTTGTTGAAGTACATTTCAATTTTCTTAGTTGTGAAGAAGAAAGAAAGATATAGCGCTTCTTATAAAGCCAGCTGGGCTGATGTTTCTCACTTCTATCATCACATCTCGTCATTTAATGAAACTGCCAAGTGATTCGGCTGAAGCTTGTAAACAAATAAAAAGGCGTGTACTTTAATGCGTCATTGTCTCAATATTGGGCGTTTCCTGTTGTCGTAGACAAAATGACACAAAGTTTCAGCCGGAGGAGCTTCAAGTAAATTGAATAAACAATTACGGTTTATGGAATTCTAAGTTTAAAATTGAAGCGTCTCATCTAGAGGTTTGGGAGTTGGAAGTGGGTGTTCAGTAAGTAATCAGAATTAATGTCAAAGACGAAATGTTATCATTATTGAAATCTTTCGAGCAGCCTATCCACTGTCGCGTCCTATCCTCTCAACTCTCATCATATGGTAACGATTCACAAAGTCATAGCCATCAATTGCGCAGCATTATTTCTCAAGCTTATCACTAACTACTTCATTCATAATGAATGCTTGACATTCGAAAATGTTTCTATTTTTTACTCTATATCTCAAAGTATGCGCGTGGTTTTTCCTAAATATTTGCCTGTCAATAGCTCTCCAACGCATCAGGTTCCAATCTGGTTCTCTATCGGAATCTTGTCATTTGGTCTGAGAGCTGCGTATGACAGTGGCATTGCCATCTATGATTGGTATACATATAGATGTAATGTGATTGAAACGGCAATATCAGACAACACTTACAAATTCCACGTCGAAAATTCATGTACCAAGTATCCACATTTGGAAAAGATATCAAGTGCGATGAACCACAAGTTAACAAACGAGAAACCGAGGGGGTCTACTAAATGTATAAAGCAAAAGTTTGACGATAGTTGGCATGGATACGCCGTACTTAATGATCACTCAGATAAGACTATTGATTTGAGCAAAAGTCCTTGCGGAGGTAGTCAGTTATTTTTCGAAGGTAAGCTAGATATTGAAGGGATTGCAAGATTCCAGTTCTTCACGGAACATGCGGGGGATAATATTTGATTCTTTGATGTAATTGAAATGTGCCAATATTTACGATAATACAATGATAGCCATTTACGACTCTTTATGCTCCTAATTATTAAATGACATCATCATTTAAAATTATTAGAAGAGCTAGCGTATGCTTTTACCCGAAAGCTTCCCCCTCGGGAGCTTTTGCTCAGCGAGAACTTACATCCGCCACATCTTCAACTCATGAAGCTTGCAGCAGCCTTTACTGGGATAGTTTTAGGCTCTGTGCTTGCTGCTCCGGTATCTGTAAGTTTAATTTTGCTATCGAAGAAGATCAACCTGACATGCTCGACATCAAGAGTGCTTTTGGTAGTTATTCACGCTCCCACTCAAACGCAAACTTCTCGCTGGATACGGATACAGCTGCACACGCTCTTTTCGGAGTTAGGCCTGACTACCGAAATGAGGTGCTTAAGCTCCATCGCTTCGGGGACGACGAGATGGCACGGATCCTTTTCATCAAGGCATTGGAAGAGAAGGGAGCGTACAAGGTACTAGATGAGCTCGAGAGGCAGGATAGCTGATCATGTCTTCGTAATAAGTAGCTTGATAGAGATGTTGATAGATAATACACGCAATATTACTTGAACATTTATCTGCAAGTGTTTGAGGAAGGCTTAACATCGACTGTTACCGGAAACATACTTGTGATGTTTCCAGGCACGGATTTTCACCACCCTAGATTCGTATGAGCGGATTCCGAGCGGGACCACGCAGTCCGTGCAGAGTCTACTCAGTTTCTTCTCCTCTTATATCCTCACTGCATAAATGATCCAAAAAAGCGAGAAAAGTAAGACGATTGATTGTGATCTATATCAGCACTTGCTAACAGGAATAGACATTGTACGCGATGTCTCTGGCTCAGAAATTACTAAGAATGAGGCGGAGTCTCTGCATCTCTGCTGCAATACTCGGCACGGCGAACGTCAACGCTTGCAATCCTCCTTGAAAGCTGAAGTTGAGTACTTGAGAAGTTTCAACAAGCAATTGAAGCAGGAGCGCGACGACCTCAACGACTACATCTACGAGCTCAGCGTAATGGTCTATGATTTCAAACACACTAATCAATACTCGCTCTCGTACTGACGCCTTCAAGGCGAGTCCGGTCAGTGCTATTGCACTCTTTTAGATTATTTATATACCCCTCTGATATCTTTAATGTCTTTCATTAATTACAGTAAACAACATTTATTTCTAAAACATACAATCGTGAATTCAGAGAATCATATTAAAAATATGGCGAGTGGACCTGATATTTACCCAATAGCTAGTCATTCGAGCGTTTCATCATCTTGACGCTTGAGAATCTCTCTCTTGATGGCTGAAAGTTCCTCGAGGTCATCGTTATCTTGACGACTGAGGATACCCCTCTTCATGTCTGTCAGTTCGTCGAAGTCGTAATTATTTTCTTGTCTGCGGTAGATATCTCTCTTGTCCAGGATATCAGTCAATCCGCCTCTCTTGACGTATTCGCTCTTATCGAGGATGTATCTCTTGCCAAATTCCTTCTTACCGAGGATACCTCTCTTTTGCATCATACCTTTCTTGTCGAGGATGCCTCTATTGTACCCCCGGCGCTTGGCTGCTTCGACAAGACAACAAAGAACAGCGACTAATAGAACTAAAGTGACTGGAAACTTCATACTTAAGTGGCAGAAGCGGGATGAGAGATAGTGAAAAAGAACAGCCTTATTTATACACTCGACCAAGGAATGATACTTCGCGTCAAAGGAGGCGCAGTATATCGACGCGAGCTTGTCAGTGTCGAAATAGGCACATCCTTTGAGTAGAGTGGAGTGAAAGCAGATCAAAATGGCCTTCTCGTGGTGCGTCTAATTGGTGTAGAATCAACATAATCGATTGCATCTGGGCGATAGTAGCAGTGAAATTGACATCATAGGCAGGAAATGAGGCACAAGCAAAGTATTACACTCTCTGAACTTCCGAAAGTGTTGAGTATACATTTGAATGGTAGTCATGCAGCTGTAAAGATCCTTTGCGCTGAAGTGAGCGTATATTGTATAAAAGAGGTTGTGAAACACTCCTAAATTATAAATTATGGCTGCATTGATGTATGAGAGGTGAACAGAATAGCAACAGAACGTCGAGTATAGTATGAGGATCCCGTCTTCCATCTCTAGCCCCTCGTATGAAGCGCCTTGAAGCGCTCTAACTAATACGGGGAATAACCGTACCTATGAACATGAATATCCCGCTTTCTCGCCGTTGTTTCAAGACGCTCCATCAATCCGCTGAATGTCTCGCACCTCAAGGTCACGAGGCGGAAAATGGTAAGCTAGTGTTTAGTAGTGGTTTGAGAGTAGAAGTTGTATCTATAAATATGTGAAGGAGTATTTACTAACTTCTTCTATAACTAAAGGCATAATATAAACTCGATTCAAGCTCAAGCTATTTTAGGTAATCACAAGAGTTGATAAGGTGCCTGAAGCACCGGCTATGACTGCGACTTGTAAGATATGTCTTGAAGTGCAGCATCTAACTTTTTAATGTTCGAAAATCGTGTTAATTTACTCGAGGGCTTGATTGGTGCGCTGATTTAACTGCTCAATGGCGTTTAATAAACAGCTCAGCAACCTTCCTCCCATCAACCTTTACCGCCCTTCTCATCGGAAACATCTCCACATCAACTCTACTCAACGTTCTTCTCGATTTGGCTGTTCTTGTGAGGAGTGCTTCGATGAAATCATTCTGATTCGCTGATAAAAGCAGTTTTGCTTCATCTCTACAATCATTGCATATATGTGAGTGGCAGCATTGTCATGCTTGATTAACGGCTAACATCATGTTCAGCTGGTGGGGACTTCTGCTTATCAGAGAGAATAGGCAGATAGAAAGCACGGACATAGAAAAAGCACCAGGATTATGCTTACATGTGACTTACTCTTCTCAAATAGACAAAATAGCTCTCAGCGCCTTCAATAGCTAGACGCGTTTCCTTTATTCACTCATCCAGCAACAAAACACTGCATTAAGAACATTATGATTGTAAAATGTATATAAAAAAGCCATACAAAGCTCAATTTTCATCCATATTGTCGTTATTTTCGTCACTTGCAAAATCTCTAATTAAACTCAACTTTATGTTGCAATGACATCAGCAGAGCCGGTGAATGTTAAGCCGAAGTTACTTCAAAGCTGTGCTTGTCTCATTAACCAGTCAAATTTGGACGGCAAAAGTTAGACCGATGATGATGAAAATTCTCAATCGCTCAATAAACGCCATATATTGTCCTTTTTAATACTATTAAATATTTTCGACCTGAAAAGCAATGATAATACCTAAATTCTTCATTAAACTGCTATTTCTGGGCCTGATTTTCCAATTTGCATCTGCACAGCAGCCCATTGAAGAATACAAAGATATATTTGTTCGTAGGTTACTGTTAACAAATTATACCCTCTCAAACCAATTTAAGCCTTTGAGCCTACGCCAGGGGCTCATTACTTGTTTTGTGCACTCTACCTTCTTCTTGCTGTCGCATTTACAGTGCTCGTGTGTATGCATAAAGATTGGTGGGCACTCTGTTTACCTATCGGTGCGCTATTCGAGGGAGTTGGGTATCCGAATAAGATTCGTTTTGCAGAAACGATGTCGATGGGTGGGACATCAACATAATACAACAAAGGAAGACTGACACGACTTACCAGGCTTGTTTATTGCGGGAGACGTCTTCATCTTGGTCGCGCCGGTCGCGTATCTGGCTTTCAACTATCTGGTCTTCGGTCGCATCTCTCACAACCTAAAGAATGACAGTCGCATATCGAAAGGCAGTGTCACCATCGCATCTCCACGAACGATTAAGCATATATTTGTCTGGTCGGATATTACCACATTCTTAGCACAATTTGCGGGGCAACTCATGGAGATCTCATCCGACCAACGCAGCAACGGTAACAAGTTGACGCTAGCTGGAATGATTGCGCAGCTTATATCTTATCTGTGCTTTATAGCGATCGTCACAGACTGTCGATTCCGTAGAGTTCCAAACTTGAGAAGTACAGCCGTTGGCAGAAATATCGACAAAGTACTAATACTGCTCGCAACTAGCTCATTCTTCATACTGGTCCGCCTCGTTTACCGAGTCATAGAGTTGAGCGGTGGTGAGGGAAATTCCGTGCAAAAGAGCGAAGCCTGCTTTTTCGTGTTTGACGCGGCACCGATGCTACTGGCTATCAGCGTCTGGCTGATTTGGCCATCACGTACAATCAGTATGAAGAAATCAAACACAGGATTTCAAATTGAAGATGGCAAGACTGAGTCATAATTTTTCAATAACAATTAATTTTCATTTAAATTTCTCATTTTCACTTGTATAATTTTACGCAATCGATGCAGATAAGAAGTCACATTTCATCATTCCTGGCTTTTTAATCTCAACCAATTAGATGCCTAAAGCACAATCGGACACGCTACCGAAAGGCTCAGCATGCCTCGCTTGCCGTAGGAAGAAGATGCGCTGCGATGCCGTCAAACCAATCTGCTCGAATTGCGTCAGGAGCGGTGGATTAGAATGCATTTACGATAATGAATCGCGGCAGTCAGCTAGGAGGGCGACTAAGCTGCGGGCTTACGAAGACAGAATCAGAGAACTGGAGGATAAGCTGGAGAGAGTGAAAATAGATAGCAGCAACAGCAATAGTAATAGCAGTAGCATGCCATCTACCTCCGCTGAACCGCTCAAAATTACAACGTCAAATTGGCCAAAAGATTTCCCACCTAAAGATATGGTTAGCTACCTGATATCTACATTTTACGCGTGTTCGCCTTTCGCTGCAAGTGATCTTCCCAGACAGTCATTCGAAACTAGACTGATGCATCTACCCCCAACCTCACCGAAATTCCCCTGCAAAGCACTCTGTCACGCCGTATTCGCTATCGCATTCCAACATCTTCCTAACAAAGATCCTTCCGAAAAACACACCGCGCTAGCCCTAGAGAAGCTGAACGAAGATGGCCAATCGCCTGGGCTGATGTTTGTGCTAGAGCGAATACATGCCGCTATAATAATAAGTCAACACCTTTTTTCAATTGGTAACAAAGCCGACTTGTTTTTTCCGGTAGCCTTCGCTGCTCGAGGAGTAATAGCATTTTCACTCAATCATGACACAGATTATCCTAGGAAGTGGTATTTGACAGCCGCAGGCAGTGATTTAGAGGTTGAGCAACGAAGGCGGCTGTTTTTCAAGGCCTACATAATCGACCAGCTGTTTACACTAGATACTGGCATAAACCCGAGTATAATTCAAGAAGGCCATTTGTTTACTCCGCTACCTTGCACTTTGAAAGCTTTCAAGAATAGCACTTTCACGAGTCGAATAGCGAAAAGTACTGAGTACGTGTACTCGCCCAATTTTTTTATCCAACATCTAGGTGATGGACTGTCACTACTCATTAAGGCCCTCGTACTGATGGGGAGAGTTAATGACTTTCACTTGAGAAGTTTTTACGACGTTCAAGCGTTGTGTTTGACGTCAGGCAGTCAATTAGTGTCATTTGGAGAGTTGGATACTTTAATACAAACATTCAGGCAGAGCTTTCCTTCGAAATACTCTGATCCAGTTCGCGTGGATGAGGATGGTCTTGATATTGACAATTTGATGGCGCATATGATCGCTGCTAAGTGCATGCTTAGCCTACATTCGCAATTCAATAGCGAGAAGCTTTCGCAATCTAGACTACTCTTTTACTCGCGCGTGGCAATCAACTCTCTTCACAAGTTAATGGCTACCACCTACGATTTGACGCGGCTGCCTAGCATGATTTTCACAACATACAGCAGCTCGGCGTCCATTCTTGTCGGTGCTTACATTGAAGCTGCTAAGAATTTAGACATTCAGGCTGTTAGTACTATAGAGAATGAGCTCTTGACCATAGTGAGATTTTTCAAGATCACGAGCAATTGTGTACCGCCGCACATGGATTTGTAGGTATCGCTTAATGTTTGAGCCTGTACTTACACGAATCAGCTCAAAAAATTAGAAGACGAAGCTAGGAAGATTGGTTTGGATTTGAGTGAAACAGAGAAGCAAACACAAACTCCAAAACAAGCGCCCCCATTGAACTGGATATTGCCAGAGCCTGTATCTGCTCTGGACATGTCCGAATTTGATGAGTATACTCTCCTATCAGGAAGTTCGTTCACGGCGACTGATGAAACGTGCTGGATGAACCTCAGCACTTTCAATGAAATGTAATTTGAGATTATTGTCTTAATTTCGGTCATTTTACATACTTTAAAGTGATAATTTGCGTCTCGTGCAGAATCAGTAAATATTCCAGTAATCTTGACCGATGAGCGTGCGACTTGTCCGGTGAGTATTTTAACGTAAGCGGAGATTCTGCATAAGTTCTAGGAAGGAGAATGTTTTGAACTATCTTACTTTTGGATACAATGATTTTTGAACCAGCTGGAAGACACTTGCAGATTAGCCAACCGCATATTTTATGTTTAGAACAATCTCCAGAGGTCACAAGCCCTCACTCGTCTCCAATGATATTCTGTCTGACGTAATTGCTCCCTCTTATAATTTCTCTCATCCGGCTAAATAAGTGGAAGCTTTTCCTTGCCCTTCTTGTGTAGCGAATTTTCACAGACTTTTATTTCGTCGGGTCTCATTTTCGAGTAGAGTGTGCGCGTGCTTTTTTGAGAGATTGAAGTAGTCAAACATCTCTAAATTCTCAATTGACTCGGAACTTAGTCTATTTGATCACCTCTTAATCAGTTCTTCCTCTTAACAATCGGAAGTGTAAGCAATTTTGAGGACGAACTGACTATCTTTTTGAGTATAGTGACACTCTTCGAAATTATTTAAAAGAATACAAAAAGCGTATAATAAAATCAACGGAAAACACTAAAGAATCCAATTAATAGCCTTCTTCGCTGAAAAAGGTTTCTCCTCCTCTTGTGCAAGCAGTGAATTCTCGTGTTCGTCGATCTCCTTCATCTCGGTGAAAAAGTCTGCCTTGTCAGGACTAACCAGCCCCTCTTTCTTGATCACACTATATCCAACACCAAGCACCACGAAGCATATCGGTGAGAAGTAAGTAAAGAAGCTGATGTGGTATTAGTTTGGCAAGAATTCCAAATTCCAACACACAAGTCAGCAATATCCCAGTTTCCATCTAGAAAACCGTATAGCCGTTTATTAACGTCACTGCCGTTGCGCAAAATAGAGCAAACCTCGGCTACGTCAGCTTACCGGTACGACAAAGACTCAGTAAACTCACCAAGCACCATAAGGCATGAGCTTAGAGCGATAATTTAAATTTTCAGTCTCCCACAAACTTTGCACCTTCATCGCCTTCTCCCAGCGCAAATATGTTACACAAATAACGCATCAAGTGATCAGTTGCGCAGCGGTAGAGATACCTTGATCTCATGTCAGCAGTTGAAATAGCTTTGTGTTTCTGACGCTCACCAATGAACCAATCGAGGACCTTCGAGCTACCATTACCAATTTTCAAGTAGCTCAAGCAGGCGAAAGCCGTTGTAACAAAAATCGTTGCGTAGGGAACACCATTTCTATTTACACGTTTAAAGATAACTGGGCCAAACCCTTGAACAGCCAAGCCGTGCAGTGTACGTAATGAATTGAAAAAGAATGCTGATCCAGCACTAAAAATGCTAGTAGTAATCGAGGCGTTAACTAGATGAGGAAGCCTTTTGATCTTCAGCCTCATCATGCTAGCTCCGTAAGGTGATTGGGCAGCTCCAGCTCCGTTGTTCTTGATGGAGTTGAGTAAAATTTTATCCTCTGAAGATATAACAATACCAACAGCGAGTGTTGAAAGGATGAAGAACACAAACAACCAAACAAATACTGTTCTGAATGCGATCGGCATCACTCTACGAGGATCTCTAGCTTCTCCAGAGATTATTGAGAGCATGTCTGGTCCTGCGACGGCAAATGAGGCACCAAAAGCGCTGCTAGAAACGCCTGCAGTTGCGTTAAAGCTGTATTACCCACTATTGGACCAGGGTCGCGCCAATATCTGAATCCATAAGCGCCATTGAGGGGATTTCCGCCGCACATAGTGACTAAAGTATACAATACACACATTACCAGCAATAAGAGTTTCAAGATAACGATCCACTGCATAGCTTTTAGAAAATAAGCAATATCTCCAAACTAACCCACAAACTCTGACTCCCCGAACCATCTCGAGTCCCATGAGTGTATGAGGACATAAGCTGCAATACTCGCAGATACCATTATAGCCGGGTGTAATGGCTCTGTGGTCCAGTAGTTGATAGCGTTTCCGAAGTTTGTAATTTCAAAGCAGAGAAGACCTATCTGAAGATGTTGTTACGTGATTACACTTCAATCAATAGCTCTCACCATGCACAAAAAGTAATTGTACCCAATAGACACACCAAACGCTGGTGATATATAATTACCAGCGAAATCCACAAATGCATCATTCTCTACTGGTAGACGACAAGTGGGCACTGCTACACATTAATTCACGATGTAGATTATGCAGCTCCAGAAGGTATAAGCCAGCAACAAGAATAGCGGTCCTGTGAGTTTTGAGTGGTTTTATTTTTACGCGAGACAAACACACCTGCTTCTGTGTTCTGTTCTCCTAGTGTGACAATCACCGCCGTCCCAATAACCTTTTTAGATCAGCAATCAATCCTTTCCTTTCTCTTTCAACTCACACCACCTATTCCGTAAATTTGGATATGACGTCTATTCAGATTTCGGCTGGTATGAGAGCCCCTTTTTGTTGAAGACTCCGGCTCGGCATTGTTAAAAAAAAAAAAACACGCTGAGTTTATGGAAGGCTCCTTTTTTCTTCTTTATTCATTGGTGAAAGAAGAGTTATTGAAAAAACGACCCTACTTATCCTCATCCTTATCGACGCCTTATCAGACATCTTATCAACTGTATGTTCTGGTCAATAAATCATGTGAAGGTCAATTAAGCGACGGAAATTAAGCGATAGTATTCTTGCATGTAGGTTTGATAATGAAGTGCCTAGATATCTTTATCTTCCTTCCTAATCGGTGAATTCCTGGTGAGTTCCTGGTGATAGTTCCATATATGACATTGAATAAATGGAGAATAGAAAGTGTTGAATTTAGCAGCATTTAGATTGCTTGTTTTTGACATACAAGCTCGTAGGAAGTCGTATAAGTGGCAAAATATGGGCATCGATGTGCATTTCTTAGCTATGTGATGTAATAAATACGAAAAGAGACCTTTAGAAGCGTAAATCATTAGTGAAAGCTTATTTAAATGCATTCACAACTCATCGTGAATTACGCTGGATTCCATAATTGGTGACGTAGTCAGTAATTGAAGAATTTCATGTGCCACATCAGCCGCGACCATCTGTCTTAGCTCACTTCCAGCGTCATATGGTGAATAACTTCGACTATATCTGCCCCAACAAAATTTAAACCCTTCAGATTCCTTAAAATAGTCTTGGCTTCGCGCGTGGTAAGCCCACCAGGCTCGGGTGTTCCAGTGGCGCCGGCAAAGGCAGGATCAACTGAGTCTATATCAATTGTCAAATAGGCTGCCGTATTGCCGACCCTTTTTCTAATTTGATCTGCAATTCCCTTTGCACCGATTTCATCTATAGCATCGATCGTGATCATTTTTATACCAAACTCTTTATTATCTGTAATATCCCTTTCTTTTGTAAAACGCGTCCTTATTCCAGCTTGGATCGATCTCGAGGTAAGCAAATTTTCCTCCGACGCATGCCAAAGCATGTTGCCATGAGAGACAGGTGCTGTGTCGTGCTTATCACTGAACCCATACTTTTTGCCTGAAGACCATGTATCGATATGAGAGTCGATCTGAATAAGCGATATAGGACCGTGTACCTAGAGATGAGTGTCGGGAAATGTACTTCGATGAATAGCGCGGATTACGCGCCTTTTTTAGAGTACGCAGAATTGGCAACTCAATTGAGTGGTCACCTCCAAATGTGAGTAGCATTGGATGCTTTAGATGCTTACTTGCAGTTGGTCGATTGAGAAGATTGTCGTGCGCAGCTTCGGTGCTTTTTTATGACATCTGGTTGTCTACTGTAATCACTGGAATATCCCCACAGTCTAAAATTTTGACCCCTTTCGCGTAAGGGTTGGCCTCCCAGAAGTGCGACCATGCATTTGCTGGGTCTTGGTGACGTGATCCCTGACTAATGCCTAAGCAAATCAGCAATATATTCGAGCTTGGGAATTGGCTCACTATTCGGTCCGAATCTGGCCCCTGTTCAGTATGACACGCTTGTATCAAAAGGTATACCATTAACAGCAATATCAAAATTCTGACTTTTGTCCGTCAAGCAATGATGGTGTTCTTAATGTGAAAAGTGACTATATTAGCAAATAACGATGCCTTGATATGCTTAAAGTCATCCCAGGGCTCTTTCGCTAAGACAAACTGAATAATTGCAGCTATCGCGACTAATTCCAACTTCATCCCGATGTTATTTGAGCTAGATGTGGTCTTGAATTACTGTATAGGTAGATAGTCACGGTCGCTTAGATATCTCGCTTGTCCATGTCAAGTATCTTGTGTTAAATAAGGTGGATAAGACGGATTTAGGGATCAATTACGGTAGTGAGAGTGTGGAACAAAGGAGACAAACTTGAAGGGTTCAAACTCAGCTGGGATAAGTAAGATTTTATTTTTGGAATAGCTTGATAAGCGAGAGGCCCTATCGGGGTAAAGAACAAAGCACCTTGCTGAATACTCAAAATTAATATCTTTGTTCAATGATAGAATCATTCATGAACACAGTGTACAATAAGCTTAACAAACAATCGAAGCTTAGTCTTTCTTGTCGGTATCGTAATGATTGTCTTGCTTCTTGTCGTTGTCGTGTTCTTGTTTCATGTCGGTATCGTGCTTGCCAGAATCTTGTTTCTTACTGGTGTCGTAGTGATTGTCTTGCTTTTTGTCGTTGTAGTGCTCTTGTTTCATGTCGGTATCGTGCTTGCCAGAATCTTGTTTCTTACTGGTGTCGTAGTGATTGTCTTGCTTTTTGTCGTTGTAGTGCTCTTGTTTCATGTCGGTATCGTGCTTGCCAGAATCTTGTTTCTTACTGGTGTCGTACTGATTGTCTTGCTTCTTATTACCAGACTTGTTGTCGTACGTGTTGTCATCTTTCTTCTCACCCTTCCAGTACTCGTCTGTCTTCTGGTTCTATTACTGTGTAAGCCAATTTTCAGCAAGCTTCGTCATTACCAACCTTGTCATTTGCTTTGTTCTTTTCGGCAGCTTCTTTCGTCAGCATTTTCTGCTTTTCGACCTCTTTGCTGTGCTTCTTGAGCGCCTCTTCGTGAGATTCCTTGTCTTGCTTATCGTATTTGTCGTAATTATCGTTGTTCTTGGCATCCACACCCTTTTCAGAGTTTTCATTCTTGTGACCGACATCTCCTACATCTCCGCGATACGAGATGTTGCCAGCTGGGTTAGGTGCAGCGGCTACTAATACGATGGCGCTAGTAAAGGCGAGAACGGCGAGAGCTTTGACGTTGTTGAAGTACATTTCAATTTTCTTAGTTGTGAAGAAGAAAGAAAGATATAGCGCTTCTTATAAAGCCAGCTGGGCTGATGTTTCTCACTTCTATCATCACATCTCGTCATTTAATGAAACTGCCAAGTGATTCGGCTGAAGCTTGTAAACAAATAAAAAGGCGTGTACTTTAATGCGTCATTGTCTCAATATTGGGCGTTTCCTGTTGTCGTAGACAAAATGACACAAAGTTTCAGCCGGAGGAGCTTCAAGTAAATTGAATAAACAATTACGGTTTATGGAATTCTAAGTTTAAAATTGAAGCGTCTCATCTAGAGGTTTGGGAGTTGGAAGTGGGTGTTCAGTAAGTAATCAGAATTAATGTCAAAGACGAAATGTTATCATTATTGAAATCTTTCGAGCAGCCTATCCACTGTCGCGTCCTATCCTCTCAACTCTCATCATATGGTAACGATTCACAAAGTCATAGCCATCAATTGCGCAGCATTATTTCTCAAGCTTATCACTAACTACTTCATTCATAATGAATGCTTGACATTCGAAAATGTTTCTATTTTTTACTCTATATCTCAAAGTATGCGCGTGGTTTTTCCTAAATATTTGCCTGTCAATAGCTCTCCAACGCATCAGGTTCCAATCTGGTTCTCTATCGGAATCTTGTCATTTGGTCTGAGAGCTGCGTATGACAGTGGCATTGCCATCTATGATTGGTATACATATAGATGTAATGTGATTGAAACGGCAATATCAGACAACACTTACAAATTCCACGTCGAAAATTCATGTACCAAGTATCCACATTTGGAAAAGATATCAAGTGCGATGAACCAAAAATTAACAAACGAGAAACCGAAGGAATCTACTAAATGTATAAAGCAAAACTTTGACGATAGTTGGCATGGATATGCCGTGCTTAATCATCACTCAGATAAGACTATTAATTGGAGCAAAACTCCCTGCGGAGGTAGCCAGTTATTTCTCGAAGGTAGGTCAAACATTGAAGGGTTTTCGAGATTCCTTATTCACGGAACATGCGGGGGATAATATTTGATTCTTTGATGTAATTGAAATGTGCCAATATTTACGATAATACAATGATAGCCATTTACGACTCTTTATGCTCCTAATTATTAAATGACATCATCATTTAAAATTATTAGAAGAGCTAGCGTATGCTTTTACCCGAAAGCTTCCCCCTCGGGAGCTTTTGCTCAGCGAGAACTTACATCCGCCACATCTTCAACTCATGAAGCTTGCAGCAGCCTTTACTGGGATAGTTTTAGGCTCTGTGCTTGCTGCTCCGGTATCTGTAAGTTTAATTTTGCTATCGAAGAAGATCAACCTGACATGCTCGACATCAAGAGTGCTTTTGGTAGTTATTCACGCTCCCACTCAAACGCAAACTTCTCGCTGGATACGGATACAGCTGCACACGCTCTTTTCGGAGTTAGGCCTGACTACCGAAATGAGGTGCTTAAGCTCCATCGCTTCGGGGACGACGAGATGGCACGGATCCTTTTCATCAAGGCATTGGAAGAGAAGGGAGCGTACAAGGTACTAGATGAGCTCGAGAGGCAGGATAGCTGATCATGTCTTCGTAATAAGTAGCTTGATAGAGATGTTGATAGATAATACACGCAATATTACTTGAACATTTATCTGCAAGTGTTTGAGGAAGGCTTAACATCGACTGTTACCGGAAACATACTTGTGATGTTTCCAGGCACGGATTTTCACCACCCTAGATTCGTATGAGCGGATTCCGAGCGGGACCACGCAGTCCGTGCAGAGTCTACTCAGTTTCTTCTCCTCTTATATCCTCACTGCATAAATGATCCAAAAAAGCGAGAAAAGTAAGACGATTGATTGTGATCTATATCAGCACTTGCTAACAGGAATAGACATTGTACGCGATGTCTCTGGCTCAGAAATTACTAAGAATGAGGCGGAGTCTCTGCATCTCTGCTGCAATACTCGGCACGGCGAACGTCAACGCTTGCAATCCTCCTTGAAAGCTGAAGTTGAGTACTTGAGAAGTTTCAACAAGCAATTGAAGCAGGAGCGCGACGACCTCAACGACTACATCTACGAGCTCAGCGTAATGGTCTATGATTTCAAACACACTAATCAATACTCGCTCTCGTACTGACGCCTTCAAGGCGAGTCCGGTCAGTGCTATTGCACTCTTTTAGATTATTTATATACCCCTCTGATATCTTTAATGTCTTTCATTAATTACAGTAAACAACATTTATTTCTAAAACATACAATCGTGAATTCAGAGAATCATATTAAAAATATGGCGAGTGGACCTGATATTTACCCAATAGCTAGTCATTCGAGCGTTTCATCATCTTGACGCTTGAGAATCTCTCTCTTGATGGCTGAAAGTTCCTCGAGGTCATCGTTATCTTGACGACTGAGGATACCCCTCTTCATGTCTGTCAGTTCGTCGAAGTCGTAATTATTTTCTTGTCTGCGGTAGATATCTCTCTTGTCCAGGATATCAGTCAATCCGCCTCTCTTGACGTATTCGCTCTTATCGAGGATGTATCTCTTGCCAAATTCCTTCTTACCGAGGATACCTCTCTTTTGCATCATACCTTTCTTGTCGAGGATGCCTCTATTGTACCCCCGGCGCTTGGCTGCTTCGACAAGACAACAAAGAACAGCGACTAATAGAACTAAAGTGACTGGAAACTTCATACTTAAGTGGCAGAAGCGGGATGAGAGATAGTGAAAAAGAACAGCCTTATTTATACACTCGACCAAGGAATGATACTTCGCGTCAAAGGAGGCGCAGTATATCGACGCGAGCTTGTCAGTGTCGAAATGGGTACATCCTTTGAGTAGAGTGGAGTGAAAGCAGATCAAAATGGCCTTCTCGTGGTGCGTCTAATTGCTGTAGAATCAACATAATCGATTGCATCTGGGCGATGGTAGCAGTGAAATTAAGTCATGGAGAGGGCAGGAAGGACGATTTATAATAGGTGATCAGGATGCCGAATGTAACACTGATTCAGTTACACTATGAGCATTCAATCCTGTCTTCCATCTCTAGCTACTCGAATGAAGCGTCTTGAAGTACTCTAGCTGATACGCCTCCTGACCATAAGCATAATTTTCCATAAATCGCTATCTCCGTTGTTTCAAGCCGCTGCATCAATCCGCTGAATGTCTCGCGCCTCAAGATCACGAGGCGTAAAAATGGTAAGCGAGTGGAAAGGGTGCTATGAGGGTAGGATTTGAATGAATGAGGGAGCACAGAAGTTACTTTCAACTTTTACTGTAAATTCTATCGTAATTAATTCAACTTGAAACTCAAGCTCAAGCTCAGGCTAATTTAATCTGTCACAAGAATCAGTCGATAAGGTGCCTGAAGCACCGGATGTGACTGCGAGATGTCGGTTGAGTTTGTAAAGGGATGTCTTCAAGTGGAGCAGCCAACGTTGTAAATGATTGAGATTGCAAATGTTGTTAATGCTGATGCTGATCCTGCTGCTGCTGCTGCTGTTGATCAACTCGGTGGCTTGATTGGTGCGGTGATTCAACTGCTCAATGGCGTCTAATAAACAGCTCAGCATTCTTCCTACCACCAGCCTTGAACAATTCTACATCAACCCTGCTCAACGTTCTTCTCGATTTAGCTGTTCTTGTGAGGAGTGCTTTGTTGTGATCTTATTCGCTGACGAAAGCAGTTTTGCTTCATCTCTACGCTCATTGGATATATGTAAGTTGTAGCATTCTTATTCTCGATACACAGCTAACATGTGTAGCTGCTGGGGACTTGTGCTCACCAGAGAGGATAGACGGATAGAAAGCACAGACATGGAAACAGGACAACACGTACAACTAGTATACTCTTCTCCGGTAGACAAGTAGCCCTCATAGCCTTCACATACACCTAGACGCAAATAACATACGGTATCACAATCATGTATTATGCTTTGTACATTATCAGCTCTTCCAGTCTTGAACGTGTGTATCATTATTCAAACAGCCTGATTTTCTTAGGAATTGTGCTATACCGCATGGCATCTAGGTAATATTGGTCATGATACAAAACTCGTAAAGATATCTAATTCTTGGATGGTAAAGAAGGCGAAGGCGAAGGATCGGCGGTATTAGCAGGTGCGGCGCTCTGTTTACCACCAAAGACGGCGCCTTTGCCAGCAGATTTGATGAGTGCCTTTCTCGACACGCCCTTGACGTCAATGTAGACAATAGCGGCGTTATGGACCGAGTCACCGACGCCTCTAACGGCCTTGCCAGCGTCTGGGCCGTATTTATGAGCAGCCATAACACTCCCTGCCATGGAAGCATCGCTAACGAAAGTCTTGCTGGCCTCTTCTACCGACGTGAAGACGTTATCTACGGCCGTGAAGGCCTTGTTAAAGAAGCCTAAAGGGTAACTTTAGCTGGTTGTTGAGCAACACACTCCACACAAACTCACCCGGCTTCTTATCCTCCTTGTCGTCTTTCTTGCCCTTACCAGAGACGTACGCGCCAACACCGCGCGCAGAGTCGGCAATTACACCGCTCGTCTTGGCCGACACACTAGCTACTTGACCGGTGAGTTTGTGCACGCGCGCCGCGTTCTTGCGCGAGTTCTCCGAAAACACGAGCGGTTTCTCGCCCGTCTTGGTCTTGGCAACAAAGGTTTGCGAGCCGGCTGCGAGCCCTTTTCCGAGGAGGTTGCCGCCTGTGTGCGTTAGTGTGTTAGTACATCGTTGCTACACCAGCTCGACTCCACCCACCTCCGATAATGGTCTGACTGACGTAGTTGCTGCTGCGAATCATCAGCGAGGGGTCTTTAGCGGCAGATACGCGGATGGATTCGTCAGGCTGGTCAGGGAAATCGACTACGACTGGGTGTTTTTCGTTACCCGTCTCGCTCAGTGAAGGGTCTTCAACGGGAGCGCCCGACTGAGCCTCATCGAGCGAACCTAATATTTGGCCGTCTTGGGTATCGACGAGACAGAGTTTGCCGCGCAAATCACTCTGAGCTTGTGGGACGGGGAGACTGGCGTAGGAGCCGAGGATAACCTCGAGGCTCTCCTTGTCCTCGTCTGAATGCTTCTCGGGGAGTTCAATATCGATATAGGCATCAGGGAGTGTGGGCGAAGGGATGCTGTAGCCACAATCGCCTATTCTGTCTATAGGGATACCTGATGGCAGTGCTAGCTCGAACGCGTGCGCTTTCTCGTCACCCCTGATGGATAACACCAGCCAGTAGTCAGTTCCGCCTGACATTTGACTGTCGAATATCTCGGTGGGGTTGTCGTAGTTGATGGTGGAATTGAGACTGACAAGGCTTAGGTCAAGGACACCGGCGCTGAGAGGGACACGCTGGTCTTGATAGACTTGGTAGGCAGTTGAGCCAGGGAAAGAGATTAGAATAACAGCTTGGTTTTGTTGGGACATGGTGGTGTGGATATAAGGCTTGTACCTCGACGACGACGATGACGACGTTGATCAGAAACGCCAGTAGACAGATAGCATCGGGTAGAGGTGGGTGATTTGCTTGGTTTTGCACCCACTTACACGCCATCCAGGAAAATTCACCGATACACACACCTTGCTCAGCTCATTTGGTAGAAATCTACAGGACAAGTGCAAGGTAGAGAACTGGGAGCAGCTGTTTACCCGCAGGAGCATCGACTTTGAGAGAATGGGCTTGTCTACCAGGGATAGGAAGTATTTGTTGTGGTGCCTGGAGAAGTTTAGACAGGGCGAGTACCCGGATTCATTCGCGCACGAACCAAAACCCAAGAAGGAATTCAGGGCTTGGGGACCGAGGGTGCAGCATGGCAAGCGTGTGCATGGTTTGTTGAGATATGGAGAAGAGGCTGCGCCAAAGAGGTAGAAACGATAAACATGCATTCGATAATCATCCAAACAGCTTTGGTGGTGTTTCTTGAGTGTCTTGAGTGTTTTTTGTTAAATCTCCGCTCGATTCTGTGAAATCTGGCTGTGAAGAGTAGTAAAGGCGTTTAGAGCAATCACCGACAGCCCAGTCGAGTCCTTGTAACAAGTTCTCACCCGTCACAGCGCTGCAGGGCTGTATTCTCCAGGTGTGGCTCTTTATGCTGTCCAATTGGAGAGCGCTGCGTATATCATCCACACTCATTGCACCGTGGATATCAACCTTGTTTGCGAATATCAGTATGGTAGTACCAGCCAATCTATCCTCGCTGAGTAGATCGAACAGCTCATTCCGACAATCATCCATTCTAAGCGTATCCGATGAATCAACCACCCAAACCACCGCGTCATTCTGTTCAAAGTAGTTACGCCAATAAGGGCGCAATGTGCGTTGACCGCCGACGTCCCCTGGAAGAGGAGTACCATGAGTAAGGTACACCGAATACACACCAGCAACCCACAAACATTCAACGTATAGCCACGATGTATAAATGTCTTGATATTGAAGCCTAAAGTGGGTGAAATAGACGTTATATCCTCGCCATTGACGCGTTTCATTATTGTCGTCTTCCCTGCGTTGTCTAAGCCTCTATTGTGTGCTTAGATAGCAGATAACGGATAACACAGCGACGCACAAGAATAGGAAACGCATTTCACGTGATTTGTAGCGCTGTTTACGAATAATCGATAGGAGTCCTTTAATTTGTTGATTTGTTAGATTGTGTTTACTGGCTGTCTTCTCGCCCACCCATCAGCGTCGTTTGGAAGAAACTACGATGAATTCAGCGCAATTACGGCCCACGAAACCAATAGGAGGATTCAGAGGAGGGTTGGTGTGGATCAGCGTGTATTCTCGCACTCACTCACTCCCACAGCGTTCTTGGATTCTGCGTTGGATTCGTAGCTGCGTCTATGGGTGGATACATGTACCTGTTGGAAGATTATAGGAAATCGAATGAGAGCATTAAATGGGATATTGCTAGTGTCAGGAATGAGTCGCTCCAGTTGAACGACAAATTCAGCAGGATCGACGCATTAGAAGGCGACTTTGACACTCTCAAATCAACTCTGACAGAGGAATTGTCGGTTAAGGATACGCGTACTAATTCCAGTATCGTAGGTGTTTTTATTCGGTTTTACTCAGCTCACTCTCCCACAGCAATCACTCTCCTCCGAACTCAACGATCTAAGGACGTATATACTATCATTAGAGCAGGATATTAGCCGCTACTTTGCTACGAATAGAGAGCAGTATATTAGAATATAACGATGCATCGACTATCTTATACGTTCCTTGTTCCTGTTGTCCCTGTTCTCCTGTTCTCCTGTCCAACTAGTCCACCTCCATTGAGCGTCCCCATTTGCATTCCTTCCTCACTCACACTGTCCACCCCGTCCCCCTGATACCTCGGCAGTCTATAAGCATCCTTCCTCTCGACATACCTCGTGTTGTGCGGTTTGTGGCACATTGCGTTACCCAAATGTGGGTAGTATTGTCTATAACACACGTAAGCGAAGAAAGTGCCGATAACGCCGCCTGCAATGATATCCGTAGCGTGATGTCTGTAGTCCATAGTGCGCGACACTGCGATAAGGACGGCGCCGATCCAGGGAGCCCAGCAGATCCACGACTTGACTGTGTGTCCCTTGGTGTCGAAAACCTGCATTTTGCCCGCGAGGTAGAAGCTGAGGTAGCCCAGCAGAGCGAACGAGGTGGAGGAATGACCGCTGGGAAACGACCTGAATCCATCCTGGAGCAGTTCAAAGTCGGTTTGTGTGCAGACATCCGCAGTAGCAAGACCGACGTCTGCATTAGACGCGCCAGAACGCGGCTGACAGCGGGCAATGAGGTCTGGGCGCGGTCTGCCCACGAGCACCTTAACGGCAGTGGTAGTGGAGAGAGTGAGACCAGCTGTGAGGAGAAAGCCAAGCAGCGCGTGGTGCAGATCCGTGTAAGAGCGATACCATTGCGTGCTGAGCAGAATCTTGGCCACGATCGGTACCAGTCCTATGAGTATACCCAGCAACCACAGGGGTACGCGCTCATCCTCCGTGTGCGAGTGGCGTATACTCGCATCGTTCAGGTCGAATTCCCGCCAGTACCCGTGGACATTGTTGATGATGTACAGCAACCCTAGCAACGCTGCGCAGATCACCCAGTCCATCGCATAACTCACTCCAAATTTCCACCGACTCGTCACGTACTCTGTGGCTGTGTTAGCGGTGCGTTTCTTCTCCTCGCTCGCACATCCCCTACTCACTCTCGTTCCCCTCGAAGCGACGCGCATACGGATGCTGTAGAAATTTAGGCAGAATCGACGGCGGTCTGCTTAAATCTAGTCTGCCGATTTTTACCATTGTCTTTATATTTAAGTTGTAGTGTGTGCTTTGTTCGCTGTGCTGGTACAAGATAAGCAGCCACAGCGGGAGCGGACGTGAATATTATAAATTTCTTGGCATGCAATACACGCGACACACTCGATGCACACGCAAACCATCTATATCTATATCTACACTTACACTTACATCTAATCATACACCAACCCCGCCAAGCCATATCTAACAGCAAAAGCGAGGACAGAACAAGCAACTTGGAAGACGACGGTGACAGAAGCGAGTTGACGCTCCGACATTTTGCCAAAGAGACAGAGGAAGGCGTTGAGGAGGGTGAGGTTAGTAGAGCAAGTAATGCGTCCGTTGCCGCCTACCTCCAGCTGCACAACGCCTACGGCGCTCAGCACACGCAGCGGCACGCTCACATAGAAGGCGGGCGGCTTGTCGAAATACGCCCGACTCGGTTCAAGTACTCCCGTGCCATGCACATACCGCGGCACACGGTGCCGCGGACATGCCATCAGTCCGAATAGCTGCGGGGTCGACAAACCGAAATTGATCACTTGCGGTAGGAAGAAAAGTAGCAACGTTTTGGAGAAATGCCCTAAGACCGCCACTATCGCAAATGCCATGCCGGCGAAATAACAGTAGGTATCACCGGGGAATACGCGTGCGGGGTACCTGAGTAGGATGAGATTGTAAAATGGTGAGTTGGTGAGTTAAGTAATTAGTTATTAATGTCGTGATCAACCCACCAGTTATGATAAAGCAGCCCCAGCGACGCGCCTATAAGGGGAAGCATGAAGCAGAGGGAGAAGAGGTGGCGCTCAGCTTGCTCCTGTGTAGTGGGGCCTACGAGAGCGGTCGATGACCAATGAGCAGCGAATTGCGGGAGATGGCTGACGAAACCATGCGATAAGGGCAGGTGTAAGAGATCATTAATGGCGACACTCCCCGCTATCACAACCGCTTGCGCCACCTCTATCCCATTTATGCCGGCAAGAATATTGATGCTGTTGGTGCAGAACGTAGATAGCATCGCCATGTATATGTAGTAGAGGGGGCCTGTTATCGGGGTGGTCAGCGCATGACATCATTGCTGCTCGCACCTACCCAGATGCACCACCCGGCCCAGTAGCTGGCGTAAGGGCAAAGGGATAACGACGTCTGTTATGCCGCTATGGAAGTTTAGTGTCTTTGTATGAGGTGAGACATTAGCGTGAAAAAAAAATACTCACCCTTCTGCAAAATACACAACTAACATGGGTATACTGGCAATCAGGGGGATCGGCAGTTTATACCTCCAGCGAATATCGAATAGGTCGTCTAAGAAGCCGAGGAGAGTTGCAGTTTGGAGGGAGAGTAACGCAGAAAGGTAAGTGGAGAGCTATCAAGGTGAGCTTGAGTGAGTGAGTAATAAATACCCACTTTATGATGAGGAAATTGTGGCTGTAGATTGCTAGCGTGTGTTTTGAGGTGATTCGCGAAGAAAACTGGGGTGAATAGGAAGAGCAACACGATCAAAACGCACGCCGGAACAATGCCGAGAGATTCGGGGCTTTTTGGGGGTGAGAGGGGGAATAAGCAGCTATTTCCAAACCCACACCAGCTGCTTGTAAGGTTTAAGGAGATCCCTGCCTCTCAAGCCCACTCTAGCGAGACAGTGAGAGGATAAGGGGATGAGAGTGATAGAGCTGCAGAAAGCCACGATAGCCATAACCACGGCTGGCATCAAGACGTTGTAGCTGTACGCGACGAGTGGGATGAGCGATAAGGGGAGAATTAGAAGCCGAGTGGAAGGATACTTGGGAATCAGAAATGGAGCCGGTGAGGGACTTGGGATATCTTTAGATTTTTCATTTTTAACATTTTTAATCCAATTTATCATTAGGATGTTGGTTGGTGAATGTCTACCATGTCAGAAGCGATTCTGAGGAGAGATGAGAGCGGCGTGAGCAGTGGTAGCAGCAGCGATGGCAGCGACGGCAGCAGCGATGTCAGCAACAGCAGCGACGACGATAACAACGACGATAACAACTCCCATCTCTCCCATCTTCTCAACAGCGCCCGCACAAACCTGTCCAACACAAATAACGATCATCTCAATCTCAACGATGATTTGGTCAAGCTGGATGACGCGGCTCAGGAGTCAAAGCAGTGAGCTCATCTACCAAGCAGAGATCTCGCTCAGACTCACATTCCCTGCCAGACCTATTCCAACGCTCACCAGCAGCTACAATCTAAACACACTCCCCCCGCTCAAGCCATCTCAAAGAAAATCTGATAATTTTAAGCAGACAGTGCCCAAGAAGCGTGAATTGGAGGTGTGTTGGAGGGTTATGAGGTATATTACAACTCACACAACCACAATCAGATATCTGCCATTGAAAAACAAACAGAAAATGCTTTGAACGGGGCTTCTGCGGCTATGTCTAGTAGACCAGCACATGATGCAGGTACAAAGCCATCGAGGAGGCAGTTGAAAGAGGTTAGTTGATGTTATATTGCCATTAGTTTCCTTCTAAACATAGAAAAAACAGTCGAAAGAATCCACCGCCGGGAAAGATTGGTTCGATTTACCTGCTCCACCTTCAGCACTCCTTCCACAGTGGAGACGTGAAGCAGAGGCACTCCAATTACGCAACTCTCTCGACCCTAAACGCTTCTACAAAGGCGGTAAGCAGAAATTACCGAAACATTTTGCCATCGGGAGAATATTGCCGGGTAGGAACGCAGGAGATTCACTCGCAGATGGCGCAGAAGATGCTAAAGCGAGGAGGAACGCTAAAGGATTCATCAATGAAGCACTCGAGGATAAGGATGGACAAAGGTACGCTAAGCGTAAGTATAACGAACTTCAAGCAGAGCGTGGACAGGAGTATGGCCAGAGGAAGAAGGCCAAAGAGACGCTTAAAAGGATGGATAGGAGTAGGCGGTAGTGATGATTCTATTGTGTGGGTTTTAAGGGTATTTATATATATATCTAAACACACTAACAACAAAATAGAACTCTAATAAATAAATTTAATCTTCTTATTCCTCCTTTAGTTTTTACGAATTTTAAATTAACAATTCACGCTCAACAAATTTGACCGATTCCGGCGTCAGTGGATGCCACAAAGCAGCGTAAAAAAACAAGAAATAATAATTTAAATTAAATCTAAATTAGATTATACGAGTCGTCTTTGTGGATTTCTATTATTGGCCACACTGACAGCACATCACTTATCACCATGTCCAGAAGACTTAAAATTACAGCCAGAAGTAGGCTACAAATCGTTAAAAGACCTCAATTTATCGCTGAATCTTATTCCTTTGATGATGAGTCGAAGGCTACCACCGGTGTTGACTCGGCTGAGGCTGAAGAGACTCACCTTCAAAACGCGATAAACGCGTCTCAAAAGAGGAATGCTCGTTCTAAGCCTTCACATGACACTACTCAATCTGCTTCCAATAATGATAAAGCTGATTCTGTTGATGAAAATGCTCTTTCAACCCCTCAAGATGACTCTTTGGGTATCATTCCAACCCCGGATGCTACAGGCAGAGTCACTAATTACTATCAGCTATACAAGCCGAACCAGTACCCTGACGCCTGGTCCTATATCAAGTACAGCGACACAATCGAAGAAGCTCAATTGGGTGGTTTAGTGTATACAATCGATGAACGAGATTATAAGTTCATCCAGGAGCATAATAAGGCGGTCAAAGGTGAGGGTACTTCCACAGACGCTAGTAGTAAGGATGAGAAGAAGAACAATGACATACTCATCGACGACAATCTCTTTGAATTGGTTATGAGTGTTTTTGAGAAGGTTACTGACGACATTGCTCCTACTCTCCATACCGTGCGTTTTATTCCACTAATTTAAACCCTTATCCCTCTTTAACACCCACGCAGGACCTATCCAGAATCCCAGACTTCTCAGAATTCCAATTACATCTCAAGAAACATGATCTCCTCGACAACTTCCCAAACGTTGCTCCTCTTAAGCTCACAATTACACCTGACAACCTCGTCAAGCTTGGTCAGATTATCTATCAACATTGGCGTGCACGTCGAGTCAGACGGCAAGGTAAACCAATTCACCCACAGCTCAACTACGACGAAAGCAATGATGGCGATCCTTATGTTTGTTTCAGACGCAGAGAAGTCAAGCCTGTTCGCAAAACACGCAGGGCTGATCTACAATCGGTTGAAAAAATGGAGAAGCTCCATAAAGAACTCATCGCAGCTCAGCAGCTTGTTGTCAGGGTTATCGATAGAGAGAAAAAGAAAGCTGAGGCTGTTGATATGGACAAAAGTATATCACAGTTACGACATACTTTTAGAACCGTCAAGAGGAAACTTGGCGTTGTTGGTCCTGACGATGGAAAAGCTGATGATGAGTTGCTATCCGGTCACAAACCAAAGAGAATTAAAGTCGAGACTAAGCTGCCCAACAAGAGAAATAACGCTTCGCCTTCTGTCAACACTAATAACGATAAAGCATCTGTACCGATCGCTACACTCATCGAGAAACATATACTTGCTAAACGAGAGGCAGACCAAATGTGGGAAGACTTTACAGAGTCATCCCTTATACCAAACCATTTCCCTGGCTCTAAATTCTATCGTGCACTGCCTAATGACATTGATGACGATGGTGAGATGGGTAGAAGAACTTTCAGGTTGAGGATTGGAAGAGGTGGTAGAAGAATACTCGACAGACGCCATCCGTTTATCGATTATGGCGATGATGACAGCAGCAACCTCGATGATGATGAGAGGAAGTTGAGGGAGTTGCAGAAGTATGACGCGGATGTGGTTTATACAAAGAATGTCAAAGGCTTAGGACCAACATTTGGTGACAAAGGTGAAAATCTGTTGATAGACGATTACGATGAGAGGTAAGTAAGGAGTGCTAAGAAAAGGTGATAATAATAAAAAACCCCAGATTTATGCGACATCGTGCATCATTACTCACGGAAGATGATATCAATAATTTGACGGCACCTACAAGTCACGTTGATGCAGCGATGCAGGCAGCATTGGCACCACCACCACCACTTCCAAATTACACAATCGTTCGACCTAATCCCAATAACAAAGCGCAACAGCTACAGCGAAATAATTCGAACGCTTCTAATGCACAGAATAATGGAAAGCCACAGGTAGCTCAGCATTTGATAAGAAAAGCTTCTCAGCAGAATGCGCAGTCGACGCCGTTACAGAAGAGCAACTCAGCAATGAATGGTACGGGAGCGTCTAAACAACCTGCGCAAAGTACGCAAAGCACGCAATCTACACCTAAACCCCCCACTCCTCAAATGAATGGGAACGCTTCGCTGCCTCCGAATAACCCAACGTATAATGCAATTCAACAGTTGCTTGCCCAGCAGCAACAACAACAACAGCATCAACATCAACAACCACAGCAACCAATACATCCCCTCCAACCACCATCCCAAGCTCAAATGAATGCATTGTTACAGTCGACAAAAACTCAACAACATCTCAATCAAATGAGGCAGTTGATGGCAAGTCAGAATAACAACAATAATGCACCGAATAATCAATTGAGTCAGCAACAGATGTTGGCAGCCCTGCTTGCGAAGCAACAACAACAACAACAACAACAACAGCAAGTGAGACAACCACAACCAAATCAATTGCAACAACAACAGCAAGCAAACGCTGGTGGTTTAACTGCTCAACAGATGGCATCAAATCCTCAATTGGCTGCATTTTGGAGACAGCAGTTGTTGGCACACCAGCAGGCTCAGGCTCAGGCACAGGCTCAAGCTCAAGTGGCAGCCAACGCACAAAATCAAACTCAAGCCCCAACGCACCCAACGCAAACACAAGCTAACCAATCCACCAACGGAAATTGAAATAAATTATTTCTATTGAGCAACATGAGTAACATGAGTTACTCATTGAAGAAAATAAATAATTTTGATTTGAACACTTGACTTTAAATATTGTATACCAAATTTATCAACTTGTTAAGATAATTTGCTTGCCGTTTGCTTAATTAGTACATTATACGCTTTACCGATATTAGCATCGTCTTTAATTACGGACTGCCAAATTTCACCATGATGTGGTTCAGCTTGCTTAGCAGATTCCAGTACATTCTGTGCATTTTCTTGTGTGCCATCTTGTAGCTCAAACTTATACCACCATGCCCAATGATCACCATTGTCTGGATCAGCTTTACATGATTTACTCAACCACGACCTAGCCTTGTCTTTCTTACCTTCCATCCAAAGCATACGAGCGACTGTGACAATTATAGTTGGATCATCTGTCACTTTACGTAACGCATCAACTGATTTTGTCTTTCGAGATGGTCGAGGTTCCATCCAAATAGCAATAGACCACAATAGACCGGAAGTTTGGCACTCTTGGAGTGCCTTTGAGAGTAATCCTTTTGCTTGATTTCCTGCATTCGCTCTCTCCTCCACTCTAATAGCTTCTGCCCATAGTATGTCGCAGTTTTTGTTGATGAGACGACCCTTCTCTAACAGTGCGCGCGATCTGATAATAACGCCCATCTTTTCTTCGAATCGTGAAGACAGTATCCATAGTGTGGGTGATTGAGGACATTTCTTAAGCGCTGCTGCGAATGTGTCTCTTATCTCTTTGTTGTTGCTTCTACTACCATTATCATCACCACCGCCGTCAACATTACCATCGAGTAAACCAACTTTGATCATGTAGAGTTTGTCAAACGTGGGAAACTTTGTGAGTGCCTCATTTACACATTTCAATGCTTCGATGCTATTGCCATGCTGTCGTTCAAAGACTGCAGACTTCATCCATATCCTTTCAGTGGAAGATTGTAGTCTTGCTTTATTGAGCAACATTCTCGCATTCTTAATTTCGTTATTTTCAGCTTCCAACTTGACAGCAGCTAGCCAGACTGCTTCAGAGGATGGATTAGCGTTGAAGGCATCACCTAGGACTTGTCGAGCAGAGTCCACATCTCCACCAAGCCAGTGTTCCTTCGCAAGCATCAACCAGAGTACTTCTGCCTTCGGACAATTTTGTGTAGCTGTTTTGAGTATATCTGTGAGGGTGTTTCTGTTATGCTTCGTTAGCCTGGCGATTGAGTCAACACGAGATACCCACCTATTCCCATGCTGCTTTTCTAGCTCAGCAGCTCGCCTCCAAAGCTTAGAGCGCTCAGGGAAGACCTTGAGTGCGAATGCAATGACAGCTCTTGCAGTCTCGATCGATCCTCTATCCTCCAACGAATCAGCATCGTCCATCCAAACGGCATATTTATCTTCATCCTCAATCTCATGATGAATAGTAGCCTTTACGATAGCTGCGCATGTGAGCGGAGATCCTTCTTGCTCAACTCTCTCAGCCTCTTTCAACCATTGTTCACGCGATAAGAGAGCACCTGATGATCTCAAAGATCCAACACCGTTGTTCACCAGCTTATCAATATCATTGCTCGATGCTCCAACTTGCTCTTGTAGTCTTGCAGCAGCTATCCATATCTCATGTGATGTTGGTATAGTTTTGCGTGCTTTGTTGATAATTTTCTTGGCGTTTTCTGGTGTCTCTAATCTAGCTAACGCCAGCCAGAGCTCGACTGATGATGGAATCAACTCAGTTGCGCGTGCTAGTAAGATGAGAGCATCCTGTGGATCGTCTTCCATATTTACAGCTTCTTTCCACAACCTGACACTGTTCGGTATATACTCAATAGCCTTTCTCAAAACTCTACGTTTAGATTTAGGATCGTTCTCTAGATCGACTGCTTTAAGCCATATCTTTACTGACTGTGGTAGGTGACTGATGGCGTTGGCAAGGATGACTTTTGCGTCTTGTGGTATATTAAGACGTGCAGCTTCCAACCAAACATCTTCAGATTTCGGACAGTTGTCACAGCCAGCTGCAATGACCTTTCTCGCTACAGCTTGTCTACCGGCAACTTCTTCAACTCTACCCGCAGCAATCCAACCTGGGGCGTGCTTTGGGTTGGTTTTTATGACGCTCTCGAGTAGAGCTCTTGCCTTTTTGATATCGCCAATCTCGGCGTCTGATTTAAGTTGAACAGAGTTCAAACCGGATAGATAGCCTTTAGGATCAACCGAGGTTGATGTCCCTGTGGCGTTTGAGGTTGAAGGGGTGAAGGTGGAGCTATCATTGCTAGATTGAGTACTACTGGGGGTACCAGCGCTAGTACTCGCACTGCCACTCCCACTCGCACCACTCAATTGATCGAGACGCAAAGACAAGGATTTATCTCTAGCTTGACCAATTTCACGAAAATCTGTGGTATTTCCGGAGGAAGCGGGAGTTGCAACACCAGCGTCATCATCCACTGAGCTGCTCAATTCGTTTTTCTCTCTTGCACCAGCGAGAACGCTATCAGGAACAACATAACTTTTACCATCGTTGCGAGTGTTGTTCTTGCGACGTTTACCGGTAAGGGAACCAGCTTCAGGGAGGGCGCCCCATTCTTCCTCGCTAACGTGAGCCAAAGAGCGTTTAAGATCGGAGAACTGAGTTTGGATTTTAGGGTTAGCTGCTAAATGAGCTTCCTGAGATTTCTTCTCAGCGGCTTCCCTCTTTGCGCGTCTCCTCTCATCCATTTTATCGTCGATCATATCGTATATCTTATCAGCCTCCTCATCATCCCTGTCATAAACTGTGCCTGCAAATAAACCTGTCTCATTCTCAGGATCCTGGAATTGCTCGGGTTCAATTTCTTTTGAATTTGCATTTGAGTGTAAATCTGAAGCGGGATCTTCCATAGAGCCAGCTTCTCTTGCAGGGCCAATATCTGATCTAGTAGTGAAACCAGAAGCACCTCTACCCAATCCAGCAACGTAGCCAGGCGGAGGATGCATTGTTAAGAAAGCGAATTTAGAGGCATTGTTCTTTAGTGGATTAGCACGCGTGGCCATGGCTGTGATTGTGTCCACTTGAGAGGAAACGACCAAGGAATTGAATAAAAAAACGATGGGAAATCAATCGAGCTCAATTGAACAGACTTGGTTTCATGTTGTCCGTGTTAGGAGTAACTCACCCGCGTTTAAAGCATCAATTGAGCCTTTCTTCGATTTCATTACGTGCGCTAAGCCTGAGGCAGCCGACGGAGAGGAATTGGCAGATAAACCTTTGCAGGATATCGTGCAGGAGCATAAGGATAGACGTGTGAATATTACAATCTGGTCATCGAAGAGACAGACGTTTAGAGGTTGGTTTGCGGTGTTATTTAGAGGATTTCCAGGCTCATTAAAGCTCAACAGACGTATCGATAGTCCCTTCAATAGAATGGAATGAAATTGATGACAGTTTGCTCGGTTTAACTTTGAGAGCATGTGACGCAAACAGGGCAATGTCTAGTGCACTTGATAATGTTTGGCATATACTCGAAGTTATCACGGGAAGTCCTGCAGAATCAGCTGGTCTGGTTCCATACGGTGATTGGGTTATTGGATGGCCAGGTGGTGTACTCAGACAAGAAAATGATTTCTATGATTTGGTGGAAATGGTGAGGAGTAGGTGATATTGAAGGATACAGATTAACACGTACACCAGCACACAGATAAACCTTTAAGGCTTTATGTCTACTCATTCGATTTCGATACTCTGCGTGAGGTAGTTCTAGTACCCAACAGGCAATGGGGAGGGGAAGGTTTATTGGGATGTGAGTTTGGCGTTTATTATCAGAATAGGTCTAAATACTTCAGGCGGCGTTGGATTCGGATTACTCCACCAAATACCAGTGAGACAAGATTAAATATGTTAATTCACGTGCATGAACAAAAAGCCTTTTAGTTAAACAAACAACCAGAGCCATCTAAAGCAAACCAATACGGTTGGCAACGTCAAGGGCGTCGTGGTCTGGAGTGAGTCTAATGAAAGCCTTCTTTGATGCATCAGGACGAATGAGAGTGTTGATCTTTGCCGCGTCAACGTCGTATAACTTCTTAACAGCGTCCTTGATTTGACGCTTGTTAGCTCTTCTGTCGACGGTGAAGACCAAAGTGTTGTCATCCTCGACCTTCTTCATAGCTGCCTCAGTGTTGACTGGGAGCTGGATAACTTGATATTGGTCGAGTTGGCCACGAGAAGGAATTGATTTACGTGGGTACTTTGGGTCTCTTGGAAGACGGAGACTGCGAGGAATCTAGGTGAGCAAACAGCCCGCAAACTCTATACCCGCACTACTCACGTCTTTGGCTTGTAGAAGTGCACTTGAGTGCGGATCTTACGACTCTTGTTGGTTTGACCACCCTTGAGCGTGTGCTTGCGAGCTGACAAGGCCTTGTTGGTGGTTTGTGTGACGTTCTTGGCTGGCATTCTGTCCTGCGTGCGTATATCAATATTTATCCCTTTTCTCGTTTTTTTCAAATTTACCTGGACGTGAGCGTTGCTAGGCGAGCATCTCAGGAGGATTTTTCACAAGTCGATTCTCAGGTAAAAAATTATTTGATAATTAACGGCGATTTGAGTGGGTGTGAGTGAGTGTGTGGGTATTTAAATCCCTAATTTCTCTCCTTATATCTTCTGTATAAGCTGGCCATCTAACCCATGGCTATGTCTTTGGCTATAAAATATGCTGCAAATAAAACTATAAATTACATTCACGTATTAGATATCTTTGTGTCCTGACGACGGTGACGAATTCGGGCTATCCGTCGTCGCAGCAACTCTACTATCGTCATCAACCTGCCTTGAGCTTTCTTCGTCGCTCACATCGCCTACATCGCTCACGAACACGCTATCACTATCAATGCTGACATCTTCGCTTGAAACACTGCCTATACTCTCCTCGTCGCTGGATTGCTCTTCATCTAGATCATTTTCCGCGGCTGCAATGTTGCCATCTCCCACAATACCCGCGCTATCCCACTCCATCTCATAAATTATGTCTTCGTAGTCCTCGTCCGCCGGTAGAGTCTCCCCATCATCATCAAAGACACCATACATCCTGCATTTCCCAGCGTTATCTTGGGTATTTCCAAACCGCTGTACATTCCCAGCGAAGCTATCAGGATCCTCTGAGTATACTGTTCGGATGAGCTCAATACTTGAGTAGATATCTGACACCTCTTGCTTAAGCTGCACATTGGCCTTCTTGTCGATATCCATCTCTTCTCCAGCCACGAGTGGTATTCTGCGAGACTGGACATCATTCATCCACAAATTCAACTTGCTCATTTCTTCTCTATGTAGCTTGCTCTCTGTCCAATCCTGCTGCACCCCAGCCATCTGCTTGGATACTTGTGCAATTGACTTCTGGGTCTCAAGGATCCGTTTGCGCATATCCTTCTGTTGCGCTTTAGCAGTTGCCAAACGAGCATTGAGAGCGACGCAATACTCAAACCATACCGTCTGCGGGGATTGTTAGGTGAAAAAGGTGATTACACCAAGAAGACCTCTGCCCACCTTCTCGGTAAACTCCTTCTCAAGGAGTGCATTGAAATGTCTGATATCGTGCAAAAGTGTGCGTGACTCAGTTTGATCAATTACATCATCAACCTCGTTGACGAGCAAATTCCAAAACACATCAATCTCGTTTATTTGTCGTTGAGATTTCGCTATTGCCCTGCTAGCAACAGCCTCATGTTTTTTGTCGATATCTTGAGCGAATGGATTCATCGTCGTTTGGTCTGATAGAGAGATTGTGTGGAAAAGATGCATCTCTTCGTCATCAATTCGTCTGTCCTTCTTACGCTTCCTCGCTAGGTTTTTAGCTGCCTTTGCTGCTGCTGCATCTTCTCTATCCACATCAGCTTGTGTTTTGCCATCTCTGTACGCATGTCGTATCGCTGACTTTCTTTTACGTTTGACTGGTTTCGCTGGTAACTCTGGTACTTTGAAAACTGTGCTTTCGCTTTTTCTAGGCCTGGTCTCGTCTTCTTCATCAGATCTTACCTCCTGGACACCACCCCTCCTGCGTCTAACCTGACGACTATCGGATTCTCTTGCAGCCTTATCCTTCTTATTTTTCTTCTCTTTTTTCTCCTCCTTCTTCTTTGATGGCTGGGTTTGTTGGGCTTGCTGGGATTGATCAGTTTCAGCTTTAACATCTACATCCTCTGTCACACGTGATTTACGCATTTTCTTGGATTTGTTTTCAGACTTGCGTGCTTTCTTTGCCTCTTTATTGTCAGATTTACGCGCCTTTTTTCTTTCCTTAACCTCGTTGGTATCAGATTTACGGGCTCTCTTTTTAATTGAAGCGGGGGCTTGTTGGGGTGTAGGTGCGACCAGGCTGTCAAAGTCCTCGGTGGGCTCTGTAGAGGGGTGGGCTTTATCCACAGTGCTATTCTCCTTTTCTGTTTCTTTCTCTATATCCTTCTCCCTTTCTGGATCCATATTCGTCTCCTTCTTTCTCTCCCCTCTCACTCTTCCTTTGCCCTTTTCGCGCTTGTTGGATGGAGGAGGGGTAGCGCGACTGCTCTGTATGAGTTGGGTGGACATGCGCTTCTCTCTGTCACTAAGGATGCTCTTATCTGCTGACATATCACCGTCATCGAGTGGAGTGCTATCAATATCGTTGAAGAGAGGGTTATTTCCGAAGAGTATGTCTCTATCATGCCCGTCTACTTTCTGATTGACTGAGTCAATATCAGTGAGTCTATCTCTAGGAAATTCGCTGGTTTGGGTTGTTCTATCGAGGGTGCTGAGTGCACTTTTTTCACTGCCCGCACTTCTCTCACTCTGCATCCTCCGCCTTCTCTCTTCTTCACTCGAGCTGCTCCTGTTATTGGATAAGCTGCTTCTGCCACTGGAGAAGCTGCTTTGCGGACTACCAGCTCGACCCTGATTGCTGTGATTGCTGTTTGGACTACTACCGTTAATACCGTTATCTGAATCGATGAGAGTGGCCTGTGTTTGGAAGTTTTCAGGTCTATTGCTCGTGTAACTCCTCTGGCTACTGCTTCTAACATTGGCAAAAAGAGGAGAAGGAGATTGTTGTTGTTGTGGTATAGGACTGCGAGAACGAGATAGAGAGTGACGAAAGAGGTTAGTCATAGCGGTTGTACGCATTGGAGGGTTATTGAATGGTGATGGAACGGGTAGACGCTCTCTTTCACCGGATTGACGGGGTTGTTGTGGTGCTGGTGGTTTCCTTGGGATATTTAGCTGTAATGGACCTGATCTGTATACTTGACCACTGTGAAATGATCTTAGTTGTGTTTTTCGTGTCATTATTCACCCACCCTCGCTGTCGTACGCGTTGTTCTTGGTGCTGTTCACGCGCTGCTCTTGAACCAATGGGAGGTTGTTTTGAGATATCTGGGTTATCGGGATCATTACCATCTTGATTCATTATCAGATTGACTGATTAACTGATTAAACAAATAATTTCAAATGACGCAGGTGATGATGATGGTTGTAAGAGTGCACCCAACACACCCAACCTACACACAGAAACAACAAAGATATAACTAATTAAATTTAAAAATGTTACAATCATCTGCTTCACGTAGATTAATTGGTTTAACCAGCCACCTACGCACACTCCATACAACACCAATATCACACACTAAAGTTACAATATTCGGTGCGGGTTTAATGGGAGCTGGAATAGCTCAATCCAGTGCAATGTCTGGTCATTCAGTTACTTTAGCTGATGTCTCTAATCAAGCTATCGATAACGGTCATGCTATCGTTAAGAAAGGCCTTGCACGTGTTGCTAAGAAGAGATTTGCCGAGAGCGTTCAGCAACAGGAAGATTACATTGAAAACACTCTCACAAACCTCAATCTAACCACTGACCCTTCAATCGCCGTATCTCAATCTGATATCGTCATTGAGGTGGGTTTTTGGATATCCATGACTTTGTCTATTCACTAACAATTCCAGGCAATCATTGAAAATCTTCGCATTAAGCAAGATCTATTCGCTGCCATCGATAAGCTTGCAAGTCCTAACACCATCTTCGCTACTAACACTTCGTCTCTCTCCGTTTCTGAAATTTCAGCTTTAGTTGGTGAATCACGTAAGAAATCTTTTGCTGGTTTACACTTCTTCAATCCTGTCCCTCAAATGGCTTTGGTTGAAGTGATTTCCACCCCTTTCACAAACCAAGACACAAAGGATCGCCTCAACACTTTCATCACCCAACTCGGCAAGAAATCCGTCGCTTGTGCCGATACCCCGGGTTTCATCGTTAATCGCCTCCTCGTGCCTTACCTCGCTGAATCTATTCGCTTGGTCGAGAGAGGTGACGCGTCGGTGCAAGATGTCGACACTGCAATGATGCTCGGCGCTGGCCATCCCATGGGCCCTTTCCAACTTTGTGATTTTATAGGCTTGGACACTCTTAAACATATTCTCGAAGGCTGGAAAGAAAAAGCATATTCAGAGCAAGGCGAGCTTACTGGCATTGACAAGGATATTGTCAAGGATATCCCTCTCCTCGATGAACTCGTACAGGCTGGAAACTTTGGCAGGAAATCTGGGAAAGGGTTCTATGATTATAAATAGGCTAACGACACATCTCACTTGACGACTTTCTCCTTTCTTACTTTCTCTCACTCGTTGTAATCAAACACTACATGACATCATACTTCACAACAAATCACAAAACATGACGATGATTTAGAAGATATCTCACGTAGATAGAGATCAAGTTGAATGAATCAAGTCGTACACGTAAATCAGATGAATCAAATGATGTAAAAATTGTTCAGAGTGCTCAGTGTGCTATAAAAGTTCCAAATCTACCCGTCTCTCCTCCTTGCATATTCTGGCGCACATCTCAGCTCACGCCATCAAGATCTACCTTCAGCGTCGAAAAGGGTCTGTCCTCTAGACGTTGCAGGTGATTGTGAGGAGTTACCGGGTGGCGGAGGGGGAACATGAGTTCGAGAAGGCACAGACGATTCGTCGACGTCCTCCGCGTTCTCGATAACGGTGTACATCTTCTCACCAATTTGGGGAGGGGGTATACGACCGCCGAGAATGTCTTTAGCGGGGATAGAAGTGCCGTAGAAAGCACTGTTTGTATCTCTCCGCTCCATGATAGCAGTACCTTCGAGACTGACGCCTGCGAAGAGGCCGCGCGACTTGGAGTACGAGAATAGAGGTGAGGGGTCGGATAACGCAGCTTGCACTCCCCCGCCAGTACCCAAAGGACCAGCCGACGCTGATATGTTACCTCCTATAGTGAGATTGCCAGCCAAAGTGAATGCGTCAACTGCGTCTTTCGAGTTGAGGACAACAACGAAATCTGTAATGTCCGCACCGACTGCCAAACCCCAGCCGACGCCCTGTGTAGGGTGTGAGTGCGGTGTGGGTGTGGACGGTGTAAACCACGCCAACAAACAAGCCAACTCACACCGGTAGCTATACACGAGGGCGCTGACCAAGTACCGTCATCTAGTCGAGCAATAACTATACCGCTACCTGCGCGGCCCGTTACTAAAAAACCCGCCTTGATTATCCTGAACACGGCCAAACCGCTAGCACGCTCGAGTACAGCTTTGGGAATGCTGTTCAGTGCACTTAGTGGGTCATCCGGATTAGCTAGAAAAGACTGAAGGATTTCTGCCGCTTTGTCGCATTCCCTCGGCAGACTGAAATCAAGTTCAGGTCGTTTAGCGATATCGCCTGCGAAAGAGGAAGCAGAATTAGCGCCAGATTTAGCCATATCGAATCCCTGGCTGGAAAACTTCTTGGCGTTGTCGCCGACGGATTTGAAAAATGACATAATTCAGTTGAGTTGGTGGAACTGAATAAAGAGCGTGTAGATAGTACAGGTACAATGGACAATGGACAAGGGTAATAAAATAAATATAATCGCATCAGCTCCCCGGCTTGAGCCTTCCGCCTGCTATTCTGTCTGGGCCACGTCTTCGCACTTGCGTATCGTATACGCAGTCTTTGCCTGGAATTGAGAAAGTCAGATGGGTGGATAGGACCACAGAGAACACTCTCACCTCTCTTGTCACAGCGCTGACATGGCTTGCCACCCAAACACTTTAGTTTCTGCTTCCTGCACCCGATACACGCCAGTGGCTGCCGATTCGTCGGGCTGTGAGCGTGAGCGTGATTGCGGGTGTCCCTGTCCCTTGATAACGTGGATAGTGTCGACATGGACACGCTCGACACGCTCGGCACACTCGACATCCTCGACGAAGACGGCGTAGTCGAGTCTGTCATATATCTCCTAGCTACCAGCTCAGACTTGGACGGCTCTTTCTTCTGCGTCTGCTCGCTCGGCTGGTGATGGGATATGTTGTCAAGCTTGAACAGGTACAAATCCTTGTCGCCACTCAGCTCCACTATGTTCTTCTGGTTTATCGCTAGTGAACTGTATGCCTTGGGCTCGAGCGTCGGCAGCTGTTGGCTCTGGCTCATCAAACACTCGGTGATCGCAGGTGATGGCGGATGATCGCTGAAAAGAGTCCGAATTGAAGGCGATTATCAATTTTATTTTACAATGGCTACACGATCTTGAATTTATACTCGGATAGCTTGTTGGTGAGGATGTTGTCGAGATTGTTGTATATCAATTCCTCGATCTTGGGCACATCCTTCAGCTTTGCGCGGCTGCCGACGTAGCTCTGGCACTTGATGTTGAGGTTGTAGTTGCTCGAGAGCCCCACCGTCATTTCCCCTCCATCCACCTCCACCCATACACTCCCACTAAACCTTATCAGCCGTATCACCACGTCCACTGGAATGCTCCCGAATCTCGGCTTCGGGTAGTTTATCATCAGCTTCGTTGTGACATCCAGCTCCAATTCGTCGTTATAATCAAAATCCAAGTAGCATTTTCCTTGTGTGTAGCGTGCATTACTGAAATTAGGATACTTGTCACCAATACCGACGTCATTGACGATGATTCTGTCCATAACTCCCCCTCTGCGTCTATTTAGCATCTCCTCTATCTTTTCCTTGCCCACTTTATTGAAATGCTGCCGATAAACAGCGTACAACGATTTTAGTAGCAGATTCATCCATTCGACGCTTTCCTCTTTCTCCGTACTCCCTTTCGTATCCTCCTCACCTTCCTCACCTTCCGCGCGCAATTCCCCTTTCATCTTCTTCCGACGACGCTTCTCTATCGCCACATCCACATCGCTGAATATGAAATACTTTATTATCAACATCAGCAATGCAATCACGCTGAGCTGTCCCACAATCAATCCCAGCGTGAATGACATATTCATTAGTCGGTTGTGTGTTGTGCGTTGAGCGTCGATGCGATAAAGTGTATCAACTCAATTACCCTGCTTTATGTGTGCGGGTTTGAGCGTGTAGGGGTAATCGAGGGGTAAAAATTAGTCTTTGTTTTTAAATTGTTACTTTTCGCACTTTCAAGAGGTAAACAACGCCTCATAAACCATCTCATCGCAGTTCTGAGGTATTAAGTTTGAGTGTGGGCTAAAAATTTGTAAGACAAGTGCTGAAATTGACAGCCAACAAAACTTTCTGAAAAATTGAGAGTTTCTAACACATTCAATTATAAATGTAATGCCCACCGATATCGCTTATGCAAGAATAGTATGGCGGTTTTGCCATTCTGTTGCTATGGTAGAATCCGATAGTTGGTTATTCGGGTCGGCTTAAGTAATTTATCTTAAGTTTTCCGGCTGCCTCAGGCGTCCTGGGTTCGAGTCCCAGTTCTACCATTTTTCCCTTTTTTCTTGGAAAAAAGGGGTTTTTTTTTTTCCTTCATGTTGCAATTTCCGCACGCTCAAAAAAAGCGCTAGGCTTTTCATTGCGTAGATTGAGTGACCCAGTTGACGTCATGAATACCGAGCAAACTGAATGAAACGCAGAAGAGAAGCTGAACAAACGAATCCCCACAAGCATCCAAGAGAAGAAAAGAAATGTAAAATTTTGCAGCTAATCAGAGGAAATAGAATTTGCTCAACAAAGCCCTCCTATAAGGCGATGAGGACGTGTACAGATGAGAGAGGATGAGAATAAGAATAAGACTGAGAATGGCGACAAGCTGTCAGCGTCAGCGTATACAGAGGAACTCCCCGAGGACAAGAAGCAGAAGCGATTAGCATATGGGGAGCGATACAGTGCGAAAGAAGAGTCGATGCGTAATGACTTCAGCTTAGCATATGTGAACACGTTAATACGGCCGCAAGATCAGATCATAAACGCGTACAGAGAAGGGCGATTCGATGAGTATCCGCGGTTAAAGCACCTACTCGCGTTGAAAGGGGAGCTCATTGAGAAGCACTCATACCCGCCAACGTACCTCCCATTCAACCTGGTCGAAGCTATCCCATCATCGCCCCACGAGCATTCTCGGTTGTTTGATGTTATTAATTTGGGCAGCAAGTTTGATGTTATTTGCATCGATCCTCCACTGGCAGGCTCACAGTCAGCTCAAGTTCAGGGTTCTCAATGGACTTGGGATGCTCTCGCTACTCTCCCCATCCGCCAGCTCTCGGCTGATCCCAGTTTCGTCTTTGTCTGGGTCGGCAGTGGTGGCGATGACGGGCTCGAGAAGGGCAGAGAATTGCTTGCAAGGTGGGGGTATAGACGGGCCGAGGATGTGATATGGGTGGAAACTACGGCCGATGAGGAGGATGCGAATGATGACGAGGTTTTCGAGGATAAAACCTCAGACACACTCTTCAAACGTACCAAACAGCACTGCTTAATGGGCATACGCGGTACAGTACGCCGTGCATCAGACTCGCACTTTGTCAACTGCAACATAGACGTAGACACCATCATAGCCAAGTCATCGAAGCAGAAGCCATCCGAGCTACTAGCGCTGATAGAGACATTCTGCAGTGGTACACGTCGACTAGCGTTATTTGGCACACCACACGAAGCACGCAGAGGCTGGTTAACTGTGGGTTTGGAGGGCGCAGGTAGCGCTGGAGACACACCGTACACGCCTCCTCACGGCGTCGAGCTGTTCGACGCCAAAGAATGGAGCGAGCGATTCCCTAACAATGGAACAAATCTCGTACCGCTTACGCAGGAAATCGATAACTTGCGTCCCAAGTCACCTACGCGATCGCAGTCACAGAACAACAGCAGGAATAACACTCCCAAAACAGACACGCGCACTCCACCATCCGTGACGCGACCACCTCCAGTAGACACCGGCAGGGACAGCCCTTTTAATGCGCAATTCAATGCTCAGATGCAGTTGCAGATGCAGATGCAGATGCAGTGGCAGGCGCAGTGGCAAATACAGTGGCAAATGCAGGCGCAAGCAGCGCATATGCAGATGTTTGGAGGGAGCACTGGAGGAGTGGCCGGGGGTTTAGGTGATGCTTTAGGTGCTTACAATGCCCACAACGCCGCCGCATCACCTATCCAATCACCGCAGATGGTCTATCCACACTCTCCACAGCCTCGATATAAGCAGCAACGGCCACGACAGCAAGGGCAACAAGGGCAACAAGGACAACGACAGCAGCGTTAACAATCGAGTAATATCAATACTAAATAAATATACAATAAAATTATTTACAATATTCCTTTGTTTCTTTCTTTGTTTCAAACCACGATATGGGATCGCCAGTGCAAGAAGAAGACAAGCCGTAAGACGGGAGCGGAACAAGGCGAAGACGAGTGCGCTAACGATGTAAACAGAAGAGTGAAAGCAGGTGTAACCGCAGGCGCGCGCAGAGTGCCAGCCAAGTCAGCGACGACCGCCACGCCGACGACGGTGAGGAAGGTGGCACCATCTACAGCGACAGCGGCCGCCAGACGCGGTGCAACAACCACGCGCACATCTACCGGTACTACCAGTGCCAGCAGTGCCAGCAGTGCACCCAGACCAACCCCATCACCAGCAACACGCAGCGCCAACGCTCCTCACAGACCAACATCGCGGCTATCGGCTGCACCCTCGCCCCAGCCCGCATCCGCCACTCGCAGATCATCCGTGTCGCGCTCCCTCTCCCACGATGTACCGAGCAGACCCGGTAGTGCAATGGGCAGACCCGGGAGCGCCGTGGGTGGAGGCAGGCCTGGAAGCGCTATGGGCAAGCCAGGCGCTCCTCGCTCTATTCCCGCCTCGGAGAAGATAGCTCAGCTTCAGTCTCACATTGAGTCACTCAGTGCGGAGCTAGACGCAGAGCGCAGTGCCAATTCCAATGCCAATACCAACACTGACGCTGACGCTGACGCTCATGCTCGTATTGCAGAATTGGAAAGCGTCATTGCGGCTGGACATGTTGGCGATAAAGGGTTCGAAGCTGGAGAGACTGCTGACACTGATTCGCATGCCCTCCACACCGCCCAGCAGAGTCTACTCGACACTCAGGCTAAACTTGACCACGAGTATACTGTCGCTGAAGAACGCGCGCAGATGTTGGAAACCCTTGAGACGAGAGTGTCTGAGTATGAGAAAGATAAGCAGGAAAGGAAGGATATACTGGAGATACATGATTCATATGACAACACTGCTGCCACACGAATCCAAGAATTGGAAGAAATTCTCAAAGCACGCGATGAAAACGCAGATCAAATGGACATGCACAACACTCGTGTTTTGGAATTGGAGCAGACAGTAGCAGAACTCAGGATACATGCAGAGGACGTAGCGCAATTGAAAGAGAAGATAGTGGCATTGGAGGAGGTGTCAGAGGTATCACAAGAACACGCTCAGCTAGCTGCAAACCATGACGCAGCCAATATTCGCATCAGGGAGCTGGAGGAGAGTGCTGCGCAACACAGCTCATTATCCAACGAGCATGATTCAGCAAGTGCTCGTATCAAGGACTTAGAGGAAACCATCGCTCAACAAGGCCTGCTGTCTCAACAATACGACGCTGCTGTTTCTCGTATCAAAGAATTGGATGATAGCGCTGCTCAACACAGCTTGCTTTCTGAAGAGCATCAAGTAGCTACTTGGCGCATTAAAGAGCTGGAGGAGAGCATTGCGCAGCACGGTCTGTTATCTGAAGAGTACGAGTCAGCCATTACTCGCATTAAAGAGCTGGAGGAAAGTGCCGCTCAGCACAGCTCGCTGTCTGAAGAGCACGAGGCAGCTACGTCTCGCATTAAAGAGTTAGAGGAGAGTATTGCGCAGCATGGCCTATTATCTGAAGAGCACAAGGCAGCCACTTCTCGCATTAAGGAGTTGGAAGAGAGTGCCACTCAACACCACGCACTATCTGAAGAACACAAGGCAGCAACGACGCGCATCAAGGATCTAGAGAAAAGTGCAGCTGAGCATGAAGTGCTTTACACCCAATACGACTCAGCCAGCGAACGCATCAGGGAGTTAGAGGAGAGTGCCGCGCAACATGCGCTGCTTTATGCAGAACACGAAAAAGCCGCTGTACGCATCAAAGAGCTGGAGGAGAGCGCTGCTCATTACGATTCACTCTCCACTCAGCAGGACGCAGCCAATACTCGCATCAGGGAGCTGGAAGAGAGTGCAGCGCAGCATGAAGTGGATATGAAGGCGTATGAAAGCAGGATGGAAAGTCTGCAAGAGAAGGCGAGTGATAGTGGTAATAACACACACGCACTGCAGGAGGCACTGGATGACACTAGCAAAAAGCTTGCAGAAGCTCTGACACGCGCTAGTACACTCGAGCAACAAACGCTGGAGCTGCAGGCGCTGCAGGAGCGCGAGCAGCATGAGCGCGATGAAAAGGAGGAGAAATTAATCGCTCTTCAGAGTCAATTTAACAAGGCAGAAACTGAATTGGTGAATCACAAACACAGACACGAAGAAGCACTAAAAGAAGCCCACGAAGCACATGCTTCGAATGAAAATCTAAAAGAACAGCTACATACCCTAAACGAAAGTATATCAAACGATGCTTCATCGCAAGAGGTAATTCAGAAATTGGAGGAGGATGTGGCAAGTAAGAGTGGTGAGATGGAAGCGCTGCACAGTAGGATCAAAGAGCTGGAGGGAACGAAGGAGGACAGCTCGTCCGAAATAGCAAGTCTCAAGATGCAACTGGAAGAGCTGCCGTCGTTTATGGAGAGAGTGACAGTGCTCGAAAAACAGGTCGACGACGCTAGCAGAATGGGTGCGGAGTTGGCAGAAGTGAAGGAGAGAATGAGGAGCATGCATAGCGAGCAAGGTGGGTGAGAGTATGGGTTTGAAGAAATCACTTGTCTGACAAATTTTCTCAGATGTGGCTCAGCTTCGAAATGAGATTGAAGTGCTGCGTGAATCAACACAATCTTCATTCATGCAGCTTTCAGCTGCGCATAGCCGTGGGTAAAGTGAGAATGAGATTACGTAGTTGCTAATACACATCAGACAAAGAAGGACTGGAGGGAATGCTGTCAGATTCACGCACCAAGTGCATGAAACTGATGGGAGATATAGAATCGATGAAAGCAGTACAGAAGAGCATGACAGAGGCAACAACGGGGCTAAACGACGAACTGAACGAGCGTAACTACAAAATGCAGGAACAGAATAATAACCTGGATGCGGCACTGAAGAGGATGAGACAAGCGGAGGTTGAAGTGGGAGAGTTGCGCAAGGTACTGTTACATGAGAAGGACGGACGCGCAGCAGCGGAAGCCAAACTGAAGAGTATGGGGGATGAGACGGTGTTTAACAGTGGGAATATATCCACCGAAGCGCTACACAAAGCACATAACAGCAAGATAGCGCAGATAGAGCGTAGTTACGAGCAAATGATAACGGCGATGAATGATGAGAGTAAAATGCTCCGGGAGCAGATAGAAATGGGTGAGTGAGGAGGGTAAATAGGGGTGTATAGGTGTAAAATAGGCGTAAAATAGGCTTAAAATAAGCGTAAATAAGCCTAAACAGTCGCAAAAAGATGCTAATACGAATAAATAAATATAATCATCTGCGAACAAGCAAATAAAGATCCTCTCCTACGCTGATATCGCTCAAGTAGCGGACATGACCGGTGATTGCGAGTAATAAACCGCCGAAAGAGATATAAGCAGTGCTGGAGAGTGTGAGAGTGTGAAGTGAAACGTAAATACCGTTACACACGCTATTTCCTGCTTTCCTTCGTCGAACTTGTAAACCTTGCCGAAACAGACATACTCGTAATCGGCAGCCAGACCTTGGTTATCCATGCCCTGTGAAAGTAAGTATGAGTGGGCGTGATTGGCTGCCTCTCTCAACTCACAGGCCTCCAACCGTGTCCCTGGGCTTGTGCAGTACTATCATTAGACAGCGAAGTAGACAAAGCCATTGTGAATTTCTCATTCTCCGCCAAACTGAAAACCTCAACAGGCAAATCAATAATGCAATTCAAGTTTGGCGTTGTCGAAGTTGCACCGATTCTGGCCACTTGAACGGGTTATTAGACGAAGCCTAGTAAAATACAAGTAACCAACCTCTATCGAACTTCTTGCCATCTTTGTCTATACTGTCGCAGGTGAATAAGTGGTCAAAGACGATTGAGCTCGACATTGGTGGTTGAGGATAGAGAGGCACATCGACTTATTATCTCCATCTATCTCCAGCCATCTCCTGCTATCTCCGCCATCACTCAATCTTCCCTCTTAACTCTCAACCACCACCACCACCACCACCGCCAACACCACCACAAATGCCATTCTGCTCGCGCTGTGGTGATATCTGCAAGAAGGACGAGAGATGTAAAAAGTGCGGCGGTGTAGCAGTCGGTGGGTTTTTGAATTAATTTAAATTTCGCGTTATTTACATCCAAATCCAGGCGGACAAGTGAAATGGCCATCCCAGACCAAGAGATCTGATAGCTGGATAAGGACGTGAGTTGGGCGTGTATGTGTGTAGCTGTCACAACTAATATTTTCTAGTTATGTTGAACCACCAAAGTCCACGAGCGGCAGCATCAGCAACAGCAACAGCAACAGCAACAGGAATAACAACAACACAAACAGGCGTAACAGACCAGAAGTGTTTGATAGTAATCAGCAGCCACAGGTTGAATATCAATTACCTGATTCTTGTCCAGCCTCTCCACTCCTCGAAACTGCCGATGGTACACTCACCAAACTCGTTGGCAGCGTCCTCTCACCCGAGTCTCCAACCACTCACCCCGTATGTATGTCATGCTCTACCCCGTTTCCACCCAATTCCACTCTCTACATCCACCCACACGACGATATTGGCAGTACAGAGAGCAGAGCATTCTGCTACCACTGCTACGTCGCCAATTTCAGCAAAGGCGACTGTGTTGTCTGTCGCAAAGCTGTCATTGGTGAACTCAAAGTGGAAGGTGTGTACATCAACACAAAGTGCGGTTTATTCCACTCAAACTGCTTCAATTGCGATGGTTGCGGGGTTAGTTTGAAGAATGATCCTATCACCGATCTTGATGGCTGGCCTTGTTGCATCGATTGTTTCGAGGGTAGTGCATACAGAGCGCAGATCAGACGCAGCAAGAGTGGTCGCAGACAGAGTCGCAATGTCGCCCAAAAGCCGTCGATGGATAGTGCCATGCGCGATTTGAACCACAGACTAGGTCTTGCGAGCGCACCTAACAACGCAAATGAAAATATCAACTCAGACAGCAACGTGAAGACATCGCCCAGACGTTCTGGTCGCGTCTCGATGCTTGGCGAGCAGCTGAGTGGCGTTGAACTCACCGAAGCGTCAAACATCTCTCCGAAGCAGCGAGAAAGTCTGGCGAATCTGGCTGATATTGCGCGCGACCGCAGTATCGAATTCGACGAGAAAAAGCAAACGGAGAGGGAGAAAAATTATGTCAAAGACCACGACAAGAAGGAAAGACGCGTGTCGGCTAGAGATTTGGTCGGTGCAAGGGGTTTCGAGGGCGTCGAGAAGTACGCTTCTCCTCCTAACTCACCACCAAATCGAGCTTCACGGCGCAGCTCAAAGTACTCTCTCGACTCAAATGTCTTCCCCAGACCGAGCAATGTGCGCAGTCGATCGCAGAGCATAACCAGTTTCCACGACGAGCTGAGTGGAAGGCGAGATGTGCATCAAGATAAGGAGAATACGGAGGAGTGCGCCGAGTGCAAACGTCCGATCAGCGCAATGCACACAAACTCAAACAAACAGATGCAAACACAAACACATATAGTCAGTGTACCGGGCGAAGGGACATACCATGCAGACTGTCTGCTTTGTGCGCAGTGCGGCAAGACGCTTGCCGGGGAAGGGACGGAGGGGAAGTTATCAGTTGTGAAGCTTACAAATGGCAGACTTGGGCATAAGGAGTGTGCACCTGCGCAAGTAACATGGACGCTCGGTAGCGTTGGCAGTAGCAGCACCCAAGTCAAACCCCGGGAGAACACCACACCTCAGACCTCACCCCAGCGCAAAGAATACTCGCCCGGACTGCGCAATGCCTACACCACCAACACCAACACCAACACACCGCCCAAATTGGGCAAGGCGGTGCATGCAACACTGACACCATCCCCCAGCACGCTCAATGCGCGACGCGGGAGTGGCGACAGTGTAGGTGTGAATCAACCCAAAGGCTCAGGTGGTGAGACATCCCACAAAACACTCAACACACCCTCTCCTCCTAAAAAAAGCCTCTGGGCTACACGCTCATCACCCTTCTCTCGTTCACATTTTGGCGGCATGTCGAGCTGTCCGTCGTGCGGAGAGAAATTGACACTGTTCGAATGCACTCCCGGACCGGCAGGTACAAAGTACCATTCCAAGTGTCTGCGCTGTCGTGGCTGCGCTAAAGACCTCGATAGCTTCGCTAAAGTTGACTTTGACGGTTGGGTTTGGTGCAGAGGCTGTTTTGACACTTATGTACCCAAGCCACGCCCGCTGTCGTACCACTATCAGAGTGGTGGTGTTGATGGAAGGGTGTAGTGGGAGTTCTTTCAGGTGTATATGTATAATAGTGTATGTATGATATAATAGGTGAAAACATGATATCTAATTGGTGTATAAAAATGTATCAACCAAGTCCATAATCTAAGAGTCTAACCATCTAACCATCTAAAAGTCTAACAGCGAATCATTGTGGTCACCTCTCGAGTGAAGAACGGGAGTATCGTCGAACGCATCGCCCAGTGCTGCATAAGGGTTGGAAGGGTCGTTAGTCTCTGCGCTGTTAGGGTTGAGTTGGGTGTAAGCTCCGTGCGGTGTGTTTGAGGGGGGAGTGGAGTTGGAATGTGGGGAATGGAGAGAGTGAGAGTGAGCATCCGGGTAAATAGGTGAAGAAGGAGAGTGCGGAGAGTGGTTTGCGTGTTGCTCTTCATTCATATTCACACCTAGACTGCCACTGGGACTCATTCCACCCACTCCTACTCCACCGACACTCAAACGACCAAAGTCAGCCGTAAGTCTGTTTGAATTCGCCGCATGTATCCCACCGTCTGTGAGATGCTGCGGTAGGAGATCGCCAGCGACAGAGATAGGACGGGCGTGGAGATCATTAGCTGAGCCGGGGTTGGTGGGTGAGGTGGGGCTGGGAGCTGGAGCGTGAGCACTGTTATTCACGTTCACACTCACACTCAAACTCTCTCCAGCACCCTCACCTCCACCACTCCCATCGCCGCCAACAGCCACATCGGGCGACGGGACACTCGGTAGCGGCGTCGGAGCTTCATGACGCGCACTGGCCGTCTGGGCCGCTCTGCGTGCGTGCGTATCCAGACACGGTGAGTCTGGGAGGTATCTAACTTTAGCGCCGCGTATGAATGCCGTAGGCTGTTTGTGATACACGGAGCTAAGTTCACCGACTGAGAGGGATGTGTGAGCTAAGTGAGGTGGGTGAGGTTTCATGTTCCTACTCACCATGCAAAAGGAGCGAGTCAAGGAGAGAGCGATCCATGCGATCAGCATCGGTGCTAATGGTAGGTTTAGTAGCTAGCACCACATCGCGCGCGGCGTTAGGGTCACTAGAGAGGAGGCGCCAGTAGAGAAAAGCGCGATCACGTATATCAGGATTATCCATCTCTTCAGTCCCCCAAGCGAGCACGCGCGGGACTAGTTCCTGACCCTGATGGGGAGTCTTGATAAAGAGCTTAACTGTTGCTGTGAGGAGAGACAGCTGTACATCGACATGCTCTTCGCGGAATGCAAAGAGATAGTCGTCGAGCAGCTCGTGAGAGAGCGGTATCATATCAGCATATTCCCCTATCATCCAGATCATCGCTGAGCGAGACTCAACGTCATTGAGGTGATCAATTTGCGCTGTTAAAACGGGCAAGTCGCGGATGTAGCGTGTCGGATACTTGCGCAGAATGTCTCGCATCACTACTATCACCTCTTGCACTACATACCCAATACCATCGTTGAGGAGAGATAAAAGCACTCGAACACATTCATCACTCGCTTCCTCAATTTTTATCGCTAGTCGTCCCATTAACTTTATCGCTTTGCGTACGAAATCTACATCAACTTCCGTCGCATACTCACTCAACTCAGCGAGAATCTCGCGGTAATTCTCGACACGCGTGAGACGGTAGATAATCTCGAGTTTGGCCAGCTTGACGTAGATAGGGTCGGAGTATTTGACGAAGAAAATTTTGACGTCAGCGTGCAACACCAAAGGACGGCGCTGGATGATGAGAAGGATGTTGCGAAGGGCAACATATTGAACTTCAGGAGGTGAAGAGAGGAGAGTTATGAGAGGAGGGCTGAGTTTGCGGGAGTAGTGAGAAATGGTGTCTTGGTTTTGGATATAGTTGAAGAGATAGATGATGATCTTGGTAGAGGAAAGAACGACAGCGCTGTTAGAGTGCTGAAGATTGGTGGCTATGCGTTCAATGAGGAGAGTAGCGTCATGGGAAGATTGAGGGGTGAAATGGAGGAGGGATTCGAGAATATAGACCTGGGCCCACTCGGAGCACTCGTCGAGAGCGTTCACGAGCTTATTGGCAATGGTAATATTCAATTTAAGCTGTATGTTGGAGGATTTGTTTGCAATTTCGCATAAGGCAGCGACAGCGTTTGCGACGACGGCAGCGTTTGAGTCAGCGAGGAGGTCACGGAGGAATCTAATCAAGCTGTGCTTCTCTACAAGAGCAGGGTCGTAAGAGTAGAGCTTACAGAGGCTAATTGCGGCGGTTTTACGCACGTAAGGATCAGCGTCGGAGAGGCAATGCCTGAGAGGGTCCATGAGAGAGTGAGCAACGTATGGGAGTTGTATATAGGACATGGTGCGTAGGGCAAGGGAGCGCAGTAAAGGATTCCTATCAGCGCAATCGTTGAGAAGGAGAGAAACGGGATGGTGGATGAGATCAGGGCGATGTTTAGCGTAGGTGGCTAGGTACGAGTAAATAAGCTTCTTGATTTGAATATCCTTAACGCTCAAATGCTGCACAACATCCTTGTAAATACCAGACAAATCATAGCCCATAGTAACATTCGCCAGTATTCTCTTTAAAACTAACTTTAAATTGTTGAAATTCTTGTCCCTTTTATTAAAATCATTTAGCTGCTGCTTGGTTTCACTCAAATCAATTTTATAAAATAAATCCTTGTCTTTGGTATTGGCTGTTGACATGGAAGTAGCGTCTTAAGGGTTGATCCCAAACCACCATCATCGATGAACATCCCCGCTTCTCCTAAATCTGCTAATTTCTTTATTCCAGATGGTGTACTTTATCTAAAGGACTACGGCTACGGCTACTTTGATGACGCAGGCAATTGGGTTTACTGGTATCCAGATGATTTCGATTTTCATTTTGATAAAGAGATACGCGAAGACGGATTAGAGATGCATAAAGATGAACCAGAGATGCGTGGAGATGCACCTCTTCACGATGACATACCCTTTAATTCTACCCACCATGACCAATTTCTAGCCGATTCTGCTTATTTTCAAGGGAATAATGGGGATAATGACCTTGAACAAACTCAGGAGCCTTTTGAGCAGCTCGTTGGTGTAGATGATCCATGGCAGCAGGAGGAGTATCAGCAGCAACAGCAGCAACAGCAACCACAGTATACGCCATCTTATCTCTATCAACAGCCAACGCAGGAGCATTATCTTACGGCTCAACAGCAACCAGCTTATCCAGAGCAACCAGCGTACTCAGAGCAGCCATTATACTCAGAGCAATCAGTATACGTTCCACCTGCTCAACAAGCCACTCAAACCACTCAACATGCCACTCAGCAAGCCACTCAACAACCCCCAGTACAATCACTCTATTCCACGCCTACGCAGCCACCGCCAAAACAATCAGGATACTCTCCACCACCACCAGCAGCTCCAACTGCCCCACCTGTGCACCCTCAGTCCATCTACTCCCCACCAGCAATCACTCAACAGCCCGAGCAACTTTATGAGCAATTTTCTGGGCAGATTGCCGAGCGGGGCTCTGAGCAACAGTCTGATTTGTATTCTGAACAACACTCTGCTTACACTACTCCTGCTCCTGCTCTTTCACCAGCAGCCGTACCTGTTCAACAGCAGTATGATCCAAGTCTTGCGACCAATCAACAACAGTATGAGCCACGATCTAACTGTCAAACACCCCACCCCACCCAAGACACCTTCTCAAACGCCCCAATAGTCTCTTTCGGTTTTGGTGGCAAACTGGTTATCCACAACCCCTCAACTCCCATAGCATCACCCTTCACTCCCTCAACATTGGGCATGTCTCAGCCAACTCCGTCTACTGTCAACATTGCCGAATTGGCCAGCGTACTACCCCCAGACCTCTCACCACCATTCCCAGGCCCACTCTTGGGCAATTCCCATACCACCAAGTCCCAAGTTCTGCGATACCTCGATAACAAGATAAGCACTGGAGCAACGTATCCGAAAATGGCTCTGCTGAAGGTGCTTAGGGTAATGCTCATCCATGATGGTATTTTGAGCTCCCGCCAAAGTGAAGAAATACGTGATGCACTCATCTCGGACGACATTAACGCGCACTCCCACAAACGCGCTCCATCTGGTCTCCAAATCACTGTGCCTGCCGACGAGACGTCCCCACACATGAAGCCTTTCCCGTCATCGCAGACCCCCTATGCTGTTGAAGACAGTGCGGACATTGTAGCGACGTACTGCACGACGACGGGCCATCTCGGTGCAATCCAACAATTCCTCGTGAAGGGGGCCAAGCGCGAAGCGGTCATGTATGCACTCGAGCACAAGCTATGGTCGCATGCTCTGCTCATTTCTTCATGCGTCGACAGACAGCTGTGGTCGGAGGTTGTGAGTGCGTTGATAGCGTATGAGTTGCCAAGCAGCAGTGGCAGTGGCAACGATAACACAGGCAGCACCCACAACACCAAAAACTGGGACAGCTTGCGCGTTGCATACGGTCTCTTTGCAGGTACGCTCAGGAGCACAAACACACCGAGTGACACGCGCAACTGGAGCGCGACGGCCGCGACGCTCGTCTCCAATCTAGACAATAGCGATGCACAACACGCGCTGTCCGAGCTAGGTGACAGGCTTGCGGAGGTGGGTGAAGTGGATGGCGCGCACACGGTCTACATACTTGCGCAGAGTGTGGACAAAGTGCGTCTCAATTTGGTGGGGTGCGCACATAACGCTTACTCAGACGAGTCGTGCGAAATGAGCGAGATTCTCGAGTACGCTCTCAGCCTCAATCCGCATATGAAGGCGCATGTGAAGCGCGGCGAGTACAGCGGTATGCCACACTTGCAGATTTACAAACTCGTACATGCTTGGCATCTCGCCGAAGCTGGTCGACTTCATGATGCGAATAGGTAGGTGATACATGATGTAGCTAAAGGCGAGATGCACCAGCTGACTACTACTAATCGCAGGTACTGTGAAGCAATAGCAACATCTATCAAAATGTCCAAGCAACTCCAATACCACCCCAACATTTATATCCAGCTAAAGGAACTGAGCGACAGACTAGCAGCGCATCTGCACACAGCGGACAAATCGTGGCTAACAAAGAAAATAGCTCGTCCTTCTCTAGACACATTGTGGAATAGCATGGAGGGGAAGCTGACCAAATTTATAGCTGGGAATGACGAAGAGGGCGAGAATGCTATAACAACGCACGCACAGAAAACTACCCAGGATGACCCCTTCGCTACGTTTACCAGCATAGACGAGTCTTCGACGAACGGTCGACTCAGTCGCGCAGTCTCGGCTTTTGATTTACCCAATTATAGTAATGCTGCTGGTGAAAACGCGGGTGCGGGTATGAGTGAGGGTATGAGCTTGCTCGATAGACGCGCCTCACACAGCCCGTCATACCTCACTCCTGGCATTGCTAGCGGTGCAGCCGGTGCACGCAGTGCGCTTGGACAACCTCGAGCTGCGAGTGCAATGGGTGGATTAGGTGGTGTGGCCACTGCCAATGCCAATACCATCGCCAACGGGCTAGGTAACATGCACAACCTCCTGCGCGACCTTCCTTCACCAATGGAGGGTGAAGATAGAGAGGGCTTTACTCGTGCAGCTGTAACGCCGCCCTTTAGCGATGAATTTAATGGGGTTGGGGTGGCACAAGATGGAGAGATGCTTGGTAAAGATTTGCAGAATGTGCAAATGCCGCTGCAAACGTCAATGCAACCACATCCTGCCACTCAACAGATGCAACCACCCCCACCTCCGCCTCCTGCGCAAATGCAACCACCACCACCACCACCACTTGCTCAACCAGTGCGGAATGTTTCACCAGCGCAGCAACAGTCACAATCACAATCACAGTCGCAGCTAAAGCCTCACCCCCAGCCCCCTTCATCACACTCTCAACCCCCACCACCACCTGCTCAACCAGCTATAACATCGCCATTCGGTCATTCGACAAGTGCGAGTGAAGACTTTAATGCGCCTGAAGAACTGGATGAAAGTGAGGGAGGAAATTTCGTCTCGCTTATGGATTCGATGGATGTTCCAATCCCGACAACGACGACAGAGAATTCAAATGCAAATGCGTACATCAGTCCTCGCGTAATTGATGAAATAGACGAGGCGGATGAATTGGAAGATGACCTCGGTTTCGGCAACAGTTCGACCAAGAAAGCGAAAGAGATGAGAGAGAAGGATAATGAGGGGCATCATGGAGAAGAAGAGAAAACTGCGGCAACATATCAACCTCCACCGCCACCACCACCTGCACCTGCACCCGGTAAACAAGAGAAGTCGGGGTGGTTTTCGCGCTCGACGACTCCCGCCAGCACGCCTCGGATGGATGAGAAGATGGAGAAAGAGGGAGAAAATAAAGAGAGCAAGGGAAGGCAGGAGAAGCGACCAGGTGTGTAAAGAGAGTTATTGACCAGCACACCATACTAACGAACCCAACAGAACTCAAACAATCAGTTTCATCGAGTTGGCTGAGCAGGTGGTGGAAGAAGGATGAGCAGAATACAAACCAAGGAGGAGGGCCAGTAAAGGCAAAGCTGGGTGAGCAGTCTTCGTTTTACTACGATCCTGATCAGAAGCGCTGGGTGAATAAGGCGAATGAGAGTGGGAGTGAAGGTGGGACTGCTGCGTCGCCTAGGATGCCACCGCCACCTCCACGCTCTAGCACTGTGTCGCCGGGATTGGCTGGGACGCGGGGAGCGAGTGCGCTGAAAAACAGCGTGAGTATGGATCTTAAGGGAGAGAGTGGGAGTGGGAGTGGAGCGGGTGTAATGCCGCCGCCACCACCACGACCACTAAGTACGGCAATTACTGGAACACCCGCTGGAACACCTGCTGGAACACCACCTACACCAAATGCACCACAACCAACACAACCAATACAACGAAAAGGGAAGAAAGCAGCACGCAATAAATACGTAGCAGTAAATATGTAAACAGATTAAATAAATAAAATACTTTTCAGCGAGGAATGCACTGACGTTAAAGTGAAACTGAGGCTCGCACGCGGCGAGGTGGTTTGAGGAGAGCAACCAACGGGGAAAACGAAAAAAAAAAGAAAAAGGATTGAATAACGCGGGACGATATTCAATTAAATAGTTACATTACAATATACGCTCGTTTATGCAGAGTTCAATTCACAATCATTACCATAACCACGGGCGGGAGAGGAAGGCGTCGAGGATGATTAGGCGTGGAATTCCTGCGAATATTCTTCCCACTGCTTCACCTACTGCAGACAGTCCTCCTCCTGTTGCCCAAGTAACGCAAGGTGCGCAGGGTGCCCAAGATGTACAAGGTACACCAGATACACCAGATACACTGAACATACAAGATACGCCAGATACACAAGATACACCAAACACACAAGATACTCAAGATACTCAAGATACTCAAGATACGCAAAATCCAGTCGCAAACGCAAATTCAACCGAACAAGAGGATAATACCACAGAAAGCAATCAAAATTCTCCAGAAACTTCACCGAGCGTATCACCATCAAACAAATCATCATCGAACACATCCCCATCAAATACAACCCCCTCAGAAACGATTTCACCAGAAAACACATCACTTTCCACCCCCGACAACACAGCTAACATCGAAGACTCCTCTGATAGCCTCTCTGGCGGCAGCATAGCGGGTATATGCGTTGGAATAGCCGCATTCATAGCCATCCTCGTGTTAATCAGCCTGGTAATCTTCAAGAAGCGCAAGAGGCAGGAGAAGACTCTGCAGAGGGGTTCTAGGATGCAATTCACTGGCGATCGCGGCCTTGTTGGACAATCAAATGCAAGTTTCGGCGGTGGACCCGTCATACCAGAGGAGATAACTTCGCCAACGCCTTTAGACAATACGGTAGAGCGTTCATCTGCCTACATACCAATGCCGGTGGGTGGCAGAGTTGTTCGAAAAGCATCACCAACCAACTAACTAACTCACAGATTTCAATCACGCAAGGACGAGAAGCTACCGCTACTACGCAGTTCGTTCCTAGTCTGCCAGATGAGATTATGCTCATACCAGGCGATAAGGTGCATATTGTCAGGGAGTGGGATGATGGTTGGTGCTCCATCCACCACTTGGCTAAGGGCATGGAAGGGGTGTGTCCTAAGGAGGTGCTCGGGCTGACGAGCCATGCTGACGATTTTGCTGATTCGCTGTCTCAATTTAATAAGAGATTGTCTTTGTACGGAGTGCAGGAGGACGTGGATAAGAGGAAATCGTCATTGATAAATGCACAGATGGCACAGTAAACACCAATAAAAACAGCAACTTGGATAGTTGCTAGAGTAATACAAGATATACCAAATGGATTTCTTCACTTTGACTTTTTCACTTTCCACTTTTTCCCCTAATTTTTCACCGAGCTTTCTTTTTACACATTGACCGATTGATAAAGTACAAACGAGAATTAGATGTAGTTTGAATCGTGTGACTCGTTGGTTTGAGATTTCTTGACTTTGTACAATCAGGATGCTGGGTGGGTGAATGGGATAGCATCATAGCATCAGACACAGCTGACTATGTTGATGCTAGTCGTTGGATTAACTGGCGGAATAGCGTGTGTCTGGAGTGCGCAGTTTATAACAACGACTCAACAGTCCACACAGCACGGGTAAATCGACAGTGACGCAGCGACTAAGAGAGGAGCACAAGCTGCGAGTGATTGATTTAGATAGCGTTGCCAGGCAGGTCGTTGAGCCAAACACCCCAGCTCTGCGCAGCATAGCCGACCGCTACGGCGACAGAGTGTTGAAATGGGATGAGCCATCCAATCAACACACTCTTAACCGCCCAGCACTCGCGCGTATCCTTTTCGACGACAAGGCCGAGAAGAAGTGGATAGAGAGTGTTCTCCACCCGGAAATACTCAAGCGGACAGCGTGGGAGGTGGGTGAGCGCTGTGAAACGAGTGCACTGCTTACCGCTCAGCTCATCAGGTGCTCAAGGCTTATGCGAGTCTGTCGCGTGTCGTCGTGCTCGATGTGCCCCTCCTCTTTGAAGCCAATCTGCATCGTTACGTGGGGGTGAGGACACTGGTTTATTCTTCTCAAGATGTTCAGCTGCACAGACTCATGCAGAGAGATGGCATCAGCGAGCACGATGCACAGAAGAAGATAGCCGCACAGCTCCCCATCGACGTCAAGGTCGATATGGCTGATCAGGTGGTGCACAACGATAGCAGCAGGGAGGAGACGTATAGAGAGGTGGATGGCGTGGTGAGTGAGTGGTGCGCCAGGACGCGCTATTGGTATCTTCTCCAGTGGCTTTGTCCGCCGTTAGCTGCCATCCAAGCTGCGTGGGCTGTGTGGTGGAGTGGGAGGGGTAATCAGGGTGGTGTAAAACAAGAGTAGAAGTGTTTTGTAGAAAACTAACATGCATTCTATATGTTAACAGCCCTTTAAAAACTCCAAAACCACCTCAATTAGTTTTAGTGTCGGCCTGCTGCCATCCATGCCCCCCTGATAGTCATGCTTGGCATCTGGTACGACTGTGCTTACTCTGATTTTCTCGCCGCCACAACTCTGCATACGCCTCGCGAGCGCTTCCTTATCCACGCTAGCGGGCACAAACTGATCAGCGCCGCTGAAAATGAGAGCCAATGGTGCTTTCAGTCTACTGAACACGCGCTCAAACGCATCATCCGGGAGAGTGCTAGTGAAGTAATCATCTTGGCCACCTTCTGCAAAGAGGGAGTGGAAGCGATAAGCTGTGATAGGTGTAGCGAACCAGCTGCAGCTATCGCGCGGCATAGCCTCATCAGCCCTCCCCTCTTTCATCATCTGCAGAGCGAGGGGGATATGCGACCTTATACCATCGTCAATCCCCTCTCTATCGCTGACGGGAGCCTGAGCAATACAGCCGTCTACACGCTCACGCTGTCCGTCGGCGGTAAGGTAGTGCACCACATCCTGTGAGCCTGTGCTGTGGCCCATAAGCACTATCTTTTGCTTGCTGTGGCGAGCGTGAGCTGCTATGCACCCCTCTTAATACAATCCACACCCACCCAAGCTTGCGCAGCTCGCCCAGCGCACTCGATATCTCTCGCACATCCCGGTCTAGTGAACCATGCGCAAAGCCGTAGCCTGAAGAGCTGGTTAACAGCTGGCACAGCCCCCAGCCTTCTCTCTCCAGTGCTTCGCTCAGTGGCGCGACGTATGGCACACTCAGTAGCGTGTTCGTCAGCCCCGCTACAAACACCACCACTTGTGCAGACGCCTTGTCGCCGCTCAAGAACATAGGAAGCGGTCCTAGATTTGGCGACTTGTTTGGATTAGGGTATTGTTGCAGTTTTCCTTCCATATGGAGTGTGATGTGGTGGTATTTGAAATACACTTTTGAAATACCCTTAAATAATCTACAATACTCTTTTTCTTTTTCTTCTCGTGTTATGCTGGCGTCGGTATCACAGCATGCATCCCGTACACAGCCTCGCGTACCGTGTAGTATATGTCACCATCACCTATCAAACTAGACGTAATGTTGAGTTCACCGTTGGTATTCTTCGACACGGCCACTGCACCGTCTGCATTATCCTCAGCACCATCCTTGTCATTCCAGCATATCAGCACACCCTCTCCACCAAACTCAGCACTCATTCCCAGCCCCACCAGCTTGGCTTTGAGAGCTGTCAATTTCATGTCGCCGATAAAGAGAGATGTGGGCAATGCGCGTGAGTTGTCCTGTGCAGCACGCGCATCTGCTTCTTCGAAAGTCGGCACGAGGGCCTCTTCATGGTATTTCATCGTGCCGATGGCGTGACCTACGACAAAATCTTCGAATGGAGCCATATGCACGCTATTAACGAGGCTGTCCCCGAGAGTGAACGTGTAACTGTGCGTGTGCTCGCCAATCGTTACCGTTTCGCCCATAGCAGGCACGTATATATCCTTGGTCATGGCCGATATGGCATCGAATGCACCGATAAGCGAGTGGGATGAAGAGTGAGAACCCCCTACGAGAATCATCTTGCGCGGGTTGAGACGGGGCATTATATTCTTGATCGCCCTGCTGTCGTTAAGACCTTCAAGATCGACGTACATGATCTGACATCGCACATCTACTTCCACTTGCTCGCTTATGTATTTTGAGGGTGGCTCTATGGGAGTCGCGTCTGCCTCCTCCTCCATCTTCCTCCGTTTAGCTTCGTGCTCCTGATCCCTTTCGATAGCCTGGCGCTCCATCTCCTTACCCCGGCTCACCCAACTATCAGCATCAATCACCTCACCGTAGCTATCCATTTTTCTTTTCGTATCGTTAAAAGGGAACATCCTGAAGCGCGGTGCGGAACCCTGCGCGGTCTTGAAGAAGGAGGTTGCACCGCGGGTCGAGTGACCCTTGAGGAAGATATCGAAGCTGACCTGCTGCACCTCCTCCTCCTTCTGATCCTCCTTGTCTGAGTCCTTATCGTCGTCCTCATCGTCCTCCTCCTCCTCCTCGTCCGCCTCCTGGGCATCCGCTTCCATCATCCTGCGGCGTCGCGAATCTGCAGCCTGTTTGGCTGCCTCTTGCTCGCGCGCGAGACGCTCGTTCGCCTGGTGCGCCTCCAGCTCCTGGCCCAGCAGAGGAATTTTCGAGTGCTGTGTAATGTTAACCCGCCAATCACCATGTACCATCGCGCCCAGCCTCCCGCTGCCCCACTGCGAATCGCCCTGGCGGCTATTCCAGCGGTCGAATATGTCGCGCGCAAGCGACCCTGCCATCCCGCGACTGGTCAGTACTACCGCGTTGCCCGGCGTGCTTGCAAAAGAGCTGAACAGCCTACGCGAACTGCCATAAGACATGGAAAGCGGCACCGCAAGGACGACTTTCGGGGTGTTCGGGTGGGTCGCCTCGAGAGCGTCAACTGAGGTGAATATATTGAGTGTTTTGAATTCTAATACTCCCCTGCCCTGCCGCAGGGTGTTGTCGCCAGCAGCAGTAGCCCCGCCGAAGAACTCCATCAGACCGCGGACGAACTTGAGCATGTCGTTGCCCGTGTTGCTGATGAGACAGAGTGGGACGCGGAAGGATGGCTGCTTGTCGCGGATATACGACCAGTGCTGGTCGAGGAGGACGAGTAGCTCAAGGATACGCGTGGTGGGGTCACATGGAAGTAGGACGGAGTTGCTGTTCTGGAGAGTGCGGTTGATCAAGTCGAGCAGCGCTGCATCCCTGTCCTTGCGTTTGGCATTGACGCAGTCACCGCGCTCGCTGTCGGTAATGACGAGTCCAGGCCGCACTAGCTGCTCGTGCACGCTCAGACCCCCCTGGTCACCGCGTATCAGCGCTGTGCCGTCAAGATGGCGCTCTTTCATGTGGTTGAGCCCGACTGCATAGAGTATGGTGCCGACGGAGGGCGCGCGGATCTTCCAGAGCGTGCCTCCCAACGTGTGGCCGGAGGAGTACGCCGTTATCGTCACACCGCGTAGCTTGCCGTAAAGATGCTGTGGTTGATGATAGCGCACATCCTTGACTGCCGACCACGCTGAGCGGTTTTCTTCTCTGGTAGGAACGAAGAGGGGCGAATGCGATTGGTCTGTTGCGTCTGGAGACTCGCTTGCCTTCTCCCCGGTAATTTCCCTCTCGCTGCGCCAACCGATGATATCCTCGAGCGTCGTCAGCCGGGCGAGCTCCTTGACGGGCAGAGAGCAGTACGCTGGGCAGGTGAGCCCGTAGTGCGTGTATGCGTAGGCGTACAGACCGCTGTGTTTGGTGGAGGCGTGCGATATCAGCACCAGGTCGACAGTCGGGGCGATACTGGGGGCGGTCTGTTAGCCTTTAGAATGCGTGCAATCCCCACTCACTCCTTCAACGCCCGCTCGTATCCAAATTCCGGGTTCGCATTAGCCTCCCAATCTCTGCTCCCACAGTCAAGCAATATCCGCGCGCCATCCATCTCCATCAGGTAGCAAAGCGGCTCGCTGGTTTTCATTTCCCCGCTCGTCGCCCTCCCAGAGCCTGCAAGAGGCGTCACTGTAATCGCCATGGCAGTTTGTGATAGAGGAGACGAGAAATGAGATTAGGAATGAGCGTTTAATTAAATAATTGGGATTTGCTTGTTTGATGTTATTTCAATCCCGCTTCTTAAAAGTTGCCGCTGCTGTAATCACAAAGAGCGCTACTAAGCCGCGTCTGTGATGTGATTGTAGACGCTGATGTATTGTCTGTTGCATAGTCCTAGCACTCATTATATCTCAAGTCGCTTGACGCGTACTTAAGATCTTATTAACCGCGCATATCAACATACCAATGGACATACTATGGCTGATTTACGAGGTTTGATCATCTCCAAATAAAAAAGTTTGGGAAAACAGCCCTGAATAAGCTCTACAACATTTCGCCAGAATTATATTTCTGAGGCTCCAACTGCGCTCTACACGCTTTTTGGAGAATGCAATCCGACATCAGCCTGGAGCACTCTATAGGATAGATACGGAAGACTTGGCTTAGTCTGTCGACAAAAACCAACGTTACTAAGCGATAGACGCTTCAAGCACCCGAATTCTCATTTATTCGGCTCTATACAGGTGATTTACATTTTTCGATCGCTCGAGTCTTACTACTTACTCACCTTGATATAGCCAGCTTGTTGAGCAGACACACACGGGGTTATTTAACCATCTAAGCTATGTTGGCAAATCTTAGACACACTTTGTACAAATGCGCGATCACCCTGTCGTAACATAATATTCTCTTTATTTTTATGGCCGTTAGTCTTTTGAGAGAGCCTTGACTCGACAAACAGGTGCATAAACGCCACCTATACCCTGTTTTGAAAGATACCTTGCCCACGCTCTTATGTATATGTCGACGACGTATTCAGATGCGCCCTCGAAATTAATCAAACTAAACGCAGCTTTGAGAAGCTCATTTCGCTTTTTCTCAAGAACCACATTTGGGGCTTGTCGATAGCCACTGAAGATAGGGCTGTTTGGTCGGATTTATCGGTAACGCTGTTGTACATTACGACCTTTAGACTATCAGTATTTTTTGAGGTACCATACTAGCTAAATAGAAGCTGCTTTGTCTTTTCAAAGCCTCTATCGACTTTCTCTTCCTTGGCCTGTACTTTGTTCGAGAGTGATCGTGTGTAACTGTCTGAAGATTTGCTGAAGTATTTTTCAAAATATTCGTTGTTTAATTTGCCAATACTCAGCCCGAGCTTACTGAGGCGGTTTTCTGCATCGCCAAACGCTTGACAAACATGCCGTTACTAATACTTTTTTTTTATGTCATTTGTAGATTGCGTATACCTTACACTGAGCTAGTTATGACTCTAGTTGATTCATTCAACATGATCGAGGATTTCTGCTAGCTGATTACTTGTTGTTCAAGGGAAAATTTGGATGTCTCAAATAGGCCCGTGAAATGAGTTGGGCCGCTTGACCACTAGGTCATACGCACACAGGTTATTAAGGGCATGTTTAATATTATATCTGATTGATAACCAGTCAAGGTTAGATGTACACTCGATAAACTAAACAAACGATTGGGACACTCTGACTAATCGCCGTGTAATAAATTTATGCGAAGACATGTGCATATCAAAACCTCATAGCATATAAAACATTTGAGGTGCTTTTGCGACGCATAAGATGTATTCTGCACAAACATTTTCAGGATTTCACTCACCATACGCGGCCAATGTAATTTAGTGTACGCGCTCTCATATAGTAAATCTGAAGAAATCTAGTCTGAATACCAGAACAATTTTTAGTAATCTACGGCATGCTCTCGCGGCTTTTTGACACTACTCACAAGCAGCATCGCAGATACCTTTAACGTATGTGCAATCTCACTTATCATTACATCCACCAACAAAACCACAAGCATACTTTATAACCTCAGCTAAAGATGTAAATAATTTAAGTCCCTAAGCACTAGCAATTGACCGCCTTCATGTCTCAGTACCGATGACTGTAATGAATCCATTTTCTATAACATCGTCTCTTACAATAAGGTTTTAGGTGCGATTCATGGCGTTCTTGCTTTAATCGATGCAGCATATTTTTTTCTGGTGATATCGAATTTTATTTCGCTGAATCACACAAAATATAAAAGATGAAAATTAGACTACAATGCTTTAATTGGTAAACTGCTGTGATGTCTTGACCAAGATTTGGTGTGAAATATAGAATGTGACTCTCATTTATTTCAAATAGACGTATCTAAAATTAAATCATTGAATTGCTTCACTAGACAAAACCTCATCTTATGCTGAATTGAGACTATTATACGCCTGTAAAAATTTTCTTTAATCGACTAGGCTTTGTCATAAAAGGCAAAAAGCGCATCGATAGCACTTTTACACCTTAAAATTTACCCCTAGTAGCCCTAAGGCTGTATCCAAATTGGCGCCGTCGTATATATAGCTGGCAAGTGAGTTGCGGCTGTAAAGGCACCACCAAATCGCCAACGTGGAAAATAAAGAAATACGAAGTTGAATAAGTATATATTGTAGCATGATATGTCTTTATGCGCATGTAATCATTCTTATGCAACACCTTCTGTTGTCGTTCTTATTCTAAAAAGACTCTTCATCTAATACATGTTATCAAAGTGGGAAATCAATGTTGGATAGTAACAAGATTTATAGAGAGTGGGAAGCTCACTGTGACATGAATACATCGGTGTTAAGATTTACCGAACCAACTCGTACCCGTATTAAATGTCCAATATGCAATAACCTGATTATTCTACGAGCCTTCCACAATCACAAAAAGAAGCATTACAACAAAGTATACACAATAAGCTTACTTAAGTTCTTCAACGCTTGTGAATTAGTTTCCTAATATAGTACCTTCGCAGCAAAAGTACTTTTCTAAAAGTATATCTACTAAAAAGTTATCGTATTTAATTATTAAATCGAATGCGTTTGTACTTTCTCATTACAAGAATAGACATTCTCAGATAGCTCATCTGTCTGCCGCCACTGATCCTCTTTCCATCTAAGTAATATCCATGGAGATTACACAGAGTCGCAATCAAAGCGTTACCAGTAAAAACATCCCAGCTTCTCTTACTTGTCAGCATCACGAAATGTGACATTGACGCGTATCACTATCATCCCAGCGGTGTTCTTAGAGTTTAACTTTTTCTTTTGATTTCCTAACCACCTACATCCAGCAAGAGCTTCATGTTGTAATAAAAATAAGAGGATAAAAAGATCAATCGGTAGATAATTAAGTCTCCTCCACACTGGCGACGTTCTCGAACAAGTCGCCATTCAATGCATTCAAGTCTTGCAATTGAGGGTTTGTAAATGGGATCGTTTCATATCATAACTAATAGCCCAGACGAGTGCAGCACACCCCAACTAACTTTAAATTTGTCAAGTACGATGATCTCGTCGGTGTCAACTGCACTCCAATCTCCCTCATTTGAAAGGCTGTCTGTCATTCTTTGTATCACTTTAATTTAGACAGTACTTGAAAAGCTCGACCGACTTTGATGTTTCACTATCTCATCCATGCAAATAAGTGCAAACTGAAAGACACTCACGACTACACCGCATCTATCATAATGCATGACCTAAATAAGTATTAAATAAAACGAGGCCATTATCAACGCTCAGAACGTTTTGGTCAACCTTTTCATCCGTTGAGTTGATGTCATAACAAAGTAGTGAGACAGTGTTAGTGTCATTGATAGTCAGATTTTGATCGTGTTAGGTTATAGAAAAATAAAGTTGCTTAGTCGCAACTTAAGAAAAATTAACAGAAGGTTTGTTTCTTGGCTCTAATGAGCTATCCAAGGTTTATCAGCATAAGCGGGTACTTTAAAAAGATACGTAGGCAAGAGTATATAGGGATGGTAAGGCACCGAGATGGTTTGTTAAAAAGCTTAAAAAATCAACTAGATTGATTAATTGAGACTAGACAAGTAAGATTATCGATCTTGGTGGTTGCGTATAGACTGTGGGCGTGACTCAACTTAAACAGCAGTATTAGCACAGAAAGTGAATAGGCGATAATCACCGAGCTGTAGTAGTTTTGCTATAATATTCTACCTATCTGTGTCACATGTTATATTGTCGTAGTGTCGAGACGCTCGACTTCAGTCAAAAATTACGCGTCACCATCAGAGATTCAATCATTTAGTGATATAATGGTAAATTAGTTCTGAGAGGGGAAAGTACGTTGGTAGATCCGTATAATGTGTCGAATACCGGCTTTGATTCAGGCTTAGAACGTCATTTGAAGATAGCTATTTGATTCAATAGCCACAAATAGAGCTCAATACACGGATGGTAGCGCCTTATTTTTCAAATCACAATCATCAATATATTGTCTCCAATGGCTAAGACGCTATGATATGGATAATTTAGAAGAGCTATGCATTTGCATTTGAGCATAAACACTGTAGAGGAGGTATCCCACGTTTAGCTTAAGCTTAGGAAAAGCTAGAACGTAAGAAACATCTAGAGCAATTTGAGTGGGCGCCTCTAGTGAGGACGGGTCAGACTAGACATTCTCTCAAATCTTTTGATTTGAGTACAATAGAAGTCTTTGGCGACTTCTTTGGGTGAATAGCTTAGATCTTCAGGTCTTTATTATAAAAAAAAAGGTACGCGCCACCTTCACCGCACCCAAACCCAAAATATTAGGCGGGCGTGTTAAATGAAGCCTGCAGATGTTTAACTGAAAGTATCGCTCTGTTTTAATGTTGTCTATGCGCCTAGGGTGGCCACAACGCGCAAGTATGTGAGGGTAGGTGGAAGGCCTTTGCGGGGGTATTTGGGGTGAAAACTACTGTAAAGTTTAAATTATCTAGCCGCTATTGTTGGGCTTATTTTTGCGGCCTGGCCCAATCAAATTCATCGACGATGGGTCCAAGGGATTCTTGACAAGACAAGTTGCACATATTACTTTGCATCCAGCTAGGAGTCGACTGTTTGGCTTTTGCAGTGCGTTTTGACGTATCAAAACTATTTTCGCGCTAAAGGACCAAACTCGAGACGCGTTAGACGATTTCCTAGAACTTCAAATGCAAATTTTTAGTATCAAGGCAACGGGTGTAGCTGGAAGGTATATCAATGGTTAGGCAGATTCAACGCCTTTGAAAAGCCCATGTTCTTAGCTTTGCTGCCCTCCTCCACCCCGAAAGATCGGATATTTCCAGAATTTTAATTATTTTGATCTGATCTCGCGCGTCGATTCTCCGATTCTATTCACTAGCGCACAATCGCGAGTATAAAAGGCAGCATACCTTCTGCACCTATACTCATCATCTTTTTGTTTATTTCATCCTGGTACGATTGCTTCAACAAAAACCACAACCCAGATGGTTAGGTTTAGGTTTAGTTTAGGTTAGTCCATGCTCTTAATAGATGCTTTGTGTAGATTAAAAACTCAATGAAGAAGTTTACAGAATTCATGCATTTAATGGATGCTTAATTTACACTTTATGACAAACCTTGCTCCCATTTTTCAAATGAATTTTTCAAATGTATGTTTTCATTTTTAAGAGAAGATTTTGGCTATCTTGAAGAGTAAAAGCTGACACGTAGATCCTAGGAGTAGGGCTTTTTTCAAAGTTTCCTTGAAAAATTTCTAATGATAAGCTTGCAGATTTACTACTGCTAATGAAGGTGATGGTATTTTGGAAAGAAGTATGTTGTGAAAATACAAAGCACAAGCTAGTTTCAATGCTTGTTGTTTTTAGCTTTCATTGAGTTTATTTTCTATCCACTGCTTAGATTGATGGCTGATCAGCATAGTCAATAGAACAATTGGATTCAGCACACGAAAGCGAGATCCATGTCAAGCTCATGACTGCTACTGAGTTGAGGCCGTTGGCTGTATGTACCTCTCATGTGATCACGGATAGTATTTAAAAGATCGATGAAAGAGAGATCATCGTCACGATTTTTGTAGAGGATTGATAGAAAAGCATAGCTCATAGCGCCACTCTGACCAGCGTCTGCAGCTGTCTCTGAATCCTTGGAAGCTGCGAACATAATTACATCCGCTGGACTGAATTTCGTCTTTTTTCGCTTCTTGTCCTCTGACCTGCCAGTGAGCAGCTTTTTGGAAAAATAATAAATATCGTGTAGAGGTAGTATCATCCCGTTAGGTAATTTGTGAGAAAACAGTTCACCGGCTGCCATTTTCAAGACGTCCGGCTCTTTGACCTCACCATTACTGTCGTACATGAACGGCAGATCAAGCGCTGTACCACTATGGCAAGAGTCAAATAGCGCAGTGAGTCTACAGCCAGCTTCTATTGTCAGCGAAAATTATCACCCAACGGTGTACCTACCAGGCAGTGGCTGTACTAGCTTCTCATGCATTGTGTCATCGATTATATGACCAGCCTTAATGGATGTCAGTAGTACTTTTTTGAAACACATGAACAACCTTTTGAAAGTCCACAGGAAAGATAGTTTCATCAAAACCATCGATTTCATCACCGCTCAAGTCTTTTGTGCGTCCACCATGTCCACTATAGTGAAAAAACAGTGCGTCGTTAAGCTTAGCACCCTGCACCAGCCAATCCATGGCTCTAAAGAGGTTTCTCTTTGTTGGCTGCATATTCTGACCCATCTCACTCGAATCCTTGAGAAGCATAATGTTTTGAGGCTTATATCCGCATCTCTTGATCAAAAATCTTCGTATTTTGTCCTGCAAAGAGTCTTAAAAGGGTATTGAATGCGCAAGTGCACTCACAGCGTCGTTCTGGCATCCACCTAATTCATTTTCGGTCCCTACGTAGTTGATTCCCTTAAACTTGCGTCAGATGTGTCAGCGTAATTTTTAAGACCTCAATTCACAATGCACAACGCCTTTTTTCTGCCGGTACATTCCGAATACTGATAATTTACTTTAACACCACGGCCAAAAGAGCGTGTTTCATTGGTAGGCCTCTTTCTCCGCGGTCTTTGAGGTCTTTGATTGTTCACGTGATTAGCTGGTTCCTCGAAGCGTACTTGACTCTGATATTGTGGGGGTTGTCTTTGTGGTGGTACATTTTGTTGTTGATACTGAGGTTGTGATTTAATATATTGAGGCTGTGGTTGTGGTTGGAGAAGTTGCTGCGATTGTGGTTGGAGAAGTTGCTGCGATTGTTGCAGTTGTGGAATTGGAGTGCTACATTTCGTTAGGCGTAAATTGCACCGTTATAATTCGTATCCACCTTCTATAATAAGGGCCATTGCTTGCCAAGATGTTCATGCAGTGATGTCAGGAGCCTATCTACGCTATCAAAACACTACTTACTCTGGCTCGGGTGGGTGCAGAGAGGTTTGGAACAATCTGCTTGATTTGCTTAATTCTGGCTGTACTCTCAACCCGTAGTCTTGAGGATGAGGAGGCGGTGCTATTGAGTTGCCGGGTGTTGGAAAGCGATAGTAGTCGCGGTAGAGTAGCTGGTTTTCAAATCCATTTTGATGATTATACATTTGACTTAGCTTTATCGATATCTATCAATCAAGAGAAATCAAAATTGCGCATTTATATTTAGACCTTGGCAGCTTTCTATATATAATTACATCGGTCTGCATCAAGGGAATCTCGTATGAATGAGATGGCTATGTAGAGGTTTTTTTTATTAATTGTCAGAGCTTCTAAGCCGGTGAAATCAATTGCGTCTTGGCTTATTTGACCGCAGGCCGAACGCATTAGAGTACTCATGAATGCAAGGATCCGCTCTGTAAGACATGTGATTCTTCACCTAAATTACACGCGATTCTATACCTACGTTACACTAATTGATTACAAAATTCAATTTGGTAAACTTCTTTAAGGCACGTGAATGTCGTAAGTTCCTGAGTTAAGTGTAATTACTTGGCAGGTATAGCACATACTATTTAAATATTATCTCAAGCTTGAGGGATTCCTTAAATTCAACTTAAACATCGAATCAAAAAATTAAATTGTCTCCATAACAGCCCCTCTTCACGAACCATTTCATCACGAAAGTTGGAATATCGAAAAGAAACGATAGAATGCTTATTGATTGATGTTTCTTAGAGTAATTAATACTTCTTCTGGCTTTGAACTTGAGTCGTCATGAAAATCGCGGTTAAATCTATCGCCAAATGTATCTGACTTGCTGTGTTCAAAGATGAAAGTAGCCACCTTGTGAGTTTACATATCTTTTCGGCAGATTTCAAACAAGTCCATGTTGATCCCCCTAACTGTTCATAAATTAGTTCTTCCAAATACTGAAGTGAAATAGTTTTCAATGTCGTTTCAAGTTGACTGCTACGGCTCCACAAGGCAGATGAACCAAATTTTCAACACATCCACCTCTTCTTATTAGATTAAATAGTAATGGTTCAACGATTTGTTGAGAAGTTAAAAAGTCAAAGTAGTGCAAATAAAACGTCAATATACCTAAATTGTTTAAATATGAGACCTTACAGTGCAAGGTCTTTGAATGAGACCCCATCAAATGCAAGGCGTTATTAATCCTAGCCGAATATATCTTAAGAGTCTCCAGCTTTGGTTGCAAGTATGACATTAACTCTTTAAGGCCAGCATCACGGAGGGATTATCTCCGTTTGTTGTCAAATGCGATCTTCCAGTTTTTAGCAGGTTTGGAAAGTTTATCATGGTCATTTAACTCGCGAACTTATTAACGCTTTGACAGAGGTAGGCACCACTGCATGAGAATGATAGGGACTGAGGTATGCGACGTTGTCATCTTCAAATACCTATGACACTCAAAATTTACTTCTATTTCTTCTTGAACCTTTTTTATCGCAGCGTCTGCCCTCTATCTAAGTGCATCGGCAGCCATGCTGCAATGATGACACGTCGATCTTTAATTCCCTTCGGCATAAAAAGCTACTTTTCTCTAAAGTCCTTCCTAAAATATCGCCTTCGTATGTATCTATCCTCACATAGCAAGCTATCAACAATCAGATGCCAAGGTTTGTACAGCCTTGATAACGAAGTATGCTAAATAATTGATACTTTGATATGAAAATTCAATAAAGTTCAGTTACTTCCACTGGGTTATCTCCCTCATTATTATCTTTTTCGCCGGATTCACAAACATTACCCGAAGATCAAAGCAAAGGGAGAAAAGCAGGAAAAGCGCCTGCATAATCTATGGAATCCTATAAAAAATGTGATAATTGATAAGCTGATTTTGATTTCTAAACCATTTTCCATTTATGTTTCGATGAAATTGACTAAAAATCGAATGTCGAATGCCTTTCTCGACGCGTTTGCATCCCATAACTCAAACGCTTAACAAGGACCAATTGCAACATGATACTTGCAACCAAAATTATGCCAAAAGCAATCGTTTTCCCTGCATCAAATGATGCTCGCAAGAAGGACAAGACCTCTAGAACGAGACAAAGCGCGCGTGTAAGCGTCTCTTTGCAGCTTTTGTAAATAGCAGCCAGCTAATCATGCGTTATCTATAGGCATCGAAGACACAACTACGGCAATTTTTAAAGGGTTTCCCTGATCTCGCTGTTGGTACCCCTAAAAGAAGCAACTCAATTAGCGAGACTTTATGGAGTTCTGAAGATTCTGAAACAGATATACGTGCTTCCTCTAGCAAAATAAAGGGTAATTCCCCGATGAAAACGAGAAGCGCTCGAAAGCGCTTCGAAGATCAAAACCGAATTATGATCATCCTGGCGAATGCTTCTTTGTTGATGCAGCCACTGAAAATGCCGTTCATCACAATGCCAAAGACGTATGGCCAGATGCACTCTACATTCGGCAGCCCAACATATAAGCCTGAAATTCCCATGTAGGTCCGGATAGTTCGCGTAAACTTAGTGCAACGGCCTCTTCTCTCTTGATTGAGCAAAAAGATAATGTGCAGGAATCTATTGACCGTAGTCATGCTAGCCCCCTTGCAACTAACAGACTCTCAATTTCATCAGGAAGACGAATATGAACCCTTCGCGCCAAGCCCTCAAAGTGACACTTCCTCGGTTTTAATGAATACGGATACTATCTCCGTCAAGTTAATCGATTAATCAGTGGCAAGCGAATAGAATGACCTATCTGGCCTTTTTGAAGAAGGCAGTGTAGATACTTAAATATAGTGTACAATCGATTGAACATTATCACACTCCTTTGCTTGATGGACATTTTTAACGATCCAGCACAACTAAGCGAGTAATAAGACGAAATCGAAGTTTAATAAGTTGAATAAGTTTAATGTGACTATCCCTCTTGGTGGCAGTGATGGTGACGGAGAGAGGAACGAAGAAGGCAGCATTAACCAAGAAGGCTAGTCGGTTAGTCAACTAGTCGGCTTAGCAGCTTTATCAGAGTTATGAATCTCAATTCATCGCAGACTCATCACCGTTCTTCGCTGATCGCTGATCGTTGATCGCGGAATCTTTGATGACGAATGCGCTTCGTGAGTCGAGACGAGAGATGAATATCGCAATCGCACTCAGCGGAGAACATAAAACATCTTCAGAGTCACAGCTTAATCAACGAAAAGTGAGGATGTAGAGCTCTATAGTAGGTGATGTCATCTGGTGAGATATGCAAACACGTGCTGTATGAGTTGCCACATGAATCCATTTAATATACTTAAAAATGTCGTTCATTTTTACTGATTGAAATACTCATTGTGACATATTTACTGACAATTTTTCCCAATTCATTCCTTGGATTGACTTTCTAATCAAGCTATGGTCATTGACTTGTCCCTCATAAAATGACTTAGCACCAAGGTGAAATGTTTCACTCTGGTACTCTGGGCCAATGGCCGAATCACAGACAATAATCCAGCTGCGCCAACGTCATTAATTACATCATTCATTATATCATTCAACAGCAAAAACCATCTCACCCAAAATTATTGGCCATGATTGACTTGGTATCCTGTAAGGGGAATGAGTACTTTTCAGCTAACATATGACGTCATTAATGCCGCCACACTCACCTCCATCGACGATTATGCTTTGGGCGTTGACGTACTGGTCGAGGATCAAAAAGAGAGCTGCTTGTGCCATATCTTTATCATCTCCAACGCGGCCACTTGGGAGGCTCTTGTACTTGTCGTTTTCGATTTTCGATTTCTGATTGGCGGACGATCCACCTGCAGTCATTTCAGAGCCAAAAACCCCTGGCGCTACAGCGTTAACTCTGATCTTGAAGCCATTAAGATTGAGCTCGTTTGCAAGTGATTTTGTGAGGTAGTTTGCTGCCGCCTTGCTGCAGTTGTAAGCCGGATGATGTTGTGTTATCTTGACGGAGCCAGAGATAGACGTAACGTTTAGAATGGTAGCTGACCATCCTTTCTGTGTCTCACTGGACTTGTTAAGCAGTGGCAAAAACGCAGCAGACACGAAATACGCAGAACTAACGTTGGTACGCATTACTTCCTCCCAGTTCTCGAATGTGTCACTGTTGAAAAGGTTGTTGCTTAATTCTTCGACCGAGTTTGTACTGAAATTCACCTTAGAACCGGCGATTCCACTATTGTTCACTAGAATGTCGAGTCTATCCTCGTGCTTCGAATACTCCTCGACGAGACTCTTGATGCTTTCCTTGCTCGTGACGTCCCCTTGCAAGGCAGTTATCTTTCCACTAATATCGCCCTTGTTGTACGTCTCCGCGACCAGTCTCACTTTCTCTGACCTCGAGAAGATGTACACGTGCGCACCATTGACGGCCAACGCTTGTGAAATCATTAGTCCTATGCCGCTGCCACCGCCAGACACTAACGCGAGCTTGCCTTTGGTGGAGAAGAGGTTGTCGAGTCTAAACTCAGAGTTGTTGTTAGATGCTTGATCGTTAGATGCCATGAATGTGAGTGTGTTGAGTGTAAAAAAGAAGATTGTGTCTTCTTATCCACTCGATTTAATTACGCAACTGCTTCCCACGTCAAAATGGATGACAATGTGGTAATTCATTCAGACGATTATGGTAATCCATTCAAATGATTGGACTGAGTCAATTACCTAGGTTAATTAAACACTCTCCAAGAGATTCGTAAACTGTTTGGGCTCCGCAATAGCAACACCCCACTGCTTGAGCTTGTTTTGTAAGAGTCTCAATCTCAGCATCAGTTACCTTGCTCTTTAGGTAATCGTCTGGATTGTTCTAAGTATATCAATACAATTCCCTTGTCTTGACAATAGATGGTAATTACTTTAACCAATTGAGACCAAGCAATGTACGTGGCAGAGACAGCCCGTGCCGTCGTTCCTTATCAGATGATTACACAAGGAATGACCGGCGAACGGTTGAAACGCTTAGAATTTTTTGTTCAACTTGCTGCGCTCAAATTTGACGTCTGATTTTGTCCATCCACATCAATTTACTCATAGATAACTCACTTTCGTCATGTGCTGCTCGTCAACCGTGCCTAGAAAATCTGTTTGGTGAATCAAACAACATACGAATCACGTGAAACGATTATGGTGAAACTTGGAAATTTTCAACCAAACAAAATCGCTCCATTCCAAACTTTTACTTCTTTATCGTGGCCTTAAAAAGAGCAGAGTAGTGGGTACTTTGGATAAGTATTAAACCATTACTTATGCAGCACACAGATCTTGGAGCTTTTTTTGTGCTTGAGTTTTTAAAAGACATTACGAAGCAGCTGGGCTGGCAATGCCCTATAAAACGGTCGCTGGAATGAATCCTAGCATCTCAAGGAATGGTATTGTAATGTCATGGAGATCTGACGTTCCAAGCAATCATGAAAAATTTTTGATGGGGCAATAGTTTTTTATTGGCTTTTGTAACCCAGGGCTTGCCCTATAATCGTTCAGAGGTACTGGTGAGGATCCAGGTATCAATGCAGGGCGTTCGTTTAATCGCTTACACCTATAAAAAGACCATCCATGAGTTTTACTGGCATAATAAGCGAGACGCTCGACAAATTTCCTAATGGTGTTAATTATGACTTGCTTTAACCAGCTGAAATAAACCAAAACACCACTCTGGCTGTTCACGACATTATCGACAATATAAATGAGGGTTTAAAGTTATTTCCAGCACAAGTATACGCAATTTTGGGCTTCTCTCAGGAAGCTACAGCTGTCCTGAACCCTCAACAGCGAGAAACTCAATAACTCCCCCAAAAATGTGATTGAAGCCGTCATTCTAGTTGGCAACCCATACCACCCAGCGACGCAAGACTCTAACGTTCACGGAATGGGCTTAGATAATGTAGTCGGGGAGGCCAGCACGCTTTCTAGAAAGCCGATCCCTGAAGTTTTCGATGAGAGTGGAATAGCTCAGGACTACTGCTACCCGGATGACTACGTCTGCAACGACCCCACCGCATCCAAAGATGAGAGCACTGTGCATCTGAGGTATGGCTCTGACAATGACTTGCAGCACAAGGCGGCTCTGCACTTACAAAGTACTTGTCTTGATAATAAATTTTTTGCATTGTCTTGAAATAATTCAAAACACTTCTGTTGTCACTAATTACACAAACTTTATCACAAAAATGAGAAATATCAGTAAGGAGTTTACCTGTCGAAACTCAAAGAAAATTAAGCCTCCTGAAATGTCATCAGAGAAGTCCAGTGATCTTTCACCTGAACCATCTCATTATCACTAAACCAGCTGAGCATAGACGCTGCATTCATTAGAGCAGAACGCTCATACGCCATCCAATAACACGTGATCCTCAAATTCCGTTCCTCTACACGATTTATAAAGCAACCTAATCAGCATTCCAGTCCTCATCATCAACAATGATCTTCTCAGCTGTTATTTTTGCTTTCATTACTGCTGCCACTGCCTTCTGCAACGACTACGTACTCATTTCCACTCGAGGCACAGGCGAGGAGCAAGGCATGTACTATTGGATCTCCGTTACTCTTCTAACAGCCTAAAAGGTCCATCGAGGTCTTTCATCGATGTCGTCAACAATACACTCGCAAAAGTACCAAACGGCTTCGAATACGACACAGTATACCCCGCAGGAGATGACCAAAACACCACACTAGCCGTTAAAGACATCATCACCACCATTGACGACGGTCTCGAGCGATGCCCACATCAGGTTTACGTGCTTTTAGGATATTCGCAAGGAGCTACTGCCACCCTAGACACCCTCAACAGTAACAATCTGTCGGCGGAAGCTAGAGATGCCATTAAAGCCGTTATATTAGTTGGAAATCCATACAGAAAGCCAAACCAGGATTCAAACGCAGGGGGATTTGGGAGTGATGATGCTAAAGGCATTGGGGCTGCTAACGAAAAAAGTATTCCTGAAAATTTCGATGACAGCGGCAAGGTTCTTGATTTCTGCCTAGGAGTAAGTTGAAATTTCTCAGTCGTTTAGTCTCACTCAATGACAACAGGGTGACTGTATATGTAACGAGGCATGCGATGAGGACGAGATGGGACACACTGGCTACGAGAATAACAAGAATGTCATTCAACAAGCAACTCGGCATCTTGTAGACCGTCTGACGTGTTGAATTGAATCACACATTTAATTCAAGTTGTATTTCAAAGACACAGTTTATTCTTTGAATTTTAATCTCTTAGGCATGAATATTTCGCATAATAGTTGCATCCATGATTGAATAAAATTCCTTTTTATTTCATTACTCACACGCGAAGAATGAGATCGTGTAAGTGCTTACTGATTTGCTTTTTGATAATCTAAACAGTCCAACGCACAACCACAAACATGACACGGTGCGTTCGGTTAAGAGTGTGTGTAACAATGGGTTTTGAGGTTAAATTTCGCCATGATCGGAATGTAAGAGTAATTCAACAATTCAAGCACATTTCACGTCTTATGGACAGCACTTGCCTCGTACAAAAAATCTCATTTCTTTTGAGGATGACATTTCTTTTGAAGATAATCAGAACTGAGCTCTATAGCATTGACCTGTTGGTGTCACTCTCATTCCTAGCATCGCTGGCCAAATATCTCCACAACATGACATCACTAATCCAATCGAAACTTTGACAAGAGTCTGTAATTTGAGGTCGAGAGTCACGGGGAGATAAATAAGAGCGCACTTCTTTCACCCTGCGGGTGGTCGATCCACGATGAAGTCTGAATATTTTGTCAAGACGATACATGATCAACGTGCATCCATCGATACTATGACGATTGAAGGAGATAGTAATTCTACTGTGAGGCTCTTTTCGCAATTTTCTGGTGATTTCCGATCCTCGAATTTTCACGGTTACGCTAAAACACCGAGTTATTTTGGGTACGCGGGTTAATAGAGCTGGTGCGCTTCCGAGCATTAGTTCTTATTCGAGTATAATGTTGATATTGGTTATTTTCCTTCTTAATTTGGCTCTGGTCATTACGTGTCTTCTACATATGAAGATTTTTTGTGAGATAAGATCATCCGCGCCACGCGTAATGCACTAAAGTGAATTGATAAGGTTGAATCGGTAGCGAAAACACTTCGTCGTGTGGCAATGCCCTGTATTTTCTCTATGACAAAATTCACTTACGATGACGTTTAGTGCGATTCATTGCGTTCTTGCTTAAATCGGTGCAGCATCTTTCTTAACGACATCGCTTTTTCTTTCAAGTTCAATGACTTTCAATCGTCCGATTAATAAAGGAGAAAAATGTTAACGTTCAACAATTTAGTCTACAATACTTCAAAAGGTATGGCTGTGATATAATGAACAACCTTTGAGAAATGTTGGATGTGACGCTAATTTAATTTTACAAAGAGGTGTGCAGATTTGAAGCGCTGAAATGCGTATCTGGAATAAAACATTGTTTTCGCTCTAAATTACTCCAAGGGTGGTGGAATATTCGCGTCGTAAATCCCTTCACGAATCCGATTGATACGTTTTAAGATTGAGGTATTTCAAATGATTCGACTTTGAAAGCTTTTTAGGGTTTAAAAAAGCACTGTATAGTTTCGAGGATCCTGAATAAAGTCATTTTCCTCAAGAAGCTTGGTAAACTTCCGATTTTCGCGACAGGCATGCCAGGAGCTTCAATCTCCAACCCTTGCAGGGATTCCACTGTCTCTGTGTCAGTAAATTTACTCCAAACTTGTATAGTTTCAGAGCTTTGAGGTTAAATGAATTTCTCCAAAAGGTATCGATCCAGTTGTTTGACTTGAGGCTTTCAAATCCGAATACTCAATGCTGGGAAGGTAGCTTGCGATAGTTACATCTTCAACAAAAATCAAATAGTAGGTAAGTTTCTTGAGGGCTTTAAAGATTGTTCGATTAGACATGTTGGTAAATGTAACGTAATCAATATTGAGGTGTTTCAACTTGTCTCAGGTTAGGTTTAGGTGATTTCTTCAAGTCAAGCCCAGTCCCTTTGTTTTCAAGTGCTCAGCTTTATCATTCGATTGTAAAAAGCTAAGGGAACAAATATATAGGTAAAACGTTTGGGGATAAGTTGAGAAAAATGAACATCTATCATTTAAATATTGCGCGAACGTTTTACAAACACTGGATGATTGTATCTTGACGATGATAGTGCCCCAACCATTTAAATTCGGCATCCTATTTGTTATTACCACTTGGCAGGTTGGACATATCGAATTGTGTCATTTGTGAGAGATGGTGGTTATGAATCATGTGACGAATTTGAAGAAGCTAGCTACATCCTTATTTCAAGCGTTACAGCAAAAACTAAATATTATTTGATTAGTTTGGGTTCAAGTTGGGTTCGAGGATATAAACCCCACTTTTGTCTCCACTGTCTCCGATTAAAACACTTGTCTAGAAGGGTTCATGCGAGAAATATGCTTTATTTAACCGATATGTATAAGGTGTAGAGGTTTAGTGTATCTGCAACGATTTGTTTTGTGCTATGTGCTATGTTTACTCGTTGTTTCGTATGTTTAAAAGTCTTTCAAGGCACCCAGCGCGTCTCAAATGCTAATGAGACACCTTGGGCAAGACAGCGTAGGCCTTAACCATGTCGAGGATAACGGCACGTAAATTCACACTATTCAGCAATATATTTCACCATAATCATTTAGCCATAGATTCTTAAGTTTCTTGAGACCTTCAGCACCCTATAGCAGTCCGAATGAGTTAGAGATAACATTTGTCATCTATGGCGCAATATACATCTGTTCAAATAGAGAATATATTCTCTGCACTAAACACTCTTTTTTTTTTTAAAAAAAAAACACATACACAACCTGTGTACTGAAATGAGGATGGAATTAAAGTCATTAGAGGCAAGTACGTTCGCACGATCAGAGTGTCTGTCGGTCGCGTAGATGTAGCCGGAGACAAGGATGTGCTCACCGAAATGACCCGCAGTTATCACCGCAACCACCAAAGACACCATTAGCGTCCTTGCCAAGTCTATCCAAGTCTATCAAACACTTTTATCAATTCAAGTCTCTTAGCATTTAACGTTTAAGAAGAGCAGCGACAACTCCTTGTTATCGAAATCACCACCTGGGTTAATGGTAACGATGACTTGGAATCTATCTGAGGCTGTGACTTGCAGCTGCTAAACATACTTACCACCCCTATCAGCTAAAATTAACGAGCGGAATGGCTACAGAAAAGGTTTCAATCGCTTCACCTTAATCTAAAACGATATCTCAACCATCAAGAGCAGATAGCCATGACGCATTGCCTCAAGTAAAGAACCATCGTGTCGTTCGAAAAGCGCGGTAACATGCATAATCTTTGTCTAAACAGTCTTGATAGCCTCTAACTTACCTTGAGGCATTTTCTGACTTTGTGCCTCGTTCAGGGCAATGCTAACATCATCGATATCTCCACCAACAGTACCACCAAGCACTTACCTCATTGACCTCAGAATTAGCTAGAATTGTATCGATCCTCTTTTAGTAATAGGACGCTGACCTCAGAATGTGGGCAGTCACGATATTCTCCTGGCAAGACATATCGCGAAGATGCTGGTTAAGAGAGTTGACGAGCACTTGACAGACCGATGTATAATCGGTACCTGTTTCACCAATAAAGTCATCGCAAGACTTCCCTGGACCGCCCGGAGCTTCGAACAGATCTTTGCAAAAAGCTAGCACCAGTGAAGAATACCAAGTTTGCGATGAGACCATTTGCGCTCGTATCAAAAGATCTCTGGTCGACAGTTTGGTTAGAGAGGAATTTGGAGATTAAGTAGCGCGAATCATCAACGTAGTTTTAGAGAAAGGTAAGCTCGAAGATAAACGTATCTCAGCTCTTGGACTGCTCTAGATGAAGGAAACTAGGGAGACAAACCGCAAACTGCAGAGAAGCGCCTTTTTTCATTCACAAGAAGTGCCTCAAAATGCCCTAAGCTGCTGACCGAAGTATGCGTCATACGTTCTACTTCTGGTATGTTTATTTCCCCAAAACATATTTGACTCTGTCAGGGAACCTGTACAAAATCACTTCCAACCTTTTTGAGAGAAAGCAACATGAAAGAAGCCAGACGTGCTCGTAATAGCTGACAGGAAAGATGTTAGCAAATATGCTTCACTCCTGGCCGAATTTGATCAAGATAGATTGTCAGAACGGAAAGGCATCATTGAGATTCTTGAACTTTCCATTCTCAGATCTGATGCCCCAACCTTTGTTCTAAAGGCCTTGCCAGGCGGTCCTACTTCTCAGTTCAGCCTCGAGAAGTAATCATAAATTTCTTTTTTCTTTAAATGTTAATATCACGCATTTATACTGTAATTTTTGGCTGAAATAAAAATCCCTTACAATCATTTTAAACAGATTCAGTTATTATTGCAGGCGTTGATTTTCTACGGCTGCCACGGCTGTTAAGACTGGCTATCAGAGGAGTTGAAGCTCCAAAAATAAAATTCTTGGCATCAGCTGCAAAACGAATGCCCACGTTAGCTCTGTTTTACGCTTGTGCTCATCGGTAATGAAGCTTCTGGATGGCCTACCTGTACGCTGAACGTGACGATTTAGGAAGAATAGGATGATGATCACGGTGGTGTTCAGACTTTTGACTGTTTAGCGCGCGTATGAATCCTGGTGTTCGTCGTGTTGCCTCTGCTTTTGATACTGCAACTGGATTTTGATTGAGTCCGCGATACAGTGTGTGATTGGAAGTTGTGGGACTTGAGTAAATAATTTGCCTTTGTTCCTACTTATTTTCCTAATTATAGAATCGTGATGATGGATTGTTGCTATTTCCTTATGACTGTCTGTCATCCGCTTTGGATATCTTTTCCTCGTAAGAATGGCAGTCGCAGGGAATTTTGGAACTAAGTCCATTGGATCATTGAAACGGGAGTGGGTAGGTACTGTATTTATCCCGCGCTTCAGTTTGTTTCTTAACACGACCAATTTTGTGACTTTGTAACTAAGCACGTATATACACACTGTATCTCCTGTATTATCCAAGTGCGTAATTTTCGATATTGATTTCAAGCGTCTTGGTGTTGAGCAGCTTCTGTAACCTCGAAGGTTATTATGAAGTGGTGAGTGCCAAGAGCCAAGATATCTTTAAGATTCATACACCAAATCCCAATACAATCGCTCTTTTTTCGTTCGTCTGTGGCATTGGTCAGCCGCTCTATGATACTAGGTGGTGGTCACAGTGCACGAGTCAGTGATACGCGAATTAATTAATTATAGAAGGCGTCTTGTATACAAAGGAATATATTTCAGAACAGCACAAGCATTCAAATCGGTGAATTGCAAGTCGTCTGGAAGCAAGATCCGGTTGAACGTGCCTATGGATGAGAATCAATCCCGGGGGAGATATGGCTTGAAATGAGCCTTACTATATTACATAAATATAAGTCAAGGGCCTTTTTCACTGAATTCGAGGACAATTGACGGTTTGTCAGCAAAGTTAACATAATTCAGCGGTAACCCAAAGGTCTCCGAAGGTGTCTAAACTAGCTGAGTCTTGTCGCACGAGAGAGAAGCCACTAAAAAACAAAGTAAGGTATCCCAATACTCACTCTGAAGACGAAGCATAGTTTGCTGTAAATTGCAATTGACAAAAGATGAACAGAGATCGATAAATCTGCTACGTCATTTTGAGATTCCCCTAATTCCCCATTTTGTAGTTTTTAATTCTATCATAGCACCCTTTCAGGAACAGCAACCTATCGAAACTTACAATTACTTTGACAAATGAGCTCAGCGACGCAAAATTGTCTAGCAGTATATCTCGGGTTTAAAAATCTCTCATTTCAGGCGCCCTTTCCGATTATATAAGGCATTTGAAATGAAACATTCAAAATAATAACAAAAAGTTGCTCCCGGAGAGGTTCGAACTCCCGACCTTCGCTATACGATAGATTTCATATAAGAGCGACATCTTAACCACTGGACCACGGGAGCTATAAGGATGTGCCCCTGCCTTTGTAGGTAATACAGCGGGCAAGATGCAGGAACAGGTAACATGACATCATGGTCGCTATGAGAACAATGAGAATAAAGAACAATGAAGATTATGCATGATTATGCACGAGGACAATGAAGATAACGAGACAATGGGAATAAAACCTAGAATTCTAAACTATTTAAACGACTACTTTTTCTTTTGATACATCTTAGACTTAATTCTTTTATTAATCTCAGCGCCTTGCTCTTTGTGTGCAGTTTCACCTCACAAAGATCAAGACGTTTACAGTTGGTAGCTTCGCCAGTTAAATAAAAGCAAGTATTTTGAGAGCAAGTATTAGCCAGTCAGGTAAAAAAGAACTGAAGAGAAATGTCAGAACATCAAGAGATAGCAGAACAAGTAGCAGGAATGGATTTGAGTAAAATCACTACACTTCACGAACAAATCAATGATGCTATCAAGCAAGCGGTAGAAAACGAGAGAGTTACCAGTAAAATCGAACAAGAAGAAAGAGAAAGAGCTTTCCAAGCATTATGGGAAGAAAAAGTAAGAGACCAAGCAAACGAAAGAAACAGCTTCGAGGCCAGATATTCGGCATTATGGGCAGAAAAAGAAAGAGACCAAGCAATTGAGAAAGCTAGACAAGAAGAAAGAGACCGAATCAAGTTAAAGAACGAAACCACCCTAAAAATTGAACCAATTAAGCCACAACCATTTGAAGGAGAATTAGACTCAATAAAGACAGTAGCATGGCTTAATCAATTAAACACTTATTTCAAAAGCGTTAGAGCCACTGAAGAAGAAAAAAGTGAATTTGCAACTAGTCTATTAACAGAACATGCCCAACTTTGGTACCTGCAATACCAAAAAAACGAACGGAGAAGATTTACCACCATGGAATGACTTCAAGGAAATCTTGTTGAAGACTTTTAGCAACCCTGCAGAGGAACGTAGTTTGATTAGACAATACATGAACTTAAAGCAAACACATTCGGTATATGAACTCATCCAGAAGCATATAAAACTACGTACAATCCTACCACATGACACACTTATGCCTGAGAATTTAGAAATTTACAACTTTGCAAGAGCACTCAAACCAAAGACAGAAGACAGTGTACTAGGAAAATACCCCAAAACACTCGAAGAAGCCTATCGTTATGCAACTGACTTCGAGGAAACATTCATACGAAGCAATCAAGGTTTACAGAGAAACCAGGGACAAAGAAATTTCGGTTATTTTGTGCCACCACCACCACCGCAACATCGAAAGTGTTAAGGTTTGGGCTTGTCTTAGCTTAGGTTATGAGGAATGGCTTTGTACACAGCTAAACAGATAGATAGAAGTGAATGTAATTCGTTAAGATACAATAGAAAAGTAGTGAGGCTTTTATATGTGTGCCGTGTGAAGTATCGGAGGCTAAGCCGGCAGGGCGGCGGTCTGAGGCTGAATTGGGAAATGTGGGAAGTAATCTGTAAGTAAAGGGGTAATGCTTAAGGCGTGGTCTCGTCACCTAACAGAAAGCAAGACGAGGTGATCCCAATGGACCTCAACGCAACGAAGGCCAACAGAATGAGTAACGTACAATGTTACGGTTGTGGAAGAACAGGACATTTTCGTCGTCAATGCCCTCATATGAGGAGAACAGGAACAATTAGAGAAACCCTGACCGGAGTAGACGTAGACACTCCGGAGGACAAGATGATCACAACACCAGTTAGAATAAATGGAGAAGAAACAAGAGGACTTGTAGATACGGGAGCAAGCTCAGATTTTGTTGACAAACAATTTGTAGACAGAAACAACGGAAAGATTTATGGACATATTGATGCTTATATTAGTCTGGCAATCGGTGAAAAAGAAGGTTAGGTTAGGTGAACA